AAGTTTGGAGGTGAGGTTGTTCTTCGGACTATGGGTTTTAGAGGAAATGGGAAGTCTCGTTTGGATATTAACGGTTAGGGGAAAACTTTGGGAACTGTGGGAGGCGTATATGTAACTGAATTCGAAAACGATCTTGCGCATTGTATCCTTTGCCAACTAAGGATTGTGGGGTGACTCTGGTGAGGAGATCATTTATAGACCGCTTTCAGCGATTAAGGGTTTGATGAGTTTGGGTGTGAAAAAAGCATTGGGAAAGGAGGAGAGTGATATGTTTAAGATGGTATTTTGGGGTGTAGAAGATGTTAGTGGAAAAGATTAGATTCAAACCCTACAAACCAGTTGAGAACTTGTGACAAGTCTTAAGGACATATATCTGAGACCATCAAAATTATATCAGACATCTAAGGTTTCTATAATAAATGATATAGATAGTAAACTCAAACCCTCGAAATCAACCTAACGGAGTAAAACCAGCTAATTTATACTCACCCACCCACTATCCTGGCCAGGAGGACATCTTTATGAAGCCGGGTTAGATGGAAAGGCATACCTCCGGACGTCGAAAACATGTAGGAGATTAATGTTCCAGGTGAATATTTCATCAAGCGATGATATAAGTAGGAAAATTTGAACTCAGTTGTCACATAACGACAACAATGTAGAACTCCCACAGGCTATTGTGTAGTTTTAAATAATTTGTACATAGTACATACTGTTTGATTTTCGAGGTGCGAGAACAAATAAAGTTGGATGGGTCCCAGAGGATTGTCGGCTCATCAGTGGCCCCAAACGAGAGGTCAAGCTGATTACCAGAGGCTTGGAGGGTCCCAGTGCTCCTGTTGGTATGGAATCGCAAGACAAAATGTGGTATTCATTAACACTTAGGAAGGTATTTTGAAAACGACAGTGATAGTAACTTCGGTGACAACACTTCTTCCTCACCAGCCAGGTGTCAGATATCACTTTAAATCAGTCTCGGAAAGCATAACACACCAATCCAAGAAGGCTGGCACAAGGCAATTTCACGCAAAAATCCTTGTCAAACCCTTAGGGAGCTCCAAGTCTTTGAGGACGGCTGCTAAATAGTCGGGTTTGATGTTGAAGCTGAAGGTTTTCGACTCGGCGAATCCTACGCGTAGGTAAAGCTCTGGTAATCCATTCCTGTTGCTAGTGGGCTATCTAATAGGTAGAAACTCCATTTCTGCCTCTACGACCAATGGATTTTATGTAGTAAAGAAGGCTTCATTTTATGTTTGGCTGTGGCTAGATGAGGTTGGCAATCTCCTAGTATCTATAACATGAGGGCCTTAGAAATATTGGGAATGAAATACATTGTTTGGTAATTTAGAACCGCAATTTGGGTGCCGTAGGTAGGTCGCTATTATGATAATATTTTAGATGTGAATCCTGAGGACAGCAGTATAGAAATAACACATAGGTAGTTTTAGATTGTAGAAGCTTGATTTGATTTGAATACTTCGTCATGTAAATGAAGTGAAATAACATTACAAAAAGAAATTACATACGCTTTTGCACACAGAGGTTGGGAATTGTAGTCGAACTAATAACCTTTAAGAAATAAGGCTAGACTTATGGTACAGTGGAAGGGTTTTGTAAGTAAGATGTGTGAAAGAGAAAGCTGTCGCACATGTATGAACACGTTTTTGCGACTGCGTTCAGAGAGTGTCGCAAGTTTCTCACTTTTTCCTGCGAACAGGAAAATGAAAACAGTACCTTCAACTCCGGAGGACATGAGTAAGTTTTCGTTGTCGATACAAGTGTGATATTCACGCTCAGTCCTTTGTTGAGAAGTTCAATGCAAAATCGGCAGTGACAGTTTTTTTGGTGACAACATCTACTTCACTATAAATTTGATACTCGATCCCAATTTGCAAGGGTCTGTTGCTCTTCTGGTCTCAAGGGGAAGTCTCATGTCTTCTGTGAGACACTACTATAGTTCTGGCTCGCATCTTACGATTCCCTTGTTCTTGCGATCAATTGCCTCTACGAAACGCTTGTAGCCTATATCTTCTTCGCGGACGAATTGCTGGAAAGGGCGTTAGTTTATATATAGCACTGTTTCTGTAAACTGTCCAAAACATTACTGATATTGTAAACTCTCTAGTATTCTATAAGTGAATTGAAATCATCAAAACGTGATATCTATGCAAAAATATCTAAGAAATGTAACAAATTTGCCCATTTTTGAAAAATGTAACTAAACTCTAGAAAATGCTTTCGACCAGTGGTTCGGTCATTATATAGTTCCTTACTTGACATATTTCAGTTGACCACAATGCGTCACTTTACCATTCTTCTAGCAATCATCGCATAACGATTAAATCTGTCATGTTATTCTATGATTAAAGCTCCTCCATCTTTCCATTACTACACGGAAACAACTGAAATCGCATTCTAATTGCGCAGCCGTATTTTGCCTAATGGCAGTAACTCTTAACTCAGTTACTGTCAATACGACGGACCGTATTCCCTTGTTATACATCCTTGAGACAGACAAGGGCGCCAAGAACATACATAGATAGATAAGATGTCTGTAAAGCATTTCTTCGCTTTGAGAAGTAAATTGAAATTGGTTGACGGGTGATTTGGACGGCTATATTGGAAGCACTTGGATTAAGCTACGTCGACTCGTATAGGGCTACGACTTAAACGCTTACACTTTTTTCGAGAAATACCCTAATGATGTCTGACAACATCGTACGCTTTACATAAAAAGTGAAAGATTTTGGGGAAAACCACGGACTTCGGTTCTCTATACATTATCACTTGTTTTCTCTTCACTATTCAACAACTTAGAAATCACAATTTGACAAATAAGAATCGACAGCAAAAAATTTAGCGACAGCAAACCCGAGTTAACAGGGAAAAAATACAAAACACCATTCCATGAAGTGAATATTGGTTTTCAAGTAACAAGTGCTCACATCGACAACAAGACTCTGGTCATAATTCCAATCTAGCAGCTCGGACCTCTGGCAGACATCGTTGGAATGGTACACGATTGTAGGGCCTTTTCACTATTTACAAATCGAAACTTTACGAGTGTATTTATACTTTAACTTTGTTATTGAGAAGTGAAACAAAGAATAGAATTTGGAGAATCAAGCTCTTTCTCTCTTCTTTGCTATTGTTTGGCAAGACTCTGACCGTCAGAGCAATTTTGGAGATTACTTTAGGACCTTGTCATTGTCAAGTTATAATCTTACTGATGGAATGATTTCTTTTTCTACCCTAGTGTTATCAAGATGTCGAAGGAATGGGTGATTGAATATCGAGTGCTATATTCTATTCATGTACCTTTCAAGAGACAAGGGGAAGTTATTATGCTTTCCATTCCCAGGTAATGACAGTACCTTTGAGAGCCGGCATTACGTCTCAGAGCGTTATTTCCCACATGCAGAAAAACTTGCGGACAGGCCTGGCTCTTGGTGCTCTCGCTTTCTCGCTATCCAAAAGAAGAGAATCGGCAGTAAAAAAGTATTTGACAACAATCTCGAACATATTATTGAGAAAAGGTAATATAAGCTACTACTTCATAAAGCCACTTTGATTTTGGACGAAGACCTTGGTAGAGTGTTAGTTTGCTCCATTGTACTACCACATAGAGAGTTCAGCAGTAGAACAGAGGGATTTTCGAGACTTGGGGTATTTTGTTTGGATGCGGAGATGTTTGCTCGCATCTTTTACAGAATTTTATTGTCGTCCTTCTCGATCTTCCTCCGCTTTTATCTTACTCTTCCAGATCCTCGTCTCGTTGTCTGTACTTGATGCGTTATGATCTTTCTTGGTACCTTTAGCGAGGTTATCTTTCGAGTGGTATAGCAAAAAAAAAAGGTGGTACTTGGACCGTGATCTTGGACATGAAAATGACAATACTTTGCGTCTCTCGGGGATCTCGCTCGTGATCATATAAGTATCACAATCCCTCTAGCAATTATCTTTCCATCGCAGATGAAGTTTCTATGAATATATCGATTGAAATCATATTGGTCTTGTGATAGTATATTGGTTAGGAAGAGAGGCATACATTTAGAGCGAGCTTGCCTACTTTAAAAATCACAGTTAAGTACTTGAGTTTAAATTTTGGAAATTTAAAGTTACTGAGATATTTCTTATTGTAGTCTTGTTGCTAACATTTCTTAGAAAACATTAAGGAGATCAAGATTTGATAACCAGGAAATCCGCAATTTTCCAAGACAATTCCATGATCGAAACCGAAATACGGCAAAATCACGCTCGGCATAGTTCGAATTCCAGAAGCATTTTCAATAGATCGACATCAATATGGTAAATGGCTCCTGGTTGTCAGAGGCATTAATTCTTGAGTACCCTATGACGAATCGTTATTGCACCTTTTGATTATTCGCTTGAGGTAGAATCGGCAGCAGTGAACTTTTCGTCAGCAACCTCCCCCCCTCTCTTCATTTTCCGCGTCTTCTTTCCTATGACGTAGTCAAGTCAATCAGAACACAGTTGTACTACCTAAATCTTCACAATATGACAAAGAAGACGAAGTTCGAATGCTGATTGACGACCTGGCAATTTGGCGGCGGGTGGGAGAAAGTGATGAAGAACGTGTAGAATGTTTGGTAAGAGTACTTAGAGACTCACTTCCTGTCAGAGACGGCTCAGACGGTATAGGTATCTGCGAGGTGTTCGAATATAGGATATATGTATAGTTCGATGAAATTGAGTATGTCCTTTGTAATGATGTGGATTACAGAGAAATCTATTTTGTTCTCAAAGCCCTTATACACTCAAACATAACAGCCAAACAGCAAAAATACCATCTAAACTTAACTAAATTACAGAAAACATTTCATACATTATATAAACATGCAAGCCCTGAGAGTTCACTCCTTCAACAATAAAATACACCCCAATTTCGAGCAGAACATATCATCGAAAAGAAGGAACAGTTTGTATAAAGAGGAGGACTTGCCACATAGTATTTGAACAGATAGACAACCAGTATTCGATATTTAAAATACAGTGTCTTGTTATCTCGCGATTTCGGGAAAATGGAATCGGCAACAGCGAAGTCTTCGGCAGCAAATCCCCAACGTATTTGAAATAACGCAAGTGCTTTTTAAACCAGGAGAGGAGTCGAATTTTCCAAAAGAATTTATTTGGAGCAGCAGTTTCTCTACTATGGCTCTTGGTAACGAGTTAGATTCACTACACCACTCAACTATCTCTTCTTGCCTGTTGTCGCTCATCTATAGTGTCATCTTTCAGTCCGAGCGTTTTAAATACCACGGCAGCCTTCTTCGTGAATTGAGAAGAGTAGATATTATTGCATGTAACGTTGACGGGCCTGTCATGGTGCCGACAATTGAGGGAGCGAAATGAAACTAGATGGATTGTTGATGACTATAAATGATTTCCTCTTGAGATCCTGTTCATGAATTTAAGTGTCTTCGTAGTGCGGTATTAAATTAAGAACAACAACACCAAAAACCTAAACCTCTAATGAATTAAACCCAGATATATCTACCCAAATAACCCTTTATATAAAGCAAAGACCCCCCACAACGAAAAAAACCCAAAACCAAGTCCATCTCACTTCCCAACCTAAACCTTCTCCTTCCCGCCCACCACACTCCCACCCTCCTCACTACTAACACTCCTCACGCCCGCCACCCCATTAATACTGGAAACACCCACCACATCCTGCGTGCGGTGGAGATCCATCAAAAACGGACTACTACCCGTCTGTTTCGGCGTCGGGAACAGCGTGTGTAATACCCAGTGCACTACGCCGGAGACGAAGAAGCCGAAGAAGTAGGAGAGGTCGTAGACGTGGTCCCAACCGTTGCCGTTGCTTGTGGTGCGGACGCGACGGACGAAACCAGCTGGATGTTGTTAATTAGGAAAGGGGAGGAGGGATGAGAAGGATGGGGGAACATACGGAGGAGTGGCCAAACGCCCATAACCCATGCGACGATCGCACGCCAGTTGAAGCCTGCGGTGTACCAATACGCGCTACCCTTACCTGCCATATACAGATCACCAACGTGTAACTGACCCTTTCGCACGAGGAAGTAGTCAAAGATGAGAATACCGGTCATGCCAGATAGGAAAATCGACCAGCCGCTAAGAACCGTGATGAAAGTCGTAACGTTGTTGACGAAGTTCCAGGGGCAGATGGCGATGGCGATGATAGTAAGGATGTAGCAGCCGCGACGGATGTTGATCCAGCGTGGACAGAGAGCGGCCATGTCCATGCCGGTAGAGATGGCGTTGAGGACGATGCAGAGGGCCATTTGGGAGGCGAGGAAGGCGAGGCCGGAGAAGAAGGTTCCTGCTCGTGCGGCTGGTGTGAGGGAGACTTTTTGGATGTGGAGGAGGAGTTCGAATGGATTCCAGAAGTATTCGCCGTAGATTTGATTTGTGGCGGATGTGATTATGACACCGCATAGAGCTGTTACGATGATGGTGAGGGGGCAGGTAACACCTTGTCCGAAAAGAGATGCATTGGGTGTTTTGGCATATCGAGTCCAGTCTGAGCTTATGTTAGAACCGTGATTTGGAATGGTAGAAAGAGATTCATACCAGATTGTCCGACGATACCACCACTCCATAATCCTAGGATCGCTTGGATTCCATAAACTATATTCCAGCTTAAAACACTTCCAGACTCTGTCGCAGGGGCTTCAAGAAGATCTCCAGCACCGTGAGCAGTTCTAACAGACCAAATAAGCATCCCGAATATATTACAGACGATCATCACGAATGCGATCTAGACTGGTTAGCTGGGGGTTTTCAAATTCGCTTCAGGCGACTGACCTTCAATGGAAGCTGCAACTTCTCAGGTGGGATCATGAGTAACGGTGCAAACACAGCCAAGAATATGAAGAAGCTGACGAGACTGCAAGTATCGACATTGGCGGACGCGGGCAGCGTGTTTTCCATGTATGCATACTTAGGGCCAATCACTGCACCTAGGATGATCTTGACTGATTGACCACCCCAGTATGTTTGAACTCCCATCCTGATTATTGTCAGCCATATCCAAAGTTAGCTCGGGCCTCGAAATGAACATACCAGATACACGCAGTAACAATGCGATTCAAAACCGGCCAGAACCCACCAATCATGCCCCAAGACCTACACAGAGTAAGCGTCGCTCACTTTACAAAGACGTGTTTTCCTTACGCTCTCGACATGACCGTAAACCCCAGGTAATCATGCGATCCCATCCAGCCCGCCACAACAGCAATCATCGAGATGATAAACGAGCCACCGACAATAACTCCCATCGCTTGACCAACACTTAGTCCCAGCGCCAAAAGCGTAGAGCCAGCAGTCCATGCCGAGTTATTAGCACCTAGAATCACATCATGAGCTTGATTCCGCGTAGCATTGAATGTTGTAACAAACCTGTGATGATCCAATATCCAGCAAACCCTTGCCAAGTCCACGTCCGTCTGTCCTCGGGAATAGGAATCAAATCCCTATTACACCACTATCACGCCTCATCAGTTCCAAACCCCCCTACGAGAGAAGCCAAGAAGTTGTGACTTACATATGTATTCTCATAATTCGCATCCTCATCAACCGGACACTCCAACTTCCGCGCCCAGTACCTCGCTCTCTCTCTCATATTTTCAGAAACCATACTCGCGACCGTTCAAACCAAGTCCTCTCACGTCCAATCTTCTGCGAATTCACCCCCGTTTATACCCTTTCTCAACAACGTCCAAGAGAAAACCCACGTCCTTGGAACTCAAACACACGCCTCAGGAGCTTAACCCAAAGCAATATAATCAATCAAAGTACCCTACCCCAGTACTATCACACATGCATGTCGTCCAGATAAGAGTTCCCACCAGCACACGAGAACCAGAAATTCAGGGTACGGAGCCGAGTGGATCGATCCGCGCCTTTTCTCCTCACCTCCACCGCCCGCAGATCCATTCATATTTTCTCGAGTCGCTGAGTCAGCGTGTGCCAGTGCCGTGGCATTATCTGGAGTTGCGCGATCGTGGTGGAGATGTTGGTGTGCTTGGACTTGCCACCATGAGTCGGACGTTCGTTGCCGCAGCGAGCTGGACGGCCAAATCCTCAAGACTTGCAGTGAAGAGACGCTGGATCGCATACGCTTCGTAAGTGGTGGAATCTTAAAGCAAACGCAGTGTTACCGCGACGTGTTCGCCGATCAGTTTCCCTGACATAATTAGTCGCGAAGCCGTACTCGTACGAGTCCGACACGTCAAGTGACAAAAAGCTGTCAGTGCCAGTTGCCAAATTTCTTAAGAGCCGTCGGATCATCATCACGATACCACACCGAATACTCAAAAGCAAAACCAAGCCAGAATGGGTTCCGTTGAAGAGAAACCTCCAGTCTCGATCCCCGTGATCGACTTCTCAAAATGGGACAACCCAAGCACACCCTCTGAGCGTGTAGCCATCGCGAAGGAACTCGCCTCTGCATGTCACAACGTCGGGTTCGTGTCGATAATCAACCATGGCGTCAGTCCTGCGCTTTTGGAAGAAGCGTTTGGCTGGTCCAAAAAGCTATTTGATTTAGAAACCGAACAGAAAATGAAAGCGCCACATCCTGATGGACCGACCGTGCACCGTGGCTATTCGTGGCCGGGACTGGAGAAGGTGTCGCAGGTGATTAGTAGTGATGCGGAGGTGGGGGAGAAATTGAGGGCGGTTACGGATTGCAAGGTATGTGTTCACCAAGAAGGAAAGGGGGGTGGGATGGGTGTTGATGAGAGTATAGGAAAGTTACGAAATCGGAAGTGAAGAAAACGATGAACAGCCCAACGTCTGGCTGCCCGAGGAAGTGCTCCCCGGATTCCGGGAATTCATGACAGATTTCTACTGGACATGTTCCCAAACCTCACAAGAAATCCTAAAGGCAATTGGATTAGGTATGAATCTCCAGGATCCAGATTTCATCTTGAAGTTCCATTCTGGACATAATAACCAGCTGAGGTTGTTGCATTATCCGCCTATTCCGGCTGCGCAGTTAGAGAATGAGTTGAGTGCTAGAATGCCAGCGCATTCGGATTGGGGGAGCATTACGATGTTATTCCAAGATGATTGTGGTGGATTGGAAGTTGAGAATCAGCATGTTCCGGGAGAGTTTATTAAGGTTACGCCGTTAAAGAATGCTATTGTGATGAACATTGGGGATTTGTTGATGAGATGGAGTAATGGTAAGTTACCGATTGCTAAAATTTGGATGACTGTCTAACTGGATTCTAGACTGGCTGAAATCAACGCTCCATCGAGTGACACTGCCACCAGCTTCAGATCGCTTCACTGGTGAAGAGCGTATGACAAGAGCACGATACTCGATACCATACTTCATCAGTCCAGACATCGATGCAAGAATTGAAGTCATGCCTGAATGCGCCACAGAAGGTAATCCGATCAAGTATGAGCCAGTCGTCCAAAGAGAATACCGTTTGATGCGAGCGAAGCTACAGTATCCGGAGAAAGCGCCCCAGGCTGTCACAGCATCTGGTTAAAACATTTCGTCTAGTCTCGGTAACTGTGTATATAAGATATGTATATAGTACACTGTTTGTATCAAGCTTAGCTGCGAGCGCCTGACCTTATACTATCAGCCGCGCCATGAAAGAATGAATCAGCCCTCAGAATTGAAGGTCGAATGAGTCCAATATTACTCCAATCAGCATGATTTGCCGCTGCCCCTAGTATCTCTTGATACCTTTGCAGCATTGAGTAGGCATTTGCCACGTGCTCTTGGGTTGATGCACAGAAGAAGAGATAAATAAGGTGATTTGAGCATATTATAAGGTTATTTCTCGAATCTAAAACTGTTAGCAGGACAGGTGAGGTTGTAGGTAAGAAACTTACGGCGTGTCCAGAATGTTTTCATGTCCATGGAGAAGAGTTTAGCAGCAAACTGCACAAACTCCTCACCCACCGAGAGAGCCAAATCGAAATGTTTGGAGAGATTTGAATCTGAATTTGACTTTGACTCTGGAGTTGCCGGTGACATGAGTTGACGCACAATGATAGACTTGAGGGCGAAGCATCCAATATGGAAGTACCCATTCGTTCTTATGCCCGCCATAGAAGATCTGATGTTCAACCCGTCAGGCAGCATTAATGATGCATGATCTAATCGATCATTGTACGCCATAATAATAGCTCGACGTTCCTCGTTTCTAACTTTTCGAATGGTCTCGCTATAGGCTTTCAGCGTACTTTGGTTTTCATCATCAGCAGACGTATTTAAGTAGGCAATCCCACAGACTTACCAACAATCTTTGAGCACGCCTGATAGTATCCTAGTTAATTTCATCATTTCCAAGAAGCGATTAGCATTGAACTTTTGAAAAGTTTGATCAATTTCTTCGAGCAGATGGGCACCAGGAAGACCGGTGATGTGTTCATCAGACGCTAGGTCTTCCATGGTCAACTCTGTAGTATCGAAAGCTCCTTCCTGGATATGAGGAGTGTTCCCATGGCATAAAGAGGTCCACACATCGTTGATGTAAGCTATCCACCATAATCTTTTCCTAAGTCTCTTCTCCCATAAAGGAAGTTTCCACTCGGTTGGGTCTTGGTGTAACCCTAGACTCTGAGCACAAGCTGTGGCCTGACATGCAAGTGCCCAAATCCTAGGACTCTCAGTGGTACCGCTTATACCGGGCTGTTCATGAAGCACCAAGAGACAAGCCTGCAAAGTTGCCAATTTTGGAGAGTCCATTTCCCGATAGAGCGCAGCATGAGCATGCTCGAAGAACTCGGGTTGAGAAATAGGAGGGTATGGTTTCAAAGAAGGCTCCTCGGTCCAAAATGCACACGCCAATCCATAGACAGCACCTCGTAATGATGCTGGTAGACTAAGCCTGTCGGTAGTATATGCCATGAGGAAGCCGGCTTTTGATAAGATTGGTAAGATGGGATGTACAAAACGAAAGTAGAGTCGGATCAGAGCACTTCCATGGCCGGCAGCATGAGCCTCAATGGCATCTGAAGCTGCTTGCTTCGCTACTTCATCCCTCTTGGGGAAGTAGTCATTGACTATTGTGAAATGGATAGGAGGAGCACCCGTTATAGGATTCCCGGGACAGACCTGCCGGATATTGAAGTCGATATAGTTCGTCTCATTTATTACATTGTAACGAATGGAAGCCAGTAGATCAGTATCTTGCTCCCCAGAGACTCCGATAAAGTGGGCAGTGGTATTATTGCCATATTCAAGAGAGTCTCGAGCTCGTTCATTTTCCTGAACTGAAAATTCTTTCGTCCGACTCTCTATAGTCGGACGTCTGTGGATAGGCACTGGCCGGAGAGACTGGCCATCTTCAGGATTTGAGGTCAACTCCTGTAGGGAAAGATACTGCCTCGTCGGCGGCTGGTACGAAGTATCAGATGCCGGAGAGAGTGAAGATATCGCAGAAGAAGCCGAAGCAGCGTAGTCTGGTACGGGAAACCTCGGGGCTTGAGGCGAAGCGTAATCTATAGTAGATGTAGAACTGGCTGAATACGCGCCTCCTCTAACGGAGTTGCTACTGGTTGCAGGGCTAGAGATATCCTTTCCGGCATCACCATTCACAGACCCAGCTGCATTGGACTCCGTGTTCCTTCTATGTCTAGGACGAGGACCAGAAGTGAACGTACACTCCAAACCTCGTATCTCACAGAATCTACCTATAGTCCAGGTGTCAGCAAATAGCTCCTCTGGCGTAAAGACTCCACACATACAAGGCGGTTTCACAGCAATCACGCACGCCGACTTTCTTGTCCTGCATATATCACATGGTCGGTCCCGTCTACTCCGAGATTCTCGTGAGCCTCCATGGCGAGTTTCCAATTTAATTCGCCGGCGATTCTCCTCCCCACCTTGAGCTCCCTCGCTTGACATGTTGTGGACTTGGGCGATATGAATAGGAAAAGTCAAAGGATATGGATGTGCACTCGCGCCTCAGTGAGGGGAAGTTGGCCGATCATATCGCAAGCAAAGTGGGAGGCGAGAATGCTATCTTGAGCTAAATTGGGGCCGGCAGAAAGTTTTGGGAGTCCCGAGGCCCAGTTAACCCCCTCATCTTAGCATTGGCAGGTCTTATCATCATATTTGTAGCATTGGCCTTTGAAAGAGATCGTGATAGGGGCATAAAAAGCTCCAAGATTGAAACATGGCCTGTACATGTTGTTCGGGGGGTGAGTGGTTGGACGGAAATGGTGGATGTCGTTGAGATGCTCAAAAACGTCATTTCAATGCCTCCCAGTCACGTGTCCTTCAAATTGTTGGACAAGTGGAAGCTTGGAAGCTGTTGTTGCAAGAAGCAAGCCGAGGTGGAAGATACAATTGGGAATCAAAGTCAGACATTTATGTACTCTATTAAAACGACAGGACGTTACATAATTTGAATTGTTCTAAGTGAATGAGACATTTTTATGCCCGCTAGTTGTAATTCTAATTTGATGGAATACGGAGGATTTTCGACGAAGAGTTATATTTAAGTAAAGGTCAAGCTATGAACTAAGTAATAAAACCACTATCTTTAACAAAATTTCCGGCAACTTATCTCATATCCTTCGTCCTTTGAAGACCGTCTAGAGCAGCAAGATTTGGCCATGTATGAGACGCACTTACCACTCATTTATACACAGTATCACATCTCAAATCGACCTCACAAATCACGCGCTGTAAACAATCCCATTAACGGAAATACTCTTTATTCTGCTCCTAACCCTTTCACAAATACGCTCTTTACATATTGTCCTACCATTCCGTCTACCACCCCCATCCCCACAACCAACTCCCAACCCTCTACCGTCCTCATATCCAGACGTGTACACCACCAAACAAATCTATTAACATCCCCTCATCCCGATTGCAGCCCTAAATTCTACCTGTGAATCCATTCAGTACCACCGATCATCCACCCAACAACCATCACATTCCAAATAACCCGTCCAAATCCTTTCCAGCTACCAAAAGGTCAAACCCTAACTCCCCGAACATAACTCCCAAAAACGAACATGCTAAATATCCCCCAAAGAAGGCGGCTCTTCAAAGCCGCGAGAAAGTTATAAAACAGGCAATATCCGTGTAAAACCACGAGATTTATACCGGAAGTGCCAATAGAAGATTAAATTTCATGGCGACATAGAGAATTAGGGAAGAGTGAGAGAAAGTTGACTATGATATTAAATGCTCATCCAACCAAACATGCCCGTCGCGCCTATAAGTATCAGCGCGGTAACGACGCCCGCACCTGCCCTATCCGATCCCGTTGCGGGTTTAATCAGCGAGGTATCGTGATGACTGCCACTTCCGGCATTTGGATTCCCTTGACTCGTTCCCCCAGTTGCGTTTGTAAAGGGGGCCGCAACCGGAACGAGATCAGCAAGAGTGACGAACACGGATGACATCGCTGCCATTTGTTGACCAACACCAAATGTTCCATCCCATTTTCCGCTATTCCAGCTCAATCCGCACGTACGACCGTTCGCACCACCGATGCATTGCTGTGCGGCTGCGACCGCGGAAGGTTTTAGATAGGACATGATGGTATCGTGGGTGTAAGGTGCCATCTTTATGGTAGATGCCAGCCAACGAGTGAGGTAGGATTTAAAGCTAAACATATCGGTGGTACATTTGAGCGTAGACTCGCAGGCGACTTCATAGGCAACACGTTGGGGTTCGGGAAAGAAGACTTGTAGAGTACGGTTTAGCAGGCGGTTTGTTCGTTCTTCCCAGATTGCACTGCCGTTGGTCTATAACTGTTAGAGTTGTGGCAAATCTCACAAGCTGGAAATCTTACATAGTTGTACATATTAGCTGCTCCCAATAACCATACGGCAGAATTGTATGAGAATTGGACTTTGTTGATATCTGTGCAATTGTGCCCAATGTGAGCTCCATCGTACACGTTGTACTCAGCATCCATCAATCCAACGTTAGTGATCCAATTCCAAGTTGTTTCGGCGTGTTGGGCGTATGTATCATTGTTAGTGTATCTGGCCAATCGAGCGCCGATATTGAAAAAGCATCCGTTTGCGATTGAGTTCTTGTAATCGTATCCAGTAAGGTAAGGGAATACCTGCCAACGCAAGCTATATATCATCAGCAACCGACCCGCAACGAGAATTACAGAACTTACCCTCCACCACACTCCTTATCGGGACGGACGGCCTGGGTGTTGAAAACGGCCTGAGCAAGCGATAACCAAGAAGGAGCTTTCGGGTCTGCAGGCGCTGGGAAGTTGTATTCTGCGGCCAGCATGGCCGTCATTCCCCAGAAAGCTTGATCATCGTTTCCCATAGACTGTGACCAATTACTGGGCATCATATCGATATCTTCTCCGACCTGTGCCTGTATACCAGCCGAAGTAACATCATTATAAGAAGTATCGTTTGTGTAATGCCAATAATCGATCAAGCTCCCCCACATCGCACCAGATTCCCACCAGTAGTCTACAGAGCCGTCAGTCCAATTCACTCATGCCTGACGTTTACAACTCACAGCCAGTCGGAGGGTTCGGTGGTGGTCCTGGGAGTACTCCTATGTACCCTCCTGATACATTGCCTTTATACTCCAACATCATATCGTACGCTATCGTCGCTGCTGTATTTTTGATAGATTCTGTGAACCAAGTTAGATCCAGCCTCTGAAATCCGTAGCTCCGACAGGCCGCATACCAACTGAAGTGATGTCGAGATCTAGAGCAGACACCATGGTGTTGGCAGTCAACAATAGCGCTGTCGCAGCGCGGGTAACCGTGGTAGAATACATGGCGGGATGGAAACTGATGTCTTTGGCGGTGGTGGGTTGTCGTCCTCGTCGGTCGTCGCGTCACCAGGTATGTGCTCTCGGGCTTGTCTCGACGACTAGGTGTGGAGGGTGAAAGGGAGGATGGTCGTAGTCATGAAAGGCGTTCGGTTCGGTATGATGTAAAGACAGGAAGCGACAGGATCGACGCAAGTTAGTGTTGATGCCGTAGTGTTGTTGGAGCGACAGGAAGGTGGGAATCTTGGTCAGGGAGGACGCCATTTCTTCAGAGGGCGACCTGAGGATGTGGCGGCTCAGCCGCTAACCCGATTCACATGCGGGAGCTGACAACCAACTGAATGAATCAATCCAGGGGCACAGGAAACAATCATTGCAAACTGATCAACCACGCATGGAGAATCGGGTTTCCATAGATACACATGCGTCTAGATCGTCAAATAATCAAGCTTCACCATTTTCGCCCGATCTCACCCACCAAGACACCAAGCCAACAGTTGTTCGCACTCAAGCACGCAGCTAGCCGTCCCTCAGGGTCTTGAGATCTCGGCAAGAACCGACCCAGCCTGGAGAACGTGTATCCACCACCCCCATGGAACTAACACCCCGCGATCCAGAAATCCAAAGGTTTATCTTCACATGAATACATGAGGGGTTATCACTGTGAAGTCTAGGAAAACCAGGTGAGCAGCTTACGGCTTTTCAGTACTGCGCGAGGGAGCTGAATATGAAGCCTTGAGTTCTACTTCTAAGCTGAACAACCCAGAAGTCTAACCCGTAAACTCATCCAATAAATTCGATAATTGACATGAAAACAATAGTCTATGGCATGAGAATATCATCCAGCCTGGGCAATAGACATTTATTCAGTTTCCCCCTTATTCGCACTGTCCTGGAGGAGCAATCTTAAAATCCTGTCTGGCATAATGCGAATGGCTGTGCATTAATCCAACACATTGCGCCTACTCAGCACCAGAGTTCACGTTCACTTTCCAATCAAGATATGGAAGATCGAATGGCCATTTCATCTACCAAATCAAGAAAGAATGTAAAAGGGATAGTCACTGGAATGGGAAATGGAATGAAACACTCGATAGGACAACTTTTACATTGCTCCAACGCTAAAGGTAACATCTGATTTTCAGACTTCTAAAATTGATCGACCAAACAAATGAATAAACTCCTCTTCTACCATGCACTATTACCAATGTTTGTCCCGTGGCCCCAAGTTGTTTTGCTCTTCCGAAAATACAGGCGCCGAGTTAATAGAAAGGCCGTAACCACCGGTTCATAACTATGTACTACATTTACAAAGCGAAGACAGCTGCGAAAGCAATTGCGAGACCAGCAACGAACGATCCCTTCATGACGGATGCAGAGTTGACGCTGATTGGTGTAGAGGTGGTGGAACCAGATCCCGAACCGGTACCTGAACCTGAGCCAGATCCTGAACCAGATCCAGCAGTGCCAGATGGGCCTGTTGCTGGGCTAGTGTAGTTGGTGGAAACACCTGCGGTTGGGGCAGCTCCAGCACCAGTTGCTGTGACATTGGCTCCTGATCCAGATCCGATACCCTGGGATGGGGAAAGCCCAGCACCACCAGTTACAACGGCGCCAGAAGAGGTAGCAGTGAGGGAAGAAGCGGTCTTGGTGAGACTGCCGGTGGAGCTGGCAGATGAGGAAGAAGAGGAAGAGCTGACGGAGCTGCAGGAAAGATCGTAGAGAGGGGTGGTGCTCAAATCAGCACCGGCAACACCGAAGCTTGGGGAGGAACCGGCATCCATGAGAGTATACCAGAATGTGTTGACCTTTCCGAAGTTAGGGCAACCAACATCACGCCAGTACTGTTGAGCATCAGAGGTAGATGCAACAGCGAGGTTCTCAGTTGGTCCGCTGACTGGCCATCCAGTCTCGGTGATCCAAACATCCTTTCCTCCGACAGCGGCCTGGGTGTTGGAAAAGGCCTCGTTGAAAAGAGACTTTCCATTGCTGATACCATTGTCCATGGTGTTTTGGAAGTATGGGTATGCGTCAACACCAACCCAGTCGACAGCATCGATAACGGCCTGGTTGGTACCGTTGACCCAGGCGGTCCAAGTATCAACGTGTCCGACAGAGGCACCAGAAAGCGATGTACCGGCGATGGCGGATCTGAGAGACTTGATGTAGGCAGCGATGGTAGCTGGCTCGGCTCCGTAGCCAGACTTTGCGGCAACTCCAGTTGGGGAGATTCTGTAGAGATCCTCACTTCCGACAGAGATACCAACAACGAGATCTGTAAAAGCAGTTCCGTATTGTGCAATGGCGGATTTCAAAGCGGTGATTTCGGCATCGAATGGACCTTGTCCTCCGGAAGCCCAGAGACCGAGGAGGAGCTTGGTCTTGGTCTTGATGGCAGCTGGAATAGCTTGAATTGGCTCGTTGGTAGAGCTTCCACCTTGCTAGAAAGTTGTCAGTCTGTTGTTCATCATCTCGGATGGTTGTATTTTGGAACTTACGATCATGGTATATAATCTGGCAGCGTTGAATCCAGTGGTTCCAACGAGGTTTTGTGCGAGGGTGAACTCTGCTGAGAAATCGGCCTCATATTTGAAAGACCCATCAGTGTTGGACGATCCGTAGTTGAATCCCTTGAGCTGGGCAGCTGCTGTGGAAAGCGTTGCCGCGAGGGCAAGAAGAGTCTGAGAAGAACGCATTGCGAGTGAGTGTAGAGAATCAAGTATTACAAAAGAAGTAGTGATGTATGAATGTAAAGAGTGTCAACGACAGTGGGTTGAGCTCGAAGAACAAAGTATTAATGAAGAGACCTTGTTGCGGCGATGAAGAGAAGGAAGGAGAGAAGTACCCTTGGCGTTGGGGAATAGATTATTTATGGCGTCCTGGCTGCGCCGGGGTGAAGGCCGGGAGGAAGCTAAAGCAGCAAGAAGAGGAAGGCGGATGTGAGTTGCTGCTGACCGCGAGTGGAGGTCTGAATGGAGGCATGGAGGTCCGCTTAGCCAACCAACAAGCATAGCTCGCGAGGCCGCCTCAACTCCAAGAAAATTTGATTAACGGCTGTTCCTGCTTTGGGCTTCGCTGGGTTCTCCTGGGACGTGAAAAGTCAACAACCCGGGGATTTCTCACTCGCAACGGACCACTCACCACTCACAGCAGCTCAGGGGGATGCGGATCTGGAGGAGATGACGCGCCCCTCCAACGAATCTTGCCCCTGGGCTGTTCATGATTGCTGTTCCTGCAGTTGGCCAAGATGCCGGTGGGCTCGAATGGAAATGGTTGAAAACGCTATTATTCGTAATTCATCATGAACGTTGTCGTCGCAAATGGGCTCACGAATATGATACGCATGGACGACACACAAACACGTTTTGCTCGGAGCACAACTGCTTTGCGACTCTGCAAATTGCAACATGTCCAGTCATCACAACACGAGCCACAAGCACCGCAACAATTCTCGAGCAATCTGGGATGATACGAGAACAGCAAGAACACGAGGGATTCCAAGCATCGGATCATCCGCTTAAAATTGGGCACGCACACAAGTCCAATATTTAGCAAGATTTAGCAAGATTAATTGGTCCACTTCTCCACCGTCGAGCAATGCTCTAGAGAAGCCTGGATCCCGGCACATGAGGCTATTTTGGGACTCGTCTGGGGAGGTGCAAATTAATATATTGGCATGGCATCATCGTCTTCAACAGCAGATTCTCGACCTCGACCACTTTGCCACGACACATCTTTTGCTACCACAGCTGGAGTTGTACCTGTATTTCCCACCAACGAAAATGTTGACACCAGTCCACTGAACCTGACGACGGACGAATCCCCGAGCTACGTGTATGTTTGTCTGCCGCAAAGGTTTCGACCTGGAAAAGGTTTTACGACCACTTGTGTGGTACGGTCTCGAAAGAAGCTTGGAATACAATACCACTTGTTTGATATGGACGTCTACGTTTTTGCGACTTGGCCACTTTCTAGGATCGCTTCGTGATATACAGCTTGGGTCACGATGCTGGCTGTGCTGAGAAAGGATTGATTCCAACTCTCGATGTCGAGGTCTGCTGAGCACCAGCAACTATAGCGCTACGGGTCCCATACTTTGTTCCGGCCTTCCATGAAGCCAAACGAGACGGAACTTCTTTGCTGCGGAATTTTCGTTCGTTCATATTGGCAGAAGCGCGGCGGTTAAAATGCTTGTGGCGAGGCGTTTCGCTATATGCAGGTCACCTTTTGGTCGTGAGGGGCACCAAAGTTTGAAGTACCAGAAGTCGAGATATTACACCACTCGGGGAGCCAGAATCCATCCCCGGATCTCTCAAACGGTATTTCTTCTATAAGGTAATCTGTAGTTGTCGAAATATTGGCACAACTCATAAGGCGAAAATGAATTCTGGTATCTCACTGATCAGCTTCTAGAATTGTGTGAAGACATTAAGCAGTCATTTTCTATAATATAGCAAAAGGTTAACATGCGGCGGATTCCTCGTAGTCTTGCACGTCTCTTCTCCTTTGTTCCCGCAGAGCTCAACATCTTGTTATCAATACTCATGAGATCGAGGGTTCCCAGACACATCAAACAGTAGGTCGCACCCAAGGTCAAGTCAACCAGCATCATTCAGATACGCGGCGCTTTGCTAAAGATAATCTGTCGATACTACTCTGGCTCCGAGTCTGGAAGGTCTCGAGAATGATAGTATCGTTACTTGCTATATCAGGCGTTAGCAATGAGGCGATGCATCGGTTTATTCGTCCAAAATTCAGCCACCAACAACAGTTGTTTCGTTTCGGGGCAATTTCATGGGATGGTAATGGTTCTGCATAAACAAAGGTACACTTTGTGTGGCCAGCAATTGTTTCACCGCTACCAATGTAGAAGTATACCATGTCTCGTTGAGTTCCTATCTCGTCCCAGAGGACTACAGGAGCTGCTTCGACTCGGCTATATAACCTTAAACCAAGGTACCATAAGTTCTTCAATTAGAATCAGCAATCAAGTATTTAATTTCAACTTCATTTCATTTTATTACAAACTTCAATTTACCTCCCCCAATTAGAATGTTTTCTCGAGCCCCTTCTGCTACGAAAATGCCCTCCTCACCGCGAACCCCTAGGCAGCGCCGGGGACCAGTTGTAGAAGACGAGCCGGCCTCGCCTGTTTTCGAGCCACCGCAAAGAAGCGACACATTTGACGAGGATTCAAAGACTACCTATGAGTCTAGTCAAGAAGATAATGATGATGCCCCTACTTCTATCTTGAGCAACGACCCTTTCAGTAGCGAGAGCAGCCGCATTCTGTTCGAGTCTATCGGTATGTAAAAGCTGGCTTAACTCGCATTCAAGTCAAGCTCTAAATGATATCAGATGAACTTCGACGTTGTGGTGCTGGTCAAGATCTGGATCTTCCCCAGGTTTGTGGAAACGTCTTCTTCTAAAAACACCTATTGACACCGAGATAGCTGGTGATAGTAGGGAAACAGTCCGCTGGAAAATCTTCACTCCTCAAAAGTTTGACCGACATCCCATTTCCAATCGACAGCAATCTTTGCACTCAATTTGCGATGCGGATCGTTTCTCGCCGTACAGCTCCAGGAACGTCTGATATTGTTCAAGCCTCGATTGAGCCGGGTGATGTCAATCCTTTTACTGTACACAGTGACGACTCCCGTGCAAAAGCCTTTAGTAAAGTACTTGCAAGTTTGGATTTTGAGGCTTTTGAAGAGCTTATTGTTGAGGTGTGTCAATTCCTCAATTGAATAAATGTCTCTTAATCCATAATACAGGCGAAAGAAGCTATGGGTATTGGCTCTCCCCTATCCTCAGAAGACAAAAATTATTCTAGCCAGGTCTTAAAGATTGAGCTCTCGGGACCCAAGCGGTCTCACTTTGCAATCCTCGACTTGCCAGGAATTTTCAGCTCCAGGAGAGATGGAGTGTCTAGACGAGAGATGGAAGGAGTAACACGAATGGTGACTTCTTACATGCAAAAGCCCGAAAATATCATCATGTCAGAACACCTTCAGCTTCCAAAGATACGTTCACTAACCTCTTGAGCAGTTGTGTCGCAGATGCTTCTGGCGATATTCAGAATGAGCAGATTCTTGAGCTTGCTAGCGAGATCGAGAGCTCGCGAAAAGTTGGTGTTTTCACCAAGTGTGATAAGTCGGATAACCCCAAAGATGTTAGTGATCGTTCTCAAGTTAAAATCTCGCTAACCGTAGGAATAGATTGTGAATTTGGTAAATGGCCGAAATAAATTTCAAGGAAAGCCGCTTCACTGGCATGTTGTGCAAAACGCTGGACCAAATGCCGCCGCAAACTTCGACCGCGAGCAAGCTGAGGCTGCCACATTCACTAAGTCCCCATGGACCGAAATCCCGAAAGAGCGGCGAGGAATTCCGGCTCTCAAACAGTACCTAGCAACATTGCTTTGTACAAGGATCAGAGAGGCCTTTCCCGACATGTTGAGAACGGTCACTGGTAAACTCGACGAAGAGCAGCTTCACAGAAGGTCACTTGGCGAATCTCGAGCAGATCACTCGCAACGGCTGGCACATCTTGTTGCTATCTCGCAAAAGTATCAGGACTTGGCTAAGAAGTCGTTGTCAACCCCTGACGCGCTTCCGGACGCGAAGATGAAATTGAGAGGTAAATCAAAGGCAATTACGCAAGAATACACGAAGAGTATGACTACAAACGGTCACTTCTATAACTTTCTTGAGATCGGAAAGAGCGTAGATGTTTTTATTAATGTCGACGAGGAATCTGACAGCTCTTCTGAATCTCTTCCTGTGGTAAGCTTTTCCTATACCTTGGGCCGCCAGATTTCTGTCAAGTTCGTTAACTAACACGTTCAGCCTGATTTCGGTCACACTCGTGGTAGTAAGAATGACCTGCCTACCCCAATTTCGACCCCAACCAAGAAATCTACTGCTAAAACGCAGTTCAAAACAGCTGTCCACCCCCTCTATCGAGAAATACGCACCCAACTTCGAGAGAACTTAGGCGAGGAACTCCCTGGAGTTCTCAACCCCTGCGTACTACATCCTCTATGGAGAATTCAAACTCAAAAATGGCAATCTCTAACCAGGGACCATCTTTCAAAGCTGATCACCCGCACTTCCGAAGTCTCCATCCTACTCTTCCGACAAGCCTGCAAAGAAGTTGGCGTTAGCGAACGCACCGTTTTCGGCCTGGAAAAGCAACTCGCCGGCTTCGAGCGCCAATCCCGACAAGATGTCATGAACAAACTGGACCTTCTGTGCACCCGCAACGCCAACATGGCCCTCCAAACCAACAACCCCGAATTCGACTACAAAGTCCGTAAGGCGCGCGAACTCCGCTTCTCGCAAGCCCTCGAACGCTACATCGCGCTTCACCCGCCCTCTACCTTCTCCTTCGCCAAACTCACCACCAGCAAACCCTGCGCCATTGTCGACGATGACCATATCGCCACCTTATTCAACGAACTCCACCCTAACGGCGCGCGATCTCAGAACGTGGAAGATGAGATTCATGACCTCCTGAGAGCGTACTATGAAATTACGATTCAGAATTTCATTTACGATGTCACGCATAATCTGAGTGAGCCGTTTTTGTTGGATACAAACGGGCCGTTGCTGGGGCTGAATACGGAGTTTGTGATGGGGTTGGGGGAAGATGTGGTGCTTGAGCTGGCGGGCGATGAGGAGGTTGATGTTGTGAAGAGGAGGGAGTGCGAGGGGCGGATTGGACGGTTGGAGGAGGCGGTTAGGATTGCGGGGGTGGCTTTTGGGAGGACGGGCGGGTTGATGGTGTAAGTCCGCTTGATATTGGAATTAACTGGGGATTCACGGAGCTGTCTTGGGAGGGAAAGAGTTTAGGTCCTGAGAATAGTGGTTGTGCAGGCGCTAGGGTGTAAGAGGCGTACATATATGTGATGGAGTTCATATGTCAGTTCCAAATGACCTTCCAAAGGCAGCGTCATCTTCTATGTATTCATGTGTTTTCAATCTAATGAGAAGTGACCCTTCCTCGCGGTAGACAAAATAAGTGGCAGTAAGCACGATATTTCTTCGATTAAGTTGACGAAATATCGGCATTTAGTGGATTGACTTGGAATAATATGATTTATTTCGTCAATTAGATTAAGTAAATAAGACTTCTTAAGCTCTGTTCGAAGTCGACTTTTTAAGTCCCAAAATTAGTCGGCAGGTCACTAACACTTATTTTGTCCTCCGCGAGACTAATACTCATGTCAAGGCACGTTTGAAATTCAGACTCATCTATAAAGTACTGATACGTAGGTTTCCTTGATCGTCGATATGGAGGACTGTCAATAAGCACTTATTTTAACAACCTAGCTGTAATTTATATCACTTGTGGTTATGACTGCTTCATCATAACTGATTGTCAAGTGTAAAGGCGTACTTCGTTGCCTACGTGTCTGATTTCCCTATATTCAATTTTCGTTCCTCTCTTCTCTTGAAAGGTCATGAGGCCTGGGCAATACTCCAGAATATTACCCATAGAATTGTTTACCTTCATAAGTGTTTCATCGTCTAGAGTGCTATTTTGATATACTCTTTAATAGACATAATCTCAAGACTAGTCTTGATTATAAGTTCTTAATCAAAAGTCTTTTCGTCACATAACAGTTTGATCGTGATCTGTTTCACACATTCACAGCAAGTTTGTGAGGTTACGAAAGGATTTTTAATCTTCGTTACTTATTAAACTTCGCTCATGAGAGAGCCCTACTGACGATCTCTTTTCGACTAGTGTACACAGTAGGGGTGTTTCGTTACTTGAGTATGAGTATACTACTGGGTGACCAATAGATACCTGTACTCTGGGAATTCATTGGAAGACTCAGGCGAGGAGAGATTGGTGAGTCCCCTACAAAGTGACACAACATAATATTGGGGTGCAATCACATGAGCAGTCACTCGTTCATTCATCTAGAAAAACACGACATCATAAGAATAAATTATTTCCTACTTTTCAGCTTTTCGTAACAAGAAAAATACATATATACATAATCTTCGTAACACATTATTAGCACATTTCCCTAATTCACACAGCCATAGACCACCAAGCAGCCATACCAGCCGGCACAGCGCCAAACATCAACACCCACCCAATCGCGTCCGTTCCTACAACACCCATTAGACCAAGCAGCCAGAAAATCAAACTACTTCCGACAGCCGCTACAATCTGGGGTGCCGATATCGCTAAGTTATGAATTCCAAGAATGAGCGCGGTTTGGCTCTCCGCCTCCGTGATATCATCTAGCTTTTCGATGTCTGATTTCTTAGACGATCGATCATGTCCCCGCAGCGGTTGTTGCCGGATCTTCGCGAGTTCCTCTCCAATGAGCGCGAACGGGGCCCATTGAGTGAGCGCCCACGACGTGCCCAGGACACCCGTCAGGAACGTTGCAGAGACGCTGGAGTCCGTGAGGCCGAGGAGAAGGAAGGAGAAGGCGGCAAGCAGGTGGGCGATCAGCCATGCTCTGGGTAGTGTGAGAGGCTCCGTGGTGTGAGGCAAATGGGATGGGGTTCCGGAGGCCGTTGCGACGTAGCGCGGGAGCGTGAGGCTTACGAATGTGAAGGTGCTGGCAAAGGCGAGCATGGAGACGGTGCCGAAGCGGGTGGGATCAATCGTGGTGGTACCGGTAGTGGCGGAGGTTTCCTGGCGGTATAATGCTCCGATATAACTGGAAAGAGTTAGTATAACTAGTTTCTGTATTATGTATGGTTGAGGGTTTACGTACGTGGTGATATAATACATGAAAGAAAACCAACTTAACCAGGAAAAGAATTGTACAATACAGATACTCCTGATGCGTTTCGGCATCGTTGATGCCGTTAGAAACCCCTGCTTTAATGGTCCAAATACACCAACAGACTGATTACGGTGTGCGGGTTTGTAGTCCAACTTCTTTTCATAGATAGTCATACATTGTAGCAGAACAGTGAGCACTAGACAGACACAGCACAGCACAGATAGCACTTGGAATTGAGTATTGCCCAAAAAGGGAAATATGGTAGGGAAGTTTATGAATCCGCTGCAGTATCCAAGAATACTTCCAACACCAATAACTCGGCTGGCATATGCACTTGCCTGGTGTTGTTGGTCTTCCGGACAACAATCAACGATAAGCGCTCGAATCCCACACTGAACCGGCTGCAGTGATATTTTCAGGAAGGAAATGATCATGGCGGCCACGAACTTTGTCACAGCTTTTGAATTTGGTCCCATTGGGTTGCCACCAAAGCATGAGAATAGGAATTCCACCATATTGCTCGTCCAAGGAAGGGCCACCATAAACAGGCTTGTGGCAATCGTTCCAAATACAATAAAGGTCTTCCGGCGACCCCATTGAAAGGTACAATTGTCACTTAACACACCGATGTAGGGCTGAATGAACATTCCTGACAGCGGGCCAGACAACCACACAAGTGATATGAGAGACGGACTCATGCCGAGCGAGGCAAGGTATGGCTACTAGAGGATTAGTCCTGGCTGGCCTAATCGGATTCTCCACGCTTTGACTTACAGAGCCCTGCGCCATTATTGACGTCCATATCGTTTGAAGACCTCCCATACTTATCGTCAGGCACAATAATCTGAATGGGCTTAGAGCTCGCACTGATGATTCGCTATCTTGGAGTCCTCCATGGCCGTAGACGTCAGCAGGCTTCATTGTACCAAAGTTGGGCCAATGGGAAGTTCCGCGTTGTTGACTTTGGTAACCAAGTAATGGCTGTTTGGATTCGGCAGACTCCGAATCATAACTCGTTATATCGTTCATGGCTCCTTTGGTGAATTCGTCAAGCCTCAATGGTCATTGAGTCTCGTTTTGGTGAATCAATCTGTACAAGCTCTGATAAGCTATTGAAAGGTCGTCTTCGTCGTCGTCTCCTGGCCCCAGCACATCGAAGCTACACCTAGTCAATCAATTGCAGACTTCTCAACCACCAAACTTCGTGTGCGACCTCCGCAAACAGAAAACAACGCGTTGAAGAGTCTGAAGACCAAAAGAGAAAATGGAATCCATAAACACGGCTGGGAGCTTGCTTCACATGCGGAGTAGTGATGCCCGCCATAACATGCATCTCGGATAAAGTCACGCATCTTGGACGTTGCCGTTTGTCTCTTTCGAACCTGCCCAATCAGCCCATGGGAAGATCCGCTCTCCTGCGACAAGTGGGATGGTTTGCAGCTGGGTTTATTGAGATTGTAGATGCGAGACGTCCAATTCATCGATTTAATGAGATAACTTCGGGGATTTTTGTGCGTCTATTGAACTTGGCATCGAGATGTCGTCGTTTCAACCCTCGTGATAGGCTTTGCAGCATCGCAGAGCATCCACAGGGGAATCGAGTCAGGGCCCAGGTGTGGTCCATGGGGCAGAATGAGGGGTGGCGGCGCAGCGCTTCCGTACAAGAGGGGGGCATCGTTGCATATTCAAGCTCTTGTTGGTGGCTAGAACAAACAAGCTGCAGCGAGGAAAGATTTTCGATATGTGTACTGTGCTGTACTGTATGTGTCATGTCCAAAAATGCAGGTTTATGTTGTGCGTATGGTAAGCTTCCTTGCAACAACATAAGTGGGATTCGCTTGCAGGTTAGGTAAAGGACTTCTCCTTCCTCATCCGGTGTGCCGTCGTTCAGAGCGTCAAATCGCTTGTAATTCTGGGATACGAATTAGGAAGCTATTTTTACGACAAGCGCATATTGGTGAAGCCAGTCCTAGACTCCTAGTGCTTCATCTTGTGTACTCGCTTATTCGCTTGTTGGAGTAAATAGGCACGTGAGTTTCATATATCCCCCTTCCCACGGTACAGAGTGGTCGTAATAACGGGCTGTAGATTAATTCTCGTTAGTTTCGACGGCATGTTGCCGTCTTTCTCGCAATCCTCAACATCCCGAGCTGCCACCTAACAATATACTTACTTCCTCACCATTCAGACCTCTCGAGTCAGCCTTTCTGCAGGCTAGAGTTTAGGCTCTTTCCGCATACCCCTGTGTGCCCAGACCTGAGCAGCCACAGCTCACCGTGCAGGTTGCAGACGTTCGGCTCATTAGACTCTCCGGCACTCGATTGGTTTTGTGCTATAAAGACGTGTACCGAAAACGTTGTCTTCATGGAGAGTTCTGTACGACGGCTGATAATTTGAAATTGGCTGAAGTTGTCCGCATCCGGAGTCTGGTGTCTGCTTGAGGTCATCGAGCTGCTCAATGACAGCAATACGTCTGGCCCATGTTTGGAAGGGAGTATTGGATTGGGGGCTTTAATATGTGCTCTTCTCCTTTGGTCTACATGGCAATCGTCATCACCTCACATCCACCATGATCACGCTGGTCGCTTTTACCAGATTTTGGTTGCCTAACACAAGTGTTGCCTTGGAACTAACTTCTCTGCGTTGCTAAATATGGTAGAACAAACAGGATGAGTTAGTTTCTCGCTACTCACGATCCTGCCAAGATCAGCCAGCTTCAGGAGATCAGTAGTCGAGATAGCTTCCCCTTTTGCTTGCAAGTTGGGGATAGCATCCTTAAGAGGAGACATGAATGCAAAGCAAGACGGCACGTACCCCAACATCCGTATCCTAGGAGCCATGTGGAGGATATATTATCAGCCTTGCTTTGATTCCTCGTGGTATGTAGGGATGTGTTTCGTTGCCGATTCAATAAGCTTCATTTGGTCACACGATGCAAGGAACGAAGAGGTTGAATCCTACCCAGGTTTAAAGTTGAGCCGGTCTAAATTGGTATACCCAAAGTTAGGATTGTGGTCGTAACTGTCAATTTGTGGTCCAGAAATTGCCCGAAAACGTGGGGAAGTAGGGACAATCCGTAGATCGACGCGAGCAACGGGGTTGACAAAAACTGTTGTGGCTGCGATCCCGCTCATGTATAACAGTTCTTCCGTTCAGAAAGGGACCATTTAGACCCCAAATTAGCTGCTGTGAGTGTTCCGATCTGTTCAGCCTCTCATCTTTTCTACATAAATCCCGTTACATCGCATGCAACATCCGAGGATTTGTACTTGACAGGATTGCCAAGTTTCCACGGCCCATTGTTTGACACTTTCCACGCAGTTTGAAAGTATACTTCAAGCGAAATCTGAAATGTCAACTACGGGACAGCGGAAATTGTAATATTTTAAAGTGTCGAATATTGCACATTGTGTTAAAAATAGCTGAGCGCTGAATTGCCATACACCTGAGAGGACGCATGTTCTCGGGTGTCACCACCTGAACGACGAGGGGGAAAGACCACATTGCAACCTAGCGTAACATTCTTTGGCTGGACGTCTGCATGATAGGATCTCAGCGTCTCTTATTCGATGGTGGCTTTAGACAGTAAGCACTGTGTCTCCTTCAACGATCTTTTACTAACATTCTCAGAGACACATTTAAGAACGCCTCAATCGCCACTAATAGACACGGGAAGTTCAGCAGCAAAAATGGATACAGAATCACAAGCTTGCGACCAATGCTACCGGACGAAACAGACTTGTTCGAAAAGTCTGCCGAGATGCCAACGATGTTTAGATGCTTCCAATCCATGCACTTATAGCTTTGGGAAGTTTATGGGAAAACCTAAAAGGAGTAGCAAGATACGAAGAGAGAGTTCGAGTAACGAGCTTGCGGATATCGGTAGTGGGGGCAAGTTTTTCGGACTCTTGAACTTGAAGAATAGTGAGTGGCCACTCCCTCCAACAGTCTTGTTCATAACAATTTCTAACAGTATCTATCAGCTCCAGAACACCAACGCGAATCATCAGTTACAGGTAAGAAGCTTCTCGTGCACTGAGATATAAATTGCACCCACTCTCCATCAGTTCAAATTGTCAAATTACTGGAAGCTGCGGGACAACTTGTTCGAATGTTTCTAACAATAGCAGACAACTCGTCGCCAGCTCAAAGTGTCTGGACATCCTCATCGTGGGATTTGATTCCGGAGGGATTATCATCCGATCACTCGTCACCTTCAAATCCTACATCGCCAACCAGAGCTCGCACTCACAGTACAGCAAGTGGTAGCAGCAACCGTCTGATGGCGACTCCTGCTTGTGATCAATGTTATCGATTCAAAGTAAAATGTAGCAGAGATCCAGATTGTTGCCGACGATGCGCGAATAATCGAAGTGTTTGCACTTACAGCGCTGCGGCCCCTCCTGGGAAGCCGGATACAAGATCCAAGAGTCCTGAGGAGCACAGAAAGAAGAAGGCTCGACAGGGACAAATTGATGATCCATCAGTTCTTTCGACGGATCTTAGGGGGACCAGCGTAGACTCTAGGAGCTATTCTTTCACGGATTCGCCGACTTCGCAGCATGCAGAACTTCATGTAGACGAGATGAACAATTTCTATGGTAACTTACTGACCTCACTAACAAAGAATTGTTTGCTAACAGTACTTAAAGGGTTCGATATACCGACCATAGAAACTACGCCGTATGCATTTAGCCCAGTCAGCGTGCCGCCAACACCAACAACGTGGGTCACAAACGCACCCACATTGTACGAAATAGACACGATTGGAATGAACAATGGCACTGAAAACTTCTCCCTCCCATGGCAAAACCCAGAAATCCTACACAGTCCCTTCTTCGCGAATGGAATTCCTCTCCAAAAATTCCCCCCAACATCTGCGCCTGTGATGAACCAACTTCCCACACCAACCTCACCCGCATTTCCCCGCGACAACATCCCCACAACAACCTGCGATTGTTTCTCGAGCGCCCTTAACGTCTTGAACGAGTTGAACGCCTGCGTCCAGGAGCAAATCCCGCTCAACCACCCCCAGCACCACGAATTAGCCTCACGATCTCTGGTAAACGTGCTCAACACCACAACCAACGCTTTAGAACTCTGCGAAGCAAGCACGCAATGTATCTGCTCCCACAACTCCATGACCTCCATGCTCTACGCCATGATCCTCCAGCAAATATCCGCGTGTCACGAACTGCTATCCGCGAATACCGCGTGTGATCCTAACCAGCCGTCGCGTCAAAAATCCTGGATTGCAAACGACCGCGCGCGCGCCCTAAACATCTCCAATGAGATGGAAATGCGTCTGCGCAACACGTTCGACGAGATCGAAGACCAGAGCGAGATTGTGGGAAGGAACAGCGTGATCGGATTGCTATCCACCGTACGCACGAAGTTTAGCGAAGAGATTCAGGGGCTTCATGGATAGGATTTTATGCTAGTACTTGGTTTATGAGGCTATGATTATGTTTCGATTAGGTCTGTATTATTATTAGAAGACGTACTGTATGTAGTACTGTATTATTATCACGTAGTTTGGCAGTTAAAAAATGGATTTTTTTAAGGCATGGGATTTCGCGTTTTTCAGCTCGGTTGCGGCCGATCGTGCAGTTTGCGGCAGCCAGTGTGAGTGAGATTGTGACCTTAGGATTGTGAATGTACGACCCCTTTTTTCAGACGACTGCTGAATTCAGCTTCGTTGGGAGAAAGTAAATGGTAGTCGGTTGATTCTTCCTTGATTATGCTCCTTGTGCTGTAGGGACGGGATGGAAGAGTGGAAGGAGTTGATCCTCGCTTAAACGCACTTTGTAACTGATTGTGTTCAGCCAGCCCGTAGCTGAGAAAAAGGCCGTTGGTATTTCTTGAAGCGGTGTGAATGATCCCCCTTGAAAATGAATTAAAATTATATCGATCCTTTCAAAAAGTACCGCTCGATGAGCAGATTTTATTCGACGGTAGATATTTGAAGAAAAGCCCTGACGGATCAGTGTGGCGGTTGAAAACTTTCTAGAACTTCCAAAACGTTTACCCACCGTTAGGGCTTGCAGACGGCTGGTGAAATTACCAAGGTACATGAAGTGCAATCCTTCGCTCACCGTAAAAATTTCCGCAAACATGCCCCTTTCGACGTACAGTCTGTGTTGTGTTGTTCGTTGTTGTCAAGGATCAAAAGCTATATTTAGAAGCGGCCATCGTGAGAATTAAGTGAACAGCAACTGATGCAGCTATGCAAGTACGGAGGACGTGGTCAAAAGTATCCGGGCTTTTGCCAAGACTCGCTTAAGATTTGCCGGCTTTCCGTATCAAAAAAATGAAAAATAAGGCCTGTTTCGACGCAGGTTAAGGAATACGAAAGAAAAAACTCCCAAAAATAGAAATCCGAGAACGGAATAACGTATTTCCGAATACGGGAATTGAACCCGTGGCTCCTGGAAGTTTCAGATTCGGGTGAATTGTGAAAACCAGAAATGTTTACCACTACACCAATTCGGAGGTGAGTTGAAGCTGAGTTAGCTTATTTTAGATTATATTGTCTGCAGTAAAATAAGTAAGCGAAGCAAATTACTGCCCCGTGATTGGTCAAGGGGATCTACCCGACCAGTCGACCTTGCAGCTCATCTTCGTTTGCTTCTTCTCGTCCTTCATTATCAACACTCATCGAAATCTTCATATCTTGCTCATCTGTATTTTCTGCGAGCGTTCTATCCGTAAGTTTGCGGTTTTCCGACTCGCAGATTTTCCGTTATGTATGATTCTTCTTTGATCTGTCGAAAAATACGAGGGATCCGCGGCAAACAAAACAACACCTCATCTTGAACGTCAATATCAGCGCAAGTCTTGAACCCCCGAGGCAAGCTGGATAATTTGATGTCGAGACCGGAAAACTCGTGTCTCAGGATCTTTGCTTCCGTTAATCTTTTTCATCACACGTCGAGTTGTGTAAAATCTTATTTTTCACGTGAAGGAAATCCTCACTCGTCGCGAGCAGACATCTTTTCCTACTCCTCTTCGATCATGGCTAAGACACTCGCTTATTTCTTTCCTTAGACTGAGTCAAAAAATTCCTCTACTGGAGCTGTAGACTTTGTTATATTCAAAAGGTCGAGTACCCCTAATTGATTGAGGAGACTTGACCTCTTGATTCCTGTCATTACCAACTCCGCCAGGCAAAACAGTGCCTCGATAATGGTCGCATCTACTTCCTGGTCGAACTAACAACAGAGTGAAGTCAAATTATTAGCAGCATTGCGATGGGCTTGCCAAACCTGATTGCTCCGTGGTACGCATTTCGATTGCGACTGCCAACTGCTGTGCGTTCAATTGAGGAAGGCGCAATGAGCCGGTTCACGGAACCGACCATTGTACTGATACAATTTTCCAAGCAGCCTCAGATCATCATCTGTATCATAATATGCACTCTATTTATTGACCGCTAAGCTATTGCTTCATTGTATACAATCATTTCTATACCAGCTCCTGTAAGTTTGCTTTCGAGAAGCTATTCTGCGTTCTACTAATAATATACCCAACTAGATATCCTTTTGAACCCCCATTCCTCGCACTGGCACTATGGCCGAACCTTCTCAGTCTGACGACGAGGACATTCTGAACTTGTGTACGCTTGACCTATTCGGAGAACTCCCAAACCAGGATGAAGAGCTGTTCACCCAACTTCGTTGCTCGATATTCGCGGATATGACTATTTGTGACATATTTCAAGAGCTCGCAGATCAGCATGAAGAGCTGTCTGTCCAACCTCGTTACTCAGAATTTCAGTATTTCCACCTATTGCCGGCAGAGCTACGTGTACAAATATGGGAAAAGTCGATGGAAAGACAATCTCGTACTTTTGTGTTTCTTACCGAAGGACCCAAGTTATGGGCGGATTTCCACCATTACTATCGACCACCAGCAGCGCACGCGATAAACCGGGAAAGCAGAGTGGAGGTTTTCAGACGATTTCTGGTTTTCCCACAAGTCTACTACGACACGAGAAAGGCCAATTCGTTTGGATATGGGTATGAGCTGGTGAAAAAATACATCTCCATCCGTCCAGATATCGATATTTTGCGAATGACAATGAATCCGTTTGCCTTTGACAGCCTCAGGAGGCGTAATCAACCATCTCCGGTATGCAGCTTCTTATTTATGCTTTACTCCCTGTTCTATTTTGAGGACTGACTATTAATTACCTTCGCAGGAATCTCCATATAAAGTGAGCGTAGACTGGCCGACAATTTTCAGGAGAATACAGAATTTGGAAATCGAGGGCGAGGTCCTGAGGGCTCATAAGGACCTGATCCTTCGTGCACTGAAGTCCGGAGCCTTCCAGCAGTTTGATAGTCTTAGAAAAGTTAAGGTCATCAAGCACGAGGTTACTTTCCTGTCTAAACCGCAAGACCCTGAAGAAATTAATGAGGCATACGCTACAATATTCGACGCATTCAACGACTACTTCCAGTGGAGACATTTGGTCAGCTCCTGCACCATCAAACCTCCGAAAATTGAAATAATTGAGAACAAGAGCTAATGGTGAACTAAGGTATTGTATGGACGAGCCTGGAGCTGAAGAGGAACTATCAGCCCAAAAAACTATGGGATGAGTTCTAAGCGACGAAACACTCACTAACAGCACCCCGCGTGGTCGCTGCAAGCGTATTTGTATACCGTTCTTTTAAGAAACACACTGAATGAACGTTTGTTACACCACTCAGTAGTTGCACGACTCGTAAGCAATCGTTCCTCAGTGTGATCGATCATCCTTCAGAGTAACACTGACCGCTCTTCAAGTGAAGATCGGTATACCTTCCAAAGTTCTCTTAACAGAGAGGTTCATTCCCACACGTTTCACAATCATCTATTGATGAGTTTCTAGGCCTGGTAACCCAGGAACCATGTACGGCTTATTTGCATTATACACTACGCTTTCATCCTTCACATGATAATATCATTCCTCGAATCTTGCACCGGTACACCGCTTCAATAGTTGTTGGAGGGTCACGTTATTTATTCAAGCTACTTTCACTTCGGACCGATTTCCCCTCTTGTATTTTACGGTTCTGCCGTCTCAAGGCGTGAGTCGTGAGGCGATGGCTGAAATGGCGGACAGCAATGCGGGGTACAGTATCATTCCCAACCCAATTTTTGGACACCCTTTTTTCGGGACGTTCTTGGTTGGGAAAGATACGGCACGATCAACGCAAGGTGGGGCAGTTGTACACATTTGATTCTCACAAACTACGGGGCCTCAGACCGTTTCTTACACTTTCGCGGTTGCCTTATTCCTACTTCAAACTCAAAGAAATGAAAGTAAAAGGCAAATAAATTTGGCAAAGCAGAGTCGTACGAGTAAGCGGAAAAGCTTCTCCTGACACAGGAGAAAAACTTTAGGAAATTTGCGATATGCTCAGACGGGCAATCCCCATGCGAGCGAACAAGCAAAGAGGGTTTCGCTTGCCCAACCGCCAAGGGACACCCGACTCTTGCTAGACACAATGAAAGGGATCACGAAACCAAGCAAAGCGTAAATGCTTCAAATAGGTTGGGGGGGTTCAATGGTGAAAGCGTCAAGATTTTGTCTGCACTGCTCATTCAACAATTGATATGATTGAATAATGCAGTGTCTCTTCAGAAGCAGAGCCAAGGCCATACGAGAAAACCTGGAGGCAAGAAGACGTCATGCTCAAGCTTCAACAGATGCCTGCACTTTCGCTGGCGGTCATGGTGCTCGGCTACTGATTCGGTCGGCTCAACCATAGATGCCAGGACTGCAGAAGTCGGTACAGTACAGTGCAAAAACAAGTGAAAGACTTTGCACAGACAAATCACAGACCCAGCTGAAGCGGCAGATGGTCGAGGTCAGAAATGGTGCGAGTCGGAAAGACACATGGTGAGGTATGACATGCGCAGAGCAAGAATCTGGAGAAAAACGTCTGTGACCTTTTGCCCAACCCCGACTCCTCGCCTGTGGTGGATCCAAAGAAGGGGCGGCCTGGCAGCCGTTATTGTGCTCCAGTGATTGAATAACTTGCGGCTACATCAAGCTTAAGAGAGAAAGAGAAATCTGGACTTGTTGATTACCATGTCCATCATTATTTGAAAATATCTGCTTCGCCTCAGTGTGCGCAGAAAGTCGGCCTCTGGCCTCTCGGTGCTGTCAATAGTTCATACCGACTCGATCGTGTTTTTCCTCCTAACCTAGCGAGCCGTCGAAAAGTTGGGGTAGATCTAAACCCAAAACTGCAACAGCACCCGCGGACTAAAAACATCTCGTTGCGGTCCACCACCTGGACCAGGTGAGACCTGGACTAAGCAATTTGGGCGAAGTCTTGTCTTTGGAGATCGACTAGAGAGCGGTGTTCTCTCCAGATCCGCGTCTTTCATCTTCTTTAACATTCATTTTCGCCATGAAACGCCTTTGCGAGAGAATGCATCCCATCCGCCACTCGTAGAACATATCCGCGCTCGTACGAAAGAGAGGGAAGGTGCGATTGAATGAACCGGCAGCATCGCGCGATTGGACTTGATTATCGACAGGAGGATTGAGGAGTCTCTTCGAAGTGAAGCATTGGATATTACGCATTGGAATTCATGGTCGAATGAACGAGTTTTATGGCAAACATGACCTAATCGCTACCGAGAGACATCCAGACGTACGACTTCAGACATTGAGGAGCCAAGATGTCGTCAGATCTCAAGAGAGGGTCTTCAAGCAAGACTGTCTTTGTTGTAACAACCATCACCTTCGTATTGGCGACAGTTTTTGTCGTTGGACGGCTCATCAGTCGTTTTGTGATTTTGAAGAATCGAACGGCGGATGATTGGTGTATAATTTTGGCATGGGTGAGTCCGGGACGACTGTGTGCGTAAAGGATTGTAGACGCATTTGCTAACCATTTGCAAGTTTATTGCGTTTGGTTTATCATTTGCGATCGATTTCGGAACTTCGAAAGGTTTAGGAAGACATGATATCGATATACCTCACGACTGGCTCAATGCCTTGCGACAGTCCGAATATGCATTTACCATACTCTATGTAAGCTTGGCCAAGTACGTTTCTTTCATGTCGCTAACAAATTTTCAGAATCCTGCCCTCATGGCCACCAAGACTTCGATTCTCATATTCTACCTTCGCATGTCGCGAAACACGCAAAACATTCTTCGAATCGCTTCATATGTCACCCTGGGAATCGTCAATGTAGCTGGCGTTGTTCTAACGTTCATGAACGCCTTCCAATGCTCTCCTATAAGGGCCGCGTATGACCCCTTTGTGTCCGGAAACACCAAATGCATATCGATTGTCACTCTATACTTATGCTCTGCGCCTGTCAATATCATTACCGATCTCGCCATTTTGGTCTTGCCCATTCCGGTGCTAACAGGTATGCGACTACCTCAGAGGCAGAAAACTGTTTTAGTTTTCACGTTTGCACTCGGTATCTTCGTCACCATCATCGACGTTGTTCGCATTTATTATCTTCAGCAAGCAGCCTCTGATCAGATCAAGGCATACGATAGATTGGGAACCTCGGTGGATTTTGCTTACAGCGCTGCTACAGCATTTCTATGGTCTGCTGTCGAAGTTAATGTGGGCATTATTTGTGCTTGTATTCCAACCATGAAGCCATTGATAAAGAGAATTCTCCCGGCGATGATCACAGATCCATTGAGAACTCGAGGAAGTAAGAGCGATTCATCATCCTCTCATATCAACCACTCACCCCATGATCGATTACCATCTATCGCCGAACCAATTCCAGCTCCAGAACCAGCATATTCTGCAAGTCCTATGCCGCATATGACGGACTTCGGTAACTCAGAGCAAGGTGCTGGAAATGGCCAACCTCACGAGATGGATATGATGGACTTTTTGACCACGCCAGATATGGTACAATCATCCATGACGAGAACTCACACAGCTCGAACGACAGCAACAGATAACACGGTCTATTTCGGATTTGTAAACATGAGACGTCCGAAAAGTATGCTAAAAGCAAAGGGCTGGGAGTCATTCAAATACTGCACAACTGTCACGGTTCTCTTCTTTTTATGGGGATTTTCATATGGACTTCTGAACACGTTAAACAATCAAATTGCCCGAATTGCTGGCCAATCAGTTAGTCAGACGGTGGGCCTTTCTGCGGCATACTTTGGGGCGTACTTCCTTGGTGCGATGACCTTAGGACAATACGTACTCAGGAACTGCGGTTTCAAAGCCACATTCATTTCCGGACTGTGCATTTACGGAACTGGCACTTTGATGTTTTGGCCATCTGCCGTCCTTACCTCCTTTCCAGGATTCATCATCTCAAATTTCGTCGTAGGATTTGGACTGTCTGTTTTGGAAACCGCAGCAAACCCATTCATCGCCCTGTGTGGACCAAGTTCATCATCCGAATTTCGCCTTCTGATGGCACAAGGTGTTCAAGGTGTTGGTAGCATCTTGAGCCAGCTTTTGGCTGAAAAAGCTCTGTTTAATGGCATCGTTTCATCTCCCAGCTTGATCGATGTCCAATGGACGTATCTTGCCATCGCCTTGTTCGATGTTTGTCTCGCCCTCTTGTTCTACTATATGCCTCTACCCGAGGCGAACGATCAAGACCTTCAAATGCAGTCTGATGATCTAGAGGTCTGGCACTACGACACTATATTCTCACCCAAAATCCGTCTCATTTATTTCAGCATCGGAGCAGCAGTCTTTGCTCAGTTTTGTTACGTTGCGGCACAAGAAAGCATGTCAGTCTGGATTGGCCAGCTTCTCAGCGAGCTGGCACCTCGTGGAAGTGCAACACTTAGTAACGACAACGTTGTACTTGTCGGTCACACTACATTTACCGCGGGAAGATTTCTTTTCGGTGCCCTCTGCCTGATCATTCGTCCACGTATCCTTCTCTTGGTCGTTTTCGCTGGATGTATTATTTTTGCAACGTTAACCATGGCCGTCCACACCGACGCGAATGGTATCTCAGCGTTCGCGATCATGCTATTCTTTTTCGAAGGTCCAATCTTTCCTATGGTTTTCGCAATCGGCCTTCGTGGCATGGGTAGACGTACCAAGATCGCAGCAGCTGGCCTCACCGCCGCGGCAGCTGGTGGCTCCATCTTCCCCTTCGTCATGTTGGCCATCCAGCGCCTTCAACACCATACAACTCAATACTCGTACTGCGTCGTCATCGCTCTCTTCGCCGCCGGCATCTTCTACCCAATCTATCTGAACATGGCTCCCAAAGCTAGAAATCAAGTCGATCCAAGACCTATGGTTGCGGGCCCGCCGATCCAGAAGATTGGACGCAAGCTCAGCATCATCGTTAATAAACTTGGGAGCGTGGGAAATGGAAAAGGGAGTCCCGGTCTCCCGATCGTTGAACACCGGGAACGATCTCGACAGAGGGAGAGTTTGGGGAGTGAGGTTGGGTCGGTGGAGTGATTCTGTTTGAGCTTGGCGCTTGGGGGTTGATATCTTAGCAGCATTGGGACGGTGTTCATTGTGGTTCTTTTTCTTTTGTCTGGGATGATTGGTACGCCTCTCTGTTCTGTCGATACTTCGGGGCTATGTGTATATATGGGTTGGGGTTGGATTGTACTACACTAGGCATAAATGGGTGGAATTGGAATGGATTTGCATTGTATGCGGCACAATTGCTCGGTACACATGGGTGGAATAGGGTTGGGTTGCATTGGAATTTTATGGATAGGATTGGATGCAATTATCTTTGCATGGAATGGAAAATGGATGGGGATTGGAAAAGATGGTTACGGCCTCGTGGTCATTGGAATACCCGCGTGTAGTCCGCGCACTGAAACAATTTTATTATTCTCTTCAAATCTGACTGTTATTCTTTAAGTTGACTGAACCCATGTATACATGAAACAATTGAATCTTCAAACATCACCAATAAATCGGTGTAACTAGAATTGCACAACCTTGCCCCGAGCTTGCCTCCAAGACCGAAGCCCAATTCAACCACTCGGAAACAGTACTGCCGTTGCCGTTCGATACAGAGAAACAAAGGAATATCACAATTTTCCTATTGGCTATTAAACCAGATCTTTTACTAGCTTCTCACTGCCTAATGCCAATACCACGCTGGTGTTGTTGAATTGGTACTGGTGATGTCAGTAGCCCAGTATTGGTCCCTCGGGGGGTTTTTTCACGTCATGAAATAAGGTTAGCCACATTTCTGCGCGGGCAGGGCAGGGCACGCATCGACCGATCTGTGTTTATTCCCCGTGCGTGTTTTGTTTTGTTTCGGGGGATACAAAAGAAATGTAGTACGGGAATGATGAATATGTTCCACTGAAAAGCGCAGTCTTTTGAACAATTCAAATAAGTGATTCCATAAAGCTGCATCTCTCGTGTGAACCAAGAGAATTTGAGTGATTCTGATATGCTGGCTGACCCCCTCAAACACGCACGAGATGGTGGCGGACAGGGCTTCGCCTCGCTGCCAATACCTTGGCTGCACGGCTTCCATCTCCCGGGCATGAAAGCTGCTCGAGCTGGCGAATCACAGGGAGCGGTGCGCTAGCGAAGCAGGTTTCTGGGCTGAGCGCGATGAGGTATATTTGATGGAGCCCTTTCCCCACAGTTGAGTTTATATCAGATTCGGATTCCCGTTCTGTCGCTGCATAAACACCATCTACAAACACGAAAATCAGAGTTTGTGCTAAGCGTCGATATTGAATTGGAAATGGCACCATTAGCACGCGCAATCGTCGAGAAAGCCTCAGAGCTAGTATCAAGAGAACTCGTCAAGAGAAGAACCTGCTACCGCACTCGCTATGGGTAACTCCTCCCTTCCCTCCTCTTCCTCCCCTTCCTCATCCTCACTAACAATCCTCAGCTACACCCAAGCCTACCGCTGCAGCAACAGCGCCTGGTCGCGTTTCGGCCGCTGGATCCTCGCCGGCGTCCTCATCTTGATCGGCCTCATCCTGCTCCTCATGATCCTCTGTCTGTCCCGCCGTCGCAAGCGTCGCGCTGCCAAATACGCAACCCAGCCTGCTACCACGTATAACGCGCCGCCGCAGACCACTTACAATAATACCGGCTACGACCAGAATGCTGGCTATGGAAATCAGCAGTATGCGCCCCCGGCTGGAGCGCCGCCGCCGAATTATGGCGGGAATGAGGGTTATTATAATCAGGGTGGTGTGAGTCAGCCGGGGAATACGTATCAGCCGCAGTATAAGTAGGGGGGGGATGTGTATTTAGGATGGGAAGTGAGGGGGATTGTATATTAGAGCGTGGAGTTTGATGATGAATTTTTTTACGGCCTATTTCACGTCGATATACATATATATTTTCAATGATAATATTTCAATTCTAAGAAGATCGTTATTTGAATGTGATGGAGAATGTATTGGTTGAATGGTGATTGTGTTGAGGTGATTTTTCGTGATGTCATATCTTGCCAAGTTTGGCTTGGGATTTCCTTGGTGCTGGTTCGGGGGTAGGATCTACATGCGATTCTTTGGGTTGAAAGAATCCAAGGTTTGACGTACAATGGTGACATGCCTGATTCTCAGAGGATAGTTATCTGTGTCTATTCGATGCAGCTGTATTTCTCGTGCATGCGATACTTACTGACCTACTTTGAATCTCTATTCGTAAATAAAGATCACGAGAACAGTAATGGAGAGTTGTCATTTGCATCCTAGAGAGAGAAGGACTTTCCTTGGAGAGAGAGTAGTGTAGTTTGCGGATATCTCTAGAAAAGAGTGTCATTCAAGACATTTCTTTCCGATTTTCTACTTTTACAAATGTCCAAACCTGTAATACACAAGGGGCTATCTAGAGTCATCGGAAGCAGCGTAAACAGGCTTCTGAATATGCTGAGTAGAGCTGCACTTTATAGACAGAACCATCCCATCGACGTCCACATCACAGAATCTAGAGCCCAAATTCTAGATCAGGAAATTTAAGTCGCTTGTTTTGAGGCAGGCATCATATCGTGGACATCTAACAGGACGGAGAACTTCCTCTGTATTTTGCCCTCTAATGATTTCCTCATCCTGTAGAAGGCTCGTTGTGGGATCTAGAAAGGGGTCGGCTCAAACTGAAACGGGGAGGATTACGTCTTGACACTCTGATCAAAAGAATTGCGACAGGATTTGGAACGGTTATGGTGTTTGAAATCTTGGTCTTCGATTTAATTCGGTAATGTAGTAGACATTTGGTTTAGATATCATGTTGTCTGTGTAGATCATCTTTAATTTATTTGTTAGACTTGTAGATTTTGAGAGTTCAATGAGAAAGGCGAATCTGATATAAACCCAAGAAGACCTGTCGATGCTCCTGGCATGAAGTTGAAATGGTAGTTTCAAACGGTTCACGATTTTTGGTCTCTTGTATACTCATGTAGTAAAGGCAGTGCTCTATCACATCTGCTCATCTTAATCTATATTGTAACTTGTAGACTCTAAGTGCATTACTTTCACAAACCCAACCATCACCGTGAATACCTCCTCATCTATCGACAAAATCACAAAACTGTAACTCAGCTAGAACCTATAGTACCATACTTTGATCAGAGGTATATATCAAAGCAATCAAGAAAACGAATGACTCCTGTCTGCCCACACTTCTTCGGTCTACCTACATGAAGTAGTGAGTTTGTTGAATCTACTTGTGAAAGTTTCATTACGAATTTTCTCAAAAACTCACCATCCAGAGCTTGTGTTTATCGTGAGACCTACACTCCAGGTTGGCGTTACATCTGATGTCAGAAAAGACGGCTGCATTGTCTTAAATTATGCCATAATAATGAGAGTCAGTTGCCGAACTTTCTTGAGATCTGGGAGTGAAAGTCTGACAACGACTCTCTCAGCTGCGAGAACGATGGTTAGGTCGTGGCACTAGATCTGGTATGGTTGCACATATGATGTGTCGGTTTACTTGTATATAGGTGAGGGATTGTGAGCTACATACTAGAATATGCCTGCGGTATAAGAACAGCTTGTTCAAAAATGTATGGTGAGAGCCTGTCATCACAGGAAGTCAAGCTACTGTATTTTCAAGAGATTGTTTCAAAATTGTTAATCCATCGCAAAGAGCGCGCGCTGAATATATAGATACTAGGCTCAATTGGTTCGACTGCTGGACAGTCCGTCGTTAGTTGACTCTTCATAATCTCAAGTATAAATCCCTATGCAAATCAACTCATTACTAAAGTATTGTCTCCGAGTGACACATTTTGGAACTCGCCTTCCACCATTCAAAGAACCTCAATGTTTACATTCGCTTCTCTCACAACTGCGGACATACCTCCCTTCACGACGACTCTCTAAAGGAGCTTAGCAATTATTATATAACAGCACAAAATTTCCGACCAGAACAAGTCGTGTTAACTCCCATCTGGTAGTAAGGACCAAAGGCAGGGTCTTCCCGCGAAAGTCATCGTAATAATAATTCTGGTGGGCCTTACGACCAGAAGAAGTCTTGTCAAGTGCATTTTCAAGCTATCAGGAAACGAATGATCTTGCAGTATCAAACTCTGTATTCTAGATAAGTCTCAACTTGCACGTACAAGAAACACAAGAAACACAAGAATTTCCCACTTGATTGTTCCTTTCATTGAACACCACTGATCTGATACATCCATCTAAAGCAAACGTTTGTAGGAATTAATCCGATAATGTGTTTGGAACAGCACGATATATCGGTTACAGGGTTTCTTGTTTTTTTACTTGAAAAAGCGTGTACAAGATTGTCTCAAGATGGAAAATGATGAGTAGCCTTGTAATATCACTACTCGGCATTCTTGGACAAGTCTCGAATTGCAATTATCAAAATCTCAAGAATAACAAGCTTTACTTCTGCTTTTCTAGACATTGCACGTATATCGAACCCATTTCTCGACTCCTCTATCAAGCATTTGCCGATAATCAACACGGAATTGTAAAGTGAAATACAAGTAAAACTTTTAAAATATAAGGAGGCTCATAGAGATGTTTTCCAGGATCGTCACTGTATAACGACTCACGAGTCACTTGTTAATGTCATCATTAAATTTATTGCTGAATGACGGATATATATTCGACGATCTATCTGACATGTGTCCATGCTAGGTCTACAGCAGTTCCCATTGATACTTCGATGAATAATCGAGACCTTTTCTCGGCGAACTTTTGCGGATAAGTAAGCTTGTTTGAGAAGAGGTTATGAAGGCTTCGAGACTTTTTATACTGTATATGATATGCCAATCCTCATTACTTGCAGCAAAATAACCACTCTACTGGTTTGTTGCTAGACTGATGGAATATTTCTGGTATAGTAGCAAAATGATACTTTTAACCTCGTTGGGTCACGTTTCCATAATGCGCTTAACTAAATGTAAGTTACAGTATTGTCTCCTTACGCTTAAGAAGGCTTTTCAGATAGACTTTTAGGAAGTGCTTTTTCTCATGTGACTTTAGTTGAAGGGGAACCCGTTAGTCATACAACCGGACAGTAGGAAGCAATATCTTATGTTAAGGCTTAGTACTAGGTCAGAAGATGTCAATATCGAACGCTTCTTTAGTCAAATGTGAAAGTAGTAGATCCATACCAGCAGATTACAGGAATATTTATACCGACGATCTAATATCATCCGAGTTTGAAACCACACAACTGACCTTGTACTTCAGACCATCCATTCTAGATACTGATGCCAGCAACTACTACCTTACAGCAAACGAGAAGAACCACCACACAACCTTACATCCTCACAACACACAGCCCCTACCTCAATCCTGAACCCTCATACTTAAGCTAAGCCCAATAACCGCACCACAACCACGAGAGAAGCAACGGTCGCCCAACGTAGTATCATACCCCCTGCTGTGAACACGCCCGAGCCGCACGCGGCGCAAAGCTATCTCCGCTTCTCGAGCAAGTAGTCAATTCGTGGGGTAAGTCCATTGGGTTTGAGTGATGGGGAGGGATGTGAAGGATGACATATGTAGGTTGTGAAGGAATGGGTGGTGGTATGTTAAATGAAGATGGTGGATGCTTGAGAGGAGACATGAATGAGCCTTTGGGTGTCACCGAGTTTCAAGCCTAGACGAAAATTGATGGTTTGATGCTGAGAAGGAATGACTTACGAAAGGCAAGTGTAAGGCAACTAGTGAGTCATGGAATTTAAGAATTTGAAATCTATGTCTCGTTAAAAGGTTATTACAACCAACGAAAAGGAAAAAACCACAAGGCGTCTATATCGTATCTATGTCTACGGTATCAATATAAGTACACCTCCCACTCCAATGCCAAATCGCTGTACCCAAGCTCAAAATCCAACTCCTAATAAACAAAAAATTCCATCATGGTATCAAGCTTCACGCCAATCTATCAAAGCGTAGATTTCCTACATGAGACAGTCAATGACTGTGGCAACCTTGTCAAACGCCATCCTCAAACCCTGGAACCATTATTCAAAGGCATCTTACTCAACTCCACGTTCGTCATAGGACTCTCCTCATCAGTCATGCTAACAGCCTTGTGACTCTTCTTCGTCCTGAAATTGAAGTTGAGTTCGTGCCATACACCCTGGAAAGCGACCGCGGGATGGAAGACAGAGAGACCGCCTGTAGCAAGAACGATCATGACACCTTCGAGGACCATGAAGAGGGCTTCGTCGCCGGTGAAGAGGTCGCTATTGAAGCCGCCTGAGAGCTCGACGCAGCGATAGAGAGATCGGATGAGGATTGTGATGCAGGCTACGAAGAGTGCTGGGATGGACGTTAGCTGAGGTGTGAGGGTCTGGGGATGTGGATCCTACCAACGAGGAAGCCTTTGAAGAGGAGAGACGAGGTGATGGCAGTATAGCGCTCGTTACGGCTTCCTCTGCCCCTTAAGACACGGAGTGCGAATTCGCCGCAGCAGATCCCAAACAATGCCAAAGAGACGACTTGGAAGATGAGGCCAGCCATCATGATATTTTTACCCAGATCGCTGCTCTTCTTTGTATCGGCGGAAGCGGCAATACCACCACCAAGACCTTGCAATACTAGGCAAATGAAATCACAAGTGACAAAGACGATTGTGTAAGTGCGAGGCTTGAAACGGCTAAGATGTTCGCCATAAACGGAGATGATTCTGGCGAGACATAGATAGACGCTGTAGAAAGATTAGCTTGTATATAATAAACGAAAGGATAGAACGGACCCAGCAGTGATAAAAGCTGGCGCGATCGTCAGCACAACAAGAGACATAAGAAACCAGTCGCCGTTGAAAGGGTCATCGTGCATTAGGACTCGAGCAATATATCCAACGCACTCAAGCACTAAGCCCATACACAAAGCTGTCATGAAGCCCCATGTCTTGTGCTTGATCCCTAAGAATAACTGTACGATAATGAAGAGACCGAAGAGACCTGCAAATATGGCGTTTCCAGGAATGGTCGGTAAGTACATGAAATTCGCAAGTGTTAAATCGCAAGTTTCGATTGTACATAACTCAGGAAACAAGATCAAGGTGATATTTCCAACATAATTCGTGTCGCCTGGGCCATCTCCCCTTGAAGTGCGGTTTGCGAACGGAATCGTATCGTTCTGGCCTGGTCGAGACATGATGACAGTAAGGAGAAAAGAGGCTGGAGGATGTGTTGTCTAATTGGAGAAGTCGAAGCTGGAGAGGTAGGAAAGTGTTAAGAGAAATGACAAGACTTCCGGCTAAGAGTGAGAGTGTTCAAATGGTATGATACAGAAATTAAAGCAGATGAGATGAGACATGACTTAACCTTATATTTTGAACGTGGAGGGCAGTGTTATTATGAAAGACGGGGATAGTTAGTTGCGTGGCATGCGTACTCAATGTCGGCAAGTCGGAGGCTGTGATCGCGGTGCGAAGACGCACGACAACGACTCGACCAATAAATAGGCATAAAACGCTGACAAAGAGAGGATTTATTCGAAGAATCGAGCCGTCCTGTGGTGAGATTGCACCAGTGCGCAAAACTTCCAGGGGCTCAAGCGAAGTAGCCTGACTGCGGCTCAGTTCCTAACCAGTAACGACAACAAAGTCTTGGTATAATTGGGGCAGCAGTCCTTGATCTAGAGGCACAGCAGGAGAGATGACGAACTAGGGTATGTTCCCAAGAGACAGTGACAGCTAAGATACTTCCTAGTCCATGCTTCTCCAACGTGGATCGTTGCTTGCGGATGTTTCAGAGCCTCGTTTCTGTACGAGTAAGGGACTACTTCTGGTAATCGTATCGATTAGACAACCCAGAACGGAACGTGGTTCGAGGTCCTAGGATCGTGTATTATTCTAAACTGAGCATGGCATACTCCAAGGCTGATCTCAACTTGGGATGAACTTTGTGGATGTACTCTGAAGATATAAAGGGAAAGTAAAACGATTGGACGAAACATACCATTCCAAGGTTCCCTTTATGTAATTCCCAAATGAATGAAGAAAAGCCTTCCAATGACATATAGCAAATGTGAAAAGCAAAACCCAAAATGGGGAGGATTTAGTAATCGATGTATTCCTTAATCGGGCCCCATACAATCACGTATAGTGGTGGATGACTTCCCTGCAACTCAACCCCAAATATAAAGTGTGAACCTTATCTTGTATCTCTTTTAGCGTGATGTAACCCATTTGTTGGTGCCTGACGTGAGTACCTGGACAATCGACGACTGGGGAATGTCACACAGGGTAGGTAGAGGAGTAACGCCCTACGAAATTGCATTCAAGTCCAAGAGGTTTGCGCCGTTGGCGATCAACACGATATCCGACTCAGCATACGTGAAGTCGTTCCTGCAACCAATCGCAGTTCTCTCTGGCTTCCGTCAACCAGAATCAACAAGACCTCATTTGGATGTTGGTGAAAGTGGGATCAAAGACTCCTTAGCAAAGGGGCAGTGCTGCAAAGTGATTGGAAGTAACTTTTGTATCACTCTATCGTGGTTGAATGATCGTATACGATATACGTCGGTTTGAGATAGTACTAAGAACGGAGTGTTGACAATAGTTTTGGAACGATGTGGATATCAAACGTTAATTTGTGCATTTTGAAAACGTACGCATGAAGTAGTTTGAATTCCAAAGACCGCGGATACCGAGAAAGAAACTGACCGCGGAATCCGATTCGCAATACCCGAATATCGACCGGCGCTTAAGTAAGCGACCTCCACTGCTCCACTTCGTCACTTCGTATGGATTCGCAAGTTCACAAGGGTCAATTGACGATAGTTTCCAGTCTCGCTTCACTTCGGGGAATGTCACAGATATTCAGCCTTGCCCTTCTGCTTTAATCTGACTACCTGATCCGTCTCATCTTACCCGAAAGTTACGAAAATATGGCAGACGTAGATCCAGCAGCTGCGAGAGCGGCCGAACAAGCCAGAATTCGAAAAGAGAAGAGAGAAGCAAAGATAAAAGCTGGGGGGTCTGCGAGGTTGAACAAAATCACCGGGCTTGGTGGAGGTATTCAAAGAGGTATGTTCAGGCAATGTGAATATAGAGAATTCTTCTCTAACAATACCTACCGTTAGATGCACCAAAACCACCTCCTTCCGAACAGCATGGCGATCCAGAAGAAGTAGATATATCAGAACACTACTACCAACCCGCCAAAAACGGCTTTCGAAACAATGGCCAGCCTGTCAACCCAGAAAGATTTGCAGAAGACTACAACGCAGCTCAACAGCGAGCCGGTCCAGGACCACAAATGACCGACGACCAGCTCCGACAGATGATGTTAGGTTTCGACCCATCAGGGCCACCACCACAAGGAGGAGCTCAAAACCCGTTCGCCGGGTTCCCAGGAATGGGCTCTATGCCTGGGATGGAGGGAATGGGCGGTGGTGCAGGAGGACCTCCAGCAGATGACCCGATGATGGCAATGTTACAGCAGATGATGGGTGGAATTCCCGGCGAAGGTGCGGGCGGTATGCCTTCATTCCCGGGAATGCCAGGACAAGCTGTTGCGGCTCCAGATCCCTATGCATACGTATGGCGGCTCGTTCATGCAGTTTTTGCTCTTGGACTGGGAATCTATATCGCTTTCACCACTACGTTCACAGGCACACTGGCTGAGCGCCAACGGAGCGCTCTATCGTACAACACAGAAAGTGACAAACTTAGTCCCGGGAGCGTACATTTCTTCTGGATATTTGCAACCGCAGAGTTGATATTACAATCTAGTCGCTTCTTTTTGGAGAAAGGAGGGGTTCAGCCAACGGGGATGATGGCAACTGTTAACCAATTCTTACCGCCAGCTTGGAAGAATTACTTGTCGTTGTTCCTACGGTATGCTAGGATCTGGACCACAGTGACGGCGGATGCTGTGGCCTGCGTCTTTATTCTGGGAGTTTGTGTCTGGCTCAGAGGAGGCCAAGTTGCTTGATAGGATAAGATAGCACAGCGACCAAATTGACAATTCAAACATCAGACCTCTTCATCCCTATTCATATTTGTATTCCTCAAGAGGGCGATTAGTGCACTTATTGGCATTCAACATCTCACAACACAGAATTTCTACAGTGGAACACACTCTTCTTTGGGACTAGAGTCACTTGTCACAGCAACGCTCTACTCCTAAACACACAGGTTTTGACGCTTTATCGTTTTATTTTCAGAGCAATCTAGTTACAGCGAAGACTATGTGCTATTTTCATACCAGACGCCAAGCTCACAACCTTGACCCGACTTTTGGTAGATCATCATTTGATGGCTAATCCTCGAAAACAATAGCAGCCTTAATAGCACTCTTGTTCTTCATAGCCTCCAAGCACTCGCCCCATTGTTCCAACTTGTAGGTCTTGTTGACGATTCCTGCAACCTTAACCTTTCCGGAGTCGAGGTAGTCGATAGCGGCAGCTAAATATCATTAGTTTATCATTCGCAGGAGTTGGTTGGGTCGACTGTAGAGAGAACTTACGGAACATGTAGGTCTCGGAGAAGGATCCGAGAATGGTGATCTCGTCACCAAAGATCTTGCTTGGTGGCCAGGTGACACGGGCAGATGCGCTGTAGACACCATAGACGACGAGCTTACCACCGCGACGGACGTAGTTGATGGCATCCTCGAGAATCTTTGGGGATCCAGTGGCCTCGACGACAATATCGAAACCGTATGGGTTCTCCTCCTTAAGCTTCTGGAATTGGGCCTCTGGGTCCTTTCTTGAGAGCTCAACGTAGACCTGGTTGACTTGTTAGTATTTCATCCAAATTTTGTCGTAAGTCATTGACGAACATCACCAGCATCAAGCTTCTTAGCCAACTCCATCTTGAGACCCTCTGGAGCCGCAAGCACAACGTGGCAACCACCGTTCTGTCTCAACATTTGTGCCAAAACCAAACCAGTTGGGCCAGCACCGAACATGAGAACGGATGAACCGAGCTTTGGTGCAATCTTCTCGAGTCCGTGAGCAGCGCAAGATGCTGGCTCGAGGAGTGTGGCATCGACATCAGAGAGGTTGTGGATCTTGAAGACCTTTCCAGCTGGGTAGGCACAGTACTCAGCGAAACCACCATCCATGGTTACACCATGAGCCTCGAAGTTCTCGCAGAGAAGCAATTGTCCACGTCGGCAGTAGAAGCATTCGTTGCAGAGCTCTGAGTTGCTATTACGGATTAGTATGCTTGCGTACTCCCAAGAAAAGGTACACAAACTCTGCAACTACACGCTCGCCAACCTTGAAGCCCTTGACGTCCTTTCCAACGGCCGCAACAACACCTACAGTCTCATGACCTATAAAAAATCAGCAGCCATACGGTCGAGTCAACTGTACCAAACAAAAGGTTTGTTGCTGTATGGCTTTGACAAGGTGGGAAACGCAATAGGCCAACGTAAACTCATTACGGCATCAGGCGTATGTGCCAGACATGGCCTTGCGAACAAGCCTGAGGGGAAGGTGTGCATAAACACCACAAGATAGAGCTCCGCAGAGTACATACCAGGAATAAGAGGGAACTATCAAACAGGAACAGTCAGCGGGGTGTTCTTATTTCCTTTAGCCTATAAGATGCAGGTATGTGATGACCATCAAGGTACAAGAATGCATGAATAAGCCGCGAGATTTGTGGAGCAGCCACTTCAACATATAAAACTGGTGTGCCCATACCTTTGCAATAAACTCTCCCTCGTGAATGTGTAAATCGGCTGTTGGGAAGAAATATATCAGTCCTGCTGTCCTCGAAAGCTCGAGAGTGGTAGCTGATGCTTACTTCCGCAGACACCGCAAGCCTTGACCTTGATCAATACATCGTTGTCACGGAGCTATTCGATCTTAGTATTCGATCTCGTTGTTGTTCTCGTTCAGAGGATGTTGATTGTTTACTTTTGGCAGAGGAACGGTAACAACACCATACTCTTCAGGCTTGGTGTATCTGCGAGGCTCGAGGTTAGCTTGTTTTCTTGCAATGTTTTCTTCTATTCCATCGAACAATTCAAGCTTCAAGAAGTAAGTTTACTTCATTTTCTGGTCCTATTTTTGCGATTGATATTGTTGAGACCAAGGCTTCCGTTCTGGGTGCTCGGGGAGTGTTTGCGGGATTTTCTTACCTGAGAGCCTTCATCTCCTTTGGGAGTTGGCCTGACATCTTGCTTGTTTTCTTTTGGTTTGACTTGAGTAAACAATTTTCTGCGTTTCTTCTGTATTTGAAATTGTAACGATCAGAGAATTCAGTTTGGGAAGAGTGACGAGAAGAGTGGAGATGAACAAGTTGGCTTGAATCAAGTCAAGTTCTTTAAGTAAGCCAGCTTCCCCTCCCTCGAGCTTATCGCTTGGAACCCCGCTGCTGGCACCCCCACTACGAGCAATGATCGTGAATGTGCGTCAAACCAAAGCAACAATTTTACGCCACGTTGAGCAACTGCAGCCAAAGGATGATGAAGAATTGCATTGGTTTCCGAGCTAGTAAGCATTTCAAACTTTTCCCAATGGGCTACGCTCTTATTCTGGTTGGAAACGTTCGAATGGGAAACAGATCTTTGCTTCCGGCATAAGAATTCAGGGACCGCGGTGTGCCAGCATCACACCGTCATAGGACAAGCTCTGTATGGAACGCACATATTGAAAGTAAGTTCACTTTTACTTCGACCACCAGACTGTCCGTCAAGAGACGGCCCGCCCGACGCCACGTAAGAATTGGAGAAAGTCATGAGGCCTCCGCCTCTAAAACATTTCTGCAGAGGAGAAAAATGCTCCGCTACGTGCCCTTGGATACGCCCTGGATTTGCCCATAATCGTTGCCAAACTTGCGGTCTATCATGCAGGAGAGTAAAGCGAAACTTGGGGATTGTCAGTATACGACGTCCGAGGGCGGCACGGCTTGAGCAAACTCATCCCCAGCAGGTGATAGTATTAACCTTGTGACACACGGCTAGATCCGTCAATTGAATTGCTTATGCGCCGAAAGAACACAAAATGGGGGTTTTTTCTTAAGGATGTGACAGCCGGGCGTGGATTTGATCTAATATACGGCAAAGCAAAAGCAAATAACGCTTTTACGTGACAAGGAAACACATCACAATACTCAAAATGCCAGTGGCAGATAATATGGTGGTTCGTATCGATTCACGACAAACGGCCGCAAGACTCATTGAAGAAGCTTGTTATGCTATCTGACAGGTGAAGTGTCAACTTCCCTCTCCGACCTATACTCCCCCGGCGATTACTATCACTCGGCCGAATGCGCTACTATTCTGCCCAACCTTTCAAGATATGTGATGAATTTCTGTCTGATGCAACACAAGCTGTAGACGCAAAATTTAAGAAGCTGGAGGAGCTCCACCACGGCCAGCTCCACGTCCGAAACCTCCACGGCTATTTGACTGTTAGAAGATATCTGCAAAGTTGATCGAAACATGACTTACAATTGAGGAGCGAACTCTCCAGATGGTGCTCCTTCCTTGCCCTCCCCACCAGCATCACGACGTCTGTAATCACCGCGCTCACGATCACCACCACCTTCACGTCCGCCACGTCCACCGCGTCCACCAAATGGCTTGCGCTCACGCTCGCCCTCGCCTCCCATCATACCACGAGGAGGAGCATGGGATCTCTGTTGCTTGATGTGGGTGGCTGGGACAATCTCAGCGGGAAGGTGGAGCCACTCGCGAAGGTAATCGAGACCCTCTGGGGTGAGGGTGTAGTAGTAGTATTGCCATGAGAATTGGGTCTTCACGTAACCACGGGAGGTGAGAGATTGGCATGCCTTCACAACGTAGAGGTTCTTGGTATCAATGTCGTTGTGCTTTGGCGCATCATAGTCCTTCTTTGCGACGACTTAATTCGATTCGTTAATATGTTGAATAAATTTTGGAGGTTTGATGCAAACTTACGAACACCCTCGCGGAAGAGGTACTCGTGGATCTTCTTGCGGTCTGCCTTTGGAATAAGCCTATAGGAGGTTAGGCTTGATGTTATATTGAGCTGAACACAGACGCGCAGAAACGTACATTTTGGCGGTTGGTCTTGGATTGTTGTCGAAGATTGAAGGATGAACTTTTCGGTATCGCGATAATTACATTTGTGGGAAGTGGTTTGGTTGAAGCGAGGCTGGTCTGTGCGCAGGAACCGGCTGGCCTTCGTTAAGAGGGGTTAGCGTACTCTCGAGTAAAGCACTCCTTAGTATCAACAGATGCTTTCTGATACCGAGGCACTTGTGTTATTCATTTTCTGCTATGAATAAAGCCATGTATCATTTATCCTATATGACTAAGTTCGTGATTCCTAGGCAATTGGAATTGCAAGGTAATTGAGTTTACGGTGGAGAATAATAGGTCAGACGGCGCTCAGTGCCAGTCACGTGCAAAAATTAATACTTTACTGGAATCCATTAAGAACTTTACAATTGGAGAATGACTTTTTATTTACGTAGAAGAAATTGTCTCAGCTAAGAAACGAGCTTGATTTTCCCATCGTCATCATAAAATAGCTCCTTCACCTTGACACTTCTCAAATGATTCTTCCCCGAGAGGCTAGTGTCATGGTAGAACAAATACCATTTGTCCTTGAACTCCACAATTGAGTGATGTGTTGTCCAACCTTGGACCGGATCCAAAATCTTTCCGCCATATGTGAATGGTCCAAATGGATTGTCCCCAATGGCATAGGCTAGAAAGTGAGTGTCGCCGGTGGAATATGAGAAATAATATTTGCCCTTGTATTTGTGCATCCAGGCAGCTTCGAAGAATCGTCTTTCATGGTCGTCAGAGCTGATGAGTTTTCCGTCATCGTCGACAATTTGAAGTTCTTTGATGTCGCTAGTGAACGAAAGCATGTCGTCGCTAAGTTGCGCTACACGGGGCAATAACGCAGGACCTGACTGAGCTTCCATTGTTGTATACGCCTCCCTCGAGAATTTACCAGTCTGCCAACACTGCAGCTGGCCACCCCAAATACCACCAAAGTACAAATAAGCTTTGTCATCATCGTCGACAAAGCTCGCTGGGTCAATGCTGTAACTTCCAGCGATAGGCTCTGGCTCTGGTTGGAAAGGGCCTTCAGGCTTAGAACCCACGGCAACACCAATTCGGAAAATGCCCTCCTTGTCCCGAGCTGGGAAAAATAGATAGTATTTGCCGTTCTTGAACGCTGCGTCCGGGGCCCAAAGTTGCTTTGACACCCAAGGAATATCTTCCGCCTTCAATGCTACACCATGATCCGTCACGGGTCCGCCAACAGATTCCATAGAAAGCACATGATAATCGTTCATATCGTATTGGTCGCCATTGTCGTTGTCCTTGATATCTGTCTTGCGATCATGAGAGGGATAAACATAGAGCTTCCCTTCGAAGACGTGCGCTGACGGATCCGCAGTGAAAATGTGGTTGACTAGTGGTTCGTTTGCCATGGTTGCTGAAAGTTGCGAACCTTGGTTGAATCGAAAATATACGGTTTGTGAATGACACGAAATGGCTGAAAAACAGTAGCCAACCTACCTGCGCAAATCGAGAGAAGATAATCTTTAAGTACGCGTTTAAATGGCTTGCTTCACCATCCCATTCTGTCCCGTCCCCGGATACTAACCTCCGATTTTACCATTTATCCACGTCGACTGAATCTGAGATGTAGACCCAAGACATCGTGAGGAGCAGGGAAATGCGGGGCGTACGATTTACCCAGATCGCTTCTTTCGACCGACCGGTTAAATTACGTAGACGCTATAAGCGCTCGGGTGGCGTCAATGTTATTCGTGAGTTATATCACGTGCCTGTTACACAAGTTCGGTCCAGACTCCTCACCACTTGATTTCATCGTCAACCACATCAGGCATTCCCACCACAGCTTCCGATACACAACCAAGAAGAGCACATCATGGCTACCCACACTGTCAACGTCTTATTAACGTCCTTTGCCGGTCTTCAACTTCCGAAAACGCTTGCGCTACCTCTTTCCTCCGATACAACAATCTCACAACTTCAGGAAAGCATCCACGACCGCCTTCCTAAACACAATGAACGACTCCTCCTTACTACGACATCTAACAAACTTCTTCCCTATGCATCCGATGCGCAAATTTCTTCCCTGCTGTCTAGCCCGCAGGACGACTTTCTATCTTTGCGACTGACTTCGCGGTTATGTGGTGGCAAGGGTGGATTTGGATCACAACTGCGTGCCGCAGGAGGCCGCATGTCATCCAAGCGCAAGAGAGGACAAGGAGAAGAGAACGGTTCGAGTCGAAATCTTGACGGTCGCAGATTGCGAACAGTGAACGAAGCAAAGGCGTTGGCGGAATACCTCGCGATCAAACCCGACATGGCGAAGCGTGAAAAAGAAGAGCGGAGGAAACGATGGGAGCAGGTAGTTGAGCTTGCAGAACGTCGAGAGGAGGAAATCAAGTCCGGAAACAAGGGCAAGGTCGATGGAAAATGGGTTGAAGATAAGGAAGAAGCCGGAGAGAGAACTCGGGAGGCTGTCCTTGCCGCTATGAAGTCCGGAAACTACAAGGACAATCTGATTGAGACATCTGGTGCGGGTACCCGAGCTGCCTCAAGCAGTGAGGATGACGCTGGTGAGGGTAGTTCAAAAGCAACAACGCCACCTTCAGAACCGGAAGCCAAACCAAAAAGTCTGGGCTTCTTTGGCTTCGACGATGACGACGAGTTCATGAGTGATAGTGACGAAGAGGAGGAAAGTGGGATCAAAAATCTTCCAGATATCACAGAGGCGGATGAGTCTGAGGAGGAGGTCGAAGAAATCGTTGAGAAAGAGCCCACCCCTCCACCAGCTCCATCAAAAGGAAAGGGTAGAGCTAAAGCTGCATCTTCGAAGGTCACAAAGCCAAAAGCCAAAGGCAAGGGAAAGAGCAAGGCGTAATAGGGAAAATTGTACTTGTATATCAACTGGCGTTGGGTTACTTTTGTCAAGCATGGCGTTTCTTGGGCGGTCAAATGGGGACGGTTTTATGGAGTTCTGGTTATATCCAAGGCTAGTTGTATCAACTAGGAATGTTATCAATAGAAGCTGCAATGCATCTAAGTTTCCGATCAAATGCCAAAACGTACAAAACTTTTGATCGTGGCACCTCGGGTGCATATATTGCTACAGTACTTAGTCTAGACCCCACTTTCGATTGGCTGCCTTTCAAAATATGGCCACTCTCATTAATTTCTTTCCCCGAATGCCTTCTAGTCCTTAAGTTAATTATCCATATTACCTCGGGCCAGAAGCTTTAACAAAATCCAAGAATGATTTATTTTCGGACTCTGACGAGATGTACCCGCATTGTCCCCAAATCAAAGGCCTTCTCAACTACACAATGGCGTTCGATACGCACGTCAGAAATGTCAGAAAGTCAATTAGCTGCTCTCAAGATTGATCGGGACAGGTTATGGAGAGACCTACATGAGACGTGTCAATGGGGAAAGGGTGAGCGCTGGGGAGAGTAAGTCTCTCATGTTTCCCAGGATGTGATAAGTTGCGGATTGGTCCATTAAACCTTGTTTGATAAGGGGTGCAATTGATATACGGCAATAATGATTTTTACTTGTTCGATTTTTGTCAATATCTCGCAAATTGTCTCACAAAATGCGTGTCTTTGTTGGTACACGGCTATCCATTGCTGACTCTGTGTAGCGGACCAACAGATATTGGCATGTCCCGTCTCACATTATCTGACGAAGACAAGCAGGCTCGAGATTATTTTGTGAAAACCAATAAGGATCTTGGTTGTGAAGTGAAGATAGATGCTATGGGTAAAGTTGAATGGCCAACTACATTCGTTTGATTCTCATTCGTATCCAGGAAATATTTTTGCGATTCGCCCTGGAAAGAACAATTCAGCTCCTCCAACATATGCTGGAAGTCATCTAGATACCCAGCCTACAGGAGGACGATATGACGGTATACTCGGCATTCATGCTGGTCTGGAGGCACTGAAAACAATGAGAGATAATGATATTGAGACTGAGTATCCTACAGGTATCACGACTTCACTTGTGCTAAACGACCATTGATCAATACTGATAATTTCCTAGGTGTCATCAATTGGACAAACGAAGAAGGAGCCCGCTTTCCAATTTCCATGGTCGCCTCCGGTGTATGGGCAGATGCAATTCCTTTACAAAAAGCATATGATTTACTCTCGGTTGGCGCTTCTCCCGTCACCCAGAAATCTGAACTCGAACGTATTGGATACCTTGGATCCCTTCCTGCTTCTTATGCAGAAAACCCCATCGGTGCTCACTTTGAACTACACATAGAGCAAGGACCAATCCTTGAAGCGTCAGGAGGATTGATTGGCGCGGTGGAAGGCGTACAGGCGTACAAATGGTTTACTGTGAGTGTGAAGGGGAAGGATTGCCATACGGGAACTACGGACTTTGCGAATAGGAGTGATGCCCTGTTGACGGCGGCGAAATTGATTGTTCATAGTCATGATAGAGCTAGTGAGATGGGGTGTCTGGCTTCCACGGGAATTTTGAACTTGAAGTAAGTGCAAGTGCTTTTTGTTGATATCGGTTGAGCAAGGTAATACATGCTAATGAGATTCTTGAAGACCTGGCTCGACGAATACCGTCCCGGGATATGTACAATTTTCGTTGGACATCAGGTCGAAAGAAGACGCTAAGGTGCTTCAACTCGAAGAACTGCTGAAGGCAGAATTCGCAAAGATTGCTGGCGGCGAGAAAGTCAATGGCATGAACACTCAGGGTACGCGAGGGAGAGGCTGTACTGTAGAATGGCAGCTTGACACCGACTCGCCCGCCACCAAGTTCCATAAGGATTGCATTGATTGTGTCGAGAGAAGCGCAGCAGACATGATTGGAACTGAGAATGATAAAAAGGTTCAAAGGATGACTTCTGGAGCTGGACATGATAGGTAAGATCAACTAAAAGGAAACAGAACATTGACTTACCATTATTTGTAGTGTATACACAGCTCGGCACGCACCAACTTCAATGTACAGCTCACATGTCAATTTGGAATACACGCTGACTGGTGTAGGATTTTCGTACCGTGTAGAGACGGTGTGTCGCATAATCCATCGGAATATTGTAGTCCAGAAGATTGCGGCAACGGCGCACAAGTTCTGTTCGGCGCCATGCTACGATATGATCGACTTCGAGCAGGAAAGAAATCATAGGATCCAGCACTCAATGTGCGCATGTAGTAATATCCACGGAATGACATGTAAAGCGCGGAAAATCATTTATCAATTCGCGACCAACGGTATGGTACAAGGCTCTATCGAAACTGATCCATTTCCACGCCACTTCTAATCCACTATCTCCATCGCGTATCTCAGTTCTTTCTCTATTGGTCGAGGCGTGTAGGAAAGGTTCCCTTCTCTGTATAATCGTGAGCCCATGCTATTGATCAAACCCGTCACAATGTACTGACCTCGCTGATCATCCCATCGCTCGCACCAGGCACTTGGGCACAATGAACGGTAGGCCAAGAAGAACTGTGTGAAAGTAAGGACTGATCTCCTATCCTATATGTTCAACGTACTTGACGGCAAGGAGCGAAATCCTCTCCCTTGGCTAAGATGCATTTGTGGTAGTCGACATAGTTTTGCCAGCAATGCTTGGTCTGGTTCTGGTTTGGGAATCGGGCGTCAAATCCTAGAGCGCGAATCGAAGGTCAATTATGTATCGCGGTCTCTAGAAGTACATAAACATACCGGCTGGGCACAAAGTTAGCAATCAGGCCATTTCTTTCGGTGTTCGAGGAGTGAGGGCGGCCGTGAACTTACCAGTGACGAACTTGAAGGGCTTAGTCTCGCGGTCGTCAGACATGTTGGCTATCTCGATGCGAGATTCTTGAGTGGAGAGAGGTAGAGTGTGTGGTGGTGGATCAATTGGTAGCAGGAGTCAGTATGGTGCAAGTGAGGTCGTTGATCTGAAGCTTCGGTTATTGGCCGCCGGGAGTTCCGCGCTAAGAGGTGCAAGCTCCGCCGTCACTTCTTGACGCAAGCACCCCCTTCTACAACAAGATTCTCTTCAATTGAATTGAAGAGAACAACCTTCATCATGCGGTCCACAGCAGCCCTCAAGATGTTCCAACCTACGAGAAGGATGATGATGCAACCTACGAGGAGAATGTTGCGACCTGTGCCGGTATGCGATTCCGTTTTCAATGTTTGCTGAAGAGAAGACTGACGTAGCTTTCAATTATAGGAGGAGGAGCAAAGTGGTACGTACCTTAATTGGCGATAGACTCAATTCCCGGGTGGAAACGATCTAGGTCAATCGATGTTGGAGGGAGCTTATGCCGGTAACATACACTAAACTTTTGGCATCAGGTCATACCATTTCTCAAAGACTACGAAGACTTAAGAAGATCCCACCGGAGTTGATCCCACTCGGTACGCACTGAATGGTATCTTGGTTTATGCTAGAGTTGCTAAGTTAAGCGCAGGTATCGTCGTGGGTGTGGCTGTGGGGTTCGCATTCTATTCTTTGGGCAACAAACTTGTTGTGGACAAGCAAATGCGATTGACCCGACAAAACCGAAAGGATTAAGCACACATTGGGAAGTTTCGCGGGCATTGAATTGGTATTTTGATCTTGAAGGATAGACACACTTGTAGTCGTGGACGTGAGGAAGCAAACGGTGGGCTAGTAGTAAAATTGTACAAATCATTGCGAGGCCTTTTCCCCTATCAATTAAACACACTCGAGCCTCATTGTACGCCAATACACAGAAACCAAAGAAGCCTAGTCTCAAGACAGACCTCCTAACGCCCCAGCCATGCGAAAATTAGTAACCATATTCCATGCCCAAGGTCTCTCACTCTTGTCTAGGGCCAGCGACGTCTAAACCCTCCAGACCTTGCATTGGGTCCTCTGACCTATCTTCTGTGGCAGCTCTTGCTCTTTCTGCAGCCACTTTATCTTCTTCACTCACGGCGTTCTCCGCCAACCATCCTTCCTATCGTCCATATTAGCCTGCCGTTTGTAGCCAGATGGATAAAATCCTAAGACTTACCTGTTCCCACAGTGCCGTCTTGCTCCCTAACCCTTCATTGACATTCTTTGGAGGTTTTGCTGCTGATACTTTGATGACTTTTCCAAAGAGCTCGGCCTGGTCCATGTTGTCGATCGCATCCTTAATATCTTCTGGATCTTCAAACTCTACATAACCGAAACCTCGATGAGGTTCCATTGAATTTGGAGCATCATTTTTTCTAGGTAAAAATTTAGCTAAGCATTCTTATACGTTGGACAATACACTTACGGGATAGAAACATCTGCAATTTCTCCAAAGGGTAGAAACGCGTTCTGAAGACTTTCTACGTTGACTGTTGGCGCCAAACCTCCAATATACACTGTGGCTTTCCACCTTGCCTGATCTGTCATTATGTTAAAGTTCTGTGATTTTTTGTTTTCATCAACTTGCAAAAATCGACGGCGTTGTCGAGGATGAGGCTCAGGTGGATGGCTCTCAAGTCACGTGTAGGATTCGAGTCCCGCAGTGAACAGCCTCCAGCATTGACTTGAATATGTGTCCCAATTTACACTTCTGACCAGCTCTCAACCACTGACTTTCACAATTTCATTTTCTACTTTGAGCACGTAGCCTAAACTGTTTTCTTTGTTTCATGCCGACTTTCAAAATTCCAACGTACTGCACATTGTTTCGGTCTTGCATTAACTGCAATCCAATATGGTTCGTCTAAGGGAAATTCCCAGGACAGCTGCCTTTGCCTGGTCGCCAGGACCCGATACACCTCTGGTTGTTACCGGCACTCGAGCTGGAGCGGTTGATGCAGACTTCTCTGATGAGACAAAACTGGAGCTTTGGGATCTGAGTCTGGATGACCTGGAGCAAGGAGTCGAGCTTCAACCTATTGCCAGCATTAGTACAGATTCTAGGTATGTCAGGCTGAGCGCGCTCTTTATTCAAACTTTTGCTGACCGGCATATGCTACAGATTCCACGATATTGCATGGGCACCTGCCAATGCCGACCACCCTCGGGGCATAATTGCTGGAGCTCTTGAGAATGGCTCACTGGATCTTTGGGATGCTGAGAAGCTTATCAAAGGGGCCGAGGATGCTTTCATGTCACGCACAACGAAACACACGGGAGCAATCAAGTCACTTCAATTCAATCCCTTGAAGCCACAGATTCTTGCGACGGCCGGCGCAAAAGGGGAGCTCTTTATTTACGACATTAACGACATTGCGAACCCATTCAGACTCGGAACAGCAGCGGCTCGATCAGATGATTTGGAATGCGTAGCATGGAACCGAAAAGTACCACATATTTTGGCAACCGGTGGGAGCGGAGGATTCGTTACGGTATGGGATTTAAAAACGAAGAAGGCGTCCCTAACCTTGAACAACAATCGCAAAGCTGTCGGAGCCATTGCTTGGGACCCGAACAACGCGACAAAACTTTTGACTGCGACGCCTGATGACTCGAGTCCTGTAATACTCTTGTGGGATCTGCGAAATTCAAATGCCCCAGAAAGAACACTTCAAGGACATGACCAGGGCATTCTTTCACTTTCTTGGTGTCAACAAGATAGCGATCTATTATTGTCCTGTGGGAAGGACAACAGGACACTTGTATGGAATCCGCAAACGGGAGAAAGCTACGGAGAATTCCCTGAAGTGACCAATTGGACATTCCAGACAAGATTCAATCCTCACAACCCTGCTCTCTCCGCAACCGCCTCTTTTGACGGGAAAATATCTATTCAAACATTGCAAAACACAAATCCAACCGCGTCACAAGCGCCCACACAAGCAGGTGACGGCGAGGACTTCTTTACCAAAGCTCAGACGCAGCCTCAAGGCGCTTCTTTCTCATTGGGTAAAGCACCAAAATGGCTGGAGCGACCTGCTGGAGTTTCATTTGGCTTTGGAGGGAAGATTGTAAGCTTTGGTCTGGTAGGAGAGGTGGCAGGTAAACCTCGATCGTCCAAGATTCAGATTTCCAACTTTTCGGTTGATTCGGATGTTGGCTCTGCCACGGAAGCATTTGAAAAGGCGCTTGTTGCAGGTGACATCAACAGCATCTGCCAATCACATATCGAGCAAGCTAAGTCAGATGAAGAAAAGGCGGATTGGAAAGTCATCGAAACACTGATCTCTGAAAACCCTCGTAAAAAGGTAACTGAGTATCTCGGTTTCACGGATGACGTGGATGAGGCTAGTCCTGAAGATTCAAATACAACCACATCTGAAATAGAGAAAGCAGAAGACACCGCTGCAGACTCTAAAGCGGAATTCAAAGCTGGACACAAGTCTAGATTGTCTCATTTCTTTGCTGATGGCGCAGAAGGAGACGACTTTCTCTCGTCTATTTCAGCAACCAAGGACGCGAAAACTCATGACCCATTCCATCTGTTTGCCGACGCAGATTCGCAATCTGAAAAGCAAATCACAAAAGCTCTTATGCTGGGACGCTTCGAAAAGGCCATGAATATTTGCATCAAGGAGGACCGCATGGCTGATGCACTTATAATCGCAAACTGTGGCGGCAAAGAGCTTCTTGAGAAAGCACAGGCTGCTTATCTGTCTCGCAAAACAGATGTTCCAAACTATCTTCGCTTGCTGACTTCTGTTATCGGAAAGAATCTTTGGGACATTGTCTACAATGCTGATCTCTCAAACTGGAAAGAGTCAATGGCTACGTTGTGTACTTATGCAAATCCAGAGGAGTTCCCAGACCTCTGTGAGGCTCTAGGAGACAGGATCAAGGAGGGCGGCTCTTCAGAAGATGCTTCGTTCTGCTACTTAGTGGGGTCCAAGCTGGAGAAGGTTATTACAATTTGGATTGCCGAGCTGCAAGAGGCTGAAAAGGCAGGCATCCAGGATTTGACGGGAGACTCAACCTTTTCTGTACACGCTCGTACCCTACAAAACTTCATTGAAAAAGTCACTATATTCAGAGACGTTACCAAGTTCCAGGATACAGAGCAAAATGCTACCTCCGATTGGAAGCTCGCCCCATTGTACGAGAAGTACACCGAGTATGCTGACATCGTTGCTGCTCATGGGCATCTATCAATTGCCGAGCGATATCTTGACTTGCTACCCACTCAGTATCCGGCAGCAGAGGTCGCACGAAGTCGCGTTAAATCTGCTTTGAAAAAGGTACCAGCAAAGGCTGTACAACAGCCAACTTTGGCCTCCAGAAACGCGCCTCGTCAGCCAGCGAATGTTGGATATCAACCAGTCGGGACACCAACCGCCCAACCCTCGAGGGTTCCTTCGAAAAGCTTTGTACCCCCAACACCTGCTGCGTCTAATCCTTACGCGCCCGCTGGAAATGCATATGCTCCCCAGGGTTATCAGCAACCACAAGCGCCCAACGCATATGGAGGGTATGGTCAACCCCAAGCTTATGGGGCTCCCTCACCTTATAATGCTCCAGCCAACGGCGCGCCTCCTTCTCAATTTGCGACAGGACCACCACGCAACACACCTCCACCAACAGGAACTGGGGCACCATATTCAGCTAGAAACAAGGACATGGCTCAGTGGAATGATACACCTATGGTAGTCAAGCCGGCAACTGCAAGACGAGGCACTCCATCAGCAGCTCCCATCACATCTCCTCTCCCAAATCCGCAAAGTGCTAGTATGACACCTCCCCCACCGCAGGCTGGCTTCGGTGGAAGAGTCGCTGCTACTCCACCTCCCCCACCACCCAAGGGACCAGCTCCACCACGTATGAACTCGCCATTGACGACTGGCCCTCCTCAATCCTTCCACCAGCCACCTCCCAGACCTTCTTCTGCTGCGAACACATATGCTCCTCAAGCGGGTCCATCGCCCTCGCAACAACAGTACCATGCGCCACCTCCGCCAACGATCCCCAGAGGTCCGTCTCCTTATAACCAACCGCCTCCCGGATCAGCTCCACCGAGCAGATATGCACCGTCGCCTGCACCACAACAATACTCGCAACCACCAAATCAACAATCCAGTATGGGTCCACCCCCGCAAGGAATGAGGCCACCACCGCCTTCGAACCCATACGCTCCTCCAGGTAATGCACCACAAAATGCGTATGCTCCACCCCAACCTCAGTATGGAGCCAGCCAACCACCTCCCTCTTTCCAAAATCAGGGTCCGCCACCTTCACAGGGCCCCCCTCAAGGGCCACCACAAGGCTCACGTCCACCACCACCACAAAGCCAGGCACCCCAAGCTTCCCCAGCCCCACCAGCTGCGAGACCAAAACACCCTACAGGTGATCGATCTCACATACCCTCAAACGCACAGCGAATGGTAGAGATCTTCAGCTCAGACATGCAAAGGGTGGCCTCGAAAGCACCACCATCCTTCGCCGCCCCAGTTAAGGACACGCAAAAACGGCTCAACATTCTTTTTGACCATTTGAACAACGAAGAGCTAATCAAGCCTGATACGATTGAAAGATTGAATGAGCTTGCCGAAGCCATCGCCTCTAAAAACTATGATGCAGCCTCCAGAATCCAGGTGGAAATTCAACGAGAGAAGACTGAAGAATGCGGAACCTGGATGGTAAGTAGCCCCGATGATAGTATATGATATACATGCTAACAGATGCCTAGGTGGGTGTAAAACGATTAGTTAGCATGAGCAAGGTTACACCATAGATCCACGGGCAATTAACAAGACGAGAGTGGGCCAGATGAAGCTGCATGCTTTGCAGGAATGTACTATAAAAGTAGTGCTTCGCAGACAGCAAGACTCCAAAGCGAATTTTACATCAGAAGATCAACACAATCGTGATTCCACAAACTGGTGAAATTTGCTAAGATATAACAGCAACAAGTCTCTTACTGTTTTCCTTTTCATACACTCCAACGCCTGGGGGACGACTTTGTGATTTATTCAGCGAACTTGAGAAACTTTACGCCTGGCCTTCCGAATTGGATACTCTGAAATGCGCATGAAACTTTGAGCTGCTATCATTCGATTTGTGTCACATGTTACTCGAGCCATTGTTCACAATGGTGGCGCACCAATCATATCAAGCCACTTAATACGTCTTGTACCTTGTGTATTACCTAAGCAAGCCCGATCTCATGTGGCTCCACTTATTCATCTTTCGAGACTTTAGAAGTCCGACCTCACATGTCTCAGTTCACTGGAGGGACGAAAACGAGCAATTGAACCTGAAATGTTGGCAGACGTTCATCGAATTGAACGGATATCATAGAAGTTTCTTATGATTCACAACTACAGTCGCGTCATGGTCTCTTGAATAGATGAATACTGCCGTGGGACGGACGATTTAGATCCAGTTTTCTTCCGTCATTGATTGTTCTCTTCAGCAATTGTCCTTACGATTCTGTACGTACATGAGTTCTGCCGATAACGAAACGCAAACAAATGGCTATTAGGCCCGACACTCTCGCAGCTATTCCGCTCTGCCTCATAGTTGCGCTGGGTACCCGATTTGAGATCTTTCTGATTGCCTCTATCGCGCTCTACTTCAACTGGCAAGACGGCGCGAAACTCATAGAAACTTACGTTGGGTTCACTTACCTTACGACGGTCTTTGGAATTGGTTTCGTTGTTCTTGGGCTTATTCAATTCCTTCGATACATCAATACACTCAAAAGCTGGAACTTGGAGCAAAATGAGTTTCCTGCCAAACCTTTGTTTTTTACTTGCGAGACGAGTCATACAAGATTCTTTCCTCAAAAGAACTCTTTCAAATACAGCTACCTCCTTACAGGGATTCCCGTAGGATGGAAAGGCAATTCGGGTGGAATGATCTCAGCAGATGTGGAAACGGATGAGACACCTTGGTATTCAAAGCTATTATCTCACAAGCCGTTCGGCGCTTGGTGGACTGTACGTGGAGATAATTACATGGCAAGAGGTTCTGCTATGAATGGACTGCGAGGAAAGCTGGACCAATACCTTGAAAGTGAGGTGTGTTACATTCCATCCCGTTTTGGCAACCCCGCAAATTGACCAACGTAAATAGAATCTCGACCCAAAAGATTACCCTTATGCGTATCTGTTCACCGCTGCGAAATTTCTTGGTTACTCATCGAATCCAGTTTCTTTTTGGAATTTATATTCCGAATCCAAGGAGCTCAAAGCGATGATCTATGAAGTCAACAATACCTTTGATGAACGGCATAATTACTTGCTTATCCCAGAAGCCTCGCAACCACGGGAAACCAAAACTTCCAAAACAGCCACGCAACCAATTTCGACCAGACACCAAGTAAAATTCTCCAAGGAACTTTTCGTATCTCCCTTCAATTACCGCAATGAGGGTTACAGCGCTTCAGCAAACGACTGTCTTTACCCAGAAATGAACGGCAAGGGTCCATTTGACACAACCATCACACTTTCTAGTGCTGAGGGCCAGCCCAAGGTCATTGCCAGAATCTATTCTACTGGAAAGGCAATTGACCCTTCTGTCCTTTCGGTCTGGGAGAGGACTCGTTTCATTTATTCCTGGTGGGGCATCGGCTTTTTGACCGTACCACGAACATTATGGCAAGCATACATCCTCAGTAGACGCCGAAAGTTGCCATTTGCATTTGCTCCCCAGCCAAAGGAGTCAAATATAGGACGTACCGCTCAGGAGGATGAGATCGCTTACGAGAAGCTGTTCTTAGGTTACCTGCGTTATGTGATATCCAGGATACCAAGTCCGATACGTGTCAAATACATTGCAGCAGGCATTCATACTGTCGAAGAGATCGTTATATACTCACCCGCCGCTCAAGAACTTCTTTGGAACAACCCCGAAAAACGAGATGAAGTTGCGCAACTTGAAATTAAGGTTCTCTCACCAACTCTATACTCTCGCCTACTTCACTACGGCTTTTGCTCCATCGGTCATATTCTTCTTTCCGAATCCCAACTTCTAAACCAAACCATCAAAATATCCGACACGCAAATCTTATCCAGTGTCTTCGGTTCAGCATGTCCACCTCAAAAAGCCACACTTGCCTCAACCTGGCAATTGCCTTGGTATGAGCGAACCACCCTTGATCTCCTCTCGGCGCTCACCGATTCGAAAAAACCTGCACCTTATATATCCAGCATTGAACGGAAAGAATGCGACCAGGAATCAACGAACAAGCAATTACACCACGCACATCACATCAAGGCAAACACTGAAGGAAGTGCGCCCATCACCTTACACGAATATCTTGCAACCACCGATGCAGCACTTCGGCGCACCTTTCTCATCAACGCAATGAAATTGGCACTTGCTCCGTATGTTGCTTTCGAGATCCCTCTTCTTCTCGACTTTGAGATTTTCGTTCTTCGTTGTGTTGGGACTTGGATTGCTGTCTACTTACTCTCTTAAATCTTCTAATTACCTAATGAGACCGAAAAGGCGTCTAGGTTATTATCAGCCTAGAGAAAAGTCATATCAGTTGCAGCCTAAACAGCCAAGATGATTCTACACAATTTCACCTGTTACGATCATTTTTGGCACTTGCATAAGAGGAGTCGGAAAAGATAGCATTGACTTTTGAGTACTTCCTTCGATTCGAGTTCTCGATATTGTTTCTTAGTAGAGGTTCAGCTCCAGAGATAGTCTTCGTTATGATGTGTAAGTGGGATTGGAGTTGCATAGGCGTTTTTTGCGTTGTGCTTGGGATGATTGTTAGACCTTTAGAAGTAGAACATTCATGAATTCAGATTCGACATATCACACAATTGGTTATGCGACAAAGCCGTGCGTTAAAAGTAAGTAGAGAGAGAGGTAGTATTACGAGCAAAGTGATTCAATAGATGACTTCAATAGTTGCCATCTTCCCTCTATACAATTCCTCACGCTTTCCGTTTGCTTCTGTACCTTGAAATCCTCTCCATGCAATAGACTATATACAGTCTTTGAAGGTCCTTCTCAACGGAATACAAGGCACAAATCCACGAGCTCCCAAACGCTGATTCTAGCAATGACCTCCTTCTATTTCAACTTCTAGACTTCCGCCCAAGAATGAAAGAACATTCTTCATGTATCAACTCCAAGGAAGAACAACCCAGAAATCTTTTCTCAAGAATTAGATGGTTAGGAGTACATATACGCTTAATTCTCTTCTAGTCAACCGTCTTGGTCATCAGAACACTTTTAAGCTGACTTCAATGTCTGTGCAAGTTAGTACTTGGCGATCTTTCTAAAGGCACACTTCTCGCCACCCAATGAAATGTTCTATAAGCAAAGAATATCAGACCGAATGAGACTACGGCATTCAAGAACAAAAACTGAGTGTTCAATCTCCGAATTAGAAGTCAAGGGTCACTTTTGGGGCGAGCGCTGGGGCATTCGGTCTTCCATTCGGCTCTCGCTAAGCGAGTTCGGTGGTTCGTCGTTTGGATTAAGGGGGGGTTGTGATACTATATATGATGAGATGTATCGTTTTCTTATTTTAAATCTTTACATGCTTCACATAGAGATGTTGTTACTTCTATCATTCTAGTCTTCCCAAGAATTCCACATCCCATTCCAAAACACCCAACTCCGTACAACCACCTAAACATCACCTATGCCGAATCTCAACCAAACACCCACAATGCTCCCCCCCGACCCCTCAATCCTACCCTCCCTCCTCGGGCCCCCTCCGCCCCCAGAAGCCGCAGACGGCATCTCCCGCTGGGCAGTCAAGAACCCGCCAAAAGACCCAACCCTCTCCTTCGCCGGCAAAACCGTCCTCGTCACAGGCTCCAACACCGGCTTAGGCTACGAAGCAGCCTTGAAATTCGCCGTACTCCCCCTCCCTCCTCCCCCCAAAACTCCACATACAAAAACCCCAAGACCTAACACCCCCCCAGAACCTCGGCGCAACACTCATCCTCGCAGTCCGCACGCCCTCCAAAGGCGAAACCGCAAAGACGAGGATATTAGCAGCAACAGGCGTGCCCAGCACGCGTATATCGGTTCTGCAACTCGACATGTCAACCTTCGCCTCGATCCGCACCTTCCTGGCCACTCTCACATCCACCACCCCAGTCCTGCACATCGCACTCCTGAACGCCGGGCTCGCGGCGCCGAAGTTCGAACGATCGCCTGATGGCTGGGAGATGGCTCTTCAGGTAAACGTGCTTAGCACGGCGTTTCTCGCGCTGGGACTCCTGCCATTGCTGCGCGCGACGGCAAAGCAGACGGGCGGGCCGGGACAAGTGACGTTTACCAACTCTGCGGGCCATCGACGGGCGAAGGGCGCTGAGATGGCGGTTCCGGAGGGGACGTCGATCCTGGAGACGTTCAACCGGCCGGAGTTTTTCAGTCTGGCGAAGAATTACATGTTGATAAAACTGCTGGGTATGTACGTGATGCGCGGGTTGCACGAGCAGTTCTCGGTGAATGAGGTGGGGGAGCGGGATGTGCTTTTTAATGCGTGTTGTCCTGGGTATTGTAGGACGGAGTTGGGGCGGGAGATGCCGTGGTATGTTAATGGGATTACGAGGGCGGTGCAGAGTTTTTATGGGAGGAGTGCTGAGGAGGGGGGGAGGAGCTTGGTTAGTGCGACGAGGGTGGGGATAGAGGGGGCGGGGAGGTTTTGGAGTAATGATTGGTTTACGGAGTGAGTTTTTTTTTCCTTTGGGTTGAGGGGGTGATGAGGTGATGAGGGCTAACTTTTGGGGTAGGATGGGAGAGTTGGTTACTAGTGAGGAGGGGAAGAGGTTGCAGGTTAGGGCTTGGAAGGAGATTTTGGAGGTTTGTAGGAAGGAGGGGCTTGAGAAGGGTGTGTGATGTGGTGATGGTTTTCTAGTTGGAAGGTCGATGCTGTGGGATGTTTAAAGTCTGTAGAAGAATCAGCATAAGTTGCCCATGTAAACGAGAAGATAGAGTTATGCTTTGATAATTTCCATGTCATTTTTCGACGGAAATCAAGACCCAGGTCGCTGCGTACATGTAGTGAGTTTACCCCTTTCGTCCATACTACACCAAAACCTCCCTCAACAACTTCCCAAACACCCCCCTTACCCTCTCCGGCTTCTCACCGACACACGTAAACACAACAGCCACACTCCCCGCAAAAGCAAGCTGCTCAACCCACCGATCCTCCCACCGATATCGTCTCGGGAACAGCGTAGCCAGCGCTCTCGGCACGACAAAAAGACCCAATTCCTTCCTCCGTCCCGCGTTCTCGAGAAGCACACTCCAACCACATACAGCACACCCACTAGCAATACAAATGCCAGAATCGATTTTCTGGCATGCGACGGTAGAGGTACCTAGGATTCTTGGACCGATACGTGAACGAGCGAGACAGATTCCGTAGTAGAAGAGCGCGATGAAGGAGCCTAGAAGTGCGGAGGATCGGATAGAAGATTTTAGGGCGTGGAGAAGAGCCCTTTTGTTTGGATTTCGGAGGGCGAGGATGAGGTTTAGTGGCAGATACGTTGAGAATGCCCAGGTGAAACCTCGTAATAGGCGGGAAAGAGCGTGGTATTCGCAGTTCTTTCCACTGCCCATGTGGACAATTTCACAGGGATAGGGGATGCTTTGTACGGGATCACCGTAGGATAGTGGGAGGTTCAGGTCGGTACACATGGATTGAAGGAGTGGTGCTTGTCCTGTTTCTAGGCCGTATTTGATTTCACCGAATCGCATGCGTTGTAAGGCGAGGAGGAGACGGTGGTCAACCATGGCAGCTGTCTTGATCCATTTGTTGTAGGATCTTGGAAGTCGATCTGGTGAGTATATCCATGCCCACATTATAAGCGCGCTAGAGCTGGCAAACACTGCTGGGTCGGCTAGTGTGGAAATCAATTTTGAGATCTAGAAATAATTAGTACAGTTTTCAAGTGTCATGAGGAGACTTACCATTGCCCGTTTACCAGATGGATTGGCTGGAGAGCTACGGCGAGACCACAAATCTCCAATTATCACATCTAGTGCTCGAGTCACAGCGAAAAGTGTCAAGTCCATAGTTCGACCAGCGAACCGTATTGGTCTTTGAATGACCCCCGTTGAAGTCTCCTCGGCGACATACTCAACAAATGCATCGCTCTTTTTGGATTGGATTAAGCTCATGCTGAACCAACCGGCGATGAATGTTGAAACCCATCTTGTCAACCTATTTAATGTTAGCCACCGTTTAAGTCATTTTACGTGTGTGTAAGTTGAAAATCAACTAGCTTGTTAGCCCAGCTTGGCTCTGCATCTGGGTGGCATGAGCACTTCAATTGAGAAGAAAGAGTACCTTCTCATCGATCCCAAGAGCTGTACCGCTGGAGATAAGGAGCAAGAGAAAGACAGAACAGGAAGAAGTTCAACTTCGCTTACAAGAAATCAAACCCTTAGCAAATGCTAAATTGCTGACGTAGGAATAATGGAAGTCTTCCTCTTATGCTCGATGGCCATCTTCTAAAGGAGACATAATTGAACAGGCAGAACCTACCTTATTTGTGTAGTAGCTGATCTAGATGAAGCCAATATTTCAAATATCTTCTTTAATGGTATCTGCAATATCCTGTCAGTGAAGTGACCATAAAAGCATTCCAATAAGAAAGGAGGGGTCATCACGTGCCTGCAAAAACGTAGAACCTCCCACCAACGCAGCACAAAACGTAGGAAACCGCTGAACCTCTACTCCTCCTCTTAAAATCCGAATAAAAGAAGACAAGAGAGAGTAAATCGAGCTTTCTTGCAGATGTTTCCGTTTCCCAGTAAGATATGTGATGTGTGTAAGAACCAGCGTCAGAACCCTTGGCGCCGTGCTGGACAAATATCCTAACGCGTATGCTTTCAATACGGGGAGGAGTATTGGAGGGATATTCTTCTCGAACTGCGCTCGAGAGTGACGGGGTGCTGATACGAGCATGGTGTCTTTGGATGTGACGCTGTGATGTTACCGAGAGTTTGGATGGGAGAGATCCAGGGGAGCGCGTTGGAGTTTTGGTGGTGACGCGTGAGGGGTGCGTCGATCAGTAGTGTTATGAGAATATGGTCATGTTTTTGATGTGACTAGCGTAGGATGTCGAGATAGCTTTGATGGATCTTTCAGAAAGGATGGCTAAAGTTGTGATGTTGTAGGTGCCATATTGGTGTACGATGTTGAGGGAGGTATAAGTCGAGACAGGACAAGGGCCAAGGCCAGCAATACGTATCTCTAATAAGATCACGGCGAGTTGACCTCTGGCGGGTTGCCTACGAAAGATCTATGAATTGCAAGAAAGAAAGATTTGGTCTTTGAAAAATACCAGGAATTGCCTTGTGTTGTGAAATGCGCGAGAAACAAGTCCATGGTTGTTATTGGAGTGGAGGCTAGGCCGAGGTTGAAATCCTTCACAGCGTCCGTGCCAGAAAAGGAATTATAATTATCGGGATGAAAGCTGGGGAAATTGGGTATAAGTACCTAGGTAAGTGAAACAAACATGCGTCTTAGAAGTATCATTGAGGAGTAAACTATCTTTACAGATAACAAGAGTGGCTTTTGCTAGCTAGCAAGCCTTATTGCAGTCGTCTTCCAGACCTTCCAAATATCAACTAGAAACACACCAGCTCATTATTTACTTCTGATCATTTCTCAACGCTTTTGATATCATCACACGTCAGTCAAGATCTGTACGAAGGATTGGGAAACAAGAGAGGCGTTCCTGGTTTGCTCGACCAATCCTTGGTCTTCTTCAAGCTCACTTGACATGGTGGATTTGCATGTGAATGTTGACCCTCACGGACCTCACCCTAGCCCATGGCGTATGTTACCTCACTCGTCCATATGTGCATGAAAGACGTTGGAAAGTTGAAATGCGAGGGAAAATCCAAGATGTTCTCGATTTGGTCTGGTGGTTTGGGAATAAAGTAGCTCCCGTATTTGGTTCCTGATCTCCGTCCCCAACGAGAAAATCCCCCCGACCTCCGTGACCTTTTTACAGTGCTAGAAGAAGTTACCCCGGGATCCGGTCGACAGCACGAATACAGCATCAAAGCGATACTTTTCCCGCATCCTCGTAATTTCCCCACGATTAAGAGAGAGAGATTGTCATTGCCGGCCGAGGAGCTCAGAGTGGACCGCGGTTTCTTTGATGTGGTGCTTCACTGCAGTAGAAGCTCCCCTCACATACACGATTCACGCCGCAACGAGATAGAGCTCTTAGAGCCTCACAACGACTGCTGGTACTTCTGCCACTCCTACCACTCTCGCGCATCGCCTATACTCGAGGTCACCTACAACCGTCGCCTACACCTGTGTCGCAAACCATCGTAGCCACCTATTTCTGGGTTGCGGGACTCGGTACCATCCAAGAACCTTTTGCGGCGTCCCGTGGTCAGAATCTTTGGCGAAGTCACATCTCTGGCCGCAATAGACCATGATAATCCGCGTTACATTTACGAGCACATGTCCAGTTACCTGAGAAACAAAGAGAAGCCAGGGCACAATCAATAATCTTTCCACACCTGCAGATCGTTTGCGACCCAGAAGCAGCTCCGGGAGTCCTGGTCAGCATCCATGCTGGCTGTACAGCGTCCCATGATGGGTTCTTCTAAACCTCCTAACCTCGAGATGCCTTTTGGCTGTGAGTGGAACCTTAAGACTTTCTACATTTCTATACTGACGATTTGCAAGACAACTTCGACGCCTCTTCTACCTTTCCATTCCCCTCTCCCACTGCGCCTGCGCCAGGCCCCTCACTACTCGACGATAACGAATCGAAATTCCTGGATAGCTTCTTTGACGGAGTAAGCTCAGATCAGTTCGACTACAACTTATTTACAAATGCGCCGGGCGAAGCAGAAGCAGGGTTTGGTTGGGATGAGCTCCCTCCAACGTTCATGGGCACGACATCATCCTTTGGCCAACAGCCTCAGATGGGAGCGCAAGACGTACCACATATGACATTTAATGGCATACCCTCACAATTACATTCGGAATCTACCGGTATACCACCGTCAACCTCAGCAGACGTATTAGAGGCAGCTACATTATTGCAGAACGGATCTGCGGGCAGGTCACATAGTGTGGCGGATGGATCAATGTACCACACGCCCAATATGAGTTTATACCCTACCAATGGCCATATGAGACCACAATCAATGTCTCAGTTATCTGCACCACAGCCATATGGTGGAAATCACCAAAGTCAGAGTAGTGACGATTTCATGCGGGATACATACTTCTCGAGCATGGTATTTGGAAACCCAACCGAGACGACATTACGGCAAAGAAACGTGAACCAGAAACTAGACATCAGATGGGGTTCCGACGCATCTTTCGGAACGCCCCAAGGATTCATGGCACCAGGAAGTCAACACACAGACGCCGAAGTAGAGCGATCTCAAATCAACACTCTCGAAACCGCATTCAAACTTGAATCCGACGGTCCCCACGCCGATACCTCACATCCAACAAGTCCCATCAGTGCCTTCCGCCCGCCACGAACCGAGAAATCAAACACCCAACCCGACTCCGAACCCTCATCCTCGCCCCGCCCAAAGAAACGCCGGAAAAGCAAATTCCAAGACGAAGACGACGACACCCTCCTCCCCGGCTTCCGCAAACGCAAACCCCCGAAAAAAGACAAAGAGCCGGCGGACGCGGAATCAGGACATAAGAGGAGGAAGAGTACGGCTGCGTCGGTGGCGGCGGCGGCGAAGGCTTCGAGGGAAAATCTTACGGAGGATCAGAAGAGGGAGAATCATATACGCAGCGAGCAGAAGAGACGGACGTTGATAAGAGAAGGGTTTGAGGATTTGGGGGAGCTGGTGCCGGGGTTGAGGGGCGGTGGGTTTAGTAAGAGTGCGGTGCTTGTTATGGCGGCGGATTGGTTGGAGGATTTGGTGGGGGGGAATGAGGTGCTGAGGAGGGAGGTGGAGAGGTTGGAGGGACGGTGATGTGGTAGGTGTGATGTGAAAAATTGTTTATTTAGGGATTGATGGTCATTTGATATGGGAGTGGTTGGGATGGATGGGGGGCTTCGGTGGGATATGATTTGATACCCTGGGATTGTAGGGGGACGGACCACGGTACGTCGGATATAATACGCCTGCTGAGATAGGTGGGTGATTAGGACGAGTGTGTGATTCATCACTGAAAGACGAATCCAGCTCATAATGGTGTGGAGAACGGAACATGGCCCATTTCATACCAGATATGATGGATGAAAATATCTGAACTACGGCTATCCACATATTTGGGATACTGGGCATAACAGCAAGAGATATCCAAACTATGACTATGGATATTAGTCATGACAGAATAAGCTGTCTAAGCTCGAGCTATCATTGTATTTGAGCTACGTAAATACCACGATGATCTTATCTAACGTCAAACCTTGGGTGAGGTGACGGTGCGGGAGGGACTTGTATTTTAGAAATAGCAGAATCGTAGGGGATTACATGGCTATTGTGAGGGATGTGTAATGTAAAGAATTATTAACTATTATAAAGAAGTGGTGGATTTGGTGACCTCAGTGCATTAATCAAGTAGTCAAGTCAGCTACACTACTTAAGTAGTAACTAGAGTAGCGTAGTAAAAGCCGACAAGCAGCAAGTGTTACTACTAATTACTGCAAGCACTATACGTAGTATCAGCAAGCTATATACCGAGACATTTAAATGATGATACCCCGAATCGAGTCTCGGCTCGGTCCTCATATCTCCTCTGCGTAACCAGTCTGATTACCTACTCTCTAATCTTTGAATTCAATACACGAGATGACCTAAACAGAAAACCAGCCGCTGTCGCCGAATACCAGAACCCCCATGTATCTTCGTTCCATGCATCGGACTCCTAGATTGATATCGCACCGCCGACCACGTTTCCTACGTGCGAAAGATGTGAGGGATGTGTGTTTTTGGGTGTTGAGGTTTGTGCTGGGTTTGATGGACGTGGGTTTGAGGATGGGATGGTGATGTGTTGTATTTAGAGTTAAGAGCCAGGCGGAATGTGGGAATGTGTTGATATTGGGATTGTCTAGATTAGGGGGGCATGGTTGTGGGGAATAGAGGGGATGGGGTTTCTTTTGATTTTATATTTATGTTATATATAAATATCCGAGATCATGTAATGACGTGGGGTATAGTTTTGTGCTTGTTAGGTAGACTGATGATATGACATGGATTTTCTTTACTGCTAGAGGTGTAAAGCGCTGGGTTAGTTGGCATTTTGGAGGAGAAGAGTGTTTCTTTCAGATTGCGGGAATGTTTGAATGGTATTTACGGTATGAATTTAGATGCGGAATGCGATTTCGTTCTAGAGTATGATGAGCTAGGGATTGAGGTGTATGATCTGGATCTATCACTACAGTATTTATGTGATGGTTTGGTGATTAGCACTAGTAAAATAACAACGTCCGCCGATTAGTAGTCTGCTAGTCAACAATCATCCGTCCTAGATACACCACCGCTCCTCTGATTCCACCTGCGTCATCGTATACTCCCCCCTATTACTCCGCACAGTCCTCTTAACACGACGATATAACACAACATCACCCCTCCATAACATGCCACCGCCCATGCGCATCCATCGCAAACCGTGGAATCATCGCCCCACAAACCACGCACCCTTCCCTCCCCTCCACCTCCTCCTCACCATCATCATCCCATCCCTCTTCCGAGTTCTGAGAAAGAGGCAGAATCAGATCTTCAGAACCCTGTTGACGAAGCTCCACCGGGTTTTCTGTTTCCGTATCAGGTTGAAGGGAGTGAGATACATTGTGTTGAACCGAATCCACCACATCCTCCATCTCCTCAACATCATCAGGCGGAACATCCCTATCCACCACATCCCACTCCCTCTTCCTACTAAACAAACTCTTGATATCCCTTCCCTTTTCAGTAGACACTTCAACCATATTCGTGACTGCTACATTCATGAGACTGAGATCCCAGCCGGAGGGTTGGGGATGGAGGTATTTGAACATCGGGATCAGCGTGGACGTAACCAGCTTCTCGGCAATGGAATCTACGTCGTCTTTGAGAGTGAAAACATAACTCGGAAGCGGCGCCGACCTCGAGATCCGCGTGAACGAGCGTGTACGCGTCCCATCTGCACCAAGCGGCGGCCGCGGCCTTGTAGACAGACGTATGGTTTTCGGATGAGCGAGCCAGGCGTTGTCGGTTAGCAGGTCAATGTGCATGCGTTTCAAAAGGGTTGTCGTCAAAGCTGTCAGTTCCTTGCGAACTTCACTGAGCGTGTTGAGTCGGATATAGGAGTCTTCAATGCTAATCTGCGTAGGTACCTTCTTCACCTGTTGTACCTCTGAATCATCGATTCCATGGACGAGATTCCAGATCTTGAGACCGGTGCCGCGGTGGGAGCCGGGGCCAGAGAGGAGGGACTCTAGGAAGGCGGGGTTGAGAGAGGGAGAGGTGCGGACGTCGTGGACGGAGATGGGGTCTTCGGTTGGGCCGTAGATTAGACCTGTTGAGAATGCTGCCGGGCGGGAGAGGATGTGGTTTCGTAGTTTTTGGGAGATTTTGCAGCCGATGCCGGGGATTTTGCCGATTTCGTGGGGATCGAGGAAGAGCTGGACGTTGTTGGTTGCCTCTACTTCTGGATTTGGAAGAGAATCTGGAGAGTCTGTGTAAGGAGGGAGGAGTGTGGTTTGACCTTTTGGTTTGTTGAGGTTTCCTACTAGTTTGCTTAGCAGCTTGTTGGTTGAGATACCGACGGTGGAGGTGTAGCCTTGATTCTCTTCAAGGCCTAGTCTGAGGTATTGGGCGATGTGTGAGCCGAGAATAAGACGGGTTGAGAGGTCATCTTTTGGGTCTGAGAATTGAGACGGAAGAGGGGTGTTGGTTGGATCGTCTCGCGTGATGGTATTGGGGAATGAATGTCCGGCTATAGTTGTCGCATCATAAGAGAACCCGATTGTCGGGTCATTCTTGTTCAAACTAGTGGAAGATGGAGTCAGCTTGGACTATTCTTGGAGATGGGTTGAACTAGTTTTTCCGTATAAAGACGGTCTGAGATAGCGCTTTGAATGGTGATCAGGTGTGGAATCGCTGTTGAATGTCTTGACTATTTTTGGTAACAGTGAAATCTTGAGGTCGAGGATATGGAGTGGGAACCAAACCGGACAAAACAACGATAACGAAGAGCGTCTAAGAGATGCACTATTTTGCGAAAGTTTGAGCTTACTGAAAGAAAGAATTGGTCAAGTCATGAGTGTTTAGCAGACCTTGATTCCAATCGACCATATCGGTCACATCCATCCAGACTTCATCGAAACCAAGTCGTTCAACCTTACCACTCGAAGTGAACGATTCAAGATACTTGTATAGTAACTTTGATGCATCTCGGAAGCGCCCTAGTTCTTCTCCAAGGACGATAATCACGTCTGGACATATTTTCTTAGCTTCAGTGATCAATTGCAGTTTGTGCAATCCGCGTCTCCGCGCTTCGTAGTTGCAGGTGACCTGCAGGATGTATTATTAGAAAGAATGATTCTTGTATGACGACCATTATAGAAGTGTATGAAGAGCTCCACTTTAGGAGGGCCAAACAATCGATTGGTAGACAATTTGCATCTGGAAGAGGCAATCGCAAGCACGATTGGCAGGTCATTGCTGACCGGTTCCACTTGGACTTTCGATAATAGTCAAGGTCAATAGCAACCAGAGTACTGAGACATATTGCCTCTTCCAGATAACAGGAAATGCATCATGAGAAGAAATTGCAATCGTAGTACAGCTCTATTCGGGGAAAGGGTTCATACAATGATTTGTTTCTAAATAAAATTAGCACTCTCTAAATGTCTCTGTTAGGTGAATATTGCTACCTGTTGCACAGCCTAAAGATTGGGGGCGTGAGTCGTCAGAAACCATGTCTAATTTAAGATAGTTACTTGCTTACCAAGGGCATTGACTTCAAGGATGGGTTTTCTTGTTCGAATACGGACGCGTAAAAGCAACTTTAATTACGAAATCCCACTCGGTCAGCCACTAGTTCGTCAAGCTTGTCAAGCAAACAAAACATCAGGCGATGCGAGTTGTGAAATGATCGTATAGAAACGAAACACGTGGAATTCCTTACTCGTAATCCTAATTGTTTGGAGCATGTGTTAGACTTGCGTGACAGTCGATGTTTTGATTGCGTCACGGGAGGCTAGGGTTGAGCTGAGCTGGACTAACAAAATGTATAATGATCCTACGATCGTTCCTCTTTGAAGTCATGTTGTCGGCAGTGGGGAATTAAAGATGTCAAAGCTTGACCGACTCATTCTCAAGGTAGGCAAGGTAGTGACGGCGGTGAGACCGAAAATAGGTCTTGCGCAACGTGATCTGAATTGAGGTTAGTGATCCAGCAGCCATGTACCAGAATAGTGGTTGGGAATAGTTTCAAATGCAAAAACGTGATGTTTGGATTGATGACTGAGTCAGTCGGAGAGATTCGGCATATCGGGATCACCTTGTTTGCAAATGCGGGTGAGTCTATTTTGGGCGACTGGACTAGGGCTGGCACTAAAATAAGCGGGTCAGCTCGAGAACCCTTCGATTGATGTTCCCTTGATCTTCCACCCGCGCCACCCGATGTCCTGTCTCGAATGGGGAAAACAAGAGCAGAAACGCAGAACGAAACCAGAAACAGGAAGTTACCAATTAGTAGTGCCGGTATATGCAAAGACTGGATAGAATGTTCGGACTGCAGATGAGACTGGGAATCGCTATTTCGATACGTAGACCTAGGAATGCAATATTGACGGGATGGAAGTTTTCCGTGATTGAAACAATGTGTACCAAGTATTCGGTCCAGGAGTCTTCGAGTCTTCATGGAAAGGCAATGGCACAGACTTAGTCCGTGGGGTATTTGCTGAATACGTGTCGTGGCTCCGACCTGAGTAAATATTGACATTGTTCAGCCCTGTGTCTCTGTCTAATCTCACTTGTACGTGGAGTAGACGAGTACTCGAGGCAGTGGAATCTTCAGCTCTCGAGGCTTCCATGCATTAAAATTGCTTCTAGAATCAGCTGCAAGCCAATAATTCCGGACAAGCTTTTGCCCATGTTCATATTCGGACCCGAGGTTGGCAAAGCCTCGTTCAGGTGCTGAGAATTGACTTGTCCTCAACCATAGAGTTCACCCCGTCCGGTATCCAATAGGCAAATCCACCAACACACCTCCAAGTCGATTTCAAACGTGCCACCAACATTCTCAACTCCTCCCACGTCATATCATGTGCAGACCAACATGTCCATGGTAAGGTATCGTGCATCGTGTGTGACCGTCGGGCGGATCTTATCAAGCCGTTCCATTCTCAGATCGACGTGGGTGGAGGTGCAGGCAAAAGGTGTAAATTGGGTTTGCTGCCGATGGAACGATAACTGCAAGAGTGGAACCATCGCGTCTATTTTGTCGTCCAAGTGATGGTGACGAGAGTCTGCCCCTGTTTTGCCGCAAACGCAGACTGCTTGGCTCTGCCGCCAGAATGCATAGACTTTGGACCCTCGGCTAGTATCCTCGACACACCCAAAATAAATCGATCCCGGTGAGGAAGAGTGATTGGCCCTAGGTCGATGTGTCAGCCGCCATCCCTCCTTTTGACCCCCCTTTTGAGGTTCATGGTTGGTTCTGGTTCGCTCGGTTGGCTCTGTTGCAGCGTTGGGCCTTTCTCCTCCAACCACCAACGTGTGACGGCAGCTGCATCCAACCTCATCCAACCCTCCCCGGAGCACCTCACTCGCCAAAGCCTTCCCCCTCCAACTGAAATGCCTCTGTTTGCTCTCCTCGAGTCGTGTCCTCCTCGACTCCTCATACAAATCTGCCCCCATCCTGACCCCGGCGCTTCCCCCCAGTCCCGTGTCTCGTGCACCACTGGCTGATGCAAAAGCCACCGTCGGCCACGAACCGGCCTACGTGAGAGGAGAGCACAAGTCGATGTATTTTGGTAAACCGGACGCCCTCGACGCCCCCATTGGGACCTCTGCTCTAGAAATACCCGTCGCTCGCGCCTAAAGTGTTTCCTCGTCCCGCATTGTCATCTTGTCACCTGCATTAGACTCCTTCTTCGGCGTCTCCCCACAAGCATTCGAGACCCAGCACCACCACTCCACTCTACCACTCTACTACCCTACCCACGCAGACGATCAAGAGCCTCGTTTGTTCATATACTCGGCGCTTACCCCATTCAACCTTCCTGTTTTACTCTGTTCATTCATATACATCCCATCCACCTCGTTTCGTTTCCTCTCTCCGCTTAGAACTAAGCGATCCTTCCATCCTACAACCACCGACCTGATATCAAGTGCTGAGCAGGTCACCCAGGCTATAGGAATTATTTCTTCTCCCCAACCGCAATTATCTGGCCCGGATCCAAGATCTTGGCTTCCTATAATGCTTCTTTCTGTTATCAATCCATATACTTCAACCATGTCGTGTACACCGCAAACCTCGCCTCCTAAACGACCAAGGCTCAGCCTTCAGATCAAGACGCCTACGACGGCGGTAACATTTGGAAAGTCATCGACGGCGGTGAAAGCGGATCTAGATCCATCATCACCAACAGGATTTAATACATTAGCAAATGCATATGCGACGGCAATCGAAAATGCTTCGCCTAGAACCACAAAACCTCCAGTGGACTTCAAATTAAAACCAACATCATTACGATTAGAGACCAAGAACTTTGACAATGGAGGATATGTTCATCCAACGAAACGAACCCAGACACCAGGTCCATTCGCAATTACATATCCAGATACTCCAAGTTCCGCATTAGCAGGCAGGACACCCGTAAGCGGACGAGGAGAAAAGAACCCGGCCGCAACAGCATTTACATTTACACCACCCCAATCCGCGGGAGCAGGAGAACAACTATTACCACGAGTCTTCACATTCGATTCTAATACACCCAAAACCCCCAACGACACACCACCCACCCCCCGCACCGCCCGTCGACGAGCACAATCCCATCACACACCCGGCTCCCTCCCATATACCCACCCACGCACCCTCCACTCCATCCTCCGCAACTCCCCTCTACCTCCCCCCTCCACCATCGTCCCCCTCACCCCCTCCCGCTCCTCCCTCCGCATCTCCTCGCGCGCCGCCAAAAAAGTCGAATACCAAACCCCCCTCACCCAAACCATCACCACGGCCAAATACATAAAATCGCACATCGAGCTGCTGGCCGAAGACTCACCGTACTCCGCGCACCCCCCAGCTTCAGACATCGAATCGCTCGACCTCGCACTAGCAGAGACCAACGCCGTGCGTGACGGCGGCCAAACACCCGGTCCATTCGAAGACATGCGCCGCCGAATGGCAGACCAGGAGATCGAACCTGAGAACCCCGACGCGAAGCGCAGGAAGCGCAAAGAGAAGAAGCGGAAGTGGGAGTGGACGATCAACAGTGAAGGCGGGGAGCTGATCACGCCGTTGGAGGACGAGCAGGGGCCGATGAGAAGGAAGATCGCGGGGTTGGGTGGGAAGGTGGTTATTCCGCCTAGTCCGGCCGTGGAGAGGGAGGCGAGCGTTAGTACGGATAGTGAGATGAGTGAGGTTGAGGAGCGCATGGTTATGCCTTGTGTGCCGAGATTGGTGGTGCCTGTGCCGAGGAAGGGGAGTGAGGATTCGAACTCGAGTATACAGGAGGGGGAGAGGGGGCCGCCGAAGCTTTCTTTGAGTATATGAGCACGGGACTGGATTCTGTGACTTTTATTTGGATATTATTGGGATTTAGCGGGTTGTGTAGGGTAGATATTTAATTGGGATATGAAGTTATGAATATGAAGATTATTACGTGGTTAATTTATGGTGTTTCTGGTCTCATTCTTCGTGAATACTGGATTTTTTTGGTATCTCATAATTACGGCTCTATTCTACTAACCACACCACAACTTTACAACAACACCATCAAAAGCTCCGGCTGAAAAGTACAAATCGAACCCTAGATCCTATCTAACCTCAACTCTAAGAACTGTTACCAAGTCACTCAGTTACCGAAAACCAAAACCACAGTCCACTCAACCTCATCCATCTCCACTCCAACCCAACCCCGACCGAAAGTCCACGCACAACATCCAACACACGTAGGTAACCAAGTACCTCATCACCTCACCACATCTCCACCTCTCCAACAGCCTAGCAGGCCAGCTTACCGAACCACCCAAATCAATACCCAACTCCCGCCTTACCATCCCACCCGTCTCCTAAGCGCCCACCCAAACCGCCCACCAAAACCACCCGCGTAACCTTGACGTACAATCAGCGCTTAATTCCAACAAGTCAACCCGCGTGACGAGTCTTGAAGCGCCATCGCTTACCGAAACAAAGATTAGCAAAACCTATAGACGGAGCGCCTACTAGTGGCTTGGTTAGTGTTTTGTTTGTGGTGTGGCTTGAGATTCTCTGTTTAGTTGTCGATCTACAGTCTGGGGTACGGGGGGAGGTGGATTGGTGGATTGGTGGATACCTAGGTAGATACTATTTGTTTCTGCTTGGAAGTAGCCGTATGGTCGAAGCGCCAGAAACAGTGCCGAATTCCAGGTATCCTCTTCCCGAAGATCTGGGATCATTGGACGCCTTTCGTTTCTACCGTCCTTCTGCCTGTCAGGTAAGCGGGTTGTCTTGAAGCGCTGTCTGCAGACCGAGAAGTCGAGTCTGGGTTACTGAGTCGACGGTTCGTCATTGGGTAGTTTTGTTTGTGGTGTGGCTTTGAATTCTCCGTCAGGTTGTTAGGTGTCAGAAGTTAGAAAACTGAGCCTTTGTGGCTAAGATAGTTGGTGGTTTGGTTTGAAGCGCTGTGACAGACCGAGAATATTGCCTTGCGCTATTCGTTTGATTCCATTTCATTGGATGTTTGTTTTGCTCTACCTCAAATTCTCCGGCTGGTCGTCACATAATTACCACCCTGCCTGGACTAAGCCGTTGGCTGGTTGGCTTTTTGGGTGGGTAGTGTGTTGTTTGACAGGCCGAGTTGTGGGGTAGAGGCTCAGCACGCCTTATACAGCGTTTGGCGGTTGAAACATCGGCCGTTTGTTGTTTGGCCTATGTACCTAGGTAGGTTGGTTGAGGCGTGGTATGCAATGTGATTGAGATCTGAGTGATAACTTAAACGCTGGTAAAGACGGTCCTATGGAGAAGATTCGGGGGAATAATCAGGCATCGCACAAGTCTCGCCCAAGTGGAAAGTCTTCGGCGTTGTAGGGTAGACACTCGGCACGCCTTACGGAATTGGAGGCTGTAATTCCGCTAGAGGTTGAATGAAGGTCGCTTGTTGTTTGGCCGTATATACATTTGGTGAGGCGTTATGCAATGTGATTGAGACCAGAATACCATGTTGAAAGCCGACTGACTACTCCAGATCATAAGATCCGCTAGAGCTAAGCTTTCTTCTCATCGCCAATTGTAAGAGGTACAATCGTTTCAAGCTCTGGTGGAATTGTGGGGTATAAACTCGGCACGCCTTATACTGCTGTTGGCGGTTGAAACAACTGTCGCTTGTTGGCTAGTTGAGGCGCTTTTCATGCAATGTGATTGAGCTACTGTATGGCAGTACGGTTGTTTCCTCTATTTCCAGAAGCGGCGTTGTAGATGAGGGGGCCGTACGATAGGGATTGAAACAATCCTACTCTATTTGTGAGTTGACGAGGTGACACTGTAAGTGCCAAAGAGGAGTATGTATGAAGATATTGATAAATGGTAATAGATTTCATTCAAAACAAGCTTAATACTTCCCGCTCAGCTTAACCAACCCCGCCTCCTCATTCTCTTTCTTACTCTTCTTCGTCCACTCCGGCGCCTCATCAATCCCCTCATCCTCTTCCTTATCTCCCTGTTCCTTCGTATGATGCACCGATGTAGGCGCATGTTCGGCTGGCGAATAAATGGTATATAAAATCTACCCCAAAACATTAAACTTTTTCACTTTCCCCTCGTCCAAGGACAACTTACCAATGGCGAATCCCCAGTATTAACAAACTGGTGCTGTGTTCCCGCTGGCACAACCATCAAATCCCCTGCCTCAACAGCCTGGTCTTTGCCATTGATAGTGGCCATCCCTTTTCCGCTTGTGAATGTGAGGGCTTGGTCGACGGTATGCACTTCGTCGCCGATGTCACCGCCAACGGGGATGGTCATTATCACGACTTGGGAGTAGAGACCTGTCCAGAGGACTTTGCGGAATTCGCTGGAGGAGGCTGGGAGAGCCGTCGCCATCTTAGGGAAGTATGCCACTGGCTACCTGTTAGACTATTGAGCTTGGAAAAGGAGGAAGACTCACTTTCGTGCTCTGGAATTCCAGAGTTTGGTTTGAAGGAGGACATCTTGAGGGATGTGGTAAATGATCTCGTAAGATGTGATGCTGTTATTGTTCTTGAAGAGATTTGAGGTACTGAGGTACGTAGAGCTCGTGTGAATCTAGAGGTAATCATGGGAAATCGATGAGAGAGATGAGAGGAAAGAGGTATCAATTGATAGCTTAAGGAGAACGGAAACTACTGCACGTCATGTGTACACACGTAACGACTGTGACGAGGGGTTTCTTAAACCAACTGCTATATGCTTGCAGCCCTGAACCGTAATGGTGTGGTGATATCATCACTAACTCACTGGGATCGCATGCATCAAATGCAAGGGGATTATTCCATTTGTCCCATGGTAATGCCTCTTTGGGTGTGTCGATTAGCAATCTGGTCTGGCCAACACACTTATTTCAATCTAGCCTGTAGATATGTATAATTGCGGAGATGTTTTTGGCGTTCGGGATTGTTGCAAGAGAGTTCAGATCCCGAACTAAATCCAACAGGCTTCGATATCCATCGAGGTATCCGGCCCGGATTAACATTCCACCGCCAGAATATCGACATCCTTGTTCAAGAAGTCATCACATAACCTTGATAATGGAATAGATACACAATCGATAGCAATTATGAATGGATCTCCAAGATTATGGTCACGACTAAGTCGCAATAACGCAGCTTCAGGCTGGTTATGTTCATCATGTGCCACTTCCAAATCAACAGGCCAGAAACGGGCGACTCCCTTCTTCCAAAGCTCTATGAGGGCGATTTCCAACAGCTCGAAACCGAGGCAGAATGCTGCCCCAACGATGGAGCAACTGAGAGCACCATTCAAAACAAAGAATGCTTCGACTCTATACTATACTCTGAGTATAATTCTCGGGACCGTAGCGTTTTCCTATGGCTCCGTTCCTATGTATAAAATGGTATGTTCACCTCGCATTATCTACCGCATATTCTGACGATCCCCAGATTTGCCAAACCACAGGTTGGGGAGGTCAACCCATTAAGGCACCCGGGCATGGCGGAGTAGATGGAGGCGACCCGGCTGAACGATTAAAACCTGTCACGAACGCGAAACGAATTCGGATTACATTTAACGGCTCCGTATCCGATGTGTTACCATGGAAGTTTACACCACAACAACGAGAAGTGCGAGTTTTACCGGGCGAAACGGCTTTGGCGTTTTATACTGCTACGAATAATTCTCCGGAGGATATCATTGGAGTTGCTACGTATAGCGTGACGCCTGCGCAGGTATCACCGTATTTCGCAAAGATTCAGTGTTTTTGTTTTGAGGAACAGAGGCTGAATGCTGGGGAGACGGTGGATATGCCGGTTTTCTTCTATATTGATCCGGATTTTGTGAATGATCCGAGTATGAAGGGCATTGAGCAGGTCACGTTGAGTTATACTTTTTTTAGTAAGTGGGACGTTGATGATGGGCGACGGTGATAATACTAACGAACTGTAGAAGCAAGATATGATAAAAATGGCCATCTAACTCCGATGCCTGTATGAGCAACTGTAAAAACAACTGCATTTAGCATTGCGCGGCGTCTGAAGGGTTTAAATAGGACTGGGTTACAAGATAATCTATTGGGCAGCCTTTCTAGGACAAAACGAACTTCGAGAATCAATCAACTCTTCACACCACTAAACTGCGTTGACTTAGCGTGTGCACTTATCTTGGGAAGAAATTTGACTCATGTCCCAAAAGTGATAGCGTGCAGGCAATTCCGATCACTCGGCATCTATGATGTCAAGTAAGTATTGGTAGTCTACGACGGACTTTGGAACGACTTCGAAAAATTTCTGCCACTATCTCAATTTTTCAACAACGCAAACATTTTCACTTCGCACTTGACCGCATTTTCATGCTGTGTCCAATGTTCTCTTCTCGAATCTTCAAATTGGAGCTGAGAGCATGCTGTGGTCACACCGTAGTAGGGAAGCCTAGATGCGAATTCGTCAGTGTCAGCGCGTTAGCAAGTATGGTGAAGGTATGTACACGAATTACTATCTCCATCGCTGGTCAATTCTGCTCTTTCGGCCGGTACATTCTCTCGGCGAGCGGATCAGGCACCTTACCTGCAATACGACTGCCATGCATATGCAAGGCCTACAGCCTTGTGTCGTGGGGTCCAGTAGGCAACTATCACGTTTCCGCAGCTCTTCATAATCTCTGAAGTTTCGCTTTTCTTCGATTCCCATTCTCTCTTGTCATTTGGCATTTTGGAGTTAAGGTTTCAATCACTCATCTGGCATATAGTTGTGGAACGACCTAGACTCACTAGCCTTACGCGTTATAATTCACCCACACCATTTTGAATGAAAGTATGCAACTTCCCCCGCCAGCTTTGAATGGACAAATCCAAATGTCTGTTCTACTTAATTTCCAGTCCGAAACCTCTCCCCTCTTTTCATCCAACTATCATCGCCCTCGGATACGCGAAGGAGCAGAAGCAGAAATGTCGCAACATAATGTCTCTCACGTATCCATTCCTGGCCAGCAGAGCCTCTCAAAAGACACAGCGCCCTTCTTTATACTACCACCCGAAATTCATCTAAAGATATTTACTTTCCTAAACAACATAGATGGGATCTGTTTATCTCTAACCTGGTACCTGCCAACCCTTCTCTGAAATTCTGAAAATCTAACATAGACCTAGTACATATTTCTACGGTCTCGAGCCATCCCCACCGTACCCTATAAAAAGAAGTCAAGCTTCAGGAAGGTTTCGAGATGTGCAACCACTGCCATTAGAAACGGGCTCTCCATATCTAAGGAACCCTGTAATCCAAACTCGAGGCTGCAAATTCTGCGTGCCAGTACTTTATTACCCAGCACACTGCGAACTGCATTTCCACATCCGCGAATTCATTCCTGAGAACATGCGTTACTGTGGGGAATGCGGGAAATTCACGAGAAGTCTTGCGGAGAAGAAGTATCCAACAGCAATTAGAGCTGGAAATGCTGGTTTGAGGCCTGCACCATTAGATGTGACGCCGGGTTTGGGTGCCAATACTTTACCTGTGTTGACGCTTGAGGATCGTGTAACAAGAATAGAGGGGAGGGTACGGGAACTCCGTGAATCAGATGAACGCTGGCCCAATTCTAGTTCGCAATTAGAATTTACACCAGTAGACGCGGCACCGGTTTTGCTTGCGACCGATGTACCTGTGGAGGATGCGCTTATTGAGCTTAGCGATCGTATAAGGAGATTAGAGGGGAGGACGGTACGGGAACGCGATGCAAAGGAACGGCTGTCTGGTTCAAGCGGACAACAACCTACAAACACGCCCTCCTCGCAGCACTCCCCAAGATCGAAAACTGCTCTATGGGAACTTACATCGTCCGATGGCAGAAGTGCTATATGTGGAAGGTGTAGTGTGCCGTATATGCAACGCTATGAGGGAGGTCGGAGAATGCTGAATACGCGTCGTCCGGGCCAGAAATTGAGGGTGTGGTATAATCGGGAGGAGGAGGAGGATGAGTGATATCTAGCATATATGGGAATGGTCTATGATTTGATGGGAACTGTGATTAGGGAGGGGAGGGCAAGGGAGAGTATTTACACAGTGCATATGCGTACCTGGAGTTAACTGGAAAAGGAGACGTGGCGGGGAAAGTTTATGGGAGAAGACATAGATACAGCCTCAGGGTTGCGGGGGTTAAGAGATTTGGGATAATTTCGAAGAGGGGGGTTTTCGTGTTACCGGTATATTAATCTCTCATATTAAATGAGATATTTTTGACGAAACGAACAAGCGGTTACCCTCAGGGCAATTAAACTTAGAACCCAGTTAAACAATTTTGACAGGACTTTGGTTATTGAAAAGATTCAATTTTACGTACTTTCTTTCCGGAAAGAAGTACGAGAATACATGGATCAGCTCACAGCCGTCCTTCAAACCTGTAATAGGACTTCTCATGCCGTACTTCCGTCAAAAACATTTCAGCTTGAGCGCTATTCCGGGAGCCGTATCTAGCAAGCTAGTGGTTCGAAAGGCTGCGGTATCGAGCAGAAAGATGGTCTGATACAGTTTTTGTATTTCGATCAATCATTATACGAAAATATTAAATCAAACCATGAAACCAAATCGTCCTCTCAAACTCAAATCAGATATTCAAAACCCGACCCACGTGTTTGTCCATCGAATTCCAAACATGGGACTTTTCCTCACACCCGGGAAAACCAACTTGGTTCTAGAAATCTTGGCAAAAGCTTGTTTTCGCATCCCTGCAAAGTCCGTCATCCGTCCAATTGCCCCTCAGCAACCCTGACTTTCTTCTCCCAAGACACGCAAGACGACATCATCTAGGGCTTGGAAGTAATGGAGCTCCTTCTAGATCCATACGCGTACGGCCCTCCTCAGCTCTTGACTGGGCGGACGAACAAAGATCCCGTCGCTGCCGAGTTCGCGCTGAATTCTTGATGTCGTGAGTATTAGGGAGGTGTATTGCGCTTTCCTAGATTCTTATTTCTTGTTCTTTATTTTGTGTTTAGTTTTCTCTTTTGGTTTGAGTAATTGATTAAGCGGAGACACCAATTGCATACCCCTCGACAACCCCACAGACCTCACGATGATATCTGAAAAGGTCCACAAGCTTTGTACAGGCACGGAAACTGTCTCTAGCTTGTTGGCAGCAGATCCAACTCTGGCTCCAGGAGAAGCGTGGAAGAAGCTATATGGCGGACACTCAGCGGGAAAGGATGAAAGCACATCTACGGCGAAAGCGCATCGAAACGATATCACCTCCGAAGACTTAAAGCGAGCTCTCGAATGCGGGAACTGGGGACCAACGAAGCCGAGTGAGCTGTTCTTGAGAGTGAGTTACTCTATCGACATCTTCAGGCTAGGCTGACATGGTAGTTATACCATGATGCGTTGTGCACATTGGATAAGAGTGTTTCGGGGTGTATGGTTAGTCCGCCATTGATGGGCAGCTGTGGTACAATACCTTTGACAATCATTTCCGTGTCAGTAAGACATCCGTGTTAGATGAACTCGGCTGATAGGGGACCAGTCTTCCGGATATCATGAGACATATGTCAAATATGATTGTTCGTGCAGACAAAGAGGTGATACTAGCCACGAATTACTGTAAGTGTTCTCCAGCAAATCAATATCCATCGAGAGCTCTTGTATCTCAGAATGAATCAACGGTTTGCTGATGACTTGCTTGGAATTACAGGGCAGAACTCGGTTGCGTCAAAGTACATTACCAATGCGATGAAAGAACTATCCAAGCGAGCCGGTGAAAGGGGCGAACGAATAGTCTTCAAAATCGAATATGATCGTGGCAGTCCTAAGCAAGTATTCAACAATCACATGGAAATTAAAGAGGAGGAGTACCTGGGAAAGGCTGTCGCATTGCCATCGAAGGCAGAAATACCGAATATCGATTTACAAGTCATAAATTACCATCGACCATTGGTTGGGACATTTCATTGCAAATACATGATTGTGGACAGGAAGATTGCGGTTCTCCAAAGTAACAACATTCAAGATAACGACAATCTAGAAATGATGACACATTTGGAAGGCCCGATCGTCGATTCATTATACGATATGGCATTGATTTCTTGGAGTAACAAGTTGGAACCACCGTTACCAAGTTACAACTCACCTGCTGTACGTGGTGGCATCGGAGCTTTTGGCGAAGAAAGCAGTCAAGTCAGGATATTCGGACAAGATCGTGCGATCGAGAGGCAAGCGCCGATAATGGAATCAGGAAAGCGCCATAGTCAGGAGGCAAGCGCATACGACAATCAAGAAGTTAAGCTACCCGGGATAGTGTCAAAGGAACCTTCCAGCGCTACGACACCAACGGATGGCTCCAGTCTTGCAACGGGACCAAGTACTAGCAAAAGTGTCAGTAAGCCAATTCACGAGGAAGAAATACCAGAAGAGAACACACACAATGGTTATGGAAATAAAGACACAAGAACTAGCCATGACCATCCTCCTTCCGACGTACCGCACTCGGAATTTGAGACTAAACATATGGGAACGACGGAAAGACTTCAAGAGAATGCTAGAGTAGCTGCTACTACAGGTGATTTAGAAGATATAGCTCATGAGAAGCCAGATGATGGATCAAACGGACTTGTCACTGGGCTTGTGAAAAATCGTCTAAAGGATGGGAATAATACTAAACCAAGCACCAAATCTACAGCAGACTCTAATGGGAATGTGGCCTCCGTTTCTGATGCAGTACAGCATCATGGAGCTTATGGCCCCGACGAGGAATCTAAACGATACTTTGGTTCAGGAGAACAGCTGTTACCCGAATCACAGATCCAAAAACCTACTTCAAACCCAAAGACACTACCTGAACACACTGTTGATGACCCTCATTATGACAACGATATTGCAGGGGAAGTAGCCCGTGTCCAAACAGCAGTATCACCAAAAGAAGGAGATACTAGAATCGCAGCCGTAACCCGTCATCTCAACCACACCAAGAATATAGATTTCCCAGGAAACGCACCAGATTGTCCGGAACATGAAGAGATGACACCATATATCCCACACCCAGTTCATGAAGCATTTCCCATAGCAATGGTTTGTCGAGAACCATATGGAACACCTAATCATGCCTCAGTTTACAATCCGCAGAATGAGGTATGGTTATCTGCGTTACGGAATGCGAAAAAGAACGTTTTCATTCAGTCTCCAACACTTAATGCTTCGCCACTCATTCCCGCTATTATCGAAGCATGTGAAAGGGGTGTCGATGTATATGCCTACGTATGCCTAGGTTACAACGATACTGTAAGTCATCATTCGTTCTGTTTCTCTGAACCATCTAACAACCCCAGGGCGAACTCCTCCCCAAACAAGGCGGCACAAACGAAATGGTCATTCACAACCTCACCACCACTCTCTCCCCCACAGGAAAACCCCATCTCCACCCCTTCTTCTACATCGCCAAAGACCAAACCCTACCCATCCTTGCAGCGAAGAAACGCCGCTCTTGCCACGTCAAGCTCATGATCGTCGACGAACATATCGGCATTCAAGGCAACGGAAACCAAGACACCCAATCGTGGTTTCACAGTCAGGAGATTAATGTCATGATTGACAGTGAGGTGGTGTGCGCGGCGTGGATTGATGGGTTGAGAAGGAATCAGAATACGCATCTTTATGGCGCGGTGGGCGAGGATGGTATATGGAGGGATGAGAAAGGGAAGGAGGCCGAGGGCGTTATTGGGATTGATCCCGGACGGTTTCCGTGGGCGAAGGGTGTTATGGGGGCGGTGAGGAGGGTTAGGGGGGTGGGCGATTTTTGATTTTTGATTAGTGGTTGAGCGATGCTGATGGGTTTGTAGTTGAGGTGTATAGAGGTGTAAGTGGGTTGTGCCACTGTTGGTTGGTTTACTCTTTCAGGATCAAGAATTTTATCGATTTTGAGTCGCTTTCCAAATCCTTCCAAACGCCTCGCGTCTCAAATTTCGCACGCAGAGTCAAGGCATCTTTTATGTCGACATACTATATAAGAAAACAAAAGGAAAACGAGCACCACTACTGAGCGAGTATAAGCCCCTCCCCTGGTACACCAACCATTGCGTATCAATAGCTATGTAATCTTGAGCTACTTGATTTTCTTCCATCATGTAATGGAGCTCATAAGTACCTTCCAGAGAGTCGCTATATTTGTGTCTTCACCTTCTCATCATAATTCATCTCAGTCACAATATGTGCCGCTGCTACTTCCGGGTATCTGCCGTTCATTTTGATAGCCGTATTACTATCGGCCGGACTGTTACCACTCGCTTTGTTGTCACTCTTGTATGTATCGCTTTTCTCTTTACCGCTCGTATTGCTAGCGCCCGATTTGCTCGTCTCGCCCTTGACGCTCGACGGCTTACTTTTGTCATCCTCTTATTTCCACTCGCTCAGCGACGGCCTATAATCCTATGAATAATTGTAAGCAGGTAATATATCTATGGGATAATGGGACAAGACTGAAGTAGTCTGTCGTAACCTGTTTTATAGCTTGTATGCAAGCCAACACAATTCCTAGAAAAACAAGGTAGAACAACGCATTTTCAATCACGGGCTGTTTACTAAATTGTTCAGAAGTTGATTGGTGAGAGAGGTAAGATGCTTCATCTGGAGTAGTCGATTCGATACGTCGCTTAGAGCTCAACCGAGGAGGACATCCCCACTTCCACGACCTCACAGCTCTCATCAACTTCATTAATCAATTCCATCACCACAACGTCACTTTCTATTCGTTTTTAATCCTCCGTCCATCAGCATTTACCGCCTACTTATAGACTCTCCCCACCTGGGCGTCAATTTCGAATATTTGGATTCCACAAAGGTGGCGCGTTGAAAAGCGCAAACGAACGCGTCTCGCGCTGTCCATCTCTGCGACGTCCCAATCCGGATTCAAAAGGTTACCAATGTATGCAAAGCAGCCCGCGCAGTATCATGCAGGTGCTCAATTCGCATTTGGGAGGAGCTCAACGTCCCAAGAGCAACATCGCACCTTTTACACATGTTGATCACTTGGCAAAAGGCTTAGCTCTTGCCTGTTTTGGCGGGCAAGGGCACCGATAAGTGATTTGTCGATATATATTATCTTTAGCCGCAGACTTGATCATGCACCCCTCTTGGAGTCCAAGGGTGGGGTGGCGGTTGGTACCTGAATCCGAAATGTGTATATCAGACGTTGTTGACCTGGATTTTTGAGGTAGGTTTTTGTATCTCTGTATCTTTGTTTGGATCGAGGGCCAATATGGAACTTCTCAATGCTATCAAACCTCGCTGGGGACTTTTGACGGTCACCCTGACGAGTACCATTCTGGGTCAAATCGCCAATGCACTACCAAATCAACGGCGCGAGGCGTTCGATGCTAGCGATCCATTTGCTGTTATTGATGCTCAGAATTGGGTAAATCCAGACAACATGACTTGGGCAGATTGGAAAACTCCCCCAGGCACTGACTGGGCAAATCCCTCCATCAGAGGATCAGTTCGAAATTTCAACATTGCTCTTGTTGTTGTTGACTATTCCGACCTCGATTTCGCTATCACATTACCAGTCCACTCGACAATCTTCACCAATCCGCAGCCTAGCACTCCAGCAAACTTGACTCGTGCTCAAGTTCCTACGTTCTACAGAGATTTCTTGAATGCTCCAAATGCGCTGAATAAAGGACATACTTTACACGAATATTGGATGGGAGATTCCGGGGGTCGCTTCGGAGTTGATCTCACTGCTTTTGGAGCCTACAGACTGCCATCTTTGTCATTCCAGTACGGTATCGACAACAGCTTCAACGCCGGAGAATGCCCAACAGGATCAACATGCAACCGAAATATCCGTACGGACGCGCTTGCAGCATGGAGAGCTGAGATTGGTGCCCCTGCCGCGGCCGCCTACGAGCTGGTGTTCATCCTCAGTGCCGGCCAGGATGAGAGTTCCACTTGGCAAGAGTTTGGTGAAATGTTGTTCCAGTCCAAAGAAGATATCCCTGATTCTTTCGGTCCACCTGTCGGAAATGTTACACACCGAAATTACGCAAAGACCAGATACCAAGATTGGTCGTCATGGGCAGCGGCAGCCACTATATGGCCAAACGCTGGCGGTGGTTCCTCAACACAAGCTGAGAGTTCCGGGATGGGCACTTACGCTCATGAACTTAGCCATCTGTTGAGCATCGGAGACAATTACAACAACCCATACAGTGATCCTCCTCGTCGAGCTTACACCGGTCCTTGGTCCATGATGAGCAGAGGATCATTCAATGGTCCAGGAGGGCCACATACAAGATGGCAAATTCCGCCTCAGGAGGGTGGCTCTATGGGATCTTACCATACAGTGAGAGACAAGCTTCAACTTGGGCTCGCTCTCAACACGAGTGTCGTGATTTTATCCCGCGAAGCATTGGCCGATTCCGGTCTTGTTGTTGCTACGATTCAAGCACGTTCTGTGGCTCCAGGAGCAGGTCAATTGATGGGAATGAGAGTTAGACTGAGCTCTGATCTTGCACCAGCGTGTGATGTCAACACCGATCCTTACTGCGACGGGCGTGGTTACAATAACTACGAGCTCGAAGTCGTGGACCGTATGGGAGCGGACTCCTTTCAACCAGACTCTGGAGTCATGATTAGTAAATCCAAGAACAATGGCAATGCTGGACCTTTCCAGTGGACTATCGACGCAAACCCACAAGACATCAGAATGCTCAACTTCTACCGCCCTAATGGTACGGCGGAGTACATCACTATTGGAGATTACCGACAATTGGCTGATGCCCTCTTCCACGCTGGTACACGCTCTGGTAGTGAGTATGAATACGTCGATGTTGGCAACTCTCTCCATTTCTACATCATCGACGTCCAGCGAGATGCCAGAGGCGTACTTTCCTACACGACCGCTGTTCGCTCCCTCGGCGGCAAAGGGTCAAGCATTCACGGTGTTTCTCTGACCCAAGGCCAAGCTACGACGGTGGATGCATCAAAAGGCATGACATGCACTTTCCAACTTGACAACACTGGTTCATTCATTGCGAGTCGTGGTCGAGCACATCCCCAGAACGTTCGCGCATACCTCAACTCGGATGTTTACAGATTGAACGCCACAGTCGATGCTGCTGGATGGACTGTTGTAGTACCAAATGCTTTGTCCACTGCTGAGTTTGGAAAGGCAAAGACTGTTCAAGTTGCTGTGGCTGCTGATGCTTCCGCGGCCCAGTTTGCGGTTGTCAAGTTGACTGCTGTGTCTGAGTCTGACCCATCTAAGGTCGCGATGAGTTTGTGCCGTGTCAGAAAGTGAGGAAGATACATATACATATTTATAAACATATATTTCTTGTACATCCCTGTATGTAAAACTGAAGATACAAAGCTCTAAGCTCATCCAAACAGTGCCTTTTCCCTTTCGAACAGAAGGTCTGCTAGTCTCGCTTATTTTGGTCCACTTTTATTTCAGCCCCTTCATGTCGTTCTTGCCTGCGCAAGAACTGCCATTCGCGAATCAGAAGCCGCGCATTTACTTGGGTCTTAGGGCATCTTCGCAGCCTCGTTGTGACCTTGCCATCTAACTTTCATTTGTTTGCCTTTGATCTCTTTGAGTTCGTCATTGCTTTCTTCTCTTCTTCAGGTTATTGCTCTCCCCAATTTCGAAGCTTGAACTTCAAAGACTTATTCCACATCATCGTTCATCTTTACCTTCCGCGCGGAACCCTGACACGCACATCTTGTTCAACCTTGGTTTTCTCTTTTGCCAGTCGGTCCTCAAAATCAGCTCTATCAAGCAAAGTTCTATTGTCGTTACCTCACATTCTCATTACCGGGAACATCCTCATCTCCAAATCAGTCATGCCTCCCAAAGAGACACCACAAGCCAAAAACAAGGGCGGTCGTCCTAAAGCGGCGTGGACACCTCGTCGAGATCAGAAAGCGGTTCACCTATACACTTTGACAAAACTTACCATGTTGGCAATATCTGTTGAAATGAAGGAGGAAGGTTTTGCTCCCAGGTAAGTCCATCTTCCGAGTCATCAGTCAGTCTACGACTAATGAGCTCCGTTCATAGCGAAAGTGCAACACAAAAACGGTTGAAGGACTTGCTGCCGAAGAATCAAGTCCAAGATATCAATGTTTTTAGACCTCGTGATGAGGAGAATATGAAACTACGCTTCGAAACGCTCAAAGCCTGTCATGGACAGGTCAATACCCGACGTATGAGAGAGAAAAACGATCGCCATCGACGGCGGTTGAAACGTAGAACTCGAAGAGCGAAGAGGATTGCTCAGTTCGATGGGCCACAGCAGGCTTTCAAGGCAGGTTGCTCTGATAGCCTCATTCAATGGGGTTTGCCATGTGACTCGTTGATATCGAACAGCGATCCGTTGCCGTCGAAATCGGTGCCTCTCACCCCAGCACATTCGCCTCTTGAGTTCATTGACCCGAAATTGGTTGAATCTACAGTATCCCAACTTGGGCACTATGACAAACAGCTGCAAGAGGAGGACAAAGCAGATGATACGTCTCCACAACCTGCGGCTCTTACTGACGACTTCAACTGGTCGCCTTATGTATCCGTGAATGGTGTGGCTACAGCGATGAAAGAGGGGGACCCGCTCCTGGCTGTCGCAGAATTGACGGCTCCTTTCATAATATCACCCTATACCGATACATCGCCCCTTCTGTGCGAGGAAATCGATGAGTATCTGGGTGAATTGCCTGGAACCTCCGTAACAGCACGGGAAACGCAAGTAACTGAAGAAGATCAATTGTCACTTCCATTATTTTTTTCTTGGGAAGAAGAGGAGGAGGTACAGCGTAAATCCGATCATGCACAGGTGGTACTTGACAAACTCAGCAAGCAAATTTCTGATGTCACGCTTCAACCTAAAAGATTTGTGCTTCTTAAGTACGACACCATTTTCAAAGCAGAGCACACAAAATTAGTCTCACGCTTCTCTGGTGCTAGTTCCACTAAATCAAGCTTGATGTCGTGGGCTAGCCATTTGACTTCGCACCGGTCATATGGCTCCAGCATACATTCCGTTCGGACAGGCAGCTCAGGATCCAAGGTTAAAGCACAAAGAGGCTTTTCGGCAATAGCAGTTGCGTCTCAGGACCCGCTATCTTTAGTAGAGGAGCAAGCTTTGCCAGACACAGTTAACGGCTCAACCACTGTCGTTCCTCCTTTGCGGATGCCTGCCACATATTCTTCTAAAGAGGAAGAAGCCTGGCTAGAATTAGTGGGTAAACCAAATGCAAAGTCCTATTCTTCACTGTCAGGAAGCGCTCGAGCGTGTTGCAGGGCAAATGCACCAATTTGTCATGAGTGCGGCATACGTACTACAGCTTTCCAGCAGTGGAAACAGCTACCGAGAGCATCGCAACCCTCTGGGGAGCTTGACATGATAGATCTTGTAATTGATTTCTACGGAAACACCCCCCTTCATTGGGCAGCTCACTACAGTGCGAGCTCACTAGTGCTGTCGTCGTACGAGTCTTCATGGTCAATAAGGAAAGCTAGCCCTGTGCACTCCACGCCATTTTTGGGCCCACAAGATTTGGCGGAAAGATATAACACTCTTGGAGAGACTGTATTGCACTGTCTCAAAATCACTTCAACCGCCGAAATTATCCAGTATAGCGACATAATACGCTTGATAGCAGATGGAAGAAGTGTAAGGAAGAGCCATAAGCATAGGGTCAAGCAGCGGGACTGTCATAAAGTACAAAGAAAGCGGAAGCATGATTTCAATCGACGAGACTGCCATGGACGAACGATAATACATCGATTTCTCCTTCAGCTTTCAGAGGATCTCCTACACGAAGTATTGCCTGAAAAGGGTTTGACCAATCTATTGGATATGACTTCAATACCTCTCGATGCGACTGACAATCAAGGAGAAACCCTCTTTGACATATTGGTAGCGCGAGAAGTGCCACTAGAGTTTTATTCTGGACTTGATTTTCGGGCAACATTGGACACTACACTCGCAAAAGTGTTCGGCGGTTTTACTGATACACGACCCGTAGTCTACTCAGCGCTGAGCTTCATCGAACCACAATTCTCTCTCCTCATTATTCCCGAGTTTTGTGCTAAAATGTTGGACATCAATTGGATTGATCTAAATGGCGATACTATCTTACATGCTGTAATCAAGTACGATATCACTAAGGATCCACAACGTGTGGAAGTATTGCTACATCAGGGTGCAGATCTCGGCATCAAGGACCGCAAAGGAAACACAGCTCTGTCCATTGCTGTAAACTTGGGTTCCCTGGGTATCACACGGCTGTTATTGAAATCTGGAGCCAATGTTCACAGTCGGAATTATGGTGGGACTGGAATTTTAATGCAGGCAGCAGAACACATGCGTTCAACGAAGCAGGACAAGAATCACCAGTTGGGAAATGAGATTCTGAGTTGCACAAACCTACTTATTGATCATGGCGCAATTCCCAACCCTGCAGACATGGATGAGTGGATGACAGCGGAGGGTCGAACAGCGCTCTCTGCTAGTCTTTAAATGGCAATAGTTAAGTTATTTTGACTTGACGGTGGCTAGACAATATATACTTGATGGTTCGATATGGTTTATGGTATACTATTATAGTTTCGGCTTGGTCAAGGGCTGGAAAGTGAAATGGATGGAAAAGTACAGTGAAGAATTTGATGTCATGATCTGGCTTGGGACGTGTAGTTTTGAATATTTGTACATCATAGCATGGGAGCATAACAAGATTAATTTTACGGCTGAGTTTGGTTGAATTTTGATGTGGATATCATTATTTCCATTTCGATGAAAAGCTACCACCTGTGGAAGAGTACATTCTTTTTACGGTCTTTTCAACGTCACGTTTATTATTAGATACTTGTAATTTGTAAAATGATATACCTTAACGATTCAAAGAAAAATTGAAATTGCAAATTGTGACATTCTTCAAACAATCGTATCCATCTACCTTTAGATGCTGGGTATTCTTTGAACGAGAATCACTACTTGTTATTTTCACTTTCGTGGCACTGATACAAGAGCACGACACCATAAATCCCCGCGCAACGATAAAACTATACCAAAATGTCTGGCGTCCACTACGAGACTCAAACCTCTGCAGCTCTAAAGTCTTTGGAGTATCTGCACTCACCTTCTTTTCCCCGAACAAAAATGATTTTCTTCTGGAAAAAGAGGACGCAAAACCTTGTGTAACTGAGTGTCTTCACTGTCTTGTAGACTTTCATGGGTCTCGGAAAGAGAAGCCGAGAAGATGCACATCGTTTCTAGACTTCTGCAGTCTTTAGAGAACGAGGACTTGAATGATTTGAAAGCGAATGATGGAACTTTAATGTTAGATTCCATCGTTATATCGAACAAAGTAAATACTTTTAACACTAGAAAGAATAAAGATATATCAATCTATGTTTTAGTAATTATATTAATTATGTTAATTATATTAATCTTATTATTTATATTTACATTTATTTTCCTCCTTATACTTATTTTATTAATTATATTTAATTTACTAATTATATTTATTTTACTAATTATATTTATTTTGTTAGTTATATTTATTTTGTTAATTACAGATCTTATATCAATCACAGATCCCTTCTCAATCAAAGCGATTTTGTTAACAACATTAATCACTAGCCTTCTTCACCCCTTCCCCAAAACCAGCCCAGCGGTGAGAAAATCCCCACAATCTCCGAGGCTCTGACATCGCTGTCAAGTTCGTATATATTTCTGAAAATGAAACTTCGTAGATTCATGATATAGTGGAATCTTCTGTTCTAGCTCCAGCTTGTTACTCGGAGAAGAGTAGGAATACGGATATATTAGAAATTGCATCTGTGGAATGATTGTGAATGTACGTTACTGGTTGACAGTATTCCGAGTGATGAGATAGAATAGGATCGGCGGACAGCAGGTGATACCGTAATAGGAATTGCATACCATATTGTCTATTTAGTTGAATTTCAAAGTGGGAATAGATCATGTCATATATCACAAGTCACATTACACAATCAAAAAGGCACAAGAGAAGATTTTAATAAGGGCAATTTTTGGTATTGCATTGTTACAATTGGTGGTGTACATGTCTTTTAATGCCTCAAAGGGGCTGACGATGATGATGATACGTCCCCATGTCCGTTAATCGTATAAGTCGTAAGGATAATGTTACGATCTCTTGGTAAACGCCATACGCCAATCCGCCAAGGATTTTTTGCCCAGAGCTTCGTGTTCTTCACGAAGCCCATCCATACCGTTCTCGGTTCCAGAAGTAGAGGAAGAAAAGGAAACATCATTCTCAGGTCTGAACATGTCCAACCTATCACACGCCTGTCTGACTTCCGTCGCTGCGTCCAGCTTGGTTGTCTTCTGCGTTCGCTCCTTCTCAATCACATGAATGGTCCAAAGTAGCGTCATGAGTCGTTCCACACTAGGTGAATTCCCGTCCTCACGACGAACACTCACATCAACATCAGAGAGACAGTCGTGGATAAGTTGCTGTTCAGACGCTGACCGCATTGCCGCCATCGTCGCATCCATAAGAGGACGCGCCAAGTTGGGGCTGCAGGCTAGCAGTCGTCTCAGCATACGAATCCGAAGACCGCATCTCGGACGTGTGTGGGTCGTCGTGGATGAGGAACTCGTCGAGGTCGAACGAGTCGTAGGCGCCATCGTGACCAACCATATGATCATAGTTAGATTTGAAGTTGTCGGCGATAGGGAGGATGCTGTTGTCAAGGTATTGTAGATCTGATTCATTGGTTGAAGGATCTTCGAAATAGCTTGAGATGTCAAGATCAGTGCTACCAAGGTTTGATAGACCACTGAAGTCGTGGCTGTCGTTGAAACCATCCAGGGCCGTTGCTCTCCCGACTGACACTGCAGGTCGCACAACATCGCGGCAGGATGTTGTGTCATATCGGAAGAGCTGGCGTTGGAGGAATCGGCGACGGGCCGCATCTCGGGGGATAGTGAGGCGGGGTTCACAGTTTGTACTGCGGCTTGGAGATCAGATATTGATTGGGTACTGATGGCGGAGTTGTGGGGATCTCTGGAGCTGAATAGCTCTTGTGAGAATGTGACTGGTGATGGTGCTCGGCGCAGCTCTTGAGCTGGCGATGCGGCTGGTGATCCGAATACATGCATCTTATTGCCTGTGGCATTTTGAAGTGCTTGCTGGAGGCTGAGAATCTGTTCCTGTTGATGTGCCAGGCGCATCTCGAGGTCTTGATTCCTTCGCTCGATCTGTCGCTTCTCAGCCTCTAATGCTTCTACCTCCTGTCGCTTGCGCTCTCTTGATGATTGTGCTGCGCGACGGTTGCGGAGGACTCGCTCGACCCGACGTTGTTCTTTCTCGTCTTCGGTCTTTGCTCGTTTCCTAATGAACGGGTTAGCTGATTGATCGACAATGGTAAACTTGTGATCGAGTATGTACCTTGGTGGTAGGTTGGTCTTTGGCTCTGGGAGTTGTTGGCCCCAAGACTTCCGCTTCTTGACTGGCTTCTTTTCTGGCGCAGGGGTATCTTCCAGGACGCTCTCGCCCCGTACTGATCCTCCAAACATGCTATCCTCGCCCTCGTAGGACTGAGGGGTCATTACTGAATCCATGCTGTCGTCCATTGTGTTGGAGTCGAACAGAGATGTGTATTGTGTGCCAGGGGTGGAGGCGAAGCTATCAGCGAGACTGTCGGCGGGCGAGTGCTCGAACTTGATGTGTGGTTGGGTCGACATTTTGGTGGTATGAAATTATTGTACTGATGCTATGACTCGGGATGGAATGGTCGGGAGTATTAGCTATTGATGCAGGTTGTCGAGGTCCGCCAGTACATGTAAGGAAAGATGTGCTATTGCATGCTGTGGAAACTGTGTCCAGAGCCGTGGAGGCGAGAAGGTGACGAGCAGGATGACTCAGTCAAAGGGTGAAAGGCAGCGAGGTGGTGAGCTGACGACGCGACCCAATCAAGAGCGGGTATAGTAGTCTTTGTATGGCGACTCGTAATGTGCTGGGATGGTTGGGGTTGCTGGTGTGATTTTGTGAGTCTGAATCCGAGGGAGAACTGGATGCCTTTATGGAAAGGACACGGTGTTTTAAATTTAGGCGTGAGCTGAGCCGCTAGCCGCTTTGGGACGTCTTACATGGCTGCCGTGAATAACAGTGGGGCTCGTCTGTAGCCGGCGCGACCCCAGGCGAGAGAGGCTCAGGGGGCTCGGCTGGGGTGGGTCGGGTCCATTTTGCTTCTGCCTCTCGTCTGCAGGGCTCGTTTAACAGAAGGAGCTCAAAGGAGTCGAGGAATAATTATTTGGTTGGGACCTTCCGAGGAGGCGTGGAGGCGTGGCGATCGAGAAGATCCACTTCTAGCCCCTCGAGACCCTGAGATAACAGCCTCTAAACTCTGGCTATTATCTATTAGGACGGAGTAATACATGGTAATTATCTAGAATCGTGCTTGTGACTGTGTAACTTTTACTGCAATGCCATATGATCTCAAGTCTACTCTCCTACCACAAGCTATTCATTTAGCTACCACCTCGTAGAGCACTACTGTACGAGGACCTTTCGCTGAGAGTGCACCATGTGGATAACCCGTGCAACACCAGAACCTGATCGAAGCAACTTTGACGACGTTTCACACCTGCCCCCTCGGCACTGCTCCACCAACCCGAAATCGCTCGAATTAGGCGTGAGCACAGCTCTCCTGCTTCTCCTTGCACCGCGAATTCGATAACGACTTGTTACACCAAGAGTGATCAGCTCCAACATAGGGGGCCGCGACAGGCTCCTGCTTAACTCGGTTGGTATCCCGATTATCTTGGCCCCGCCATCACAGACATTTGAGCAGCGAACATGGCTCCGGAGCAAAAAAGGGTTCACGATTAGATTGCCATCTAGAACGGTAACAGCATCTGATCTGAATTGCTATGAACTTGACGATTGTTTCCTCTAACCACCGCTAGAAACTTTTTTTAGAGTCTCACAGCATATCCTGACTCAGCCCTGTCTGTCGTGCCCTTCGCCCACGTTATCCCCTCGCCCCCTTCCTTCGTTGGAGAGGCGCCAAAGGGACGACCTTTACTCGTAGTCTCGTACCATGAGCATTCCTCACGTCAGATCAAAGCGTTGGTTTTCCTCCCTTACAACATTTTTCACCGTCTGTTTCAGGGTAGGGTTGCTCGTAAAATACAGTCAACTCTTATCTCGTTTTACAAAAACAGAGCCTTTACTTCGCTTACTTTGTAATGTAAGACGAGATTTTATGCCATATACGCTCATCTCGATATCACCAAAGTGAATACGGTACGATGGATTAGGAAAGAGAGTCGTATGGTAACAGGCGACACAATAACCAAATCTAGGCTTCTCTCCACACAATCACACGACATATTCTATTCTTGACCATTTCAACCTCGTCTAACCCACAACCAAAACGCGGGGAAGCCAAAGAAAAAAAATCTTCTTCCCCAACCTACAATATTTTTATATTAATTGAATCTCGCACGAGTGGTAAACGACTGCCTCGCGAATTATCCGTCGCTGTGCGTCCTGCTTCCGAGTTCTCGATCTGGGCAGATTGTGGGGAAGCGTGGTGCGGACATGCGATATTGCCGGTAAAATATAAAGAGGCGGGCGGGCCGTTAGGCAATTAAATAGCGAGCATTACGATTGGAAGGAGAAGGTTTAATTGTTTTGAGAGCATGTGAATGGTACTTGTGATCTTGTAGATTTTTTAAAGCTGATCCGTTTGCTGGAATGAGATGGTGATCCCTTAACACCGAAAATATGAAAATACCAGAGGGAAAATATCCTCAGTTTCAAAGCCCGCTCTGATCACAGATTGCGCAATATGACTAACTTAGGATTGCGCAACATTACATCCCTTCGTTTCAAGTTCTTCGAATGTCGGGAAGAATACAACATCATCTCTACTGCGCAACACTAATACCGTAGCTATCGCATCCTCTATCTAAATGTAATTTCGTACGACTCGACAATCCTCTACGCCGCCGAACGACATCAAGGATTCCGTTTCAAACAATTTGGGCTGTACAGTGTACACACCACAAACACTCCATCTGATTCGCTGAAAGTAATACATGAAACGAAAAGATCCTGTGAATACCACGTTTATTTCCCTTCGCTTCCCCGGATTTGCGAGAAAACGTGGGAATCTTTCCGTGGTGTTGTGCTTGATCATAGAAGGATTTGATGAGTTGCGTGCTTTGAAACCTATGCATATGCTATGTAGCTCTGTGGAAAAGTGTTTTGTGTGTCAGTGTTTACCTTCTAGATCTGTTAATGTGGCCGTAGAGGATGGAATCGAAGTGAGTAATTGAATACCGAGTGATCCTATACTTTCCATCCGCAGCGCTTCTGAATAGAAGGTATTGGTAAGTGTGGGGTGAAGGATCTAGTAAGTTTATTTGTGTAGACTGTATCTTTCGTACAGTAATACCCCTCTCACCATTTCTCTTCTTTTCGAACCATCCAACCTCATCTCTCCAATCCGCAGCACTACTGTAACCGCCAGAGAACCAACTGTGGGGTTCACGAATCCAGCAAACCCACTAGTCTCAAGATCTTTCGTAAAATCTTTTTCCAGCAAAAAGGATTTTAGCTTGAGGCTATGATAGGTCTAAAAGAAGGGTTATGGTGGTGGGCGATGTTGGTTGGTTGAAGCGGGTGCGAATTGATTACTGGGCTGTGTTGAGTTGTAAATAGAGTACGTTTTACGTGGGTGTGGGGGGAGAGTTTTTGTTTTTGGGGGTAACAAGTGGGTTGGGTTGGGTTTGCTGCGCGGTATGCTGGGCTTATGTGTTAGTGTTGGTGGGTTGGTGATGGGTTTGGTTTGGATGTGTTGAGGGAAGAATATCTAATAGGAGGGAGTTTGAGGGAAAATATGTTGGTCACCTGACTTACCTCTACACTGATGATTTAAATTAATCTCCACCAATGGAAAATCACAGTGTTTATAATTTTGATTCAAAATTAGGTACTTTAGCCCTCACAGTCATAATATATTTCTTTGAACCTCTGCTTGAACGTCGCAAATGTTGAAAAGCACGTGATGAGAATGTTCTATTTTGGGCTCTCGCCCTAACAAATTCGTATTCCAAGGTCCTCTCGACTCCGTAGCCGCGACGCCGTTGATTTCATCGACCGCTAAGCATCTCTGAAGCGACTTCCTAATTGTATCATCATCGCGCATGTCGAAAAGCGAAGTGGAGTTTGGATGTCGGCATGGTCTGGAAACCGGTATCGAGCACGATAATCGCGGACCCACGCAATTGAGCTAGACTCAGAAACCTATCGTCACTTGAACGATATTCATCATCAACAGCAGGAATACGGATGTCGCGTTGCTCTAACTTTAGCACTTCAGACGGCTTCTTCCTGTCACTACATTTTGCACCATTTAATAACAGAAAAGTTTTTCAACTAAACAGCTTCGCGATAAAATTATGAAAAAAAAGCTATTGACTCATAGAACTAGCCAAACTATTCACAAAGCTATCAAAGACTGCATCGTCCGAGCCTTGTGGGCAAGCAGGCTAGAACAATGGCATGCTCTACTTCACAATTTTTTTATTTCGCTTCAACATTGGCAAAGCAATGATTTCGGATAGGACTGCCACCATCGTCGCCGCTGCAATTGCATTCAAACGGTATATCTTAGGCGATTCTATAAAAGATAAAACACCTAGAGTCTAAAGCTAGCATCGAGACTATGCTAAAAGTTCCTAGGAGAGTATGGTTCCGGGGCTGCTCGGATGAAAGTAGGAGCTGGAGCAAGTCGCAGATTTCGCTTATTATTATTTCCTGTTATACAACGCAAGTCGTCGCATTTGGTATTCCTCATAGAGAGCGTTAGCGATGATACCGGATCTTAGATCGTTACTGCATGACTGTAGTCTCGAAGTCTTGCTCCCACAACTTGACCATACATTCAATCTCAAGGCTAGTCAGAAAATGTGGTTTTGTCCTGTTATTACACAGATAACCTCGAAATGAATTCCATACTGCAACAACAAATCTAGAATCCAGAAGGTAAAGACTTCAAAAAAATTACTCTTCAATAAAACTACAGAAGCTCACCTCTTCCAACGTGGATGCTTTTGTGATACCTCATTATAGCAACTCTAGACCAGTTAGCGAAACTAACGGCTGGTTTTCTAAATATGAAAATTACTCGCGAACTTAATAACTAACCTAGAGTTAGACCTGCTTTACTAGATAAGTTTATATAGTTAGTAATCGCCTAACAAAAGTCTGCAATTAATCAAGACGCCATGTACGGGGAGCGACACAAAGTCAAACAAAGCTAACACAGGTAATTATCTTAGCTATCCTGTAAGTTACTAGCATGTATGGTTTATTCTTGCACCTCCAATTCCTCGACTCTTAAACTTAAGAATCAACTATCCCACACTAACCGCACACCTGCATCTTAGTTGCTAATCGCTTCTGTACGAATATTCGTTCAATTGGAAGAAGAGGCTAATTCTTTTTTTTTCAACAAAGCGAGTCTCGAACTTATGTTCATGATATGACTATCAAATCATTCTAGGAATATGAAGCACTTACCCACACTTCCTTCTGCTTACTGGACCTCACGTCACTTGTCCCTCTCGACCCCGACTAGACATATCAAGCAGTACTCATCTTCTCCTTCAACCACCGCCCAAGGGGCATAGGCGTTCTGAACTGCGTCAACCTGTCCACCCTTTTCATCTCCCACAACCCCTTACTAGCCACCAACGCCGCAGCCTCAGACATCCATCCAAAATACGCCAACGGCGCAGGCAATTTTCTCATCTCTACCAACTTCGATTCAAGTTCCCCCACGCTACCCTCCCGTACAAGTTCAACCTTGGTCCCACATACGTTCTCATACACGGCAGCCAGCTCCTCGATAGTGGTGTTGCCGGTCTGAATTTTGAAGATCCCCCCTTTGCCAGCTTGTACACCCTCGCCATGCAACAAAATATCAATGGTCCACTCCGCCGCATCAGCTTGAGCAATCCACGGATGCTTATCGGTTTTCCCATGATCTCCCCAATATTTCATCCTCGGCTTCTCCCCAGCTTCAAATGCTCCAGGTCCATAGGGTGACCATAACAAGTCTGCAAAAATCCCGTTGATGATGTAGACTGGCTTGATGGGGCTGGTATTAGCAACTTGGTGCTGGAAAGCCTTGTGGTTATTGTAATGCTCAAAATCTCCGAACTGAATGTTCGTCCAGTCTCTACTCCACGAGGAAGCGATGAAGATCTTAACATCAGCTCGCTCCGCGGCACGCAGGAGGAGGAGATGGCCATCGAGGTCTAGGACTGGAGTTGGTGCATAGGCGTTGATAACTACGTCGACTCCGGATACGGCTTTTTTGAGAGCTGGTATGTCGTAGTAGTTTGCGCTCTGGACGAAAGATTCGAGCTGAGAGAATATGTCGGGGTTGAGAGTGGTTGGGTTGCGGCCGAAGCCGCGGACTGAGAGACCGCGAGAGAGAGCGACTTTGGCGAGCAATTGACCAAAGGAGCCTGAAATTCCGGCAATGAGGATGAGCATGATGGAGCAGGAGTTTAATATGGTTGGGTTTTGTAAGTTATGGGATGGAGGCTCTGGTAGGGGGTGGTGTGCGGGTGTTCAATTAATGTCACTGATGTGAGGTATTGAAATCGCAGTGAGGCTTGTGATGAAAAGAATTGTGGTTTGAGGATGATATCGAACACCTTGCATAAACTCCACTCTCATTATATATTCATTCATCCCTCTACTTCTGTGGTTTTGTTGCAACTTCGTCGCTGCACCGAAGAAGCGGGTGTGTCGGCGGAACTCGGTGTACAATGTTGTTGATGACTATTGCAGAGTATGATACTCGGAAGCGGATTTCTATATTCAATGTAAAAAGCCCCCTTTAACGACATGAATGATGGTAAATTAGGAATAATGTTGAGTGTTCATCACCAATACCTCCAAGTCTTTCGGCTCGGAAGGGATCCTTCTTAAAATGTTTACAAAGCCTGCTTACGATATAGGACATCCACTCTTGGATTTCCACTTTTGTGAGATTTTAATTTATCATTCTACCGGAGTACCGGCTCGAAGCAATTTGAACACCTAATTATCACACTCAATAAGAAGAATCATACATGGAAAGCAGCAGTTCACAACTGAATGTTTCTGATCCGGCAGAAGACTTTATGAACAGAAGTATGATGAAGTATGAATAATTCATTTCATAATGAACTGTAACCATTTTGAATTATTCTTACAACATGTTTTAATCATTATAGTGGAGCATATCTTGCGATTAGTGGTATTTGTCCTTAACAGTCCGCAAGTATTGCTTGAGTTAACACCACGGAGAGTGTCACTATGAATGTTGACACATCTACAATAGTTTGATGTTAGAAGGTATTGAGAGTGAATTCAAAAAGAAACTTTGCGGGAGAGCTGCAAACAGATAGTAAAGCACATCAGTTACATATATCTGAGGAGTGCTGGCCAGAAATATGTGATTATTCTTGCAGGGGTATCACCTCTTCCAATGAACCATCTAATGAAATAGATTAACTTGTCTTCTTGTGGTAATAATAAGTTTATCAGGGGCGTTATATTTGACTACACTTGTCACGGACAGATGATCGTGAGGTCCCTAGTGCCACTAAGTAAGAGACGAGGAGACAACAAGAAGCAAAATCGGAACAGATCGCAAATTAGAAGATCAAACATATTATAATTAAACGAGGGTAGCTATATGTCGTGCGTCACGATCCCCAAACATTTTTGATAGCCATAAGATGGATGCGTGTTGAACTTTATTCCATCTCCGCCATTCATGTCCACCATATCCCTAAACAACCTGTGCTGGAATAGTCCGTTGACAAAATTCTGGACTCTCTAAATCCAATAGCAGTGATAGGCGGATGCCTGATCATCAAGACCATTTCTTCTCAGGTCCTTGACTCCGCTCGGGTCGATGCCCCACACACCAAATCCAGCGCAGTTTGGATGTCTATCCACAAAATTAGTCTCAAGCTTGTTCAGATAATCAAGGAAGCAAGATAGATGGATTACTTACTCCCAAAGTGTACATCTGTATGGCCAATCACCTGCAAAAACAGATGTAATAGTATCATCCCAGCCATTTTTGAGATTGTCTATTGGAAAAATTAGCACACATTTCGTCATCTCATGTCTTGAGAAAGTAATCTGAAAAGCGAAAGCACATACAGCAAAACCCGATCTCGTTGGAAAGAGACTGGTCTCGTCCTCCAAAGTCCGGGTTAGCGAAAACATGGATGAATCCAGTTGCTTGTGCGGAAAATTCATCGTTGCTGGACTTGAAGTACGGGATAAGAGGTCCAGAGACTTTGCCTTCAGCAGTCCAGGATTCATCGATTACGATCTCCGATATCTCATCGCGGATTGCCACGGCGGAAGAGAGAGGCAGCAGAGCAAACAAGGTTGCCGTGATGGAGGGGATAGAGTACATCATGTTGGATGTAGTTGGTAGTTGGATTATATTGATGAGTCGAGTATTTGATTGTTGCTGAAGCTGATGGAGAGTATCTAGAAGTGGGAAATTGTTGTATTTATACATCAATCTTCAGCTCAAGTACTGCACAGAAGAGACGACTTCATCTCCAAATCATCGCGTAATGAATTGAGGTCTTTCGGTGACGAATGCATATTTCTGTAGATGTGTAGGTAGTTTGATAGTTGTTAATGTAACTCGGATCACTCTACCTGTCTGAGGGTACCTGCTGGATGTAGCACCATGTCGTAAGGCTATACGCCTTTTTGGAGTAACCTCGTATAAGCTTAGTCCTTTTGAGATGTTTCTAGAATGGTCAAATTAAATTGCTGGAAGAGAACTCTTCCGAGAGTCAAGGGACAGCTTGGCGGTGTGGTTGGCAGGGTCAAATCCAGTCAGCCCCTCGAGACTCTAAACCATTTTATCGCCACTTTCTTCAGATTATCTTCTATTGTGAGGAAAGACACCAGATCATAGATTCCTACGATCTACGTTTACTTTCAGTTCTTTACATAGCCAAGAGAGCTTTCTAGTACTTAGCTATAAGAAAAAATTGATTTCAAACATATTTAGAAGAGGGTGTCGTCAGCTGCTGTGAGCACTTGGCGGCATTTTTACCATGGTCAGCATGCAATGTCATGGTCGAATTTGAGAAATTTATATGAATTGTCAAGTGAGATTGTACACTCATGCAACATCCCAACCTATTTTGTTTTGGGTGGAAAGAAAGACGTCGTGTTAGTCTCGCTTAAGAAAGCTAACAGACATTTCTTTTTACAAAACATGTCCGGCAATGAAATAATCCACGAAAAGAGCGCAGCCATGGAAATCTTTAAAAGGGACATATTAACAGGGAGACATCATTGGATACGGCCTGTTTGTCAACTATTCAAGTAGTTTTTCACAAAGCATCCTGTAGACTAGACGATGGACTTGTGAGCTTGTGTTCAGTATTCAGCTTCCGACTGAGACTGGACTCTCAACAAGGAAGCAGTGACGCGTAGACCGGTTATATGACATTTGATACGAGTTTGATAGCATTTGATCGAAAGCTTCGAGGGAGCAGGGGAGCCTGGTAATCATAATGCAATGACATCTTTTGATATTCCATAGTCTTCTGGTTTCTCTGACTAAAAGTGTGACTAGATTCGTATGATGGTCCAGGTGGCCGTCTTTGCTACCGGTCATCTAACTGACTCGTAGTAGCATCGCCTGCTTCGCTTACTAGCATTTATACACCAGCCATGTTGTCACTATGCAAACAAGACTATGAACCTGGCCCTTACTTCCTCATTTCTACCAAAAAGGGTCTCATAACGGAATTTAAAGCTGGCATAATAGCTTTAACAATGACCACGCATTAAAAGAAGACCTACATGATGTTGCTCAATTCTAGACACCTTTGTCTACGAGCCGGGGTGACACTGAGGGCCCCAATTGCGTCGTTAACCTGGAATACTACGAGTTCGCAAGAAGTAGGTAATGTCGGCTCGGGGTTGGCAATCAAACTTCCATCTGGGCTGTTGAGCCGTGCTTAGGAAGTGCGCGACAACAGCTGAGATCACCTGTAGCTGGAGTTAAAGAAGTCTTGTGATGTTAACCATTTGATGCGTTCCCACTGTCCACACTTGGGCCCATACAGTTTGAAAGATTCGGTGACTATAAAGTGCGATATTGCAAAGCTTTTTCCTTGCTGTTGAACCACAATTCTCATTTGTATAAATATCGTGTAATGACTGCACAAATTGACAGCGTCTTTAGATACGTTTATCCTTAGGTGTGCCATACTGCGCCTTCCCCACGAAAGCTACCGCGTTTGAAACAGCAGCTTCTGCTTCCTTTACCCACCCCAAGATAATACCGGCCCCGAATGTATCATGAGGTGCATCTTTAATTTCCATCAATTCAACCTCAGTGCCCATCGCTTTCATTGAGCTCGCAAATTTGACATGGTCATCGTACAATACTTCCGCTGTCCCAGTCTGAATGAACAATGGAACTTGGCTTTTAAACTCATGTCCCAAAAAGGAGATGTAAGGATGGCTTCTATCTCCTCCTGGAGGAGTGAAACTGGATGCTCCCCACTCTAGAAGTGACCCTTTCATGTAATCCGTGTTCGCTCTGGGATGTGAGTCCAGAGTCAGGTGATTGAGAGTCAAGTCTACCCAAGGGCTCCAAAGTAACCCAGCTCGCGGCGACGGCAAAAGTCCCTTTCCGTCCTCGCTCAGATATCGGATCATGGCTAACACTATGTTTGCGCCAGCTGATTCTCCAGATAGGATGACGTTTTCTGGACCAACCTTGAGGTGGTTTAGCACATAGTGATAAGCCGTCAATCCATCCTGTAAGGCAGCTGGAAAATGAGCGTCTTTTTCTACTGACAAGCGATACTGCACCTGCAACACAGGTCCTTTCATATGTTTCGCAAGCACCTCCGGACCCCAACCGCTTTCCAGCGGCCGGCATCCACCTAGTACATAAGCACCGCCGTGAAAATGAATTGTGATCTGTTGTGCTAGTCCACCGGTAGACCCTGGTGTGTATACGGCAGGATACCAGGCAGCTCCGATAGTAGACGGACGGACAACTGCATCGTCGACGATACCACGGTATATTGAGGGAGTTGTAGACGGGGGCGAGATGACAATGAATCGATCTTTTAAAAAGCCGGGTTTCAGTGATTTCGGTGTAACGTAGCGGACCGTTGAGGTGTATTTCCACCAGATGAGAAATATATCTAGCCCAGTTGCCTGAAGATAGGTCCAACGAGGGTGCTGACGAAGGTGTTTAGGCTTGCGGTAGAGAAAGATGTATAATATCTGTAAGGGCAAAGTGATGATGAGGAAAGTACCATAGAGAAACTTGTAAGGCTGGCGAGTCAATCGCCCATAGTTTTGAGCTTCCATCTTATAATGATTAGTATCTGGGGCACCCTGATTAGAAGTATGTATTCGTGACTTTTGGAAAATGGGCAAAGATGATCTTGTCATCAACGAGGGGGTGTTGTAAACCATTGAGAGGGGAGCCTGCAAGAGCTCTGACCATCCAACATGTTGGTTCTGAGCAACATCGACAAACCAAGACCGATCATTGGAAGACCGTGAGTGCATCCAGATTATATGGTGCCGTACTCGCCTGCTGGTGGATGAAAATTGCCTGCCGCACGCGTTTGCCTGGGCGCGTGGACTTTAACCAGAAGCGCTGATTATCCGTAACATTAAAGAGTGCATCGCGGAAGAGCGCGCCTCCTTGGCCTGGGATGACCAATATTGACCGCAACCTTGGAAGTCGATGGAATAAAAGAGACATTGTTCATAGCCCAGGTGCTCCCAGGTCCCGTCATGAACAGCTGGAGGAGTCAAGCGCAACCGGCACGGACCTTATTTACGTGGGATGAAGGTTGTCGCAGTCGCTTCCTCCATCGATGCAACATCGATATAACTCTGGGAATGCGCGACCGACAACTCCATCTCTATTTTACTCCGACGATTGGCACAGCACTCACTACAGCAATGTCTGGCGAGCAAATGACCGTCGATCAACGCGCGTCCCGTCTAGGCTACCGGTTGGACTCGGTTTTCCAAGGAGTTATATCGACCACGGCGTCCGCAAAACCTCTGGCTCATAGAGGAGTGCACGTTACATATGCTGGATGTTCGGTCTTTGTTACGTCTGTCTCGGGTCTCCTCGCTAGGCCATGAAATCGTTCGATCTCTTCCAAAATATCAACAGCTCATGGAGCATGCACCGCACGTAATAGCAACCCTCGGTCGAATTACCCTCATACATATCCATTCGATCAACACAATCTACCTAGGTATGGAACCTTGATTTCAGAAGACTGCGTTTCTTGCAGGCAATACGGTTTCTTCCCTTTCCTCCTGACCTGCGAACGATGCTGTTTCGAGTGCCTAGGGTACAGTCAGTCGCTATGGGCAATTACCAAGACTCGTGCCGCCAAATGCTTTGGTCTTATGCCGCTTCAGATGAAGCATCTGCCAACTATGCGAAGTATCCCTGGGTATTACATAGTTTGGCATGCACACACTCGGAAGCGGCGATTCGAGCTTGTTAGTGTTAAAGCCGCCAAAGAGCTCGCAATAAAAGTTCATGGGTCAGTAGAGAAGATGTCAGAAAAACTATATGTCAAAAGTGTGAACGGACTTTCAGTGAAAAATTATACGAAATTTCGATTCCTCCAAGACGCACCATTGCAACAGCCATACAAGGACCCGTCCTCTCTACTCTGGGGAACACCTGACGAGCAGGATGATTACTGTGGCATGGCCGCTGTCGCGTTTCCATTCGTCATGCAGAGAAACAGTCCCGAAGACGGAGTATGGTGTGGCGGGTGTAATCGAACGTACCAGCAATTTGTAAGAAGGAGGCTGCCACCTCAAGTAATACTCGACAAGATCCCGCCTGGTATTAGAGAATCCGATTCTCTTCTAAACGCGGTCCACCGTGCCAGATCGAAGGCTGGATTTCAAGAGCACATTAAGCATTGCTCAGACGGGCTGACAATGGCGCCTATGACTTGATGATTGCAGTCCACCTGCCGGTCTGCCGAAAACTCTAAGCTCATAGGATGATACCCTACAGCAGTTGTAACTGATGACACGCGAATCGAGCATCTTGGGATCGCGTTGCCTTCTTCTTCACGAAAAGAGGAAATACACTAGGGTTGGTGAAAAAGCACAAATTTTACCCAGATTACCAGTACCCTCTAATGTGAATGAGTTGGATCATTCCGGGCTAACTGTTAAAGAGACGACACATTAGCGAAAGCTGTGGGCTCGTGAAATACGCCGCTTATATCCAGGACATGCAAACTCATGGAAGTGCACTTCAAATGTATTTGGGACCGCTCTGATCCGAGCATGTTCATTTAGATCACTTCATTGTCCAAAGGATATGTGCATGCTCCAACCTGAGCACGCGAGAGACGTCGTAGTCTCGTTCGAAAAATCCGAGTCGCTAGTGTCCAGATGGCCAAAGAGATTGAAAATTTCAAGGCATCCAGCGCAATTACATGGCTCACCGATGGAACAAAGCAAGATTAGAAGCTTAATAGACACTGGCTTGATACTTTGCGTTTCAAGAAGGTATAAATTCAATGCCTTTGTGTTCTCAGATCACATGATCAGTTTGTGATCCAGAGTCACGAGACCCTTGGTCTAGATCAGGCTTTTTTGGTGTTTGTACAACTGGCAAATCTACCTGGCTAGGGACCTTAAATCGGCCTTCAGTTTGTCTGGAATCCAGTTGCATTATCGCCACTCGTCGCAATAGTCACTAGCAATTCCTCCAGGAGCACTAAAGACACGAACCAGGATGTGTTACTCGTTGCACCGTAGAACCAACACCTGCACCGCCACGAGATTACTACCAACAAATCACCACGCAACCATGCACACATAGCATTTCTGGAAGCAAGCTTTGCTGCTCATCGGCGTTTCCATCATCTGATGTGCAGCGGTATGCAGCAATGTTGATGCAATGTTTCAAGAACGGGCATACTTTCTCTTGGGCTGTTGGTTTCGATGAGCAGGGTCTCAGTTATATTTTTAGTCCCCTTTTCTTTTTATCCGCATGAGTCTGTAAGATTGATGAAAGTCAGTAATATCTCAGACGATCTCAGCCAATTCATTCGCTACGAGACACGAATACAGAAAATCATCAGCTGCCAAAGGCATACGGCTACAGTATCTTTGCTCCTTGAACACCGACTGAGCAAGCGAATGATGACAGCTTATTTCTTCTGGAAAGAAAGTATACGCCCCCAACAGCCCAGCGGTTAACCGCGTCTGGCGTGCCGTTAGTTGTGTCACTGGGCGGACCGGAAAGCCTCCATGCAATCATGGCCGAGACTGTTGGTATTAGATTACTTAGCCTCAACGATTACTTTGTGAATGCTCTTATTCGCATCCTCCCCCAGCCTTTGAGAAAATTTACGGATTCTACTTGTTTTTTACGATAGTTTTTAATTACTGCCCTGTAATCCTTCGATTCGGCCTACTATCTGTAGCATTGCCACTCCTGCTCCTTTCACCTCGAAACCTGAACCCAACGATCAATTTTCTTTTCATCGTTATCACCATTCATCATTCGTGTCTCGTGGATGTCCATCGTAGTGTAAAAAAAACTTCATTGGAGCCAATTTGGCAAGAATTACCCTCAATATGGCCGGAACTTGTCCTTATGGGGGATTATGGTAAGCCAAACCTTCTTTTCAAGCTTTGCAATTCTAACCATAATACAGGTTTGAATGTCTTATGACCAATCCAACATTCCAAGGCTGTTGTACTAGCAATCCATGTTCGGACGGATGCCCACCAGATAACCTTTTCGCAGCCGGTTTACCAGCTGGAGGAGTAGCAGCTACCAACGAGCTCAATGCTAAATGTCCATCGGGATCAAACTGGTTTACCTGTGTAGACCAGACACCCGCGGGTTCATTCCAAGGATGCTGTAAATCAAATCCATGTAATGCACTGGGTTGCCCTAGAGCAGACTTAGTAGCCGCGCAATTCAATAGTACATCCACGGCGACGGCGACGTCGGCGTCAACTTCAAAGTCGTCGACTTCAGCTCCTACCGCGACACCAACCACTTCGAGTACCTCTACAACAAATCCAATATCGAGTAACGTCACATCATCACATCCTAATAATACACCCATCATAGCTGGAGTTGTAGTGGGAGGTGTGGTCTTGATCGCGTTAATCGGATTCTTATTTTGGTATCTTCGCGATAGAAGGAGAAAGGCCAATAGTCCCGATCCCTCATCTATGGCGATGATGAAGGTTCCTGATAACGCTGTAAATGCCGATAATGGTGAGTTTTCGACTGATTTCTTGAAGATTTAAGCATAGCTAATGATCTCACCAGAAGGCTTCTATGCAGTGGGAGGTATTTCGAATGGTATCCGTCCTGATCACGACACCTCAAAAAACGGAGGCTACACGAAAGCTGCTACACAGTCTCCTGGTCCGCCTCCGTATTTATCTCCGCGGCATCTATCACCACATCCCTCACCAACCACGGCCGGCTTCCACGATAATCGCGTCTCTGCCTTGTCGAGGTTATCAACTAGCACGAATGGACAGCCTGAGGACGCTTTGATTGCGCCACAACAATTGGATAGTACCGAGATAGGAATGAGGGATCACAGTAGGGAATTTGCGGTTGAACTTCCGACGACGGAAAACCAAGGCAAGTTACGAAGTCCGCCGTGAGATGGTGAGGATGTTGGATTGTAGAGTTGGGTTCTTGTTTATAGTTCTTTTAGTAACTTGTTAGGTGCTATAGCTGATCTAAGGGAAAACACTGCGCCATGGCGTATCCCGCATATGCTTCGGTCTTGGAAGCGTAGGGTACGCATTTAATAATATACCAAACTCTGAGATGTGTAGTTCAATGTGTAGTAGTGAAGTGTAGTTAGAAGTATGCAAAGGCTATGTTAGGAGTCAAGGATCATAGAACATAATCCTGAGTTAGCTGAAAAGCAAACGGGTTTATTCAATATACCTGCATAATCAAAATATAATCAGCTGCCATATTAGGAAGCCTAACTACGCCCCTCTAGAAAGAGAAGAGCAAGAGCATCTGTGGAACGTGGCAATTTTAAGTCTGCACAATCAGTTTGGCAGTAGACTTATATTTTAACTCATTAGAATCCAGTATGCTACAGATTTCTGGAAACGTTAAGTTTCAAGTATACTGGAAACTGTAGCAAAATTGTCGTCAATAGTTTCAGCTGTGAATAGTGAAGACTGGTGGAAGACATGATTGGTTAAAAAACCGAAAATATGGGTCTTACTATCCATCGACCACCCACGGAAAAGAATCCTTAGACGATACCAAGACAGTCTTTCCTAATGTCGTTCTCCATGATATTCAGTTGATTTGTTTTCTACATACTATATTTCCTATGTTGAATAATCTTAAAGATAATGTTGAAGCACCTGACTCATTTCGAGAATCGTCTGAGATAGTCATCCATGAACTCGATCCTCAGCTCCAGCACAATTTGAGTTTCAAGTTCATATTCTCATTGACGCTTTGAGAGAATTACATAAAATGGCATCAACCTCTCCGACCATGTCAGAAGACGAAAAACAAACACATCTAACCTACATGCGCGAAGCCTTAGCAATGGTACCTCCCTCGGTTCTCATATATATCCAATCTAATACACGCAGGCCGAATTAGCACTCCAAACTTCAGAAACACCCGTCGGATGTATAATCCAGCACCCAACCCACGGCACCATCGGACGCGGCATGAACGCCACAAACCGCACCCGTAACGGGACTATGCACGCTGAATTCATCGCCATAAATCAGATCCTCGCTCCGCCGTCTCAATATACCCCTGATATACTGAAGGAGTGTACATTGTATGTAACGGTGGAGCCTTGTATCATGTGTGCTTCCCTGCTTAGGCAATTCGGGATTAAGAAGGTCTTTTTTGGGGCGAGTAATGAGAAGTTTGGGGGCACGGGTGGGGTGTTGGATGTGCATTTGGGGAATGGACGGGGAATTGGGGGGAAAGAAGGGGATTATGAGGTTAGCGGGGGGTGGTTGAGGGAGGAGGCTATTGTTATGTTGAGGAGGTTTTATGTGCAGGAGAATGAACGAGGTGAGTTTAGTGGGATGTTTTGAGGGGAAAGTGCTGATTTGTGTAGCTCCTGAGCCGAGGAAGAAGGCGGAGAGGGTTTTGAAGCTGGAGGTTGAGCCTTTGGGTGAGCTGAGTGGGAATGGGGTTGATTGAGGTTGGAAGGTGGAAATTTTTGGTTAACTTGACTATTGCGATACCCCAGCTGCCTGCTGTGTGTGCTCCTTGTCATTTAACCTAGCAATTAGCTAGATGACTTTTTTGAATGGGCAAGATTGTCTTAGATCTACTCCTGATTGGGTGTTTAGAATATGCATTGAGCAATTATAGGGCATACTGTAGCAGCAGCTCACAGAGTAGCCATAGAGACTTAGCACACAATAAGCCAGCGAAGTTTTCGAAATAAACTCAAATACAAACTCAATATACGCCAAACCTCATAGATGAAGGTTTCCAGTTATATACAGCCGTTTTCCCTCAGACCTTTTCTCAACCTTGAAGCCCCTTCCCGGTCTTCTCAGCTTCTAATTCTCTCTCAGCCTGCTGATAGTACTTCGCTGTATCAACACCGTGTTGGTTGTGATTGACAAAGTTGAACCATGGAATGACGTGTAGGAAAACACCTGTGTATCTCGAGTTTCTGCTGGCTACACCCTGCATGTATGGGGTCAGGGTTGATGTGCCATATAGTGGCTCGCCGGCCTTGACTTTCGACACCATTTCCTTCATATCCATATCGATCTCCCGCTGATTCTCTTTGAAGCCGTAAAATCGCACTACAAATATCAGTCATACCCCACCGATCTCTTTGAAGGGCTTCAAACGTACGTAGTGATGACTGATACGTGAGCAAGAGCCCTGCACCGACGCTGATAGCACCAGTTAAGCGCATAATAGGAGGGAACGCTCCCTTTCCTGCTCCCGCTGGCGCAACTCTTTCCCATGCAAGCATGATGATCGGTCCTAAAGCTGCCCATCCGGCGCCTGATGCATAATCTGAAGGTCGCGCATATCTCCACACTCTCTTAAAATGGCTGTTCGTAAGTTAGTTACACTCCATTCACCGCGCTCCTTTTTCCTTCGCGATCGTTCTCGTTGAGGTGATGCTTACGGATCGCTGTCGATGAGCTATAATGGGGGGGTTCAATTAGCTTTCAAGCTTCACAATGTTGCATTGGAATGGGAATCACTTACGGGGTAATCGGCTTGAACCTTCTTCACCGGCACATATGACCTGGTCTCGGTGTTGGACATGTTGGAGGCCCAATGCGTCGACAATCGCTGTGTGAAGTTTATGGATTTCGTTGTCCCTCGATTGTCGTTGCTGAGCATCCGCTATTCCACGCTAGTGTACGGTACGGCGGCCGAGCCATTTCGGGAGCACCAAAGCGACCAAATGCGAAGTCGCGTCCCTCAATCACAAGACGCGATACTTCGTGTAGAGAGCTAGCACCGGCCTGGAATTTTGATTTTCAATGCTGCACGACAGATTCTGGACTCTGAATTGTTGTCTAAGTTCTCCCTCGTACCTTTTCAACAAAAAGCAAAACGATGTCTTCCCCAGGAGTAGGATTATCGACCGAGGGACCCTCTGCCGGCGGTGGAGCTTTCGAACATGAATTACGAGAAGAGGACGATCCATTCAGTGAGCATTATGTGCCAAAGAGACTACAAGGGGCTTTTCCGGCGGATACAAACACGAAAAGTAAAGCATTGGCAGCTGGATTGGGCATAGATGAGGAGGTTGAGGTGACCAGAAAACCCCGAGCTCCTAGGGTCAAGCTCGATGAGCATCGGTATGTGGAATGTAGTTGGTTTGAAGCTCGAACTAAACGATTTACAGACTGCTTTCAGCTGCTGGTATCCCTAAGTTACGGAAGAGAGCGAAAGATCATCTCAAATTCAAGGGAAAGGGCCATGAAGTATTAATACCCTCTATGATCTTGTAGCCTACCATTGACGCTCCCCCGATAGTTTTCAGATGCCACCAGACTCCTCCAATTTTATCAACTATGGCTAGATGACTTATTTCCAAAAGCTCGATTTCTAGATGCTCTCGCGATGGTGGAAAAAATGGGACACAAAAAGATGATGCAAAGCGCACGAGTAGAGTGGATAAATGAAGGAAAGCCAAGATCTTCAGTACACGAAGACTCACTCTTCGACGAACCTGTGCTCCCGAGACAAGATGACGATGGTCGAGAAAAGACAGCTCCAAGAATTGCGCCAATATTTGAAAAAGCCACGACTGATAGACTAAAGACACCTGTTGCAGATGACTTTGACGCTTTGTTCGGAGATGATGATGATATATACGATGCCACGCCAAAGGCTGCCCCAGCTAAAAACGTAGGAGAACCTGTATCTCAGACTGATTCGTTATTTGGTGGTGGTGCTGCAAGCATTTTCGGTCCTAGGAAGGAAATATCTGCACAGGAAGAGTTCCCCGAGGACGACCTTGATGCCTTGCTGGCAGAAGAAGATATGTTTCGGAATAGCTCTAAACCTACCCCTACGAGCAAACCTACGGCCCCATCGGATGATTTTGATGATGAAATGGAAGCGATGCAAGGGATGGATTGGTAGCATACAGCTCTGGAGCAAATGATTAATGAGTGTTATTAGGTGCATTTTGCGGCGTTAGGTATTGGGTATCGAGGTTGGCTAGCACAAGGGAAGGTTCTAAAGGTCTATATACCACTAGGAAGTAATCGGATCATCACAAACAAATAATGTATGTGATATAACTTTTAAAGATTGATGTATGGTTTCAACGTGCAAGCGTCACCATCTCGCGTAAACAAGTAATTTACACCCCACCATCCTCATGTTTCTTACAACCCCACACCAGCCTTTCCACAAGGCTGACGACCACAACAATCATGGCCGATAGTCTTGTCGACTCCCTAGAAAGAGTCCATCTGGACTCAAACCCAGGAGATGATACTACGGATGACTGGATTGATAGCATTCTTGATTCTCAACGGCCACGCAAGCGGGTGAAGCAGGATCCAGAAGATTTGAAGCGATCACTAGAAGAGAAATATCTTACTCCGTCGACCTCATTTTCTACAGAATGGCTCAACAAACTGCAACAGTATGCCTGATTCTGATTCCAGTGTTGATTTGCGTAGCTAATGTCATTTCTATACAGACGGTGGGATACCCCGACAGATTTCACGACCCTCTTCAAAATTGCGCCGACCCAGACTCGTACTATTACGCGATTTACACGAGAAGGCCTCGAAGGTCGGGTTACGGGATACAAAGAAGTCACAGTTCCCGCGAATAGTGCCACGGCGAAGAACTCGACATCCTTCTTGCGAAAGCCAGCCAACAGAGCGGATATGGTACGTGGCGCAGCTGGGTTCTTTCCATTTGCTCCTGGAGGTCTTGAAAGCGTAGAAGCTGCTGCTGCTCTAGATGAACAGAATATAAGAACCGAAAGCTTTGCTGGTGCGAATGGTGGAAAGAGCAAATTGGAAAGAGTCATTAACTTCAGTGGCGAAGGAGGGCTCCTCAGCATACCACCAGGATTCACAAGAGGCTTGGATTTCGAAAAAGTAAAAAAAGACGAGGTAGATCTTAAAGAAGCGGAAGAGGTTGAAAATGTCCTTGAAGAAGAGCCTGATAAAGAGCCCGAGGAGAATGGCCTAGATGCGGGCGACAAAATCTCGGACTCTGAAGATCCAGATGGCGTTTCAGACGAAAGCGAAAATGATGATATAGATTCCCTCTTGCCGGTAGAGTTTCCAGCTCTGCAACCACATGGAGTATTGGCTGCGTCGAGTGCAAAAAGGGGAGGAAGAGAATGGGCACATATGGTCGACGTCAAGCGAGAAATCACCAATTTCCGGGAGCTAGTACCTGATATGGCAAGAGAATGGCCTTTCGAACTCGACACTTTCCAGAAAGAAGCTGTGTACCACCTAGAAAATGGCGACTCGGTCTTCGTTGCTGCTCACACATCCGCCGGCAAAACGGTAGTTGCTGAGTATGCCATTGCTTTGGCCGCAAAGCATATGACTAAGGCTATTTACACGTCCCCCATCAAAGCTCTGAGTAACCAGAAGTTCCGAGACTTTAGGCAAATTTTTGATGAAGTTGGTATTTTGACAGGAGATGTCCAGATATCGCCGGAAGCCAGTTGTCTCATCATGACTACTGAAATCTTAAGAAGTATGCTTTACAGAGGAGCAGACTTGATCCGAGACGTAGAATTTGTAATTTTCGATGAGGTCCATTATGTCAACGATTTAGAGCGCGGCGTCGTTTGGGAAGAGGTCATTATCATGTTGCCAGCGCATGTCACCTTAATTTTGCTATCCGCTACAGTTCCCAATACGTATGAATTCGCCTCATGGGTTGGTCGGACCAAACAGAAGGATATATATGTCATCTCTACCCCTAAGAGACCTGTTCCTTTAGAGCATTATATTTGGGCAGATAAAGGCATTCACAAGATAGTTGATGCAAACAAAAAATTCATTGAGCAAGGCTGGAAGTCAGCAAATGATGCTCTGTCTGGAAGAGACAAAGTAAAGCGAGATGCAGAGCCTGCTATTCGGGGAGGCGCTAATGCTGGAAATGGAAGAGGACGTGGTAATGACCGCGGGGGTAGAGGCGGAAATCAACGTGGAGGTCAACGAGGTGGCTCTCAGCAGCGAGGTCGCGGCGGCCCACCAAGAGCCAGCCACAATCCGGGTCATATGGGCAGAGGTGGACGACCTGGTGGCCGTACATCAGCTGCACAGGACAAGACTCTTTGGGTACATCTTGTTCAGTTCCTCAAGAAGGAGAGTCTGCTGCCGGCCTGCATTTTCGTGTTCTCTAAGAAGCGTTGCGAGGAAAATGCCGATGCTCTGAGCAATCAGGACTTTTGCACTGCAACAGAGAAAAGCGCTATTCATATGATCATTGAGAAATCTATTGCTCGTCTCAAGCCCGAAGACAGGTTGCTGCCTCAGATCGTAAGACTGCGAGACTTGTTAGGACGAGGTATTGCAGTACACCATGGAGGTCTTCTTCCAATTGTCAAGGAAGTCGTGGAAATGCTCTTCGCGCAGACTTTGGTTAAAGTCTTGTTTGCAACAGAAACATTTGCAATGGGATTGAATTTACCCACTCGGACGGTTGTCTTCTCCGGGTACCGAAAACACGACGGTCATTCTTTCCGAAATTTACTGCCTGGCGAATATACACAGATGGCTGGTAGAGCTGGTCGGCGAGGACTGGATACTGTAGGATCCGTCATTATTGTTGCGCCTGGTGGAGGCGAAGCTCCTCCTGTGACTGAACTCCGCCAAATGATCCTAGGAGAAGCGTCAAAGCTTCGTTCGCAATTCAGGTTGACTTACAATATGATTCTGAATCTCCTTCGTGTCGAGGCTCTGAAAATTGAAGAGATGATCAAGCGAAGCTTCAGTGAGCATGCTACTCAACAGCTTCTTCCAGAGCATGAAAAGTCGATCAAGTTGTCTGAAGCAGATTTAGCAAAAGTAATCCGCGAGCCATGTAATACTTGCGACCAGGACATTGAAGTCTGCCATCAGGCTTCTCAGGATTTCAAGCAGCGCAGTTTAGATCTTTATCTCGGCTTACTGGCCACACCGGTTGGACGGCGAATGTTCTGTCCCAGAAGACTGATTGTTTACAAACGGGATGGCATCCGCACGCCGGGTGTGCTGCTTCGAGACGGAGCTACCAATGGTGCTACACCTACGGTTCACGTCTTGGAAATCAAATCTCAGCGTGATCAGCGTGATTCAACTGATTTGTTACCTTACTTGCCAAAGTTTCGAAAATCGTTCACGAAGCTCCCTCAAGCGAAAAAGCACATTGCCACGAGGACTTACCAAGTCCCGATTGGCGATATCGAATGTCTTACCAGGACTGTTCTCAAAGGCGTTATACCTGAAATATTCCATGGCGGCGATGCTTACAACAAAGCTAAAGATGAACTCTTCCGCATATGCAAATCTTGGGAACTCAGTGAGTGGAACGAAATGGATGTGAGCAAGGTCAATGATCTCCAACTCAGAGATATCATCGCTGCTCGGTTCGATCAAGCGGCGATTGCGCAAAAGGCTAAGGCACTGGCTTGTCCACAGTTCCTCAAGCATGTAAGTTACGAGGCTCCATATCATCAACTAAACTTGTTCTAACTAGTCAAAGTTCGCAATGTGTCACGATCAGTGGCTTATCCAGGAGAATATTACCCAGCTGCGACAGCTGATGTCGGATCAAAACCTCCAGCTTCTACCAGATTACGAACAAAGAATTCAAGTCCTACGTGACTTGGACTTTATCGATGAAAGCTCAAGGGTACAACTCAAAGGCAAGGTTGCATGCGAAATACACTCCGCGGATGAGCTTGTGCTTACAGAATTGGTTCTTGATAACGTTCTTGCTGCCTACGAACCTGCAGAGATCGTAGCTCTATTGTCGGCTTTCGTGTTTCAAGAGAAGACTGACACCGTGCCGAACTTAAGTGGAAATCTCGAAAAGGGTATGAAGACGATAATCGAGATATCTGAGAAGGTTAATGAGCGTCAAACCTACCATCAAGTCATCCTTTCTTCAGATGACTCCAATGACTTTGTCTCACGTCCTCGATTTGGCTTGATGGAAGTCGTATACGAGTGGGCGCGTGGTATGAGCTTTAAGAATATCACCGATTTGACAGATGTACTGGAAGGTACTATTGTCAGAGTTATCACAAGACTCGACGAAACGTGTCGAGAAGTTAAGAATGCGGCTAGGATTATTGGCGACCCAGATCTGTTTACAAAGATGCAGACTTGTCAAGAGATGATCAAAAGAGATATCACAGCGGTTGCCTCTCTTTATATGTAGAGGTACCGCAAGTTAATCTTATGGTTATAGATATGGAACAACTTATCCCCCTAATGTCATGGAATCACGAAGGACGAATTACAATGTTGGAGTCCGCAAAACAGTAAATGGCGGCAGTAATGCACCATTATGAAGACAATAAAAGCGTTCACTTGGTAGATTATGTCAAGTAATCTTTTGGGTGACTTATATATCAGCTGACACACCGAAGGCGCATTCCGGCTTTCGCTTAGAAGGGGGTGAAACAAGGCTCGATCACAGCGCAGCGAAAATTGAAACAACGAATCGAGAAACTTCCATACAAAAAGTGCACAGACCTTTCAGAAGAGAAGCTTCATTCCCGTCTACCCGTGCGACTAGTGTGTCTTGGTCCCGGTAGATGTGGTGATCTAGATGCATGGTACTACACCATCTGCGCGAGCTTGAAGGGCTGCGACACCACATGTTTGGCCGGCTCTTTGAGTGGCTGTACGCCATGACGACTTTGGGGATAACACATTCTCGTTTTAAAATCATCTGATCATGTGATAGGAAGAGTGTCATCGGTAGGTCTTTGAAATCTGTGGAATTGTCTCAGCCGTTTGCGCCGTTGTTCCAAAATGCCAAAGAGAGTATCAAAATATTCGGCAAGCTGCGAAGGCGGAATACACCAGGCAAAATGGTCTAAGCTAGACAGTGTTGTACCCACTTGCTCAGTAAAATGATCGACTATTGGGTGCAATTCGTTATCCCAGAGGGCAACACCTCCGGATAGCTCCCTACCAGTTCTATAAGTTTATTTCTTTCTCCAATTTCTCTCAAGTTTCCATTCTTTGCTCTTCAGTTTCTTTCCTCCTAATCACTATAATTAAAATTTCTTTGCAATTTCCTTCCATTTTCCAATCTTTAGAACTTTTAATTATCCGCTAAACCGTCATCATGCGTACTCAATCCACTCTCTTCTTCGCGCTGGCCGCTTTTTCTTCTACCGCATTTTCCTCGCCTCTTACCGCCGAGATTAAGGCAGCTATTGTAGCTGTTGGACGAGACTTCAATAACCTCTCAGAGCGTCAGGTCACTGAGATTGTAGCAATCGCAGAGAAAGCACAAGCCGATGATGAGCTTTCCAACATTCAGGCGGCCTCAGCCGCTGTTCACTCTCAAAGAAGAGGTACACCAACAGCTGAGGAGATTGACGCTCTTCTAGCTGCTAATGCTGCCAGCCATGACGGCGAGACTGTCGACAAACGAGATGATTATGAGGATATTAGTCAAGAGGAAATCGACGCTCTTCTTGCTAACGCCGCCAATCACGGTTCCGCTACCGAGAAAAGACAAGACGATTACGAAGACATCAGCCAGGAAGAGATCAACGCACTCCTTGCCAACGCTGCCAATCATGAAGGCGCCACTGAGAAGAGACAAGATGATTACGAGGACATCACTCCAGAGGAAATCAACGCTCTCCTCGCTAACGAGGCAAATCACAACGGAGATTCCACCGAGAAACGACAAGAAATAAGCCAGGCGGAGATTGACGCTCTTATTGAGGCTAATGCCGCAACTCATGCCGGAGAGGCGGTTGACAAGAGACAGGATGTTTCCCAAGACGAGATCGACGCTATTCTAGCCGCGAACGCAGCAAGCCACGCTGATGAAACTACCTCTGACGAGAGTGGTGAAACAGATGCGTCTGCACTGCAAGCTCAATCTGATGTTGTTCATGCTAGCTCGAAGAGACAGCAGGTCACTCAGGAGGAAATCAATGCTATCATTGCTGCTAATGAGGCAGCTCATGCTGATGAGACTACGGATTAGATGCTGAGCATTGACGAGATCATCCTCCGTAATTTTGGGAGCAGCATAAATGGATTTAAATTGTACATAGTTGACCGACATGAGTTTGGTAATTGAGATCTGGTTATGGAGATAGCAGAGTTTGTCTACACTCTTTAGTATAATGGTCTCATGACCCTCCTATGCAGTCGCAATCTGAAGCAGGAATGGGTTGCGACATGTGCTATAATTATGAGCAAACCAATAAATTTATACGCTCGTTCGGATTTCGGAATACTGGTAGTCATTGCTTGAAGCTGTTTGTACCGGATTGACACTATGTTTCGCGAGTCTCAGCCCTTTCATCGAGTAAGGTAACGGTGATCTGCCGTTACACTACAATCCAGAAGTGATCACTCAAGAGGAAATAGATTCAGTAGCACTATTAAAGAAGCAAAAGTCTATTGTGTATTATTGTAAGGACAGTGTTTAATATTATGAATCGACCTCCATCATCCCCTCAACCCCCAACCCAGTGGACACCGCCACACTTCTAAGTACTCTCTACCAAGACTCATGTCTGGTCTTCTTCAACTTCAACATAAAAAATCTAATATTCTCCTTTTTTTTTCTTTTGTTTGTTTCCGGTTTTTGTAGAAACATTTTTGTTGACGCATTCATTATGGAAAGGAGTGTCTATGTGATCCAAAAGAAACGAAGTGAAATATCGATATTTGCTGCAAGGGAAAATGGCAACGCCACCGCTCACTGTTCCTTGGCGGGTGGTGGGTTTCTGACTTCGTCTTTGAGTAGGTAGAGGGCTGGCTCGTATCCTAGGTATGTCTGAAAATCGCCTCTGTTTGTCCATCCATCTTTGCCATTATATTGATTCTCATCAGGCCCTTCCGCAGCCTTACAGTCTAGATCATGTAATTCCATAAGAGTGTCGTTGTAATTCTCCAAAATGAAAGTGATTGTAGGTTTCTCCATGCTGTTGAGGTATTAATTAGTTATTTATTTCTTTCAAACAGGCTAAAGGATCATTGTGGTGCTTACAATTTTGGGTTTGGTACAATAAATTTTCCATCTCCATCTTCGATTTCAAGGAATGCAGTCTCTCCGGGTTGTCTAATCGTAGGCTCTACTGCCAACTGTCTCTTTAGATTCTTTTCCACGAAGATAGCTGCAGGCATCGTATATTCGAAAATAACAGCATACAGTGGAAATACACAGTGGAAATCAATGACCAGGGTGGTGTCATCAATTTCTGTGAATCCAATCGTGTGGCCGATGGTACACTTAACTACTGTTATGTCGTATTTTTTGAGAATCCTTACGTCGTTTTCCTTATAACAAGGATCTTGAGCAAAAGTTTTTATCTTGCAACCTTTACCCAACTTGCTTTCAAGTATATTCTTAATCTCTATAAGAGCTGCGTGTTGTTTGTGGGCTTTTAACAAGCCGAGCTCAAGCCCTGGAAGCCAAGTAAGCCCGGTTAATCCAAATGCAACAATCTTCTTAATGTTTTTCGTATCAGCATTTTGGAATAGATCTCGGAGTCTGAGGTATAATCGGGTCTTTTTAAACTCGATAACGGCCTGCGTAAATAACTTTTCGGCACCTGGTATCTGAAGCTGCTCTTTCTGGAACAGTTTTTGTCCATGTTCTACTTCTTCTTGGGTCCATCCGAACTTGGAGTAGATTGTTCTATATTAGTTTGTCAGTAAAGAGGTGCATAAATTGGGTTCAACGTACTTAATAGCCTCCCTTGTCTCCTCTTCAGAAGGATTAGGGACAAACTTCGCACTCCCTTCTTCGATTTTCTGGTCTCGAAATTTTTCATAATTGCTTCTGTCAAACGTGCCATACCGAGGCCAGTTCGTAGTATACCAGTTTACTCTCTTAGCAATTTCCTTATTCTTCGCTCCATTTTCCATTCCCTTTGCCAGATCCAAATTGAGAGACGATATCCGGATACCTTGCTCTTTGACTTCACAACCAAGGCCAGCACCCTCCTCGCTTTCGTAATGTTGTACGACTGGTTTTTTTTTGGAGAAATCCAGTTTAGAATTTGAGGAATTTGTTCCTGACATTTTGTTGATATGATGTTTAACGTTGGAAATTATTAGATATCGTTAAAGTGATGTGAAGAAAAGAAAGTCAAGGGAGAACCCGTTCCTTTTATAGATTTACTCCCTCAGAAAGTTGTGAATAACAGTCCTATTGATGAGTAAAACCCCCCTCATTACAGTATGAATCTTTGTTCCGACATGCTCTTGAGTAATTGACCAATCTCCATTATTCAAAAAACGTGATTCAAACCGTCGTTCAGATGCTCAGCTGAGCAACACTCATGAATAATACATTCCAATTACAGGTCCTACCAACAGTTCGAGTTTTATGATTGGGTATGATTTTGCCGAGGAGTCAGGACCCAAGATTCTTATGTAGCTAATAACTTCTATGAGTAACTGATCATTGCTACGACTTTGAATGACTTGAATCATCACGTTGTTTGAATGCGATTTGCATGATTCTACCATTGCCTAAAGGTACCAAGGATCCATAAACATGAATATTCATGCCAATAACTCCCTCCAGTCACAACTTCAAACCACCGACTCTATCTTTTACGCCGTATACTTTGAGAGACATATCATATTCCCAGATTGGATGATTCAAACACTCACTTAACCCTGACTGGAGTGCCAAGTCCCAAGCACGAATCGTAAGTGGCAACTTCCACTCAACTGAGTCGCAAGCCAATCTAACAGCAGCTCGCTCACAAAACCACTCTTCGAATAAAAAGAGACGTCGTCAATTACATTTTCACATAACACTCATAACAATCATGGAAACAAGAGGTTGAATCATATAGTTGAGTGACTAACTGACGCCACTTTCACATGTGTATAGTTGAATCACGTATTCCGAATATCCATCCTCTTGGATGACTGACTTGAGCCTCTTCCATACCCATACAGTATGTGATATCTCGAATCAATCTCCCATCCGTCCTCAAAATCACCTTAATCCCTTTCAATTCCTACATCCCCTCAATTCATCCTCCTTAACCCTAGCTACCCACCAAAACACCCAACAAGCATTCCCCCAACAACCTCCAACAAAAACTAGTACTTCCAATACAATTACCCGCACCCCAAAACCGCACATATGGAAATTGAATCTTCGTCGTCACGTATTTTTTTCCTACGCTCCACAGTGCTAAATTGCTAATAAAACACCAAAGAGCCCATGGACCATTTCCAGATAAGCACACCAGAGAACTCAGAGAAGATACAAGGTAAAGACGAAGATAGAAAGACACGTTTTGCATCATAGAGAAATGATGACTTGATAAACGAGATCGAAACAAAGAGAAACAAATATCACATTCTGCCTAATCCGAACCAACATTCTTTCCTTTTAACAAAACAAACCCTTATCCTGTATTATCCCAAGCACGTAAACCAGGAATCACGACACAACCATCCGAGTTTCACATATCTTAACCACCTTTAACCACTAACTGTAACTTATATCAAAGTTTGTAAACCACAACCCCCCTACTAAGCACAAGTCAACTCAAACCCGATGCAAATATTTCAATATACAATTGTATTACATTATAAACACTAATTTTCCTCAATCCAATCCTGTCTGTTAAACATGCTCCAGCCTAGCACCAACGTAATCGCGTCTAACAAAGCGTAATCCAAGACTTCAATACAAGAGACCCTCGCTCTGACCAATGCTCCTCCAATAGCCATCAAAAAACCACCGAGCCGTAAATTATATACCAACATCAATATTACTCATGATTTTCTTCTTCTAATTATTGCCGCCTTTTAATGCATGTCCCTTCTAATCCCAAGCCACCTCCCATGTGAAACCTTCGTACTAACTCTGGTATCTAAACTCGAGCAGGAAACTGATCTTGGGCTGACTTCCTCGGTGTCCTTACCGCACTCGAAGGTCCAGAATGTGGAGTCGGCATCTCAATGATCGTCTCGCCTACATTTAACGGACGTAGACTCAGCGGTAACGGCGGTCCTTTCCTTCCGGTTGTGAAGTCGAATCCGGGGTTTATAGTGCTTTGGTTTCCTTCACTTGACGATTGAGATGTTGTAGAAGATCGTCGTCGTGTGGAACGAGGTGGTGGCGTTGGAGCCTGTGAAGAGTTTCCCTGAGGGTTTGAAGGCATTATCATGGGGTAGGGCGAATTATTGTTGCTTAACAAAGACATGTGTGGGTTGGATTGTTCAATGGTTGCCGAGTCTCGACGGGTAGAAATGGCAGTATTGTAGGAAGAAACAGTTGGTGGAACGACTGATTGGCGATAGTAAGAATCGTAGAAGTCTGAGATGGATGCTTGACTGCCTTCAGACTCTGAGCGACCGCGTCCAGGTGCAGCAAGATGAGTTGGTCCTTGTGGTCGTACTTGCTGTGCTGGGAATGAGCGTTGCTCTAAACCTTGAACGTTATGTTGCTTTGCTGATTCGAAGGAGGAAACAGAAGAAGCGATGGAGTGATTCGCCGAATTAGTTGTGATAGCGTTGGAATTAGAGAAAGGAGATTCGCGGGGGTGATCAAAGTCTACCGCACGACCTTGGACTGAACCAGCACGAGACCGGTGGTGAGAAGTTGGGTCGTAATGTAGTTGATCGCGGTCACGACTATGTCTGTTGAAGCGCTCGGCGGATGATTTGCGGATGTGAGCTGGGGAAGATCGTCGAATTGAGTCTCGAGTGCGAGATAGCGAGGTTGACGAACGTGTTGTCGAAACCGATGTGGAACGACTTCGGGATTTTCTTGGAGCCTGTGCGATACTTTCACTACTACCAGCTATACGATTAAGAAACGGGTTCTGATAAACGGCTTGTGGAGCGATAATAGAGGCCTGCTTCGGCGAGGTGATATTCTCCTGAGACGGTTCACTCCGATGTGAAACGGACACTCTCTGTCGTTTTGTAGCCGAATCTCGAATCACGGCTTGCTCATCGTCTTCTGGCCTCTGTTCCCCAGAGCCCATGGAGCTACCAGACCGTGGAGGTGTCAATGGAACGGGTGGAGACCGAGTTACGGGGTTTGTTGGAGATCTAGAACTTAATCCATTCTTGACGCCACGTGATCGAGATGAGCTACGGTCCCTGTTTTCATGTGCTGGAAATATAGATCGCGAAGTTTCACGCCCTCCTCGGGAAGGGATGTATGGGTGGTATGCTGTATCCGATATGGAATCCGGTCCTCGAGTAGGAGAATGAACCTCAACAGCCGCCGTAGTGCCTTTGGAATCTGACTTCGTGGTGTATTGAGAGATTTCACTTCCAATTATTGATCCGACTTCTGAATTGGGTTGTTTCTTTTCTACCGGAAAGTTCATCCTCGGCAAGTATGAATGTGGTCTGGGGATATTTGGTGTTGATGGCGACGTTGGTGTTTGTGGTTTACTGAAATGGACATCTAGAGGAGAAACCCAGCCCGCTTTCTGCGCAGCAGGTTCAATTCCCTTTGGCGAAAGTTTTCCAGTTGGTGGCATATAAGCCCCTCCCTTACCCCCGACAGAGGATGCGCTTGGGCTCAGTGGAGGTCGAACAACTTCCACTCCAATGATTCCACCTTTCTCCTCGTGCAGACGGAGAGGCGATGGCTTATGACCCTTCTTTGGGGTTGAGACTCCAGCACTATGAAGATCAGTTTGGCTGCTCGAAGTAGATAAGTTCCCGGGTTGATTGTTGGTATTGCTCCAATCCGTCACAACGGTCTGTGGTGCGAGGACATAGGAAGGAGATGGAGAGCTTGGTCGTGACTGCGATACACCACCAAAGTAACCACCTTCGAGCGCCCTCACACCAAAGAGATCACCCTCGTCAAGTACCCTCTGGTTGATCATTTCCTTGTCGCCACCTTTCTCTTTGGCCTTAATCGCATCGAGTTTGACATGATGTGCAAGTCTAAAAATCAAGTTAGCAGAGATATATGCCAATGTCGTTCCAGCCTATACCTTCTTCTATTAACAAGAACCTTTACAAGTCCAGCAAGGAAAGATAACGCAATTAGACATCCGAGTACAATGCTAAGGAAAGTGTTAGTTCTGCTTGTAACGGTACAGCTTTGTTGACTTACCCAAAGGCAGAGCCAAGGTCCATGTTTCCAAAAGCACCCATGATGAAAGAATTAATATACTGATCGGTATGTTTTGTAATCGAAAGAAAGAAGCAAGTAAATGACCGTCGAATATTCGAATGACGAGCTTCGAGCCGCTCGACAGCTCGGGAAGAAGTAAACAATAGCGAGTGTGAAGGAAGTTAGTATGTTCAAGCCAACATAGAAACTCCTCGAGTTGATCAACAGCAAAGAAAGATGCTTTTCAATAAAGTGAAAGTCTAGTGAGAGTCTAGATGGCCAAAATAATAGCTTTCCAAGCTCGCACGGTTGGTGTTTGTGCCCACAATCAGTGTGGGTGCACTTGTTTCAACAACCGATCTCGAAGGGACCAATACGAAGTTGTAGTTTCGAGCTTGCGGATAAATGTTAAAAATATCAAAGGCGACCTGGTCGGCAGGACGATCTATGGCGGGCCGTGGGCGAAGCGAGTTTACGTTGTTCGTGAATAGGTGTGAGTGAGATCTCAAGGACGCGAGGTTGTAGTTGGATGACCGCAGTTACAGGATTGACGAAAATGGCAAGCCTCCTAAGTGATGGAATTAATGTATTGAGGACTGACGATTGTGTAAAGACTTGTGTTCAATTCGAATGAAAGGACGTATCTCGAATAGATACAAAGATATGGCAAAATGGGCAAAACGAAACAACAAGAAAGACGAGGGCGAAAGAGAGGAGGGAAAGGGTCTCACTTTACCTTGTCCTCAGGAGCACACCAAGTCTCTAGCTCATTCAAGTCGCGTGTAGAAATCAACTGCTCTGTGGGTTCTTTCGGGATCCACAGCCAGATTTGTGAAAGGGGCATCTTCCTCAAGTGCTGAACCAAAATAGTAGCCATGAATTCTACGGAAAGTGGAATTCAACGAGCCCCACCAGCGCAAGTTCTTCCTCGAGCTCGAGGCTCGATCAACAGCAGGGTCGCTTATAGACTGCCTTGGCTTAATATCCAACAAGGCATTCTCACCGTGGAATTCGATAAAGTTCCTACGCGGCCGCGGCAGTACAAGAACAGATCACGGAGGCTCCATCCTCGCATCTGCCGAGGATTGGGATACAGACCTGGTGTTGGGAGGGGAGGTCTTGTTCACTATGGTTGTGAACGCCCGTCACGATGCAGACGAGTTCGATCCATGAAAAATGTTTTCCCTGAGGTCCGTCCGTGTAGAATCTGCAGAAGCAGCAGAGATCCGAACTGTCACCCGCGACAAGTTGCTAGGCTTGCGAGGCCGCGACTGAAAGGGGCGATAGTTGTTGTGACTCGTGAGGAGATCATGGAAGAGGGCGCTGGATGTTTTGCGCGATGATCGGAAATTTATCCTCGATAGGCTTACGCCGCGCCCGGCAGGCTCTTTCTGTACGAAAGTTACGAAGGGGGCCAAAGCCACTGCCAGCTCCCCTGACAGCGCTATGATCAGGCACGTCAGGAACAGGCTTAGCGCGCTGAGAACCCCATATTCCAGGAGGTCAGAGTGGCGGCACAAGTCCGATTTGGCGTGTGGACCCTCTAGAAGCGCGTCACAACCAGTTTCGACCCCTGAAGAGATCACCACGTTCGGAACAGATCGATGGCGAGCCTGTTGGCCTTGCTGAGACACCCTTGGGCTCGCCATTGGCGCGGTCGACGACATGCAAACGGATCTTATCGATCGTACGACGACGACTTTGTTACTTTAAACCCACGAGTGATAACTCTCCCATCCGTCAACACCATCGTCAAAATGTGAGACCGTGTTGCAATCTCCCAAATCTGCGTGTCAATTTCCACCGAGTTTGCACTATCTTTTCTAGTGTCGCCTGCCCCTCAACTGGCATGCCGCCAACACAGACCTCAGACCGATTGTGCGTCGCAAGTCCAAGAATCCGTACTTCTGGAATTCCATAACCAGAATCATTGTCTTACTTGAACAAGAGGTATCATTATTCATAATCGGTTATGCACCGTTGCGTTGAGTAACGGCTCGTTACATCGTCATGATCAACTTCCGGAGACTTTTCCCACTCGTTCTCGAGACATACAGAAGTAAATTTCCGGCTTGCGTATGTTTCAATCGACTCCTGGCACAGGTACGTCAGCATTTAGACGCGTATATAGTATCTTGACGTGGCTGACAGTAGTCGATTGTAAGTTGAGTGTTGATGTCGGCACTAGGGAACGCGTTGTAGACGTGACGGTAGTGGTTGCTTTACCACTGGATTGTTCGCTATTTCGAATTCTGTGTTTAGTGGTACTCTACCAAGTCAATCGCTCGTATCCGGTAATTGTGATGAAGTTAAAAAGTGATGGAAGAGGAAATGGTCGAGTCTTGACAAGATAGGAAGTTGATAATACACCATCCTGACATTGAGACACCATCGCGGCTGCCTTTCCGAATGCTCTATGTGGCGACTTGAGCTTATAGCACTCTACTATTCAATATCAGTCATGGTCGAATATGATCGTTGGGTGCTCAAACCGCTCTTTCAGACTTTCCTGATCATCGGTGCTATTTACTTTCCAGCACAATTACATCAACACAGCGTCCATGTTTTGGAATCACACTTACAGTGCTGCATCTTGAGCGAATGTCGATGAAAGGATGATAGAGATTCGAAAAGTATTCTCTGTTTCAGCAATCAAGCCTAGTCCACGGACAAAAAGTCGAACAGCACCAGCGTTAATAACGAGAACATAGGAAGCTCGACTACAGATTTCCTGGAATCGATGAAGAGGCGAAGAGGTTCGGAGCACGAAATGACCCTCGACGTCTCAGACATGGGATAGTAGGTGAGTTGGTGGCAGCGCGTTGCGTTCGAAACATGGACTTAGAAAAAGAGTGAGTGAGAGACTTGTCTCGATGCGGAGGGGAAGATTAGACGAAAGTCGTGTACCCAATCGTAAAATCCTGGAACTTCATCACTTCTTAGTACACTATCGCGAATTTCTACTCGGAGCCTTTACCTGCAAAGAAGTATCTCTCTACAAATTGTTCTGATGCAAAATTTTGGAAATTCCTTCGTAGTCATCACTTCATTGTCAAGTTAATGGCTTGTAACAACATAGCTGTCTCAAAGTATCAATCCTAGAGTATGAGCAACTATACGTATGGGCTTCTTATAAATGGAAGTCATATCTTTCATTCTAATTCTTCATATGTTATCATTTTCCAATATCCAATTCAAATCCTGCTGTTCACAAGTTCCTATCCAATGACACGTTGTACTGGCCGAATGTTTGCGGTCTACAAATTTCATTTCTAGAATCCAAACTGGCTGTGAAATTTATAACGTCGCATATCCCATTTCAGGAATTTCGATGACTTCGCCAGAAGTCCATGTATGTCCAATGTTTGTTCCAACACAGTTGAGACGTGTAAACCCTCACATCGCGTTATTCTATCATACATTCTATGGCGCCGCATCTTAAGCTACAAAGCATAATCCTAATACTTACTACAGATGGTTATACGTTTTGGAACGTGGGAGAAACAGTTCATGCGTGAGCACTGCTCGAGAATGGAATCATAGGTAAGGCGGGGTTCGTGACGGCGACCCCACCCTTGAAGGACTACGATATCACTTGGTGACATACTTGAATCAGTTGTCTATTCAGATATCTACTTTCGTTTGTCAATCTCATCACCAGTTTATACACAAAACAAAAGAGAAGCCATCACCAGCAACCAAGTCAGAAACCGCCTGGGCACGAAGACGATCAATCGCCACCACCTTGCCCCTCGGCATCAACAGATCAAACCCTTTATCAAACCCTTTATCAAAGTAAACATGATCAAGCAAATCGAATGCAAAGGAACTCCATACGAGGTAATTCAAACTCCTCACTATCCCACCTCTACTCACATCATCTCAAGATAGGACTCACCCACGGCACATCCGCCAGCGAAGAAATAACCCGCAGCATCGACTTCTACGCCTCCCTTTTCCAAAAGACCAGTAATCGAGACTGGAGCCAAGTAACAGAAACAGCCAACACCTTCGCTTCGCTTATTCAAGAGAAATGGCCTCGTTACTATGACGAGATGAAAGGTCCATTCCCACCCCTCCATTTTCGAGTACATCAGAGACTGATTTTTAAAAGGTATCGCGGACGGCTCAAACCGTGATGTTTTGGATATTGTAGCCCTAAACGTCCGCACCGAAATCGCATTCGGCCAGTTCTCAGACGGCTGTACAAGTCTATTCTGGCACACGCCAAACCATGAATGGCTCGGTCAGAACTGGGATGTAAGTTCCCCCCACCCCTTTCCATTCATCATAACTGAACCTTTCGCAGTGGCAAAAAGCACAAGCCCCAAATCTCATTGCTCTGACAATCCATCAATCTTCTTTGCCGAGCATCAAGATGATCACAGAAGCCGGTATAATCGGGAAAATCGGGCTTAACTCCGCGGGTGTGGGGGTGTGTCTAAATGCTATCCGTGCTGTTGGGTTGGATTATGGAAAGATGCCTGTGCATCTTGGTCTTCGCCACGTCCTAGAATGTGGGAGTACTAAGGAAGCTGTTGAGAAACTGGAGGAAGTTGGAATGGCGAGTTCAGCACATATGCTGATTGCGGATGGAACTGGTGATGCTGTGGGTTTGGAATTCACGAGTTCGACATTTGCGAGGCTTGTGAGTGATGATAAGGGGAGGATTGCGCATTCGAATCATTTGCTCGCTAAACATGATGGCGCCGTTGAGCCGGAATGGTTGGCGGATTCACCCAAGAGGGTTAGTCAAATGAGGAGGTTGGCTGAGAAGAGTGATGGGGAGGTTGGTTGGAAGGAGTTTAGCGGTTTGTTTGAGGATGAAAATGGGTTTCCGGTGAGTATTTGTAGGGCGCAGGTGGGGGATAGTACGATTGCTACGCTGTTTAATGTTGTTATGGATTTGAAGGCTAAGAAGGCTGTTGTGAGGATGGGGAGACCGTCGGAGACTGAGGAGACGATACACTTAGATTTTGAGTAGTCAGTATTCTAGTGCCATATGAGTATTTTCTAAGGTTCAAGTTATATGTTTGTGGTGATATGACTGACCCTCGCTGTTCTCGGATTTCAAGAATCATTTAAACAACCTTCATGTTTGGGTGGTCGATACTGTCATCTCAAAGGTGAGTCGGAAAAATTGTCATTCGTCTTTCTCATACCGAGTGAATGATGAGTGAGCTTTCTGACCTGCAACCTGCAATTCAATTCTTAATGTAGCCACTTAGCGAATGTGAAACGAGGCACGTTAGTATAAAGTCTCCTCTACATCGTTATGTTCTACTGTTTTTGGATTATCCACTCCAATTCAGAGACTCACTTCAGAGAAAATCAAAAGTCTAACACCACAATGACAACCCGATTTTTACATCAAGCGTGTCGTCATGAGATGGGATTGAGTGAAGCCACAGCTTTACTCCTGTCTGTCCAGGAACGAAATAACCTTATGGACACGAGCGACATAAATTTGAAACTAATCATCGAGCCACGATGGTGCCCATCATGTGTTTCGAGTCGGGTGGACACCATAAAACAAAACCACTCCGCTACCACAGCGACTTGGCAACATACAGACAAAAGAGAAGCACATAAGCTCAACATCAAGCGCGCTCGCGCTGATGGGATCGCCAAAGGACGGATGGAGGCAGTGGGTAGGCCTCTTACTGAAAGTGAGAAGCCTAAATTTCAGATTTCATCCGAAATCACCGACGCCGAATTTTGTGCTCAATTTGCACAGCTTGGATTGGTAGATGAGGATGAGAAAGCGGAAAGAGAGTTGACACCGGCGGAGTTTGAACAATATCTTGGGGCAATCTTGATGATAGCAGAATCGAATGGTGAGAAGGAGGGAAGAGGCATACAGGCGCGTCTGGAGAGGCAAGCTCTTGCTGAAGTGGACGAGAAGAGGAGGCAGGTAAGATTTGCTGATAGCTTGTTAGTGGAGCGAATTAGCTAGTGGGAGGGATGAGAAAGCTGGAGTTTTCCATAAACATAGCTCAAATGTCATCTTTGCGGCATCTTGCAATGTCTGCGACCCCGTGAGTGAGCAATAGGTCCCTATAGATATATTAGAAATCTGAAAATATGACTATAATGAACATTGTGCAGGGGTACATGAATATGACTTTATCACTAATTTCTCATAAAAATGTACGACGTAGAAACTGAGACGTTGATCAAGATTGACTCAATTTGGAATCCACAAATGTTGATGGTCATGGACAAGTAGTTGATGTCTGATGGGTGCTTGAATCGTCCGCTGTTTCTTACTTGACAGTAATAAAACAAATGTACACACAAAAAATCGCACTTATCTTGATGTAACAAACTCTCGCCGCATTGAAGTTTCAACACAATAGAGGCTTTGAAAGATATTGAGTCGCTGGTGTGTTTGCTTTTGATGTCTGAGAAGAGAAGAAAGCGACAGAAGTCATGGAAGGCGCTCGGACCATCAACCACTTCGACCGTTGGCCCTCTACATTCTCGTACTAACGTCTCTCAACAGTAGGACCTGCTGGTATGTTGTATTCTTACCTGCTCTATTCGCAATCCTGCTGACTTTCGTCTTTGAGTAGTCATTGAGGTTTCTCCCTATATGAAGCCGCGACCTGTACGCCAAATATTGCAAACCAAGCCTCGCAATCAGCCGCACGACTTGCATCCTCCACGGCTGCTGCAAACACCAACACCCATTCGAATGCCGGGTAGGCTGGTACCTTTCCGAACATCTTCTTATAGACCATAAGCGGCGCCTGGCCCTGGTCGGCATACTTTCCTGAATTCGAATGGATCACAATGGGTTATGCCCGGAGCGAAAAGGGAAGAGCCCGTCGAGGCAGTCTGGGTTTGGCTTTTGCGAATGGGGCATTTGTCTTTCAGCTGGTGAATGATAGGCCCTTCATAAGTGGGATTCCGATATAGCTTGATACCCCAGAAATGCTGGACAAAATACCAAGTTGGGAAGTCGCTCTGCCCGTGACAGCTGAAAGCAATATTGTTCAAAGGTCAGATAGTGTGGCAAATTCCTTCGTAAGTCTGGCCACCCAGGAACTCGTAAGTTGGCGTATGATGTTACGAACGAGAACAACTTGGAAGATGATTGGATCAAAAGCGCACTCTGTCAGGGCGTCTGTTGGTCCTTTGTGGGTTATGGATTTAGTTTTTGCGGCTCTTATATCGGAATTTCGATATTTGTTGTTGAAGGCTCCCGTTGAGCTATTCCTGCTTTTGCCATAGTTATTTCAGCTCGCCCTTCCAGTGGAAGACAAGGTTTTCTTGAGGAGCCGAGTGGGAGAGAAAATCCAATCTACATTTGCAATTTTCAACAGCTTGAATATCATCACATTTTTGGAGTGCTTTGTTGCGTTGGTTCATTGTCGCCTGCTGAGCGCATTACCGGTTGGTAAATGTGCAGCGTATACGCTGAATCACACCGCCCCTTTGAAGAGCAAAACTTCGGCGCTGCCGCCGCTTACCGAGCAGTCAAGCGACATTGGAATTCAGCAACTGTTGGATACGGGCATGAGCGTGAATATATCAAGATTGTTACATTTAAGCGGCGCGGCTCTATTCTTTGTTCGTTATATTTCTAGCCCACGCTTGCCCCCACCTATATCTTGCTCTCGATAAGTCGATGAGAGTAAGCGCCAGTATAAGACTCGAAATCATTTGATATTAGTCGGTCGATAAGCACAATCACAATATCATGTCAATCTCCATACAGATTTTCCAAACCGGCTCTGTCCGTATACGGCCAACAGCATACACACAACCCTCGCACCACTCAGTCATCCGTCGACGAGCCAAATTCCTTACTGACCGAACATGGATGCCAGAACCCATACCAGTGTACACCTTCCTAATAAACCATCCAGAAGGACCTATACTCTTCGACACGGGCATGTCCCCAAAATGCAAAAGCTCAAAGTACTTCCCCATTTGGGCGCCAACCATAAAAATGACCAGCGAAATCAACATCGAGCCTGAAGATTGTGTTGTAAAGCAACTACAAGAAAAGGGCATCAAGCCAAAAGACCTCAAGGCGGTGGTGATAAGTCACGTCCATCATGACCACACAGGTGGTCTAGCAGATCTATTTGAAGCCCCAATTTTCATGTCCAAAGAACATTGGAAAGCATTTTCCCGACCCGTCTACGCATCCATAGAAGGCTGCGCACCCTCCCACTGGCCCAAGAAATTCGTCCCGACCTTTCTTGAAGCCATAGGCGGACCCATCGGACCCTTCCCACACTCCTATCCTCTCACAGAAGATGGAAAGGTCGTGGCTGTAGACACGCCAGGTCATGTCACGGGTCACATCAGCGTCATCGTGTTTGCGGAGGATACGACCTATTTCCTGACCGGTGATGCGACGTATAGTCTTGATCTGCTGGATCGCGAGGAGACGGATGGGGTGAATGATGATCCGAAGAAGGCGGTGGAGACGATGAGGAAGATTAAGCAGTTCGCGAGGGAGAGGGAGGTGGTTGTTTTAGTGAGTCATGATTGGAAGAGTGTGGAGAGGCTGGAGGGGAAGGTTGTTTTCAGGCCGTCTGATGTGTGAGGTGGGGTTGGTGATCGGGAGTTTGGCGTTTGGGGATGGGATAGATGGTGTTAGAGTCGTGGTGATAATGTGTATTTCTTAATTATTCAGTGGGAGTGAAACAATTTCGGAAACCTAAACATTTTCGCAATGTGACAAAATATGCTTGCTAGTGAAAAGAGCTCTTGGTGAAAATCTAACTTGTTCAAGAACATGTAGTTATGATTCCACCTTTTCTAACAATAGCATTCTTGGCATATCATCCAAGTTTCATGAAAATTCTTAAACGGCATATTATAATTCTCTCACCAATTGATGGGACTTCTAGCCTGTTGAGTGTTTTAACGGCCAGTGGAAAAGCCCCGCACCTTCAAGAGTCTCACGCCTATTGGTTTATTAGAATCATTTCTGAATCTAAAAGTCTTATTGATTTCTTCTATATGCAGTAGTATGCAGCGCCGCAGAGCTTCAAAAACACTGATGCCTCTTACTATCAATATGCCACCCATCAACCCATCACCCTACCAATCATTTTGCCGTAGACTTCAAAGTCCCCAGATACCAACTCGGATCCCCATCCCCCAATTCCTTCGTACTAAACCCATTTCCCAAATACGAAAACCGATTTTTCTTCTCCCTCGTATACACAAAATCCTCACCCCGAAACTTCTCCAACATATGAAACCAATGAATCCTACTACCCGGATGCAGTGCCGTAACAGGGCCGTCCTCTTTTCCATTCTTGAACCAGGAGCGACATGTGCTAGCCCACGCCGTGCGAGGCATAAACGCATTGATGTGTTCGTAGAAATCGTCGAGGGCTTCGGTGGAGGGCGCTAGGGAGAGGATGGATTCGGTCTGGCATTTGAGGATTATGTTCGCGATGTAGGTTGCGACGTGCTCAGTTATAGTGAAGACTGAGCCGTGACCGATAGGTGCGTTTGGTCCGAGGAACACTGTGGTTGAGTTAGCAGGGCGAGTATTATCAAATGGGTATTGTGGGCTTACTGAAGTAGTTGGGGAACCCAGGGACACTGCTCGACATGTAGGCCCTAGGAAGAGCGTCTTTCCATAAATCCTGTAAATTGCCTTCTCGGCCAATTATTGGAAAGCGAGGGCAAAAGCTGACATCGAAGCCAGTGGCACAAATGAGAACGTCGATTTCGATCTCTTCTCTAGTAGATGTTTTTATGGTGTGTTCTCCCACCTCCGTTATAGTATCTGTCACAACACGAACGTTCTCAGCGGAGAGCGATTCCAAGTAGCCAATGGCAGGTGTTAAACGCCGACATCCCACAGCAAAATCGGGAACAAGTGCTTTGATCAACTTCTCATCACCTTTTAAGGTAGCCTTCATGTACTGGGTTAGAGCTTGCTTGGTGTAGCGTGCTATATCACTGTCTTTGATGGTCTAGAAATCATATTAGCCAAGACCAGGAATCCACGAATCTCGGGGATGCCATACCCCTGGGAATCTATTGTTGATTTGCTCTTCAACAATCTTCATATATTTCAGATAATACTCTGGATCCGATGCAAACTTTTCGATTTGCTCGGGAGTGTACTTGTCGCCCTCCATCTTGATATCTTCTAATATACTCTCTGACTTCATTGCAAAAAGCATTTGCTGTGGAGGAGGGGTCACCCAAAGCGGTGATCGCACAAAGTGCACCAGCTCTTTAACGTCTAAGTTTGCTGTCAATGTCTGGTGAGTGATCTCAGGATATTGCTATAGCATACCTTTTTGGATGGCGGGAACTAGCTGCACGCCCGATGATCCATTTCCAATGACTGCCACTCTCTTTCCAGAATATTCAAAGTCCTTTGGCCAGTTCGCGGTATGCAGCAGGTCACCCTTGAAGTTGTTAAGGCCAGGAATGTCGGGCCATTTCCATTTACTAATCGATGTTAGCACTGACGCATGTAATCCAAGCTAGGAATATATACTTGAGAATTCCAGTAGCGTCGAGAAGGAAATGACAAAAGTCGTCAAACAATTCTTTAGATTCAGTATTTTCGACCTTTAAGTGCCACAAAGATTCTTCTTCGCTCCAAATTGCACTTTTGACGACATGAGATGTTTTTATGCTGGTCCCTAGATCGGACTCTCTACAAATATCACAAAGGTACCTCTCGATTTCCTCCGCCTTAGCAAAGAACGTACTCCAAGCAGGGTTCTTTTTCCACGAGAACTGGTAGTTGTGGGCTGGGATATCACAACGACAGCCTGGATATCGGTTCTCATACCAGGTTCCTCCCACTGAAGGGTTCTTGTCGTAAACCACATGCTCGTAGTCCGAAAGCTTCTCCCTTAAGGTTCTAATCATGTTGATACCACTCGCTCCTGCTCCAATGGTGACGATGCGTACATGGCGAGGAGTCCCGAGAGGTCTTTCTGAGACTGCGTAGCTAACGTTGGAGGTCATCATGGGCGATGAAGGAGTTTCTCGAGAGAATGCTCTTCTGATGTTTGGGAATGATAAACAGTGAAACCGCGACTCTTCAAATAACCTTCACCTTCAATCCTACGTGAGATTCAATTAATCAAAAAGGAAGCAATCATTCAAGTGCAAGGATATAGCCCTTGCAAGGCACGATTACTGCTGATTTCAGGTGGTCCGTATCAATTCCTATCGCGAACTGGCCAAACGCACCGAGCCGCAAACCATGATAATGGTTCGTATAAGAAAATCAGTCATCCTATTGGTGTTGCTGACCCAGGCCGTCTGGTCAATAACGTCTGTGGGGTCTAGGAGCTTCGTGAATTGTGGCGCAAGGATATTCTTGTGGCAGGCGAGTCGTAAACTGACGAATCATTATTCAAATTTTAACAGGCTGCTGATACCATTATCGAATGAAGTGGCAACAATCGGTCCCTATGAATATTAAGTGGGTAAACAATTTCGAATGCAAAGGCTCGTTGTGGTTTAGCCTAGCTTGTCTTCCGCCAAACCTTCGCCGAGTTATTCTGGATATCTATATGTCCCAGGTTCGACCCAGAATGCCGCAGTAACGACCTTTCTTTCACCGTACAACCCGGACAGTAAGCACATGTGCAAAGCATGAATTACTTACCAGAGAAACTAATATCGAGACGTGCCATGAGTTTGGCGGGCCAAGCAGAGTGGTAAAGAAATGTTGTTCGGTAGCAATAGTAGGCCGCTCTTTCCTCACGAATATTCAGCCCACCATTTCCAGGCCAGGAAAATACAACGCGGCAACCTAGGCAGACGACTCACTGAGGTGGATAGAAATGAAACTTTCTGGATTTTGGCGGTAGACAGAACCAAAGATCTTCTGAAATCAGGTACAATGGAGAGACAAGGGATTTTGCTCCTTGTAGCAGCTTGGCAATTGTGACTGCCGCCGGCATACTTACACGGGAACATCGCTTTAAATATCCCTTTCCAGAGGCCAGGAGCGTGATTTCCAGCGACTTACATGGATGGATGGAATAATGCCATTCATGCAATAGAGGGGATGTCGAACCCTGTCTGCCATCAACGGAGATCTGCCACTGGGCAAATCGTCGAGGCAGACAGTAAGGCAAACAGGTACAACAGAATTATAGAAGCAGCCCATCTATACATCGTAAAGCAAAAGCGAATTCTCTCGGGGGTCGGAGAAAGAGTCCTAACAATTCCATTTGCTCCATTGCAGCAATTCAACCAACGCAGACAGCGTAGCAGGCAGAGGCGAAGAGGACGGAATACCTGGTCCACGTCGATGCCATATTTCAGCCACTGAGAAAGAAAAATAGCTGCACGTATATCGGGCTCGATGGCGAATGTTGGCTTTCGAATGAAGATAGTTGGCTTGGATTTATGGGATGCCTTAACGATATGATTGTAGAAGCGCAAGGCAAGCACTGAGGACTATTCGTAGATTCGAATGTCCTGCCAACAAAAATGCAAATCTGCAGCAACTGTTAGCGGAGTGTCTCGGCGGGTTGACTGGTAGACACTGAAGCATACCTTGGGAGAAGCTGCGGTAGCATGTTATCGCGTGCACCTCTGCGAAGATTAAACAGCATAAAACATCCATGAAATTCGAACTCGCATGCATCATTTCAAAAGGAGCCTGGAGTGGTGTAACTTTATCAGCCTGTGCGCCTGTTTAGCATTGCTGTCATGTCACGTGCATGCCTGCTTGGTGGTCGATGAAACGTGTTTGCTATTCCCACGCGGAGTCTCTCTAATCAAATTCGTTTCTAAGAACCACCGCAAACTGTTTCGAGTTTTCCCTTCCCACCCTCACTCAAAAAATTTTGCTTTACAGAATTACTATGGGCACTGGAACCAGAAGTCCATCCCTTCCCCAAAATAATCTCATTTGTCTGAAGAGTGAAGAATGGACCATCGTTTCGCTATTGTCTGCACACTAGTGTTAATTCGACTTCACAGGCTCCTGAAGGAAGTGAGAATGGTCCAAATTTGGGCCGCAGGAAAGATTATGTCACGAGAAGGATTATGTAAGATGCCTCATGTGTGAGATAGTAGCATTACAGGCTTTGCCGCTCTGCAATGATTAATGCGTTCCAAAAAGCCACAAAGTGTCTAACGTAATTTCTTCCGAACGCGTGATATAAGCAGCGCGGGTTCTGCCTTGCAATTTACCACGACCTCGGATCAGAAGCCACTCAATGATGGATATCTACCATTGCATCAGATACAGAGGTAAACAAGCGAACTCAATCCTTCATGCTCAAGAAAACACACAAGCTAACATCTATTCTTAGTAAATCGATTTATCAACTAGGGTGAAGAGCCAGATCAAGAAAGAAGATTCTCATTCTCCCAAAAATCATCCTGTAGTTCAATTACTAGATCTCCTAAGGGTGGAGCTACGAATTCATGAGATCCCTCACTTCATCATGACTTCCCACGTGGTCACAGAGGAGAAACCCCTCCCACTCGCTTTCTTCCAGCAAATTGCCAATGCTAGCGCTCTAGATGAGATTTCCAACAGCACCGGCTCCGTACGTTTCCACATCTTCTGGCACGGCAATCGAAATAGGGATACAAACAAACTTCTGACATCGCTGATGTTCTTCGTTTACCAAACTACACGACATGGGCCGCAGAATGGATTCCGATTATGTCTTGTACATCCTGGGTTCCATATACCATCCCCCGATAAAATTTATGGCGACCCAGAGGACGATATCGATCGTCTAGAGAAGACTATTCCACAAGGACATATGGAGATTTTTGTCTTGGGTGATGCACCCATCCACACTTCAGACGAAGAAATTGGATTTACGGGCTAAATTAACGGGAATGGCGTAGGTGCCAAACGCGGTACTCAGTGTTATCAGTCATTTCAAGTCAGGTTTCACTCCTCCACGGATGGATTATTTTCTTATCGGGTCGTGACAACCTTCAACGTAAAGTCTCGTATTTGTGCCTTCGGCGTCTATCAACATTTCCTAGCCCTAATTTCCATCATCATCCATTTCCTCCCACCACCGCGCTCTCTAAGCGTTCCTATTTTCTCTTCCCATGAGCCGCGACTTAGGACCCTCTCACTTGTTCTCTCTTTCCTTGTTTTTCCTCGCCCACCATTTCTTACAATCAGTAACATAGAACTCGCTCTCCTCATCGAGATAGAACGGGCCTTCAAACTCCTCAAACGGAAATCCACCGGGTGGCGCCCGACCCTTGGGAGCTGCCATAAGGCCTCCTAGACCCTCAGCGAGCAATTCATCAGTCACGGCATGACCTCCTTTCGCACACATATAGAGCGGAAGAGTGTCATGACGCTCGAACGCCATCTTGTCCGGACAAGCATTTGGAATTGTCGCGATCATTTTTCGAGCCCACTCATCTTGTTCTTCCGCTTCAACGCCTTCAAGCTCGTCTCTGTGGAGTTGGGTCTGGGCCATTTTGAAGTCTTCTGGTGTTGCGAGAATGCTCTTGGCTCTGGTTGATGCTGCTGGTCTAGCCATCGTTGATCTATAGGCTTGGGATTTGGCAGGTGGTGGCCCGGCTTTGCTCTGTCGCGCATCATCACGGTTGAGTGTGGTGTATTTGGCACCTTGTGAGGTGCTTTGGGAATAACTGGTTGTTGCAGGATTGCCCATTTGCGATGGTTGGCGAGAATACTGGCTTGCCGCGGCTCTGCTAGATTGTGCTGGGGCGACAGATTGATGAGGTTGGGCGTATTGAGTTGGTGCGCGTGGGGCTGTGTATTGAGTTGGAGCTCGAGAAGCGGTATTCTGAGTAGGTGCTCGAGAAGACGTATATTGAGTGGGCGCTCGAGGTGCCGCGTATTGCGTTGGTGCGCGAGACGACGTTGGTGCAAGAGAAGATGTTGGTGCACGAGAAGATGTTGGCGCGCAAGATGAGGTTGCTCCGTTGTTACTTGTGGTTTCCTCTTCTTCATAAATTGTGCTTGGGTTACGGCCAGGTGCATATGACATGGTAGGATTCTTACTGGATTGGGAACTCCCTTGAGGTGCTCTAGATGGTTGACGAGACATTTTACTTTCTTGTTGATCTGGCTTTAGGATACGACAGGTGAAGAGGTTAAAGAGGTTGTGAAAGTCCAGGATGAAAGTGTGGAATGGGACTGGTGATGATATATGAAAAGAAATTTCTCAGGACCAGGAAGCCTTGATATACTCGTTGGGTGGAATTTGACTGAATAATAGTAGGTGAGGAAAGATATTCTTCGACTGCTATACAGTAATAACTCCCGAGCATTCATTATGGCAAAACCAACTTGACACGTTATTCATCAAAATCATGATTATTAGAATTAGGACTCAACATTCAGTTGAAATCTCACAATCACTATCCTACAAGCTGAACTCCAACCTATTCCCAGCATAGTCCCTCGCAAAAAATCGACTTGGATATTCTACTCCTTTTGCTCCTATTCACAGATTACCAGAATCAGCGAGCAACCCCAATGGATCATCGTTGGAACAACACAACAGAAAGAGACGACTCACCACTATTCTCCTCCCCCGGCTTATCCGCCTCCAAAGCCGCCGCTTTCCCACCCCTAACATGATGATCCCAGACATTCCTTTGCAACTCCAGCAACCCCCCCTGAGTATCAATCTTAAAGCATGGATGTCTTGAAGACTTCTGTTCTGGCGGTCCAAAGGCAATATGGATTTGTTGACCTTTAGGTGTGATATCGAACCTATCAAAAGTCAGACACCAAATACATCCGGATGGCGAAACTGGAAATCACCATGCAAGTCTGTCTTTCTGGAGAAGAGGTACCGGAACACGGATGAAACCCAAGATTCCGCTGTAGAATTCTTCCGCTTGGTCTAGTGTGCCCTCTGGGACTATGAGGTTGATGTGGGCGATTCCTGTTATCATTTTGGGTATGTTCCGAAAGTTTGTTATTTCTTTGATGTAGTAAGGAAATTTCGATTTACAAAAATCAAGAGAATCTGTTAATGTTGACAGGTTGATGAGATGTAGTTGGATATGGCGCAAGAGTGGCGGGTAAGTATTTAGCACCGTCCACGTGACGCCTTCCAACTTGGAGTTATTGCTGACGATATTCTGGGTGAAAAGTTAAATTTACTTAATCTTTCTGAATAAATATGCGATATCATTTATATTGAAAAGGCTAAACAAACCTGTTAGAAAAGGTGTGTTAGAAAGTCGGTCTCTGGCATCAGTACACTTTTACCCATTAGTCTCGCAATACACTAGTATTCTGTATCGATAATCAAAACCTTCTTTTCTATTTCAGTTGGATGTCCTAAGTCGGAATTACGATGATGAAATAGGAGGACTGGTGGAATTTACATGGAAAGAATGCGACAGACTCTCCTCCCAGTAACTGGTTGAGAACATCTAAAACACAGCCACATCAAGAGACCACTGAGATCGCGCGCTTATCATATCTCATATATATGCAGAAGGATTTGTCTGTCGTACACCTGGGTATAAATGGAGGCCCAATAGAAGAGAGGTAAGAATTAGCCATAAACGAATGATATATTCCACTCGACTAACTTCAAATCGCCCAATACAATCTCCAAGAATATAAATCATCAATCCGTCACCATTCCCATTCACTTAATAGCGCCATAAAACTCAATCTTCAATCCATAAGCCTCGATTTTCCCCCTCAAAAAATCGCAAACCACTACAAACCTCCTCGGTACGGTCTTCCCCCATTCAAGAACTCCAAGGTTTGGCTTCTCAGATCTCATAAACGTAACAGACAATCCACAGATAGCCGAACCACTGGTGCCTTTTCCATTCCTCCTAGCCATTTACGTAGGACAGAACTTGTCGGTAACACAAGCCTTATAGCAGTTCACATACCCCGACGTCCAATCCAAATCACACAAGATACAGCATCTCCTGCCCCCAACACATCCACACTCCGCTCTTTTCTCCTCAGCAAGAGCAGATCGTTCCACCGCCTGCGACCCGGTGGCCAATTCGCTGGAGAACCAGTTCTCAAACTCATCCACAGAGCTGCCGCCGTAGCTGCATCGGAGAGAGAGACCGGTGGTGTCGCTGGGGATGGCCATGCCGGCTTTAACTTCGCTGACGGCGATGGGGGTCAGAGTACCGTCGGTGGAGTTCTTGACATTGCAGACTGCGGCTTCGGTGTCCATGAAGGCTCCAGCATAGACGAAGGAGGAGTAGAGGGAGCCGGTGAGGGCGAGGATCGTGGAGAGTTTCATTTTAATAGGAGTTGTAGTAGGATATTTCTGTGAAGGATTTTTGAATACTAAGTGAATAGTATTGAATGGGATGGTTGAGGATGTTCAAAGTAAGTTAATGGATGAACAAACACTGACATATATACTTTTTCGAAGTTGTTAGATAAACACTTCGGTAAATAAACTCGAGCCAAGTCCAACAATTCGTTGCCCAGTGTCTATACGTGAAGCTCCACGAGAGCCAAGTATATTTTACAGCGGTGTACATATGTATATACTACCTCGTAAACCGAAACGAGAACTGTGCCGCTACAAATGTCATCTCGACAAGCTTCTCGCTCTAAGCGAGCCCCATTCCCCAGATTCCCGTCCAATGCGGTAAATCTCAATGACAAGAAACAACAGAGTCAATTGGTGTGCTCGTTGAGATCAAGAAAAATCATGTGTTAACGACGTCCGCCTTGGGTAGTATTTTCTCGAATCTGGAAAGTTCCGATCCTAGTTCGAAAGAGGAGGGTCCGGGAGATCTACCGAGCAACCGAAGGCTCCACGACCGCTGTAGACGACCCTCGTTTGATTCCTATCTCTGTGGGGTGTATAAACTCTGACCTATGATACAGCGTGATTTGAGAGATCTCAGGGTCCAGATCTCATGGTCCAGATCTCAGGGTCCAAACGAGTGGCGTAACCGTTTTAAAATGGGGTTTCCTAGGCTCCTTGTGCTCGGGTTATACCAGCCTGGGGAAATCCCACCAGTAAAGGAAAGTTATCAACCCACGGAAACCAAGTATTAAGGAGGGGCTCTAGAATATCACCGACCTACCCTATAACCAGATAGAGATAAATTAAAAGGAGAGTATTCAGCAACGCGCCAAGAGGAAGTTGAGCCCTGAAGATCCAAATCGTCAAGAACCTTAGTCGATCTAGAACAAATTAACGCTTCTACTATACCAGCAATCTTGTACGTACTTCAAAGCCAAGGGAAATTCAAACCTCTAAGAACGAATCATTGGAAACGTGCACAATCTAGACCCGATTGATGCTTGTATTGCGGCGAGTGATTTTGCACGCGAGAACGGTGCCTTAACAACTCAAAGGGCTCGACTCACGGTGGCTCGATTAAGTAGTAGTCAAATTCGGACATTTCTACATCAAGTTAACAGAATCTCGTAAATCTCGTGTATCTCGTCAATGACCTTTCCAAGTAATAAAAGACTAGTCTCGTCGAGCTACGTCTGAAACCTAATAATTTGTTAGCAGATTATTATGTAAGAAACTGGCACCCGTCTTATCTACCATAGGATGTATACTGCAGATCAAATACCATCATATCTTATCTATCCCTCTATTTGACAAGAATGTAGGAATCGCAGTACCACCTAGCTTTCGTTTTAACGTAACCCAACCCCAGCTTAAAAGCTAGAAGTGACAATTTTGACCATGACGCAACAGTATCAGAAAAAACATCGCCGAAGAAAAATCTTACTATCTCTTCACTGAAGCATGCTTGGGTCCGAGTTGTCCGGTATACTGATGCTTGTTCGAACATCCACATCTTAGCCAAATTGCGCTTCAAACATATCAAGATCGGAAGCTTGGATGGTAATCGGTTTAGGTAAAGGTTCATCAAAGCTAAGTAGATCAAAGTCCTCTTGTAGCTGAGTCTCATCAGTAACTGGACTTGTGATATGTGTTGCTGGATACTTTTGAGGCGGCTTTGTCGATAAAGTTGCGTCTCTGAGATTGGAGACTAAAGCTTTTGAAGATTCCGGGAACTGCCACTCAGATATAGTGCTGTGATTGTCTTTGAGCCCCGGCGGCGATCGCAGGGACTCAGCCATCGCTCCCTCTTCGGCCGTTGGATGGATGTCTTTTGGTGTTCTGGTCGGTGAGAGCATCGTGAAGAGCAGTGCTTGCTTTTGAGTAGGCAAGCTTTCATCCACTTTGATACTGGCTTTAGTCGTGTCCAGCACGTCGTAACCTTCAGAGGGCCCCAGACCGATGTCAAGCTCTGAAGATTGCTTTGTAGAAGCATTCTCATACCTTTTCCGCTTGCCATCTGCAACCTTGACTGGTTTGAAGTCCTCCCTAAAAACTCGATTTTGTGATTCATTGGAAATGTCATAAGTGGCCGACGAAGCAGCGAGAGTTTCGGTTTGTGCAACGTCAAATTCTTTTGCATCCCACGAATTCCAAGCTCGAACTCTCTCAGCTTTATCGGGCAACGACAAGGGCTGTTGGTGACTACCTGTATGGTGAGTGGCTGAAAGATGTTTCCGAACAGCAGCACCGTATGCAATCTCATCTTCAGTACGGATGTCTACCGTGAGATCATTCGATTCGGCAAGCGGAGCTTGTAGATGAGTGAAAGAATAGGGACAGCCATCTTCGTCGCACTGACAAAGTGAACCACAGTTCTTGCGGCATGGGTGACCACACTCAACCATGAGCGGACATGACTCTGCGCACTCGACTGTCGAATGGTCAAAGGGGTGACACGCGTAGGGACATGAATGCCCGCAGTCAAGGCTGCCTTCGCACTCGCGGGAGCACCCTCCATTTAGCCCCACCCAATCATCTGGATCTTCAACGTATATCTTCTCCTTGTGCCTTTCACAATATATTGGTAGGCCTCGGTCAAAGTTATACCAGCCGCGGTACTTCATATGCTCTATGAGAGGCCACCACAATGGATCACGGCCAACATAGTTCTCCGATTCTTCGCCTACAGTTAGAGTCGTTGAGTTTCCATAGATGTAAAGCCCCCGGCGTGCTCTTGATAAAGCAACCACAAGGCGATTTTTGTTCTCCAAGAAGCCTATGCTCATAGTACTATTACTACGAACCAAGGACAGTATGATAATGTCGTTTTCTTCACCTTGATAGCTGTCTACCGTGAAAACTTTGAAGTAAAGAATCCCAGATAAGCCGGGATGCCTTTTTAATTGGTGTAAAATGGCTTTACGCTGGCCATTGTAGAACTACATTTCTCTGTTAGTATGAATCAATATCATGTTTTAAAAAGTGACTTACCGTTAAGATAGTGATATCATTTGCGTCTACACCATTCATCAGAAGATGATTGAAATGGGCAACAATCATTTGAGCCTCATCTTGATTGTTGATGCTCATGTCGGCATTTCGGCATTCTGTCCATGTATGATGGAAAAAATAGACATTGATTCCCCCCATACCAGGTACAGGCGGTCGATTGTCTAGTTCTAGAACCGAATCATGATCCCTGAGGTTGAGGTAGAATGGATTCGCCTCAACACAGAGTAATCCTCGAATATCTGGAATCATTCTTCGCTGCTTATTTAACATAACATATCCAATAGAGTTTTTGACGAGCCGCTCAAACATAGAGACATTCATGTGATAAGGCGCCTCTTCCAAGGTTTTCACATTGCAATGAGCTTGCAGTTGTTGATGATCGCCGACTAGGATGAGTTGCTGCAGGCTATCAATCATGCCAGCGATGACGGTCCCCTCAAGGGTCTCGGCAGCCTCTTCAATCAGAAGAGTACGTGATTCTAGAGCGGCGAGGAGTCCACGGTATTTAGAAAGTCCTGTTGTGGTGCATCCAATCAATTTAATACCCAAATGCTTGATCAATGCAATGTTTGCGGTCCACTACAAGATGTTAATGCGCGGTCAAATAAGAGCTGTCTATGACCCAAGCTAGGAGGGGAAGGAGGATGTTGGGGGTAATGTCCCTCTAACGAGGTATTACTGACCTTTGCGACTTGCAGGTTTTCAAGATCTTTACGATACTTTGACAGAAGGCTTTTAAGATCTCTCTTCATCTTGCTGTCAAGCTTCCGCACCAGATACCTGTACGTATCACCACGCTTTGCGGCTGGGATCCCATGAAGACTTTTGTTGGTCGAAAGCAGTCTTTTGATCTCTTTATCTTCCATGCCCGTATCTCTACCGTTGAACTCACGAGAAAATCCCAGCCACTCACCACTCAAGGCTTCCCTAGGATCATTCTCGTCCTGGCGAAGAGCCCCCGCTTCCGCCTCTAGATCCTTGAGCTGTTCTTGCTCAATATCTCCCTCTTCTAGCTCAAAGTTTGAGTTGATAAGTGGTGTTCTTGGGATCGGTTCCAGTTGATCTCCAGGAAGCCCTAAGTTGAACATTAGTCTAATGCCAGCAAATGATAAATGTTCGTCTTGCTTACAAGATGCAAAACCGGACGCGTCCATATCATCTCCATCCCAGTCTCCACCAGCCAGTGAATCATATTGGCCTTGTGTGATGATGCCGCGGTCTAAAAAGATTTTTAAGTCAATTATGCCTGAGAAGTTGATGATTGGCATCATTGTTTGTTGAATTTCACTTATGCGATCGCGCAGTACTCTTCGTGCAGCCCTAATAAGGTAGGCCTTGTTAGGGGCACCTTCTGTACTTTGTCTATATTCATAGATTGTTCGTTTTCGAATCTCCTCGTTCTCTTTGCTCGACCGTCCACCTAAGCGCAGGATTTTGTCCTCAAATTTTAGGATATGATTGAGTAACTGATCAAGGGCATGATTCGTTTGTGCAGAAACAATGATAGGTGGGTCACCGGACTGCATGTTTGCCATCATGACTTTCAACGCAGCGACAGAAACAAAAGTTTTACCTGTTCCAGAAGTTAGCAAAAATTGTTGACAAAAAATAGGAGGCTGCGATTTCGGGAGAAAAGTACCAGTTCCTGGAGGCCCTTGGATGATTGCAACCTTCTTAACTAGCATGCTCTGCAGGGCGGACATTTGTGAGTCGTCCATTCCTGACGCGGGAATCTCAGGGAAACTTTCAAGGACGTCGACATTAAGCAGTCTTTCATCTACATCTGGAACAACTGTCTCTTCGGAGGTACCCGTTGGTAACGGTAGAGAGGATAGATCCATGATAGAATGATCTTCAACGTATGCGGGTGGGCCGATCATAGGATCAACCATGGCAATATGATCAGCTAGTGGGAACCTGCTACTGTCAGTAACTTCCAAATAAGAGCGGTATGTCTCAATTATGCAACTTACTTTTCAGTCATTAACTTCTGTAAGGCCTCCAGCATATGCCTCGAGGCTTCGAAGTAGCTGGATCTGGCTTCAACCATGATATACTCTGCTCTGTAGTCAGCTAAGATGCCGAATACGATGGGCTGAGATCCTACCTTCGGAAGGGTCAAAAACCGTGTCTTTATCATCGCCCCAGAAGAGATCCACTTGCGGCGGATTTTGTTGCAATCCTTCCAGGGGGCGTGCAGCAACGACCGCGATCTTGCAAATGGAGTGAAAGTTATCTCTTTGTGTTGTAATGGCAACTATACTTCCCTGCATCAAACGTTTCGATTGATCCCAACGGATCAATTTGCCAGCTCGCTCATTTGAAAACTCCACACGAAAGGCGGCTCCGACTGGACTTAACTGAATGCCTCTGAATGTTACCTAGGCGATTGATGTGTCAGTATACCGTCTCGACATGTGGAGGCATAGGAAATTCTATATCAACCGTACATGAGTATATATTCCCACATCACTGTCTTCCACCATGTGGGGGTGTCGTTTGAACTCGGATACAACACGCCGTAAAGGTGCGACAGCATCTTCCCGAAGAATTTGGTAGTGAGCGCCTATGTAGTCCTCTCTCGACGGCCAAGGCCCCTCTACGATATTCTCAGGCAGCTTTGTCTCATACCTTGGCTCGTTCTGATAGTCGTTCCACGCTTCTTGCTTCTCAATCTTCGCCACGACTGGATCAACATTGGGGCAGATTTCCGATTTTTTAGGCACCTCAGGCAGATTGCGCCAGGCTTCCGTGTACTCGATCTGTTTCCATGGTTTTGCGATATGTTCATTGACAATCTGGTCAGGTGAGCGCAAGCCGTACGCCATGGTTGCGATCTATGCCAGGAGGTAGCCAGGATAAAAGTTTCGTACGAGGCACCGCCGAGGGGCGTGTTGCAATGTTTGATTAGTGCGTGGAAAGCACATCTAGTAGCCGTTGTTCACTTCCGTAAAGGTGATCTAATGAGCTGCGGGAAAGCCTCAATAAGTCATCAAATAGATAGACGTAACAGATGAGTAGTTCTTCATCCGAAGATCTCAGGATCGCAAAGATGGCGCCGGAGTAATATACCTAACTGTCTCAAGATTGTCAGTAAACACACTGCGCACATGAGCGGCTTCGTGGGACGGATTCAGCGTCTTGAAATCCAATCGTTCTAATAAAAGCCATACGTACTGCCAGTATCGAGGTAAGATCGAATACAATGCTGGAAATCGAAAAAAGAATGTGTGTTAGATCGCACAATACCGTGACGATAGGTTGGTTGTACAAGGCAACAAAGGTGAAGTTCGAGATAGAACCAAATGGGGACTAGACGTGGGAAGTGATCGTGGAAGCTAGTAGAATAGGAAGCGGGGACCCGGCTCGAGAAATGGACTTCGGCAAGGGTACTGTGCGTCAATAAGGCAGGCACGTTCTCCGGCAGTGCTATCTACAGTTAAGTGCCCTGGGTACATGTAAAAGTACATTTCAAGGAAATATTGATGTTTGCTGGGCGAAGTTTATGTTGCGGATAGCGCCATGTGTAACAGCAAACCTCGTACAGTTGATATCAAACTTATCTGATACTGAGGTATATGTTAAGGCAACAGACAACCCATCTTGACAATGAGGTAAAGATTATTGGTGGAGATGGAAAAGACGTGACTAAAGGTGAGGAGAAACAGCTGGAGGTATCAAGATGTCCTTTCCCGCTAGTGGTCTTGCCATTTTTATACTGTTCTTACGCATGGATATTTAGCAGTATAATGCTGATAATCAAGTTACAATCACGAGGGGCCTGCTCATCATGGATGCTCTATCTACTCAACAAAGCTTCGTACCTTTGGAAGTTGGAATTCCTATCCGAAAGAGTTTTGGATCTCCGGCGGCTTTCTACACCAAGAAAGCTAGTTAACGGGTTGGATATACAGAAAGTATGATGGTGGAATAAAGGACTTGAGCCTCGGAGTGGAATGATCAATCTCAAAAATATTAACATCTGTTGTAAAAATCGAGTTTGCGCGAGAACATGATGTCGGAAGAACCATGACGGACCCCTGTAATTTCAGACGCGACTCGCCAGACCGCGCCGATTATGTCAGCCGCGTGGCGGGGACGAGGCTACTCAGATGCTCCCGTCCTTGTGGAATACCTGCCTCGCCTGTAGCTCAGATTCGAAAACAAAAAGCCAACTTTTTAGAGCGCATGCATTGATAAAATACGTCGCACTCGACCATTAACTGCGACAATAATTCTGCAGCAACTGGTGCATATTTAACCTCCCGAGAGACTCCCAACAGCTCAAACCACAGCGTGCGGTCAACACGTCAAAGCTGGGCTGTACCTCGTTTCTTATGTGGTCTTCCGTCGCTGTGTAAGATGCCGATGCCACTGCTATTCAACTGAAGATGCCCGATTTCTCATTAGACGACGATGACCGAGGTAGGCCAATGTCTACAGTAAACTGGGTTCTCAGCTAATTGACGAAGGGTCGAATGCCAGCTCTGACAATGAGCAAGACGAATTGATGGACGATGGAGAAGACCTGGAACCTGATGTAGATCAAGATGGTGAAGCGGAGGGGGACGATGACGATAACGAAGATGACAATGGAGACGACGACCAGGACGAAGACGACGATTCTCCTGACCAACCCTTATCTCAAGTTCGGCGGCCAAGTTTGCCAACCACGAACACGAGTTCTGGCGATTCTCCCATTATAAATCAGAGCAATGGTGTAGGACCAACATCACATCCTCGACCTACGGTGACGCGGACCTCAGCATCCCCACGGCAGCCTTCTGTTCATGCTCAAGCTCCACGTATGCGATATGAGGTTCGACCGGAGGCTCTCACGGCTCCAATATATGATATTGTGCCAACTATGGCGGCTCCTCAAAGTACGTCCATTAATGCGATAACAGCGACGCCAGATATGAGATACTGGTTCACAGGAGGGTCAGACTGCTATGTACGAAAGTACGACGGTGTTGCGACGATCAATGGCAAGACCTTGTTGACTGTGGCTCAGCGACATCCGTTCGTAGACAGCGTGGTTAAGGCTGGCGTTCTGATGACATATTGGGATAATGAAGAGCCTACTGCAAAAGTCCCGGGAGAAGACCCGCCATTGTCCCCTGTCTACTCGCTAGCGGTTCAATCCCAAGCACTTTGGATGCTTTCTGGTCTTGAATCGGGTTGCATAAACCTTTATTCAGTAAGACACGACGAAGGAAAACGTATTGCGTACATGCAAAAGCACAAGTCAGCGGTATCCGTACTAGCTCTCGCACAAGATGAGAAGTCGGTCTTGTCAGGAAGCTGGGACAAAAATGTCTTCGATTGGGACTTAAATACAGGACAAGTCAAAAGGTCCTTTGAAGGTAGTGATGGCCAAATTTCTGCTATTGAGGTGCGGCCGGCTTCAAGTCTGCCTGTGCCCGAGGAATCAGGAGAGCCCATACAAACAAATGGCACCTTTTCCGGTAGCGACAAACCTCATACCAACGGCATGGCAAATGGGACAGCGAACGGTACCACGGAGGGAGACAATGCAGAAGACGGTCATAATTCACCTAATGATTCTCTCTTTGGTGGCGGCAGTGATGACAACTCTCTGTTTGGAGAAACGGACGGAGTAGGTGCACCATCTGGTGGTAACTTCGGTGACGAGGATGATGAGTTTTCTAGAGCAATCGGAATGGATTTGGGTGACACTCAACCCGTTGATACCACAGGGGATATCGAGATGGGGGACGCTACTGCGGATGCGGCGCCAAAAGTTGAGCCAGCGCCTGAACAGCAAGATGATTCCAAGAACGAGCCGGAGAATCAGATAGTGTTTGAAGACTCAAAACCAGTAAATCAGGTCGTTGAAACACAGGACGCAGAGGCTACGTCCGATTCGACGTTCCTCGCAGCTTCTATCAATGGTACACTTCGAGTCTGGGATAGACGACAACAAACACCAGTCGCAAAAATCCCAATCAGAACCGGAGTTCCACCATGGTGTATGGCGGCATGCTGGTCGCCAGATGGAAATTATATATACGCCGGCCGAAGGAACGGTACGGTTGAGGAGTTTAGTCTGCATAAAGGACTCAAAAATGCAGAACGAACATTCAAGTTTCCTCAGGGTAGTGGCGCAGTGAGTTCGGTAAGGGCGATGCCGAACGGGAGACACCTGATTTGGTAAGTTCACTTTGAGTACGTGATGGTGAAATCCACTGACGCATCTAGTGCTTCGCATGATATTCTCCGCTTGTACGACCTAAAGGAGCAAGCGGCTTTCAAGCACTCAACTGTACCGTTTCTTATCGTACCTGGCCCTCCGAGGGCAGGCGTCATCTCTGCGTTACATATCGATCCAACCTGTAGATATATGCTCTCTGCGGCGGGCAACCGTGGATGGGAAGGAAGCAGCACCGAAGTGTTAATCGGTTATGAGATTGGAATTCCTTCTGCATAATCAGGCCATTGTCGACATTCAAGATTTGAGTCGCATATAATTTATGTACAACATCACTACGGAGTTTTATGGTGGCATATAGGACAGATCACACAAGGCGTTGGAAATACCACGGGAATCTGGCTGGATGCAGGTTGTTTTAAAATATTGGGGCATTCAATTCATTGTATCGAAGTTCTATTCCGGCAAGATAATCATCCTGTCATATCCACATACATCCTAACATATCTCATTCCTCGCGACCTGCACCGATCCTTATCCTATTCCTGACTTCCATCCTCTCCATCCCATTCCCTCCTCCACCACCCTCTCCCCCTACTTCCCCCCAGGCAACCCCAACCCCAACAAACAAGCATCAAACCCATCCTGACCCCCCGAATTACAAATCAAACACTGGCTCTTCACCCGCGCATTTCCAAATTGTTCCGTGCATTCATACACGTAATTCGCGTTGCAGCTTCCGGACAGCGAGAACCCCGTCGACGTGCGTGATCCGCAGGATGTGCCCGTTAGGACGCCGCAGTAGCAGCCGGTGTTTTGACGAGCTGAGAGGTCTGATGGGGAAGCGGCAGGGGAGGAGAGGGCGAGTGGGAGGGTGGTGAGGAGGAGGATGAGGAGGTTCATTTTTGGGTTTGTGGTTTGAATATTTGGAGGTTTGGTAAGGATAACTTTTTGCACAACCAGCAGCCCTCACCTCTTCCTTTATATATCTCCCCTCGCAGGACTATCTTCTCCGCCTTCAAACCCAAATTTATAATGTGTTCTCCCTGAGTCCTGTCATGAGCTTTGCGAACTGATCGTAGTGCCGAGATCTACAGCGCTAGACCCCGGATTTTCTGGGCGTGGGTGTGGGGTACCGAGGAGGTTTGGAGGACCCATATTTTGGGGAGTGAGGGAGAGGTGGAGAAATATTGGAGGGGTTTGGGTTTGAGGTTGAGGAATTAGGGTTGGGCGACTTGGTCGAGGAGGGGGTTGATGTTGAAGTCTTGTTAGCCCTGTGATGGGTTGTTTGCAGATAATATCTAGAGGTAAGTAGGCCTTTTCCATTTCTATTACGATACTAACACGTCTCCCTTTTCCCATCTATGGGGTGTTTGGCTCTTGTGTAAACCTCAATCCTCTAGTACTTTAGCAGAGTCGTGCCCTTGAAATTTCACAGGCGGGATGATAAGACTATCAAGATTCTGTGCTCACTTTCGATGGTCAGGAAGGTGAAGTTCAGATCCACTCGACGGAAAAGAGAGTGTCTGTACACTAATGGAGTCCTCGGTTCGAGTTCTTTTTGGACGGTTCCGTATCGGACAGTACACCCGTGCATTGCAAATCTGACAAGACACCTCCCTACGGCATAATAACGGTACTCGGCACAAAAAGCACTATAGTCACCCCATTTATTTTAGTAAATTTACAGTATTTCATCTATTGAAAAGGGTAAACGTTGCTATTGAGAAGTGTCGGAAAGTTGTTTCTCAATATTCTTGTACTTGGAGGGTGTCAGTCATGTAACACACTTGTGGTACGTAGAAAAGAGTTTTTGTAGATTCAAGGTAACGATCTGACCATTTTATAGTTTGAGAAAGCCAGCAATATTTTCTGTAGGATAGATTGACCCTTTTATCCAAGCTCTACTTGGCTAGTGGTGACAACATACTCAAGAAGCATGATGAATACGTGGGATTGTTGCTAGTGATTACAGAACCTCGCCAAAGTTGAAGAATCACGAATTCAGATACTGTACTGTAGTTTTTCTAAAGTATATTTGTAACTGTGTGCAGCTGTTTCAGTCACAAAGACACTCATATACATTTACAACCCGGAATAACCCGCAGCTACCACGCCCAACACCTATAAGTTTGGGCCCTCTAGTATTTATATCTAGTAGGAAAAAACGACGGCAGAGAACTTGGGAAGAGCAACACTAAAGAACTTGGGGGTGGAATCAAGATCGTAAAGATGAAGATTTAGAATAACATGCTTAATAAGCTAGAAGACATCGTGCTTTCCCCAGTCCATCTAACACACCGAATCCAAAGACGAAAACCCAAAAAGATCGAAACGGGCTAGTATTCCGACATCCAACACCATCGTCTCCCCGCCCCCTTCTTCCGTGACTTTAGACACTCTATCCACAAGAAGGAATCCATCGGCTGCATCACTCATTGTGAGAATATCAAACCCCGGATCTAACGCCTTAAGAAAGGTTTTGCAAGTACGCACCAGCTGCTCTTCGAGTGCGTTGACAAAGTACTCAAACTCTTCATCTTCGCAGCGTTCGACATCATAAACTGAATACGAAGAAACAGGACACGACTGCTCATTCTCACACTTTCTAACAGCCCCGCAAGTAACATCCACGGGATCAAGAATCTTTGAATCGGCACCAGACATAATATAACGGTACTCATCCAGGAGTCTGGGAATACCTGCATCGACCATTTCAGGAGTAAATTGCACGACGTTCTCGCTCAGCAGTTGAGTCTGAACGTGTTTGCGTATCTTCTCTATTGCTTTGGCGACGTCATTTAAATCATCTGCGTGTTCCTTCCGAGTCGCTCTTATGGCCGCGTAAACATCCTTAACGGAACGGGTGTCGAGATTTGGGATTTCGATTCCAGGGGGTAGGCGACCATTTTTTTGAGCCAGATTGAATACCAGGATTTTTATTGGTTCGGTGTAAAGCAGTTTTAGGGCGGTCCAGATGTATTTATCAAAACAAATCTGCTGATAAGATCTTGGAGCCGAGATGTCAGATGGAAGTTGAGTTACGAGAATGCTTGGTGGTTCGGATGATTCCGTGATTCGATTGAATGTTGATTTCTGGCCATTAATAGTACTGCCGTTAGAGCCCATCGTGTTTCTATGCTGAGACGATATGGCTAGAACTGGTGCTTTAAAATGGAGATGGGACTGTTGAGTGTGTTCCGAATTATTTCTGGTGACTCTCAGAAAGTAGATACTGAAATAGCTATATTAAAGAAGGATATGCAGAAATTAGAATATTAACACTCCTCGTTATATGTTGAAAGAAGGCGGGTTGGAATTAATAGTTGTTTGGAAGGGTGTTGTTAGTGTGAAAGAACGTAGGAGTTGGATAAGTTTGAACAGAGGTTCCATCCCGGATGCTCTTCATTTTGACGCCAAGAACAAAGAAGATGATTCTGAGTCGTTATGAGTAGTAGTAATCTATCGTTCTCTCATTCTCGCTGTGAATTTGGAGAACTAGTAGTATGAGTAATAATCATGAGCGAAAAACCAGGATGCAATGGATTGAAGTGTTCGGACTCTAGTGTAGGCATCAGACAATCTTGAGCTCCGACAATTCAACTCTTGATATTTCATCCAATATAGTTGATTCCAGCAGCCCAAGACGAAGCCCATACGTTGGAGCGTTTGGTTCGGCAACAGCAATACGTACGTCAGCAACGACACATGTAATAGCGCAAATGCTTCTGTTAGCTCGATCGATATATTTCATAATGAGTCAAATATGCAACCCAGGTTATCCAAATCATCAGAAGTTGAGTCTAGTTCGAGATAGCGTTTGTGATGGATGATAGAGCACCAAAGTAGGTCGATGTGCGAAGCTACAACAAGAATGAAAGAGCTCGCTTCAACCTTGAATATAATTGCATCTAAAATAGTCGCGCTATATCGGCCTGTGTAAGTGACTTTCCCCTCTTCAGGTAGCCAATTGAGCGCAAGTGATAATCTTGATTTGAACTAGCCAACCGCTGAATTTGACACTTTTTGATCGTGTGCATTTTGGACTAAAGTGAATCCATTGCGGCAATCACGATCTAAGTGACGGGAGAACCAGGGACAGCCGAGGCAGACGCCATTTTCACCAAACTTACAGGCACAGCGTACACGACACCAATGGCACCCTTAAACGAAACAGAGGTTATCACAGGTGATAACACTGAACGGGTGCTACAGAAGCTTCTTAATTTCGGTACCGGAGTTTTGCTGAACTTCGGCACCATAGTTTTCTCCAGCTGCTCTGGTTCGACTCAAGCAAAAGCAGCGAGTTCATTCCTAGGGAGTGTGAGGCGATGGACATGTTCAATACTGTGAAAGACATTGCTGCTAATACTGTCATCAATACGGCTAGTAATGGGGATACTTCTACAGTGAGTTGGATGTCCATCTTCGCATGATTCCTGGGGTATGATGAAGATAGATTCATACTGAACGGAGGATTTCTTTGATTTTCGGTAGTAGTTGGTTGCACAGTATTGGCTATTGTTCTTTTCCACAATTTTGACATTCGTCAGTCACTAATTCGCATGGGAGGAGACTGGAATATTCATTGAATGCTCTAGTCGACCAATTTAAAACTCGTTATCATGGATACTCATTTCCTCAATTAGTGTTCTCTGTATTATCTTCTCGATAGTGCAAAAGTTGTGGTGAATTATACACTAAATAGACACGATGTGTTGGTGCGACAGTATAGCGGCTAGTGTTAACACCGTAAAAATGACTTAATACACTTTGCATCTCTAGCCGGGGCATGTCGTGAATCCAGCAACAATTGTAATAATTCGCTTCGGTGCTATTGTTGCACAGAGCAACGTCCTATCATGTGGCACTATAAGAAGCCTCTTGATCGCGGTCCCTGGGATAAACATCAACAACATTTACATACTTTTGTTCAATCAATTTATTTGAGAAATCATCCATCATACCTTGTCTTCAACTATTCAGTAATCAGTTATCCCACAACACATCAATAATTTTCGCAATGGAAGCCACTTCAAGCAGCCCTATGGTGAGCCAACTTGGTCTCACTATCAACAATGACTCTGGTGTTGATCTTTCAGCCTCCGTTCCGCCCCAACGAGGTAAGTATTTGAATCTAGTCCTATTCCGGGTCTAAAGTCAAGCAGCCAAGCAACCTTCCAAATCTTACAGCATGTCTTCATTGAATATGAAGAAGCTTCGAGGTTGGGTTTCTCGCTCGAGAAGTGTTTCTGATCAGAGCATCTCAAGCAATGACGGCTCGGTCGTAGTCAATGTTATTGAGCCTGGCCAAATCCCGACCCCAACCAAGGATCCGCGAAAGGTCCGTCTCAATGCTCGACTTCGAGCAGCTACAAAGAAATCAATTGACATGCTCTTCAACGAGGCCAAGAAGCATGGAAAGACACTCGGTGATCATCCAGACATTGTAAGCTCTTCACCAGCTAAAAAGATAAAATCCTCTACTTCCAATACTGGTGAACATCACAGCGAGATCAATGATCAAGCTCAAGAGCCAGAAGACCTCACTCTTGTCACATCTCAACAACGAGAGCAATTATCCACAAAAGACATGGAAATCGCCCTCCTCCGTGCCCACCTCGACCACATGGCAACCGTCCAAACCATCCTCAAAGAAACCCTAACCACACAACAAGCCACCATCGAAGAACTGAGAACTCAAAACAAATCTCACGCCACTGAACGCCGCACCCTTCAACACGAAAACACACAGCTCCTCAACGCCGGCACCAGCCGAGCTAAATTCGACCTAATGAAAAATCAAGTCGAGAATCTGACAAGCTCGCTTACAGAAATGACTATGAAAGTGGAGGAATATGAGAAAGAAAAAGAAATACTTCGCAATACGGGTTATACCACTTTCACCGCATACTGCACCGCTTTGAATACCGAAAGAAAAAACATCCAGCCCCTAGTTGACATTGGCAGATCTGTCCGCTCCCGACTTTTAGAACTCTAACTCCCTTCCCGTATCCAAAACCAGCTCGTCCTCCAACGAGGCGACCAAGCCATTAGTTCCGGATCTGCAAAAGCAGATGTGTTGCTCTACGCCGCTATCCTCCCGCATCCTAGGGAGGATATCTATACATACGCCAACACGTACGGTTTTACTCCCACCGCTGTGCTTAAGTGCAAGAGCGAACGACTGTTGGAGATACTGGATGCTAGAGTCTGGGTTCGGGGTCTTCCAAAGGCGGGAGGGTATGATACCGATGAGTTTGTGAGATTGGTGGAGGGGATTGATAATAAGAGAGCTGGAATTGAGGGGTTTGAGGAGGCGATTGCGGGAGAGCAAGGTGATGAATTTTACCAGAGTGTGATGGAGGAGTTTTGGAGATTGAAGAGTGCTTATGGGGAAGGTCGTCAGAGAGAATGAACATTGGGGAATTGTTGATACGAAGTCGTTGACCACGAATATTGAGACAGAGAACGAACGTGGGACTGAGAAGATACTAATACTGGGTTTAGGGATGAATGAAAACAGGGACATTTGTAATGGAGAATAACCTGGGTATTTAGGATTATTTTGTACCATTAATATCTACTAGTCAGGTAAAAACATCAACTATAACGTACACAATCTTTCTTGCCTTACATTATACTGCGAAACACATAAGGTGGTAGTGCTCAGATTGATGTTTGCTCGAGTCAAGCTCGCTTAGCTCACTCTCCCCTATCCTCCGCATTCGCTTAATTGTTCTCTCAATTTCCGAACATCGCGATACTGTTCTCAAATTCCCAAAGTGAATGTTATCCGCGTTTGAACTGCCAGTCAACATAGCAACAGGATCGCGAGCTGTTTAGGTCAAGTGAACAATGAGTCAACAAACTTTTTGCGCTTCAAATAATTGTCGAAATTTGAATCTCAGCGTTTTGGCCAAACAAATCCACCTGTCAATTTGCACAACATACACAAACAAAACCGACATACAAACTTCTGCCACGTCAAAATGGACAATCCTTACAACTTTCCTGCACCTGGACCTTTCGGAACAAACGCACCAGTCGGCATGCCTCGCTCGTCACAAATATATATCGGACGCGGAGGCATTCATGTCAAGCAGAACCGGGCGAGAGCAACTTCGCCAAAAACAAACAACATAAATGTTGGTACTGCGACCAGCCCAAAGGTTTCGAGTGCCTCTTCTTCGAAAGCACCGAAATCAAACACTGCGGTGAATCATGCCGGTTCCAATTCTCAGAGCGTTGTGAAAACAAGCCCAAATGTCAGAAGAAACCCAGCAAAAGATCCAGGTCCGCTTTGGTTCGGAGCACCAGAACGGTGGAATTCTGCTGTTTCCAGTTCTTCTAGTGTTGGCAAACCAGTGATAGATGCAACGAAACAGACGCCGGAACCAGGAGGACCAAGACTGCAACAATCCCATAAACGCAAGAGCAGCGATGATGACTCGAGTCAGTCTCCTGTCGGCAAACGTAAGATATCAGTCGAAAAGGCCGCGGCCGGACTTGTAGTTCCAACGTCCTCAGATGTTCCACGGCACAACGATCAAGTTCGTGGCAAATCTACTAATGTAGACAAACGCCCTCAGGACAACACTGAAAAGCAGACAGAAGTCCCGTCATCAAGTGAAATTCTAAGTAGAGAGCAGGCAGGTCAACCTGCCTCCATTCCTAAGAAAATCGAAGGAAACCACCTCAACACTACAAAACCAGTGGTAGTACTTGCAGCTCTGAAGGCCCAGAAAACCCATGATAAAACCAATAATGCTGTTCAGCAATCTACGAGTACGAACAACAACACTCCTACCATCGTCCCCCAAAAAACAGGAGTAGCAGCTATACAAAGCTCAGGAGCCCAGCACCCAGCAGCACCTCCTCAACAAATGCCAATCTGGCCAACGCTCTTCAAGCCAGAGCACATACAAGGTCTTCCGGACTTTTTCTCGCGCAACAAAGAAGGATGGGAAAGAGGACTGAGACAGTTATGGGCTATTGTGCAAAGCAATGGCCCGGAGACTCCTCAGAATCAAGAGGCGGTTGGAAATATTATTGATTTCTCAAGAAAGTTGACGGAGAGATTGCAGGTGATGTGGCCTACGCTACAAGGCTCTGGGATAAGTACAAGACCTAACGTGAGGGTCGAAGAAGCCGCAGCTGGTACTACGCAAAAGCAAAAGGTCGATACTTCGGCTCAGAGCGCCAGGGAAAATGAAACGCCTTTGATTACGTCGAATTCGTCTAAAGCGAGCTCTGTGGACAACACTGGTAAATCCCAACCAAGCGTTAAATATGAGCAGACGTCGAATGCTAGTGCCACAATCCAGATTGGACCTTCATCTCAGCTCACAGTCACAACTCAACTAAATATGTCTAGCTCTGCAGCCGACATTGAGAGACTGAAGCAGGGTATTGAAAACCGACAAGCACCAAGTAGTAAGACTGCGCTTCCACGAATACCTCCGGCTCAGTTGGTAGTTCCGACTCAACCAGCCAACTTTAAATCTGCTCCGTCGAACTCGAGTTCCCAGAGAAACATTGCCAAATCTCAACAAAGCACAGAGAAACCACAGCCAACAGCAGGGAAATTCCCAGGCATTGCACCTTCAATCCAGTTCGCAACTGCAAGTCAGATATGCAGTAGTGAGCCTGTTACGCCTAACAAGAATGATGCCAGCAAGACAGGAGAGTCTCAAGCTGTTGGAGCACTACTCACCCAAAACGCTCATCATGTTACTCATAGTCAACCATCAACGTCCAGTTCTGCTACTCCAGCTAAGAACTCAGAGACAAACGCGAGAAATGTTCAGATAAATGGGCAAGTATCAAAGAAGAATGCTCCGGTGCCAACATCAATTTCGCGTGGATTAAACAGTTCCAAATGGGCTCCGGCTGAGACGAAGTCCTTGGGAGAGACAGTTAGATCACAGCAAAGCAGTAAGACATCAAAAGCGTCAAATACGAAGGCTGCTCTGGACCAAAACTCTACACCACACCAGGTACTCCCAGCCCAATCACCTGTTTCTCCGTCTGCCCCGTCGAACTCAGTTACTGCAAGCAATGCAGCAAATTCCAAACTTGATAGGAAAGTACAGTCAACGCAGACGACGGGATTGGCAATTGCAGATCAGCCCTTGAACAATACAACAGTTCTGAACAAGGCAAATACTGCAAGCTCTACCGGAGTGTTGCAGACCAAAACGACGGCACCAGCGGCTCACAAAACTCCAGTCCAACAGCTTCCACTTCCAAATCAGCCGATTCTTTCTACGTCTCGTCAGTTGAACGGCAATTTGGTACAGAATGCAGATAAGACACAAGAAAGCAAGGAAACTGTAGTAAACACAAAACTCCAGCCTCTCGTCCACCATGCAGCTCCAACTCAAAAAGTCCAGGCTGCGACTCAGTTAGCAGTTACGCATCAAGCAGACGTTCCCCCGCCTAAGTCTACTTTAGGGAGTAGCTCGGTAAAATCGCAAGCTGCTGCAAGCATAGGAGCAAGACTGGAAGACTCGACGCCTAATCGATTTAAAGCTCAAGACAAAGTCGCTCCTACATCCCAGGCTATACCTACAAGTCCAAAGCCTAATCAACCTACTGGAAGCTCTGCTCTACCAAATTCAAGGTCGGAAGTCAACACCTTGCCACTACGTCCAGCGGCCGAAGTGATAAAAGTTCAGAAGTCTCAACAAACAGCTCAACTCCCGACTGCCAAAAGTCCAAGCATCACTTCGTCAGCTATATTTCAAGCTAGTTCTGTGACAAAGACAACAAAGTCACAAGCAGAACCAAAAACACAGCCCTCTTCCCAGTCTAAGGCTCAAGCTCAACTCGTCATTAACAGTCAGCAACTTACTATTGCAACTGCGCACTCCGAGACGAGTTCCTCAAGTAGCACCACCAAATCACCACCGAAAAACAAGGAATTGGTAGAGCAAAAGCCAAATCAACCTGCTCATATCCCAACTACGCCGAAAAGGTCTACCACGAGCTCTATCACCAACGAAACAAGCCCTCCAGCGACCGAAGCAAAAACACCACCACCAAAGATCAAGTCTTCAACCCAACCGTCAAGCGCCAACAAACCCAATGTCTTCACCTCGACTATCCCAAACGCAACTTCAACGAAAACAAAGCCACTTAATGCCATCTTCTCAGCAACAAGTTTGTTCTCGAACAACGAAGTCCTCTCAACGTCCCAGAAGCTCTGTCAGCAAGCCCTCCAGATCAAAGAACTGCAACAAGACCTCGCCAAAAAAGATCAAGAAACAGCGGGGATTACTAAGACGTTAATGTTCGAACGCGAGCAGCACCGAGTTGTACTCTCAAACAACGAGCAAAGAGCGACCAGTGCTGAGCAAGCTTTTGAGTCGTACAAAGCGTTAGCCGGAAGAGTCGAGCAGGGCCTCCAAGAACGTGTGCAAGTGTTGGAAGGCGAGAACAAAACGCTCAGAAGCGAGAACTTAACTTTGAGATATGAGAGGGACATGGCGAGACACGGCCTCAACGGTATCAAACAGTGGATTAGTCAGGTAGAGAACGAGAACACAGCACTCAAGGATAAATTTAGAACGCGCTGGGAAGAACACATGGCTGAACTTACCCGCGTGAAAGCGGAGTGTGATAAAAGAATCGCAGACGCTGAGATCGCAGAAAAGAAATGGCGGATAAAACACGACGAGGTACACCTCTCCAAAGCAGACCTCACGCGCAAGCAATCTCTACATATCGAGCAAATCCGCGCGGAGGCCAAGCAGAAATATATACAGCTCTTTACGGAGCTCGACACGCAGGGCTGCGAGACGTACGCCGGGTTCGGGAGTTACGTGAAGAGCGCCCAAGCAATGTGCAAATTCATGTCGGCACAAATAACGGGTGAGGCGGTATCAATGGGAGTGTATGCGAACGAGGTGACGAAACACGACAAGGATTTTGCGAGGTATGTGAAGGAGTTTAGGGAGAGTCTGGAACCTCAAGATGGAGAGGAGCCCAAATGGCAGGCCATGGCTGCGAGCACGGCGGCGAGAGAGGCGTTTTTTAAGGAGCTGGAGGGCTTGACTAAGAGTTTGGGGGAGGTGAAAGGGGGGTTGGGGACGGTGAGGAAGGGGTTGGAGGGGAAGATGAAGGCTGAGGGGGAGGAGCTTGAGAAGATACGGAAGGAGCTTCTGGATTTGAAGACTGTGAGATCAAAAGACCAAACTAGTCTCAAAGCTGAGCTGGAGAGGAAGACGAAGGAACATGCGAGTCTCAAGAAGGAGGTTGAGCATAAGAATTCGCTGATGGGTACTCGCAAGACGGAAATCGAAGCCCTAAAGGCTTCAGGGAAGAAACTAGATGACGCGCTCCGGACTTTGAAAGCAGAATCCTACGACCTCATCGCCTCGTCCCAAAAGCGCTACGAGACAGCCGAAGCGAAATGCCTCTCCCAATCCGCGGGTCTGCAGCGACGAGATCTCAAACTCGCCGAGCTCACCCAGAAACTAGCTGATCTGTCAGAGAAAATGGAGGAGAAGAAGAGGGAAGTAGAGCAATTGGATAAATACCTCGAGCAGAAGAACAAAGAGATCGCGGAGTTGGAAAAGGGGCAATTGGGAACGACAGACGCGTTTCTCCCGCTTACGGAGATTGGGATCTTGGTGCGGACGCGTTATTTGGAGAAATTGAAACCCTATCGCGGACAGAATAAGAGCTTAATCGAAGCCGGCGACCTCGCTGCCCACGGCGGCGCGCCGTTAGCTGATGCTCTACTATTCTCATACACCCTCCCCTCGATCGTGGCGCCACGCACCGATTTCCACGTTTTCGAACAGCTGTACGAGACATGCATCAGCGACGTGGAAGAACTCCGCGAGTTGGTCCCGTTTCAAGAGGTGTTGCGGTGGAATGGGTGGATGAAGACGTTGCGGAACCATCAGTTGAGGGAGGAGGCGGAGAGGTTCTTGAAGATGACGAAGGGATTGCTGGAGGAGGGTAGGAAGGTGGGACTTGAGGTGTGGTTTCAGGGGGCGGAGGGTAAGAAGGGGTTTGAGGAGTGTGAGAATTTGTGGGTGGAGTGTCGGAATGAGTTTAAGAATGAGAGTGGTGGGAAATGAGGGCTTTTGGGTATCTGTGTTATGCTGATTGTAAAGTGTTGAGGTGATGGGGATGGATTTTCTTGCTCGTTTGGATTTTATCCGATGTTTGTTGACAAGATGAGTGTATTCTTATGTAGTTGAAGTTTGTAATGGCGGAGATGTGAAGACTTCTTTTAAATTATGATATGTAAAAGAGAAGAGCGGATGGGGTCTGTGTTGGTTATCTGGATATAACTCGATAGTATATGACGATTGTAAATATAATTCGAGAAAATGCATATAATCTCAGTTATAAAGAACTATCATCACTATCAGTAATTCTGTATCTGTCATTCTGAAAGTACTCACGGATATGAACTCGTGTATCTAAATTGATGCTACACCTGTAAAGATAACTGTGAATATCTTCATACACCAGACCCATATTCACATAACCCTCTTAAATCATAAAACTTAATTCCCATATATCACACCAAGCTATGCAAAAAAAATACAAATAAACGCCATCCGCTCCCAGATATCCATACCTCAATATTCCAACCCACTCATACTCCCTCGCCGAACCAACATCCTCGCGCTCTCTCCGTCAATCCTCGCTTCCTCCACCACGCCCTCCTCCGGAAGCTCAACCTCATCCCTGATTCGACTTGTCAAGAATGCGGCAACTAACGTACTTAGCCCTCCACCAGCAAGCACAACCGCGAAAGAGTGATCTCCCGGGGTGCCTCGAGGTTTCTGCATGAAGTGAAAGACGGCGGAACTCGCTAGCGTAGCGATGATCTGGGGCGCTGCGATGGACATGTTGTGAATGCCAAGGATCACGCCGGCTTGATCTTCAGGTGGTGCATTTGCAGATGAATTGACACTGCGAGTGCGTCGGAGAGCATCGCGTTTGGAAACTTCGGCGCTGATGATGGCGAAGGGTGCCCATAGGGTCAAGGCCCATGATATACCGACGACGCCGATGAGAGCAGTTGCGGCGCCTATGCTACGCACGATGAGAGTGGAGAACATACATCCCGCGAAAACGAGATGGGCGATTAGCCAGGCACGGCGGAGTGTGAGCCATGGGATGACAAGGCGGTCGAGAAAGCGTGATAGACGTGTTGTGTAGCTCTTGTGGGAGTATTGAGATGCAGCTGATGATTTATTGTCATAGGATGGAGCGATGAAGAAGGGGAGGAAGATGTTGGTTGTGAGAGAGGTGCAGGCGTAGACTAGAAGAGCAAAGGTACCCACACGAGTGGCTTTCTCGTAGAGTAGTTCTAGTTCTTGAGGTGTCATGTTGGGATTTTCGATGAGGTATGGCTGGACATATATATCGCCAATGTAGGAGCTAGAGTAGAAGAGCTGGGGGAAGAAGCCAATCCAGGCGAAGAATTGTACTTCACAAACCTTGCGGGTTTGAGGTGGTAGTCGACGGACGGATACGAAGACGGTTCTGAAGAAGTGTATCAAGCCAGCCTTGCTATCTTTGGCTGCCTTTGGTTGCAGCCTTGGGTCTCGCTCTTTGACAGTAAGTACGCTAATAGCAACGGTACTCGCCAAACATATGGATGCAATTACGCAAAGGGCTTTGAACTGGGTATTGAGAAATCCCAGGTATTTCGGTAGTTCAAGATACCCAGCAATGTACCCTACGATGTTGCCAACACCTACAATCCGGCTTGCCATAGCATTTGCAGCTTCTAAAAAACTTGTTAGTGGGGAAAATTGCAGAATAATATTGAGACAGACCTTGTTGGTGACTGGGCGCACAGTCTAGAATGAATGCCCTGATTCCGGCTTGCACTTTAGAGAATTAGCAAGTTAATATCGGGTTTCAAATCGCCAGGCATACCCGTGTTAATGGAAAAATCCAGTATGTACACCCAAAACACCGCTACCACAATGATGGTAGTTTTCACACCTTGTGCCTCTCGATCTGCTCCAAACAATCCCAACGTGCCACCTACAACCTCTCTGACCCAGGCAAGGCCAAGTAGCGAAATGATTGTTGCAAGCGCTCCAAAAACCATAAACGGCACTCGTTTGCCCCACGATGACCTGCAATTGTCGCTCAGCATTCCCACATATGGCTGTACCAAGGTTCCCGAAAGTGGTCCTGCTATCCACACCATAGCCATTAATGACTTGCTCATTCCCAATGATAGTAAAAATGGGGTGCCATTTGATAACTCCACCGACCATGCCAGTTGTAGGCCTCCAATACTAATGGTCAACAGTACCATGTACCATAAACTCTTGGTGTCCTGGTAGTCATGTTGCGGATCGCCTGCTAATATCTCTTGGTCTTCGTTCAATTCGTGATCATTTTCAGACGTATCTGAGGCCGATAATAAAGGTGACTCTTCGTGCACTAGTTTCGCGGTCTGATCGATCGATGGATTTCGTGGTGCGAGGGTATCTTCTGACTCTCGTGTCCTCGAAGAAGGTCTCTGAGCATCTGCCATTTCTCCAAGCCCTCTCTTGCCTCCCACCCGGGTCGTAATATGCTTCGTGGCGGCGAGGACTTCGGTTTCGGTCGCGATGGCGGGGGGATGAGGCGTCGAAGTTGAGTGGCACCAGTGACTCCAATTTCTTTTCCACAACTTCAGTATATGTATTCGTTTGTCGAAGTATGCCTGTGTATAATCGGGAGAGTGTGGTAGCTCAACGATCATTCACGCGTGGCCATCACGCGGTCAGCCGTTGAGGTTACTCGAAATAGCGTTTGGTAGAATGGCAGTCAGCTGGCCGGGAAGGAACTCGTGAAGTAGGCAGGTAGAGCTAGGCAGATCACTAGAAGTATTTGTATCGGTTGAGCGTGGCAGATGAGATGTTTGAGATAGTTGAAGGTTAAAGATGGATTCGTACAATGAACAGTTCAGTGCGAAAACTACGAAGAAAGATGAGGGAAACTTTGCCAGCTGGCTGTGTTGTTTCCCTTCCCCATTTCCGGTTGTCGTCAGATTCACGCCAAAAGTAGGAACACCAGGGGAAGGCCAATGCACGTCCAATTTTCTCCGGGTCAGCGTCACTGCTGCAGCAGGTGTGCACCACTCTGAAGGAGGCTGAGAGACACGTTGTGGGGAGCCCTGGCCCCGGAGTGCAACGATGATCTCCCTGCCTCGCTGCGTATTTGTGCCTTGGCCTTGGCTCAGTTGTTGGCTTGATGTTGGGGGCTGGACTGGACACCTCGACTCTATGCAACAACTGCCTTTTATGTTTGAAGACTTCATTGAGACACGTTAAGAGTTTTTTCTGTCCAAAGATTCTATTTTACCCCTCCTAATTCCAACTCTGGCATTAACTTTGACGCCTGCACGCAAGCTTCCCCACTACCGTTAGACGCGCAAGCTTGAGCTCTCGACCACCGAAGCCTTGAGTAGCCGATCGTACTTGTAATCGATAACTTCGAACCACCCCCGTTGCACAAAGAGGACGACCAAATTCTCTCAACACCAGAACCTAATCCAAGATTGGCGCATATTACATGTGTTCTCCTTCTACCAAACGACGCTCGTCGCTGAGCTACGACACTACACCATCCTCGAGCGCATCCCGCTGATGCTGCCAACGTCACACTCACCATGTCTGCGGTAATTGCCAGCGTGGCCTACCAGCTGCTCAGTACGTTGCGGAGTACCTGTGCAATTGCGAGGATCAATCGCTGACTATATGAATAGAAAGAGACGATGACGAGACCGACGGCGAAGGTAGATATGCCAGAAAATGCTGTTACAGTACACCACTGATGCGATTACAGGTCCCGATACCTCCCAACGGGAAATCTTCTCATCATGGGCCCTCTTCATCATGATCATGCTGCTCATAACAGCCCTTTTTACGAGTTATATGCTGCAACAAAAGAAAATCGAAGCCGTACATGAAACGGTTATATCCATCTTTGCTGGTAGGTGGACAATTTATACATCTGAGTCGCATACTTACATCCTCCAGGAATGACAGTAGGCCTCATCCTTCGTGTCAGTAACGGCGATTCTATTCAAAATCTGGTCAGCTTCGATTACCAGATCTTCTTCAATCTCCTCCTGCCACCTATCATTCTGGCATCGGGCTACGAATTGCACCAAGCGAATTTCTTTCGGAATATAGGTACGATCCTTACATTCGCATTCGCTGGGACCTTCATATCGGCCATTGTGCTTGGAGTGTTACTATGGGTCTACACACGAATTCCCCTTGACGGACTTAATATGACGTTTGTCGAAGCCATCTCAATTGGCGCAACATTATCTGCTACGGATCCTGTTACGATTCTGGCTATTTTTAATACATACAAAGTCGACCCGAAATTATACACCATCATTTTCGGTGAGTCGATTCTCAACGACGCCGTGGCGATTGTGTTGTTCGAAACGGCGCAAAGATATAAGGAAGGTGGGGCTGCTGGTACACTGGGCTTCGTCAGTCTTCTTGAAGGTATCGGTATCTTCTTGGCCGTGTTCTTCGGAAGCTTGATTATCGGTGTGATGATTGGAATTGGGACGGCGCTCATGTTGAAGTTTACTCTCGTCAGAAGGTTTCCAAAAATCGAGAGTTGTTTGATTGTGTTGATTGCATATGCTAGCTACTTTTTCTCAAATGGGCTACATATGTCTGGTAAGTCACCTACCGTGTTTCTGGAGAAGCCCTACTAAAAATTTCAGGAATCGTCACGCTCTTGTTTTGTGGAATCACGCTCAAACATTATGCTTACTACAACATGTCTCGACGGACTCAGCTCACTACCAAGTACCTATTCCAAGTCCTCGCTCAATTGTCGGAAAATTTCATCTTCATCTACCTTGGACTTTCTCTTTTTACGGAAACGAAACTGGAGTTTAAGCCTTTATTCATTATTGTAACGGTCGTGGGGATTTGTGTAGCTCGATATGCTGCAGTATTTCCACTTTCAGCCGCGATAAACTGGTTCATTAGATACCGCGCCAAGCGCAGGGGCAAGGAGGTTCCGGACGAGTTGCCTTATAGCTATCAAGCTATGTTGTTTTGGGCTGGACTTCGTGGAGCTGTGGGTGTAGCATTGGCGGCAGGAATGACTGGCCCTAACTCTTGGGCCTTAAAAGCAACCGTATTGGTTGTTGTAGTATTAACAGTTATCATTTTTGGAGGAACCACAGCACGCATGCTCGAAATCATGGGCATTAGAACAGGGGTCGTCGAAGAAATCGACAGCGACGATGAGTTCGATATCGAATCTCACCCAGGAGGATCCTACTACAAGAGCTCCGGCAACGGCATAGGTCACGCACCAAAACGCAGCTCCATCGGCCTCCAAGGCCTAAACGGCAACAACCATAGACCAGAACGCGGCAGTTTCGTCAGCGGAAACTCAAGCCCCCATGCCCGACCATCCAGTCTCAGTCGCACCGGCTCTCAAAGCCGCAAAGCGGCACGTGAGAATGAAGACCTTCTTCACGCCGGAGGAGACGATTCGGATATGGAAAGCGATACCTCTGACCTCCCTCCGGCGGTCAAGAGATCTCCCAGCGGCCGCACCCCTAGCAGCACCTCGGACGATTCCACGCCGTACCCGACATCTGGAAGTGCGAGAGCGGATGCGGGACCCCAGATCTCGGCCGCGGGCGCTATTAATTCGCTCTTGCATGGCACGGCGGAGGATCAGGCGGCGTGGTTTAGACAGCTGGATGAAGGGTTTATCAAACCGAAACTTTTGCTGGATAGTGGGAAGGGTCCTGGTGGTAGTGGTGGGGGGCCTAGTTGATAAGGGGGATGGGCTTTTTCTGGATAGAATTGCTGGAGGAGTTTGGGTGTATTTATATTAGTTTTTGTTGCATTGGGTGGAATAGACATTATGTGTATATCATGAGGGAGTGTTTGTGTATGTGACGTACCTCAAAAGATCTTCAATTTCTCCATCTAGCATCTATTGAACGAGGAACTAGTTAATTCACCCCCGGGATTATTTGTAACACATCATGCTTTTTCATGACCTTTATCACAGGTCTAGCGATCTCGCATTCGCCTATTTCTTCCCCGCTTTTTCTCATATCCGCTTTTTGGATGCAGAGATATCAGAGAGAGGTTGGTACATACTTTTAGGGGGGATTGAAAGTTCTTTGTGGTTAAACTGAAAGTCTGAAACTTCCTTGAGGTAAGGGCTAGACATTCTTTCGAAGGGGTGGGTGTTAGATCAACGCGGTGGTACTGAGGATAGTGGGTGTGGTAGACAGGTAAAAGGAGGGTTCTGGGATAGATGATATGGTGTGAGCTTGATAGAATAGGGGGATCCGTTTTAATGGCTGTATAGCGATCCTAAGGTTTCTATTCCGAAGTAGTCAAGTGGGATAATGTAAGCTATACCCCTTATTTTCGAGCAGCAGGATTCCACTATACTGTGATGAAGTGCCGAGATATGGACGTTGAAGAGTCGAGGTGTAGTTAAGGGTATCTGATAATTTCAACCGGCTGCACCGTGATAATCCGACTTTTCTGTTCTAGCCCACAATGTGTGTTTTGATTATAGACCTCGATCTAATAAATCATCACTCCCTCTTCTTCCTCCCTTCCTCTTTCTTTCCACCATATCCACCTCCCCAACCCACCAACAGACACCACACCACCCACGCAAACCCAACCGCAACAACCGCCCCCGTCCCCCACTCCACCCATCCACTTGCCTCCAACCCCAAAACCGGCACCTCAAGCCCGTTCACCAACCTCCCCCCTTCGCTAGCCTCAGGAGATAGATGATAAAACATGGTCCTCGGCCCAAACAACCCATCGTACCCAACATTCGTGCGATCAAACGGATTGATCGGAAATTTCGTGCCCTCGTCCTCTGGACACGCCCAGAAGAGCGTTGGGTACGCGAATTCCAGGTATGTACTGCTGTTATGTGACGGTGGAAGGTAGCGGAGGTGTAGTGGGATTTCAGCTGTGAAAGAGGGGCCTAGTGTTGGCGGTGCGAGGGCGAGAAGGAGCGTGGAGCCCCAAGTGGTTAGGGTGTAAGAAGGGGCTTCGAGGTCGATGGGGGAGGTGATGTGGTGGAGTGCTGAGAGGTTTTTTGAGGCGAGGTAGAGAGGGTCAGAGAACTGGTATTTATCTGGGAAGAGGGCGCGGGGGAGGGTGAGGTGGGCGTGAAGGGAGCAGGAGCGCTCATCTGGAGGAAAAGGGGGTTCGCTGGCGGAGATGGATAGTTTGAGGGTCGGGTGGAGACCGGTTGGGGAGTTGAATGAGGTGCTGAAAGTTTGGGGAAGGGAGTGGTGGCGCGCGGGGAAGGAGAAGAGTGTTGGTGAGGGTTTGGTGTCTTCGCCTACGACGGTGAGGAAACCTCCTAGGGATAACTCCTCGCGTTCTTGGGGTGGTACGACGGAGAGGATTCCAACCTCCATGCGTTCTTTTGGGTTGGTGTTTTGGAGGTCTATGTCCCATTGGGTGGGTGGCCAGAAGGCAGTGATTGTTAGGGCGTGGGAGATGGTATCGTAGTCTATGTCGAGAGAAGCTGCTGTATCGAGTTCTTGGACCCGAGAGAGGCACATTGAGTTTGATCTGCTACATATCTTGTTTTCAAGGTACGTTTGGAAACCATCCTTTAAACTGGAGAGTGGTGTATAATATTGCGTAGCAGCGGACAGAGAGAAGCGCTCAACTGGGAGTTTGGTAAACGAGGCCTGGTCGAAATTAGCCCTTTGTTTTAACTAATATTTAGATTGAGTGGTACCTCAGGCGATATACAATCAATCTCACCAAACACCTTTTTCAACATCGGACATAACAATTCCCTACACATCTCAGCAAATATCCAACACAACAACCATTTCCCTTACGAATCACTGCTATTCCTCTGCCCCGTCCAAAAAACATGCAACCCAGGACTTAACCTACTAACCATAGGTCCCAACGTCGAATACTCCCTCTCCGACACCCATCTTATATGCAACTCATGACATCCCTTCAACAACCTATACAACTCCTGCGGTAGCTCTTCAAACCCAAACGTTATCCTATCTTCTCGGGCTGCTATAACATTTTTCGCGGAAAGAGTTGAAATTTTTTCATTTTTCGTTACGTGGATGGTTTTAGGGTCCGTGGAATATTCCGGTTCTTGGATGAAGGTTATTCTTTGGCGCATTTTGAAAGCGTTGAAGCGATTTACTTTATGGTCTTTGAAGCTCGGTGGTGGTGATGTCGAAGCTCTGTGGCAGAATCCAAGACCCTGGCTGGGCGGTGTACAAAACCGGACGAGGCTGAAGTGGCGGCTTGTTGGAGGAGCTTGACGACGCGCAATACAATCAGACCATCCCGAGGTCTTTCGGACGGCAATCTGTCCTCTACGCTCTTTGTACATCGATATATCTGCAGCATTTGACCTACAAATGCGATAAACAACTCTGCCTACAAGGCAAACCCATCCAAATCAAACAACCACCAACAACAACCAACATGCACATCCTCGCCCTCCTCACCCCTCTCCTCCTCCTCTCCCCAGCAGTCCTCTCCGCCAAACCTCCCAAGAATGCGATCCTCCTGTCAAACGTGAAAACCCTCACGCTGCGCTCCAACGCGCAAACCTCGCACCGCCGCGTCTCCGCCGTCCCGCAACTGACCTGCAAAGGGCCCGGCTGTCGTCACCACAAGCTTGACATCCTGCGCTGCACCAACGCCGGCAGTGACTACAACACGGAGGACATCCAATGGACGTGCACCGCGAACATGCCGGCGGAATTCAAGCTGGGGAGCACGGATGTGCAGTGTGAGGGGTATGCGCATCGCGATGATGAGTATGTGTTGAAGGGGAGTTGTGCGGTGGAGTATCGGTTGTTGTTGACGGAGTTGGGGGAGGAGAAGTATGGAAGTAGCTGGGGAGGAGGTGGGTCGGGTGAGGGTTGGAATATGGGAAGTGTGTTGTTTGTGGTGGCCTTTTTGGGAATTGCCGGGTGGATTCTGTATTCGTTATTTACGGCACCTCATGGAGCGCAACCGGGAGCGAGACGACAACCTGGTTTCTGGGGTGGAGGATGGGGTGGTGGGCCTGGAGGTGGAGGTCCTGGTGATGATGGGTGGGATCCTCCACCTCCGTATCCGGGGAAGAGAAATACGTATGGGAGTTCGAGAAGTAATGAGAGTTGGCGACCGGGATTCTGGTCTGGAACGGCAGCTGGAGCGGCAGCTGGGTATCTGGCGGGCAATAGAGGTGGAAGTCAGAGACAACAACCTCCTGCAAATAGTAGTTCTGGATGGGGCATGCCAACTAGGTCTACATCAGGCTCGAGCTCTTCCTCTAGGCACGAAAGTTCTGGGTTTGGGTCTACATCAAGAAGATAAGCTAGAGTAATTCATTGTGTCTATTCAAAACATCATAATCAAAAAGATCGACTCTCCTCGCTTTCAAGTGTTTATCGCTGCTTATTATCATTGTGGTATATAAGTACCTCTACAAAATGCCCCCCGGCTTGCCCAGACGCACGTCTAAAGGCTCAAGTGTCCTCGACCCCGCATAGAAAGAAATATTGATATACAGAGGGAAGAATTGCGTCTCAAAACGAAGCTATGCAGAAGGCCACTCCTTGTAATGCAGTCCAACACGACCTTTATGGCCGGGATAAACGCCTAAGACAACTCCAATAACCCAGACAGACCAATGCGGCGTCCCAAGCAAAAATTAAAAGGCTGTTCACATATGGAGAGCCATGACGTCGAGCTTGTCAAATGATTTGGCGCAATTCGGACATTTGCGCATGCGATTTGCAATGCGATCATCGACGCAGTTGTTGCAGAAGGTATGACCACATGTCTTTAAAGTTGTATTTTTAAAGTCCTTGCGGCATATTGTGCACAGGGCGTAAGACTGGGTAAAGTTAGCAGTAATAAAATGTAATATAAGACTCGGCTACATACTCTGAGCATTTCTTCTTCGCCAGATTGATTACTAAGACTTTTCGTCTTCCAAGTATCTCGTTCCTTTTGCGCGTGCTCATATTTCACTCGCAGTTGTTCGAGTTCAGTCTCCAAGGCATAGGCCTTTTGTTTCGTACTCGCATTAGCGGCATCCTTGGACTTCAATAATGCCGACAGCTCCGCAACTTGATTCTTGAGCGTATCCAACTTGCTTGTTGCATCTCTGCTCGTGGTTTCCATCTTCTTGTTTTCTGCTGTTATTGACGTATTCGCTTGTCTCATATCGCTGAGCTGTTTTTCAAGGTTGCTCAACAGAGCACGATTCGAAGTTTCCACGTCCTTGAGTTGGGTGATAATCTCGGAGCTTTTCGAATTTTGAGCTCTCAAACTCCTCACTTCCAGAATTCGGGTATCCATATCCTTCCGAGCAGCGAAATATTTTTGATCAGCCTTGGATTTTTCGACTTGTAGTATCGAGATCCTCTCTTCCATGGCAGTAAAATCCATGACCCTCTTAGTCGAAAGCGCCTGAACGCGCTTGTAGGCGGTTTGGAGAGCAGGCATCTCCTTATTCAAGGATTCGTATTCCTGAGCCAAAGCCTCATACTTCTGACGTAACTGGGTCAAGTCTAATGAATCAATATCTGGTCGAAGTGTTGGATCACAAGATTCTTTAATCTGTGTTTTGAGACGCTCCGTTTCCAGTTCTAACGCAGAAATCTGACCGTCCTTTGCAGCTACCAGCTGCTTCAAGTGCTCTTTAGCGGCCTGGTCGTGTTCCTGGCTGGCTTTTTGCACCCCAATTTCCGCAGTTAATTCGTCACGCGCGGATCGGATCCTCGTCAGGTCGGCATCCATTCTGGCTAGCTGGCTTTCCAATTCCCCGGTAACAATTTCAGATTCATTTTCGATTTGCGCGCGGTACGCAGTCCGCTCGGCCTGGTATTTTTCCGCCTCCTTCTGGAGCTGAAGATTGGTGGCCTCGAGATGATTGATCCTCCTGATTACATCCTCGTGCTGAACACGAAATTGCTTGAAAAGTTCTGTACGCGCATAATCGTCTTCCGTCAAGTTGGATAACCTAATTGTCGCTACCGTGAATTGCTCGGTCAACGATTTGTTCTCTGCAGCAATTGCCTCTAGCTGCTCCTTCTGCTTGGCTACGACAGCCGATGCTTCCTCGTAAGCCGTCTGTGAAGCCTTACTATCTTCAGACATTCCATTTGTCATTTCAGTGTCCCCATTTACAGCGGATCCGATACCGGTGCCCGAACTGTTTGCGATTGCTTGTTGCTCGAGTTTCGCGACTGCTGAGCTCTTGGCTCTATCTAACCTCTTCTCGGCCTTGATATACCGCAATGAGGCCGTTTCTAGCCTTTCGCCAAGCTCTTCCTTTTCGACTCGAAGCCTGTCGACTTTGACCATGTATTCTTTTTGCGCCGATAAGAGCTTGGTTAGTTTCGCTTGCAAATCATGAACGTCGCTTGATGGAATCCCTCTGACGGAAGTAAGATTTGTAAATATTGCTTGGAGTTTGGCTTTGATTTCTTTCGCTTTGGACGCTAGGTGACTTTGGAAGTCTTCGCTACCTTTAAATTGTAATCTTGTCGGAAAAGATGCTTCACTTTTGTTAGCAATTTCCGATACAGATATGCAGTTTCCTACCATCAATATCATCTGTGGATGGGACTTGGTCTTCAACCAGAAGTTTGACCTCGTCAAGTAACTACCAAACATCAACTTGTGCCTTTTAGGTTGTTCGTGCTTCGTACCTGTGCCCACCAGGCATTTATCACTCTCAAATGATCATCATGGTCGGTAGCCTTCTTTTGCGTATCCTTCAATTGGGATTCAAATGTCGCCTTCTCTCTTTTATATTCCAACATTTGTCGGTAGATGGCATCCTTCTGATATTTCTGCACAACCGCACTAGTCAGCAAGTGTAATCGAAGCGGCAATCGACATAACGCGAAGAACAATGTATAGGGTATGTGTACGTGAGCCTGCGACATATGCGTAGCTATCAGGTCTTTGGTGAACAAGCTGTCGACAGCGAGCTGCGCATTAGCACTCGCCCCATAGTTCGTGCAATTGATCAGTACTCAGTAACTGTGTCTTGTGTGCCGTCGTAGATACATATGGTTTGACAAAGGATGAACCCTCAAAGGTCTCGTGTTGACAGATAGGGGTGCCCAGAGGAGGATAACAACATGTACATACCTCCAGATCGCTCGACCATGGCATATCGGCATCGGCAGACGCTTTGCCATTCGTGGCTTGTCGTTTGTTGGGTGGTGCCAGGTCGTCACCGGCAGATCTCTTCCTATCCTCCATCTTGGTGAAGGACGGATGAGAGGATTGAATGATGACTGGAGAGGGCATCAGATTGAAGCGGCCTACCGGCACATGAGGATATTATGCGTAAGGTACCGAGTGCGCGCTGGTTGCTAAGAGGTGTTTGCGGGAATGAAATGAAACGGTGGCAACATGAGGTTGTTGATGAAAGATTTTGGGGATGGCCTCCTTGAAGATCTGACCCAGGCTCTAGCCACATTCGGGCGAAATACGGCACGTGATGCGAAGGACATTAATTTGGCAAGTGGGGTTACTCCAAGGCTGACACAAAATATTCACTGCAGGTCCAATCCGACTTGTCAATACAGATCCAACGACGGCTGACTCGCGATGCCATAAGAATACTCGAGTAATCCGATATATAAACCACGATGCTGAAGAGTAGGAAAGCCACCTTCAAGCCGAAAGCACAGCCAACGCGTAGACCTGGCGCGCCTCCTCCCACCCAGTCATCAACCCGCCCAAGCGTCGAACCTCAATTGTCAACTCCAGCGCCCGAGACAAATACTCGAAATGGCCTGCCCTCAACGAGCGGAACTGCAACTGAATTGTCACCGGCGGAGGCAATTGCGCAGTCTGAGCCATTCCAACCTGCTATAGAGAAGGAAGCTCCTGTCACTAGTGAGCCATTGCCCCAAAGGAGTTCATCCCCACCAAAGAGAAAGGCGCGCGACGATGTTGATAATGAACCACCAACAAAGCGAGTCGCTGTTGTACAGGACGATGCTTCTTCCGGGATTCAATCAACTTCCCAAAATGAAGTCCCTGAAGCAGCAAAGGAACCAGCTATTTCATCTACCAGTTCAGCCAAAGCAAATGTACCCCGAAATCTCTCAAAAGAGAGCACTACAAATGGTGAGCAAGGGTCAATTGTCAATGAACCTCCGACGGCAGCGATTCAATCTGATGTCGTTTCTGAAACGGATCTTGTTCCGGCAGTCGAACATGAGAATCGACCATCACTTCCAGTCGAGAGTACCAGTGATAACGATGAAGCCGAAACCCCGGAAGGCCGTAGCATTCCATACCCAACGCCTCCTCAGTCCTATAATGTCTCCGCTTCCCCTTTACCTGATGGAGTCGAGCCAGAGTCCTCCGCGTCTGGGAACGTAAATACTACAGTAACACCTACTGGAACGGGTCCGGAGCCAGATGTTGCTGCCACCCGTCTAACAAACTCAGTCGATGCGACGCCTTCCATGGATGATACTGCCGCATCGCGCAACGACACGGAAACTACAAAGAGAAAGAAAAAGACCACGAAGCGCAAAGTGCAGAGGAAAAAGAAGGGCGATGAATCTTCAGCTGCGATCGATTTGGAGTCGAATGAGATTGAAACTGCTACAGCACCAGCGAAGACAAAACGGAAGAGGGGTCCAACTAAGAAGAGAGCCAAGCGTGCGGAGACTCCTGAAAATGCAGAGGACGAAGTTATTGACGTTACGACCATCAAGATGGCAGATTTATGCAAGGACATGGGGATAGGAAAGAGATTTAGCAAAGCGGGGTTGATCAAAGAACGAATGATGAAGCAGAAATTAGCAGTCAAGGAAGCCAGATCAAGGATTGAAGACGGAAATCCAGTAGCAGGAGAGGAAACGGACCAAACAGGCCAGAGCAAAGCAGCATCTCCCCCAGTGACCGGAAATGTCGGGCTACAGATGCGTGTTGTTGATGGCCACATTGTCTTGAACGATGAGACTACACAAGTCAACCGACAAGAACGTTTCGATCCAAACAGGATACAAGAAGTTGTAGAAGAAGATGATTTTACAAGAGTCATCACGTCTAGCAGCTTTAACAACAAAACGGCGGGAAAGCCACGAACACAGCAATGGGACGAGATAGATACAGAAATGTTCTATAAAGGTCTACGAACCTGGGGAACAGATTTCGAAACTATCGCCAAGATGTTTCCCCACCGAAACCGCCGCCAAATCAAAATGAAATTCAACAAAGAAGAGCGCGACAACGGCGCTAAAGTGACTCGAATAATGAACGAACCTCGAGGCACCACCAATCCGCAAGAATCTCTCGCAGAGTTCCAAACTCTATCCGGCAAAACGCTCGAAGAAGTCGTGGATATACAAGCGGAATACGAACGCGTGCAAGCTGAACATGATGCTGAGCAGGCGAAACGCCTCCAGGAGAAGTTGGATGCGGATGCGAAGAAGAAGGCCGAGATTGAAGCGAAGACGAATATGGCGCGTGATATGTTGGATGAGGGTGAGGTACCTGAGGCTGCGAAGGAGAATGCGGGGAGGAAGAGTACAGCGAGGAAGAGGACTGTTACGAAGAAGAAGAAGAATATGCATAGTTCTGGGGGTGGGGAAACAATGGAGGTGCTGGCTAGCATTGAGATTGATTAGGTTAGGGGTGAGTCATGAATTAGTGGGATGTTGGGGAAAGTTGCTATGCTAGATGCGGGTGCGGGGTGTTTTTAAATGATTGATATACTGGCTAGAGTTGTTAAAGTACGTTTTGGGGAGTGTTCATATGGGAAAGGCGCAGATAAGAGAGGTTCAAAGATACCCAGATGACAATTGTTACCACACAACTTACTATAGAAAGAAAACTTTATTTAAATGCTTGACATAGCTTCATATTGCCCTACTGCTTAATTATAACCATATACCCCCATCCCAATCAACTGCTAATAGGAAAGTCGGCGCTGGTTTCAAGTGTAACGACGAGGGACGCATTCGAAATATTATTTGGACAAGAACACCACTTATTTAGCTAATCTTCGAACTGGCATTCCGTATAATCTGGTGATAAATGTCTTTCTCTTCAATTTGACTTCACGATAAAACATTAAGTGAGGTTGGAAATACCTAACCCACGGATTATCGCTTAAGCTCCCCTCAATAAGGGCAATACGCCAATCTTGGCGCGCTTCGAGGGGTGGGACAACAACCAAACTACATCATGACGTGTATCAAGCCGAATTTAAAAATGGATCGTTTTGATCTCTACAACGCTTTGCAAACATACAAGCATAACGCTCTTCAGCCGCCCTGAAATTATCCAAATACTAGCCATAGACCATAGTACAAAATGGCTTCGAAACTCAATCTCAACACTCTTCTCTCCCTCCCCAACTCCTCAGTCAAGATCCCACAACTTGGCTTTGGAGTTTACCAATCACCCACCGGTGTATGTGTCCAGTCAACACTCGCCGCGTTAAAAGCAGGCTATAGACACATTGATACCGCACAGTATGAGCCTCTCCTGCTGTTCATGGCAGGATACTGATTGCGTATCACAGATACTACGCCAACGAAAAAGAAGTCGGAGAAGGAGTGCGTCAATCAGGACTAAAACGATCCGACATCTTCATCACCACCAAGATCCTTTCGCCAGCCGGTAGCGTGGAGAAAAACTACGAGAAATGTCTGGAGAGTGTCCATGCTATTGATGGGAAGGATGGGTATGTTGATCTCTTTTTGATCCATACCAGTAATATGCCTGCGCAGAGCAGGAAGGATATTTACCAGGCACTGGAGAAGCTTCTAGAGGATGGGAAAACCAAGGCGATTGGTGTGAGCAATTGGGGGATTAGTGCGATTGAGGAATTGAAGAGTTTTGCGAAGGTTTATCCGCCGCATGTTAATCAAATTGAGGTATATACCCATTCAAGATCTCCGGTATATCTAACCATGCTAATTATTCCAGTTACACCCCTTCGCTCAACAACGCGAAATCGTCGACTTCTGCCACAAAAACGGAATCGTCGTCGAAGCATACTGCCCACTCGTCCGCAACCAGAAAGCCAACGACCCAACACTCAACGCTATTGCCAAAGCTCACAGCAAATCTGTTGCGCAGGTGCTGGTGAGATATTGTCTGCAGAAGAACTGGGTTCCGTTGCCAAAGAGTGATACACCATCGAGGATTAAGGAGAATGCTAATCTTTATGATTTTGAGCTGAGTGACGAGGAGATGAAGAAGTTGGATGATTTGGACCAAGGTGCTGAGGGCGCTATTGTGCAGGCTGTTACGAATTAGAAAGAGTAGACCTATTTGTGGTACGGTGGAAGGTTAGTAGGATTAAGAGCTGGATGTGAACAGGAATCCGCTGGAAAGCGCGCGTATGGCTAATGACTGATGGCTATCATCCTTAGTTAAAGTTTGTCAAATTATTTTAAAATAATTAGTACTCGAGGCTTTCATTGGTTTCCAAACATTGCTAGTGACCAAACCTCCCAAGGGGCCGGACATTCGTTTGTACCAAAAATAAGTGTAGTGAGTACACGGGCCGTTCTAGTGACAAACAATTGACTCCCTCGGAGGATCACCTACTTGATGCTCTCTTGACTGGAAGTTTCTCTGAATTTGATATTTCGACTCACAATCAGAGGCAACGTCGAGGGCAGCCTACACATGTAACAATATATTGAGAACTTGTGTGATCCCATAGGCAGAAAAACGTATGATCCCACTCCGTTTGCCGTTCAAATTAGGTTCCTCCCACCAACCGTGACCAACGACCGGGTTCATCCCGTTGCCCCGCCTCGACTGCGACCAATCATCTTGTTCATTCGACACAGTAACCAAATACGTCAGATCATTTATTTCACGAACATTCCATTTCTGTTCGTACTTTCTACACTGCGAATTTTGTTTGTATTACACTCTTTCACTACACTCCTTATCTGCAAACGTCTTTTCAAGTTTCCATATTCAGCTGCAAGGAGATATACACAACTCGAAGAGCAACATGGCAAGCCATCGATGCCTTTCTGGAGGCTGTTCTTGCGGACGCAATAAATACACAGTTACAGTTCCCCACGACGCGTCGCAAACAGCACAGGTGTTTTTCGACAGCAGCTCGACTAATCGTATGTTCTATATCACGAAAGCTGGTTCCAAAGGGTACGCAAACTAACTCCCTCACAGGGCGGTCCCAAGCAACACCTCTCTCCGCCTGGCTCCGCATCCCTCTATCCTGGTACCAATCCAGCACCTTCGCCTTCTTCTCCGACGAATCCCACTCCTCGATCCGAAGGTCGTATACTGCTCCTGACGAACAAAATGCCAAACGCGCGTTCTGCGGTTTCTGCGGCACGCCGTTGAGTTATTGGGCCGAGTCACCCTTAACAGACGAAGCCGACTATATATCCGTCACGTTAGGCTCGCTGAGTAGTGCGGATCTACGCGATTTGGAGGAGATGGGTTTGTTGCCTGCGGAGGCGCTGAGTGATGCTGAGAGCGAGAGGGTGCAGATTATGAATGCGGCAAATCTTGGGCAGAAGGGGGTTGAGGAGTATAGTACTGAGTTGCCGTGGTTTGAGACGTTGGTTAAGGGGAGTAAGTTGGGGAAGATGAGGACGGGGAGGAGGAAGAGTGGTGGGGATGGGAAGTGGACTGTTGAGTGGGAGGTTGTGGAGTGGACTGCTGAGGATGAGGAGAGTGGTGTTAGTCCTGCGAAACGGAAAGCTGGGGAGTTGGATGAGGGGGTTGAGAGGATGGAGCATTGAAGGGATGGTAAATCGAATGGATGGAACATTGAATGGACGCAACATCGGGAGGATGGTCGAAATACGTCCATGAAGAGGATTGGCGTTATGAATAGTCATCTTTTGGAGGCGATATAATGGTACAAATCATATTTGAAAGCAATGAGCATCTCTAGCAAGTCCGCTTATACGAATAGGTTGAGAAATGGGTAGAATCGAAAGGGAGGCTACATAGCATGGGAAGGAGATCAGATTATAATTGTACGATACCTCTAACGATACTTGATAAAGTTAAAAACAATGGAATATTGAAATGTCAATGGCATGTTAGAAATGGGATATTGGCAAACCGCGGAACAAGACAACCTTGATCGACGGGAACCAAGAAAACTCCACCATTTCCACCTCCCAATCCCATGGTTCAGTCACTACAGTCGAAACACTTCCCCGCCACCCGATACCCCGATATTTTCCTAACCAGGAAATGACAGTCTCACGATCTTCTCAATTCCTGGTCTCACCCATCGATTTCCATTCACCACCTATCGATATTCCACCATAACGATTCCGAGGATTCGCCCGATGTTCACCCGGCGGTTTAGGCGGGCCGTTCTGCCACCCCTCATGAGATAGCGGGGTTGAAGTGAATGGCGGGGCCATCAGGCCGAAAAAAGGATCGTGAAGTGAGCCATTGATGCATCGTATGAGGCTGATGTGTATTCTCCCGGTCGATACGGACCGAAAGTGCGTAGGTACCTGAGTGAGTGTTTCCCAATACGGGGAGCTTCCATGCGAGTTGTTCCGGGGAAATTGGGTTACTTATACTGGCGTGTTCCTGAATATTTTTGGTATTCTGCTTTGGCTTTTTTGATACGTTTTTTGAAGTTTGAGTTATTACTACGAGCAAGTGAAAGGAATTATTAAATAAATAAGAAAACGGAATCATCAAGATGGTGGGCAAAGTTCTCGACAAAGATTTCCTATGGGGGTTTGCTACCGCATCGTAAGTTCTGCCTTTCCATCCCACTATACACAACTAACAGCCACAGCTACCAAATTGAAGGAGCACCCGAAGAAGATGGCCGTGGTCCCTCAATCTGGGACAAATTCTGTAAAATCCCCGGCAAAATCGCCGGTGCCTCATCCGGCGACGTAGCATGCGACACCTACCACCGCACCGGCGAAGACATCGCGCTCCTCAAAGAAACCGGCGCAAAAGCCTACCGTTTCTCCATCTCCTGGTCGCGAGTCATTCCCCTCGGAGGCCGCAACGATCCCATCAACCAAGCCGGTCTCGATTTCTACGTCAAATTCGTAGACGACCTACTCGCTGAGGGGATCATCCCGATGGTCACGCTTTTCCACTGGGATTTACCGAATGAGCTTGATGAGCGATATGGAGGTCTTCTGAATAAAGAGGAGTTTGTGGCGGATTATGCGAATTATGCGAGGGTGTTGTTTAAGGCGATGCCGAAGGTCAAGCATTGGATCACGTTCAACGAGCCGTGGTGTAGTTCGATTCTGGGGTATAATACGGGGTTGTTCGCCCCGGGACATACGAGTGATAGGAGTAAGAGTGCGGTGGGGGATAGTAGTACCGAGCCTTGGATTGTGGGACATAACTTTCTAGTTGCTCACGGCACGGCGGTGAAAATATATAGAGAGGAATTCAAACCAAAGGATGGTGGGATAATCGGAATCACTCTTAATGGTAGCTCACCCCCTCCTCTCAAATATCCAAACTTACTAACACATCCAGGCGACGGTGTCTACCCATGGGACCCCAACGACCCTCTCGACGTCGAAGCCGCCGAACGCAAACTCGAATTCAGCATCTCCTGGTTCGCTGACCCCATCTACCTAGGCGACTACCCAGCCTCCATGCGCAAACAACTTGGCTCTCGTCTCCCCACATTCTCGTCCGAAGACCTCGCGCTCGTCAAAGGCTCGAACGATTTCTATGGCATGAACCACTACACCGCCAACTACATAAAACACAAAACCACACCCGCAGACCCCAACGACTTCCTAGGAAACCTCGAAACCCTATTCGAATCCAAATCCGGCGACAACATTGGCCCAGAAACCCAGTCTTTCTGGCTCCGTCCCAACCCACCCGCTTTCCGCGATCTCCTCCTCTGGATCTCCAAACGCTACGGGTACCCGACTGTATTCTGCACTGAGAACGGCACCTCTCTCAAGGGTGAAAACGACCTTCCCCGCGAGCAGATCCTCGACGACGAGTTCCGCGCCGAGTATTTCAGGGGGTATATCCATGCGCTGGCGGAGGCGGTGGAACAGGGCGCGAAGATTCAGGGGTATATGGCGTGGAGTCTGATGGACAATTTTGAGTGGGCGGAGGGGTATGAGACCAGGTTTGGAGTTACGTATGTGGATTATGAGGGCGGGCAGAAGAGGTGGTTGAAGAAGAGTGCGGGGGTTGTGGGGGTGGAGTTTAAGAAGTATATTAAGGATGAGTAAAGCAGTGTGAGGGGTTGACAGGTACCTAGGGTTGGAGGTTCGGTGGGGTTGGGTATTGGAGGTTATGGTTATGATATTTTGAGTTGGGACTGGGAAAATATGAATATATGCCAAGCTACTCGAATTTAGTGGTCGACTCTTTCTGAATTTTATGGTAACTTCTCTCAGGCATCTTTGAACCCCTTTTTATTTGCGCCTATCAGCAAACAAGGACCTCCAGCCAAAGTAGTGCTAGAATCACATGTTGGAAGTTGTCAGGTGATCACCGAAGGTCTTTGCTCCGAACCTTTCTTCACTTCTTAGTTTCCCTCCCTTCATACACTCTTGGAAACTTTCAAGACATTGACCTGATACGTTACCTTTTGGCCTCTTACACCTTGTACATAATACCTTTTCAAACATCTCTAGCAAGAATGGAGCATCTTTTTGATGAACTGTTTGATATTCACTACGGGTGCACTTTAGCTTCATTTGCGAGAACGGACTAGCTTTCCGGCTCGGATTGCTAAGCGATGTTTACCTGAAGTTCATTTTTGACTTCTGCAAAACATCAATACTTTCCAACATGTCGCAACACGCAACGCTCTTTTAGAGATATTGCCACCCACAGTCATTACCTAGGTACGATACCTGATTTCCCTCACTCGCGGTAGCCAATTCTTTACCTTCGCTAACTGGTTCTAGTGCAAATCCGAGGTGAGATCGATGTCAACATTATATCTAAGGAAGGGAAATTCGAGGATGTCCGATCTAACAACGAATTCTTCGGGATATAGTCCACTACATGCATATGTAACTCTATCTTTCCAGGAACATAATCAACGAAACTCATCGCCAGGCTGAACCGGATATGGAAGAGAAGCTGCTGCAATTGAGGCTCCAAGTCGAATACTTGACATCATGCGTTTCCCGGCTCCATGAGGTGGTAGATGATCTGGAAGAAGATAAGGATGAGCTGATTGATGAAAATGGGCGGCTCGGGGACAGACTGGAAGATTTGGAAGACGACTATGACGACCTGCGTGACGACTATCGGGAAGTTAAGGACACCTTGAGGGAACTTGAAGACAATTATGCCGAACTGCGTGACGAAAGCCTGGAAGTCAGTGAGAGCAAGGCCTTGAGGACACTTAGATATGACTATGACGCTATGGTTGCTAAATGTCGAAAAATTGAGAATGAGAGAGACCGAATTCGAGATGAGAGAGACCAAATTCAACATGAGAGAGACACATTGAAAGTAGCACTCTCCACGCACCAAATGCTTGATGAAGCGACTGAGAAAGAGAGAAACCGATTTCGGGCTGAGAGAGACGCGTTGAGAATAGCAGTGTCCACGCAACAAATGCTTGATGAGGCGAATGAGAAAGAGAGAAACCGATTTCGAGCTGAGAGAGACGCGTTGAGAATAACCCTTTCCACGCAACAAACGCTCGAGGAAGCGAATGAGCGAGAACATAAACTGGCACAGATCGACAATGAGTCTGTGGATATGGATTTGGAAACCGACAATGAATCCGAGGCGATGGAATTGGATCCACTTCCCGGACAAACTGTCGCGGTGGCACATCTACCAGCGGAGTATTGGAAATTGTCAGAACAACTTGCTCGAGCAAATTCCTTAGCAGCGCTAAAAGAGCCGCTTTTCAGAGTTGGTGTTGCCATTCGATTGCGCTTCTGGGAAAAGCAAAGGGCTGCTTTTCCTCCACTCAGAGCAATCCAGCTTGCTTTAATGCGCGGGAACGCCGCAGCGCACAGTCGTGATTGTCTCGCTGATCAAAGTCTATTCAAGCTCGGCTTCATGGGATCACCAAGGAATTCTCAGATCTCTTTATTACCTTTCGCTGATGTTAATGGGCAGGAAAGCCAGATTGAAGACCACGACCGAAACCTCTTCAGAGGGCTTTACAATCGCAAGGAATATATGGAAAACAAAGATCTTTTCAATAGGATGTATGGCTGTGATCACAATGACAATTTATCTTCCGATAAAGTTCTTCATGCTAATACGTTTTTTGATATGCCACTTGCACCTTGAACTATATGGGCGAGTCATTTTACTTTCATGCTTGAGGGAGAATAGCGTTAAGGGAAAGAAGGCGTCAGGGAAATTAGGTGCCAGGGGAAGGAGACGTTTAGTAAGTCAGTGTTGAAAGAATATATCCAAGACTCAAAATTCATCCAGTCAAGCGGTTGCTATGATTCCTGCACCTTCAATGTAACGAGAGCGCAAAAGAAGATGAAAGATTAGAACAGGCCGAGCCAATGTAGCAATGGACGAGTATGGTTCCAACGTCACAAGATCTGGAGCGCTATATTTTAAACTGCTGGTGGTGTGGGAGTTGCACTCTTGTGAATAGTCGTTCAGCTAAAAGAAGTGCCGAATTCAGCCTCCAACCAACCGAACAAAGAATATATCATCATCAATGACCACCCACGACCACCAACTTCTTTTCCCGTGTGACTCACGGGTAAATCGTCGGTGCGTATCCTTCTTTGGATCATCTTCTGTGACCTTATTCCTGTCGAAAGCCAACACCCCGACCCATCCATTTGCAGAATCTCAACCCAAATCTCGGCGTCTTGTTGTGGAATGATGATTAGTAAAATTACACCGTCCACGTTCGTTTTACTTTCTACACAAATGCGAACTGAACATGTCAAATCAATCCTCTGAGCCACTTAAACATGCCACACCCACACCACATATAAAATTCCTATTTCCTCAAAGTTCAGACACGTACAAAAAATAGCATCCTACTTCATTAGGAAGAAATACCCAGATACGAGGAAACCCACCGTCTCCGCTGCTAAAACTAGATCCACACTTTGTGGATACGGCGAAGATGAATATTATTATTTGGAGGTTTGCGAGAGCGGGTGAGGAGATGGGTGACGGGATATTTTAGATGGGAGGATATGGGTTGGGTGGTGGATAAGCTAGATTTGAGTGGGAGGTTGGTTGCTCATGGTGAGATGAATGAGGAGAGGGGGTGAGTAGCTCTTAGACATGAGTATCTCTAACGTGGTTGGTTCATCCTTCTTTTTGACTGGTTTGAGCTAGGGGTGGGATATAAAGTCTGTGGTTCTAACACGATCGACGAGTGTGATCTGAAGCTAAAGTGACATTATAACGTTGTGTTAGTGGAGTATACTTGGACTCATTTAGCAATCAGGCAAAGGATCGAACTCTTCCAGAATCCCATGCTGATCGTGACGATGCTTCATACGCCGTTGCCAGGATTCAAAGGAGTCATCGCAAACGCCGCATTTTATTGGCGCCTCATGACGGTTAGCCATCATCGTTGCATTTGTTGACACAGGTACCTACAGTATTCCATTTAACCAGCTCTTCAGGGGCCCAGAGCACGTCGTCGTTAACGACGATATACTTCGATATCCCTGACTCCGCCCCCAGTTTCCTCCTCATCTCCTCAAACGACGCGGGAATTGGTTTTTCTAACTCCCCTTCAATCTCTTTCGTGACAAGCACGAAGATCCAATCATAGCAAACGTATAAATGGTGAGGTAAATTGAATCCAGCTAGATGTGGTATGAAAACCCTGACCTCGCAGTCGACTCCTTTGTCACGGAAGAGCGTGGCAATGTCTGCGTCGTCCTCGGGCGTGGTTTTGTAACCACAAGTTCCATTGCGTCCGTTTGCCTCGAGGAATGCATCGAAGGCGGCGACGCTGAGCTTGAAGCCGTGGACTAGAGCTGTTAGGCCCATTTGATTTGTGAATAGACAATCACTATAAGACCTGACGCGAGTTTGACAAGATTGTTCAAAAGAATTTAGGAGTTGAAAGTATTTGATTTGTTGTTTTAGGCAGAAGGACGAAGTTTCGAGGTTGTGTTCTAGTAACTGTTGTTGGAAGTGGGTCATGATCACCTGACACTTAATTGCTCTTACCTTACTGTTATTTTTCGCTATGTATGACGATAATCTATAGGAATATTTCTCTGTAGAACAAGCTTTTTTAATGTCTACGTTACGTCTATTTCTTTAGTTAAATTCTTGTCACATTTTTGTGATATTATGCTGCTTATTGTATAGTACTAATCCTTTCCTATAGGAACCTGCTTTCATTAAAGTAATCTGGCAGGTTCTGATTTCGGGCCTGAGAATAACCTGTCGACTTTAATTCAATCTCAAAATCATGCCATTTTTTTTTCTGAGCCCATTCTAAGCTTTTCGGCTCTAAACGACTATCTCTTCTCATAATGATCTTGAGCGACAAGACTTAGGTGTTTTTCCTAGCTTGTGTGAACATTTTTGCAAGCTGGAGCACCATTCCTTTCTCTCTAATGTTATATCGACTGCCTATTTGCACAAGTAACTTGTGGCTAATGACATGAAAGTTTCCGTGTGTCGTTGAATATCAAAAGGTCTGTTGAGGAGATAGGTTAAATATATGGCCTCCACAGGTCGTCAATATTATATCTTGTGAAAACGTATCTAACAACTTTGCCTTATAAAACTGTCGCAAATATATCACGACTAGGGGTTCAGATACACCAATTTCAGAGCCAACCTTGTCTTCTGTCCACGCTGCTTTGGAACTCACCTTCGAAGTCTCTCGTTTAGCGAAACCACGACTGCCCCACTTCCTTTTGTTGACGTTGGACTCCCTTTAGAGTTGACTTTGTGAAAATCTCTCTCTCTCTTCATACATATTGACGATCTAAAACATAAGCACTTGCGTGCTGTACAGCACAAGATGATGCGCTCTACTGATACTTCTCTTACTCGAGATTTACCTTTACTCAACGGAATCTCCGATCTCTCACTTCTGAAAGACGGGTTTGACTCGGCAGCGCGCGCTTCAAATACAGAGACACCTGACGCACCCCAATCCGCGTTTGATGGGCAACCCAATGGTCTTGTCAATCATGGCCTCAATTGTGACTGCCTGCATCTTCCCACCAATCTGGCACACAAGAACGACGAAATCAGTCAACTGAAAGCAGAAAACGAGCGTTTAAAAAGTGAGAATTCCGACCTGGTACTCTGGGAGAAAAGGTTCAGAACTGGTGATGACAACTGGAAATGGAGGGCACAGGAATTCGAAAAAGATCTCAACAATCAACAACGAGCAACAACGGAACTTCAAGAAAAGCTTGTTTCGGAAACAGAGGAAAATGAACGTCTCAAAAGTGAACGGAGCAAACTTCAATCCCAAAAGACAAGAATTTGGACACAGCTTGACAGATGGAAAGGGAGGGCCCTTGAAGCCGAATCAGATCTTGGAGCGTGGAAACGCGCAGCAACAGAGTTTGAAGAAGCTCTCAATTCAGAAAAGAAAGCTCATTTAGTTGTGCACGCTGCCTTCCTAGAGGCTATTACCAAGCAGAATTCCTTACACGAAGACTTGAAGGCTTCTGTTACAAAACTCGAAGCGTCGATGGAAACTGCCAAGAAAGAGCTTCAACAACACAAGCCGCTTGTCGAAGTTGGTATAGCTATTCGCAACCGATTCCTGGAACATACAAAACAGACTATGGGTTGGGGGGCAGTTGATCCAGAAATGATTGTAGCCGGCAATGCTGCGGCACATCAAGCAAATCTTCTTGCGGACACTTCCTTGTACTGGCTCAATTATCGAGATATAGACGATATTTATGGTATTGTCAATATCTGGAAACAACAGGATTCTGGGCTAGAGCGTGTCGATAATGACAATGGAGTCTCCACAAGTTATCTTCAAACATTGTGCTCCCGGATTACACCTCAAATTGTTCAATTTTTCAATCTTACCTCAACGTTTTGGATGTGCGTACTCTCTCAGGAGAACCTGGATCTACCCGATGACCTTGTATCTAGATTCCTTATTTCTCAGGGAAATTGTCGGATCGGTTTTGACAATGAACTCGAAGAAACTAGGACACCAGAAATGATGGCCAAAACGGTAGAGCAGAACGTGAATATCTGTGCTGAACTCAATCATATGGGTTATATTACCGAAAGGTTCAGCGGAATTTTGGGAAGAAGAAGGAGATCATAGATAAAAGTTATTAAGCTACTCTCAAAGTATTCTTCAGATTTATTCATCTCGGTGTAAAAGTGTCCATGAAAATCCATCAAATACAAAAAGGTGTACTTTAATCAAAGAACAAAGACCCCTTGTTTCAACTCATATACACATAGATACATATTGCACTGGTGGTGAGCTGGATTAAGACATTGCAGCCGCTAATTGGATAAGACTTAAATGAGCCGTTACTTGAGGACGATACCTCAGCTAGGAACTCACCTTTGTAGACCACTGGATCCACAAGTGGATCCACTTCCTATTGTTGACGCTTGACGAGCTCTGAAAACAAATTTCCTCTCCTGACACTTTCAAGTTCGTTACTTTGACCTGAAAGTAAAGGTCCCAACCACCGATTCTCATCAAAAAGTGTATAGTGTCGTCCCGCCATACCCTTCACTGTCAAAGCTCTGCAAAATCCAAGGATATCGCCAGTTTTTCACCTTCAGTCCATCGATTCAGCTCGGTTGCGCAACTTCCGAGCCCATTGACTTCTCACGTGCCTTTCTACCAGTCGAAAGATCTACCAGTAAGATTTTCGAATACGAATACTGCCACCGCTATATCAATATGGATCTCAGAGACCTAGAAATCGTCCGTTCGAATAAAAAATTTGAACAACTCAAGAATGAGAAGCGCAGACTCGAGACCGCCGTAGAGGCTTGGGTGAAAATCAGCGCGGAGTGGCAAGATCTTCATCGCAAGTCATTGCAAAGATGTACGGATCTCCAGACGACTGTCACCACAACACTGAAAGAGGCCGCAGCTGGGAAAACAAAGTTGGAACTGGATTTGAAGAAAAGCATAAACGCATCAAAGTTAAAGGACAAGCACCTGGGAATGTCGTCGGCACGTCTTTCACTCGAAGTTGACAAACGCAAAAGCTTGGAGATCTCTCTCGCGAAACTCGAAGCTTCTTTAAAATCCGCCAGGAAAGAAGCAAAAAAACGCGAACCACTCGTACGAGTTGGAATCGCGGTCAGGAAGAGATTTTGGGCTCAGATCAGGGGCAACTTTGGGTTTGGATGGGTCGACCAAGACTTGATAATTGCAGGAAATGTTGCAGCTCACCAACCAAACATTCTGGCCGACGATGCTTTGTTTTCCATTGAACGAATGGAGCCAAACGATTGGCCGTCAGAAGATTCGGAAATCGCACTCGAAGGCCATGAAGATGTTCCTCTCGAGAAAATCTACGCATACTGCCGTTGCACGTTGCTTGCAGATGCTACGGAAGTAGAGATAAGTTTTATCAATTTCTCTGCATCCTTATTGATTTATGGCCCGGATGGGCCGTACGAACTCATTTCTGCCGAGGAACTTGACGTCTTTCTAGATAACCAAAAGGAATGCACACGACTCCTCACTTTTCCGGAGATTCTAGATCTTCGTGCTGAAGGTGATGACACCAAGCCAGTTCCCGGCTACCTAGACATTATGGAAACTGTTACCCAGAAGCTCACAAAGAAATTTCGAGCATCTACCCTTCAGAGATAAGTTGTGGCCCAGACTACTTCGAGATTAGCGAACAAGAATTCTTTGGGGAAAAACAAGTGGTTTGGGAATTTTCATTTGAAGTAGTTGTATTTGGGAGATCTGATTTTTATGTTTGCTACTTCGACGATTCCAATTTATGTATGTTGTTATGATTACAGCCGGTTGGCAATGACTTCCTTGAATGGCGGTAGAAAAGAGTTACTGGAGGGGTTGGCATGCTCTGGTTCCGTTCCATAGTTTTCATCTTGAATCACTATCAGATAAGAAGATCTTCTCAAATCCTTGTAAATAGCTAGGATACAAAGGATACAGTAATTTTCTTCGGAAGCCCAGAATAAGGTTTTCTTTTTCGAGTTTCAAGAGTGTAAATAAGTTTAACCTTTGAATGGGCGGCAATTTCATCTGCCCCAATCTCCTGATCCCTCGATAAACCGAATAAGACACTCGGTGCAATTCGTCATGAAGTCGATGATCTTGGAGGCAGAAATGGAAGCTTGGTGAAATTGCGTTCCGTCTGGGAAAGCAAAATCTTTGATCGCAGCTGACAAGAGTGAACAGGCTCAATAATCCCAAGGGCAAAGTCAAGCATTACACAAAACTAAGCATCGGATGTATAACAATCGAACTGTCTTAGTGAGTCCCAGTGAGGTTGAAATAAAGTTTGCCAATATAGGGAGGGTGGGTTGGCGGGGCGATGAATACGAGGATCACCGAGATTTAGTGTAGCCTCAATAGATTATTTCACCTCTTCCCTCTCCTCATCATCCTCATCCCAACACCATCAACAAGCTTCCTCCCCAAAATTAATTCGAATCACTGTGCTCTCCAGAGCCATCTTCTGGAGTTCAAACGAGCTGTGGGAGTATCTACATAGCTCCAAGCAAGTCGCAATTGAGCGGTTCTTCCACCCGACCTTCTGACCGCAAACACGAACGAACGGCAGTAGCTGGATTGAGGAAACGATATACGAAACTGAAATCGACAAGCACTTGCACAAACGAATGAGTACGCGTACGACGTAATTATCGTCGTATTGCGGTAAGTTGTAAACTCTAGAGAATTCAAAAGATTGTCCAAGTGGGCGTCGTGACTGCGCCGTACATACGTTTGCTAGTTCGATCACGGCCAGTATGAATGCTGCTCACGGGTTCTTGCTAAGCATTCTTACCTGGTATGTTATCTGAGCGACCGTCGACTGTCGGATTTCTGGGGGTGAAAAATTCATGCTGTGAGTTTATTTGCACTTTCACAATTGCATCTTCAACCATTGCACACAAACCTTACACATTCGGACCCAAAAAGCTGATGACGGTCGGGATGACTGTTGACTTCAGGATCTTAGGAGAGCGAGCACTCGGGTTCAATTGCCTCTTATGCTTCCCTTTCTTGCGGTTCTGTTTTGCGCTTCTTTCCTTGTTATCTTAATCAATGTCTTCTTCGTTTGATGCACTCTCATAAAGAATGGGTTCTCTCATCAAAACGGAAGCTCACAGCCGCTTTCTTACTCGGTCCCTCGAGCACCCTGATAACAACGTTTCAAACAACCATCCAAAAAGTTTTGGAAGAAGAAAGAACGTAGCCTTTCTTCATATCGATAAGAAGTTGAATTGCGACGATGGGGTGTTATCCACGTGTGCTAAAAATCATCAAATTAACGTTACATGCAACGTAAAACATGGAGCTATCGTTGGGAAAGGGAGCTTGACTCTACCACCACGCAAACAATTTTACAATCAATCAACAGCAGCCAAGTCTCAATTATGGGCTATTATTGCTTTGTCAAGTGACAAGAAGTACGTGTCAAATCTTTTGCTAAGATTGCCTCGAAAATAGTTGGTGCATACTTGAGATTTGAGCACAGCTTTTTGAAGGTTACGTTTGTTACGTAACAGAACACATTTCAATCCTACTCTCGACTCTCCTAAGTCTTTATTGATTATCTGGATGGAAGATTTCTCAGAAAAAGCCCTGCAGTTGTGTCGTTATACCTACCCATCATCTGCGCATGTTGAATTTCTTCATGAACCCTCAGGGGTCGCAGATCCTCGGTTCGAGGCTAAAGTAAATGTACAATATCCGGGCGGTTAGTTGAAGATTAGCGACTGGGAAGCAAGTACCTTCCCCATATGCACATGCTTTTCCGTGACGAACTAAACATGCCAGTAATAGAGATAGTTCCATTCATTCAGTAGCTGTCTTCATCTGTTTGATTACGTGTTTTATATCTTGAATGGTTTGATGACAGTGTTCACTGGAGCGGATACAAGGTTATAAATGCAGTCTGCAGCTCAAATATGTTGTCCGCTCTAATACTGGAGAAAAGGGTTTCCCTTGCTATCTATCTACTTGCACAATCGGAGATCACTGTTATGCGCTCTGGGGATTATTTGTTTCGTAAAGGAGCATGCACATGAGAACTCATGTCTCTCCGTGGGACCATGCCTCCCACGATAGCTCCACTACCCCGCATTTTCTGACAACTGCCTCCCGGCCATCACCACCCTAGTTAAATTCTCTACACCCCCATTGCCCCAAAGATAAATATCAAGGAGATGTTCAATATGAGGTATAGATTCGGTCTTCACTCGGCACTATGCAGCACATGTTTGTGTCGGTTTGTTCTAGACTTCAACATTTATCTTAGCCAGGCTGACGGAAGATCAGGGTTCGCGGCTCCTGTCGATCTCCGATGAGCTAGAATGATCTTGCGCTCTGATTTGAGGTGCAATTCCCGGTCAGGATACTGACTTAATTTCAACCTGATGACCGGTACTCAACCCACCGACCTATGAAGAGCCTTACAAAGTACGTAAGCTACAGAAGCACAAACGACAGACAAGCTTTTAATCCGGCGGAAGCGTCGCATGATTATTAGCTCCTGGTGCTCATCGGTCACTCTCCCAACTAGAGTTATAGAATTCCATTTTCAGAATATCGTCCGAAATGTTCACGATGGCTATTTGCTCTGGGAACTTCTATCAAGGCTATCTGGCCGAATTCCACGCCGCGTCTGCGACTTACAATGTAGCACAATATTCCCCGGAGCTAGGGTAGAATTCTGTTGCGATAATTACATTTTAACGTTCCTTGTGTTCAGGGGCACTTCTACCCCAGATTCTTCGGACGAAAGAAGCAAGCCAACCATCGTCCAATAACTGTTAAATGCCGCCGTATTTCGCCGTAAATGATACCACGTTGCTGTATCTATTCGGCGTTACTGGGAAATCTATCAGACGCGTGCTAAAAGTCAGAAGCTGGCCTTGCATGACTGGCAATGATTTGACTTACAGGTCAGAAGTTCAACCTGCCCAAAGAAGGATCTTCTCCCGCCGTTGATGGGTCCAGAGGTGGTTCTTCGGTGAGGAATTAGAAGGAGTTATCGAATCCGAATGTCCTAGTGCTCTTGATTAACTTTTGTCCAGATGAAGCGCGATTAGGAACGTGTATATAACTACGCAACTTCCGCACAGTCTCTTCCTGTCGCACAACATTCCTTTGAGACATTTTGCTTATTACCAGCTTGTACATATTTGCCTTGCACATACTTTTTAGGCTTCTTTTCGACTTATCCCAAGTAGGGTTTCACGTTGGCACATAGACACTACTTTCGCGCTTTCTAGCTACAATACCCTCACACCTTCCGAGAATGTCTCTCAAAGCTATTTTGGGTGCGGCCCTACTGCTCTCGGTCCAACAAGTCGATGCAGTCGTGGTTTCTACCCTCGCCAGAAACCTTACAATCCCAAAGAGTTTTGCTCTTGCGTCTTACAGACTTGTCGACAACTACAACTCGGGCAACTTCTTCAATTCATTCAACTTCTACAGCGGTGCTGATCCAACTCACGGATATGTCAATTACCGAACACAAGGAGATGCTCAGAATATGGGATTGATCAATAGCAATAATGGTCAGATCTATATGGGAGTTGACCACACCACGAAAAACCCATCCGCTCCTGGTCGCTCTTCAGTTCGAGTTAGCAGCAAGAAATCTTACACTCATGGACTTTTCATCGCGGATATTGCTCACATGCCTGGGAATGCTTGTGGTGTCTGGCCTGCATATGTAAGAAATCCATTCTAGCTTTTGTATGCAACATGTGCTGACTATTCTCAAAGTGGCTCTTTGGTCCTAACTGGCCAGCATCAGGAGAAATCGATGTGATTGAAGGTGTTAATCTCGCCGGTAACAACGCCATCACCCTTCATACTTCCTCAGGCTGCAGCATGAACATCGCTGGTTCCCAATCCGGCACCACTCTCTCCGACTCCAACTGCAACTCCGGGAACGGCAACAATGGCTGTTCCGCGGCTACCACCACGCCCAACGCCTACGGCGATAGCTTCAACAACAACGGTGGTGGCGTCTACGCCATGCAATGGGAGTCCTCTGGCATTTACGTCTGGTTCTTCCCACGTAACAATATCCCAGCAGACATCAAGAACGGCGCGCCTGTCACGGGCAACTGGGGATTACCTGTTGTCGCGTTCAATGGTGGTTCTGGGTGTAATGTTGATCAGCATTTCCAGAACCAGAATATTGTGTTTGATACTACTTTCTGTGGTGATTGGGCTGGTTCCGTGTTCAGCACTGGAAGCTGTTCTGGCAAAGGGAGTTGTGAGAGTTATGTTGCGCAAAATCCAGGGGCTTTTAATTCGGCGTATTGGACTGTTAATTCGGTTAAGGTTTACTCTTTGTAGATCGGCTGATGAGGGAGGAGGCAGTTCGTGAATTTCTCCTTCATGGGATTAGGTGTTAGGAGTAATTGCATCGGGCCATGACGAAGTCGTGCACAAATCCGGTCGCTTTCTATAGGTTTGGAAGGAAATCATTCTTGTATATATTTTTGATCGAATGCACATAAATTTAACACACTTTGCCATGATCTGGCTGAGTTACTCTCTCTTGCCCGTTGCTCGCAGCGCAATGTGCCGGGAAGTATGTGTTCCACAGAATTTCGAACTGATCATGTCTTATATGAGGACTCGTAAGAATGAAAATAAGCGAATCATTCCCTAAGCGGCTCGCCAAACACTCATGCATAATCAGACGGCTCAACGTTCCACCACATTTCATGATATAACCATAAGCTTTCTGCACAAAGAGAGCCGCATCTCCACTACTCAAATAAATCAGCTAATATAATCAACTGTAATCTTTCTAACTCTCGCAATGGCAACTCCAACACCCCACTCTCCAGAATACATAACTCCCGAGGACCTCAACTCCATCCTCTCAACGCCCATAAATATAATAATCGACCCCCAAATCGTCTCGTCCATAACCTCACAATCCCCTTTCCTTCCCATCCCAACCGCCCTAAACCTCCGCACCATAACCGCGCAAAATCTAAAATCCAATTTCCTCTTCCGCTCCGGTACCCTCTCCCACCTCCCACCCCCCGTACTCAAAGACTTCACAACACAATACAACATCAGCACTATCTTCGATTTACGCTCCCCCTCTGAAGTCGCATCCTCCCCAGATCCGGCAATCGAAGGCGTAGAAATCATCGTAGTTTCCGAACCCACAACCAACGAGGGGAGAGAAATCCGAGTCGAAGATTTCATACGAAATGACGGCGTAGACGCCTGGGTAGCTATCTACCTCGATATCATGCGCAACACGCACGCCGTCGCATTCCGGACGTTCTTCGCACACTTGCTTACCTGTAAGGGAAATATTCTATTCCACTGCACGGCGGGGAAAGACCGTACTGGCGTGCTTTCTGCGTTGATTTTCATGCTCGTGGACGCGACGAGAGAGGAGATTAGTTTGGATTATATGTTGACACGCGTGGGCATCGAGCCTGGGCGTGCGATGTTGATTAGGCAGTTAGAGGCGTTTGTGGGGAGGGAGGTGGAGGGGGGGATGTGGGAGGTTCCTGGGATGCCGGCGTTGTGTGGGATGTGTGAGGGGAATGTTGTTGGGTTGGTGGCGGGCGTGGAAGGGGTTTGGAGGGGGAGGGGCGTGGATGGGTATATGGCTGAGTTGGGGTTTGGGAGGGAGCAGATGAGGAGGATTAGGAGGGTCTTGAGGGGGGAGGTGGAGGTTTAGGGGGAGTGTGTAAGGGGGGTTTGAGGTTCAAAGTTTGGGGTTTCTGGCTTGTGTAAAAGGGGAATGCTTTTGTGAGTAATTTTGTTTTGGTGGTTAGATTTATGGCCGGCTCGTCATAGCATCATGTGTGGGACTGAATGTAATACCGCCATATCGTTGGTGTATAATAAAGTAGTCGATGATTTCTCGCTTAAGAAAGCCTCTGACCTATGAAGCAATATAATATGTAAAAGCCGCTAGAAAAGAAGAAATACACTTTCTAAATCATGACTAGCTCGAGTAGCCAAACACTCCTAGAAATTGTCATCGCTATATTTCAACTTTAGTAAATCTACTCAAAAACATCTCCCCCTAATCCTCTCGCTTACGAATTACTTCAACCCACCTACCCCAAACTCTTCCCTCCCTCACAAGGCAAAGTAATCCCCGTCGTCCACCTCGACTCCTCACTCAACAAAAACACCGCCGCCCTCGCCATATCCTCCGCATCCGCCACATAATTCATAGGAAACATCCCCGCCATCCTCTCCTTCGCCTCCTCAGTTGGACACATCTGCTCAAACGCCTCCGTCCATGTCGGACCAGGCGCAATCGCATTAACCCTAATCCCCTTCTTCGCATAATCCAGTCCAGCCGTCCTAGTAAGTGCACCTAGTCCGAATTTACTAGCCGAGTAAATCGAGTTGCCAGGAGACGCACTGAGACCAGCGCCGGAAGAGACGTTGACAATGGTCCCGCCGCCGGACTCGAGCATAGCGCTAATTTCGTATTTCATGCACATGAAGATGCCGCGGAGGTTGACGTCGAAGATGCGGTCGTAGTCAGTCATAGAGAGAGTGTGGATAGGACCGCGTCCGCCTGCGATGCCGGCGTTGTTGAAGGCGCTGTCGATGCGGCCGAATGTTGAGATTGTGAAGGTGACGGCATTTTGGACGTCTTCTTCTTTGAGTATGTCACAGGTCACAGCGGCGGCTTTGCCGCCGGAGGATGTGATGTCTTTGGTGATTGCTCCGAGTTTGTCGAGACGTCGGGCTGCGAGCACGACGGTTGCGCCCTCTTTGGCGAATAGTCGTGCGCCAGCTTCCCCGATGCCAGAGCTTGCTCCGATGACGAGAATTACTTTCTCTTGGAGACGATTGAAATGGAATGGGAGAGGAGATGGATTGGAGTATGGCATGATTGGCTGTTGCTGGGTATCACAATTTCACTTGTAGGGAATTGACTATCAAAGGCAAGTAAAGACACAAGAGGCAATGAGATGTACAAAAATCGATTGTCTTTTTGAATGGGATCAAAGAAGAGAGAAGAAACTCACGGTAGACAATATAAAAGGTCAAGCTACCCACCATCGATTAGACGTGGGGTGGGTTAGGGACGGAACGTCCCCAACTTCTGGAAGCGAGAAGTTCCACAACCAACACTAGTGATACGGAAGTCCGCCACAGGCACAAGTAACAACCACTGAGAGACCAGTGCTAGCTCTTTGTAGTTTTCATGAGTGACAGGCATAGGACTTCGCTCAAGTCCTTCGGATATCATACCGTTCAAAAGATGTTATCATATGCCTCCAGAAACGCAATCATCAACCTGAGAGTTTTCAATTTAAAGCTTGGAAGTTCGCATCTTAGTACTATCAGTTCTTCTTCCCTCGTCCGCCTGCTCAGCGACCGTCAAATCAGGAAACTTAGCTGGCATGATTCTCCTTGGGACAGCGCCCTCAACCACCGAGTACTTCGAGAAATCCGTCACACCCTCGTGATTACGCAGGAAATCCTCATCCAATTCTAGAAGACCATTGACGTCTTCCACTGGAGCACGGAGCATCGCAAGGATAGCGTCCGAGTAAATTGTTGCTTTTCGAAGATCTTTGATAGAGTCTGGATCTGTCTTGGTTATTTGACCGGTTGCTGCTGATTGAATTGACTACAGGCAATTAGTGACCATGAACATCTAGAGACATTGCGAGTACTTACTGCCGCAGGCCAGATACTCGTTATAGCCATATCCTTCTTACCCTCTCGCTCCCAGTCCATAGCCAATCCCTTGGTCAAGATACTCATTCCAACCTTGCCCATAGCATAGGCAGTCTTGCCTCTGAAGAACCGAGAATATATGGGTGGGCTAACCACAATGATCCTTCCCTTCCAACCGTTCTTCTCGAAATGAGGTAAGGCTGCTTGTACCGTGCCGTAAAGGCCTTCAACATTGATGCGCTGCATAAGCTGAAAGCGTTTCATAGGGGTCTTTTCGATAGAAGCCCACCAGATTGCCCCGGAGTTGTAAATGAGGACATCGAGATGGCCGTAGATCTGCTTTCGCATCAACAACGGTATCAAAAGAACCAAATCATGACCCCACCTTGACGGTCTCGTCTACCAGCTTCTGCACGCTTTCGAAATTCCTTGTATCAACAGCTATGGCGGTCGCAGTGCCACCTGCCTCTCTGATCTCGCGTTCGACCGTGCTGATGGTTGATTGTTGAGAGTTTGGATCCGGAGGGAATGGCTTCGTCGCGTTTGCATCGCTTGTTGATTTCGCAGCGACGACAACTACATTTGCTGATTAGCAGGTATCGTTTAATGTCGCTATCCCCTAACTTACCAGCGTAGCCTTCCTTAGCAAGATCAATCGCGACCTGTCTGCCAATACCACGCGACGCTCCTACCACCAAAGCAACTTGTTGTTTTGAAGTCATAATGTCTGTATAATAGTTTTCAAGGAGGCCAATGGAGTTCGAAGCTGTAAAGAGTCATTCTGGAGATGCTCCTCTTCTTTAAGGTGACTGTGGAAAGTTCTGTGTTGCGTATTGCGCGGTTGTGAGGTTGAAGATGTTTACTGATCTTGACCTCGGCTCTTGGCCAGATTCCGAACCCCTCCACCAAGCAGATCATCCATGTCGCATCAAGGATACAACGTCAAACATCGGATGAGATATATCTAAGCTGATACTCACATACCATTTCTTCATTGCGGTCAAATTTTCATGTTCTAGATTGAGAGTTCCATCGGAAGTGTTGGTCTTCATGAAAAAAGCACTCTCTTAAATATCCTACTGGTTGCTTGATTCCAATTACTAGGTAATCATTATGGGAGGACATATTGATTGCTATTTAGATTGCTGTAAGTCATTCCGTTTCTTTGAATTGCAAAGTAAGAAGAAGTACAAGTTCAAAATACACATTTCAACCCGTCTCAACATCTTTTAACTCACATCTAACATCTGTCACAGCTTCATTCTACGGCTACTTAACCCTCCTCTACCTCCGCAAGCAACGAGAGCGCTTACTAGCCCACGATGTTACCGTCGAGTAAGTTCATTCCTTTTAAAGTGAAAACCCACCTGACAATTTCCAGATTCTATCCCATCTTCCTCGGCGGCGTAAACGTAGGTTCAGGCAATAAACCCCCTTGGACACTCCCGGCCAAGGCCACCTACGGAAAATACGACTCAGACCGCGCCAAAAAATACCACGGAAACCTCTCCATCGAACCTCCATCTTTCTTCCCCCCTCTAACCCTTCTAGTCCGTTCCCTTTCCCCTTTCCTCCAAACCCATACTCACAGTGAAATCTAGCCACAACGCGCCCTCTGCTTCATCAAATCCGCCCATCCCCCAGCTATATTTGAAGAAATCTTCCTCATCATATTTCAGAAATTGTGGACGCCTCCCAACCAAGTCGATGTGACAAAGCCGGACTTGTTTAAGGGTGTGTTGGATGAAAGTGGGCTGTTTACGCGGGAGCAGGTCGATGAGATTCTGGTTAAAGCCGGGGAGAAGGAGTGGAAAGATAAGCTGTTGGCGAATACGAAGTTGGTGTTGGAGCAGGGGGCTTTTGGGGCGCCTTGGTGAGTTTCTATGTTTGCTGATTGGTGGTGAGGCTAATGGGTTGTAGGATGTGGGTTAGGAATTCGAAAGGCGAGGAAGAGCCGTTTTTTGGTAGTGATCGGTGAGTCTCTCTTTCTGAAGTACCTGCAAATTTCAAGGACTTTGCTGATTATATAGATGGCATTTTATGTGGGAGTACTTGGGAATTCCGTGGCAAGATATCGAGATCTTACCACCAAAAGAAGGGAACAAATCAAAGCTTTAGATAGCTTGCTTATACGCTTTTGAATTTCGAGTTGGTGTACAAACCTAATGATCAAATTATCAACCTAATCACTCTTCCCAATATTCTCCTCCATAACCTTCAAATCCTCCCCCTCAATACTATCCTCCCCAGCATCCAACACCCTGTTCACCTCCTCCCCAACCTCCTTTTCACCCCCTAACAAATCAAACCACCCACTCACTCCTTCCTTCTCTAACAACCTCGCTCCCACTTCCGCAACATCAGCCCTACTAACACCCCCCTTCGCAACCGTCTTCCCGATCTGCACCCTCCCACTCTCAGGCTCATCAGTCAAATGTCCCGGCCTCAAATCAATCCATCCAAACCCCTTTCTCTTCCCTCCTTCAATCGTCAGAACCTCATCAGCAGCCAACTTAGCCTTATAATAAGTAGCCAAGATCTCTTTATTCATTTTGTCGACCAAGTTCCAGGAATCGTCGTCCCACCATGGCGCACGGGTACGACGGGATGAAAGAGCTGAGACCATAAGGAATTTGGTGATTGAGGGACGAGCGATAGAGGCGCGGATGAAGTGGATGGCGGCGTCGCGGTCGATGGCGAGGGTTCTTTCTGCGCCGCCTTTTCCACCTGCGCCTATAAAATTCATCAACAAACTTCCCTATTTCTCAAATAAGAATTAAAAACGTACCAGCACTCCAAATAACCCAATTTACACCCCCAACTCCATCAATAATCTTCCCGGCGTCCTCAACACTCTTCACATCTTCAATACTAGCGACCAGCGGTTCGACTTTTCCGGGTCCGTTCTTTCCTGCTTCGAGGATCTCCGGGATATGGTCTTTGTTGCGGATCACGGATACGACGTTCCAGGAGCGAGCGACAAGTTTCGGGGTCATGAAGAGGGAGACCCGGCCGTGGCCGCCGAGGAGGAGGATTTTAGTCATTTTGATATGAGTTTGGGGTGCGGTAGTGTGAAGGGTGAGTTGTGAGGTGGGAGTTTTGAGGGTGAGGATTGTGATGATGTAAAGTTGTTGAATAGTGAAAAGTAATGAAGAATCCAAGCTCTTATTTATAATGTATCTCAGCCTTAAAAATTCCTTATGACGATGAAGATGAAATGGTGTGATTGGGGCCAAGTAGCTTGGTGTTTAATCGATTAGAAATGGTTCTCGGTAAGCTCGTTTCGAGGTGTTGAGGGGTAATTGGATTTCAAACGCTTTCACGAATTAAGCTTCTCAAAGGACTTACAGCTGTGAAGTTCGTAGATGCGTGATCTCAACTGTTTTAATAGTCAGCATGTATCCCGCAATGGACGCAGGTGTCCTTCGCATTTGATGCCTCTCATGACGTTACGCTTACTGCCCCGCTTTCTTAACTCCGGTCCCTTCGGCGTTAAGACTCTCGACGACGAACAACATTCAGAAAGCACAGAGATAAATTTCCTAACTCGTATTGATTCACACGTTTGTTGTCTTGGCTTCTGCTTACTGTAACTCAGTCGATTCAAGTGAGTAGGTTCTTTGTAGAAGCAGTGGAAACCTAGTACTTTCGAAGTGTTCATTTAGTCCTATATGACATTCTGTAAGAAAAAAGCAGTATGACCGTCATAAAAGTAAGGGTATATAATCTTATCGAGAGTGCGTATCAGTTCTAACATCCCTCTGATTGGAAACGTGGAAAGAGAGGTCAATCAGTATTTTCATTTCTCTATCTTACAAAGTGTTTCCAAGCCAACCATGTCATATCCTGCGAACTTCAAAGAACACCAATAAACCAACGATGTAAAAACTCAAAACTCTCAGTGAACTGTGTGTAAACCAACCATCTAAAAACTCTCCGATCTTCCAGCCAACCCATAATTAATCTGACACCCAAATAACAAATGTACTCCATTAAAAAAAAGATACTTCAGATTACCACCCTAACACTCAACTAACCTCAACTCTCACATGTTCGATTTTCTAGGGGTTCAGCATATTTTTCCCATCTCCAAGAGACACAAAATCTCCCCCTTTCGACCTTTCTTCTGCTTCTCTCTTTGCTTGCTCTGCCGCTCTTTTTTCTTCCTCTTTTTTTACCCTGTAGCGCTCTCTATCGATAGCATTGTATTTGTCCTTGCATTGCTTACACCTTCCTTTTTTAGTTTCTTCTGGATATTCTGTAGTGGAACAGCCAAGACTACTGAGTGCCGCGTCGCAGAGGATAATATCGACATTTGTTACGTGGTAACAGATGTCCCATTGGGTGTTTGGTCGTTTACACATGGCTTTCTTGGGATTTAGAGATTTCGAAGTACTGCGAAACTTGTTGAAAATGCTGAACTTGGAGTTTGGCTTTGAGAGTGGATGTAGTGTATAATCTTGAAAGGTGAAAAGTGTTCAAATAGTGTCTCAAAATTTGGTTTGGATTAAAGGAATGTGGAAATATAGATTTGATTAAATGGTCTGAGAATGTTTGTGTAAGAGGAGAGAGAGCATAAGCTCAAGAGAAGCTTTTATACCCTACTAAATGGAGATCTATTCATACAGTATTCTGGTTGTGATTCAAATATAATTCTGTAGACTAACAAATCTTATAATTTCGACTTACTTCCTAACAATGGAAGCTGATTGCGATCAAGAATCACCCAAAAGTGAAGCCAAAGCCTTTGGATTCATAAATGTATCAGCTGATTCATAGTGCAAGTGATGTGACTTGGAAACATCACAATAAATTCACGTGTCCATGGACACAGAACACTCAACATACTGTGCTAACCCCAAGCATGATCAGAGCACCCTTGTTCTATTTCAAGTCATTTCATTTGGGTTAGAATCATGAAGTAGTGGAAGATGATAATATGCTCAGTACTTTGGTATGTGAAGGGTAATTAAGGTTGTGCAGATGTCATTGTTTCTTCGTAAAAGAGAATTTCCACCGATTTTATCTTATGGCATCTGTTAAAGAAGTGGCTAATAGCGTCAAAATACGCAGGCGGCTGGCCATATTCGTCCGAAGTGTACTGGTGGATTGATCTTTTATTCAGTCGACAGTCTACATCCTCTCGCAGTCCATCGTTCCTAAGTCCAGTTGTTGGAATTCGGATTTCAATTAAGAGGCAACTTGTTATTTACTTCCCGGTTGCGGGTCTGCGATTGGATTTGGCATACTATGAACGTGGGTTTAGGTGCCAATTTTCTAGAATTCATTCGATGCCCCCTCATCATACTGCCACGCTTTGCTACCTAGCACCGATGTCGTCGGCCGCAAGCAACAGGCCATATCAACCACGAGTAATTCGGAAAGCAAGGAAATAATTTAAGAAACTTGCACCTACTTCATATAGCCCGACTTCTATTCAATCTTATTGTTTCTCACAACATCTTAGATCTTCTCGCAAGAACATCAATGAACAAAGGGACTTCATAGTGTCACTTTGGTCCGAAATGGGATTCTGTTTAATATATCAACAACGCTCTTGAAGGAAATGGGGATGAGGTGTATCATCGAGCTCGCTTAGCAATCCAACTTCATTCGTCGCGTGTGTTTGAAAATCGTAAGTATATTTACTATTATGTTATATCCTCTATCCCACAACATCCCTATAAAATGACCGTTCCATATTACACTAACACGTCAATAAACCAATGATCCGAAACCTCTCTGAAACAGCCATACAGTGGTACGCTAACACCTCAATAAACCAACGATTTAGAAACTCCAACCTCCACGAGAACTATGTATAATTAAACATCCAAAAATATTCAGCATATTCCGTCCAGAAAAGATAGAAACCTCAGATAAAACTCTCAGCGCCCCTCCGAATTGGATTCCGAGTACTTGAGAAGCTCTTTATAATAATCATCCCGATCTTCAGCTTCCTTCCTTGCTTGTGTGGCTCCTTTTGCTCTCGCCTTCGTCTTTGCTCTTGTTGCTCTTGCCATTGTCTTTGCTCTGCTTGCTCTCGCCTTTTTCTTTGATATTCCTGCACTTAACTTTTGTACTCTTCCTCCCTTTCCTTGTTTGCCCTTTGGGTAGAATGGGATATCACGAGTTGTTGATTATACCCCATCTTGATATGATACGTGGTACTACCTGTACCATTAGCTATTGAACTGCACGATACAACTCTATCATTTCTTCCGTGGCCACATACGTGTTCGGTCTTCGGTATTTTCACCCGACTTTGTCAAAGTTTAAAGTTTCAAAGTAGCGCTTCACTTATAAGGGATACTGTGCTTGGTATTTGGCTCTGATGGTGGCTGTAGTGTGTTTTAGAAGTTGAGTTAAACCCAGTTGCGTATTAACACGTACTTGGGACCTCGAGAGGTGGGAATACAGATTTGAAGACAAGTGTCGGAAAATGTTTGTGTAGGAAAAGAAGCCGGCGCTCAGGGGAAGCTTTTATAGACCACAGTGTACTATGATTATTCATACTGTAGTCTGCTTGTGATTCAAACACAGTTTTCCACGCTCAAAATATTTGCTATCCCGAATAACTTGTCGTTTAAGAAACATAGTTATGACTGAAAATAACCTCGAGGGAAGCCAAATTCTTCGGAATCATAAAATGTGTATATTGATTCATGGTACAAGTGATATGATTTTCAGAGATTCAAAATTATAAATGGAATTGAGGGGACACTACCTTTAGGTGAGAAGTATGTAGAAACCAATTTAAATTCTATACTATTAGATGGTTCTTATGATATAATTAGCTAAAACTTTTATATAGGCAATGTATTAGAAATACATGAACTTTGAAGTGTTTCTTAAGTTCCAGGTGTGATTTAATTTTGAAGACCCTCATAATACTTTTGCCGGTCAAATGCGTAGAGCGCAGCCTCAAGCACTCGGCCTATTTCGCAATACTACACTGAACATGAGTTTTTCAAATAGTAAGTATATATTGTCTATTTCGCTTTTCCAAAATATTTTCATGAAATGTGTATCTCCCACGTAAAATCTAAAGAACAAAAAAACATCAACAAACCCACCATTCCAAAGAAAAAAGACATCTAACTCCAACCAGGTCAACATAATCCGACATCACAAAGACCCAATACCCTACACCCACTTAATCCAGAAACCACAAATAATGCCCCCAACGTTCTATCTATCTCTGCTCTCGCGCTCGGTTGCCCTTGGATTGAGAATATTCACCCCTTTGATTCCATGAAGTGCATTAAACTCTCCTCGCTCCTTGGCCTCAAGATTTCTCTTCTCTCGTTCATCGGGTTCTGCTTTTGTTCTTGCTTCTCGCTCTTGTTGTTCTTGTATTCCTAGTCGTCTTGGCACTTCTCGTGGATTTCGCATCTGTACCGGATTTCGCATCTGAAATGGAGGTGGTATTGCTAATGGAGGTGGTATTGCTAATGGAGGTTGCATTGCTAGTCGGTTTTGCATCACCGGTGGAATTTGCGCTTGTGGTCCTGCTAGTATGCCCCTATTTCTCTTCTCCATCTCTTCCCATGCCCTGTCGAATTTTGATGCCCTGCTCCCTTCCTGCGATTTTTTCTCCTTATTCCTTCGCATTTTCCTCTCTCTGTCCTCTCTCACGCAATCGGGACATTTCCCTTCTATGGCTTTCTTGACCTCCCGTTTAGGTGGATAACATGCGTTCTGAGCACCTTTTTTGCAACGACGAAGTTGTTCTCCGGGCGTTTCGCAAGGGCATTCCTTGTATGTTGTGATCGGTTGTCCACACATAGTCTAATACGCAGCTAGGAAATTTCACCTTTGCGCTATTTGATACGAAGACTCTGACGGAGAAGTTGAGTTTCGAAAATATGAGCGATAACTACAATAGCAGCTGTGCTTCCCAAAGTTGCAGAGGCTCTGGTAACCTATGAACAACTGATTTAAAGTGATTGTTTATACTAAAGATATTTGTGGAAGAAGAAAAACAAAATCGAGCGATTTCAAGATTTTATACCCCCATCAAATTACCCTAAACATTCACATTACCTAGTTATGATTATTACCCACTGAAACAGTAACCAAAAACGAAAATGTGGGTTGATTATGGAAGAGCCAGTGTTTAGTAACCTCGTCGTGATTGGTTTCACCTCTACAGATATACTCATGAACGGAAGGTTTTTGATATGTCAGGACTGATGCGAGTGAAGCATGCCTCTGGGGCTACATAAACTCTGAAGCTGTACTTGAACTCACGATATTGATCACTATGAATAGCTACATATTTGTACTTACATGTGTATACGCACTGAAGAGCAGTGAAGCTAGAAGCAAGTTGAAAAATAGTATCTTGTCGCTGAAAACCACACATAGGTATAGTTAATACGTTTGAAGCTTTAATCAACACTCTGATTAACATGTGTATCTAGACAAAAGGAGATGAGTATTGCACATAACAAACATGATGTCCTCTAATCTGAGTGTGATTACTTCGACTTCATTCGGCTATCCCGACTCTAATTCAACTATCGCTAAATTTATTAGTACGCTCAAGGAAAATAGATTGAGTAAAGTGAAATGTGACGAGAGGCTCGAGAGCAACTGGATTGTAAAAGTTTGCGGAAAGCTGAGACTTCTAAAGTGTGCATGTGATTGAAGATGCAGGTGCTGTACAGTTTGGAAAATAATAATAGCAAAATGCGTTCTTAAGAGTATTTATTAATCTAGCTATATTTATTTAGTTAGAGATGCACAGATGCTTAGAGAAGGTGAGTATAGTCAAATCCCATTTCTCCAGTCTACAACTTCTTCCCAAAACACCAATATCATTTCCTGCAGTACATCCGACCACACAGGCATATATAAACCAACGATCCAAAACCCTCAAACTCCAAGTCAATTATATAATCAGACATCCCAAAAACGCTACATTCCGACACAAATCCTCAAATATGATCCTCCCTCAACAACCTGTCAATCTTTCACGTTTGAGTGTCGCGGATTTAATGTTTCCTCCAAAAACCGAGTAGTTTCTCTCCTTCGCCCTGTTTCTGTCGATTCATCTCTTGACCCTTTTGATTTTCCTTAGTTTTTCTCTTCTCGTTCCACGCTCCAACTCCACTCGCAATCTGTACCACTATTCCCTCCTGCCCACTTCTCTCTCTGATGCTCTTCTCCAGGTCTAACTGTTTCTGCCACTCCTCATCCTCTTGCCTTATCTCACCAAAAATCTCCTCCCAATTCTTCACGTGAGAAAAATATCCTGGATTCTTTTCCTTAACATCTTTCCACTCCTGCGGCTCACTCTCTTCTGGAGTCTTTTTAGGTCCCAAACAAGATTCACACTTTCCCTCATTGAACGTCTTCTTAGGCCTTTTACCACCGCAATTGTGACTTGCAGGTGTTCCGCAGCACGGAAAGGAGAGGTAAAAGTAGCCACCACATCCTGAATAGTATGTCTCGGTATTGCAACACATTGTTTCGTGCCGGTCTGTTATCGTAGACTTGGTAGTTGACTTGATGTAATCACAGTGATCCAGTAGTTGACTTTCGAAAGCGAAGGTTGAAAATATTTATAAATATACTTGAAGCTGTCCTTTGAAACTTCTGTTTATGTATCTGCAACAGCAAGGGTTCTGAATTTTGATCCAATATATCTTCTTTTACATTAAGATGTTGATGTAAAAAGAAAGCCAGAAGGGGGAAGACTAAAAGAATTTATACCCTGAACAAATGGCCGTAAATACTCACGCGCAGACCTGGCCATGATGGAAATATCTTACAGGCATATCAACTCAGAAATAGGAGTTTGCTTCTTGAATGAATCTTCATACCGAGGGCTGATTATGAGTAAAGAGGAACTCTGAAGCTGTAAATAGCACACATTATGAGAAGAATTGGATGATGGTGATCAGATCTTTGTCGGCAGCCATAGTTCAGGTGGTGTTATGAGTGACTTGTGATGTGACGGGGTAGTTATCCGTGATCGTAGCATTCGTTTCGCATGAACTGCCGAAAGTTATGATTAATTTTCTAGTACAGAAGCTAATTGTGATCAAAACACAGTTCGACAGGTATTAAAGCTGTGAGTGATTTCTTCCCTCAGAATCCCATATCGCGATAAAAAATTACTGTTCTCAAATTCAGCAAATTTATCCATCACTGGGGTCAAAGACACGTAGATAAGTACATCCGACTCAAGTACTATTACACGTCTTTTATATCATCTCACCCCAGCCCAAATCTTATGAATGACCCTCGGGGTCCAATAGCTTTGATGTTAGTATGTCCACAGGCAGTTGTTATGATCTTCGAAGCTATGAATACCCATTTCACCTATTCCACGACGAACAGCTGATTTCATGGGGTAATTGCATAATTTCTTACACTACTGCTTTGAGCCAGAAGTACTTAGATCGCAATGCCTGATTACAGTATTACTAGATTTTCCATGTCACTTCAGTGAAGCCACAACCTATGGAGTCACCGATAGTCTTGTTGTAATCATTTTCCAGCGATGAAACGGGAGAATGCATATAACTTCCAGAAACGGCGTACTGTAACAATCAAAATCCTCAGACTCCACATGTTTAATTCATTCTTAAACTCCGAATAAGCTAGTTACCCGATTCGAATTTCTGACTACGACTCTTAACAGTATAACACCAAAATTATACCAACTTAAACATGTCACTTAAAATTGGATGCCATTTAATTTTCCTAGCCTAGTATATGCTAATCAAACACCTCAAACTCAATCTTTCTCCGATCCAAAAAATACAAATTCCGTAGATATACTCCTCACTTACTATTCACCTTTCTTCTGTGTTTTGAACCGACCGAGGAATCTGTCTCGTATACCTCTTTTTTGGTGACTCTTTTCTTGATCCTCGAACTCTTTCTTTGCCAATTCTTCTTTCTCTGTAATTTCTTTTCTCCTTGCCAATTCTTCCAAAACCCTTCTATCGCACTCTTCTACCGCCCTGTTCATCTTCTCATCATGGATTACCCTCTTCTCATCCTCAAGCTCCCACTTTGCCACAATTATCTGAAGCTCTTTGATTTCATTAAGTATCTCTTCCTCCCCTCCCCTCCCCTCTTCTGTCCTGCGTCCCCCACCGTCCTTTCATTCCCTTTTAATAGCCCCTCTCTCACTTCTCGAGTCAGCTCTCCGATTCTATCCCTCATTGCTTGTCGCTCCTTCCTCCGATTTCTTTGCTCTGTCTGCTTCTGTAACTTGTCTGCCATCATCTTCATTTGCTCCTTGTGCTCCTCTTGAATTCCTCTCGTCTCTTCCACGATGCTTGACTTTTGTTCCCTGCCACCCCTTTTCCCTTCCTGATCTCTACTCTCTTGGACCGTTTCCAGTTCGAGTGCCCTCAAGTTCTCTTCCTGTTGCTTGTGGTCTGGACACAACTTTTTCCTGTCGATCTCCTCAACATCCATCGTTGTGGTGCAAGTCCCATTTTTATTTTGCACCTTCCCAGCACAGATTACCCGTACAGCCTTACAGCAACCACACATAGAGTAAAAAGTCTTCTTGTGGTGAAACACATGGCTTCGTAGAGGCTCGAAAAATATTAACTTAGCCGCCGATTTCGTATGGCGAGTGTTGATGAAGGATTTGAGCTTTCAAGGTAGAAGCCGTTAGTCTTTAGGATTCTAGTTGTGGCTGTCTTAGTGTTGCAGAATGTTGTGTTGGATCTACGAGGAATTGGTATATGTGCTTTCACTGGGTATAGCTGGAACTTGAAAATAGATTGTGGAGGAACAAAAACAGCGGACGACTCGAACCCTTTATACCCCACCGACAGCTAATAACACTCACCAACCGACCGAGTTGTGATCAAACCACATTATCAAAGGTAAGATTGCCATGAAGCTATGACTGAATTATGTTAGTGGAAAGTTAATCGTGAGTAAAACTTACCACTACAGCTTTGATCCCGACCACCAACAGCTATAACCACTCACTAACCAACCCAATTGTGATCAAACCAGTTTAACCAGATCATGAAAGGCATGGTATCCATGAAGCTGTGACTGGAAAGTTGCATGTTAGTAAAACTACCTCTTCGCCTTGATCACGATTAAGTCGCGACTAATGTCCATGACCAAAAACTTGACTGTAATCAAAACACACCTCTATACTCATAGCCTAGAACCTATCATCAAGTCAGTACATTTCTTAATAGGTTATAGTTGCTAGAGGTACAATACCCATGAAGCTATGACTGAAGTATGTTCTGGAAACTTAATTGTGAGTAAAAGTCATCTTTACGCCTTAATCGCGATGAAGCCATGACTGAACTCTCTACATGAAGAGGTGGTCATGTTGAAAACGAAATTTTATACTCACAGCCTAGAACCTACCATCAACTCGTTAGTATATTTCTTAACAGATTGTAATTGCTAACCCCACACTGGAGCCCATACATATCCCTAGGATTATTCATCCCAGGACCCAAACCATCCAGGCTACCCCATATAGCCACATCCACGTATTCCAAATCGCATGCATGACATCTGCGTTCAAGACAATTTAAATTCACATCCCACCCTACTAACCGCTCATGAGCAAGCATTCATCAAGCTAAAGAATCTCACATTGCAAAACTCACACCATCACACACAACCGAAACAACACAATCAAATCTCAATACCACTCCTATCTCTATATTCCATAATATACACATAAACAGGTAACGACTAAAACCCGCTTCAGCATACTCCATACCTCACAATCATCGCGCCTCCTAAACTCCAATTTACCAGCCAGCAAAAACTTCGCTTTCCCAATGCAATAACCAGATCCGCCATCTCCTATTTATTGTTGTACTGAAAAGCGCCAAAGACGCCGCCTCCTCCTCCGGGAGTCAAGGGCCCGATGCCTCCTCCATTAGTATTATGAACCGGTGTGCCTGCCAGATGTGCTGGGCCCGTATTAGGCGTGCTAGGCGTGCCGTTTGCCCCGTTTTGCTGTGGCGTTGAGTTCTCCTGTAGTTGTTGATGATAGTGTTGAGGGGTTGAGAGTTGTGGAGGGGCGCCGTAATCTGGTACGCCGAGTCCCCAGACCTTTCCTACATGTTCGTCGCTAATTTCGCCTTTGAAGATCTTGTCTCTCATTCTGAAGAAACACTTTCCGGTCAGCAACGAATCGGATCCAGCTTGATGTGCGTGTCCTTGTCGCTTGACTTTGAATGCTTCCGCAAGCTGCTCCAGTCCTGATCTTTGATCAAACTTTGCAAGAACCTCAGTGGTCATGGAGTCTAGTGGCGTCATTTGACCCATTGTGTTCTGGCGAATAGCATATTTCATAAGATGCTTGATATCGTAAACGCTAGGAAAGAATTTCTTCATGAATATGTCAAACTCTGTTTCGTCGTCGGGAAGAGGTAGTCGTAGTAGCAGCTTCGTAAGATACCCGAAATCATAACCACCATGGAAAGATATCCATTTTACATCCTCGTCGCAGACCAAGCCGGAGCTGACCAACAGAGCTCCAAAATCAAACGGATCAATCCCGTCTTTATCAAGTCTTTCAAAGTCTACCTGCGCCTGCTGTAGAGCCTCTATCGATGCCTGTGCGTACATATCATCCTGTAACGAGAACTTAAAGTTGAATTGCCATGTGTGAGGTATCTCTCCAATCGTTCCCCCCCTTCGACCAGACGCTGGTAGATCCTCTGGGTTTATTATGGCTGGTGGATGTTCGCCGTCCTCGTTAAAAAGAGTGATCCCAAGTTGGATAATCTTCAGAAGGTCTACATTGCATCGCAGGCACTGGTAGTGGTAATCGCTCTTCCCGTTGAATTGACCCATCGGCCGCGCAACAACACCTGGAAACTCAGTATCCTGCTAGAGTGTTAATTCAAAGTGCTCCTGTCTCTCACACGACCCATATCTCACCATAGCAATATAGTTGTATCTAGTCACCAGATTCCGCAAGTTCCCCATCTCTTCTTCCAGATTACCTTTCCAAACTTCACGTATCCTGCCCTTATTAACAGGCCGTGGTACGGGATGCCCCATGGCAGGAAGTCCCTGCTGATGTACCGAAGCGCCTGCAAAGCTCATCTGCGCAGCTTGACTTGCCAACCCAGTGCTACCTGGCATACCGAGGCTGGCATTTCCAAAGTTTCCCACTCCTAAAGCGTTGCCATTTACTGAGAAGGGGTTGCTCATGGAATTTGCATTCATGAAACCAAGGTCTCTCCCGAGCGACGGAGGAGGTAACTGCGCGTGGCCTTGATACTGCGAGTAATGCGAATGAGACGGCAGGTTATTCGGCGCGCCGCCGAAGCGTTGCATCTGTGGAGGCATCTTGAGTTTGTGTGCTATGTATACTAGTCCAGAAGGGTCGAAAGAGGTGTACGGCTTTCATGGGCGCAGCGTGACGCGCGAGGTGAGGTTCGTAGGAGGGACGAATGTTTCGATCTTGTGGATTTGGTAAAGCACAAGTTATGTAGCGTGAAAGGGAGGCTGAGCTTGAATCGTGGTGGTCGTCTTTCTCTTTGGTGTCGTGATTGTGAGGAAGCTTCAATTCAAAGACACCTCGCTTCCGCCAAGGCTAAGGTTTAGCAGCGCCAAGCATTCGGACCTGATGCGATAGGGAGAGCTTCTCAACAACACCACAGCCTTGCGAACCAAATACACCCTTCGACATGCATTTCACACAGTGAGTGGCCAATTGAAGCGCTACGACATCTTGATGCTACATATAGGCTAACAGCTTATTCAGAATACGTCGCGCGGGTCCCCGACCAAACCTTACTGGCTTCGATCCCAAAGCATATGCCTCCGCAGCTGGTACACCAGCGAACGATCCATGGGCGAAGAGGTACACATCCTAAGCTCACCCTGTATAGCAGATGTTGACAGAATGTTAAGGGAGGCATGGCGATATACCGGCCAATTCTCGAGATGGAACCGATTTAAAGGCAGCTTCCCAGGCTTGGGCATCGCGACGGTGGCTTTTGCGGCATACTGTGGATACGAATACCTCTTCATGAACGATGATCACCACGGACACGCAGAGGGTGGTCATGGCGAAGGACATCATTGAGCTAATTGGCTGTGTTGAGGCGTTAAATGTACATATGGGACAAAATCGAAGCTGTGCTGCAACATACCTGAAGCCATAAATTGTACTCTCCATTTCGGTGCCCTTGAATGGAAGTTTCAACGTGGCTTGCCTAGTCATGGATATCAAGAGGCCAATGTCGGACAATCTAAGGATGTGATTTGTGGAGTTTGGGACGATCAGAGAATGGCAGCGAGGATATCCGGAAACCCAAACGGGCAAACACAACTGTGAAGTACACCTAATATTATACCTTTACCTAGCATCTTGTGTAGGTCACGGTTACGCGTAGAGAACCCTGTGACTCTCTATCTTATATACTACCCCAGAGTACCTTTGCTCTTTCTAACGAAGATAGAATATACCATTTCAGGCGCTTGTTTCAGACCGCATATAGGATTTACAAGTGACGCCACGCCATATGATATCGGAATTCCCAATTCCAGAATATAACACAGCACGCTTCTTCTCTTCTTGTCGACTCCTCTGTGGCGGTGCGATAAATTAGTGGGTAGTTGACAGAGTTTCTTGATCAGGGTGTAGTCGGGCGCCAAAACACGAATGTTCTTCTGACACTGTAGAGGCATCATATATCAGTCACGGATATCAAGCTACTTGGACGACGAGACAACACTAGGTCTCTCCATTCGTCCAAGAAGCCTGTACTCTTTACACCACTCTTGCCGACCTCAAGAAGCGCTGTATTAACCTCACCGTAAAGAAGCTAAAGTTTCACCTCTCCTTACAACGGTCTTGTTGGCTCATCATAAACCATAGCCGCGACATCAGGTACCCGCGCGGCAGTGGCACTAGACCTGCAATGCATATAGCAGTGACTGGATATCTGGCATGAACCACGCCACTTCAGACCATATCGTACCCACGCGTAACCTATGACTTCGTATCCTCGAGTACCGACATCTACGACTGAAACTCCCGTCCCTGACACAGCGCAGTTGACACCAAAGTGCCCGGAAATCGTCTGATACTTGACATGAGAAAAATCCCTGTTGGTCTAAAATTCCAATGAAAATTCACATATCGCAGAAAGAAGTTGTCTGGAAAACTTGCATAAAATCCTCGCTTCTAGAACCTTGGTTTCGGTCGTAATGCCGTTTGCTCCATATCCCTGTCGACCTGAACTTCAGCTCAGATGCTAACGATTGAGTCTGCTAGCAACACTTGGGAAATTGATGCAGGCATTCTTGGAGGTCGGTTGAAAAATTGAAGAATAATTGGTAATGAAGTACGGGAAATACCCTATTACGAGTTTTTTCTTTGTGGGACAGCTATAATGGTATGCTATGAAATGAGTACTTTATAATTCTAAGCAAAAATTAGTTAGGTGAGTACCGTACTTCTCATAAACAATGTAATAGAGATTTCAAGATTACATGGTCTATATTCAGCCCCGCAAAACTGTTATTAATATTTCCCTCAAAATCGTTTCTTCCTTGCGGTCACAATCTTTGTCTAGATGAAAATAAAATTTGGATTTCTCCGCAACGTTGACGAACAAAGAGCAGAGTTCTTTCGACGTTGGTTGCGAGTCATGGTTGTGCTAACTAGTGCACCACAATATCTGAGCCGCTTCGACGTGGTAATTTTTATGCTATAACTAAAATTGAACATACCACAAATTTAGCAGATTAGATGCAAAATTCCTTCCTTCATACATAATGTAGCTGTTTCATGTGACGGTTCTTATGTGGTGATACAGATGCGGAGTGGAAACCGTCAGACCAAAACGGCTGGTGCCGCCCATCAAATTCCGGCGTGTCGGTAACGAGCGGGTGGGGTTTTCCCTGCAGCCTGTGCGTCACTGGTCCTCTTGGTCACTGATCTCCCGCCCAGACGAATCTGTTTTCCAGGGTCCTCGGATCTTGCAGCGCTTGAGGTTATCCCATCCCATGCAAAACTTCTGCCCTTCTCAACAACATTCGATTTCGGGCCTCCTCTCATTTACTCACTCGATGCGGTAGCATCAGCTTGGAGGGTGGCAACTTTTTGGATAGGATAATAGTCCTCACCCCCACGGGTTTTCACGATGATGGAGGTAATGGACAGTATGCTGCCTCGCACGGCAAATACCCGCAATGTGCGTGATATGAGACAGTCGCGGAGGGCTCTAGAGCTGCGAAAGTAAGTGACACTTGATTGAGTGTGCCCAGACAACGAAGAGGGTCTTTGTGTAGCATCTTAGCTGCATCTCAGGTCAGCTGTGAGCTTTCTGGGGTACTCAATGTCTGAGACGGTTGTTTTTAAGGCGGAAGGCGATGTTCCCAAGACCTCTCTATCCACATCCAGGCGCTCTAGTGATCCTGTCTAGTCCTTATATATAGCTAACACTGCTAGGTTCTTTGCGCCTGCCCAGTTCAAAGATCCTGAGGCTTTAGGTGGCTTTAATGCTTCTATCAATAACGATGGAGCGCTGGACGCTTACGTCGAAACGGTGTTGTGGAGACTCAGAGGGACTCATGCCATGGTCAGGTTAGCAATACTCCTTCTCGAGATGCAGTCGTGTATTAACACTACGTAGTCTCGTTGATCGAGGTTCGTCATGCTCCATCACTCTTCTATCTTACACATCAGGAAACTCATGACCGTAGAAACGCAATATTTCATTACTGGCGCCACGCGACAAGCTGGCGTCGATGATGACTTGATTGTCAAAAAAGATGATTGGTTTGGTTGCTCCAATGTCAACACACCCGGTGGTTTATGTGAGGTGCGACTGAACTGTTCCCGAAGCTTGTGTCTTCATCACTGACTAGATAAGAATACACTTACTCTCAAAAATACCACCTCAAACTATCCATGTTTTATCATACAGGACTTATCAAAAGACAAAAGATTCGCTAGTTTGCCTGTTGTCGATGGTTCTGTTGCGTCTTATCGATTCTATGCTGGTACGCCCATCACCACGAACCAAGGGGTCAATATCGGAACGCTATTCCTATTCGATGAACGACCTCGTTCAGGCCTAGCCGAACATCAGCGCAAATGTCGGTAGAACACAACCTTTCAAAGTCCTTCATTCTAACCTTTCTAGTTCTTAGTAACCAAGCAACCAATATCATGAGGCATCTGGAGTCAAAACGGGAGGCCGCAGAGCGTCGACGTGTAGCATTGATGAGTAAGGGCATTGCTTCTTTCTTAGAAAGAACTATGCGACGAAAGGGTGATGTCTCCAGTTCTAGTGATGGATCGGTTGCAGAAGCAGGGACGTATGATGTGGTCGATGATGATGCCGATGGAATTGCGGCACAAGCACATGAGGCGGTAAATGTGGCTAACGACTCGATATCAAACGCCAAAAGTTCGGTATTGGATCAAATTAGGAAGACTCTTGACGATGCTGCTGATATCTTGCGCGAATCTCTTGAACTCGTAGTTGGTGGTGTAGTATTCCTTGACCCCACTATCGGCTATTCCGAGACGGGACACAACGAGGCATACCTCGACGCATCTACTGACCTTGGGCAATACGTAGAAGGCCAGGAAGCGGCCGAAACAGAACAAAATAATTCAACTGAGGACATACCGCCATCTGAACTAACATCGGCTTTTGACGATCTTTATCTCGCATCGTCAACAGTCAGGAGCTCAGTAGACAAGCACAAACCAGCAAAAGTTCAAGCTATGTCGGCAGCCCAGGTCGCCACCTGGGATCCCGAATCAAAGGTTCTAGATGGCAAAACTTTACAGACCTTAATTAATTCATATCCAAACGGTAACGTCTGGTATATGGACGATGAGGGATACTTTTCTTCTCTTGAGCAAATGCAGTAAGTGAAACTAGCGGTTGATGATCAATGAGTAGCCGGAGCTACGAATCAAAATTGTCTAACGAATCGCAGAGTCCTGAAGCGGAACTACAGCAGTCTTAACAGATCTGTTTCGCCGACTATACTGACAAAACAAAGAGCGGAAGCTATCATGCTTTCGAAAATCTTTCACGATGCCAAGCAAATAATATTCTTACCTTTATGGGATGCTGGTGGAGGTACGTATGAGTCCTGCGGTGCTTTTGCCTAGCTCGAGATCTTATAGAATAACTGCACCTATAAATGACCGCATTTGCTGACTTTCTCAAATAGATCGTTGGTATTCCGGGGTATTTGTGTGGAGTCAATCGGCCGTTCCAGTCTTTACTGTTGACTCTGAGATTGCCTATTTATCCGCCTTCACGAATTCCGTCATGGTTGAAATAAGCCGGCTTGATGCTATAACCGCGAATAAGATGAAATCAGACTTTATTAGTAGCATATCGCACGAGTTTCGGAGTCCTTTGCATGCGATTCTTGCTAGTGCCGAATTTTTAAGGGATTCGAAGCTGGATGTTACACAATTGGAGTTCGTGTCCACGATCCAAAACTGTGGCGGCACCTTACTTGACACTATGAATCATGTCCTGGACTACAGCAAGATCAACTCATTCAATTCAATCGAAAAATCCGGAAATAGCAAGGAGTCTACTGGAATCTCCAATGAGCTTTTCCAAGTTGCTAATCTTGCTCTCTTGTGTGAAGACCTGATTAATGGAATGATCGCTGGGAGCGAGTACAGTGAGCTAGCGAACGGGCATAGGGATCCCGCACTGAATCAGTACTCGGAAATTCGAAGTCGACTCGCTATTGTTTTGGACGTCGAAACTCGTAACTGGGACTTCACCATTCAAGCCGGAGCTCTTCGAAGAATAGTGATGAATATTTTTGGGAATGCGCAGAAGTATACTGATAAGGGATTTATTCAAGTAAAATTGAGGGTTCAGGACTCTTCAAGCTACGAGGGGAAGGAGTCTACACCTTCTGGGAAGTTCTTGCGACTGAACATTCGTGATTCGGGACGAGGAATGTCATCCGAATATATGGAGAGGAAATTATATCATCCGTTTGCTCAGGAGGACAGCTTTGCCACAGGTGTTGGGCTGGGACTTTCAATCGTCTGGAGCATCGTAAATCAGCTTGGGGGCAAAATCCATGTGCGGAGCGAACTCGGAAAAGGAACAGATGTGGAAGTGACATTGCCACTTGAAAAGGCAGAAGAGCCAGAAGGTCTCTCAATTGACGCTCCCGACTCGGTTTTTGCGTCTGTAGATGGAAGCAAAGTACTCTCAACATTGCGTGAACGAGCGGCGGGCAAATCAATAAGCATACTTCAAAATACCAAACCTGGAGCGGCACACAAAGACGTGTTTTGGGAGTGCATTGTTCGGTATTGCAAAGAATGGTATGGATTTGAGATCAAGCCTAGCGGTGGAGATATCATCGTGACCGATGAGCTAGACATGGAAAAGCATAACAAGGACAGCAAGATTGTCATGGTTCATAAAGGGATGATCTGCCCAATCAAAAGAGATCCTGCACAATCTTTTGTCATAGACATTTGCTGCCCAGTAGGCCCATTCAAGCTCGCGAAGATCATACTGGAGCTTCTAGATCGTCAACATGATGCCGGATCTTTTAGTCATCGGGCTGATGCTGGCACGCAAACACCGGCAGGTTCACCCGAAGAGCGCAAGATTTTGGATGGGATTATTCTCACGGATTATGGATTCCCTTTGCAATCGTTGCGGGAGGTGTTAGCCCGCGACTCCGAATCAAGTTCGAATGTGAGTACACCACCGACGGCAACTTCTACGAACCCTGCTCCGGCCGAAGATGAGACTGTTAATACTCCTGGTACGTGGGCTCTCCGATTACCAGAAGCTGTCCGGAGTAAATCGCTGTCTCCTCGACGGATAAAGGATCCTACAGCAAGTCCCGACATTCCACCTCGCGATTCTTCACTTCAATCGTTCATCAACAACCCGCCGAACCAAGTAAAACCATCTTCTCCTCCCAGATCGTCATCTCCTCAACCACCACCACGCGAACCTCTACTTCAACCTTCCATAGCAACGCCACAAACTCAACCGCAATCCGCCCCTCTTCCAGAACCCTCATCCACCCCAACATCACCCCCAACAAGCCTCCAAATCCTCGCCGTCGACGACAACGCCGTAAACCTACAACTCCTAAAACGCTTCCTCCAAAAGCGCACGGCCGACACCATCCTCACAGCCCGCGACGGCTTCGAAGCCGTCAACGCCTACAAAACCGCTCTTACCAACCCTAACCCCGCGCTCAAAACCTTCGACGTGGTATTCATGGACATCAGCATGCCCGGCATGGACGGCTTCGAAGCCACGCGCGTTATTCGGAAGTTGGAGGCGGAACGCGAGAAGAGTGAGCAGGAGAAGGTGCGACGCGCGTACGTGGTTGCGCTTACGGGATTGGCGAGTCGACGGGATAGGGATGAGGCGGTGGAGAGCGGTTTGGATGATTTTTTGACGAAGCCGGTTAGTTTTAAGAGGATTGGGGAACTTTTGGGACGGTTGGAACGGGAGAAGATTGTTAGATGTGCGGGAGTTGGAAGTTAGAGAGGAAGTCTGGGTGGGGTTCAACGTTTGAATGGGGGCAGTTGTGGAATAGTTGTTGGGCAATGAGTTGCGTGCATAGGAAAGAAGCGTGTGGATATACCGCAGGAACATGGAGACGCCCTCTGAATCTACGGTCAACCGCACATGATCATCAAACAGTTTTAAGGGCCTGCTCCACAGCCCGATCGTTACATCATTAACGCACATAAATATATCTATTGCATCTTATTAGCTTAAGGTTCAAGTAAGAGTAGGAGTAGTCGATCATCACAGCTTTAAAACTTCTTAAATGGCTAGAAATATAATGTTTAGATCAGAGGTCTATTTTTAAGAGATTGTGGCTTTTGTGAATGGTATTTATGGAGATTTTAGGTCTTTTTCTCTGATGAATAAGGAATTTAGGCAAGATGGAGGAATTGGCTGTTGTGATTGGTCGATCGAGCTAGTACTTGATTCGTTTGTTTGAACATGGGGAGGAGGTGGGAGTAGACCGTATCGCATGGTGAGAGGACGAAGGCGCAGGAAGTGTGGGATGTTTGGGAAGGGAGGAATGAGGGGTGAGATTTGGGTTGTGGTGTGGCCGGGGAGGGAGGAGGCTGGAGCGCGAGGTATAAAATCTTATTAGAATATTGTGAACTGATTTGATTGATTGCATAAGGGGATTTAGTTGTCTATGATACTTAGCACTGAAACGTAAGGATGTAGCCTTTCTTGTCATCGTCAAGTTTCTTTTTCGTACATAAGTCTGGATATACTTTAACAACTAAGGAAGTGCAGCCACACAGGTTGAATGAATGTGAGATTTGAAAGTAAGTTTGGAATTTATAAGGGGTTTGTTGGTGGAGGTTTAGGGTTAAGAGCGTTTCCAGTTTCAACCACGTACTGTTGAACTTGTAATTGAACACCAGTACTTAGCATAATTCTCTGCGTGGCCGGAGAGGACGACCAGGATTTCAGCAGCGAGACATTAACCATACACAATTTATTCCTGTCATATCATAGCTTCGGTATTCAACGAGGGTTGGCCGGGGTGTTATCTGCTTCTGAAGTCCCTCGGTGCGTAGAAAATTGTATCGGATATTGGGACTTCTCAGGGCCATGAGATATGTGCTAAATAGGATTCGCGGACTGGTCCGGACATTGGCCCTCAATACAGCCTGGACTTTGGAGTCAAACGATAATTATAATGGACACGGGTTCACTCAACCCAAATTAAAATTCAAGGTTCTAAGGCGATGAGACGTTGATTCTATAAGATTGATTTCTAGTTTTAGGAAATCTATTCTGGTTTCTATGTAGTATCGCCACGTCTAACCATCTATCTCTATATCTATATGCAGAAAACCTCAACATCTGCCGCAAGCCCTTCCTGGGCAATTCTAATTGCGAAACTCCTTCCATCTCGACGCCACACGGCCATCGAGACGTTGGGCGACACAGCGCCATTCTAGACGTCTAGCGCCCTGACAAAAATCTCTCGGGTATCATCATCAATTCATTCAATCGTTCCTAAATCCCCCATTCTGCACATCATCCGGGCCATGCGCATGATCATGCACAGCCGTATTCCCACCCAACGTCCCCTCGCTATCGCTACGTCTTGCCTTCTCGCTGCCATTACCAGGCGTTGCAATATCCTTCTCACCAGCTGTGAACTCCTCGTCTTCGCCGACGAATCCGTATTGGCGGGACATGTCTTTGACCTCCTGATCGGTAAGGAATGGGAGGTCGTAGGAGGCCTTGACGTAAGAGATGTTCTCCGTGTAGCCTTTGGCGAAGATGAGATCGATTTCTTCGAGGGAACGGCGTCGGGTTTCTGGGTAGAAAAAGTAGATGATCGGGATGAAACAGGCGTTTACGACAGCAAAGAAGAGGTAAGTTCCCCATGAGATGCTGGATATCATGACTGGTGTTACCATGACGACGAGGAAGTTGAAGAGCCTGGTTGAAGTTAGAAATGTATGGAGAGATTAGAGGTCCGAGAGCTTACCAGTTGGAGCATGTTGAAAGAGCATTGGCACGAGCACGGGTGCGTAGAGGGTTGATCTCAGCCGGGTATAGCCATGGAAGTGGCAGCCATGTTGCTCCAAATGCCATAATGTAGGTAAATAGTCCAACACCAGCGCCTTTTGCAGATGGTCCTTTGCCACCATCAGGAATGAGACAAACAAATACAAGCACCATTGAAAGACATTGGCCAACAGTTCCATAGAGGAAGAGCTTGCGGCGACCAGCGCGCTCGATGATGAACCATGAGACAGTGGCAGAAATTGAATAAACAATCATGTTTACACCTCCTAGAAGTAGTGCCAGGCTATGGTCTGTCCCGATGGACTCTTGAAACAGAATAGGGAAATAATAGATAACTAACACGTCTCAGTAGTGATCAAAAATAAAAATTGAAGGGATACCAACCTGCATTGCAGCCTCCAAGCTGTTGCGCAAATTGCGACGAAGCACCGAGGAGAAGACGGCGGAAGTGTTGTGTCTTCCCGCCCGTGAAAAGAGCGGAGTAAGGTGTCTTTCCAGCAGCACCACTAGCCTTGATGCCGTCGATGATGAGGTTGTGTTGAAGATGGACCTCCGGGTCGGTAACTTCGAGACCATGTAGAGCCGCAAGAACGTTGATGCCTTCCTCGTGCCGATCACGAGCGAGAAGCCATCTTGGTGATTCCGGTAGATACCATGTTCCAACGATAAGAATTATTCCGAAGATGATTTGGAAAGCGATAGGGAATCTCCAGGTCAAGTCATCTGGACCGTAAGAGGCGCCATAGTCGAGCCAGTAGGCAATCATGGTTCCGAACGCAATGACACCACCTTCGATGCAGATGAGAAGTCCACGGTTGCTGCTTCGGGAGCATTCCGCTTGATAAGTTGGAATTGTGGAAGTGTTCATTCCGTTTCCAACTCCAGTGATGGTTCTTCCGATGATGAATTGGGCCATTGCGTTGGATCCTTTAACTGCGCTCACTTGGACAACAACTCCGATAATCATGATAAAACCACCAAGCATCATCTGTATGGGGTCAAAATTTGTACATGATAAATTCTCATATTATGCTTACCGATCTTCGTCGTCCAATGCTATCACCGAACCATAAAATTCCAATAGCTCCTATTAAACATCCAACTTCGTAGATGGCTGTGACGAATCCTTGGTAAACGGAGTTTTCCTTGGTTTCGGGAAAGTAGTTGTTGAACGGATCTGCTGAAATGATACCAGACATAACGCCCTGATCATATCCGAACAAAAGGAAACCCGTAGTCGCAATCGTCGAGATCAGGAGTCCCAGTGGTCTTCCCATCAAACCAGCGTACGTCCGCGTTGTGGACACGCTGGCAGACCTTTGGCGCGTCATCTTGTTTATGAAGTCTTCCTCCTCGTTGTGGAAACTTATATCAATAGTGTTTCTGGCTCAGCCAACCCAGTAACCCAGATTATCAAAATCGCTCGCGTGTATAAATGGAGGGGAGAGTTCATGGGGAATTGTAATGAAAGAGCACGGGTTTTGAGGGTCTACAAGTTCCTTTATACTCTCCATGTCTCTCCATACCCACAATCCCTCCAGATTTTACGACGGTGAAGAACCATAATCCACATGTCATCTTCTCACCAAGGAACACTCTTACAACGTTGTTCGTTCGTGCCTCCGGCCCCCAGTCTAGTACCGGGTCTCAACATGAAGACTCTGAGAAACGATGTCATGTTAGCTTGATGTTTGACTTTCTAATCTTCGGTTCCTGAGCTGACTTGAGCAAATGATCGGCAATGCTCATTCGTTATCCACAATCCAAAGCACATTCAGCGACGCGGTGTCGGGCAAACAGTTTCGCTGGCTGGCATGATTGGACATCGAGCTGCTCGCTGACTAGAAGGCTCTTAAATTTCGGTTTTTATCAAGTTGAAGTGGAGAACCAATCAGCGTCTGTTGTTACTAAGAGTGGATTTAAATCGACGTCATCTGCCCGAACGTGGGGATTCAACTGCAGAACGAAAACAAAGGGACCAAACAAGGCACGCCGAGAGATAGGGTTTAGTAGATTGAACGTGAAAGCCAAGCAGCGGGAGCTCATGCTTGACCATGTCTTGACACTGCTTGTCTTGCTTCCATGGCTTGTTTCATTTTGAGCCTCAACCAGATGCCGACCGAAGAGATTTTCGGACCGTGAAAATTCATGCATATCAGAAAACTTGGCGAGCCAAAATAAAGAAAGGCCAGCAAATAACCAAAACAATTGCTGGTTTTGAGAAAGGCCAGTGTCATTGAACAGTGGGTGAAGGGACCCTTTCCCCAAATACTGATAACGATAGCTCGTTGAGGGGAGATTTGCAATGGGGTTTTGCGGGTTTCACATTCGACTCCACGATCCTCCACCAGAATTGTCTGCACCGCGACGTCAAGGTGTATATCCCCACTGAGGAATCACCGAAGGAGGTCCGAAATACAATGGAGATATTACGAAAAACATAATACAAATAGCGGTATGCTGTCATAATAATGTAGACATTGTGCTCGAAGAGAGTTCCTAATTTTGAATGTATGGCAACAAGACAGCTCGCATCCAAAAAGAATGTCATTTGAAGTAACTGAGTCAACAAATGAAGATCGAAACAAATAAGGTCAATGGCAATTACCACACTCGTGAAAAAAGCCGTTTCGACGATAAGATGCGTAAATATGAACAGTGAACTTCAACCGAATTTCTAACACCAATCAAGCTGCTCTTTTTGTTTCTGCCTGCTCATCGGAACTATGAGGCTATTGTGGATGTCCTTCGGGCTTGTTTTCTGTTTCGAAGTTTCGGGTTCAAATCCGCCTTGCGCTCGGGTTGGAGTCCGTCTTACGCTAGATGCCACAACCGTGACAGCCGTCCGAATATCATAATCGCTGCTGGCGGTAAATGAAGCAGCCAGGCATCATTGCTGCTCTCATCATCGAATGTGTGGATTGCATTTGGACGAGTGAGACAGGCGAGGATTGGAAAGTTGGAGCAGATGAAATTGTGCGGCAGCGTTGCAGAAGATAAAGCGCAAATGGAAGGACAAACGAAGTCTCACGTGATCCGTAATCTCTTAACCATGGTGACTCTAAAATATAGTGGATTTCGAGTATTGTGACCGGGAAACAAACGAGATGGAGAGAGCGCTTTACATTGATTCATTCTTTCCGTATGAACGTCTTAGTTAGACTGAAGCAATCGTTCATCAACACGTGATGTTGACTGACTCGAATCAATCATTTCGCAACATGTACATGACTTACGCCTACCACTCCCCCGACAAGAATCAGATGAGACTCATCGAGTACTCGTACTGAAAAGAAAGTTTTGTTGCATGTCGCTATTCAAACTTTGGTATCGCAATTAAACATAGCTTGAACCTAGAGCGGCCAGAGTTTTAACCAAAGTATGTTATACCCTCATCCACGTCCTAAAAACTTTGGTACGTCGGGGTGGCGTTGTGACTAAGGAAGTATTATTGAAAATTCGCGCCGAACCGAAATGTTGAAGAAAGGTTTTGAGCAGTCTCGGAATGTTCAATAGAGGTATGGAAATATCCGCGACAAGGAATCAAAATCAATCCAAAAATATGAGTACTGGTGCTCTTCATCACATATCATAAAATTTAGCCGAACCGAATGTTGAAGGTTCTGCTATTTTTAGAATTTTGGTCATGCTTTGACTTATGCTTTGACTTATGCTTTCCACGAATTACGAAAGTTTGGTAGAGGCCGTTTCAAGATCACATGAAATAAGCAAACTCTAAATAACATCACACGTGGAGGGCGTGGACCAAAGCAAGCCTGCCACGAATTTAATATGGCTGTGCGTGCGGATGTGAACCAGATCTCTGGGATGCGAAGTGCAACAAAATGCGCTTTGGTTGTGAGTTTCTTGGTCAAGGCGCTGAGGTGAGTGGTTGTAGGAGTGTGGAGTTGGATAGGTACATGTGCTGATTATTGATATTATGTGAGAAGTTTATTGGAATCTCTGCCTCTGATACACAAGATGTCGTATCGAGTACAAAGGGAAAATTCATGACTCCCAAATCTATACCCATGACCATACTATACCGCATTGGCAAAACAAAAATCAAACATGTTGTCACTATGATTCTCCTCCTGAAAATCATAATTAGGCGCAAGCGCCGCTCTCGCAACTTACAACATTGTAGCACCATTTAACAAAATAAAAATAATATCTCACCTCACAGCGTTCTTTGTGTCACAAGGGTTGACTGCACAGGCGTCATTACGTACAAATCGCGATGCGTTTTTCAGACTCCATCTTCTCACTCCAAAAATTCTCTTTGCACACAAAACGACAGAAAGTAAAACTTCATTCCAAATCAATTTCAAATACCACGAAATGCAACAAAGTAACTCTCCTTCCCCTTTCATAACTGATCTTCCCTTACACGATCCTCTGGTAAGCGAGATGCATGACATATTGCACCAAGCGAGCCTCTCACAACACTCTCTCGCAAAAGGGCTTTCCGTATTCGAAGTATTTGAAATAAATTACGAAAAGTCCGACTTGCAACAAAACACCTCTTTGGTCTTTTGTCACGTTGACCGCGAGAAATATCACAAATACGTTGGTTGGAGATTGGGGGTGAGACGGCGCTAAGTATAGGTAATTCCAAATCACCTAACGACCTTGGTTTTTGGCGGCTGTGACGCATTCCAGATCGAGCGATTTGCAACAAAAAGCTGTGAGGGTACTTCGATCTTTGGGTGAATTATTGCGGGGTCTGGAATACTAAAGCTACGATGTGATGCAATGCAAATATTGCGAAATGCAACAGAGGTTCCCTTTATGGTGTCATTCCAGCTTATAGAAACCTTCTGTGACGCAGTTGGGACGCTCCGATATGCAACAAATGATGTTGACGACGTAGTTTGGCGTGAATGGATAATTTCAAATGCCTCTCTTGACAGACTTCTCCTTTGGGACTGAATTGTGAATTTTCGCTTATAATCTCAATGTCAGCTATTCTGGGTTTGGTGAATTACATGGACTAAAAGATGAAGATAGTGATAGCATAAATATCCTAATGACGCATTAGGATGTGCGACTTGCAACAGATATTGGAATATATACTTTCTGGGGTGGTTGACAGCTTAAGGTTGCAGTTTCGTAATTCATCACATCATCAAATCATGACATAAATATATCTGAGAGGAGGAAAAGTGGTAATCCAAGCCTGCCTAAATGTGTATGACGAACTTCGAAATGCAACAGATTACTCGAAGAAGAATTTGGTTTAGTCGAATAAGCTTGATTTTGGTTGCTTGGGCGGTTGGGAAAAGGGGCTCGGCTCCTGGGATGAGGCGCTTACCGAACGACCTCATGTCCAGCTACAGTATTATCATTTAAATGCGTAAAATTATGCGATGTAACATGTTTTCAATCTCGGATTGGCGGCAAATTTTCTATAATATTCTTGTTCCATGTTTCGGGTTCAAAAGACTCTAATATATCAAATACTCGATTCATTGCAAACACATACTGCTTCCCATAGAGAGGAGGCGAGTCACATGATTTGTGCAGCCGCTTATCAACATCAAACGACAGCAATGTGCAAACATCGCAGGTCGCTAGATAATAAAAACCTGACTTTTTATCATAGACACGGTTCTCAGACAAAACTCATTATCAATCTTTTAAGCAATCCGCCTTGTTTACAGAATGATATTGTAATGCTTTCGCACTGGAGACGTATTCTTCTCTGTCCCAAAACCCAGGGACTGAAAAAGCGATTCACAAAATCATTTTGTATAGCATAGTCTTGTGAACTTAATCCCTCTTTGAGTCTATTTTCGTATCAGATACGCCAGTTATTGTTGTGGGAACTGCCTCCGTTGCTCCGTAATGTTCCTGCGAAATCTCCCGATTAAACGAAAAATCACAACCAACGCACTCCAGTGCCGAAAGCAAGCTTTTAAGGCTCCAGTGTTGAAACCAAACCTAATTCGTGCTGGAATTCGAATCCAGTAAGTGATCTCTCGGTATACTAGTCTAGTGTGACCCCAACCCCGCATTACCCCGCTGCCAATGTATACACATCAAGCTGCAGTTTCACAATGTAGGAAGAGGTAGAAATTGAGGTGCATCTTTTTACATCTCTTTCCCATAATTGAGGAAACAATACTAGAAATAGTTAATCAATCCGGACTGAAACCGGTCAAAGTGACGAACTCTCCAATTCCACCACCATATCTGGAAACACCAAACCTTTAATTCAATATGGGAGAAATACACAGCTTGAAACCAGAAAGCGTCGAGGCGATCAAGAAGAGTAATATCACTTACCTGCCATTTCCATCATATCAATTAACAATGAATTTTAGCAATTGACGCAGCGACAAGTGCTACCCCAGGTCCAACCACAGCAGCAACTCAGGCCAAAATCCCGGGTACAGTATTCGTGGCAATCAACAAGAATGGAGAAGAAATCTTCTCTCATGCCAGCGGGAAGAAAGGTGTCGACGGCCCAGGTGAAATGGATTTGGATACCATTTTTTGGATTGCAAGCTGTACTAAGATGATTGTCGGTATTGCTTGTATGCAACTTGTTGAGCAGGGTAAATTCAAATTGGATGATGCCGATATTGTTGATAAGGTGAGTTGGGACTCATAGTTTCTTAAGAGAAGGGATGGAATAGTGTGAAGCAAGTGATCGTTCGGCCAATACTGATCATATGCCTCGATAGTATGCTCCTGAACTAAGAGATATGAAAATCCTTAAAGGCTTTGATGAGACGACTGGTGAACCAATCATGGTAGCGAAGAAAAATAGGATCACTTTGAGAATGTTGTTGAGTCATACTGGTAAGCAACCCTTCAAACAAATCAAAATATCGCTGAATTAAGAGGTTAACAATCCGGCAGCTGGGTTTGGCTATACCTTTTTCAACAAGGAAATCCGACGGTTGGGCATGCCAACAGGAATCGATGAGTTCTCTGGTCGATTTGAAGATATGACTGCTCCTCTGTTGTTTGAGCCTGGAACTAAATTTAATTACGGGGTAAGTAAATTCTACCTGAACTTCCCAGACTGCCGTCGATATATATATCTATGTCATTAAGCGAGATCGAGAGTAAGATTTTCGTGTCTAATGCATATCTAGACAAATATCGACTGGGCAGGTACTCTGATCGAACGAGCAACAGGAAAAACCCTCAACGGATACTGTCAAGAGCACATCTTCACACCTCTCGGCATCAAAAACATCAGTTTCTTCCCTTCCCCCAGCATGAAAGGTAAACTAGCACACATGCACCAAAGATATCCAGACGGCCATCTCACAGTACGAGAACACCTTCTCCGAGCCCCCCTAGTATCATCCCCTCTCTTTTCACCAGACCAAAAAGGCCATCAAGACCCCGAACGAACGATCTTCAACTCCGGCGGCGCAGGATGTTTCGGCTCCCCTCGCGAGTACGTGAAGATCATTGCAATGTTCTTAAACGACGGTACATCTCCTGAGACCAAGAAGCAGATTCTGAAGAAGGAGACTGTGGAGGAGATGTTCAGTAATCAAATCCCGGATATGCCTGATTTTGGCCGTGAGCCAATTTATCCCGCGACTCCAGAGCTGAGCAATCAGATTGCTGAGTTGTATCCGCAACCTAAAGAGCAGGCGCAAGGTTGGGGATTGACGTTCATGTTGACCATTCATGAGGGTGCTACGGGGAGAGGAAAAAATACTGGATGGTGGGCGGGATTGCCGAATTTGTTTTGGTGGGCAGATCGCGAGAAGGGAGTTGGTGGTATGATTGCTACTCAGATCGTTCCTTTTGCTGGTAATTTACTCTCTCAGAAAAACACTCGCCTTACGCAAGCTAATTATTCTACTTTTTAGATCCGCAGGTCATGGGTCTCTGGGCTCAGGTGGAACATGCGATTTACCAAGGTTAGGTAAAGCCCCCATTGTCGTTGCTGTATACTATGACCAGGAGATTGAACACGACCTTTAGTAACTTCTAAGATAATTTATACAAATACCTCACACTTGCATAATGCAAAGCAAATCGGCTGGATTGATTAACAAGGGAACTGAATCAGTCTTTCTAATTGTAAGGATGTAATTTATGTATTTTCACGGAAATCAAAAGCTCAGGTACGACTATTTTATTGTTGCAAATGCTCTCTTTGGATAACACTGTCGGCTAAGTATCTATTTTGCCGTCCGAATACTGCCTTGACGTCAAAGTCAGTGCTGGACTTCTTAGGGATGTACAGTTTGTTGCCTGCATTGCGGGCTCATACCACGTTCAAATCCGGGCTTTTCCGGTTCTTAACGACACTGATTTCCCGTCCTGGATCTTATAATCCCGAGGAATCTCGTCAAGCGATGGGCTGAAGCCTGTCCAGCCCTCGTATCCCCAATCGCTGTATTCAGATGCCCGAATTCTCGGCCCTTTCGGAGGATTGCCGGGATTTTTGCAGAATCTCCGTTGTAACCCTTCCGTATCCAGGTCCTTGTCACAAACGAATTCAGATTGATCTTGTTCAAAAGCCGCAGAGATAGCGCCACGTTGAAAGACAACTTTAGTCCCCTTCGAGGAATTCTGAAAGTGGCGGAGCCATTTGAGATCTTTTGGATCCTTTCCGTCCCCCAAATCCAGCCAGCGGGTAATGATCATTGCATTACAATGCTCACAGCTTTTGAAATCTACCCGGAACTCTGTGTGGCAATAGTCGCAGGAAACGATACCCTGCTTGTTCTGGTAGTTTTGTAGGCCCTTTGAATATGGAATGTGAATGCCAGCTTTGTGTATAGATTTCATTGTCTGAAAGTTGTAGTGCGGACATACAGCTAGACGAGGGGGGTAGATGTGGTATTTATTTGGAATAGGAAGAGGCCAAGAAGTGGGAACTAGAAAGACTTTCTGCTCGCGAAACAGAAGTACCCCATTCCGTACTTTCACCATAGAGGTACGCCGCTGTCTATGTCCATAACTGGCAAATTCTTCTCTGGAGGATAAAACCCCTAAATGTTTTCCGTTGTCGAGACCTTGGCTATGCAATTTCATAGTCATTCGAAACACAGTTGGAGAGAAGTTGTAAGATAGCCACTGAGCAGCATCATATCGACGGTCCTCATACCAGCACAGTCTCGGTCGGTGCTGTTTCGGTGGATGACTACCCAAAACCCTCTCCCAACTTATCCATGGCAGACGGTGAGCTACTTCGGCGAACATCAAGTAAAATTTCATGCATGATGGACATAAAATATGTGTGGGTAAGTCTCTCTCTAGAATATGAAGAAACTTGTTAATCACGCTTTGATCTGCTCTTAGTAATGATTGCGAGTACTGCAGCGCCAGACGTGTATATAGAGTTTTACATGACAGGCCAAGACTCAAGACGGCTTCATCTGGGAGAAGATCCGTGATTTGCAACAGTAGCTCGTTTGGTAACTGCGATAGTAGCGGCGGTGTTGTGTCTGCATCGGGCTGAAGCCTGTCAAGGATCGAAGATTTCGTACTCTCTTCGTTGTCGTTGCGGATGCCTAACATCTTCAATTTCGCGAGGACGAGCTGTGCAATGGGCATCGTAAAGATTGATTGGTGATGTTTTGCTATGCGAATATGGTTGCTGAAAAAAAGATTATAGGTTGTCTCAAAGGCAAAATAAATAGTGGTTTACAAATAACCGCACTAACCTGTTCTGTTCACAAAATCTTGTTCTTTTAGCAGTCGGGAAACTCTGAACTGCATGTGAATAGCATCTCCACTTTGCACCGATTTTTACATATACCGCTGAATCTGTAAGCTTCTACATAGCCACCCATGACACTTTGCTGAATTTCACACCCAATTTCTTTGTGAGTCAAAATTCACCAATCGCCATCTTGCCTAGGCTAAGAGGTACCTCTTTATAGACAAATGAAGTTGTAATTGGCTCGTGATCTACCTATAGAGTAATTCGGAGAAGATAATCTGGGGCTAGAAATTCATTAAATTGACGGAAAGTGAAGTTAAATTCCTCAAGCGAATTATTTCGCCAATGAAGTGACTAGATTTACTGCACTGTACAATTACACTAAATATATGAAGTGGATTCGAATTCTCGATACACGTACAATACTCTTTTCGACGCTGACAACAGTACAGACCACCTCATGAAGCAAGGAAATTACGGATTTCCACAAGTCACCAGATAGAAACATTAGCTCCTAACGTTACAGTGATGCTAATTTGGATGATACTTGATACTCAATCAACATGGTACAAATTGTCCTGGTGCCAAAGTTGCGGGTCTCTTTTCTTTTACACCACAATTCGATACTAGGAGGCTGGAATTGATACGTTTATATAAATAAAATGCTTGGAAGGAAAAGACTCTTCATCGTGTTCAGTCTCATGCAGAAAGAGCACACTTGTTCATCCAACATTAAGCGCGCGCTTAACAGACCGCTCCTTCATTTGAATTTCAAAATGGTGACGAGAACAATGACAGCAATATCTTAGAGATGGCTTGACTAACCATAAGATCGACTACTGCTCAAGACGATTGATCCCACCAACTACCATCGTCTCAGTTATACAAAGCCTCCTAGCGATAAACATGGCCCTCGCAAGCAGGCGCGCCGAATGGGAAAGAGGTCTCAGCAGCTATTACATTACAGGATCCTGTTTGGAGGTGAAGATGGTTACGATTTTACCGTCATGTGCAACACGAAAATCTTCATCGTCACCGTGAACGTCAAGCCAGAGAATATGAAAACAAACAAATTGATTGCAAAGTATGATCAAGAACTACTTGCTGATGATGATGAATCACTGGACTTTACCCAATTCCAAATCCTTAACATCCTCGATGAGGCTGGGTGGGAAATCTTTGCTACAATAGCTCCCACAGTTGAGAAGGGGTCCCAACAACCTTCCCAGGATCTGTATGCCAGCCTCAATTCCGAAAAATTCTATTTTGAATATCACGAAGATAATGGACATGCCTCCATTAGATCAAAGCCATCACAGCCCAGATTCGCCAAGGATCTCAAACTCAACAACTTTTTACACTTGCCGCACTACTCGGTAAAAGAGGTGGTTGTTCTCGAGAAGATCTTTGCTGGGCTTGGCTATATAGCCAAAGTCTCGCTCAACGGCCAAGAAATGTGTTGCAAGTGTGTAAAGCCCGATACAATAAAGGCAGTGCAGAGAGAATACGAATGTCTACAGAAGGTGGCGATGTCCAAGGTCGCCCCGGGTGTCCGAACACCGAAACTCCTAGGCTTTGTAACGGATGATAGCGGCGACGTGGTGGGCATCTTGGAAACTTTCATACCTCATAAGCAAAACCTCTCGAAAATAGAAGGAGGTATCAACGGTATCCCCGAAGCGCAGCGACGAGAGTGGGCAAGACAAATCAAAGACACGATGGAGACTTTGCATAATATTGATGTTATTTGGGGAGATGCGAAAGCACAGAATGTTCTCATCCATAGTGAGACAAACGCTTGTTACTTGGTGGATTTTGAAGGTAGCTGGACTAACGGGTGGGTGGATGAAAATTTGAAGGAGACGCGACAAGGAGATGAGCAGGGCTTGAAAAGAATTATTCAATATTTAGGACTCTGAAATTGTATCCAATGCTCTTCTCTTTAAGTTGCAAGATAATTTCACATACGAAAACAAAAGATCACAGAATAGACCTCACATAGTCCTTGAAAAGTCCACACTCAGTGATGTAAGAATTGGCAGACATCGATCGGAATATCTAGACGGCCTCGAGAAGCAGCAAGTTCAAACATTGCTAGATCAGCTTGATCATGAGCGCAGGAGGCAATGGCAGAGGAAATCTTTTCCATATGTCTTTTGACGCAGTCCTAGCACAGCGGGAACTCTATACAGGCGCAAAATCTTAAAGGAATACATCCCATAATCCTCATGCCTCGCAATGTGGCAAATGTAATGAATTATTGGATGGGATATCTCTTACATAACCCACTTATGTATCTGGGCTAACTCCGAGTGGTGCAACGCTCGGCCACGCGACTTCCACGTGCTTTTCAGCGATCGACCTTCGTAGGCAACCAACAATTGGCTCTCATGCTTTGAAATCGCGTGGGAGAAACGTGTAGAAAATAGCGATTTGCAACAAAATTAATATGCCCAAAAGCAGCATGATTAAAAAATAATTGCGCAGCAGAGACAGTGAAAAGAAATCCCACACTCAGGCGTCCGCTTCCGGTCAGGTCATCGCTAAGCGAGCATGAGGTTCCAAGTGTTCGGGCGCGAGTTCTAGGAATGCACTTTGCCGTTCGTGACTGCAAAGACGCGATTCGGATGAGCCGGCTATTTTTTTTCTTAAGCCATATCTGGAACTCTATTAATGGTAGTAGTTGGGTGAACAGTGGTCTACCTACCATGTGGCGCAGACAGATATTGCTGTATAGCTTGTCGAAAGACTTCGCTGGGTTCTTAGGTCATTTTAGAGATCCAGGTGGAATATTTTCGACAATTGGGCCATGCAATGTGCAAAAACCATCTTATCGTCTTGCTTTCTTCTTGTCTGGCCCGTCGTCTTCGTCATCGCTGGCTTCGCGATATTGCGTTACTGGCTGTGTCTCTTTCCATGCGTTTGTAAAGATTGGATCTTTTTTAGCCAATTCGGCATACTTGAGCAGCGCCTCTCTGGGATCTTCGTCGCGCATACTACTCAGTGGTATACTCTCGTTGATATGTTGTTCATCTGGCTGAGACTTCATAAAAGGCGTAACCATTGGTATTTGCGGCCTACGTGGATCGCGCGATCTGCCCGAAGCTGTCAGGCCGACAGTGGGATGACGCGCTGCAAAGGATGTAGAGCTTGCGGTTGTCATGACCCCGCCAGGAGTGATGATGCTATCGCCTGAAATGCCAGTAGACTGATCAGTAGTAAAATTAGGGTCATCGTCGACGTGTCTTTTCTTTGGTGCACGAGACATGACATCGACAGCACCTCGAGATGAGGTATTTGGATTATAAAGAACGTGAACCTCTGAATTTGTGGATCCAGTGATTATTTGGTTGAGTTTCGGATGCCACTGGACAGTAATAAGCGGCGACCCTGGGGTCACTGGGGTCACAAGCTCTGCTTTGAGATTTCCAGGATTCAGTATGTGGAGGTGGCCAGATGCGGATCCGGTGAGGATGCTGGATGAATTGGGGGAGTATTTGATGTTCGTCATTGTATAATGATCTGATGTCGATGGATGAGACACTGTCACGACTGGCGCCTTGAACTTTCGGGTATCCCAAAGCTTTATAAGATTGTCTCCGCCCCTGGTAACAACCATACGTCCATCAGCACTAACATCAATGCCGCCAGTCCAAGTGCTAGGAGTGTGAGCTTCTCTAATTTCGGCCGCTGGTCTTGCGAAAGGCCCATCACCGCTCCACATCACGAGGCTTCCGTCAAGGGCGGCGGCTACCAGAATGTTGTTTCCTCCTTGCAATGGACTTCCCCAGACGACAGCTGTCATCCGCGTTCTACCTGCTGACCCTGCCGCTCTCGACTTATGGACTATGACCTCTTTTTGACTTCTTCGGTGATTGATGTCCCAAATTCGCAGAGTACTATCGGTGCCGGCAGTAACGCAAATGTCCTTGTTGACAGGATTCCATGTACCAGTTGTTACTTCAGAGACGTGCCCTTTTGTGTTGTTCATATCCCTTAGATACATGTCTCCTTTCACAAACTCTGCCAGAACTTCTCCATCTCTGCTCATTATCTTCGCTTGCGGATGGGCCGATACACAGAGAAATGAGCCGCCGTACGAAGGATTGAATTCGACATGGTTGATAGGGTGTGTCTCTGAATGTTCAGATGATTTTGATGCGCTTGGGTCGACGCTCTTGAAAGCACGCAAGGTCGTCGGGGTCATGGATGCGAAATCATGCAGCTTCAGAGTGCAGTCTGTTGAGCCACTGATCAGTCTTGAGCCGGAAGGATCCAGAGTCGTAGTGGTTACCGCGCGATCGTGTGTTTTCAAGACCAGTTCGTGGGAGACTGGATACTCGTCATCCTCCGACGAGTCCGAGTCATCCGAATTGCTATCATCGTCCGACCCATAGTCTTTGGATGCTGGCTCTTGTGCTATGCGCGATGTCTGTCCCTTTCCAACGTGTGCTGCCACTGGTGTTTTCTCGATAGGTCGTTTCGTTCGGCCAATTTGCGCGGCAACGTCCGCCTCTTTGGTCTTCTTTCCGAAAGCTTGAGGCAAAAATGCTCTCATGGGGTCATCGGCGGCCAGCTCAGGCATTTCAACCTCGAAGTCCTCATCGTCGCTCATCTCGGCCGTCAGGAACAAAATTGTTGTTATTGTTGTTGGAGACGTGGATGGAGCGTTAGAGCTAAGGTTAAGGTTAGTCGGGGTCCTGGGTCTTTGCCGAGATGACGATGTCCTGCATCAAACACCAAGAAACATTTCTTTCGTTATCACCACAAGTACCACCACAGGTATCTACACGACAACAAGAGTCACTCCTGGTGCCATATGAGGCTGTTACTATATATGTGTTATCTTCTTCATTTCTAATGCGCTCGCAGTAATTCGAATAATTGTAACTCCCGCCGGGTTGTGCTCCGCGATGATATGAAGGCGTGAAACCTTGCACTACCGCCCGATCCGACCCACGATATACACTGCGCACCCGGATTCCAATTCTAAGAAGAGCATTCAGTCGTCGAGATCCTCATCTTCCGGCATGCCTGCACTATCGTATATCCAACCCGCGACAATCCTCGGCGGTGGGGAGACGCAACTGCAGAGATGGTCATCTTTGATTGGTATCGTCACGGCAATTATCGGGAATATCCTCATATCTTTCGCTCTGAATATTCAGCGATACGCACATATTCGACTTCATGATGAGAAGGCACGACGCAAGGAAAGAGCAAAGAGTGCTGCGAAAGGCGCACAAAGTGGCTATGGAACAATTGGGCGCGAAGGCGAAAATGCGAGAAATCCTCAAAACGATGAACCAGCGAATGGAGACGGAGAAGATCTTTTGCAGAGCTCATTCCACTCTTCAGGCACAGACAAATCCGACAACTCAACCTGCTCAAAACATGACACAACCCAAGTCCAGACCTATCTCAAGTCGCCGTACTGGTGGGGAGGCATTATTCTGATGACAGTGGGGGAAGCGGGGAACTTTCTTGCATATGGATTCGCACCCGCCTCTATCGTATCGCCATTGGGGGTCGTGGCATTGATATCGAACTGTGTTATAGCACCTATCATGCTAAAGGAGAGATTTCGATTCCGAGACTTTTGCGGAGTGGTTGTCGCTGTCGCTGGGGCGGTCGTTGTCGTCCTTAGCGCGAAAACGCAAGAGAAAAAGTTTGGCCCGCATGAGATCTGGGGTGCTATTACAAATTTGGAGTTCGAGATTTACATGAGTGTCACTATATTTTTGATTGCGGTTCTTATGTGGGCAAGCCCTAAATATGGTAACAAGACAATCTTGATAGACCTCGGTTTAGTTGGCCTTTTCGGTGAGTTTCTTGAATATTTTCGCAGATTAGCGTTTAACGATTTCCAGGCGGCTATACGGCATTATCCACCAAGGGAGTAGCATCTATGCTTTCTTCAACCCTTTGGAGAGCTTTCACAACGCCGGTCACCTATGCATTAATAGTCATTTTGATCGGGACCGCAGTGATGCAAGTTCGGTATGTCAATAAGGCCCTACAGAGGTTTGACTCAACGCAAGTGATTCCAGTTCAGTTCGTGATGTTCACACTTTCAGTCATCATTGGGAGTGCAATCCTGTACAGAGACTTCGAAAAGGCCACGGCGGACAGTGTGGGCAAATTTGTTGGCGGGTGCCTCTTGACGTTTTCAGGAGTTTACCTCATCACCAGTGGACGCCACTCTCAGGATGATGAGAATGACGAGGATAACGAGTCAGACGAAGGAGGTGAAGAACGGATTAACCTCATTAACCATGATCCGACGGACTCGGAGACAACGCAACAGAAGCGCGATTTTGGCTCCGTTCAAGATTCAAATGGTCTTGTTCAAAACGGCGATGGCAGTTATGACGATTCAGAATCAAGGAGATCATCTCGAGTTAGCTTTGCTGGATCTTCTTCGCGACCACGATCACCAAAAATGTATTCTAATTCATCAAGACTACCCATGTCGCAATCTTCAGGTGGGAGTAAGGACGGGAAAGAAATACCACGTCTTCAGAATCCTTGGAAAACTTCGAACGAAGAACTTTCGAGACATCCCGGACTACCTAGTTCGTCTTCTCAACCCGTGCTACCTACCGAAGCGCAAACATCACTTAACGATCACTTGAAGCCGCCCCCACTGGGACGGCCATCTTCACAAGGAAACGTACATACACATCCAAATCAGCAACAGCACCCAACGCCACCGCAGCCTGACAGGCCAGCTACACCAGTTGCGAGGCATTCAATAGCTCGCATGTTGCCAGGACCTTTTATCTCACCTCTATCGGGAGGTTTGAGTGTGGTGGTTGCCGACACTTTGAGACGAGGGGTAGATTCGTCTCGGGCTAGACGACCGAAACTTGGTATTCGGAGGTCAAAGTCTGGGTCTCAAAGGCTTTCGCATGGAGCTAGAGTTGAAAGCTACTATGATGAGACGGGCACGTCACCCGCGAAACCAATCGACCCTGACAATATCAGTAAATCATTAGACAGTGACGGGGGAACTTGGTCACGAGTGACAAGATCACGAAGCTTAAGCAACACGCTTGGGGATCTGTTTCGTGGGAAACGTCAACGATTGGAGAGTCGAGATGGGCAAGGAGATGAGGAAGCGGGTCCAAATGGATCCTGAACTGTATATTTGTCCTTGTATAATGGCGTCAAATGATTTCGGTATAGCATTGGATTGGCGTTTAGATGGACCGAGATTGTCTCATCTCACATGATTATATTGTTCAAACAATTGGGCTCTTGTATTTATCCTAGACGGATCTCATTGTCGCTAGGCTAGTAGTTCTTGGGACATGCATGCAGGATTGTAATATGAGAAATTAGTTCTAGTAATAATGCAGATAGAAAAGTTCAGATAATCTTCACACTATTCTCCATCAATGGTCGTTGTAAGGACATGCAGTAACTCAACGGATGGTGCTAGCGAGCTCACCTAAAGTGACTCTTCGAACCTTCTTAAGCGGGAGACGGGAGATACGAATCACAGCTTCTCGACAAATTGAACACCCTACTTCGAGGCTTGAATATATCTGTTGGATTCCCATTTTCATTGGGATTTCTGCTAACCCCGTGATTGTGAATTCCACTCCCGCTCCACCTCGTCGCCCTCCCAAACTCCACAGCCGAATCAGACGCAACAAATTCTTCCCTAACTCTCACCTACATTCTGTTGACTATAGATACTAAGTCGATGATATTTCTGACCAATCAGCGGCCAGATGGCGGAGTGGTTATCGCGTTAGCCTAGAAAGCTAATTCCTTCGGGAGCGCAAGTTCGAATCTTGTTCTGGTCGATTGTTCTTCTTTTGCTACTTCTTGCATATACCAAGTTTTTTGGGAACATATTTATGTTCTCAGCACATTTATCTGAAAGCCAAGAGAGATCTTTGGGGGCCGTTTTTATCTGTATCGTAGTTAAGTGCGTGCGATGGTGGATCCTAGTTGAGATTTACACAATTTTCTCGCTTAGGGACCTTGCAGTGCCCAGGTGTAACCAATTGTGGATGTCGTACCCCCCTTTTTGGCCTCGCTAATCTACCTGCAGGGGTTGGTCAACTATTGGGTGCTGAGCAAAAAGTCAACCCTGAATCAAACAACTTCAGCATCACAGTCACTACAAATGATGCTGAAAATGCGTTCGATGCTAAGGATATTTGATTGCTAGATGTAAAAGAGCTTAAATCCGCCACAAGCTGACAAACTAAATCCCCATTTTCGGAACATCTCTTATGCTCAGGGTACACCGGTAGCTATAGTCTCGTCACAACGCCAATCGACAACCTCATGTTGTGTCTCTCAAAATGATCCTCTCATACTAGCAACTATGATTATGGAAACTTATCACCATTTCCCATACCTATTAATTTTGCCATCGATCTTGTTCCAAGGAACTTGTCCTTCACAGGAACCGCGCTTCTCGCTTTTGACAATCAAATTGAGACCTTCAAGAGCATCATCCAAGAAAATCTGGCCGCATATCGATCTGCCGTGCCCCCGATCATTGTTTGGTCTAAAGGTGCAGTCTGCCCGGAGGTCCCAGAGAGGTTGTCTCAAAGCATTACAATGAGACTCCACCGCTACGTCCCGCTGTTCCAATGTTAATATCTGCATGGTATTAATAGAGTTGAAAACATACGTCGTTGCATAGAACAATACTTGCTTGATCATAGCATGCAATCTTGGAACAGGTCTTTGGCTGCTGCTTACAAATTGGGACGAAATGATCAAGCACAAACATCGCATTAGTTGCTGTATACCAGTCGGCGTTTTTCCAATCATAACCTCCCATTCCCACCCCTCCGCAGCAATGAGTTTTTTTAACCTATAATATCTCATCAGATATAGGAAGAAGAGAATGGAATAGGAGTCAGACCTCAGGCTCCGTGGCCTTGCCTTTCATTCCAAAGGCAACTGGTTCAATATCATCGGGCTCTATATCTTCAAGTTCAACATCATCATCCCGCTCAGATAAAGTAGGATGTTCGGAAATGTCGAATTCTGGATGAATTTCTTTCATTTGCTGAAGCATTTCTCCGACTGTACCTGTGAGAGATACGTTATGGCCGCCGAGTGGACCGTCATACTGGAAAGGAACGAGAGGGCATGGAAGGTCTCTTGTCTCTAGGTATGGCAGACCGATGGTGAAGCGCACGAGACTACCCAAGCTGATAAAAATGGAGCCAAGATGCATTGTGGTGGCACAACAAATACGAAGAGCAGAGCTGACTAAGGGAGTAAACTGAGAGGTTTAGGTAAATTCTCAGTAGACGTCAGTAAAAGTTTGTTGATATGTTCCGAAGTTGAAGTAGGTGTTCTCAAATCTCGAATATGTTGTCAGAAGAGAAATTTTTGGGGAAGAATGATACGTTGAGATAAATATCTAACATAATTAAGATGTAACCTATTGCAGTCAGTCTTCTCATTTACTGTGGCTTTCTCATTACAGTCACCCTTTTCAGTCACTGGATAAACTCGCTACAGAGCCAAAATTGCGCAAAGCAGTCCCAATATGGTCTGTCTGCCTTACTGATAACTTACAACCAAACAGCCCTGAATCGCTTGATCATGTTGCAGACATATTGGGAGGGTCGGCAGTCAGTCGGTCTATCCTCATCCTAAAAGAACAGCATTCATTAAAACGACTTTTACAAACAAAGACATATTCATGAAGAAAGCGAAGGTCTCGTTTTTTGACTCCCGCTACAGGCTAGACTCACCTGGCTCTGGAGTACTCATGACATCACTGAATCACCCTAGGTATTCACCTTATTCCAGTACATCTCTTATCTTAAAGAAAGGTGACAGTAACTCACAGGTATAGCAACTAGATACATGGGCGAAGACCATACAATTTCATGTCATTTTGTCGTGGCTACCAGTCTACCAAGTGCAACAATTTTTCCACAACTGTTGGTTTTAGCTGCTTATACAATATCTTCAGTAACACAATCATCGATCTTCAGTACGATCTCAAATAGGACCGCAGAATAGATGAGCATGCTAGAGCGCACTATCTCTAGATCGTTCCCGAGACGAAGGTGGTAAATATCGCTTAACTTTATAAACACTTTTACAGTACTAAAAAGCAAGCACCGTTCTGATAGTGCAGCAGAAATGTGATCCTTCTTTGAACTGTATCTATCTATATCATAGGGACGCAATTTCTAGACGCTAAGTTGTATGGAAGCAACCACAACCCTGTTAAAGCAAACCTCACCCCAACAGGCAAAACGTATTTAGTAACAGCCGAGATTACCATCCACCTCAACACTTCTCTGGCATCGATCCTGCCTGACGATAACGTTGTACCCATCACTATCGAAGAGCTGACCACAAGAGACATACAGATCTTCGCCGTAACCCTCCAACGAGTAAGAGCATTGTTTGATGATATCAGTCGCGTATGTCGCAAGATAGGCACTCTGTAACACTCTATCTTGATCGTTCTAACTTTTGGTGAGCTACCCTTGTCTTTAAGATGACAGCTGAGAACTTACATTATTGCAGGCCCAAATAGAAGATTCTGAGTGGCAGGCGAGCCTCTTGCATGTTCGTTTCTGAACAAGACTGTCTCCTTGGCTCTTCATGTGATCCATGGCGATACTAGTCCAAGAGTCGTAGACATAGGACCAAGGTTGCGATATTTTGTTGCAGCATAGAGGAGGGAACAACTGGGTCAGGTCAGTATCAAGGCATGTTCTTTTCCTCGAACACCAACCTTAGAGCTACGCTTCTCAACTTGCACTGATTCAGTATTTTCAAGAAGACTGGTGTTGAATGGTGAAGACGCTAAGTTGGATTCCGAGGAGGGGCTAATAGAAAGCGACAGAGCAAGGGTGAGAAGGACTAGGAAGTATAAAAGGCATGATATCGACTTCATTGCCGCTGATTTGGAGATATCGAGCACTGAGATGCTCTTAAATCTGCCGACGACTTGATATTGTAGTTGAACCCGTTGCTCAAAGTTGAGGTTAACACAGTGCAGAAGAGTTCTTTGCGAAGGGTGTCATGATTAAACTTTATCCTTTCCTTCAAATACTATTGTGAATAAAGAAAAAGTGAGGAAGATACAATATGAGTAAATGAACACAGTGAATACACTTCCATTTGGGATTGGGAGAGGTGTTTGTGAATAACATTCATAAATCTCGTTGAACATCCACCAAATTGTCTGAATGAGATTCTTCCTCATTAGTAGGAGGAAAATATCAAACTTCGCGAGACTTCCTATGTTAGATTGAAAGAGAGTTGTATTACAGTGTGATTTGATTATTTAATCTGGTATTGACAGCATTGATAGACTTATTCAATATATATCTGTGACAAAATGTAGGGCGGTTTACCAGAGCACGACGACATTCGTCGTCCATCGACTCTTGCTCCTGTTGTCCAGCACGCTCCACATTGTATTATTTTCCCGCTCGAATGATCTCTTCGCATCAGCCTAGGCGTTTAGTCCCTATGCCCATTGATGAACTTGAAATCTCCTAATCCTTCTGAGTCATTGTAAAGCTCAGAATCATATTTAAAAGCATTCGTCTTCAGAAACGAATTAAATTAAGTTCTCGTCCAGATACGTCTTGCTTATGGTTGACCTAAACGTCGGAATTCTTTTGTCGCAGGTAGTGGGATATTATCGCCGCGGCGGTTCGAGTGGCATGTGGGGTTTGAAGTGGCTCATAGACATCTTGATGAAGTCATGGGCCGTTTACCAAGTCATTCTCATTACTATCCCAATCTTGATAATTATTCGAAGACCAAACTGTTCATAGTGATCCTCAGATTTCAAGATGGCTCAGCAATAGAATCGTAATGAGAAGCAGGAAGGTCTTGGACCGCAACATCATAGTCCATATCAGTAATGCCAACTGTCGTTTTCGTGATGACTGTGCGGTAATATTCGACATCCAGAGTTATTACGGTTTTATTGTTCCACTGTGTGCCGGTTTCACAATACTTCTGGAAACCCTGGATCTGTTCAAATCAGGATATTGTCTCTCGAGATTGGGTAACATAGCTTGTTCTTGCTTGGCGTTGAGAAATGTCCAGTATGGGAAAGAGGTCGCGTGGTCGGAATGTTCTTCCCAGCCCAAGTAATGTCCACCCCATTGGATTCTCGTTCTGTATATATCCTCTCCCTGATCCACATGCCTTCGAAACATGGGGTCACGGGGCGAGACTCCATTACCCAATGCTTTCCAGATTGTGAGGAACATCTTGAAGCCACCACCCGACAACTTTTGGAAATCGATCCGCCACTCGGTATGACACTGGTGACATCTCACAATCTTCCCTTCGCGTGCGAAGTATGGATGGCAGGGCTGGTCCCATAGGGCTAGACTTTTGCGAGCAAGTTCCCCTTCAAAACTGTCGGCGGTGATGTCTAGATCGTCGTGATGTGGACATATGAATATTTTCGTACCCCAGGGCCATGGAAATTCTTGAGACGGCGGTATCAGGAAAACTTGCTGCGCTTTCACAATGAGACCACAGGTTGATGACCACCAAGGGACGGAGCAGCTAGTTATTGTAGCTCTTTTGTATCCTTGCATATCGGTGTTTATGGTAACTTTCGAAAGTGTCTCGAAAAGTCTCGATATCGTACCCCACTGCAGTTTGATAAAATAGACCAAGCGGTAGCTGCTGCCGTAGCAACGATTTATAGTCATAGCGATCTGAAAGATGGCATAACTGAAGTGTTCGTTAATAAGAAACTCCAAAGGGAGGTGAGAGACGCAAAGGGGAGCTGAACTGCGCGAAACGCCGAAGGTTGGTCTGTACTTATCTGCATCCCCGATCGGATGAAGATCTTGGCAGTAATAGCACGCAAAGTGATCAGGATAGTCTCGCTCGAGGAGGCGCAAGAAGTCCAGATTATCGTGAAGCCCAGCTCCTGACAAAGCTTTCAAATGCAAAGCGCAGTATTTTCGGGTCACCGCGTGCATGTCTCTACACGTAAGAGATAGTGCGCCTAGAGAGCTACGAGGTAGGTAATCTGCTATCTCAAGTATAAGATCTTGAGATAGCATTTCGAGGATCAGGGGCTTACCGCCAGGGTTTCGTATTGTCCGTTTGTGTTGAGTTTCCCATTTCCGTCGTTTATGCTTCAAAAAGAAAAAAGCGAGAATAACCAAAATTGAGGGTCCTAAACCCTTCCAGAAGACTTCTTTTGTCGCGAAATTCATCGTCGGTGTCCGGGGAGCTGAAGCGAAAGTTGAAGTGAGGTCAAGTGTGTTGAAATATGTTGCTGCTGAAGAATGATATATATAGTGAGTTGGGACGCAATTTAGGAACGACAGCATGAAGCTTCGCCCAGGTCCAGTTCCCTTTTTATGTGCAAATTTTCCATGCTGTACGAAATTGCGTTATGACGAAGACCTTTTGCGAGACGACACTTATGATATCTTGCTCCACATAGCTCCCGTTGGCGATGCGACAGTTCGGGTCAACCTAAAGAAATTCAAGTTGGCGCCCTTCTATATGACGCAATTTAACTATAACATCGCCAGTATTGTTCAAACTTTGATCACAATTCTAATGTAAATCTGTTCCGAGGAAATAACAGGTGAGCTCAATTTCCTAAGGTAGACTTATATGGTCTGGTGGTGATATACGACTAGTAGCCACTCTTCAAAGCTAAGTAGTAGACGATGGCTTCAAAGAATTAATGCTTGCTGGAAGTGCGGATCACCAGTGTAATCCTCACATATGTTGCCCTCTTTTATAACTCACGTGATTATAACTATGCTTATAATTGGACTGAACATACTCGAGTTGATGGAAAGCTGCTCAATGGCTGAAAACACAACTCAAAGACTTTTCTTGTTCTTTGAAAGACTTCTCCTAGGCGATGCAGCGCTTCCCCCCAGCTCTCGCTCACCTGAACCTAGTTGAACAACGATAGGCGCAACACACTTACGTTTTCTAGATCAAGCATTGTAGGAGCAACTATCAGTATTAGAATTGGCAATTAAAAGGGAGAGATAGTCATTAAATTGACTGGGTTGGATATCAGCCCTTTGACTCTTGTTCCTAGTTCTGCTCAGGCCAATCAATAGTGTTATGCGTCTCCCAGGCAGCTTTGTACAGGCTTTCCAGTCGAGAGTACAGCGGTCTTGCTCAATAAATGTTGAGGTAATGAACCATTAACTGCATTATATATTGCGTCTCGGGCGGGATCTCCTTTTAAACAAAGGTCAACCCCGGATTGCCGTTCCTGATGGGATTCCCAATGAGTTCCTCCAATGGCTGGTAGGAATCCTTGTGATGGGCAGCATATATTCTGCTCCCATCGCAATTATTCTTGGCGATAATCTCAGTGCCATCAGCAAGCTTTAGTTGAATCCAGTTTTTGCGTATTATGAGTATAGCAACATTCTTGGCGGTAATGAATTCGAAGTAAGCTTAAAAGATTCCATGCCAGAAAAGAGCGTTGATGAAAAGCTTGTTATAACGATGTTGTATTAGTATTGACCATGCTACGGAAAGCCGCCAGGATTCTCTTCATTTTGCGATAATTACAGAATCGGTGTGACTCTTTTCGCTTTGTTCATCATAACAAATAGATACTGAGCCACCTTAGTGCGGATACTGGTCTCAGCTTCCAAGCATTGTCTAGACGGATGTGAACTGTTGATGACTTCTAAACCCAAAATAACCCCACCATAGATTTGGAAGTCGTGAACAAAGCAAGCATTGGAGATGTCTTGATATCTTTGTTCATCGAAGAATGTGTCGGCGGAGAACAATGGTTTTGTCGGCTGTCCCCTTTGAGATAGCCAATAAAGACTGCCGATCTTTTGCTGAATCTTCACGCATTGAGCTGTTCTATTTTGAAAGAGAACAGCCATCTCCTGGCATAAGCCAACATAAATTGTCGGCGAGAGGCCTGAAGAAATCGTCAAACATAGTTTCTGTTGTGTTAAACCACTAAAATTTAACAGGAAAACCACCTGCAAAAATCTCTATTGAGAAATTGTTGTAAACAGAAGCTTTCCGATCTTTTGAACACACTAACACAAAATGCCTTCATTCCAAAAAAGAAGCCCGATCGAGGTAGGGTTTGCTATTAACGTCGAGGGCGTACTGATACACAAGTCAAAGGTACTCCCTTTCGCCAAAGAAGCACTTACCTACCTCCAGTCCCGTAAGCACAATTTCGTACTCTTCGGAGATGGGAATAGAGCGCAGACTGAAGAAGAGCTATCCATAGAGCTTCAATTGTTGACTGGTGTTACGATTTCGCCACAAAATATTGTGTTCCCGTATAGCGCTTTCAAACTTCTCATAAAGGAGATCCCACGCTTGGCGACACAAAATGTTCTGGTCGTGGGAAGTCCGATTAATCGAATCAAGAAGATTGCAAACAGCTACGGGTTCCACCGTGTCTTCGGACCACTGGATATCCAGCATCACAGAGACCTTCAGATTGATGCTATTTTGGTGTTCAACACACCCGTGAATTGGGATGAGGATCTCCATACCGTGATCGAAATGCTTTCATCGAGGGCTGGTTATGTACATACCACGAGTCAACTTAACGGACTCGAAGAATTGCCGAATTCTGGATACTGCCAGGATTGCCAACCGACAATTCACTGGTGTGACATGAAACTATCGCATAATTCAGGCGATGTTACGTTCAAGCAAGCAGTGGAAGCGGCCTGGAGCAACCGTACAGGGGGAGCAGACATATTAGGCTCCTGGACAGAACCGCTCCTACCTTTCGTTGAAGTGCAATGTTTCGAGAACATCGACATACCAAAGAAGAGAACTGCCTACCTAATTGGAGGCACTTCCGCAAAGAGTCCCTTAGATCAGCTAGGAGATTTCGGAAGTCGCAATGGTATCGACTGGAACAGTATCTTGGTCATCACTAAGTTGAAGCGCCGCATGTATAAACAGCCGATCGTTCCTGTACCAAATATTGGAGTAGGAATGCTATGGGCGTTCGAAGATGCCGGCTTTGAGAGAGCCGCGCTCGAGATCGTAAGTCACCCTGGATTTACGGCTCCAGAAGGCCTCATCAACTTCCAAGTCGATATGCCGACATTGAAACCAACTGATATACATCCAGCTCTGAGAAATGATCTCAACAAGCCACTACCAAACCTCCCACATGAGAATGTAAGAGTCCGAGACCCAATCCTCCAGGCAGAGAAGATTTCGGTGGGTCAAGTGCATAACTTCACAGTCACCCCAGCTTCCTACAGTCATTCTAACAGCGCTGCTCACCGTAGCTTCTCTGCTCAACAGTATGAAAACCCACCAGCAATTCCCACTCGATCCCCACTGAGATTATCAAGCGATATCTATTCTCAATGGTCCTATGAAAATCGTCTTCATTTGAATATCGAGTGTGCTCTTCGCAGCCGGGCACAAGCAACCGATGACAAGAATTCTGCACTTCTCCAAGCCGTAGCAACCGCACACGATCGCCACTTAGCGAGGGCGAAAACCGTACACGAGTCGAGGGTTAGGGATCGTATTGCGATTCGAGAATCTACCCGTCGAAGATTGGAACGCGCGACGTCTGTGCACGCACCAAAGGGCAACTTCTTTTGAAGTATAAGAAGTATCGAAAGTAGTAAGTATGTAGATAGGGATAGTCTCCAGGTTCAAATTCTGCAATAAAATTTAGGTATCATATAACCCCAAACAGTCTGAGACACATTGTGAGACTACAGTACTTGCACTACAACTCAAGTGATTGTCACCGTGTAATATAGAAATAAAATAAAAGCACCGCCTTTTAAGTTTGAAGGGTGTGGCGCCATCGCTAACAAATACGCTCCCCGTTTCAAGAACAGATAGACAGGGTGCCACAGAGAAGCTTTTCGCGACTTTGGGGCCAAAACAGAGCAGAAAGCACATTCTTCTTTCAGTCTCATATTTTATGGCAAACCGAGGCTTTGCAGATGGGGGGAGGCTCCTCGTCGGAGTGTCAATGAGTCCAAGGCGAGTTGGAGGGTACATGAGGATCCAACGAAGACCACCAACATTTTGAACCCTTGAATTGAGTATTCGAAATGTGTTTTAGTCCAGTGTTCGAATCAAAGATGTCTTTAGAAGAGCAGCGTATATTCCGCCAGTCCGGCCTCTACTTGGTACAGCCAATGGAGATTCCCGGATGCTTCTTACTTCACAGGTTGTAGCTACAAACAAAGATTACCACGACGGTTTGCTGATCTATTTGGGGTTAACGATATTTACCTAGTGAGAACAAAAAATGCTTATACATACGTCCGTATCGATGAAATCCAAAGTGTTTGGAAAGTTATCAGCATCGCTTCATTTTCTTCTCGTGAAGCCCAGTATAGAAGTCAGGCTCTCACAAGTGATTTGTGTTTCTTCTTTTCGAGTATTTTTAAGGCCTCCGAGAGTGGCGGCAATGCCACGTCAAGAGCCTTACAATGCGAAGTGAACATCGATTAGGCGTGTGACTTATTCCAATTGACGCACTCCTCAAATGTGACACCTGAGCCACCGAAGACGTCGAGCGCACTTCCAATAGTGAGATCAACCTTACCCCCACTAAGCGTTTTGACATGATCGAGATCTTGTAAATTGCGTCCGCCGCCGGCATAGGTGACTGGTATATTACACCATTCGGCGAGTCTTTCCACCAACTTCTCGTCGATGCCTTTTTGTAGGCCCTCGTTGTCTGCTGCGTGGATGAGAAATTCGGAACAATACGGTTCAAGCATTTTTATGGAATCTGCCATTGTGTCAGTCATAAAACAAGGTGCCAAATTCAACTTCATACTCTCATTAACTTCCATATCTGTAATTGTCTGCCACTTGTTCATGGCCACAAACCAAGTCTCTTCCCTGCGCCGGCAGCTCAGGTCAATGACCAGTTTCTCTTTATCTCCGTCAAGGGCCGCGAGTACAAGGTCAAGATTCTCTTTGGAGAACTTTCCTTCAGGGAACAGGTAAGACGTAATAATCACCTGTATACTTATTAGATGGTTTTTATGATTGGGGTACAGTTCCCAGCTCAAAGACGACACGTACCTTCTCCGCACCCCAATCTATCCATTGCTTCGCGTTTTTATCATTAATGCCACCACCAACTTGCAGACCACCGTTCCACTCCGATAATGCTTCGCTAGCAGCATCCTCGTTTCCGGGTCCGAGCATGATAACATGCGCACCAGCTAAGCCATTGTCTTTGTATAGCTTTGCGAAATAGCTTGCAGGAAGCTTGGAAACATAATTGGTTTTAAGATCTGCAGAAGCGGTGGTCAATGTACCTCCCACTATCTGCTTCACTTGTCCGGAGTGCAAATCTATACAAGGTCGGAATTTAGTCATTATACATCGCCGACATGAAATTGTATAAATGTTTGACCTAGAAGTAGAAAGGCGGTGTTGTTGAATCCAAATGTGGGGCAGCTTGGAGGGGGGTCGGTAGAGCTTCGGGATTGGATGGAATATCAAATTAATTTTAATTCAATCGACGTACAACTCGATTGCGACCCGATCAGGAAAATGGCGACCCTTCTTGGAAAGAGAAAGCGGCAGGTCAAAGATTCGACACCTACAGAAAGGATTAATGACGGCGAGAGCTCTAGCTCCTCGGAAATCGATGCGCAGGAAGTGTTCCGGCGGCATTTCGAAGCCCAATTTAAACCTCTACCAGTCGTCCAGAAAATTGTCGAAGCGGAAGAATCAAATGATGAAGACTCTGAAACCGAATCAGAGTGGAGTGGGATCTCCGAGGTCGAGGAAAAGTCGATTGAAGTGATTGAGCATACTGATGCGGAATCGCGTATGGCTGCAATGTCCAAAGAGGAGCTCAAAATATTCATGGTTTGTTCAAACTCCGTCTTGTATTGAGTTCAAAGGCTAACTCCACTAAGAGTTCCAAACCACCCAAGAGTACTCCCAGTGTTTCTGTGATCCGCGACAAATCTGGTGCTACGGTTGACGATGAAGATGGTTCGGAATCGGCGAACCTGAAGAAAGATTTGGCATTGCAGCGGTTGTTAGCTGAGTCCCATCTTCTCGAATCCGCAAGCAATCCTACCACCATGGGGAAGAATAGACATAAAGCGACAGATCTGCGGTTACAAGCGCTAGGCTCAAAGGGCTCCATATTCAAGCAGGAAAAGATGCCAATCGCACATAGGAAAGGCATTATCTCAAAGCAAAATGAGAAAGAGAGCACACGACGCCGAGAAGCCAAAGAGAATGGCATTATTCTAGAAAGAGCTAAAATGAAGGAAAAGAGGAGTAGCGAAGGCAGAAAGGACAGAGGTGTTGGCAATCCGAACGTTGGCAAGTTTTCTGGGGGAACTTTGAAATTAAGCAAAAAGGACATCAATGATATTGAAGGTCCTCGGAGGGACAGTGGTGGAGGAAGAGGCGGAAGGGGTGGTGGTCGAGGTCGGGTCAAGCGAGGACGATGAATTACATTACAACATCACGACAGCATAGCGTAACGATTATCACTGCCAGAATTTGACAGCCCCGGTATCTGCTTTGGACCTCCCTCTACCTCGCACCATTGAGAGGCTGGCAAAATTGCCTCTGCAAACCCAGCGAGCGTTTGAAGATCCCATACTTACTGGGAAAAGCGAACGTTTCTCCTGGGGGCTAGGGAAAGGATGCACGTCTACTACACGCAGAGACTCGTTGTTTACCTCGACGGAGGCTCGCCGATGAATGTGTTGGAAATCACGAAATCAAGATTCTGATAGTGTACAGGATGGTACAACCGCGGACTGGGATACGACCTTTGATAATTGGCTGATGAAGTAGCTGAAGCGCATAGCTCATGCGAGCTACTTCTAATACAACTTGACATAATGGAAGTGTTCCATTACACTGGGTATCTTGAAAAGAACTCTATCCAAACCAGCTGCCCCATGCGTATCGCTAAGTCGACTAAACGATCCTCCCGAAAAAAAGTCAAATGCATCAATATGCTTGCAAATCAAGTGGTATTACAACTCTGCTCAGGCACGAGTATCCTCCAGTATGGTACTCTCCACTGGACTGGCCCTGCGCTGGAATGGAGCACCCCGCCCAACATGGACACCACCTTTTCAACTCTTCTGCTAAAGTACTCGGCTCTCTCTTCCAACTCCTTTTCGCGCAACCATTCAACCGGCAAAAATACACCTGAATGTGGCAATTTGGCTGTAGCATTTAAGGCCTGATTGGGAAGGACAAACGTAATGTCCTCGAGACCTATGAACTTGCTCCTCATGTGCTCCCAGAATTGGAATAGTAGCGGGTCCTCCTCATTTCGCCGCCCGTTATTGAGCCAACGGGTTTTGAATAAATCCACATCAATAGCCAGCCTCTTGATTCTACCCAACTCCTTTCGGTCAATTAAAGAGGTTGCATTGTGGAAGTTTCCGAAGCTTTCCAGCAATCCTCGGCCAATGAAGTATTTCCGTCTGCTTGGCTCGGAGAAGTACAAGACATCAGTCGAATGATTGAACCAGATCTTTGGTTGAGTATAAATGAGATTTAAAGATAAAGCAAAGCCGTTCCTCCCTGTTGCATATGTGCGGCTTTCTCTGTTTACATGAAGTATCGCTGGTATCGGGCATGTCGAAGTACAACCATCCCAGTCACATTTATATGGCGACTGTGATATTGGAGAATAGGTGAGGGGTACCAGCCGTGGTGGTGGCAAACTCAATGCCCAAATCCGCAGACGTAACTCGGGAGGCAGGTTCTGAAAGCCATGGAAGGTGGTAGGCGCCTCGTCTGGTGTCCGGTGCGACGAACTATTTGCCCTCAGAATCTGTCTCGTCGTGGATTGGATGATTGATGCCAGGCGGACTTCCGAAATTCCCGGCACCCGGTAAAGCCCAGACGCTGTGAATAGGGATGCCGATGGAGGATCTGTCTTTAAAGACCGCAGCACCTCTGATGATATTGCTGAAGGACTTGAGATATATACAGGACACGGTATTGTCTCCGTTAACATATCAGTGACATCCATATAGACGAAAGCTATGATACAATCTTACAATCATCCAAATTCTAGTGCAACCACAGCTCTTTATCACTCAATTCCATCTCAACACCCAATTCCCAATCTCAGACCTAACATACGACGCATCCAAACCCATCTATAAAATCTCAAAATGTCACTTCATAGTCCACACGTCCACATAGCAGCCTCGTCCCTTGAACCAATAACCACACCGAACATGGCATCGCGAAAGACATGAGGCTCAACCCACACACGGTACCTCCGTGATCACTAATCCATCATTCTAGTGGTTTTCATGACTGAAACCTAAAATAGCATCCCCAACGACCAGATTCTTGGGATTTCGGGAAGTTCCTGACATCTTGTGGCGGGTTTGGTGGCGCTATCAAGGGGTATCGCGATAGATGGCCTCTTTAGGGGGTGTAGGCGAGGGGGGGATGTCTTGCATTTTCAGCTGTGCTGGAAATCTGTAGAGGGCTGGATGCGGGGTGGCATTTTTGGGATGTGATAGATTTGATCTGGGAACGGGTCTTGAGTCATGACATGGACGACTTCTATTACGTATTCAAAAGTTGCTGACAATTTGGCATTTGTAAGTATGGACTTCTTCGGTTGGAAGGTGTTGCTTTTTTGTTGGAATAGAAGAGCTGCTAGCTACACATTCCAGGAGCCGGCGATTAAACTCTCCACATAAACTAACCATCAGGATGCTTTTCTCCAAAATCCTGTCACTCCTGATACGGAATGTCCATGTGTGGTGCACCTGTTTAATAACAAATGAAATTCTAATACACCCCAACTCTTGTGGTAAAGTTTCTTCATCTATGGTACGCTTGATGAAAACCCACACAGCTGAATCGTCTAGATAGATAGCCTCCGATTCATTACTCGGTCCTAAGCGTTGATCTCTATACCAAAGACCATTAAAAAAATGGAAATCGAATAATTTTGTGAACACTACATGCTAGAACCACACAATCTTCACACTGGATTGTTTTGAATTGGCATGGTCATCATAATAGTGAACAAATTATAGCCAAAACTTGATATAACCTACATTAAATCAAACACATCTGTGTCTATGTTGGAGACTACTTTAAGTAAATCAGACACTCATAGAGTTGATTTGAGATGAGTTGAGAAGATTTGAAACTGAACATCCACTTTACCTTTTACAACTTTCTTCTTGAGCTGATCATAGATCAATCATATGGTGCTGAGTACATTGGAAAACTCCAATTAATTTCAAAAAAGAAAACAAGCAAGAAAAAAGAAAGATCCAACGATCTATGAAAGTATTAAACCTCCCAGCCCTACGCAAAAAAGAAAAACAAAAGAATGACCATTATAACTCCTACTCCCTGACGCGTAGCAGGTCCTCATCCTACATATAGTAGATGATCACAGGTACAATAGTCCCGGATTCCTGCTCTCTGACGTGTAGCAGGTGATCACAGTCCTATAAGTTCTGCTCGTAGACAGATACTCATGGCACTCTCATCATATTCATTTCGCCCGGGAGGGGCTATTCTTATTGGTGCAAAAAGTGTTTGATTCAGTATTTAAATAGGTCTTCTAGGGGTGGGCCGAGAGAGAGCCGGATAAGGAGGGTAGATGGGTGAATATGAATGTGGTGGAGTTGGGGGATGTGAGTGTAGGATATCAGGAGGTTCTGGGGTTATTTCATCGTCTGTGAGTCACATAAAGAGGTAGACTTTAATAAGTTCATTAAAAGATGTCTGGTGTATTAGGCTAAAATTTAGGGCGAGAGTATCAGAAATAAAGTACAATCAACGATTTAAAACTTCTAACAGTCTCTCGGCTCCAAATGGTTGAACATAGCTGAACCTCACCAACTTATTCCCATGTTGTGCAAGAGTTTTGAAATCAATACTGCGTCGCTTAGGCTGTTTTCCGCCCGCCCTAATAATGCCAAAAAAAAGTGTTGTGGTTTTCTCCATTTTTCTGAACGGTTTAAAACAGGTGAGTTGGTAAGTGATGGAGATGAAGTGTTTTGTTCTGGGCAAATAGCATGGAAATTATACAAACACGCTAGCTGTCCGATTCATGTATTTATCAAGTTATCCTATATATACATCCATAAGTGGATAAACAATAGCTCCTAAAAAAACCCAAGACTGAAACAAAGACATCATTTAGAAATACAATCCATCTCTACCACTGTATGAAGCATCAAAATCGTCAACAAATGGCCATTTAGCAGTCTTTTCATTCGCAGAAACATATTTCCCCTGTCTTTTTTGCAATGTCCCTAAAAAATCTCGAAGACACGTTTGTTTGCGAAAGAGACTGTCAAATCCTGCTACCTTTGGACTTCGTCGTTCTTTAAGTCTGTCAACACCCAAGCGTCAAAACGAAAAGTGCTCCTATTTCTTCCCACGGCAAAACTCATATACAAGTCAGCTCTGCAAAGTCTAGATAGTAAACATGCGCGAATTTAGAGGTCTATACGTGCGAATAATTTAGTTCTGTAAAACTTGTCTTCGTGAAATGAGGTGTCAGGCACTGGTTTTCTCATTTTTCTATTTTTCTGACGCATATTATTCACGCATCTCTAACAATCAAAGACAAGGGAGCGGCGAGAACATCCATAAAAGTAGATGAAGCTAATGCAAAGAGGTAAGACAAATCAAGTAAAGGATGATGTCAGACTTCAAATTTGACTTTTGTGAGTTGAGAATTTTGCAAAGAGATGGCAGGTTATTGGTTATAGTTACAAGAAGACAAGTAAGAATGAAGGACAAGATGAGTATATTTTGGGTCTTTCAGCTGCATGTTTATCAGGATGGATTTGGTTTCTTCGCTATGTCTGATCGCTTTGTCTGATAGGGCTGAATGGCAGAGAAGTAGGGGATTATTGAAAGAAATGAAATGACGATGTAAGTGATGATTATACAAACACGCGTCCACAAAAGAAAAAACATAAGCTTTTGAGTGAATTGAATTGCCCCCTCCTCCACATGAAAGAGCCTCAAGAAAGGGACTTTATTCTGTTAATTGTTTGCAACTACGAGGAGCATTGAGAACCTACATCAGTGTGCCTAGTCTAGTAGTCTGTACGTTCCCACCCAACTCAAGGAAAATACATCATGTTCTTTGTGAACGAAGAGCAATTCGTTTGCTCAACCATACTGAAAGAAACCCTCTCACCAACTATCCATATAAGCCCCCTCCCATCACGACCTAGTCCCTCAAACCTGACAAGCAACTACCAACCACTCACTGCGCCCATACCCATCACCAACCTCACCACAACAGCCAAAATGGACCAGCCCAAAATGAAGCAACCCCTCATTGCCCGCCCCAAGCCAGACCCACCCTCTGACATGCCCAGATAGACCAGCAGAGGCGGTGACCTCGTCGACTACACTACGGTCCGTCAACTAAACGACTATGCAAGCGACCATCTCAAAGCATGGGAAGATCATAAGTTTGGGGATGGTAAAAGTATGCGGAAAACACAACATGAGACGTTGGTTTGTGTATTGGAACAGTAAGTCACTCCCTTCTTGATCTTTATCTATTAACACGTTGGATAATAGTCTCCAACTATTCAACGCCCACGTCGGATCCTTTCCTCCAAAATGGGGAGATCCAAATCAACCCATCTATCTCCGGTCCAAAGACTTGATCGAGAAGTTGAAGGTGATTACGGCTGAAGAGGAGGAAAAGCAGAGAGCGAAGGAAGGGCAGTGGTTAATAAATAATGAAGAGGAAAAAAGGAAGACAGATGAGAAGATTGCTAAGGAATACCAGAAGAAACATCCTGAATGGGATGGCAAGGGGCCGGGGCCTGACTTTGATGAGCGGCCTCCTAATGCGCTGAGGCAGAGGTTCATGACTTATGATTGAGTTTTGAGAGAGAGAATGAAGGAGGTGCTTAGAGGATAGCTTGGATGGGGTTTTGTGGGAGGATAGAAAGAAGTTAGGGAGGTCTGATATTGCTCGCTAAAGAGAGGGAAGCATATGAGCTGGGGAAGAATGCTATTCTTGGACGAAATAAAGCAAGAACGACAATGCAACCAAGAAAGCATAAGAGAAACTCCTGCACTCTCCCTTTTTTCTATTTCCTGCTCCTCATCCTTTCAACTCCGCGTCTAGTAGCTGGGGCATGTCACCTGACGCATGATTTCAGCCCTCTCATCTCGCAATAAGAAAGCACAAAGCCACATCCAAATATAGAATGGGCTGATACAACCAAGAGATGGATTGTACGACTATGAAGCCGTATGAAGGACTTGCCCTTTTCTTTTGATACTCGAAACGAATTTTCTGCGTGATTTCTCAGCTGCGAAAGATTGGAACCAAACATCAGTACCGAATAGCATCAGAGTTCTCCAGCCAGGATTCATTATTGATTTAAACCGTTGACACTTGCCGGTCTGAGCACGGAGCCCTCCTTGACCTTTGAGGCCGTTGATAGAAATCCGGAGGGATTTCGTTTCAGAGCTCGAAGCGAGCCCGACTGTCTGTTCGGAGCAGGGGAGCGAAGGTTCTTCGGAAATTTTCATCTGAAAACGCTGAACGCTGGAACGCACATCCATACAGATCTCGATCTCATGGTTTCTTCGATGTGATAGCAACCATGAGGCATAAGAGATTGCAACTTGAGAGAGTATTGCGATGTCTACGCATCATGGAGGATTCGGTTGTGCTTTCTTTCTTTTCTCGTGAGGGCTGAACCGACGATCATACGATTTCTGGACTTACTACTGTACAATCCCTTGCGTGCTTGAGAATATTGAATAGCTAAGGCACGATGCACGTAAGCTGGCCCGCATTTCCTGACATTTCGTCATAGATATATGTGCTTGCCGTGCCTTCGTAAAAACCTTCGGTTCGGAAATGAACACTGCTGTAGGTCCGGAAAGTATGAACTTGCCGTGGCATACTCTGGCATCTAGACGCACCGGTATAATTTACCTGTGAGTAGTGAAATGATCCTAAGTTGGCAGATCCACCTCCAGGTCGTTGGTGTCTTGCAAGCGTTCTTTGCCAATTGCAGTGGTGGATCTTCAATTTGACAGTCGTTCAGAGTCAAATAGATTAGGTGGGGGAGTTCATGAACGGACGATGACAGCCTGCCGCTGAAGCCGAACGTGCACTTGATTTTCTGACGACTGATCATAAACCCTCTGTTCCGAACGTCGCAGATGATCTTGCTTGTGTAGATTCGCGATATCGCTTTTCTTATTGTACTTGCGGTGTTTTACCATGTTTCGAATTCATGAGGGACAGATGGCCACAGTGCTTTTCGTGGTAGAATCTGGTGACAAGCTACCCGGCCGCAGCGGGGTAACTTTACGCTGGACGGCGCGGCTTGACCATCCAGGAACCAGAATCTGGGTGGTGTTTTGTACCTTCGCAACCCCCATGTGGGCACTGGGTAATTTCCAGGTACAGGCTTTCGCCATCCAGTCACAGCACTATGGCCACCGCAAGGATAGACACTGATCGCCCGGAGCTTGATCCCTCCTGCACGGACTGGAAAGCCCGTTCAAGATACGCACCACAGCGAATAAACGGCCAGCATCGTCCTCTTCGTCCATCAAAAAAGCTGGAGACTCCTCCGCCTCTAACCATCAATGGCCCAAGGCTGACCAAGCTGCGCTCTCAGCGAATGAGGAGCTATAGCAAGAATGCAAGACCAATATTTGAAAAGCAGATGCAGGGAATGGAAAGGTTAGACAGTCCAACGGAGCTTTCAGAGGGAAAAGCGACCCATCATAACAAAACACCCACTAAAAACAATAACAATAACATAAACAGAGTTTGTAGCAATGAAATAGTGAGCTTCTGCAGCTTCCAATCTGCTTTTTGAAATGATTTCCGAATTTGCAATCTCCCAACAAGTTGATTCCTGTCTTCTGTTCTTCGAGTTCTCTCGTCGTTGATTCCCTTCGCCATCGTTCCACGTCTTGTGTTTCGAAAGCTTTTATTCAACAGCCCGAGCCTGGTGCATGCAACCAGAAATCAGATATTCAGAACCACCTACACCACCTGTCAGCGCTCGAATCCGCTGCAGCTTTTCTTCAGCGCCAATTGGACTGTTACTTTGCTCGTCAAACCCATCCGGCTACCTACTCGTACCTCTCTCGCGACTGCAGCAGCAGCTGTTGAACCACAAGCATTTGAAAGCAGTCACGCAGCAAACCGACAGGACCAGCATTCCGAAAAAGCACTTGCGGGCGCCTTGCCGTTACTGTTGCATGCGCGATTGGCCTCATCCGCCGCAATTAATCTTAAGTCGTGCAGATATACCTGCCCTACCAAGGAAGTATCAGACCCCGCGTCGTTTTTGGACCGAGCCGAGTTGGCATGCTGAGCCAGTAAGAGAAATTGTGAGGAAACGCGACTTCGACGCGCCGCAAACAAAATATCAACAAAACCTCTCCGCCGTCTTTCTTCATCGACAATTACTTCTCGTGCCGTCGAGAGTATATCGTTCTGTTCGTCAGTTTTGTTCTCGTGAAGGGAGGTCGACAAGTCGAGGCCTAGTCGCTTTTCCGAACGGCAACTAGGATTGTCTCGATTGGATTTGGTGGGGTCCTGATATAAACAAGGCGCAAGCTATTGCACAGTCAAGACAGACGAATTCCACAGAACCAGGAAATTCTATCAAGGCTCGGAAACCTGAGAAGAAGTGCTTTAAAAGTCGAATCGAGCTATTCCCCAGACCTACAATCCAGAAATATATGTTCTTTTGAAGCATTTATATTTTGTCACACCCACCCGCCACGAGTTCTTACCGTAAGACTGCACTCAGCCGGTTGAATCCATGTCTACGGAACCAAACAACCACGCCTCATCATAACACCAATAACTGCAGCCGTCCAGAAGATTCCGGGCAGACAGCTTACTGGCGTACAAAAGATCATATTCCGGAAGGTGTGCTTTGGGAGGAAAGCTGTGAGACCACTATATTGTGGGACGGTTGTTACAAGACACTGCATACATCATCACTCGGTAACAGCAGTGGCACCTCAAGAGATTGAAGAACCTGGAAGGTCCTAAAGGCAAGATTCTTGTCAGCAAACACATTTCGATATTGTGTTTTCGATAATCCAAGTCGCCACTGCTTCCACCACTCGTTTGGATAGCAACAAGGCCACTGCCGAAAGTCGATCAGCCAAAAACAAACACTTGAGTTTCCATATCAAGTTGGTTCTACAAGTCAATCGGTTCGTCAAAAATCTGAACGCCATACATATAGCAAGATGAGACGGTCCCAAGGACTGTCTCTCGCTCTGGGAGGACTGGCCGTATCAAGCAGCGGTGCCATGCTTACTTTCGATATCATATTTGCCGCAACTCTGCCACACACAGCTCCCCTAACCACGTCAAGAATTGCTGCAATTGTAGCATCTTCGCTCTCTGGATTCGATGTCGCCGTACTATTATTACTGATAGGTCGACAAATTCGATATCGCAATGGTGGCCATATTCAGGACTTTGGTCATGGACGACGACACACATACATTGTTGCTGGGATTGCTGGCACTGTTGCCGTCCTCTCCGCGGTTGCATCTGCTATTTTGTTTGCGACAACGAAAATCCAAATCGCCAACATGTCTCCGATGTCAGTAATCTCCTCGCAAAACCTCGTCACTGGAGGCTTCATTATCTGGGCTGCCTTCCTGTTATTCCAAGCAATTTTTGTGATATCCATAATCATTGTCCAGAAAAGAGGTTGTGAACAACTGACCCAACCCTTTGGGGACGAACCGGATAGAGAGGCTTTCCCTGAGATGGAAGAAGCAAACAATGCCGAGAAGCGCGCTCTGGAAAACGACAATGCTCATCGAGGAGACTCCTCCATAGAGTTTAGAACACCCCCTTCATCCAGCGGTCGATCCCGCGCTGGCTCTGACAACATTTCGTCACTGCGGTCCTCATTATCTCAAGTTGTGCGGCCTATCTCGTCAAAGACTAAACTCATTCAGACAAGCCACAAATCACCCCATCGCCCAACATCAACTTCGTCTAGTCAACGGGGAACTTCTATGGATGATGGATTCGACTCGTGGGACACTTCAACGGTCGATGCGCATTCGAGACACGCAGTTGAGTCGGTTTCTCCAGTTGGTCAGCAAAGATTTTTAGAGACGATCCCAGCTAGTCCGACAGGAAGTAGAAGTCCAAGTCCGGGTTTTCCACTGGACTTAGTTCCACCCAAGACTCGTACAAGGAGTTGTAGTAACAGTCCTGCCAATACTCCGGCTACCAGCCCCAAAGATCGCGAACGATTTCAGAAATCTCGGACAGTGAGTCCCACCGAGAGTATGAATGAAGCACACATCCATCCTTTATTCCGAACCGTGTCGCCGACACCACCACCTTCGGCAACTCCCAGTACTATCATAACAGCTGCGCCCAATGCTGGCCAGCTGATTGCGGATCGACAAAGTATTCGATCTATCCACCGTATGCGAAGTGGCAGTCTTCCTTCGAGTCCTTTAGGACACAGCCCAAGCCTCGATAGTATTCGTTGCACGATGGAAAAAGAGGAGCTTGAGCGGTTCGAACCTGGTGGAGAGCGGACTCTGACCCCTCCAATTCCGGATTTCGTCTTGAATGGCGGTCCACGAAACAGCCTCGCTGGATATAATTCCAGGAAGAGATCTTTAGTCGGAATAAACAAGATGGGAGAGGTTCGAGAATCATAGACGGAGTCTCTAGAGTGGGACGTATGGCTCAGCGCCGAAACGAATTTCTTTCTTGTCGGTAACGTGTAACATGTCAGATACCAATTGATATTAGCGAGGCGTTTTGCGTATCAGATATACCTTATTAGTAACTAAAACGAATAGAAATGTAATTTACTGAAACAATGACTAGAAACTTAGCTATGAGGTTGTGATCCATTTTGTTTGGGGTAGAGCTTAGCGATGTAACAAGAGTACCTACTGTCAGCTACAGATTCGTCTCATATACGCTTTTCGGGAAATCGTATTCCATTGTGGGCGCCCAGAAAAAAGCATTGAATAATTCAAGAAGAAGGGAAAGACGAGGCTGATAAGGCTGACAAACCCCGCACTTTGTTGGTTGGAAAAGAAAGAGTCGGCGACGAATCCTATTATCCTGGTTTGAATTATCAAAGAATCGGTTTACAAGGAACCTGACACAACTCCCTAAGATCCAGGAGTGCTTTAAGATTGAGTAAAATGCTATTATAGCTTTGTAGCGGACTGAGATGTATGTATGTGAATTAGGTCGTCAGAAGCTGAGGTGAAGAGACAGAAAGAGCAGCACCGAGCGTTCGTGGCCATTGCAGCCTGCCTCGCAGAAAGCGCTAAAGTGGAGCTCGGGCCGCCTTGACGTTGTCGAAAGTCCGCCTCTTCGATCAATGTCGAATTCAACCATCTCCACAACACACACTCCCACTACTTGATTCCGTTACCTCAATATCTCTTGAACACGATATAACAGTACACCCTCTCTGCAGTATCAAGCTGCTCCCACCGCCGATATGAAGTTAACTTTCAAGGTACATTGCCCCGATCCAGCTTCAAGCTGTCACCACCCCACCTGCGCTGACTGCCTGCTAATTTTCTTGTAATAGGATCTCAAACAACAGAAGTTTGTCATCGAAGCAGAACCATCTGAGTTGGTATGTCGAGCGTAAACCACAATGCCGAGCACATTACCTTGGCTGGACTTTCCACATCACCATCAACATCACTACCGCGCCACGAACCCAGCTAACAACAAAACCACAGATTTCGGACGTGAAGGAGAAAATCTCAAAAGAGAAGGGATGGGAAGCCTCATTGCAAAAGCTTATCTACTCTGGTATGCCCATAACCTCATGATATCTATGGTCGTGTGCGCAAACGTGGGGCTTACAAAACTCAAGGCAAGATTCTGCAAGATGCCAACACAGTCGAGTCTTATAAAATCGAGGAGAAGGGATTCATAGTCTGTATGATCCAAAAGGTGACTATTTCTTTAGTTCTAGGAACCGTATACTAACGCGTTCCCTTAGCCCAAGGCTGTTCCCGCAGCATCTGCGTCTACCTCGACCCCTGCGAAACCCCCAGCGACTCCTGCCCCAGCTGTTGCTTCAACGCCAGCGCCTCCAGCAGCTCCAATCGCGCAGACTGGTTCTTCAGCTTCAGGTGATGTGCCGGCAACTCCTACGCCAGCTGGAACTGGAGCATCGGCTCCATCTGGTAACTCGTCCGGCTTGGCTATGGGTGCAGAGAGAGCCGCCCAAATTGCAGAAATGGAAAGCATGGGTTTCGAGAGATCACAAATTGATTTGGCTATGCGGGCAGCTTTTTTCAATTCCGAACGCGCCATCGAATATCTCTTGACCGTAGGTGAAGCCTTTTAGACATTCCGTGGACCTAATTAACATCACACCAAGGGTATCCCCGAAAATCTACAGCAAGAACAGAGAGCTCCTCCAGCGGCCGACGCTTCCGCCGATACATCAGACGCCCCACCCGCGGCAGAGGATCAAGCTGCAGCAGGCGTGCCAGATGATCTTTTCGAACGTGCCCGGCTTGGAGCAGCGGCTGGTGGTGGTGGCGGTGGGAGTCCGTTTGGTTCTATGGGCGCTGGTGGTGCGGCTGGTGCGGGCGCGGCCCCTGGTGGATTAGGGAACCTCGATTTTCTACGAAACAATGCCCAATTTCAACAGTTACGGCAGGTCGTTCAGCAAAACCCACAGATGCTTGAGCCCATTCTTCAACAAGTTGGTGCTGGTAATCCACAACTGGCGGCTTTGATTGGTCAGCACCCTGAACAATTTCTCCAATTGTTGAGCGAGGACGGTGATAATGACGCGCCATTGCCTCCTGGAGCCCAAGCTACTCAGATCAGTGTCACTGAGCCAGAACGAGCGGCCATTGAACGTGTAAGTAGCCCTGATATTACCTTTGGTTGGTTTTGACGCTAAATTGTGACTAGTTGTGTCTTCTTGGCTTCCCTCGTGACCAAGCTATCCAAGCTTACTTCGCATGCGACAAGAACGAGGAGCTGGCGGCAAACTTCCTTTTTGATCAACCAGATGACGAGATGGAGTGAATGACTTTCATCTCTGTTTATTCTTTTCACCAGCAACGATCTTAATAGGCCGAGCAATTCCCAGTATGTTGCCACTTATACCTTGTGCATAACTATTTTCCAGGCATGGCAATGCCTCTCGACACTAGTGGTAGGTATTGTGATATCAGCCATTGTATTTCCTACAGGGAAATGGTGGCGTGGGCACGGCGTCTTGGGTGGGGATGGATGCCGGCTGATACATATGATATCTGAGCCTGGATATCTTGCAAGCGAGTCAGCGTGTCCGTTAATACACGAAATAAATCTTGATACCTTTATACTTCTCGAATTTTTTTGATACTGGCGGTCCTTGATTAACGTTATGCATCTGCTGTTGTCTGGCATTGTCTTGCTCCCCAACTGCCCATGGCTTGGGGTCCGCTTGTTGTTCACTGGCTGTCCACATGAAATCTTTGCATTCCTAGATGCAACGCTTTTCTACTTAATGGACTGTTGTCGCGCATACGGCTCTCTAGTCGTCCAGTATCCATCCATATTAGATGAATATCAACAATATTAGATGCATCACCAAGACTTCGCTGTCAAAAACAATTACTGACGTCCGTAAATAGTCAAGCCATTCACGTTCATCTCGTATCTATGTTGTATCATCAAGCATCTTCCAAGTACAGCCGTATATTTATTTCTACGTGTATATTAAGAATTGTGACAGATTTTGCCCTCAGTTGTTAAGGTGATTCGGGAATCCGATTGTATCAAAGATAGGAACGAGAATCAGATATCCAGGTTTCGTAGTAGCGACCATCGGAGATTTTTCATCGGTCATTGTACTGGCCACAAGTCACAGAGCAGGATATGAGCTGTAAGACATCGTAAGGGAACGAAAGGATAAATACGACACTCTATTATATATTGTATCTATGTGGTGTGCGTGCTGATATTCAGCTGAAGCTCGCTGAATTGGAGATGTGGCTTATTGAAACTTGGGTGCGCGGTTGTCCATTTTTTAATCGGGTGGTTGGTTATCAACAACAATACCAATTGATAGCGGATCTGCGTTGATTTTCGGTGGATTCAAGAGTGAATAATAATTCTCACCGAGACGCATTTTCTATACTATATATATAACCAGGCCTATCCAATAAACTCGAGACAGTTGCAGGTTCAAGTTATAGATGGTCACGTGTGGGTAATTTTACTCGGTCTCTCAGCACAGTCATCAAAGTCCGCAGCAAACACACTGCAAACACCTACGGTTTGTGTCCTGTCTGCTCCTCTACTCTTAATCTATTCAATCCCAAAGAAATCTCCATTCCTCAGACGTTTTACCAACCAACATATCCTTCCAAGTTGAGGGCAAGTCGATAGTCGTCGCCAGGGAATCCTCGGCCCCATCGAGACGTCGGCCAATCACGGTCGCTTATTCTCACGCCCATGCGACATAGAACTCTGGCGTCTCATCAATGCTTTTCTCTTGTTATTGTCGACTTTTCTACCAACGGCCCCAAGATCAATTCGCCAGCAGCCAGAGGGCTGTAAATATCTTGGGATGAACAATTCAGGATTGAGCTTTTGACATCAATATCAACATTCGGCTTCCCGGCTTGGTTGCGTTAGCTATTTCTTCCGCCCTCCGTATCACACGCTTTTTAAACACCTAACCATACTTGTGTTGGCCTGCAAAACCATCACATTCACGACTACAACCACCTTGTCAAAGGGGTTCATCATATCTATAGAACTCTATAAATGGTACCGACACTTCTAACCATCTGAAGAGACCATCAGTTGGGTTAGTATTACATTGCCGTCATGGCCCCAGTTCGCCGGAGTCGTCACGAGACGACTTCAGCTGGTTCAATTTCTCAAGCAAAGGGCGAGACTAAATCAATCACGTACGGAACTCGTTCAAAGCGAAAAGTTTCTGACATGAGTTCCACAACCTCTTCGCCTGTTGGAAAGCAGACTTCTACAAATTCGTCACAAAGCGCTGATACCGAGGAGGCTGAATTCACCGCGCCGCCTGCCAAGAAGATTCGAAAATTGTCAGAGTCGCCGCCCAAAACACCAGAAGAAGACGATACTGAAGATGATGATATTGAAGAAGAAGCAAATGAAGATGAAAATGAGAATCAAAATGAAAATGAAAATGAAAATCACGACGATGACGACGAGGCCGATGGAACAACTGGTAATGATTCTTCGGATGAAAATAATCATCGTAACGGGGTTGGTAGGAAACTCGGACCATTGCCTGACATGTCAGTGTGGGAGGAAGGAATGAAGTTTATGTTAAATAGGCCTTTCGAGTACAAGGTCGAGGGACCAGAGGAAGACATTAGTCAATCTCTTGCCGTTTCAGCTGCAAGAGGCTCGTCCACTCGAGGACGAGGACGCGGGCGTGGGCGAGGTAGAGGTGGAAGAGGAGGTCGAGGAGGCTCTGGTATTGGATCAAGAGGAACTCCTGCTCCAGATGCATCTCCGTCAGCTCCAAAAGCTGTAAGAGGTCGTGGTGGCCATCGCGTCAAGAAATCTGATAACGCCCGGATCCAGGCATTGTACCACCGTCGAGCAGCACTTAAGCATCAGTATAAGCAAGTCGCTTCGATACAGAAAGTTGCCCTGTTGGCTGTTGCAGAGAAATCTTTGGATCTTATTAAAGGCGATCCACAATATCACAAGAGTCTTGCGGAATACACTGAGACGACACAAGCATTGGACGAAGCTTATCAAAAACGGATTGATAAGCTTGCTTCTGAATTCGAGGAGCGCAGGGCTTTTTTAAAGCGACAACTAAAGCAAAGGGAAGAGTATACTCACTTGAAGCATTCAGTAAGTCTAGCTTCAACTTTTGCACTCGCCATGGCTAATTTATTTTCCCAGGCTGATATCGCTGAGATTGAAGAACTCACCGAGGTCAAGATCAAACAACAAGTAATTCATGTTTATCGTCAGTGGTCTTCAAACAGTACATTGGAGAATACGCCGTTATTCAAAAACGTAAGATCCACCTATTCGCTCCTAGACTTTACTAATACCACGTAGCCCGACTTTAAGGTAGTGAGAATTATCTCTCCGCCAGCAACAACAGTTCACTCAATTGCAACGCCATACAACCATGTAAGTGTTTTCTTTTCGGTTGAGCTTGAATGCTCGCTAAATTTCCTTAGATGCTTGCGGATTGGCAGGATCCCGACAAGCTTGAACAGCACCCTGCAGATTTTTGGTCTAGTATGACGCCCGATCAGAAAGCTACATGGCAACGACGAATGCAAAAGGCTAGCGGTGACAAAGGAAGACGCATCAAAAATAGTAAAGGGAGCGCGCTATATCAACCCCAAGCTGCTGTTAGCGACACCCCAGACCTCCCAGCCCTTCTTGGAGCAGGTCTTTTATCAAGTACCGCCACGCCTCTTGAGGTCTCAGGAGAAGACACGGAGACCGACACAACGGAATCGCCAGGTGAAGAGCAGCCGACAGATCAACATGGTGTTAAGGTTCCCAAAAAACCCACTCCACGTAACGGAGAAGCCCCACAGAATAGAATCGTGGCAGACTCGCCTGTCGTTTTCGACCAAGACGAGATTGGTATCCGAAAACACCATGTTAGGAAAAACAATCGCAATGAGCAGCAGTATCTTGGAATGGATCCCGATCCTAATCCGAAAAAGGTGCATTACGATCAAGTTGCGAGAAGTCACAACTCTGCACGTAACAAAAAGGAAGACCTCGATCAAGAGCTGGTCCGTGTGTTCAAAGTTCATCCAACATACGGTCTTCCTTTACCATCATCTGAAAACCCTACGTACGATGAGTGCGAAAACCCTCCTTTCCAGCCTTCCAGTGACTGGACCAAGCCTCTTGAGCCAACCAACCCATTGATCTTCATCGAGGATAATCCAAGGACCCGGAAGCTTCTCGACGAAGACAAGAAGGTGTTTTTAACGTCGAGAAGTGAGTGGATAATGCGGATACTTAGTGAGTGGGAAGAGCTGCAACCCAAGTTCAAAATGACCTCGGCCCTTGAACAGATGGACGTCTTAGAGCGGCCACCACGGCCACCCACCCCGGAACCTGAGGAAGTAAAAGAAGAAGTTCCTCAAGAGATCAGGCCCGATCTTCTAGAGGCTGTTAACGAAGCGGAAAGACACAGACTGGAAGCTATCATTAAAGCAGCAACTACCCCAGCGCCAATCCTCACACCTTCGAGCCAGACTAGGTACGATCCGGTTCGCGACATCAGCTATACTCCTACCTACCAAACTCCATATCAACCAATGGCACCCATTGTAAGGCCACCGCCGCCACCGCCTGTTTCGAACTTTCTCTACCAACCTGGGGGACTTGCTGTCTTAACAACTGCTATTGATTATCGAGAGAGTATGCCTCCACCACTAACACCTCGATCGCATGGAATGGGTCGAAACCCTTGGGCAGGGCAACCTCCTCTTCCTCCACATCCTCAAGCTATGCCGCTTCAGCATCCTCAGGCTATGCCTCCTCAACATCCTCAACACCCTCCACCTCCTCCACCTCCTCCACCATCACATCGATCGGCTACAGGACCAGGAACCTACGTGCTTTATCCCGCACCTCCTCCTCAGCAATCACCGTATACTTCACCACGAGTAATGCCAGGTCCTCCAGGTCCAGGCCCTCTTATGCATGGTCATCCTATTGTCCCTCCTCCCATGGGACCATTTCCACCTGCTCCAAATACTGGACCGGGAGCGGGAGCATTCCGGGAGCTCAGACCAGCTCCTCCCCAAAACCGAAGTGTTCTACCCTCCGCGCCAGGTCAACAGCAACAACGAAGCTGGTATCCAAACCCTCCTTATTCATGAACCTAGTACAGCCCTGAGGTTGTTCTATAATCATTCATACAGAAGCTGAAATATGAAAGGTGTTGGGGCATATTTCTATCTGCCCATTTCCATTGCTTGGGATGTACTCATAGCGCGGCGCATGGAATTGTGCACTACGGCGTCAGTTTTCTTGGAACATTGAGGGTGCCACACAAACAGTATACAGCGTGTGCGGCATGGCATATAGCATTTACCTAGGTGCTACGGCATCAGGCTGGCGTTAGGTAATGAAGCGTAACTTTGGATCTCACTCCCCATAGAACACAATCAGTGAACATTGGACATAATCCAAGCTGGAGGTCTTCTATGGAGTGCCACATTAGATAGGGTAACTCATCATTTTGTATTCTACAAAGCTCGAAATCCATAACCATAATTTCACACCAATAAAAGATCTACAATGCTTCTTGCTTAGTGAACAGACAACGCCACAGACGGGTATGCGTCGCTCATTATAACCCGTTCCTGCTCGTCAAACACCGTCAAGACGGTTGATAAAGTGGGAGTCCGACCACGACCTTCCATCAACGGCTTATCAATGCAGTCATGAATCCTAATGAAACACCCAAAATTGGGAATTGTAACTCTGAAATGCTGCTTCGCCTAATTGGACCCCTATAGAGACCAGTTATACAAAACTCGACTCATCATGAATGATATTCGTCTGCGCCACCGTGAAATGGCAATCGAGTCACAGCGGTAGAAGTTCTGAACGCCACCCCTGTCTAGCGTCATCGACCCCTCGCTTCTTAAAGGACCCAGAAGGCCGCCAAAGCGAAAGATTACGGACCAGCTTCACAGGCGCGGCAGCAAATTTACGCAACGTCACGAATTTCTGCGACTTCCTTCTTACTCACTACACAAACCTCGATCCTCAAGAAAAGACACACAAGCAAGAAGATATACGATATTTGAACGATGGCGGTACGAGCTCAGTTCGAGAATAGCAATGAGTAAGACATTTCTCGTGCCCCTCTTTTTATTTTCCATCTGAGTTTTGGTGGTTGCCCCTCATTGTTCAGCATGGGAGGATGCGATGCGCGCGTGCATTGTGCGAGTTGCTTAGTGTTTACGATGGCATACCGAGATCATGTGTGGCTAACATGCGATATCTAGGGTTGGTGTGTTTTCGACATTGACGAATTCTTATGCGCTGGTTGCGGTTGGGGCGAGTGAGAATTTCTACAGGTATGAATGGGAGCAAACATAACGAGGGGCGATGCTGATGGTAATAGCGTTTTCGAGGCCGAGTTGCAGGATGTAATTCCTATTATTCATGCGACGATTGCGGGGACGCGGATTATCGGCAGGATGACGGCTGGGTATGTTGACTGCGATTGTGAGAGGGGATTGTGCTGATGCGATGGTAGAAATCGTAAGGGTCTGCTGGTACCGACGAGTACGACGGATCAGGAGTTACAGCATCTGCGGAATAGTTTGCCGGACGAGGTCAAGATACAGGTATGGGCATCGCAATATTGGGGAAGATGGAATGCTGATGATTCATGAACAGAGAATAGAAGAACGACTTTCAGCACTAGGAAATGTCATCGTTTCGAACGACCATGTCGCACTCGTCCACCCCGATCTCGAGCGCGAAACGGAGGAGATAATCGCAGATGTACTCGGCGTAGAGGTATTCAGACAGACAGTCGCGGATAACGTCCTCGTAGGATCATACATGGCACTATCCAACCAAGGCGGAATCGTCCACCCTAAAACCAGCATCCAAGACCAAGACGAGCTCTCTAGTTTACTACAGGTTCCACTGGTGGCAGGAAGTGTAAACAGAGGTAGCAGTGTCGTAGGTGCGGGCATGGTTGTGAATGACTGGCTTGCGGTAACGGGACTGGATACCACGGCGACGGAGTTGAGTGTTGTGGAGAGCGTGTTTAGACTTGGAGAGGGCCAAGGCCCTGGAGCGATAAATAGCAGTCTGAAGGATACGATGGTGGAGTCGTTTTATTGAGCGGAAAGCAGTTTATGGGTGTAGAATTTGGGGGGCTAAGGGTAGACCTGATAGCTCTGGGATTTTGCAAGGCGTTGATGGGCTGCTGGCTTGATGAATTTAGATTCTGATCCGTCGTTTCATGTGTTTGGACTGTTGATATTCGTATTTTCTCTTGCTAAGTGATATGTGTATTCGATGTTTACTTAGGTACTCTTGAAGGGGAGCTATCCACTAGCTAACTTAAAGTGTTAGTCTAAATCATATAATACGGCCATTATTTTACTGCTGATTTCAACAGACTGCGTGGGATGCATATTTACATTTTAGAATTCGAGCAAATTGAGCAATTCGTGTTCTTCCATGCAAAGCTACTTGAATCTACAGAAGAAAATATCTAACAAGAATGTCGATCAAACGAGCAGCTACATTCCAGTTATGGTATAATTTTATTTATGCAGTCCCAAAAGAATATCTACTATCTTTGAAAGTCAAATCCTTGTCCGCTGGAACTATGTCTATGATACTACTCAAATGGCCTATTTGGGGCCGATCACGTGTTTGCGCGCCAAGCTAAATGCCATCTTCAACCTCCTTCGTCATCAGGTGTGCTGAATTTCCTTCAACAACCTCACAATGTAACAACTCCCTGGTTCTGACGATCGTCCCTTCTTGATTGCGGGGTTCCCTAGCATTGGGCTGTTGAGGTATCAATTGTGACGGCAGTTGTTATGTTTCCTTGATTTCCTGATCCCCAACAGCATTATTTACACCACCAATCGCACCATCAATACTTGCCAACCGTCAATGACAAAATGGATAATTCAACGTCTAATTACCCACCGCCGCCACCACCCTCGACCCCTCCTCTAGCTCCCAATATGTCGTTCATCAGTGGAACTACAATTGAAAATACGCCACCGGGACTCCCGCAACCGCAATTGACGAGTTCTATGTTTATTGATCCGGCTTTGAAGGAATCGAGTAATGCGACGGGGGTTGATGCTAGTAATGTTGACACGGGAAGTGAGGGTGTTGAAGCTGGCGGTGTTGTTGGTTACGTGCCTTCCAGTCCGCCTGAACGACCATTTCTGGAGGTCGGCTTGGAAGACACTACGGTCATTGATGGGTCTAGTCCACAAGCCGTGGGAGAAAGAGATGTGGGAGTTGATGTCAGTATGTGTGAGAGCAGAATTGACGAGAGGGAGTTGCCTGCGTTGAGGAGCGCGGATTCGATACTCAGAAAGGACTTTGATATGTCGTTTCAAAGAGATTCCGCTGAACTTCACGCGCATGGTGGAGGGGATACGACCGAAGATGATATACCGCCAGAATCCGAGGATAATGAAACTCAAGAAACGCTCGACGTGGGCTCCTCTCTTATCAGGGAGAACGAGGACTTATCCATGATCATACTTGGGTATGAGCAGAATCCCTCGGTTGTTGAGGTGGTGCTGTCTTCGGATGTTGGGTCTGAGCCGGAGGAGAAGAAGAATAGCGATTCTTCTGAGGTGAGGAGGAATGAGGAGTTTTCGAAGATTGATGTTGATCATCAGCATGACCGACCAGAGGCATCGATGCTGCCTACTTCAGATGCAGACCCGAAGTCGGAGAACAAGAGATCCGATCCTGCCTCTTTAGTTGACGGAGAAAGAGGGAGTCTTGGAGACGCGTTACCGGATGATTGTTGGGCTGCTGGTGGAGACGAGGAAGAGCCAGACACTCAGCCATTGCCCACTTCCTTTAAGGAAGACGAATCCGTAACATCTGATCTACCGAAACTTGTGGTTGACAACGATAATGAACAGAAATCATTCAACAGAGTCGAGATCCCTGACAGTGAAGTCAGCGAAATCGGTACTGCCCCAGATACAGAGACATTAAGCATTGAGAGCCCGATAGTTGCGGAAGATCCGAAGGCTACTAGCGCCAGAGAAAGTTTGGCATTAGATAGCAACTCTATAAGAGCTGAGAGCGTCACTGGTGCTTCTGACACTAATGACAATGCGACGTCAAATGTTATCATCGGCTCAGCTCCATCTGTTGAGAAGGCCGCTATCTCGCTCGCAGCCGAAGCTGCCTCTCCAAAGGAGAAGTCTCCATCAATTTCCGAGGTTGAATCTGTTCAAGCTGATAGATGTGTCAACGCTTCGCTTAAGTCACAGACTGAGGAGATTCATGTTTTGGTGAAACAAACACCACTTGGAACCGCACCCATTGCTGCCTCTCCAGAAGTTCCAGACACCCTAGTTGACAAATCCAGCGCATATCGAGTCGAAGAGACTCACCAGGGGAAAGAAAAATCTACTGAGAAGGGTGCGGAAGACTTAGAAGTGAAAGAGACAGCTATTGAAGGGGGTGTTCATGACAATACCCACCACGAAGCTTCTACGTCTACTACAGGCTTCGCAAGCCATGTTGACAATATTAAGAACACCATTGAGCCTTGCGCCAATGACAAAGGGACCAAAAGAAAAGCGTCAGTAGGCTCGACCAAAGTGAAGGAGATTCCAGACTCCACTGAAACTGCATCCTCATTGAAGCAGTCTTCGGATATCGGTAACGGCCGAAGGCTTGAAAACACGCCCTCAAAGACTCAAACCATCGAAGTTGATGATACCGCGAAGGTAGACGCCCCAACAAAAGGAGGTATTGAAATACCCGAAAGCCCTGTTGTTCCAGCGCCGTCTTCGTCCTCGAGCAGCTTTCAGCAGCCAAGCACGGTTGCCGATATACCTCCCACCGCCCCAGCTTCGCCTGTCGTCACTCGAAAAAGAAGTTCACGGCCGCGTGAAAACAATATGGGCACACCATCGAAAGAAGATACAACTCGATTATCGCCTACTAAAGCTAGCCAGAGCTTCGGCACACCCCCGCCCAAGAAGAAACAGAAGAGTGGCTCGGCGAATGTTGGTCAGGATGAGACGAATGAAGAAGCTGAGGAGAACGATGTGGTCAAAAGCAAGGATGACATTCTTATGGATGAATTGAAAGCTATAAAAGTCGCTTCTATACAAGCTCGGAATTCAAGCCTTGAAACAGAGATTGCGAAAGTGAGAGCGCAGCTTGAAAAGGTTACTGCGGAGCTAGAGTAAGTTGCATTCCTATCTCTCCTCTGTTCCTTGTCGCTAAACATGAATCTCTGCTGACCATCAAGTAGACAACCAGCTGCTGAGACTGTGAAAACACACATCCATCTGCTTCATCAATACAATGATATTCGTGATATTGGACAGGGTCTTATTGGCATGATTGCCGATAATAGAGGTGTCAGGATTGGAGAATTATATGAAGAATTTGGCGTTGGTTTGCAGGATTAAAATATGAGCAATGCTTGTTGATATCTGGGATTTGCTTGGGGGTGTGCTTGAATTTCGCTTGGGTGCTGGGAGTTATTAGATAGAGAGCTGGAAGATACCCGTTTGCTTTTTGCGTTTTGCATTGAAGGAAGATTATTATTGATTAACATATTCAATGAAAAACCATTGACACTAGTTCATTGATGAACATTAAATTTTTAATGGGTGCAAATCTCTCCAAGCAGTGCTTCCGTCAAGCCTTAAATTGGGCTTCGGGCGTTGGTGCCGAGGCGCGCGCTTGCCAAGACTGGCCTCCATTCAGGTACTTCACAACTCCACCACTTACGTTTATATTTCACGCGGACGCAACGCCGTCCCAAAGCCAGCATAAGTAACTTCATCAAGTGACGAAGTTATTTACGTGAAATGCTTCAATAGGACAACCATCGCCAGGTACCAAGGCTACCACATTCAATTGGCGAATCATGGCCTGAAATCTGTCAGCGATCAGTCGGTCAGCAAGGCTGAGTCTGGTGCGGGTGAAACGTCAGGTCGGTCATGACCCAAACTTCACGAGGCAATTGGTGCAGATCCGAGGCGCAGTTACCATGATTGTTGGAGCTGAAGGATGGGAACGAGGTGATATAAAGGTGTGGTGTTGTGGGCTGTTGGTGGATTCTTTCTTCAAACTTCTTTGTTGAGGAGGGGTTTCGAGTAACATTCCTCGATTGAGTATTTACAGCTGCGGATATCATACGACGTTAATCACCAGCTTCACACTACTCACAAGCTCAAGAATCCTTATAGCCATACCTTCCCCGCGCCTCAAAAACACCACCACAACCATCCATCATGGCAGTCCAACTCCAACCCGTCAACCCTCCTATGGGTCCCAACCTAGGTTTCTGCGTCGGCAAAACCACCGTTCTAACCATGAAAGAGAAAGTCTGGTCCCTCTCCGGCGACACCTTCACCATCACGGACGAGAACGACCAAGTCGTCGTCCAATGCAACGGCACCACCTTCTCCATGTCGGACCGCAAGGAATTCCTCAGTCCCGACGGTCGACCGCTGTTTAGTCTGCGCAACAAGCTGTTGTCGATCCATAAATCGTTTTATGCCGAGGGAGCTGGGGGAGAGATTGTGTTTGAGGTTAAATCGAAGTTTTCGTGTATGTATAAATCTATGTTTGGTGAATAGGGTTGGGGCTGACGTTTGTGTAGTCCTGAAATCGAAAATGCATGCTACCTTTACCAACGCCTCGGATAAACAAGTCGTGGAGTTGGAGTGTAGAGGTGATTGGTTGGATCGAAGTGCTACGATTACAGATTTGAAGAATGGACAGGTCGTGGCGCAGATTAGTCGGAGTCGATTTAATATGCGCGAGATCTTGGGCGGACAGCAGAGTGTAAGTTTGACCTCTTCTAACATTGAAAGTTTTGGCTAATTTTTGGGGATTTAGTATTATGTTGCGGTCGCGCCCAATGTCGATCTTTCTCTTATGGCGGCGATTTGTATTTGTTTGGATGAAAAGGAGAATGAGAAGAAGTGAGGGAGTTAAGTGGTATGGCGCTTGGTGTACTGGAATATGGACAATCTGGATTGTTCGGTTGGGAATCGAGCTACAGTGCTAGGTCATGGATATGGGTATGAGATTTACGGGAAAGGGCCATGCGTGTTTGATACCAATTTACTTCAATACAGTCTTTTACAGTTTCTCCTCGCTATTTCGATTTACACATTGAAGCCTAAACAATAGACTAACAGACGGTTGAGAATCTTATCTGAATCCGAGACTTGGTGGTACTTTTGAGGGAAGGTTGGTTGGCTTTGAGAGGAGACTCTGGGCTGAAGAAGGGAATCGAGCTCTTATTCTGGGGGTTATCATTACAAGTTACGAAGAGTGCCGAGTTATAGAACTTGACAACGGTGGAATGTTGTTGTTGAAATGGTGGGATGATTAAAGAGGATGGTATTGGATTATGTTCCAAAGGATAATATGATAGTTTTAACAGTGCGTCGCGTTAAAGATGGATACTGCTAGATACGTAGTGAACACTATGAATGGGAATGAAAAATAGATAAAAAGGCTAATGTGCAGATATTCCAAGGGTGTTTGAAGAGTAAGGTAGCTTAGGTACGAGTAGGGTTTCGTATAGTGGTGAAAGTATCATCTTTCAGGCGTTTAATCGGAAAGTTACCGCGCCTTGACTGGATGCTAGCGGCTTACTTTGCATTTTGAATGTTTAAGTTCTGCGCGGATTAATTGTCATACGGAGCTATCCATGGCTCTTACTTACCTAGGTACTTGGCAGGGCTGTATGATACACGTGATCCTGCCTTCCTTCCACACATTAGATGATATCCTAGGTCATACGTCAAGTGGTGACCGAGTAAAGTACCTAGTATATAGAAATCTGATTTATAAGGATTTAATGTTTGTCAAACTTTACTGGCGTGGAATCGCATACTGGCGTAGAATCGCATGCTTCCCCGCGTCGAGCGAGCGTAACGAGCGTAGCGAACCAATCATGGACGCTGGGACGCAACTTGAATGTTGCGTTACAATAGTGCATACTTTGTAGTATGTTGCTTTAGGTGGTGGTAGTAAGATGGCTTGGGATTGGGATGTGTATATAAAGATGATCTAATCGCTCCCAGGACATGTTGTTCTGTATTGAATTAGGAACAAGTCAAATCTACAGTTATAATTACTTCGCCAACGCATCCACGGCACCAACTTGTTTTATCATCCTACCTACTTGTTTACCTTGATACTTCCAAAATGGCAGATACTAAAGACACCAAACAAGATTTCCGTCTCGCGGGTCTAGCAAACGATGGCTGGTCGACTGAAGATGAAGCAACAGCAACCTGTTTCTGCGGCGCCGTGCAACTCGCATTCGTAAGTCTCTCTCATATAACCACTCGTGAAGAAGATAATTACTAACATCCCTCACAGCCCACCAAAGCACCAGGTCTCGTAAACACATTCGTCTGCAACTGCAACGACTGCCACAAAATCACCGCCTCAATGTACGCGTCCAACTTCACCATCAGGGACACGCATCTCCGCCACCTCCGCGGCCAGGAGAATCTTAAGCAGTTCGGACAGGAGAAGACGATTGGCAGCGGAAAGAAAATGACAAATTTCTTCTGCAACACGTGTGGGAGTTTGATGTATAGAGTTGGAGAGGCGTTTCCGGGAATGAGTATTTTGAGGATTGGGACTGTGGATGATTTCAGACTGATGGAGACGAAGTTGAAGCCGCAGGTTGTACAGTACGTGGAGCAGAGGACGAGTTGGGTGGAGGGGGTTGAGGGCGTGAGGGAGGTTGTGGGGATTGCTATTTAAGAGGGAGAGAAGGGTGGCTGGGTTTAGCGAGATAGGGGGTATGGGGAAGATGGGTGTATGAGGAGGGTAATATTGGATGGGTTTTGATGGTATGGTGTTAGGGAAACTGTGTTATGATCTGATTAATGAAGCCAATGATGAAGATGAAAATTAACTGAATCTCTGCTCCGATCTAAGTGGAGAACATAGTGATATAGCCAACGTATAAAGAGTTGGACAAAAGATTTGGTATGAGAAGGATTGATTGCTTTCAAGATCAGATAGTAGATTGAAAGTGGGTTTCGTGACGAAGAAATGCGTAAGACTTACCTAGAAACTTGACAGATCTTGGAAAATGAAATCCCATACCAGTTCAAGTCCCACTGGGTGTTGGATATCATTCTGAGCACAGCGTAGAGACTTCTCCGGGGGGGCAAATCTTCGACTTTGAGCAGGTAACGACAATAACCTTTTCGGTCTTGCTTGCTTGGTAGCCAATTGAGTTTGATTGACTCTTCTTCCATATCCACAACTCCTGCAAGACCATGGCACATACGCTAGAAGTTATATCGAGAAGACGAATATCGGTCAAGCTTCTGGGCCTCGATTGGCTTTTACAAGAGTCGGAGCAATGGAGCTGGTGTTAATTCTCCGTAACTTGGCTCTTCTTGTTCTTCGACTGACGAAATAACGGATGGTCATAACCGTCTTAGTGGTCTTGCCCGAGATGGCCCACCCTTTTCAGGAGAGCGTGAAAAAGATGCACGTTTATATCTCGTGTTCGGTAAGGGTCTCCGAGTAGTGTTTCTTTGATCTGCGGGGTTAGCTTGATGCGTTTTTTCTTCGGTGGGAGATACATATCGAAGTCATTTACTAGAAGGTAGAATTATGAGAGCGTAGGACTCTCTGAAGGTATGCCTTGTATTAGAAACTTAGAAATAGATGTTTGGAATCACAAAAGTCTCGTCGGATTTTAAATATTAAAAATTATAATCATGCAAACCGTTTTTCAGCCCACCGCAAAATGGCGCAAGCCCCCAGACCTCCACATCACGTGCCAAAATCTGGGGTAGTTCTAAGCTTCGGTCAAGCAAACACCGAACTATAACCCCTGGTCCTCCCCAGAAAGTTTCGTCAACCTGGAGCATCAACAACTCCTCTTTTCACTCTTTTAGCCGCACCTAACTAAGGCTCTTCCACCATGCTTAGCTACGTGCAGACCCGCCGTGCCAATGCGATCGCCCTTCCCCGTGAGTTCCGATTGCTGGAATTGACAATGACAGTCCGCGATGCTTCATTGGAAAATTGTGTTGTGCAGATGCAATTAAACACCTGCCTGTTTTGACGGATGAGGATGTGGTATATAGTTGATACCGATGTACCTGAAAATATGGAGGACACAGCTTGCACCGGCGTTGTTGTGAATCCTTACGATGCGTCTCTCTGGGCTTCTCCTTACGCTTTCGGCGCTCCTTTGGGGTTGCCAGTCGACGGACAATGGTCTTACTACTGCAGTTACGTGGGACAATTATAGTCTGAGTGTTAATGGCGAGAGGGTTTTCATCTAGTGGGTTGGTCGCATTGAGTCGGAAGCACTGGCTAACATTGTGTCAAGCTCTGGAGAGTTCCACTATCAGCGCATGCCAGTTCCTGAGATGTAAGTTCAAAAATATCAATTGACCAATTCCACTTTGCTAATAGTGTCCCAGGTGGTTGGTTAGTTTGAAAATACGCATCACATTCTTCTCAACTAAACAGTCATTAGGATATCTTCCAAAAGCTTAAAGCCAATGGGTTTAATACCGTCAGGTAAGAACTCCCTTCAGATGATAAAAGAACTTGGCTAATTTTCCAGCGTGTACTTCTTTTGGTCTTACCATTCTCCATCAAGAGATGTCTACGACTTCGAAACCACTGGAAGAAATGTTCAGCGCATGTTTGACTACGCCAAGGAAGCTGGTATATGGATAATTGCCCGTGCGGGGCCATATATCAATGCGGAAACAAATGGTGGTGGTCTTGCGCTCTGGGGTTCTGATGGAAGTATGGGCAATCTCAGAACAAGTGACAACGCGTACTACCAAGCATGGCTCCCATGGGTACTCAAGATGGGCGAGATCATTGCAAAGAACGAAATCATGAAAGGCGGAGTAAGTTTAAACTCATTCCTGCGATATTAACTGCTGATAGTATAGACTGTCATTTTCAATCAAATTGAGAACGAGCTCCAGGAAACTTCCTATGTTGCGACCAATACTCTGGTCAAATATATGGAGCAACTCAAAGCTGCATTCCTTCTCTCGGGGGTTACCGTCCCATTTTCGCACAACGAGAAGGGCATGCGATCAATCTCATGGAGTACCGATTACCAAAACGTTGGAGGAGCAGTCAATCTTTATGGACTTGACTCATATCCTGGTGGACTGTCTTGCACAAGTGTAAACTCTGGATTCAACGTGGTTCGTACCTACTACCAATGGTTTGCCAACTACTCTTACACTCAACCAAACCACTTCCCGGAGTTCGAAGGTGGTTGGTTCTCTCCATGGGGCGGTACCTTCTACGACGACTGCGCTTCAGAGCATGAACCTGGATTCGCAGACGTCTACTACAAGAACAACATTGGTCAAAGAACGACAATTCAGAACATTTACATGACTTGGGGAGGAACTAACTGGGGACATTGTAAGTTTGCACAGGACTAGCTGTGGAAAACTCACTCACCTTTGTAGCCGCCGCTCCAGTTGTTTACACTTCGTACGATTATTCCGCTCCGCTTCGGGAGACGAGACAAATCCAAGATAAATTATATCAAACCAAGCTGATTGGTCTATTTTCTCGGGTATCCAAGGATCTTCTCAAGACAGATATGATAGGAAACGGTACTGGATACGCAGTAAGCTACACTCATTGCTCATATTCGAAGTCTTGCTAATGTTCAAGGTCTCATCTACTGGTATATGGACATGGGAGATTCGCAATCCGGATACCAATACTGGATTCTACACTGTTCAACAAGCCAAGACTGGTTCTCGAACTTCCGTGTTCTTTTCTGTCAATCTGAACACATCAGCTGGCAATATTACAGTTCCCAATGTCAACCTCAATGGTCGTCAAAGCAAGATTTTCGTTACTGATTACAACTTCGGCAATCACAGTCTACTGTACTCCACAGCAGACGTTCTTACCTATGGTGTATTTGATGTTGATGTGCTTGTCTTGTACCTGATGGAGGGCCAGACTGGACAATTCGCGTTGAAGAGCAAATCTGGAAATGCCAAGTTCACAAGTGAGGGCGCATCAAAGATCAGCACTGCTGCTGGAAACAACACCATCACTGTTTCATACACTCAAGGTGCCGGCCAAACAGTACTTCAGCTAGATGGCATGCTCATTTACCTACTCGAGCAGAAGGCGGCATGGAAGTTCTGGGCCCCTCCAACGACCAACAGTCCAGACGTCAAGCCTGACGAGCAAATCTTCGTTCTTGGCCCGTACTTGGTCCGAAGTGCATCAATCACTAACGGTGTTGTACATATCTCGGGAGACAATGATAACGCAACCACGATCGAGGTCTATTCTGGAAACCCAGCTATCCAAACCATTGACTGGAACGGAATCCGTTTGAACGCGGTCAAGACTTCCTATGGATCAGTCACTGCCAAGATTCCAGGTGCCGCTGATAGAACAATTTCCCTTCCTCCTCTCGAGAACTGGAGATCTGCCGATTCTCTTCCAGAAAAGGCTGCGACCTATGATGATTCCAAATGGGCTGTTTGCAATAAGAGCATAACATTGAGTCCCGTTGCTCCTCTCACCAAACCAGTCCTGTTCTCTAGTGACTATGGATTTTACACTGGTGCCAAGATCTACCGAGGATACTTTGACGGTCAGTCTTTCACTTCGGTTGACATTACTGCCTCCGGTGGACTCGCATTTGGATGGACCGCTTGGCTTAATGGGGCATTGGTTGGAGGTAACGTTGGTAATGCAACACTCACCACGACCAGCGCCGTCATTAAGCTTCCTTCGGCATCTCTAAAGGCCAAGGACAACCTTTTGACTGTCGTGGTTGATTATCACGGGCACGATCAAACCTCTACAGCCAAGGGAGTAGAGAACCCAAGAGGTATACTCGGTGCTTCGCTTATCTCATCCAACGGCACTTCTTCTAGCAGTGCCTTCAAGACCTGGAAGATTCAAGGGAACGCAGGCGGGTCTGCTGATATTGATCCTGCTCGTGGTCCGATGAACGAAGGTGGTCTTTATGGTGAGCGACTTGGCTGGGCCTTACCATCATTCGTCCCTTCCACTCCTCAATTCGACCGCTCCTCGCCATTCGTTGGAATCAAAACCTCTGGTGTCCAATTTTACACCACGACATTCCATCTCAACATCGACTCTGATCTTGACGTGCCACTCGGTATCGAGCTCGGTGCTCCAGCTGGTACAGTTGCCAGAGTCATGATCTGGGTCAATGGTTACCAATATGGAAAGTATGTTCCTCATATTGGTCCGCAAACCAGATTCCCGGTTCCTCCTGGAGTCATCAACAACAGAGGTCTCAACACGGTTGCGTTGAGTCTGTGGGCTATGACTGATGCCGGTGCGAAAATGGACACTGTGAAGTTGATTACATATGGACAGTACCAGACCAACTTTAAGTTTAATCGGGATTGGAGTGCTTTGCAGCCTGGGTGGGACAAGAGCAGGTTACAGTATGCTTGAAAAAAGGATCAAAAGTAATGAAAAATGATGAACGTGGTAGAAGCATGGCCGAAGTAGGCAGCAGGGCGATATTTAAAAATGCAGTTAGGAAATTATGAAGCGAATGAACGTCTTAAAAGACACACAACTAGAATTGCTCTTGATCTTGAAATATTGCCCTGCGGATATTAATTCTGCAAAAATTGTCCGACGGGACTTATCTTAAACAACAAAGCTTTGATTCTGTGCTGTATGAAGAACGTCTCGCCACTCACTTGTGTGCAACCCCTACTCCGACCGGAATTCAAACTCGGCTCTCCAAGGCCGTTTGAATTCCTTTTTCCAGGGGTTTCCGGGTAGCCCTTCCACATTGAGAGTAGCGTCTGCTAGCGAGGAAACAAGCTCTCCCCACATATCGTTAGGATGACGAACGAGTACCGGTCAGGCGAGATGCGCAGCTGCGATTCGTTTGCCCCTCGCGTCCAGTCCAATTGGGGATTTCGTAATGCGGTCTGGGAGCGACGGAAAGGAATTTATATCGTACGTTGTTTGGGCTTTTCAAATTTACATTCTCTCCATCCTCTCACATAAAAGGCTTCCCAATCCTAGAAAGCGTTTCATCATTATTCACCATCTTTACTATAGATTTAATTGAGTTGTAAGTGGGAATTGCCCTGCCTGTTGCTCCCGATAAGATAGCACGGACAGACCCGCTGACAAGTACAAGCTACCCCACTTCTACACCAACAACTCAACACCACAAAGAAATAGAACCACAAGAGCTTCCGCCACTTTGAGTCTGACTTGACGTCTTCTCAATTCGATACCGATCATCTACTCGCCCACAATGGCTTCCCTCCGCGCAGCAGCGCGATTACGTCCACTCGCCTCGCGACTTCATCCTCAAACCACACGACACTACGCATCGGCCGCCGCAGCAAAAGCCTCCTCCTCCTCCCCTTCCAGCGAATCTCCATTCTTCCCTGACGAACCGGCTGGACCGACAGTCAAGACTGCTATTCCAGGTCCGCAGAGCAAGAAAGCGATTGAAGATTTGGACAAGGTGTTTGATACGCGGAGTTTGAACATGTTGGCGGATTATACCCAGAGTTTTGGCAACTACATTGCTGATCCAGATGGAAATGTTCTGCTTGATGTGTAGGTGGTCTTATAATTATGGAGGATGAACGCTAATGGATTTAGATATGCTCAAATTGCTTCCATCCCAGTCGGATACAGCAATCCTCATCTCCTTGAAGTAGCCGCTTCTAAAGCAATGGCATCCGCGATCATCAATCGACCAGCCCTTGGGAACTTCCCCTCCCATGACTGGGCATCTATTCTGCGAACTGGCATTCTCAAAGTCGCGCCAAAAGGTCTCGATCAGGTTTTCACTGCAATGGCTGGATCCGATGCAAACGAAACGGCCTATAAAGCAGCATTCATGTACCGTCGCCAACAAGAACGAGGTGGTGCCCACGTAGAATTCAGCGCCGAAGATATCGCTTCCAGCATGAACAATCAAGCCCCAGGAGCACCTCAGCTCTCTATCCTCTCCTTTAAAACTGCCTTCCACGGCCGTTTGTTCGGTTCTCTATCCACCACCCGCTCCAAACCAATTCACAAACTCGATATCCCCGCCTTTGACTGGCCACAAGCCACCTTCCCACTTCTAAAATACCCCCTGGAAGATCACATCCAAGAAAACCAAAAAGCCGAAGCCGAAGCCCTAGCAGACGTCGAGCGCCTAATCACAACCCATCATCTCCCCCCATGTGCCGTCGTAATCGAACCCATCCAGTCCGAAGGTGGTGACAATCACGCTTCCCCAGCATTCTTCCAAGGCCTTCGCACTCTTACAAAAAAACATAACGTCCTCCTCATCGTCGACGAAGTCCAGACTGGTGTCGGCGCCACCGGCAAGTTCTGGGCCCACGAGCACTGGAACCTAGATTCCCCACCTGACATGGTGACATTCAGCAAGAAAGCCCAAACAGCAGGATACTACTTTGGCAACCCAGACCTCCGCCCAAACAAACCATATCGTCAATTCAACACCTGGATGGGTGACCCTGCTCGCGCCATCCTATTCCGCGGCATCATCGAGGAAATTGAACGTCTTGATCTCGTCAGCAACACGAAGAATGTGGGTGAGTATTTGTATAATGGTCTCGAAGACCTGGCTAAGAAGTACCCTGGGGAATTCATGAATCTGAGAGGGAAGGGCCAGGGTACGTTCATTGCGTTTGACAGTCCGAGACGCGATGATGTGTTGAGGAAGATGAAGAGCGTGGGTGTTAATATTGGCGGGTCTGGCGAGAAGGCTGTGCGGTTGAGACCGATGTTGATTTTCCAAAAGCATCACGCGGATATTTTGTTGGATGGGTTAGAGAAGGTTGTTAGTGCTTAAGGATAAGGATTTTGGATGACTGTTTGTTGGGCGGGAAATTGGAGTTTATGTGGCATTTAATGAGAAGCATATGACGTGAATTCGCAGTTTGAATTCTGAGCACGTTTCCTGATTTGGTTTTTGGAATTTTCCTTTAATAATTCGAATTCGAAAGGCGACTTCCACATCAAATTACGACGAGGTGACGTTAGCAATGGTACGTAAATAAGCACATGCACATTCACATGTATTTTCTAACACTCATTCAATTATGTAACTCGGTTACTAAAATAAGTCCAGTTATGTTTATGTTTCCACTTCAAATCCCGTTTCATAAATAATAAATCTCACTAACGACAATTCTTTTCGATATATATATCTTACACTCCCCTAACATCACTCAACCCCATCAAACATTAACCTCCCCCCATCCAAATTCCTCCCACATCTATACCTTATCCCACCACTCACCTTCCCTCTCCCACAGCATCTTCCTCCCGCCCTGTTTAAATCGCTCGTCCTAGTAATTTGTAAACCCTAACCTAATTAAAAGTGTCTTACTGATGAATTCCGTGGAGCGGATATGCGAGTGAATCTTTATTATCCTTCGCACGCCAAGGTATTGCTAGCTAATTATGTATGTGATACCTGAGGTGTTGTGGGGAAAGATCGAAGAAGGTAAACAAAGAATTGGGTTTTGAAGGTGGTAAAGTGAGAGGACGTATCTCCCTTACAATGTCAACAACCCAAATGCCTAGCAATTCCATACTCTTAACCCCACACAACCAATCTCATCTAGATAACCCTAGACGAGGTAAGATCCAGCGAGAACGACACGAAATTCCCTTACCCTAATCCAAGAACCATCGTATCTCGACTCCACCTGACGGCAATCTATCACTACCTCATTTCATCCCCCCCCCCCCAAGATCCTCAACTTACATATACTAATCTCCCAATACACTAAAGGAAGAAAACTAAGTTTTCCCATCGAGAAAGTGTAATTTCGGTCAAATACGGAGCTCTCGTATTCTGACGCGCCTACTCTTAGCGCGGCGCGTGTGTTGACAAACACTGGCGACAAGTAAATATTTATATTTGCAAATTGCCAGCCCCGCAGAGTTGATGTTGCGTGATTTCAAGTTCGAGAATACGACTTCGAGATAGAATACCAGTGCTCCAGCTCTGCCGCTAAGTCTTTTTGTACATGGACCTATCACTGGAGAAGTCACGAAAACATATCAATCGACCGCACGAAGCCTAGCATAAACATCATTTTCCATTTCCATTTATTTACCACCTTGTTATCTTACACATATCACAATCTCTCCTTTTCCTCCTTTCCCTTCCTATCCACTCTCCTATTTGTTATGCCCCTTTCCCCTTCCCAATTGTATCTCACCACACATCCAACACCCCTCCAAATATTTTTCACCTGTTCCCCCTTCCCACACCCCCATTTTCCAGCAAATCATATATGCTTCCGGAATCCCCTCGCACAAAGTAAAATCAAGATTCATAAAAAATAAAAGCCAATACAATATCATAAAATGAGAAAAAAAGTAATCGTAAAAATACATGAGCTCAAAAATAAAAGCGCTTCCACCAATAAATGCCCCTCGTTAAAAGAGTCAATGATATCGTCGTTAAATGTTCCCCCGAAAATCATACAGAAAGACAAGATATCTGGCATGAAATTTCGTTCAAAGGGTAAAGACAAGTTCCAATGCATCCAAAAAGGGAATATTTTGTTGCGTATGTACGCAATGAGTAAACAGGTATCGTCGTTACGGTCCGTGATATTGAAAAATGCCCGGGACATGGAAGAAAGAAAGAAGAAGAAAAATCCTGGTATGAAAAATGAGGGTTTTTTTCGGCCGTAATCGTTAAAACGTTGAAGTTGATCGATGAATGAATATTCGAAGGAGATGAGTTTCAAGTGATTATTAGAAACATTAAGGGGCATATCGTCGGAAGCAGGGCAGTTGTGACACGTAAAATATTTCCGTGTAAACCATTAATGCGTTCGTTAAAAATTTCGGCGTAAAAGTCTAGAATGATATGCGTCTGGATGGAATGGATCGATTCGATAAATTCGTGAGGAAGGAAATCCCGTTTTTGTGTATGCTTCTTCTCCTGGATTTTGGTGATGAATCCGGGTGATAGTTGCAATGCTCGAAAATTGTCGTCATTATTAGAGGGCAAAGGACCAAGGAAACGGATAATTCCGTAACCAAGAAAACTCCATGGCTATGGTTTGCTTCCAGCTGGGGGCAGTGTAGGCGGATCTCCTCCTGGTGGTGGTTCTCGTGGTGGTTCCTGTGAAGGTTGGCTTGTCTGTCCAGATGATTCCGCGGCTTGTTTAGGTCGGATAGGTTGTGGCTCTGAAGCAAAGCTCTGAGGTGGAATCTGCTGTTCTTGTGGCTGTTGCATTTGGGTCATTGGAGCACTTGCTGCTTGGAACGTGTTTCCTCCAGAGTGCTTTGGCCCCCTTTGTGCTTCATCAGACTCACTTTCCAGTAAATCGCTAATCCTGGAACCCTTTGGTCTGGCAGTGGCTGGTCGCACATTTTTCTTTTTCACAGCACCTTCCGTGGCGACGGCTGAAGATTCACCTTGATACGGACTACCTGTCCTGGTAAGGTCGTTCGACGGGACAATAGGTGCCATTGGCGCAATGGCCGTAAATGGCTGGCGCTGTTCGTCCCTCATGGTACTGGGCTTTAGCGTTTTTGGAGTTAATGTCCTCGATGGTGGCAGAACCTCTCCTCGTGCAATTGCATCCATCTGGCGTTGCTCTACATCCGCCTTGGAAGGGCGACCGCGTTTCTTCGCCTGAGGAGCCGGTGGTAGTGAAGCAGACTGAAAGGGTAACGGAGATCCATTGGCAGAAGTTGGTTTCGGTCTTATATCGCGCGCAGACATGGGAGGGTTATCTTGACCAGATTGACGTCGCTTGGGAGGAGGTTGGGTCATTAACGGTTCTAGTTCTGAACCAGACTTTCGTTTACTACCTGAAGAGGTAAAGCCTGACTGTTGTTGGTGAGGAGGAGGTAAACTTGGGTATGGCGACCGTTGACTTGATCGTAAAGATTCGAACGCGTCCACACATGATTGCAGGGTCCTTCCTATATGACATGTCAGTCTTCCTATATCTCCCCTCTACTATCGGTTGATCCGCAGTCTGTGTGTTGAGGGCACTAAACGCTTCGCAAACGAGTCTCGGAGGATTAAACACACCATAGGGAAGGACCATCTGGCTCCAGTTCGGGACAATGCCACCTTCATTGAGCAACGACATGAGTCTTTCGACCGGAACATTGCTCTTCTTCAAAGCTTCTGCTAGAATGTTGCGCTGTGGAGGAGGAAAGTGTTAGTGTTAGACGCGTCTGGCGAGGTCAACGGTAGCACAGGGCATGCGCCGCGAGTGATAGTGATGCGCTTTGCAGCATAGAATAGATGGTATTGGATGGACGCTTCTGGAGATGGACATACCTTTTCCTGGTCCGTAAATGGAGGGCTATATTCCATGTTGTTTTTCGCGCCTCGTCCTGGAAACACTCTCGAGTGTACCAGGCGACGCAAAGGGGTTTCTGAGAAGTGTGGCAGGTCGAGTTGCCAGTCGCCAGGGGCAAAGAATGTGTGTCTGGCAAGGGAAGAAGGTAATTAAAGGTCATTAAGTATGGAACTGGTGTTGGTCGTTATCAGGACGGGGCGCTTGAGCTGGGGGGGGGGTAAGTGAATGTAAAGTCCAAAGCGGAAAGCGTCAGTCATATGCGTTTCGCATGTGTGGACATGAGCAAAAGAGCGTCGAGTCGTTGGACAAAGGGGTCTGGAAAGGAAGGCTGGATGGGAGAAGCAGCGTCTGGCCGCGTGAGGTGAAGCGCGCGATACTGGGAGCAGCCAGGTAGTGAGCAGCAGCAGCAGCAGAGCCAGGAAGGAAGCAAGACAGAAGGCCCAAAGAAGGAGGGTGTGAAGTAGAAGGGTAGGAGGGTAGGAGGGCAGGAGGGTAGGAGGTAGGAGAAGGGCAGCCGGCCAGAAAGGAGGAGGACCCTGGGAGAAAAGAGGTCGCAGGAAACGGACAGACTGGGACTGTTGAGCGATGTTTCGACGGAACCGCAACGACTCCTCTGGTGCACGCCTTCGCCCGCCCGTCGTGGACTCATGGGGATTCAGGGAGATGAGGCAGAGGGTCATTAGGGAAATGAGACATCGCAATTCTTTGCGATCCATGCAGCCAGCGGTTTTTTCGGGCTATTTGACTGGCGTAGAGCGGTAGAAGCGTCAGAATCCGGCGGCGGCGACTGGCAGACACGCTGATACCGTACAGACAAGCCAGACCAGCCAGACCAGAACAGAAACTACTGCAAGTCGTGCAGACGCAGCAATTTCGCTGGGATGCAACCAAGCGACACCAATAGGCAAGGTTGGGTCGGCGTGTTTGCATTACCCACGGCCCACACCGAACCGGCTTCGACCTGCGCAGCAAAAATCAACAAACAAGTCGAAGAGATACTGCCGTCTGCTGCGTGCGAAAGGAAGCAAAAGTGTGAATGCCCTCATCGCGCAAGGGGGGTTAGTGCGCGGCGGCTGATTGGGCGCGTGTTTCTGTGGGCGGACCTAGTTCTACTGGAGCTAGAAGGACGTTCTCTCACCCTCTCACTCGTCCTCTGTGTCTCTCGATGATCGCCAGACGGCTCCTTCTAGGGTTCAGAAAACCGGTAATTGGTCCCCTCCGACACCAGCAGCGTCAATCAGCGTGCAGAATCGTCCTCAACACCAAGCGTCGTGAGCCTCTCTGCCCCTCCCGGTATCCCCGTCTGATCTGAACCACACCTCCCCCAATCGTTCTTCGCATGCTCCATGCCACAAGGCTGATGTTTCTCGACCCGCATTGCGCGCTGCTGCTACCCTTTGTTTCGAGCCTCATCAATCCGGCGTACCTTCGCCGCCGCGTCGAACTCATGATTGCCTTTTCGCTCCGTTTGAGATATCGACCATCCTGCACCTCCTGACGTTGCTTGGACAGTCGCGGGAAGCACCACACTGGCTAAGGCCATTTTCGTTGGACCGCGATTCTCCGATAGCGAGGCGGCCGTTTCTGCGGCCCTGAGGGAAAACCGAGATGGCTGGCCGTCAGCGATGAATGGCGATTCCCGCTGCAGATTCCAGCAGATTCAGAAGGATTCAATTGTGCGTAAAGACCGCAACGACAACCTCATTTCTCCCTCCGTGGAATCCGCTTCTTATATCAACATATTGCGCGGGGCCGACGTCTCGCCAGTCCTCCTGCATTGTGCGCTGTCGCACGCTCATAGGAGTGGCAGCGCAGCTCTGAGCAGAAAAAAGGTGAACCACTCAAGCGACCCTTCAAAAATACTGCCCAAGCTTGACGTTCCTGATAGATGACGGATCTGGTAGTCAACCTCAAATCCATCTCATTATCCGCTATCCCGCGCTGCGAACCGGTCTTTGCGGTCCCGTGGTGCTTTCATCGAAAGCCACCCCTCCTTCCACTTCAAGTCATTGATCGGACGCCCAAAACATCGACCAGCATACAGTATGCAGCCTCTTTCCATCGAGTCGGCATACCCCCCGAGGACCCATCGAGTCACCCTCCACAGCGTCTCGTATACAACTTGGTCTTGGTCTTTGGGATGAAATAAGGTTATGGAGAAGAGGTGAGTGGGAGTTGTGGTGAACACTGGAAGCATGTACGTTCATGCCGGGACTTTCGTGTAATGCACGACACGTCTGGCAGTGCAATTGCCCACGATATCTCACAGTGGACGTCATAAATGGCAGGAGCCAGCGGACCTCATGGCACTGCTTTCAATCTATACCTACCGAGTAAGTTTTGGACAGATTATAAATGTCTTGTTCTCTGAAAGTTACAGACGAAATACACTATGTTTTGTCAAGCGAATTGACGAAATCTCGTATTTCGTTACTTGGCCGGAGCAGACATTGGATTTTAACTGCCACTTATAAACCAGCGCGAGGATATCTCCAATGATGGTCCAATGGGTATATCTGGGACAGACCGACCACACTGGTATCTTCAGCCCGAGGACATTCTATTGGAATGGCAGATCCGCCAGCGTTCCCTGCAGCTATCTCTCTGTCAGGATACCATTCTCTCTTTCGCCGAGAGGCAAGAGATGGCCACACATACATTTTGGTCGCAGTTGTAAGTCATATCTCCATATGTTCTACAATTTTCCCTCTTTGCGGCTGGTTGAGAGAGAACTTTGTGTTACCTTGCAAATCGCCAGCTCAACACCACGAACTCGGCTGGAATTCTACTGGAAATGTTTGGCAGGACAGTAGAAATGGGACTGGAAGGCTGCGAGCCGATTGAGCGCAAGTCAGGCTTTTCCATTGGTCGGATAGCTGGTCTTCACGACATCTCGAGTGCTCTGTACACATTTTTGGATTTTCTTTGCTTGAGGAAAGGCACGTCATTCAACTTCGGGCTTGCGGAATGGGACTGGAAAACTTCAATGATGCTACAAAGTGCCTCGAACTGTGGTTGCAGGTCGGCGTTGCATAATTCGGGTTGGTGTTCTTGGACGGCGTTAACCGGCGCGCGCTAGTTTGGCGACCAGGTTCAATAATTACTTCTCCTTCTTACATAGCAATCTGAGAGCATTCAACCAATTTGGAAGAGGATTCGGAGGTGATCAAGTGCAGATGATATGTGATCGCATTGCGTCTGGACACAACTGCGAGATCTGAGCTTGAGCGGGAAATGCTGCAGAGGTAATTGTCGTGGTGGATTTGCGCTTCCATCTTTATTCCATCATCTTTCGTTCCCGCACCCTCGAACCCTTTCACCTTCTCTTCTACACCCTCACTCCGCGCCTCGAGTCACTTTTGCGGGAGCGCCATTCATGTCCGCGTCTGCGAGCAGCCCAGCTTCCGCGCATTGCTCGTCTCCTCCCGCCGTCGTTCGAAATCCACCTCCCTGTCTTCTCAGTCCTCGAACAAGGCGCAAACACCCGCATCCTATTCACAACCACTGTCCTTAGAAGATCGACCAGTCTCGAGTATCGCATATTCTTTAATCACAACATCGTTAATTATAATACCTGCGGTGAATTGCTACCACCTTGTCTGTTGACCAAGGAAACAACGAGTCTGGACATAAGATCACCCACGTATTCCGAACCCAGCGGATCGCCACGTTCGCTGAATTTACATCAGCCACCCGCAACCTGTTTGCGATGGAGGAAGATCACGAGGATATCAAGGGCGAACCTGTCGATGCAGCGCTGGGCGACATGAAGCTGGAAGAAGGAGCTGGTTCATCCGTAGAGGGAACCACTATCGTGAGCGGCACATATGACGAGCGGAACACACCAGTCGAGCTGAGAAAATCTCGATCCTCAACCCCAGCGACAAAACATTCCGCCTCACAATCTCCTGTAAAAATGGAGAGCGAGAGGATATCAACCGCTTTGAGCGACGATGAGATGGAAGAAGTTGACGGTGATGAGAATACGGTGTCAGTTGAACCAGAAAAAATACCGAAAACTTCACGAAAATCCGCGCCAAAAGTCGCGTCTCGACCACCGATCCTCTACAATGATTTAGAAGATGTGGTTGAAGAAGCTGTCACGAAATTTGATCTCCTGCAACAATGTCGTTATGGCTCCAAGAAATTGGGAGCTTCTAACAGTGACCCATGGGATTGTGATTGCCCAGAGGAGTGGAGTAGGTATTCCCATACCTGAGTCTGGTGCAGTTTATGCTAATGGTGCCGCAGTCGACGGCGTGAACAACGCATGTGGGGATGATTCTAATTGTATTAACCGCATGACAAAAATGGAATGCATTGTAGATAAGTGCAAGTGCGGTGATACTTGTCAAAACCAGAGGTTTCAACGGCAAGATTATGCTGATGTCTCTGTCATTAAAACCGACAAAAAGGGCTACGGTCTTCGCGCGAACACCGACCTGGACGCTGGAGATTTTGTCTTTGAATACATCGGCGAAGTCATAAATGAGCCGACCTTTAGGAAGCGCACGATTGAATATCACAAGGAGGGAATCAAGCACTTTTATTTCATGTCCTTGGGAAAGGACGAATTTGTCGATGCTACGAAAAAGGGTAATCTTGGTCGTTTTTGCAATCATTCTTGCAATCCCAATTGTTTCGTGGACAAATGGATTGTCAAGGACAAGTTGCGCATGGGCATTTTTGCGCAGCGCCCCATCCAAAAAGGCGAAGAATTGGTATTCAACTACAACGTCGATCGATATGGAGCCGATCCGCAACCATGTTATTGCGGCGAACCAAATTGTGGTGGTTTTATGGGTGGGAAGACGCAGACTGATAGGGAGATTGATTTGCCCACTGCAACTCTGGAAGCGCTAGGTATTGAGGATGGTAATGGATGGGGTCCTGCAGCCGCCAAGAAACCCCGGAAAAAGAGGTCTGGGGAGAGCGACGAAGAATACATCAACAGCCTCCCAGCGCAGGAACTCGATGAAGATGGAGTACGAACCCTCATGGCGACTCTTATGCAATGCAAGGAGAAATGGCTTGCCGTCAGATTAATCACACGACTGCAGCGATGCGACGATGATAGGGTTCGCAATCGAGTTGTTCAGATGCACGGTTACCAGATCCTGCGAACAACACTTAATACCTGGGAAGAGGACAACGACATCATCCTCCGGATTCTCGATATCCTTTATAGATTTCCTCGTTTAACAAGGAACAAGATCAGTGACTCCAAAATCGAGTCTGCTGTCGCTACATTAGTCAATTCCGAACATGAAGATGTCGCATACGAATCAAAACGGCTGATTGAAGCTTGGAGTAAGCTAGAAGTCGCATATCGAATACCCAGGAAGAAGCATGATCCAAATGCTGTTGATACCTACGAGCGACGGCCGTCGGAGCGTGAAGAGGAGGTCGCCAAAAAACCCGTCAAGCCCTTTGTAGCGCCCACGGGGCCGAAAAATAACACTCCTCAGAAAGCATTTTTCCCGTCAAGAGCGCCACCACCGCGACGCAACTTTCCGTTAACCTTGCCTAGGGGTTGGTTTGAAGCGAAGGACAAGAGTGGAAACACATACTTTTACACTCAAGCTGGTACTGTAACCTGGCACAGACCTACATTAGCCGCTGTTGAGCCGCCCCAGCCCAAAGCAATACCAAAGAGTGTCCAGACCGCGAGAACTCTTCAGGATATCATCCAAAGCATCACAGCTGAGCAAAGTTCCCAGACGCCGACCCAGAGTGCGACAGCCGAATCTACACCCAAAGAAAGCAAGAAACCGGTAGAAAAATGGCGGTCATATCCAGAAGAGAAGCAAATGAAGTTGTACGAGAATACTGTGAGTCGTTTTATACTCCTTGGTTGATTAAGTGCTGATAGTATTGTAGCTCCTTCCTCACATTAAATACGTGATGGCGAAATTCGCCAAGTACCTCCCTAAGGAGGACCTCAAGAAATTTGGTAAAGAGGTCGGGAAACTTCTTGTCAAATCGGATTTCAAACATAAACGAGTCGAAGATCCTACGAAAATTACCGAAAAACAGGAAAAGAAAGTAAAGAGCTTTGTGCGCGATTATTTCGAAAAGGTTCTCAAAAAGCGGACAGCTATTGACCAGAAGAAGAAGGAGAAATTAGCCAATGGTTCTTCAACTTCAGAGCTGAATAGCACCGTCTCACCGACTGATGAACCCATAAGCAACTCTCCAGAAGATATCGATGATAACATATTCAGTCCTGAATCACCTCCGCCCCAAATGTCACCGTCAATACCTCCAGCCACACCACTCGAATCACCATCTCGCAAACGCACACACGACGAAATCAATACCCCCGACAGCGAATCCAACAAACGTCTCAAAGAAGGCGAGTCGGACGCTGTTCCTACACCACCTCCCCCGCCACCTCCACCCGAGCCAGAGGAGACAGAAGAGACAGAAGAGGAACGCGAACTGAGACTTCAAGAAGAGGAGTTAATGAGGGAGAACGAGGAAGCGGAACTTTTGGATAAGGACGGCGAGATTGGGGATGCCGTGTTACCGAGTGGGGACGTGGATGTGGAGGCCGCCGAGCTGGTGAGGCGGAATAAACAGGAGTTTGAGGCGAATCAGGGCGTCGATGTGGGTGCTAATGGCGTATATATTGATGGGGATGGGATGGAGGGGTTGGAAGGCCCGGATCTGAGTAATGGGACTGCGAATGCGAAGGGCAGATCTGAGGAGGTTATGAGTCATTGATATACTCGATTACCTGCCTGCCTACCTATTTACCTGATATAGCTTATACTATTATAAGACATGTTGCTCTTTTTCATGTTGATTTTTTCGGCGGGATAGGGGTGTGTGGTGTTTTCTCAGTGCGAAGCCTCGTGTTTCTGGACTCTGGACTCTATCCCCCCTGTGCGAGTCACCACAGCCTAACGGAACTTCACATTCCCAAGAATGAGCAAAGCCGCTATTACTTCGGATAGTTATAGCTCTTGTCGCACTCGGTCCATGCCTTCGATTGTGCACTATTCTTTGTTACTGTGGATGTAAAGTTCTAGCGTTAAGAGAGCGCGTGTATTTTTATATAATGATAGATAAACTTTGCCCTGACTTAGTGTTATAAATGTAACTCGGAATTAGCACTTTGATCTTAACAGGCTGTCTCAGCGAGCTATACTGGCCTGTTCATCTTGAGAGCTTGTAACAAATCCACCTCTCCCTTTTAGATATCTCCCACACAAGATGAGACACGATTATACGATCAACGTCTTAGTAAACACCTTAGCCAATCTTCGTAGACTTTGAAGTTAAGGCGTAACACTGGTACATGGCACTGAGCTATATCCACCCTAGCAAGTAACAACACAATTTAAAATCAGCTATTGGTGAGTTGGTGTTTGATGTCTGCTTAGGCATCAAGCTGTCATCCTTCAGGGCTGCTTGTTTATGTATGTATGCTACGCAGATCTACGAGCACTCTTGCCGAACGATCACGATACTTGTCGGTTTACACGTCAGGATATAACATTTCGACGAGAATGATATTATTTTACTTTAAGCTATAAATGACTTAAATTAAGAAGTAAATGGTTTTGACTGCTAGATGAAGTTTCGTGACCAAGCTGGAGAGACAAACACCGATAGCGTCGGACGAATTAGAACGCCGTCGCTCTGGGGCTACAACAACCTTCTATGTTTACCGAGACGTCGTCATGAACTCATCGTCCATACTAAACCCAAAAACCATCCACTATCAAGCCATAAATAAATCAACAAAATCTCCTTCTCACAACTACACCACCAAACTCCCCTCCCCCAATCAAAAGCTCTCCACCCACCCTCAAACCCCGCTAAACCCAATGCACCAAACTTTTGCATCTCGCGCAACAACTCCGACGTGCAACAAGTCTCCCAATTCCCGGCCCCTCCCGTCAGCCTGCATGAGCCCGATGTAACGTGGGGGCCGAGAAAACGGATCCTTGTGCGTGGACGCGAAAAATAATCGACTGAAGAGCGCAGAGAAGGAATAATTGTCGCAACGACGAAGAGGAGGAAACGGGCCACGCAACAATGGGCAAGAACAAGAGGTTGACGGGGAAAACGCCAAAACGACCAAAACACCCCGCGACGAAACTCTCGCGGCCAAGTGGTGTGGTGAAAGCGCATTCGAAGCCCGCGAAGAAACATGTGCAACACGCCCATACCGCCCCGACAATCCCTTTCCAGACCGACGATCACATCCTGCTAGTCGGCGAAGCGGACCTCTCTTTCTCTTCCGCGCTGCTCGCTCTCGGATTTCCGCGTCTCACGCCTACGGTCTACGAGAGCTCCGAGGGGGAACTATGTGAGAAATATCCAAGCGGTGAGGGGGTGGGGGGAGCGCGGGGGAATATCGATGTGTTGAGGGAAGGAGGGGTTGTGGTGCGGTATGGCGTTGATGTGACGAGGAGGGGGTGGATGAAGGGGGGGATGAGGTGGGAGAGGGTGGTGTTTAATTTTCCGCATGTGGGGGGGAAGAGTACGGATGTTAATAGGCAGGTTAGGTATAATCAGGGTATATTGCCTCCCATTCTATCCCCCCTAAGTCAAATCTAACATGCGCAATTAGAGCTATTAGTATCCTTCTTCAAATCTAGCATCTCTCTCCTCTCGCCCACGCCCGGGTCATCGATCCTCGTTACGTTGTTTGAAGGCGAACCGTACACGCTCTGGAATATACGCGATTTGGCACGGCATAGCGGACTAGAAGTCCTGCGTAGTTTCCGGTTTCAGGCGGGGGCGTATGAGGGGTATAGACATGCTAGGACGTTGGGCGTGGTTAAGGGGGGTGGTGGGTGGAAGGGGGAGGATCGGCTGAGTCGGACGTATGAGTTTGTTAGGAAGGGGGAGGGGGTGAAGCAGGGCACGGGGAAGAAGGCGGGTAGTGATGATGAGGAGGATGAAAATGAGATGGGTGGTGATGAAGGGCAGGGTGGGAGTGAAGCCGAGGAGGTGATGGATGAAGGCCATGAAGGAATGGTCGAAGATGAGGAACATGCAAGCGGCGCTGACGACGAAGATAAAGATGGTTGAAACAGTAACATCCGGTTGTTTTTTTACACAAAACCGCTATTTTATCCTTAACGCCTTTAAGCCGATGAGGGCTCCGCTTCCTACCGCGGCCATTTATCAACACCTCCACGACACTCAAACAAATGTCGCCTATCTAGCTTCAACATTGTCAATTTGACATCCTCCTCTCAGACATCCTCCAGCAATTCCACTATGCGATAACTGTCGAATCGACAGGTACTCCAGGAACTACTGGCAACGGAGCACCGTTCATGACCAAGCCATTGTCCATGTTAACATTGGATGTGGCTAACAACTCGGTACCTAGCTCCTCCCCATCTGGATGTAATACGAACATTGGCGACTCCATAGTATCTCCATCGAAGATCACCGTATTTTGGATAGGCTGCTGGCGAGCACCTAAAACATTGATAACATCTTGCGCAAGCTGGCCTCCGAGAACAGCTGCGACTGGAGATATCTCAGTATTCAGACCGCCGAGGAATTTTCTCAAGACTTCGGATTTCATAGTCTCCTCCGGCAAACCAAGAGCCTTATGTTTTGCTGTTGCTAGCAGCGTGAAGCTTGCAATGTCTTCGCGGATGCTGGGGCTGGGGAATCGACCGTTGTTCATATCAAGAAATGCCCATAGAGCTCGAAAGCATGATAATATCGGCGTCACGGCCTTTAGCCGCCGTCTACTTTTCAAAAACTCTTCGGGAAGCCGTGCGCCATCGCTGCAAAGAATCCAGGTCGCATATTCCTCTCTTTTGGTCACCAACTCAATATTCTTACCATTTTCCTTCTTCTGTGACACATTAACCACGCTTCGTGACCGCGTCTCCTGGCCCAAGGTTGTAGGCCTGTTTCCCTTTTCTCTCTCCACTAAATAGTCGTGCTCAATCAAATCTGAGAATATAAAGCCGTACATGCCATGTAGCCCAGCAGCATAAAATCGTTTGCGGTAAAACCTTGTCATCGTATTGATCAGCCCCAGTCGCATTGGCGCCAGGTCAATCGCAATGACCACATCGAACTGGGAATAGTAATCGCTTTTCACTTCTGCTTCCGGAGTTGTGTCTACCACCACCTTCACTCTAGGATTCAGCTTCCTGATCTGAGGCGCCGCGGCCTCGGCTCTATTCCTTCCAACATCGGCCTGAGATAAAAAGAACTGCGCGCCTAGATCGGCTTCGGTGACAATGGCGCTATCGAGAATTGTGAGGGTGGAAATGCCGGCCAGAACTAGGTTTTTGGCAATTTCGTTCGAGAGGGCGGAGAGTGTAATGAGGAGGATGGAGGCAGATCGGATTTTCTCTTGCGCCTGGACGCCCCATAGACGGATTTGTCGGTCGTAGAGGGCGATTTCATCTGTGAAAAATTAGTTTGTTTGGACTCGATATGTATGGTACTGAAAGTGCCACGAAGTGCGATTGCAAAATAGAGATTGGGAGTGTAAATACCTGCACTGATACCTGCTGGAGCCGTTTGGGAAGGCACTACAGGTGGATCTTCCATAGCGACAGCTGGTACTTGCTCCCGCACTGGGAGACTTGATTCCCCGTTCAGATCCTCCATTGTGAACCACTCCGAAGATTGGATGTGAAGCTTCAGAAATTCGTTTGCGGGAGAGACGAAGCGCGAGAATCACTAAGTTTCCGCGTAGAGCGCTATTAGCAGCTGCGCATGGTCCTGAGTTATGAGGTTGGTTATGCCTCGGCGAGCTCAATTACGTGTAGTGACACGAGTATAGCGGACTTTCGAGTCGATCAACAACAAACAAAAGTTATGGTCTTCTCGAATCCAAAATGAAGCTTCGAGAGGTCGGTGTTTGGAGATGCCGATGGTGGGTCGCTTGATGATTGGTTTTCCAGGTTTCATCAAAAATTGCAGTAAGCTGATATCACCACGTGACCATTTTCCCCTGCCGAGTATTAACGGTGCTGAGCTCCACCCTTCTTCTGGTGCCCCATCTTTTGTTCCTCCCCTGAATCAACCGACGATGCCATTTCTACAAAGCATGACGGAGGATTTCTATTGGTGCCGTGAACGACGATGGTCCGAGCACTTTTGCGGCGTCGAGTTAAGCTCCATATGGTGACAGTTGAGAGCTCATATATCCTTTCTTCGTTTTAACCAACATTCTTTAAAGTCTTGCCTTTTTCTTTCCTCTCTATATTTTGCGATCGATTGACGATACAACGTGTCCCATATCCAAGTAAGCTCGAACTCAATATGGAAGGACATGTAGTAGATGATCACAATAGCTCGTCGGAACATGTGGAAGTGCCCAAGAGACGCGAGAAAACTTATCCAGAAATTGAGAACCGCAAGAGGAAAAAGATGCCCAAGGTCAGGACGGGCTGTAAGACATGCCGGTACGTTTCAACTCGTTATGATATCCAAAAAAAATTAACGTTTCGTTTCCATCATAAACACTGGATGTTAACAAGAGAGAGTACTGATTTGAGACATAGAATACGACGAATAAAGTGTGACGAGGGGAAGCCAATCTGCTTAAAGTGCCAGGTGAGAAGGTGTATTTTGGCCGTTTGTGCACTGTACTAAAGCAATACAGAAATTCGGCGTAGAATGTGACGGTTATGTAGAGATTGAGCCACCTCGTCCACGTCAAGTCATTAAGCCACTTCAGCCCACGCGTCACACTCGTTTTATCATTGATCGACTTCCAAACATGAGTCCCCATAGGAATGAGCAGGAATATCGCTATCTACGATATTTTCGAGAGGAAACAGCCAAAGACCTAAGTGGGCTGTTTGAAGACAGACTATGGCTACGCATCATTCCACAGGCATGCTACGAAGAGGTGGTTCTGCGAGATCTCACCATATCCATTTCGGCTTTGATCATAGCCAACAATTCTTCAGTAGAAGGTGCACCACATCGAGAGTACGCCTACAAACGTTACTCGAGCTCTGTTTGTCGGATTCGGGATGAATTGGACACCAGGCACGAACGTGATGCAATTCGAATCGCTCTGATCTCGTCCATACTGATATTTTGCTTTGAGAGTTTTCAAGGCGATCATGAATTGGCAATCAAGCATATGGAATCCTCGCTTAAGCTGATGCGAAAGCGATTCCTAACTGGCAAGCACACATTTTCTGTCATTCGGCCACAGTCAGGTTTACCACATATGGAGCACGATCTGTTATCTGTGTGCGTTCGCATGGACAATAGTCTGACATCGAGACCTGGATTGAATGGGATTCCCAGGACCAGCATGTTAGACATCGACTATGGCGCCGAAGACTTCGAGATTCCGACCAAGTTTACCAGCATCTTTGAGGCACGAAACTATCTCGAGCATATCCAATACGTCGCAATGCCTGTTCTCGGGAACTTTTCTGAAGATTCCGCGACTAGAGAACTATCTCCACAACAGGAGAAATTGCGAAAGACAGCTGAATCCCAGCTTCAATCATGGCACAGAGCTTTTGCACCATTCATCGATCATGAGAAGACTGAGTCTGAGTTTTCGAGAAACACTTCCATAGCTAAAGCTATGTCACTACGGTCACACGTTCTCGCGACTGAGATAGCAGTACGGGAAATAGATATTGCAAACTCGATTATAGGTGTCGATGAATTCGTGTCTATGTGCTGGGAGATAATAGCAATCTGTAGACTTACCATCAAAGATACGAGCTTCGTTAAAAAGTGGGTTTGGGACTGCGGTATAATTGCACAATTGTTCATCGTCATTTCGAGCTGCGATATCAGAAACGTCCGTCAAGAGGCGGTTGATATTCTCAGAAAAGCAGGCCCAAGGAGAGAGTTTCTATGGGATGCTGCGGCTGTGGCCAATTATGGAGATGTGCTACTCGGAATTTAAACAATTCACGGCGAAGCTGTGGCTCCATCAACTACGACTCCAGATAAGTGTCGCCCTAATTCGATCATTGACTGGTGTTCGGGACAAACACGGCCTTCACGAATCTCATTGACCTTGCAACACGAGACAAAAGCCACCATGTCGAATTAGCTTAATCTTGCATTCATTACTGAATCTTGTTTTCATTTTGGCAAACTTGAGAAGTCCCTGAAATGGAGTGGTGCCTGGCTCAAGGTGGACAAAATAAGCAGAAGTCGAAACACTTTGTTTCTTCGATCAAACTGACGAAATTTTGTATGTTCCGTCGATTATTCTGAGTGAGTAATATGATTTCGAACTCTGTTTAGACCTAATTAAGGTAAGAGTGCCTCCGTACGCTTAAGGGTAAGGTTAGCTAATAGAATGGTTGAAAGGTAAACGGATAATCTTATATCGAAGGAACCCCATTTTTGCCGTCTACTCTGTAAGACTCTTCTACTTCGCGAAACCTAGATGTAAGTCACTTTTAAACTCATCAATGTTAAGGCGAAGAGGTAATGGTGGACAAGTGCGTTACACACTTTCTTATTGGAGACCTGGATTAGCCAAGGCATAGTTAGCCCACCTTACGTAAAAACGACCCAGTACGGCAGGTAACAGCCACACAGGCCGAGCTAGCTTGTTCATGACAGCGTATAGGCGTGTCAGGTTAGCTAGTGTTCTACTACGTTACTTACGTCAAGTACGAGTAGACAAATGGGATTCTAATGCCTGCTGACGTCGAGTTCAGGGTTAGCTAAGGCATGATTGAGGGGAATCCTACGAAGAAATCATATATATGAAGAATCCATCTACAAATGGAAATACTTTAACCATCCCCGAGACAACGGTCATCATGTATATTAATTCCATCATGTCGTTCCAGCGGCCGTCGGCTGTCCTCCTTTTCGTGGTCGTCGCTATACTTCTCTGCTTAGTCGACCCCGTCATAGCAACAAAGATCAGGAATGGCGCCGATCCCACTGTCATGAAAATCGGGAACACTTATTACTCTGCCGAATCGTCAGGAGGTGGTATCGATGTTCGTGCCGCATCATCCCTAGAAGGCCTCGGAGCCGCCAACGTTCAACGACAAAGAGTATGGACTGACAACAACAACCGAGGTGATGTCTGGGCTCCTGAGATAACCACGGACCTGGGTCGAACTTTCATCCACTTCTCGGCAGGGAAGGATGCGGCTCATCGCATGTACGTTATCAGCGCCGACTCCCCCCTCGGCTCGTACTCAACGGAATCGAAGCTCGCACTGCCTGACGATCAGTGGGCAATCGATGGCACCTTTTTCGTTTTTGAGGGCCGTGGGCTGGTTTGTCTGGTCTGGTTGGGAGAGCGAGAGCCGCAATACCGAACAGAATCTCTATATCTGTCGTATGGACAGCCCGACCAAGCCCATCGGCTCACGGTTTATTATTTCCCAGCCCCGAGAGTCTTGGGAGCGAGGCGACCAGCCTTACATTAACGAGGGACCTGAAGCCATCGTCGATCCGGATGGACAATTGCACATTGTATACTCTGCGAACGGTAGTTGGGCGAGCAGATACTGTCTTGGGGATCTCCGACTCCGCAAAGGCGGCGACCCGGGATATGTATGGGATTGGTACAAGTCGAACGGATGTCTCTTCGGTTCACACCAAGACCGAATGATGAAAGGTTGGGATGCGACTCTTTCCATCGACGGGCCTGGACACCATACTTTTGCGCTCCCCAACGGCGCCGTGAACCAAAGCCCTGGCGGCACGAATCATATCCCATTCGTGTTCCATGGCGTACCGAAAGGCACGCCGTACAGCTGGGAGAACCGCGCTTGGTTTACAGGGAGTTTTGTGTGGTGGAGCAAGACTGCTTACACACGTCAGAATTCACCGGGCGATGCGAGTAATACGGGGTTTAGCTTTAAGTTTTTTGAGTAGGTATATAGTTTTTACGATTTTATGGCACAGAACGACGGGGTGAGTTCGTTGTATATATCGAAGATTTTTAATGCTATTTCTCTATTTCTCTTATTCTGTGAAAGTGTCTTGACGAGTACTTTCAAAGGAATTACCCTTCGATCAATTTAACATCTCGAGTGTTCTGTTCATTTATTTTACCATATAAGACTGCCAGAATTTGCAAGATAATAGATAGAAACAACTACCCGCTCTAGATTGTACACTCTTAGTTGAAAGAGTGCTCACAATATTCTACTATCTACGTAGTCCACTATGACCTGCAACATTCCTAGGGTATGAAATGCTACATTGGATACACAGATACATCATACCAACGAAGACGTGGTCTACTACGTGACATTACCTCTTCGGAAAGTTTGATTTCTTTGGCTACGTTACACTCACCGTTGAGGGATTTATCAAAAGCTGAGAGGCGGATACGACATATAAAACTCACATTACAATATGTCACTCGAAACACAGTATCATACTCAAAATACAGTATACTACTTACAATGAAGCAGTATACTATATTGATGAACAATAAGTGCCAAAATAGTTGTCTTTTCTGAAGCGCCCAATACGTGTTTCCATCTGGCAAGCTTCATAATTACACAACCTTTTCCTCACAAAAAACACACAAATATGGGTGGGTAAACCCTCATACGTATTCACAACTTCCACGTACAAAGTGAGTTAACACGTCTGCTCCATCGAGTGCAACGGGGCTTCAAAGCGTCCCTCATAATTTTTAAGTTCTCTGTGTTATATCTTGTCACGCAACAGGGTCAACATACCGGACCACGGAGATTTGCTTTTAGGACCACAACCTTCCAACACGGCCGCGAAGATCAAGGTACGACAAGCAGTCGAAGTGGCCGCGATGCTTAAACACGATCGCTATCACTTCCCACCGGGAAGCAAACTCGACGGCCCAAAATAAAGAAGAAGCTGAAGAACTGTTTCCCAGGAATGGGTCACTCCAGGCACTCGCAAAGACCTCGACGCGCAATTGAAACCGGTGTATCACTGAGATCATAGTAGTAGAGATCTTGTGAAGCAAAGAAATTAAAGGCAACATGTTATGGAAATCCATACATACCACTAAGGGGAGTATGAAGATGTGAATGGGCGTGAAGCCGGCCGGACTTGCTCCTTTCTCATGTTAGAGTGTTCAACTCTGCGGACTGAAACCAGTTCACACAAGGTTAGTGAGAATAGATCTCTTGGATAAGATCCAACCCTCACAAACATAATTTCTGAGGAGTGTGGGTTTTATTGCGAGGATAGCGAGTATCAAAGTCAGGGGTTGTGGAGATACGGAGAGGGCGGGTATAGCTTTATAAAAGGTATAAATTTACTGATTCCTCTTCCAGAGTGAAGAGATTACTTAGTAACGACTGCTTCAAGAAAGTGTATCAATATGCGTCATCTCTCACAACATCCAAATCTTTCATCAAACAAGAATCGGTCAAGAACACTTCTTAATGACCCTCCACCACTATCCAACTCTTATCTAGAAACAGAGTTTTATAGCTACAAGTATCTTATGAACTTTGAGATAGAGGAGTTTCGCGATATTAAAGAAGTTGTCATCTTATTTATACCAATCTTCAAGAATTTACCATGACCAAGGGGAACCACCCATGACTTAATCAGATACCACGAGTGTTTATAAAGTACGGATAGATATTTCCTGTGATTAACTTTGATTGAGTGGACACGATAGAAGCGGCATTACATTTGAGCCATAAATCAGTCTCGAACCCGAGATCAACCATTCTTAGCGACGTGCAAATAATACATCTCACCGAACTTCCTTAAAAACACCATCCGTCTCATCCACCCTTTTTCTCTACAATCCATGACAATCTCCTCCTACATATCCTCTTCTTAACCACCACTTTACAAACCCGTTGTTAACCTTTTTTTTACAAAACACTTGCAAAACCACATCATACAAAATCCCGTCTACATAGTAGATAAAACAAAGAATGGCAGTGCGAACATGATATTAGCATAATGCAATATGCTCCGTTATAACTTAAGTAAACAGAATCTCGTTAAGCTTTGTTGGTGCTTCACTCAGAGACTAAGTAGTAACACTTATCTTACTCCTACACATCTGTCTATCCAATAATACCAAGAATCATCCTCCTCAACCTACCTACGAAAGTTTGAACAAATCCCAAAACACCGCTTAGAAAGGAAATATTTCTTTCCCAAGAAATCTCAACACAAAGCACACGACACCACCTTTCCTCACCATATTCCCCATCCCCTAACCGACAAACCCCACGCCTCCACCTCCCAAATTAACTAAAACACTCACCAAATTCCTGACTCAACAAACCACCATTCACATTCTATTCCAGTCCAAATTCCCACACCTTCGAAATCAATTCCAACCCAAAATGAAAAGTAAATTATACCAACGAGGTCTTATCATCTGAAGTTATGATACAGTCCAATTGATACACGTCGCACTTCTACAATACTCTCAGGTAGTTGAATACCCGAGATGAGAGGAGATCAGATGAGAGGATGCCTTGGTGGTTTTGCGATATAGCGGATCACTGAAAAACCAAGATTCAAGAATTCAAAGACTCTGGATGAAAGTCGTTGAACCACATAGTTCAAGACTCTCTTCTCAGAGCCAAAGTTAGATAATATACATACAGTATTCTAGAAAAAAAAGCTTTTTTGTATGTCGAGATTTGGATTTATTACACCATGATACAACACTTCAACATCAATACATCCCACCAACAGCAATCCCAAGCAACAGAAAAACCAACCGTGTCAATACCCCCATCCATCTCCACAAGTGCCCCGTCAAAACAACCCAACAACCCACCCCTAAAGTAGACAAAACCCCCGATCCACCTCAGAACCACCTCAAAACTACAATCACCAACATCCCCATCTCCACCAAAACGTCACCTGCGTACCAACACGACATCTGAGCCCAGCCCAATTACACCAACCCTCGTAACTCCCCCATCCAAGTTAGCCCTCCCGCGCCCCAGACGGTCTGCTCCATCGGCGCGTCCCTCGCTCCGAGCTTCTACAGATCCCAAACCTAATTCAAACCACCCATCCCTATATGTCTTGGAAAAACGTGCTTTCTCGTCGTATATGATATATCATATGCTGTGAGGCTTCTCACACGTGGAAGCCGAAAGTCTAGGATACTTCATTGGAAATTTTTACGACGTGGGAAAGATGGCTGGCCGGGTGGTTGAGGTATGTGATGCATGTTGCCCGTAGAGTTGTACTTGAGTGGGTATGTCGATGGATGATGAGCCCGGTGTCTTGGTGGAGGGAGGTGGTAGGATTTGCTGATATTGTTCTGAGTAATGAGACAGCCAGAATTATCAGGTGGCATTACTGCTGAGGCCATGCAAGCTGTCTTCGAGATCCAAGAGTATACGAAGGTACGACCTCTTTGGCCGTAATCGATCGGCAATAAAATGGAGTACCGTTGTAGGTAAGGTGACCCAGCAGTACTTTTTGCAGACCCAACGCACTAATCCAACTTAGTTTCCAACTTTCTGATGCACCTGATATTTAAGTCTGCCAGGTTCTTATGTGAATAGTACAGCTGAATTGTGTAACAGACGAAGAAACTACTGAGCGAGTGACAGATGCTCACTGCGCTTCCCAAGATTCTGTGATACAGATGATCCGCAATATTGGCACTGCAGCAACAGGGAAAGAAAGGAACAGACTAAAAAGATTAATGCAGAGGTAGATATTGAAATATAAGATTGATAAATGGTAAGATAATAGCCCTTCAGATGAACATGCTAGATGCTATGAATATTGGACGGCCACGTCATGCTTGTAAGAATATCATATCATATCCAAATGCTGGCGAAGTCCATCCAAGTCTTAGCAAAAAAATCCATGTTTCTTACAAGATCCCCAGTCTGACAAGGAGAAAGAGTATGGCGAATGGCTTTTAGGCGTCGGCAAATCATAGTTGTGTTTGAAGTTGAAAATAACACATCGGAAATGCTGTTCGAAGCTGCCAACCTTGCTTCTGCGTGAATCGGAACATTCGTGTATGTGATCCGAGTGTAGCATTCCTAGAAATGGAAGGCTTTTGTTCATTGTACAGAAGTTCTCGAAAGCTGTTGTGTTGTCCCGCAGTCCTGCAAAAACAACTGCTCAGCTATTGCATCGCAGGGTGCTTAGCTCTTGCTGTATGTACCCCGACCTCTTGAAGCTACCATGTTGTGAAACCAGCATGGCCATGTTCTTAAACCCAAGCGATTGGAATACTATTCCAGGACGGGCTATTTTTCGTAGCCAGTCACCTGTCTTAACGGAAAGACTATTAATATGTCGACGTGCTCGTTCAAGGACTCTCTCTCACCGCTGGGTTGAATGTGTGACAAGATCGAGCAGAAGAGGAACCCCCACTGATGTTACAGTGACAACTCATCAGCTGCTTCCCTGCACATCGCGCTCCTCGTCGCACTGAGCATGGGTGGTGGTGCGCCCACAACTGTAGGACCCCGCTTCGAAGGGCTGCAGACCCCAGCAGTCGTATCATAAATTTGCATCAATTACCGTTGGATGAAAACCAGACTCTCGGAATTGCCGTGCAACCACTCTCGGCCTGCAAACATCCGCACGCCATCTGCGCCACGGCGACGCGTTTCCATGTTCCTTTCGCTGTTCGCTGCTTCGCCGCAGACGGTTTTAAACAATGTACCGCAATAACCGCTGCCTAATCGACGGGCCAGGCATTGCGGTTCGGACCGCGGCTGGTGCGTTTAGATTTCCGGACGAATGAGGGGCGGTCGTATGCAGACGACAACCTTTCCATACTTTCGTGGTAAACCCATTCGGCCAACTTCCGGTCAGCCGCCAACAATTCCTGCATCGAGGACTCGAAAGACAGCTTCGGCGCTTAGAGTTGCATACCGTTCACTCTATGCGCTCGTGCAGGGAAGAGTCGGGTCCATTGGCGGCACTTTTTCCCAAGGTGGACCTGGTATTCGAACTTGCCGGATAAATCATGTGGGTGAATGAGGAGGTCTGATTGAAGGCCCTGGTGCGTGCATTGAGGGTTGCGTTGAAGAAGGCAACTCGAGCCTGGCTGTACGACAGGATTTCTCGCTCCCTGCTCATGGACGGCGGGCAGTCCAGATATGCCTATGAGAGCACCAAGTTAGCATGACGTTGTTGGAACGTACCGAATTCGACCATGCAAGATAAGGGCAAGGAGCATGAGTAGTGGGAGGTAAACTTACATGTAGCAAAAGGCATGCATCTTCCGGGAGCAAATATCTCGTTTCACTTCTTGGATCATTCGATCCACGTCCTCCTTTGGCCAGCGTCGCATGCGGGTCATGGGAGCCATCGTCAGGGCTTCGACACCTTGAGTCAGGCCGAGATTATACCATCGACCGATATCCTTTGCGTGTGGATCCGAAGCCCAAGGGTTGAGCGGTATTTCAATGACTTCGTGTTTGATATCTACGAAGCCTTGGCGTTCTAACAGTTCTTGTGTCCCTTCGTTGTATGCCAGTGGTCGTTGAAAGGCTGCAGTCGCTTCCATAAGGTAGTGAATCCACGCTATTAATGGAGAATTGGCCGGAATAGATTGATCTCTGGAGCGAGGATACATATCGATTTCAATGTTTTCAATATGCCCAACCCCGGGCTTCAAGTGACTAGAACTGGTTAGATAGCTTTGTGACATTTATGCATGGGAGCTTTACTTAAAGGCTTTGGCGTACAATTCCGCCCAGTTTGATACGCTACCGCACAACATTCGCATGTGGATCAGATCAAAAGAATTAAGGCCCATACCGTACCACGGTGATTCGAAATCCATTTGTATGAATCTCAAGTTGAGCGGTATCCTAGATGCGTAAGTAAAAACAAGTTAAGCTGGGCTTTTAGACCGATTCTTACATTTCTGGTTGTATCATTGTGAGGTCGATACCGACTACTTCTGACTGTGGATATCTACTGCGCGGATGTTAGTCCTCGGTGGTAAAACTAGCTCTAACACACAAAGATAGCTTACTCTTGCATATCAATGGCCTAGCAGATGTTAGCTCGAAAGTTGGGGATGGCTTCTTCCAGACTTACCCAAATGCCTGTGCCTGTTCCTACATCTAATATTCGACGTCCAACTTGTGGACCAGTAAATGGCGCGGAATGCAGCACATCCTTTCTCGCGACTGAGAAAAACTTGTGGTAAATGTCCATGCGATCCATTTCCAGCTACAAATTTCCTCCTCATTAGCCAAAGCCATCAGTCGCAGCGGATTTGAGGAAGTTTACCTCGTCGCATGGAAACAGATATTTCTCTCTCCGGTAGCCATGATACTCTCGGCCATTTTCCATGTAGTTTTCTGGGATTCGAGGTTGTGCTGAGGGTGGAGGAGAGTTTTCGGGGTGAGGAAATCTGGGGGTGGGGTCAATTAGCTTTGAATCGAACGAGCGAGCAATAAGAGCAACAGCATAGAGAGCTTTCTGCAGTGGTCTCTTGTGCACAGAGTAAGCCTGCAGGTATTGCTGTACATTTCGGCCAGCTAGCGAGTTGGTACAGTATCGAGCCTGATCTTCTGTTCCTGGGTTGGGGCGAATCAAAAATCACATACCCATTAGATGCCATAACCAAAACCATTGAAACAACGAGGATTGGAGCAGGCGATTCGTGGCGACACTTTAAAACGGACTTTACGGAAGCTCATACGTTCACGCGGGCTACCCAAATCGCAGCGACGCAGTATATGAGGAGAATGCGAAGAGGAGAAGAAGGCAGCAAAAGGAGACGCGGGGTGAAAGAGGGCGGATTCAGTGGCTCTAGCGGAAATGAAGTTCGGCGGCGGGTATGTACTGAGTTGTAATGGCAAAAAAATCGAGCAGGGAAAAGGAGAGGTAAAGCGAGCGCAGGTCGAGCAGGCAATGGGCGAATGCAGGCGGTTGCAGAGGAAGAAATGAAGGTGCAGGCCCAGCGATTTCGGGTGTGTTCAGTTCGCGCGTGTGTTGAACCTGGTAGGCGGATTGAGACGGCGCTGAGCCAAAATAGCGCTTGGGTACTTGGGGCTGGCAGCCAGCGGCGGATGAAGCTTTAAGATCGAGGACGTGCGACTAGTGTCGAGGATGGACTGCGATGTCGACGCCTAGTGCTGAGTTGACGGCGGCACCAAGGTCAATTAACCTTTTGGGGGGGAAGTGATGCTGTAATGCTGGATGTGGCTGCTGCTTCTGACTCGTTTAAGTGGCTACAGCGCGGGAGGGACGTTCAGCACCAGATCTGGACTAGCAGCGAGATGTCGATGTGGCTGACGAGGAGCAGGTGAAGGAAGGTCGAATTATTTCTGTACTGCGTACCGTGATCAACAACGGCAATGCCGTGATGCTGGGCGGGTGCAGATGAAGATCGTCGAGGATGCCCGTGGTTGTGGCCGTCCGTTGGGACTCTTCTCTCACGGGGGAAGGTTGATCGACGTGCTGGGGCGACTGTGCCTTTAAAGGGATCTTCTTTCGGCGGCTTCACGGTTCTGGGACGTCTGACGATGATGGGGGGCACGGGCACGGTGAAGGACCCCCGTCCAGCCAATCTGCACAGGCACTTGGGTACCGTCGCCGTCCACCAGAAGTCGACCAGGTCGTTTAGATCAGACAAGCAGTGCAGTGTTTCCCCTCCGTGTGGCTTGAACGAGGGAAGAGTTGGGATCTTGGGCGTGGGAAACGGGAAACGGTGCAGCAGAGACGAGACTCCGTATAGGCCGGGAGTTGATATTCCGTCACCACTAAGTTGCACCAATTGCACCCACCAGTGCGAACCTAGCAAAGCAGATTCACAGTAAGTTGTTGAGTGGCAGCTCTGCTCGAGCATGCGTCGTCGAGGACCGCTGGTTGAATGGCTGCTGGCTGCTGGCGTATGAGGGATGACACCCTACCAGCACTCCGTCTGCGCACAACAAGGTCGCAATGCAGTGTGGTCTGCAGTGGTTCCTGACGGTAGTGGAATGGATGGCGAATCCGAGCTGTGTGCCGTGTATGAGGGTCGAAATGGGAAAATATGTCGAGGGGGTAGGTCGTACTGGGCAGGTAGGTACTCTTCGTACCTATTATAGGCCAGGACTCGGATGTCAATAATCGTTCGCTTCGTCTCTCACTTCTAACAGACCCCCGTAGCTTGAATTTGTTCTCGTTCGACGCTAGATGCAATTCGATGATCACAACAAGACTTCGTACTGTTCATATATTCTCGACGGTGAGTGGCAATACGAGCAGCTCAAATGATGTTCGTGGTTCGTAGCGGACCAGCTGGTGAAGGTTCAAGGTACGTCGAGCTCTGGTGATTTGCTGACGATGTCTACAGGGCCGCCTATGGAATCGTCGGATTGTTCTGCAGCATAAGAGAGCCGAACGAAGGGCGCTTTGCTGGTCCGGGAATAGTGCTACTAGGACGTGCACCGGATGGAGTCAAGACAACACAAGCCGCACAATCTTTGGTCCCAGCCGTCTGGGGAGGGAGCCCAAATGCCCGACGAGCACACAGACACAACACAGGCAAATCCCAACTGCGGCAGCGGGTGACTGCAACTGCTTAGGTACACAACACACCTTCGACTTCCAGCTTCCAGGGCACGACCGACACCGAGCAGAACAAGTCCAAGAACCTCGGGGGGGGGTCTTGGTATGTTGCTGGTTCTTTCGTCGAAAGTTCGGCCACGATCGCTGCTCCACAACAGACAGCGAAATCTGATACACAGACGATGGCTGCTGACAGCGATGGTGGTGTGGGGTGGGAAAATGGTGGAATGCTCCGTGTGGATGGGGTGGATGCGTGAGAGGGGTTCGAGTTCGCGAGCGAAGATGGGAAGAAAGATGGGGGATGAAGAAAGGCAACAGGATTCAGCAACCGGTCAACCACGTCCAACTTATACCTCCTCTGCCACCTCGCAACAGGTCAAGCATGCTCGATTCACACGTAGCACGAGCCCTGAAGTTGGAATGAATATGAGCACATTAGGAATTGATTCTCCGCGCTGGACGGGAACCTTGGTAAGCTTCCAAACCAACTGACCGTCTCCGTCTCGCTGGAGATGGCGACGTCTGGGTCGTGCGAGTCCAGGGTTAGACACCGCCGCTAACCAAACCTTCGGAAGTTTCCCTTACGCTGGGAACGACGGTGGGACCGCTTTTACGCCTCAGAATGGACTCCTCCTCCTCAGATCACCATCGCAAACACACCGGACTGCCTTGCGACGACCATTCGCGCGTCTATCACTGCGTACAGAGCACATGGAAGAGCAGTCTTGACATACCATCTCGACCGATTTGATGAAGGAACCGCCTGCAATTGCCATTGGCGAAGCGACACACACACCTGTACTCCATCCAGTCTTTTGTTGTCCCGGCATCTTGGTTCAGCAGCCAACGAACTCTGCCGTCTCACCACCCCCGCCGTGCTTTGTCGGCGTCGGGATATTAATTTGGACAATATCACAGGGTTATCATTGGCTGCGTGAAGGACCCTATTCACACCTCTGGGACCATTACGACCTCACCAATCCCTCGACGGAGACCTGATGTTTGGAGAAGGCCGCTTCACGTCCCATATATAACCCTTTAATTGCACGCGCAGCATATCACCAATCTAATAGACCGATCCTATTCTCTCTGGCCCACACTGATTTCCCGAGGTGCGAAGATAAGGTTTGGGCTTCAATCAACACGGCGGGAGGCTCAAAGGGATGCCATCGTGTGCAGGAATGTCCAACAACGCTAGCGATTTCGATCAACCACACCGCATGTGTACGACGCATGTTCTTTTTCCCAGCAGACAAAACGACAGCTTTTGCATGGCCTCGAAGATACGGAGTGCTACCTTCGTAGCATAATCCGTACTCCCATACAGTTCCTTGTGGGGCAATGATTACATGTGCCCTTTCCTTTTGCTTCGGTGGTCAGGGTTCCGATGATTATATGTCCCAGAGCAACACTACTCGAGCGTTAACTTTTGGGCCAGTGTGTGGATAGCACAAGCTGATGCTTGTAAGATTACATCCATTTTTAGGAGTATGGCTCATTCCCTCCTGCCACCTGTGCGTACTTCACTACAACACCGAGTTGGTGACATTCTGGCGAGCCACTCACTCGATGAAAATGACACACTCGGTGTGCATCTGGGCCAGATCTTTCCGATGGGGAACTAACTCGGAAAGCAGAAGAGCCATCTTCTGCTGTAATTTGAGCCTCCTCGAATTTTTTTAAGCGCACTCAAGCCTCCGACAGAACTTTGGGTTCTCATTGGACGCTGAATAGTGAGTAGAGACTCCCGGTGTGTGCGGCCTGACGCAGCGCTTGGGGTGCGGCCAAGTCTGCAATCTGGATCACCCGCGAAACAGATCATCCAAACTGTCGGGTTCTACGCCTCGAGATCTTGCCATAGCGGTGTACTGTACTATCGAGGTGCTCTACATGAGTTATCAAAAGGGAGCAATGTGTTCCTAATTTACTGGTCCAATGTTTGGACTTGATTCATATCTGATAGCAACAAATGTGTCGACAGCTGGTAAGGTCAATCTGAGTCAAGGTCCGGTTTCAGTACCTTACATTATTTGGCAGATTTTCGTCACATCTTCAAGTCGTTCCGATCCTCGCTACTCGAATCAAGACATTAACGCCTTGATTCGGATCAGTTCGTCGTGCATGCACCGACACCTTTCCAAAGCCAACAATGCGTGGCGCTGAATTGTTGGACCTCAGAAACACATTGAATAGGCCGACTCTCAAGGTCGCGGATATGTTCCCGCTCTTCTGCATAACGTTGTTGTCTTTGCCTCAGATGCACCTAGCCACCGCAGCCACCTGTGCCGGGCAGAATGAGCAGTTTTTCAGCGGTACTATTCTGTGCATTAGAACCGATCAACATCGAACTGCGAAAGAAGCATACGATTAGAGCTCCAGATACAGAGTGCTGACCGAGATCCGCTTGGTTGCTTCCTTTGTAGCCAGCACACGTTTCGGCCAACAAGTTGCGTTCGAGATGGTCCTACTCGTAGGGACAAACTGCGTATCCTTTCCCTCGATTGCAATTTACCACCAGCAATCTCATCACAGATCAACTAGTCACAATGTAGTTACTGTAAACGACGGGAAAAGCAGCTTGGGAGGCGGGCGGCCTAAAGCAGAACCAAAATGCTAATTTACATATCAGTTATTGGCTGGACTGAGGGGCATCCATCCCAAGGGGAAGGTCAAGCGAAATCAGACCCATAATAAATTCCAGCCTTCTGGGTGGGTGGGTCAAAAGCCAGAATAGTTGGGCTCGAGTGGTACGGGAACCAAAATCAGTCACGGCCACCCTAATCCTGGCTCTCGCGCCTTTACCGCGCAATGCACGTGCACGAGACAAGGTTTGTGGAAGTCTGACTTCGCAGCCCGAACAACTTGAAAGGCGAGCTACATCAGGATCACTCGAGGGGCATTTTCGCTATGCTTTGATAGCCTCGCTCCAACATGTCTAAATCAAAAAAACGCGCATACAATCACGCCGGATTTCGGGCCGAAATTTCATCCACGCCCTGGAAGTACAGGAAAAACCAGTTCACATTCGACGGCTGCGTTGGGTTCGGTGATGTGCTCGGTATTCATCTCTAGTATTACTCCCAAGACAACGAAATGGTCGGCGACTTAGTTTTGCATCAAGAATTGGTGTGTAGCCGGCCACAGATCAAGATCACTGTCGCGTGGCAGAGGAGAGGTCGTACAGTCATACAAGCACAGTATTTTTTGTCGCCTGCAACAAGATTTGCTTGAAACAGATCTCATTACCATCTCAGAGCAATCGCACGACGTTGATCCATACCCAACAAGCATCTACTTGAGTCAGCCATGCTACACAAATTTTCTAGCTTTCCACAATGGAAAACTCATCTGGATCGACCACAGCTCCCATCATCACCCATGTGGTAGATATGTGATATACGCAATACCGGCTTTCTTTTTATGGTTGTCATCTACTTTGCTATCAGAGTTGGCCGATATGAAGCAATGAGTACTAACTACATAAGCACAGGTGATCAAGAACAAGTGTCACTATCACAGGAGTATGAGACTTTGATGGATTTATCATAATCGCTTGGTCTTCCATTCTCTAATTGTCATAACGGGACCTTTTTATCCGCTATAGGGGTCGGCGTCTCCTTGAATCTTGAGTTGAGACATGAATTAATCAACGAAGAGACAACATAAGGTTATAGGGACCTACGTGCTCCTGACACAAGCCACTCAAGATAATGGATATCATTCAGGCCAGTTTTAAAGGCATACAAAGCGGCGCAAGATGACAAGCGGAAATCTTGAGTACTACTTCTCTATGAAATCCGCATGACACGTCTAGCCACATACAATTCTTGCGGCAGTCTAAGAAACCGCGTTCGGCATTGCTTGTCAAGGATTAGGCGAGGGTTCATCTTTACTTTTTTTGCAATCGGCTTCCAGTTTCCGGTTCCAGCAGAAGCGGTGAGCTTGAATCATGTCAGCAATAACGTCACCAAGCGTTGAACTGCAGTTTATCGTGTCAGATTCTTTATTGCTACATATCATTGTAAGCAGAAGATGTCCCACATGCAGGCACGTACAGTCGTTTCCCCATATCAACGCTGGTCGTGGAGGCATCGCTTAGCTCCTGTGGATTCAGACTTCAGACCCTCTCATGCACGAATACAAGTTCAATTCGATGATTTTCCCTGTCCTAATTCGGTCAGTTCTCCGATATCATCCACGACACACATGACCCAACCCCTACAGCCTTTGGCCGACCTTTTCCCAACCAACCGTAAGTTTGAAGACAACTATCATCGCAGTTCTTGGGTTGCATTCATTCTCAGACTTGTTTCTCAACGAGGGAAAGATGAGCACAAAATGTGCCATGCCCATATTGCATGCATAGGCTGGTCATCCATGGAGCCTGACGGCAAAATTCGAGCTACCCGACAATACGGCACCCCTTGTCAGGATTGATATAGATGGCTGATGACAAAGCGCGCCCTGCATAGGCTTATGCTTGCTGTTATGTCACGCCTACAATAGCAAGGTAATGGTGTACTCCATATCCCGATTCGTTGGAAGTCTTAACGATTTCTCGATGCGACAATGCAGACACCTCCTCGAATTTAATCCACCAATATAGATTTTCTTCTAGGTCAAAATCACGGCCGTGCCTGACGCAATATGTTGTTCTCTTACATATCTTGGCTCGGGACGGTCCATATCTCGGATCCTAATAGCACAATTATTTGGATAATCTATTGCTTATAAGCGAGGAGTCTCACAAGAACTTTCATCAAATACATGCAGGCCTTTCGCACAAATTTGGCTGGGCTTCACACAACTCGACAAGCAGTCGCCCACAGCGTAGACTGCAGGTTGTCAGGAAGGTGCAGAACGTTGCCCTTCTGTCTATTGTTGGTATCCGAATAGTCAATCAGGAGACTCTGCCTCTCTCTCGCCTCTTTGAGACACCGGATGGAGAAGTTCAGGTGAGGCACAACTTCACGAATCAACATCCGAAGTGTACTTGCTTATGCGTTGGCCGTTCCGCATAGCCATATTTTTGGTAAGCGAGAGGGCATTCCAATCGCGGACAGCGAGACCAACATTCCGTCGTAGTTTTATGTTGGTTGTCCACATGTTGGCCATGTGTTACCAGTCTCTTGCCGATATCCATATTGCAGAATCGAAACAGATACTTCGATTCCCAACTCAAACCGGCTGTCCTAAGCATAACGAAATTGCCCTGGTCTATTTTGATGGACTTATGTTTATCTCGGCATCTGATCATAGAGTCTGGTGAACGGTCAGTATCTCTCATCCCTGGACCTCACTTTAAGACTGCATATCTTACCCCTACGCCAACGTTACATTCCGTGATGTGATGTGAAAAATGCCAGAGTCTTTCGAGCGGCGAAGTGATGAGACCCAAAAGTACGTATTCGATCAAATACAGATTCAGCCTAATGACAAGGTTACCAATGAATGATATCAACGTCAAATCCCTTTGACTGGATACAGAAACTTACGGGATGAGAACGTCTGGATGTGTGGAGGTGTGGGTTGCACCGAAAGTCTTTAGCGAGTTGGTTCCTCGCTGAAGGTATGTTGGTGTACTTTGCCTACGGGATGTGGGTTGAAGCGCCCAGGGTAGGTTGGTTGGCTGCTTCCCGGTGGCATGTTCTGAAGGTTATCAAGCCGACTGATTGGTCGCTCCGGGAGGATTTGTTGGTGTTATGTCTAGGGTACCTGGTGTTTAGGGATCTTGTGATGGACTTTTTGTGTTGGATGTCGAATCGCCAGTTCGGGCTTCGAAAGATTGACCTACGGGATATGCATGGGTCTCAGAAAGGAATTTGGGATATAACGGGTACGTCATAATGCTGCCCGATGGAAGATATCACGTTTGTTCGTCCGAACTTTGGTGTTGGTGAAGGGCAGGGAACCCGAGTGATGCTTGTTCCCAATAGAGCAGTGCTTGCGATTGAGATTTCGATTCCAACAACACCAGAAAAGTCACTTTGCCAGATTTTCAGCAGGAGAGATGTCTTCGCAACGAGTCCAAACACAAATCTCAAGAAACCGTTGTATTTGGAACTTAAGTGTCTTGGTAAGTCCGAACCTACCCATTTCAGCTCCTCGTATGAAACCCACGACCACCAAAAACCCCTTTACCAAGACCCAAAGTCCTCGAATCCCGAATAATACGTTAAGCTTAAAGAACTCTGCGTTGAAGCTTGAACCGGTACGTCAAGCTACGTACATGATCAACAGCTTTCCACGTACCATGATGCTGGGACCGTTGGGTTTCACGTCAGGGCTTCTACTCGGTGTGTTAGCTTGTTTCTTTTGTCGGGTTTTGTGATGTTGTACGTAAAGAGGTGGGTTGGGGGAGGTGTTGAAATTCATAAACTGGTGAATTGGCTCTGGAAAGAAAGGATGTTTCTGAGATTTTCTGTGGAGAATATGGGGAGCGGAGATTTCGAGGGAGTTGGTTATGAATTGTGCCACTTCTTGAAGGACCACTTCTGCTAAACTCCTACGGATTGCTGACATACTTTCAAAGCAGCTAAAGTTGAATCTCTAATATCGGCTTCTGGTTCGGTATAGTCCAGCTTAAAAGGAATATCTCCGTCTCTCATGAATTCAGAGCATTGGTAAGATTACGTAGAATCATGCGAGCGATTGTGTTTTGGGGAAAGAAGAATGACCACAGTCAACAGCGGCATACGTAATGAGATAAGAGAGCCAATTCTTGCAATCGGGATGGCCGGTCTAAGGATTTGGTAGGTTTCTCACTAAGTCGACTTCTTTATGAGGTGTTAATCGGGGTCTTCCATTAGTTTCTGAAATAGCAGTACGAGTATGAGATTCAATATCTAATTTTCAAACACTGTCTCTTAAGTAAGTTGATAAATAGTATTATATTCTAAGCTACGCCTGAGTGTTTTCATGTCAGGGAAATCTATAAATCACACTTCTCTATTTCAATCTGCTCTAAGCCAAAACACATTCAAGATACTAGAATCCAAATGTCGTTTCCAAACTCAATTACCCTTTACAATCTCTCCCCTCAGTAGTTCCATCAGCGCACACTTTCCTACAATTGCCTCACGCTTTACACCATATGGCGCTGTACAAATGTTCCTCGAGCCTGGGTATCGGGGACCGCTTATTGCTTTTCATGCACGGCTTCACATTCGGGGGTCGTATGAAGGTTGTCTTACGTCTGAGATGGTATCGTGAGAGATGAAAGGATTCTTGATAGAGGAATCTCATGTCCATATCTGATTGCTCGGACTGTGTTTTCGGTTAGAGCAGATTGAAATAGAGAAGGGTGACGCGAATTGCAGTCGTAAAGTCGGTGTGAGTGGTGCAAAGCATCTCAGTGGGTGGATCAGTCTGTAGATATTGACTATCTAAGCTTCTATTGTAATTACAACCAGCTTCGGAAGTCATGGACCAAGTCCCAGTCTTTTTAAAGTTATCTTCTCAACCAGATACGGCTAATCATACCTCTAGCCTCTTCTTTTCGTCACAGCATTCGATGCAATAATTTCCCACTTTGTTCTGGCGAGAGTGGTTTGTTAAGTAAGCACTTCGTTCTACTTCAAGATAACCTAGATGCTGTGGATATAGTTAACAGGGCTTATACCTCTCCCTGTTATCTGCGAATGCTTTATAATCCATCATCTTCAAACCTCATAACTTTGATATCAAACTCAAGAACTATGCCGTCCCTTGTGAGTAGAATATCCACTGTGTACCTCGGATTCAAGAATCCCTTGTTCCCGCAACAAAAACACGAAGCAAGTCTCTCTCTACCTACAAAGATGACAGTGAGGCAGTCTATTACTGACATGTAAATGTTAAGCACCTCCAGGCTCCAGTTTCTAGCATAGAAGAGTCTATTATCAAAGGTCTGGTATACTCCGGACTACGGCTGATTGATATATATCAACACATCTCGCAGGATTATGGATGTAAAGCCGATCTTGCTGGGTTTCGAGAATCGAGGATATGTGAGCATTTCCGCGAAATGGCACTCATGGATGTTGGGCATAGTCAACTCTTATTTTACACAATTGCATGTTCACAAAGTACCAGGAGGGTTCAAAATTTTTGCTAACTAAGCTAAGTACAACATTTTATATGAGACGGGCCGGTTCTATGTTTCCAGTATATCAGTAGATGCCGAACAGCGCTGCGTATAAAGGCGCACCTTTTGATGAATGAATATCGGTGTCTGATCTTTTCATACGTACCTTGAAGTACTTTAAAATGCTAAATGCTAGAGAGATGAAGAGCTGTATAGTTCAGACGAGCGTCTTCGGGTTATCGGTTCGAGATAGGATTGGTATATCTGCTATATTTTGCTAAGTTTCCTGCCCCGCCAACTTCTGGATACCCCACGAGTGTCGCGAAGAGAATTAGTCTCAACGGCTAAATCTTTTTCAAAAAGAAGACTCCGTATTAACACGCGCTCGAAAATGTATATACAAACCCACTATAATAAAGTCTGCCCTACCTCTATATCACCCACCCATCCATACGATACCATACCATGCCACCGTCCCAAAACCCTAACAGCAGATCTTGCACTTCGACCCCTAAGCTAGACCCCAAGAACCGAAATCCAGTAAACTCACCAATTCACCTCATCACCCCCAAACATCCTTTCCACAATTGTTGCACGTCGACAAAAAAATGTACATAACTAGTGTTCATTTGCACTGCGATCGTGTTATCACTGGCTCAACCTGAATGCGCTTATAATTAGGTTGACCAGTTTAGGCTGGTTTTAGCGGATGATATTGGCCAATTCACCTATTCACCTCTCAATTCTAACAGCTTCACACTTTCGTTGCACGTCGACCCACGCTTGTATAAAACTAGCGTCTTTGAGTAATACGCTCGTGTTTTTACTGTCCAGAATCTTGTCGCATTTTTAGGTTAAGCAGGTGGTACCGACTATTTAGCTGTTCACTTCACAATCAGACATATAAATACTCTACCAGCTTCAGTTCCCAGCTTTTGTTGCATATCGACCACGCTTGTACAAAACTAGCGTCATTGAGAAATACGATCGGTCTGTTATTGGTCAAAGTAGTAGGCTCAGCCCGGGTCATAGACGTGGGAAAGCACACAGTTTCCTTTGGGACTGCCTGCTGGTCCTCTTCTTAGTCACGAGTGGCTTAGCCGTATTCTAACCCAAGAAAGCTCCATACCATACGCGTTATACAAGAACCCGGTCAAGACTCATGAGGAAAATCCTCTATTCAGGTAGAAAGAATAAATAAACTATGGTACAACCAATGTAGACATCCAATCGATGCCGAGGCTTAAATAGATTCCGTCCATATTTCCCTCTTACGCTTCCCCTCGCATCAACAGAGAATTGGAGAAAATATCTAAATTTATTGCGACCCCGCGCCCCTTACTTTCATGATTTCGTTGCTGCTTTCCAGTCTAAACACCCGAATTTGGGTTGAATAATTTTGTCAAATTAAATGCGGATCGTCCTGTGGCATATGCGTGCTGCATACTCAGTTTTTCAAGTTGAGTTTTGCTGATAAGAAGTGTTATGATAGTTGTAGAGGCGCTGAATAGTCTGTAGCAGCGAGTAGTAACAAGGCCCAGACGCAAATCTAGAGTCGCGCTTCTTGAGACCGGTATGCCAGACCAATCTGTCGATCGCATGGGGTCACAGCAGACTACCACTCGTACTCGCCCTGTGCCTTGTGGAAGACATACTCCTTGCCATTTACCGTCAGGACACCATCTTTCATGACACACTTCCTATTGGGTTTTCGTTAGCAAAGCAGACAAAGAGGCGAGACGATGACGTACCACTTATTCTTGACCCGTTGTACTTTATCATACATGCAAAGCATGATGTGGGAGTTAGAATCCTCATCGTCATCCTCCTCATTTAGTCCATCATCTGGGTCATCAAGGTCAGAGTTTATTGCATCCTCATCAATATCCTCCTCTTTCAAGTCGTCATCAGAACCAGCGCCATCATGTTGACCACTCAGTTCGGACTTCTTGACCTTCCGTTGGCGCTTCGATGCAGTGGATGCCTGTTTCAAGGGCAACATTAGGCCACCACCTTCCATCTTCTGACCCATTGCCTCAATCTTCTGCCTGATCATACCATCAATTTCGAATCTACCCATAATAGTTTCTTCGCCATTTTCGTTTAATTGCTTAACGAGGCCAACAGACTCTACCTCATCATCTCCACCGTCAACCTGTGCCCCAGCCAGGCTACTCTGGCCTTGACCATTTTGAACATTAGGCATCTGAGGATTCTGTCCGTTTACAACACCCTGGCTCTGTAGCTTTTGTTGAGCTTGCGCAGCCATCGCCTGCCGATACTGCTCTTGGGTCATGGTCGGGGCCGGACCACGATTTGACTGCAGCTGGGGAGGCATTTGACCACCGCGTTGTGCTTGTTGCTGTTGCTGCTGCATTTGCATCTGACGGTGCTGTTGTTGTTGCATAGCTTGTTGCTGTTGTTGTGTCATTTGCATACCAGGTTGGCCAGCTTGGGGTGGGGCAGATCCTTGGATAGCGTTGATCGAGGCAGCAGCTCTTTGGCCATAACTGTTTTGCAAATGCTGAGCCGCTCTTTGTTGAGCTGTCGTGGCATTGGGCATTGCTAAAACGGGGTTTTGGTAGGGAGCCTGGCTCATGCCAATATTTGAATTCTCCAACCCGGGTTCAGTCTTGATACGAGGGCCATTGGGATTTTGAAGAGGCGGCATTTGTTGCATTTGGGGCTGAACACCATGAGGAGGTGCACTCATGTAATTGCCAGCATTGGAAGGTAAGGTAGGCGGCTGGACGACTGCCTGCGGTGGTTCGGGCTTTGGGTCCCATGGGAAAGTAGCTACATTGAGCGAAGACAGTTTATTTTGCCATACCTAGGTTTCTATTAGCAAGGGACGAATGAAAGTAATCAACACGAAAAGGGAATAGGGACAAGCGTGTATCCTTCTTAGATCGAAATAAGTAGGAGAATCTCCAAGCACGGCTGACTTCCGACAAGCCCGACTAACATCTAACAACTGGACAAGGGGAGGAAAGGAGGTGGACACGTGACTGGAACAAGCCCAAAAAGAGCTAGCGTGCCGGTGCAATTTTGCTAAGCGAGGGCCCGGCTATAAAGGCAGATGGCCAAATACTGAGGGTCGCCCACCTGCCCGAGCTCAGATTCCCGCGAGAGGCCACGCACAGGCAGCAGCAGCACACGCAGAGAGCAACGACACACAACACTCCTCGTCGACCACGACAGCAAAGAGACGCGGGAGTTTGCTTCATCTCTACGATGCGCATAGAGGTATTTCGCAGATATGTCTCATCCTTTGCTTGCGGTGGAAGGTGAGGTCGAGAGGCTGCAGCACTGAAAGGACGTACCGTTTTCAACTCCTCCAAGACGGCTTCATCAACACCACCCTCTTCGAAATCCACCCGCGAACTCTCAATCACATCGCCGATGATCTGGCTATAGACGTTGCCAACCTGCGCATTCGACATTTTGACGGAGGCTCGATTTGTTTCGCGATAGGGCAGGTCTTGTGCACCGCAACAATTGGGACCTGGCACCAGCGTATGGAAGCTTTACGCTCTCGAGATGTTTTGTGCCGTCAAAGATAAAATCTTCTCCCAAAGCGAAAGGTATCGCAAATCAATGCTTCGATTCGTGGCTGGTCTCAGCAAGGTGGTTCGCGGATGGTAGAAGTGAGGATGTTATTGTGTACAAAGGTCCTGGAGCCCGCAGCAGATCGCACACTCTACTAACCCAAGTGCATATGTGTACAGCCGTAGATCGTTCTCCCGAGCCTTTCCTATTGTTCTCCTGCAACTTGCGCGGTGTTTTTACTTGTATTTCGCATTGAGGGTGGGACGGGGTCGTCCGAGCTTGTGATGTTGTAGGAGCGAGATCGCCTGGTTGGAGATGGAGAAGATCCATCGGCTTCTTAGCGCGGTGCTTAGTCAGAGGTGCAAGTCCTGCGCTCTGATAGGCCATGCACCTACGGTATTATTTGGCTTCTGAGTTCGTGAATTTAGAGCCTCATGTGAATAATGTCAGTTTGACAACAGTTTGACAACAGTTTGTCCATGAAAATCATCACTACTTTATTCACGCAATTATACTGAAATAAACAACAAGTCACCACTATAATCTTGTCACACAGTTCGCGGCGCGGCATCATGAATCTCCAAGTCCACCAAAACGAGCAGTCGGCGTTCCGCAGTGACACAACACAGCTGCAAGACGAGAACATCAGCTGAAAGCTTGTTCTCTCGTGCCTTCCACACAAAGTCTTGTACCGCCATCCCACGTTGACTATTCACCTCCACCAGCCTCAAAACCTGTGATGTGGAAGTGAAAATCGGGTGGAAGCAAGAAATGCTTCATTTGAGGAACGCATCCACGTGGTTTCTGGTTAAGAATTCGCAACTCTACCAAAATTTTTAATAAATACTTCGAGAAGGCATCAACCTAGGAGATCAACATAGAAGCCTTGACTGAGGAAAAAACAAACATGCATATCCCCATCGCACACCGTTTCATCCAAAGCCTTCTCCCATCTGCACATTCGCAAGCCGCAATCTCGCCTCGTACAAATAGAGAAACCGCCACAACATCGAACCGAACCGGGTCGTGAGACATGCCGCACACCAACATGAAAAAATAAGGTAGAATGGGAATTGTCATGCGAGACGGAAATTCAAAATGCCACGGGATGTCCTACTCGGCATGGAATTATCCGCGACCGGACTGCAATTCAAAACCAACAATTTTTTTAGTGCCAAGGGATTGAGGGCGTGGTTTTTGTTGGTCAATTGGTATTGGGGTGTTGGTTTGATTCTGTAGGGGATTTGGGGATGGGTTGGTTTGGGCGGGCTACGGGATGACAGGTCAATTTGGAGAGTAAGACTGTGTATCATATACACAGACGAATTTGGAACATGTTCGATACTCAATCTATTCTTGTGTTTCTATCATGCAGACAGCGTACTCAAAGAAAAAATCCATATCCATCTCCAGTCTTTTTACACAAATCATCGGTAAGGCTTCTCCCACAGTATCTATGGTAATGTTTCTGGAAAAAAAGATTCGAAGTATCTCAATACAAGGTTCTACCTATACAAAGGTGCTTCTAAACAGTGTAACGGTAAAAGGTGGCATTGTCGCCATTCTCGCGCTCGGCGAATTTCTCCTCCTCGGTGTATTGTTCGGGTAGTTTGTTGATGGAGGCGGCGAGAGCATCGCGGCGACGGTTCTCGCGACGGAGATATAAGGTCATCAAGGTGGTGAGAACGGCGGACATGGTGACTGTGGCAGCCAGAGTGGAGTGACCTGGGATAAATCTGTAAAGTGTTAGTAACTGAAGACGCGGTGCAGTTGATAGCGATGAGCTTACCTTGGTGAATCCTTTGCCAAAAACATGAAAGCCGCAATGGTACCTCCCAAGTTTCCGAAGCCAACGTGCATGGCGATACCGACACCTCTCTTGAGCGAGCCTCCGATATTGTTTCCATTCCATGCGACTCCCATAGGTACGAGTGGGTAGATGCCAGAGGCGACCATGAATGTTCCTACGTATTGAACTCCTGGCTTACCAGTGGAGGCGAGCATGACGAAGCCAATGATGGCGACAATTTCGAAGGTCAACATGAAGATACCTCGTTGCTTCATTTTGTCAGCGGCATATCCAGCGCCGATAGTGAAAAAGCAAGCAACTAGAAGGATCAGCTTTGAACTCCACAGCGAGTACAAGAGAACTTACCGGCGTATGGAGGAACGGTCATCAGCTGACTTGTCTCGTTGGAGTATCCCATGTTTTTGATAATGGTCGGTAGGAAGAGAGAGATGGAATATAGTGGAGTGTAAATTCCGATGGTGATGAACATGTGTACGTAAATCTTCCAGTCTTTGAATGCGTCCCATGCGAACTTGAGGTTGAACTCATCAGCAAGGGAGCTACGATCAGCCTTGAGGCGGCGCTCGACTTCAAATCGTTCCTCTTCGGTCAAGAACTTTGCCGTGCGTGGGTAGTCGTTGATTGCCCAGTACGCAACGCAGGCCACGAGGAAGGTGATGATACCTTCAAGAATGAAGATCCATGACCATCCACCACGGCCACCAACGCCCTTCATCTTGCCGATACCGAAGGCGAGAATACCACCAAAGGCACCCGCAGCGGTGGCAGCAGAGAAGAACATCGCCATGCGAAGACCACACTCATGACGAGCATACCTATGATTTCGATTAGAAGTGTCTGCGGTCATCGTTCAGAGTGCACTTACCACATAGTGATATAATAAGTAACACCAGGGAACAATCCACCTTCGCATACACCCAAAAGGGCGCGGACGATAACGAGATCTTTGAAATCTTTGACGAAACCCATTCCAATCGTGCAAATAGCCCACGCGCTGAATATTGTAAGCCGACATGTAACCGGATGTGAAAGTGAGAATCTTACAGCATAATGATTGTGAGCCACAAGCTTGGTCTGAGCCGTTTCATCATCATGTTGGATGGGACTTCAGCGGCGACATAGAATGGGAAGAAAACGGCCAGCGCAATGTTATACTGGATCGCCTTGGGACCCTTTTCAGGCATACCCAAGTCCTTTTGAAGACTGAAGAGTTTGGCATTTCCGATGTTGGTTCTGTCCAAGAAAGAAAGACTACAAAATTAGTACATGCGAGGTCAAGTGTTTTCAGCATCAAAACCGTCGAGAAGAGGATATACGTACAGGTAGAGTAGGGCAAGAAATGGAACCAGATGCCAGTCCAACTTCCTAATCAACTTCTTGGTTCTTGACGCATCGAAGTGAGGAGTGTCTGAGGCTTCTCCAAGTGAGTCGACTGAATCTGAGTGGACGACCTCTTTTTGATTGAGCTGAGCTTTGGTGTTTGAATCCAAAGATCCTTGGCTCGCGGTCTCTTTCTCCATGGCTGAAATGTTCAACGTGACAACCGGGTTGGAAGAGGGTGTTGTAGAGAATGGTGGTGAAGGAGAACGAGATAGAGAAAGCAGAAAATTTCCAAGAGGTGGGAGATACAAGCTTATGTATCACTTTCGCCGATTCACCTGTGAATCGATAGGAGAAAAAAGCCACCAACCATGAGAATAAAGAAGGTACGGCTGCAAGTGCCACGATGCCGGGGACACATTCAGCGTCTGTGCCTCAACTACCCCAAGCCCAGATTTCGGAATTGGAGCCAAGCAAGGAGGGATATCACCAATGAACCCCATGGGGATGATGGGGTCTGGTCTTTGTGTCTCTTGGCCCGCGACCGAATGCTTTCTCATAGGCCCTTGAGACGAGGCTTTTCTTGGCCACGTTGAATCCGCAGCCACTGCCCGATGCCAATACTCGAAATGAGGAGAATCTCCTTGACAAGATACGGACCGATGGAGCTTCTGGAAACAGACGTTGATATGAGCGCCATCATCGCCGCCGTCGCTGGGCATCTTGGGACGAGCACCAAATGCCAATCTCGTGATGTCGTCGGATCATGGGCCTAAATATCAGCGACACCCGCCCACCAGACATCTGGATCTGGGAAATGTCCATGAATGAGCGACCACGACTAGCTGTTGTCCCACAATTGGAGCCTCGGAGGACACTAAGCTGCTGTGCTACTAGAGGACTGGACTGGGTTCGTCCGAGTCGTCTAATCATGGGAAATATAGTGGCTTCTCGACTCTAGTCTTCCACACCTTGTACGACTTTTTGAGAGCAGCACGGCATTCGTCGCGACACGCAGCCATGTTCGCAAGCTGGCCTGCGATTTGGCCTGCCAGGCGCTTCTTTACCCCGGCTTTGCGACCAAGCGAGGCCATCTCGATTATCCTTGAAGAAATGTGGCCGCGCTGCTCTGCCGCAGCGTTCGAGATGAGTCTCTCCCCTGCGCTGTAACGCCGGTAACCACCACTCACATTCCGGATAAATGTGAGCTTCCAAGCGAGCGGGGGTCGACAGCGAAGACGGCCATTTTTGGTTACGAGCAACGTATTCCCATGCAGGGCTGATGTGAGCGCAATCAGAGCCAATCTGGTGGATACAACACGTCTGAGAATGGCCAGTCAGCAGCGCTACCAACGAATACTTTCAAATATTGATGCGAAGTGTGAATAGGGGCAAGGAAGAAAACCCGTGGAAGGGTTGGGAACTTGGGGAAGCATCTCAAAGTCAACAAACATTACCACTGCGACTACTGTGCCTCCTCTCGCCTCCTCTCGCCTCCGGACCCCATTCGTTTCCCCGGCTCTTAAACCAACAACTAAATTCTCGACGTTGGTGGAGGAGGCTCAGCCTCGAAGTGCTTGGCCAGATGGGATCTTGGCATGATCAAGCTCCGTGCAGCCGTGAGAGGGCTTGAAAGGATATTTTGGTATGATCACCTGGGCCCGAAGCAAACTCGAGGTGCAGTGGTCGGTGAGCTAGTGGAGAATACAAGCAAACAACTTTGCAGGTGGTGGGAAGCTACTGAGACTTATATTTATTTGGAACTGGAGCCCATTTTGCCGAAGCCCCCCTTCTCTACATCCGGGAGCTCACACACAACCGGGTTCGATCAATGGTCCCAATACACCTCTTTTGATAGCGCAACTTGTGCCGTATTACTATCGTTGTCGTGAAATACTCACTCGTACAAGTGTGTCGCAGCCCACGTCAAACTTGATGTTCGTCGTGCATGGTCGCGCTTGGTTTCCATGTTCCATGTGGCTTGCCACGAGGCGTGCCGTATTATCTTCCCTTCGAGCGAACAATACCAGCCGCTGAGTGTCCCGTACAAGTTCTTGGGAATATTGGAGCGTCATGTACCAGAGAACGTAGAGCCTCGGCAGCGATCTCGCAATGGGAGTGGTGAGAGAAGGGCAAAAGGAACGGCATGCTAAGACATCCAGAAAAGAATAGTTCTTGGAGTTTCCTCTGGTGCTGGTTAACAGCAAATGTATTACCAATGGAAGAAAAGCAAAGTCGCCAAACGCTCATTGGCCTTATTATGATTCACACACGGGAGGTAAGGCACGCCCAATTCAGTCAACACACAATGAATGGTGAAACAGCATATTCCCATAACGCCAGTTGATCAATATTACTATGTACAATTCCTACAAAAATCAAAAAGCCAGATCGTTGTGCATCCAGCAGCAATATCATCACAATTCTCCAATTGTCACATCCATCATAAGGCATAACTCGCACCAGGTGAAGCACTTTCGGCCGTGGGCGTTGAGAGAGCGTAAAAAATCCCCAACTCCTCGCTTCCAAATTTGACAGTCAAATAGAATGAGGAAATGCGTCCTTGATACTTACCATTCGCTCTTCGAAGCCTATAACCAACTCTTCCAGTGGTTTTCAATGCTTAGCGGATGGTCATTTGCTTGACCATGTCAGCTTTTCCAGAAGCGCCGGAAACACCAGCTGAGGAGCTAGCGCCAGCCTTCTTCTCAAAGACCTTCCAGAACTTCAAACTCTCGTCGGCAGCTGTGATATGTCAGTGAAGATTCAGCGAAAACAAGAACAGATCACTTACCAGCTGTAGCCAACATTTGTCCGTCTGGGCTTAGGCAGCTGTGGAGAACCCTGGTTTCGTGTGCAGGAATCTCGACATTTCGCACAAGAGTTGGATAGCTCCAAATGCTGATTGAGTTATCTGGGAAGCCACTGGTGCTGACAATCTCACGGTAGTGTGGGCTCCATCTCAAAGAAGTGACTTGAGATCCAGTGTCGATGCTGTTCACACGAGCACCGGTGGTGGTGTTCCAGAAATGAATGTGACGATCGTATGAACCGCCTCCAGTGGCGAGGACGTTTGGTTGCCATGGGCACCAGCTGAGGGCCTTGACAGCAGCTTTGTGGTTGGTCTTGGTGAACTTTGGTACGGCCAAGGAGCGAGCATCCCAGATTGAGACGAGGTTGTCATTGCCGCCGGTAGCAAGTTGAGCACCATCAGCGCGCCACTCGAGACCACAGACTTCTGAGGTGTGGGAGACGAGCTCTGCAGTTTTGTGTTGGGCAATTCGCACATCGTGGTTGAAAACGAGTCCCGATCGTGCACCAGTTGAGAGGGTATGCTTGTTCCAGCCCATGACACCAACACGTGTGTCGTGGCCGTGCATGCTTCGGAGCTTGGTCCCTTCCTCGACGTCCCAGATCTGAACCTCACCCGTTCCCAGCCCTACGCTCACGTAAGCTCCATCCCCGGACCATTTGACGCTGCTAACATAAGTGTCAGGGCTGGTCTCGAGGAGCGAGCTGACGGTTCCTGATTCTGCTGACCAGACATATACGTTGCGCTCGAGGCCAATGGCGACCTGGTTACCGGAAGACCAATCAAGCAAGTTGAGATAATAGTCATCAACAAGACCGGGGGCATCAAGGACACGCTCGGGGGCGGTTGCTACGCGGCGTCTGAACTGAGCAGATGTTGCGCTGGCGTTCTTGATGGGTCGGTTATATTGAGAGCGAAGATCAACTGGCTTCGAGGACTCTGGTGCGGCTGGCTTGAATGCGAGAATGCGTTGGTTGAGGGAGACACCACAAGCTGATGCCAATGAGTCTTGGTAAGCGACAGTGTTTGGTGATGGGCGAGAGTAAGTAGATGGCTCTTCATCATCGTTCAGGGTCAAGGAGCCGAGAGCTGCAAGAGCATCATCGACAGCTGATGCCAGAACTGCTGAGTTCTCGCCAGTGCTTGACTTTGGTCTCTTTTCTCCCACGTCGAGCTTTCCAGATCCGACGTTAGCAAGTGCTGAGCTTGCGGTTCTGTTTGGGATGAAGCGATCGCCATAAGAGAGCGTAGTCTTGGTTGACTTTTGACGAAGCGGGCCCTTGCGGGATCGGCTGCTGCTTGGTGTCTTGCATCCAGTGCCAGTAAGCGCGAAGTCAGAGACGCCGAGCTCCAAGGCACGACGAGGTGTTTGTACACCCTTGGCGATGTTGGACTTTGGCGAGTCCCGGTGCGATGTTCTTGATGTAGCTTTTGTGAAGTGTGATGATAGATTTCCACCGTACACCGACTTGGTAGCCACCCTCTCATTGTCCACTGTCTTTCTCTCCGGTGTGAACGGTGATGAGTTGTTGTTCGACATTGCTGCCGTGCGTGTGCGAGGCGAGGGGGTTAATGGCATACGTCCGCCAGCGGTACGTGTGGAGAAAAGTCCCGCATGGGACTTTAATGGGGTTGATACTACAGTTGCCATGTTGTAATATCAGGTATGATCTCGGTCGAAAGACAAATAAATGTATCGATCGATGATAAGAGGTTCGTTATATCGAATGAGCTCCAAGAGAGTCAATCTAATGGTTCCTGGATGTGTTTGGTTAGTAAGTTCGTGTTTGTGCTCGATATATCGAAGTGCCTTCGTGAAGAAACACTGTAGTCGGAGGCGATCAAGGCTGCTGAGCAGATGATCTAGTGGACTTGAAGTATTTGCAGAAGGTTGGAATAATGTGTGTTTGTGTGTGATGGAGAGGTGGAAGATGGTAGAGAGAAGGATGGAGGCGGGTTTGTAGAGTTGCTAATGTGCATGAAGAAGGAAGGAAGGAGAGTTCGTCGAGGTCGGTTGCTCTATTTGAGGAGTTCTGTAAACAGTCTGGTTGCTACAGAAACTCGTCGCTGCCCCAATATGTGCCTGAGGCTGCATGCGTGGTGGGCTTTTTTTGGCTCGTGCCCCTCCCTTCCGCCTTGGTATTGTGCTATTGGACGCAACATTTCGAGGCTCGACCGCATCACAACTTTTGTGAATGGCCTCATCTCACCTCAGCTCTACTCGATATCGTACCTTTCACCTGCGGAATTGTCTTAGAAACTCATTGCTGTAGACGAGCACCAAGTCCTCGACACCTGGCGCATCATCCCACGACCTAGCATGACGATCTAGTCTATCTGCAGGCATGGCCCAACCGCCTTCCACTCCGTCGGGTGCTACTCACTCCATCTTTGGATCTGGACCCTCGTTATCACAGGTTTCAAGCGGCCTCCAAGCTTCATCCAGCACGACTCTCACTCCTGGCTCGGCAGCCTCGTCCAACAATACTTTCCTCATGCCGAATTCGCCAGTCAAGGGCAGACACGCCAATGAAGGTTACAGTTACCGTCCAAAAGTTACGAGAACTTTAGGTCAACGTCCAGCTTGTTTGGTTAATGCTTCAGTGACCTACTGTGGCAACAATCAAATCTATGCTTTCGGTGGATTTGATCAGTATACAGATGAAGTTTACAACCATGTCCTTCGACTTGACATGGTCAGTCACCAGTGGAGTCTGGTTGACAACTATGGTGATATTCCTGGGGTTCGAATGGGTGAGTTATCCAAAGCCTCTCGCTCATGCAAATCCTAACGGAGATCCTCAGGTCACACGGCTACACTCTATCAAGGCGATAAGCTGCTGATCTTTGGCGGCGAAAACGAACATCGGACCTACCTCTCAGATCTCATTATATTTGACCTCAAGACAGCGCACTGGACTCAGCCTACCGTGTCTGGTCCTGTTCCAAAAGGTCGAGCACGACATGCCGCAGTTTTGCATGATGATAAGCTTTTCATAGTTGGTGGAATAACCGGCCACAACAATTACGTTCTCGATGATATATGTTATCTCGATTTGAAGACCTTCACATGGTCTAGAGCTTGGAGATTTGTCGGCAGATTTGATCACTCAGCATATCTGTGGGGCGACAAAGTCTGGGTGTTTGGTGGTCTTAGCGAGGACATGGACAAGATCGGGGATATATGGTGGTTGGATTTAAAAGGCAGTCCGGCATTTGATTCTCCCCCTCCATTTGGATCTCTCGATAGACAGACATCATCCGGTCGAGGCGGATCCCCACGGGCGCCCTATGCCATGGCGCCTCCTCCCGCAGTCGGGAGTTCTGGGTATGCAGCAAATTCAAGCAGTGCGCAGGTCAATCCACCTTCGTTCCAACTTACAACTTCCCCACCCGTCGCGCCTGGAGCTATCTCGTCACTAAAATTCTTGTCTGGCCCCAACGTACCCGCACAAGGATCTGGAATGCATTTTCACGTTTATACGTCTGGCACTCTTTTAGATTTTGTGACGCCAGCTGCTACCATAACTCCACAGGAGTGCTGCTTATCATCTTTAGAACTCGACACTCTTCGATGGCAGAAGTTAGCAGAAGGCCGAGAAATTTTCAAGCCTGGATACCGATGGCATTATTGCACGATGAATGAAGAGGGCACAAAGGCCTGGCTTCTTGGATGTCCTACAGATCCAACTGCTACAGACTTAGGTCCAGGTGGTTTTGAGGAATACCTTAGGTAAGTAGTAAATAGCTGCGTTTCGTTTCAGTTTGCTAAACAGTATCCAGCGACATCATGGAGATTGACCTTCGTCGGTACGGCTTGTTGGGAAATAGTTTGACACCTGAATCACGGACAGAGATGTCTCGGCTACCTTCAACAGATCGCTCGGTGAGGCCAACATCAAAAGGCCTTGGCCAGGATCTTGCAAAGCTATTTAATCAACCTCCAGAAACTGGCAGTGGAACGGATTTTACTGTGACAGCGCTGAAAGATGGCGACTGGGACGATGATGAAATAATGAGTTCCAGCATGATGAGGACTGATGAACAACAAGAAACTTGGCTATCTCCTGATGCTACTACATCACCGCCTATTCATGTCCATAAACTAATTTTACAAGCACGCTGGCCGCATTTTGCTCGACTCTACAACGCCCAGATGGCCGAATTCCACACCAAAAAGATGCATATATCTAGCCCGTACACAGTTGTCAAGGCTTTTCTTTACTACCTCTACACTGACAGCATCAATCCGAGGGATTGTGGTGATTTGAATGATGTTGCGGGCTTGCTGGTCTTGTCCGATATGTACAACATTCCACACTTGCGACTTCTCTGTGTGAACAGACTCTCGAAAGAGCTGGATGTTGACCATGCTTGCATCATATGGCATTGCGCTGGCATCGCAAATGAAGAGTGGCTTCGAAGATGCGCCGCCAATTTTTGTCTTCTTCATTGGGGTCGTGTTGTGCGTACTCAAGGGTTCCTACGACTTCCCCGTACTGCGCTTGTAGAACTTTCTCAGGAAATTGATATGGAAGGACGTGTTGTTGGAGGTACGTCGGTGGAGCTTGGTTCCATTGAGATATCACTTACTTATACTTTGTTTTAGGTGAAGAACTAGAATACGTTGGTGGGCTGGGAGGAGCCCGATTTGGGTTCGGGGGAGCCACACGCAAAGCCAGTATCAGCAGCAATCAAACGCAACATCTCGGTTCCGAAACTGACGAGAACGAGGAAATGGAAATGTCTTAACATTATGAAATTATGACTGAGGATGGGGTCACGTGTGTGGAGAGGCGTTATGGGCGCGCGAGGAGCGCGAAATATACCTGGACAAGGCGATGGTTTATTAGATTCTGGGCATTGCTTAGGAATGTTGCTTACGAAGCGTGGATTTGAAGATAGGTGAGTGTACAATATATCGATATATTAATATCACTTTATTTGCGGATGCCACAAGAGCGAAATGTGATTTTCTAAAACCCAACGAGGAAACTTCCAAGTCGAAGCTGCAGAAGCTTGACTTTCTCGGCCAAGATAGGGACACATGATAGCTTACAGTGCAGGCTTCGATGCATCCTTATTGCAGAATTACTTCAAAGTTCACACAATTTAACCGACATTTCGTGGATAACAACGCTCTTCATGATTCGCGAAAGCCAGCGCGCAGTATCTGCAGACCTATTTGAAATATGCACTTACTCTTCAACAGCCTGCTACAGAATCATATCAACCCGTTGGTCGCCTCGTGCAATTCTTCTTCACGACGCCTAGCCGGCTCGCCAGGGCCTGCTCTGTAAGGAAATCAGGAACGAACATTCGCATTTACCCAGTCGTCGAATCAGAGATGAGGATTGGCCGACAATACGCGGATGCGATGAGATTCCACGGCGCTGGGAATATCAAGACATGGTGCCCAGGCGGTTGATGTATTTATCATGTGTCTTGCTAAAATGTTTTTGTTGGACTTAGATGGAGGGTTTTAGGATGCCACATGGGCGAGGGTGCTAAGGTGATGATTTTCGTTGCCCTGGCTGAGTTTCTGGAACGGGCGTTTCCTGGATGAAGTACGCTTTTACCGGCGTCATCACGTAAGTGTGAGGATAGGTTTTGTTGGTTTGTAATTTAATCCTCTATAAAATATACAACATGGTATAAATTGGAAAGGCATCAGGGCCTAGATTCTTCCAAGTCAAAGTGTCTACTGCCTTTTCGTCGAGTTGCTGTTGATAGTTTGCATATAGTTCTTGGGATCTTTGATAAATTCCAAGCCCATGAGAAATGTGAGGACTAATGTCATCTTTGCCGCTCTTTTCGTCGCTGTTTGGGATGCATTGTGTGGTTAAGGTCTTAATGTCTCTTTACAGGGACACAGTGTCTAGACTCTAGAGATATCAGAAGCACATGCTCACATCTTATCGTAGAGACTTGACTATTTCTGTTGAAACTCGACTTTATTCTCGCATTAACCCGAGCATCTCCTAATTTGTTCAGATGTAAATCACAACGTACATTAATCAGCATGATGGGAAGCTCCAAGTGTTTTTGAACCTCTATTAAACATTCGTTCAAAATACTAACTACACACACTACCACGATATATACATCAACGGATATCCTCCCTATTCGCTCCCGCCAAAGTGTTTGTACAAGGTAAATTAAAGGTTTCATGTTCATCTGTGAGACGAATCATTCATGGTGAATGTCCTATGTGTGGCCAACGAGGCCAGTTTGAGGAGCGTTGTCAGGGTTGGTGTTTGCTCCAGCGAAACCGAGAGCTGTGTTCCAAAGGTCAGCTGTGGTAGCATCTCGGGTACCAGCAGCAACAACTTGAGCGGCAGCGGCAGCAACAGCATCCTTAGCGGCTTGGGAAGCACCGCAAGCGTTCAGAAGCTGATCCTTGATACGGTTGGTGATGATCGCTGGGTTGAGAGCTTCTTGTTGTCCCTTGTTGCAAAGAGGATCAACAGCTTGGAATGTGCCGGCGGTAGGCGAGCGACCGTTCAAGCCCAATTCGAATTTCATGGTTGGGACACAGAGACCAAAGTCGAGACCAAGAGAAGAGGCAGCGAATCCCTCGAAAGTACCGGTCACTGGGTCAGAGATAGCACCAGATCCAACATCTGGAGCCGTGCAGATGAGTGTTTGTCCGGATCCTGTGCAGGTAGAAGTATCTCTGACGGCCCCTCCAGTAGAAGCGGCTCCGGTCGCGACAGGTGCGGCTGTGCTTGCAGTCTGTTACATGTTAGTTGAATTCCGCTGTTTATATGATTTTTAAAATACATACAGCAGCTTGTGTGACGGTCGCGAGGGTGGTTGGGGCAGCGGCTACCGCTCCACAGGCGTCGACAGAGGCAGTAGGGGCAGCAGTAGAGTTGCTGAAAGAAGCAGTAGCATTGGTAGCTGGGGCTACTACTGGAGCTGCAGCTCCAGCGTCAACGGTGCTCTTCGATCCATCCAGAGCGACGGCAGTGAAGTTGGTGAAGCCCTGAGCAGCCATGACCTGAGCGACACTCAATCCATCTGCGGTGAAAGGAGTAGTGATGGATGTAGCAGAGAGTGTGTTTTCGGTGTCAGATCCTCCAACAGCAGGGTCGATGAGAGGAACAACACCGCGTAGCTCTGCGCTTTTTGGAAGAGTAGGATCCGAGCAGATGGATGGGATAGAAACAACAAATGGGTTGAAGTTCTGCTCGGCAGCAACGAGTCCTCGAGCAGCAGCGACAGCACGATCAGAGTTGCCTAGCTCGGTGATGATGTTATCGGCCTGGGTAAGCTTGCCACATGGATTGGCTGCAGCCAGAAGGAACTGGATAGAGCCACCTGCCAAAGTGGCAGCTTGACCAGAGGTCCCGAGATCAGTGAGAGCACCGATAGCAGTAATAGCACCGTTGCCTTGCTCTTGTCCGAAACTAACATTGTGGTCAGCTTTGCTTCATTGATTAAAACGGAAAACAACTCCTCAAGTCATTACCAAGGTGAAGGCTTGAGCAATGGACTTCCAGGATTAAGTTGAGGAATAGAGAACAGCCTACCGAGCTTCAGCGACAGCCGCAAGAAGGGCGAGAGTGACGGTTCTGGAAAACATCTTGAATAAGGATTGGACGAATTAAACCGTGGAAGTGTAGTGAAGTAAGTATAAAAGTTGGACCGGCCGGGATCGAAAAAGTGCAAAGGATAGTAAAGAATGTAAAGTTCACAGAACTTGAACGAAAGTGTATAGCAAACTGAAAAGAATGGATGAAGATGAGGATGAAGAAGGAAATGGACTCGCGGAAGAACGAGAGTTATATACCTTGGACTTTTCAGACTGGTGTGTATCTGACCTACCCCTACACCAGCCCTCAGAAGCGAAGCGCATCTTATTCTCATGGGAAGTCGATCGTATCATGTCCCAGCTCACTCCTGTCGCGGATCTCCCCACTATCCTGCTCATAGGATCGCTTTCTGACAGAAAACATCAGACGCTGAGTTATCATCTGAAGGTTTAACCGCTCTCTCGACGATATCAGCTTGGCATGAACTTCCTGCTCCGATGGGATGGTTGTGCTTCCCATCGACAGATTAGCGAGCCAGTTACAACACGATACCAGTTCGCAAAGCGGCCATCATCGTGGAATGACAGGGTCGAGATTTGCATTTGGAAACTCGAGATGTCTTCGATTTTTCGGTTTCGGTGATCTGAAGCGTTCTCGGGGGGCCGTTGGGTACGGTGTACGTGCGGAGGCTGCGGAACTCGTGGAGTAGGTTGTTTCGGCACACGCGGTGATGCTGATTGATGGAAATTCAATCTGCGAAACACTTCAAACAATTCGGCGCGAAAGTCTACGCAGCCGTTCTTGGTAACTAGGGCAACTTTGAACTCTGAGAGCCATAGTCTCTGTCCCTATCTTATTCTCAGACCTGTGTTCCTGCAATTCCTCCGTTGCTCCAGAAAAACGTGTTCGACAATCATGAAGAGGCGATCAGGGAGATTAGCCTCATAGAAGGGGGTGCATTGGAGATTTTGGCGCTTGTCGTTCGAAGTCCAAACAGACTTCAGCGTATCTTCCATCCTTGCGAAGCTCTCATTTCCCATGTTCATGCCCCAGGGGTCTACGAGGATCTTGAAAATCCCTACCATCCGAGCCTGCGTGCCATGTGCGCGGTAATAATAGCATGCGCAAATATCATCGTGCTATTATTGTACACCTTGCTTCGATCGAGAACCTGTATAGTTCACTTGTACAGACCTTTTATCACTCACGGCTTCCTTTAGATCCGCTAAGTCTTGGACAACGTAGCAGGCGAGACCTGCATTTGGAGTCGAACATCTCTGAATCAAGAACATGCTTTTGCTCGAGACAAAAGCAGGGTGTTTTGCACTATCCCCAGGCTAGAGCAGACAGCGAGTTTAGAAACCAACCTTACCTATTTCAGCTTCTTTCCCGGAGTCCGGCAGCCGCCACGAAAGGACGGACGCCACGAGCATGAAACAGTTCTTCAGCACACACCACCCGCACTAATTCATCCGTAGGAGCTTGTTAGGTGGAGATAGGCTGCGCGAGTACGATTTCAATAATATGCTGACTACGGAATAACCCCCTCGAAAGCTTGTTCATAGAACCGTAGAAGTTCAACCGGCGTGCGGCATTCCAGTTCCACCTACATCAACCGGTTTCTTGGACTGTAAATATACCATGTTGAGGCAATTAATCATTGTACTTCCGCCACCCAGAATTCGTTCTCAATGACACCGATTACGAATGTTCAGAAAAAGAAAATGGGACGTGAGACATTACGAATGGCCGAGTCCTCGCCGGAAATTTGGTTTCGTCGGAACCTCAACGAAGAACATATACGTCTGATCAAAATCCTCCCATTTCCTGTAACACGGTGTGTCCAAGCTCATTGGGGCAGAGGGATAAATATCGTTCTCACATACGACGAAGCTAGTACTATTCTTCGTTGCTTCGAAAGGCCACACGTCAGTGCTGTAGTGGAGAAGTGCTGACGACCGTGCTGTCTTTGTTCGAGAGAAAGCTTGTTAACTGGAGCATTCGAACATGCCTACTGCAGTCGTCATACTTGGTCCTTTCGTAGGTTCGTTGGAAGCCAATAAATATAGCTTCGTAACATGCACCATAGCGGACGAGACTTGTTAGGGTGTGAGGATTCATTTCCATTCCATATGGAATTTTCCCTTACTTGTAAACTATTTTCAATGTGCTGAAAGCTCCCACTGAAGTTGTAGATATAAAATTACATTCTATCTGTTCAGACAGAAAATAAATCGTAGCCTCCTCTGGCACTCCTTCGAATCATCAGTTGAAACCTTGTAGGCTCCTACGCGCAAGTAACCAATTAACAATAGTACTCTGATTTTGCAACAAGTAGCCATTGCTGCTTGCACCGGAGTCTTTCATAATCCTGTTAATAGCTCTTTTCTCAAATAGATATAGTATAGATGAGTAGCATCCACGGACTGGGCGAGAGTCGCTATTATTACGAACGATCAATAAGAGGCTTCAAAAACTTAAGTTAGGTTTTCAGTTCTCCATTTAAATCCAACTGTGAAGTTTGACGGGCATTAAATTTCAAAACTATGGCTTTTCGTGATCTCAGATCTCTGTTATTGAATGTTCTACAGTAAAGAGTCGAGCACCTTTGGTGGGTTTGACCTTTAGTGGAGCTAGAATGTACTTCGTTGCAATTTGATAATACTAATGTCTTTACACAGCAAACCAGCGCTATAACGTGGAACACAACTTTGCAGCTTGAAATAGCAAAATGGGTATAAATCAACCAAATACATACCATAAAACTTGCAACTAGTCTTCGAATGGAGAGTATAGTCTGGAGAACGGTACGATATTTACTTTCAGCACTTATTGAGATAACTAAAACTATTAAAATATTGCCGATTATCAGATATATAGGTTCTTCGTTAAGGTTCCGAAGAAACCAAATTTCCGGCGAGGACTCGACTATTCGTGATATCTCACAATAGCTAAACAGAAGTTGTGCTTAGAAGGTGTCCACTGAATTGGTGTATATCCTGGTGGATCTTTAACTTTGCCGCAACAACGCACCTGGGTGACTTTGTCGACAGGGTGTACGCTTTGAATAAAGTACTGGTCATCATGGAAGCTAACAACATTTGACAGACTTTTACATCTGAGCGCTATGTATAGGTGAGCACTATGTATGGGTGACTGCGGGTGGTTTATGGTTCGCTTGGAAATTTTGAAGGATTTTTACTCCTTTGCGTCTAGAATGAACCCATCTGCACCCACAAACAACTTGGACATGGCCAAAAAGCCTCTGGCACAGGGTTTGAGCATAATACCGAGTTAATTGCTTTGAATTTTCATTACAAACTTGATTATTTCTCTCTTAAACATTCCAATATCATTTTTAATTTGACTTGTCCTCTTTCAACAAGTTGGTTACTGGTGTCAGCATTGGCTGATGATATTACATTAAACATCAAGTTTGATGACAATGTTACTTAAATAGACTGTTAGCACTCAAAATACACACTTGTCTTTAATTAGTTTGAAGACAAACAATTCGACCTTCTCGAACCAGATTGACGAACAAGATAGTTTCTAGTTATTCCCGCTGGAGTTAATAATTCGCAATTGGGAATCTATGAGAGTGTCTAAGTGTTGGGAATGTCAAGTGATGCTTGCTGGTCTTGCTTTAGACAAGTGACAGTGTCTGCCAAAGCGAAGCTCCTGTTCTTGTACCTGAAAGATCGTGCGTAAATATCTCCGCTTGGAAACTTGAGTCTTCATACTGTATTTCAGACTCTTCCTTGTATTAGACTAGAGATCTGTCATTTTGAGCCGCATGATTTTGTGATTCGCTATAACTAGTACAGCAAAGAGCTTCAGGTCTTATATACTATAGTGAAAAATGAATTCGTCACGCAACGTGATGTAACTGAGTTTGGGTCCGTCCTCTCTTCATCAGAGGTCGCTTATAATTCTAATCTAGATCGTAGCCGTCTAAGTGATATACTTACAGTTTACGCTTGAATGTCTTCCACAGTACCTACCATTGGCGTCAAAATCTTAGACACCGCTTCAGCGGTGGTGAACAAGATACCTATCAAAGTCAGTGATGATATTCCATAAAGTTGCACTTGGGATAAAGTTACCGCCACTAAATACCGTCCTCCCTAGTCTCATGATTGTCCCCCTCCAGAAGCCTGCAATCCCGCCATCTTTCAAGATAGACTTTACTGCTTCTGCTGTTGTCGTTACAGTGGAAGCTTGACTTCTAGTCTTCACTGTATCGAAAGGTTGCGTGAATAATGTGGTTATTACACCAGCAATGCTGCCGTTAACGAAGTTTGCTACTGTATTCTGAGGGATCCCTCTGGCTTCCTGGACTTGAACTTAGTATTGAGAACCCATCAGCGGTTCGAAACCAAGTACCTGAAAATCTTTTATAATATTATAACTCCCCATCCTGAAGCTCGTAGCCGACGCCTGCTTCAAAGTTGTCCCAGCAAACCCGCGATAAAGACCAACAGGTCCATCCTCACGCAGAATCAAACGGACAGCATGACCCGCAGAATGATATCGTTTCGCTCCCCTCGCATCATCAATCAACGCCGTCTTGACCCTCTCCGTAGGCGTCACCGCAAAAATACTAGCCACAACCCCAGCGCTCATTCCCGCAAGCATGTTTCTAGCAGGTGTCAACGCCCCCGTCTCATGATCTTTAAATGAATTCTTGATCGCATCAAAACTCATAAACCGTACCGCATCCTTCGCTATGCTGCCCACCACCAACGCCCCGCACCCTTTATACAGAGCACGCAGCCCTTCATTTTGGTAGGTTTTGAGAACTACCGCGAATGGGTTCCGTGGTGATGGAACGCCGGGCTCATGGCGAAGTTGTGCTCTGGTTTTGGCGAATTCGAAGGGATAGGTCAGGGATGCTTCCACTCCACCTGCTATGCCGCCTGAGATTAGCGAAACTACCACTGGCACTTTCGGCTTTTGCTGCTTCTCGCTCATCGTTTATATTTATGTCGGTCATGCTTTTCAATTATTAAACGTTTTTGGATAGGAGAATAGTGCCATGACGTACGGCTGTCTACGGCTTGGTTCTCCTTAAATTTTGCCGAGAGCCGAGGATACGAGGATATGAAAACGACTCCTCTTGACTAGAATTTCAGCGGAGCTCAATAATCAGTCGAAACTCAAGTTTTTCGATACTATGGGGCAACAGAGGTCAGTGGATGTTGTACGTGAGGTAGCGTGGACGTACGAGATGAGTCTCTATCACAGTCTGACTCCACCCGGAGTAAAAGTCATTATAAGAAGTCCCGCGATAGATAAAAGATATAGCTAACGCAACCTGATATTGAACTAATCAACTTAATACTATCTCGGACACTTCATTTCTTCGCTTCAGAAAGCAACACGTACATATTGACTTCACCAATTTTCGGCAGTCAACATCTTGAAGTAAAAATAAGACAAACGATGCATGCTCTGGCTTTGTTACCCTCATTATTAAAACATTCTGAAACACAATATTTCATCCTCATTTCAATCGTTAACATAAGAGCGCAAAAAAAACCACCACGAAAACAACTTTGAGAAGTAAGAAATTCAACCAGTAGTCTCCAGCGCTCGCTTCTGGAATCATTCAAGCTCCCTCAACAACGCCGCCGAGGTACTCAACATTCTCTCGAGCTCCATCACTGAGCGCCACCGGGTTGCCAGTATAAACCCATCCTACTACTTCTGCCCACGAGTCCGGATTTGGCAACGGAAGGTCAATTGTATCGCCTTTTCGGACGTGGCCAGATAGGAGCAGTGCGGCAAGAACGGGAAGGAAGTGAAGCGCGTATGTCACATCTATGCTAGGAATCAGTGTATATTCATCGATAGGATTGGAATGAACTTACGAATGGGTGTAGGTCCTGACCCGAGCCGAGACAGAGGAGTCTTGAGGCTATCTCTATCCTTAGGGCTCGTTTTAGCAGACAACATCTGCGTTGAAGCACGTCGATTTCTCCCAGAACGTCGCGGCCGGACTGGAGCACCACCTAAAGTCTTTCTTTCGGATGACAGTGGAATGGCTGCCCGGAGATCTGTTAGATCAAATTGGCGTCGCAACAGAAATGGTTTTCTGCTTTTGTCGATCGGCAAGACGCGCGCTCGAATCGTTGTGGTAGTTGGGGAGTCAGGTAATGTAGACTCGGGGATCATTACCATTGACAATCGGCGAGACACCATGGGATTGATAAATGCGTCTGCAGAAGACTTGTTGGAGAGGTAGGTCTGACCCCAAGTTCGAAGATGGCTGTGAATGTAAAGGAAAGGAACGTCGGCTGCGGTCGTCGCCACAGACTGTCGACGTGGAGGAACCAGCGAAGTGGTATTATCATTATCCGGAGACTCGGGGGTAGAACGAGCTGAGATTTTGAACTGCTCCAGAGTCGATGCAATGTCTGGTGAGGAGGGTACGGCAGACTGAATTTGCCAAACTTCTTGAGCCTTTCGAGTGGTGTTTTCAGGCTCTGGAGGGGTGATAGGAGCTTTGTATGCTTTTTGTTGAATGTAAAAAGCCTGCGCTGCAAGAATACTAGGACTCGGCAAGCAGATTTCCGAATTTTTGGATGTGCTGTAGATATTGATCGACGGCCCTCGACGTTTGACAGGATGATCGGACTCAAGAAGACTTGGCTTCTCGTGGCCCAATGCTCTAACGCCCATGACGGTGGAAGCAGCCATAGCAGGCTGACACAGAAACGTGAAGATGGTTGTACCAAATGATAAGGACGGTTGTTCGAGATAATGAGAGCCTGTGACCAGAGCTCTCAAGATGCTTCCTCGTGGTGTGGCTTCGTATATGCTAGCTCACGCACGAGCTGAGAAGAAGTAGTTTTCGGACCAGTAAGAACTATGATCGTGGTTCTAGCCAAACTGAGTGTTTGAAAAATCAAAATCGTGAGGGTAGGATGGGAGTAAACTCTGCTATATAAATAGGCATATGCAGGGTTGGAATGTGAATTGTCAGAAGTGGTGGACGAGCCGGGGGCCTGAAGATGTAGAAATTGGCACAAAGAAATCAAACGCACTGCAGTTGTTTGAAATGTACCTGACAAATGCGCCGGCTATGCAATAGCAAAACAAAGAGAAATGAGTTTGTGGACAAGATTTTCAATGTATCAGTTGCATGAGCGAGTCTCACAATGAATCATTTCTACCTCGGACTAGATGCTGGCCCTTTTGTGACGAAGCCTCCAATCGTCCTCCCTCTGAACATCAAAAGAAGAAGACCAGACAAAGAAAAGACTGGTCCTCGAATGGCAAATGCCTCTTACTACTTGATGCAGGAGTGAGGTAATTTGGAGGGTAAAGAACCAACTTGCGTAGGCATATATGGGAACCCGAGAAGGTATCTACGGACTAGGCTGGACTGGCTAGAGCTACATTTGATCGAGCTAGCTGTTGTGACAACCGGAAGTCAGAGTCTCAGCCTCCCGTTTGCCATGCAGTTGTTGAAACGTGCATACAAAGAACATTCCTAAAGCCTTTGGGTACCAACCGAGACAGTGACGTACCGCGGCTGGGAATGTGACTGGCCGTAAGTTTTGCCATGTTCGTCAAGATATGGACAACCCAACGGTAAACTATTGGAAGCGTATTGTTTGCCCGTGGCTAGACCATAGCCGTTAACGAGTTGCATCTGCACGCAAGACCTGAAGGAAGGGATAGGTAGTGGGAGGTAGCAAGAGTGAGAGAGCGAGATCCATCGAAGTGGGGGTTCATGGAGATAAAGCGGTGTAAGAAAGTGGATCAAATTGCCCCTGCGTCTGTCTTTCTGCCACTGGCATAGCTTCTGGACAACTGGACTTATGTGCTTCAGGCTTTGAATATTTCTGTTTGAGCTCCACGCTCAATTCCGTACAAACATGTCTCGGGCAGCTGAAGCAGCCATGGCTGCGAGCTACAAAGCTCTGAAAGAGGATTTTGTTTCTAACTTGACTGGCGGTTCAATTTCAGAAATCAACCTCGTTACTGCTGTTTCCCCTGTAGGTGCAATTCCCAGTTGTTGTGATGGTATCTGACTGCGAATAGGTGGCACTCGTCTGCTGGGCAGCTCTTCAATCCCGACTGTCGTTCTTCAAGCCGTATACACCATTAGCATTTGCTGTCGATTTCCTGTTAAATGTCGGAGCTATCCTGCTTGCGTTCACGCTTTATTCGGACAAACCACTTCTTCTCAGCATTCTTTTACTCGCCCCAGTCATTATGGTATACGCTATTCCCAAACCATCACCAGTCAGGAAGCAGAAGCCTCCTCCGCGGAAACTTGCGAAAGACTCTGAGCCTCAAACACCTCTGCCAAAGAAGCCGTTTCTTACCATCTACCGAGGGGCCATGATGATCACAACATGCATCGCTATTCTTGCGGTTGATTTTCGAATATTTCCACGACGATTCGCCAAGGTTGAGAATTGGGGCACCTCACTCATGGATGTGGGTGTGGGATCATTCGTGTTTTCTGCCGGGATCGTAGCAGCAAGACCGCTCTTGAAGGAGAAACTGGCTGGCAAAACTACGCCTGTCTTGACACGACTTTCTCGATCATTGCGCCACTCCCTCCCACTACTCGTATTGGGATTTATTAGACTTTATACTGTGAAAGGGTTGGATTACGCAGAGCACGTCACGGAATATGGGGTACACTGGAACTTCTTTTTCACACTCGGGTTCCTTCCCCCTTTCGTGGCTATATTTCAGTCAGCGTTCCAGATAATACCTTCATATGCTGCTCTGGGAATTATGCTCTGCTCTTTGTACCAGATTGCTTTGGAATTTACAGATCTCAAAGCATTTGTTTTGACCGGGCCAAGAGATAATCTATTTTCCAAAAACCGGGAAGGAATTTTCAGCTTCTTCGGGTACCTTGCCATATTTCTTGCGGGGCAGTCCACTGGCATGATAGTTATTCCTCGAAGCCTCTCAAAGACTCTCACTAGCGGTGCGGCGCAACGCAAGAGACTTTTACTGACTCTGGGGGCATGGTGTGCGGTCTGGATATCCCTTTTCACCATAACGTCTAGTTATAACTACGGATTAAACCTCACTGTATCTCGTCGGCTGGCCAACCTTCCATACTTCTTCTGGATATGCGCCTTCAATTCTTGTCAAATAACAGCTTTCTGTCTTGTGGAGACGATCTTCTTTCCTCAAGCCCACCAGAGTACAGACGCGAAGACCGAAGCCGAGACTTATGAGGCATCTAGTAGTCGAGTTTTTGAAGCATATAACAGGAATGGGTTAGCTGTCTTCCTCGCAGCCAACCTGCTGACGGGGCTTGTCAACCTGACAGTACCTACATTAAACGTGGGTGAGATAGAGGCTATGGTAATATTGTTTGCATACGCATCCGTAGTGACGGGTCTGGCAATAGGGTTAGACGCCTATGACATATCTGTCAAATTATAGAACAGAGAAATGTAGACATGGCTTGAATTGACGTTACAATATGCTAAGCGGCTACATTTTCACAGCGTGAGCAAGATGTAAAATGTTTTGGTTTTCCAACTTGCGTATTCAACGGTGTAGGCTTATTCGACTTGACGAAACTCGCATGAGAAGAAACAAGACAATCAGAACATCAGATGTCGAAAGGTAAGGTGGAAAACCCAAGAGAGAAGACAGATACATAGACTTACCGTTGATTGCAAGGTCGATTGACGAGGCATGCAGTCCAGAGTGAGGGCCTGACTATTATTACTTTGTAACTGATTGAAAGGGAGCGATTCTTCTTCAGAACAAGATTCACGTGCACGACTTCCGTCCACTACGGATTTTACGCAGAAATTGTTCCCAGACCATCGAGGAACGTACTTCTAGAAGATAGAAGTTCATCTCATTATGGCGACGTTTGGTGGGGGTCAAGTGTCGGGCGGTAATGGCGTGTCAATGACGGCCCGTATCGTAGTGATGAAAATAGTACGTTTCATCTCCGAAATTCATGCATAACATACGTTGAAGATGGGTGGACGAACGGGGAACCTGCTCTGGATCGAAAAGATGCATAATGTTCATATGCGGACTCTTTAGGCTGCTCGATTGGGCAAGGAAAGATGAGATGGAGCTCGTGGAGAGGAGAGCTCGCCATGACTTCATGCCTCGACGAATTGTTTCCAGGAACTGCTTGTCGAGGACAAACCGTTTATCCAGTCCGGTGGTCGAAACACACAGACATCTAAACGGTTTCCGGGATAGGCTGGTGGATGATGGTTGACGAGATGCCACGTCAATGCAGTGCGTGCTGGGAGGTAAATAATGTTTATGCCTTTGGCGATTGTCCAATCTCGTCGGGGAAACCGCAGACGCGAGTTGAGCAACGCGAGTCTGGCGACTGTGTTGGTACAAGGTCGAGCTGGCGGGAGACGGTGGCCTTATAGACAGGATGCTAAAGGCGCATTGCAACAATGTTATTTAGCGTTCACGGCAGGTGAAATAGATGGATAGGCGTTTAGACCGCAATTGCAAGAATCAATATCAAAAGCCAATGCCCTCGGCGGAGAGGTGATAGATCGCGATATCACATTCACCTGGACAACATCCACGTGCAAACAACCATAGCACCGAGTACCAAGTAGGCAATACACGTCAAAGGCGAGAGACTCGACCTTCAGAGTACTTTCAAGCACTTTCACTTTGGTACAGCTGCAGCCGAGCCGTGTCGTCTAGGATCCCCCTTTTCGGTTGGACCAGCAGCAATTGTTGTTGTTGACGCCGTTTTGTAAGTGTTGCTCGCTCGAGGTCTCCTTTCGCTTGTGGTCGAAGTGGGAAAAGGAAATTGCAGCCGCAAGCGCAGGACAAGCACGAGAAGGCGACGACTACCAAACCTACATTGAGGTGGCTACTCCGGCGACGAGAAACAACCAACATCGGCCGACGATCGACGAAGCTCTTGATTGTTTCGAGCTGGAGACCACCAACGTGCTTGCTCTGCTCCTGCTCTGGCTGTCACTCCCATCCATCTCCCGCGTCCACCGTACCTGCTGGGCCGACCGCTCTCTCTCGTCCTCCGCTACTCTTCAGCTCTGCCACCGCTGACAACCATTGTCAACTCAGCACACGAAGAGCATCATACCCACGCTGCACGAAATTCATATCGAACATCTCTGCATCGTTGCATGGTGCCGTTGGCCTCCCAAAACCGACCAGTTTCGACCGCCCACCGCCTTGTTTTGACGCGACCTGCCCATTATTGACTGCGAAACTTGGCGATACCACCGAGACCAGCAGTCCAATCTACAACCAGGAAATCGTCCCACGACACAGTTTGTTTGTTCGAGCGGTCAGAAGTGGCAATTTTACGCTCGCATCTGCACAAATCGTCCATTATTTCAGCTGTTGCTCTTGCACGATGAGAACAGGGGATCGGCATTCGTGACACAGGCGACTATTTCCTCGTACAAGTAATTTCAGCAACGATTGGGGACATATATCACATACAGCAGACCTATCTTTGCAACCACGCCTGCATCAACCGCGCTGGGAAACATAAGGGCCGACCGTGGTCGTCTGCTGGTTGACGCTGCACATCGTGCGCACCGCACGAGAAAGCGATGTCTTCAGCTGCCCTTCAAACTGCTCCTCATCAATCTTCCTCCGTCTCAGCGCACTCACCTGTAGCTGCTGCTCCGTCAAGCAGACCATACACCTCGGGTTCCGCGCAATCCCGGGACCCATACTACAATCAAAATACCTCAAACGCGTCTCCGTCTTCCAATCGTCGGCCAAGTAGGAGGCCCAGCGGCAATGGCGCATCGCAGAACAATTCACAACCAGCACCCACTCAATACTATTCCCCAAGCGCCCCTTCCGCTGCTCAGATGACGAGTAGGTCGAATAATTCAAATCACGATTCTCCCACCATACAGGGTTCGAATACGGGAGGCTTTACCTCGATGGCACCAGGAGATCATCAACGCGGTGTTCCCCCTGTAGTTTCACCTCGGACTTCCTCGAATCGGACTTCAACATCTGCAGCAGCTCCTGCCACAGAGAGGCCGTCACGAAGAGAGCGGCATGGCGATGCGACGAACTCTCCTAGAGCCGCTTCACATGATGGACAGCAAGACAGGCCCGATAGACAGCGTAGTAATGGTAATACACAGGTTAATGGAGCGGCCGAGGATGCCAGGACCAGAAGAAGAACTCAGCAATCAGGAGAGTCTCTCCCACACAGACCCAGCGGAACTAGAGATTCGAGGGCCTCCCAATCTGGAACAACACAAAGGTCTGCTGCAACTGCAATGCAATCACCAAGTGGCCCTTCTCGGGAGGCTAGCGAGATTCTGAACCGCGTAGTAATCAGCAAACCCGAGGTAGACATTGATCGAGAGCGTGAGCGCATGGCTGAAGCTGTGCCATCATCGCCACCATCTCAAGCAACACCAAGAGCATCAGAGGCGGTGAATAATGAGGGGGGAGAAGACAGTGGTCGCCCTGGGAATCGTAGTCGACATGACCATACCGCTAGCTCGGGGAGAAAGGAGAAGAACAGCAAATTTGGAGACTACTTCCTAGGAAACACCCTTGGTGAAGGTGAGTTCGGGAAGGTAAAAATGGGTTGGAAACAGGAAGGCGGAGTTCAGGTATGCCATTTTAACTCGTTCATGAGCTCATACTAACATTGAAAGGTTGCTATTAAACTCATTCGAAGGGACAGCGTCGGTACAAGCCCAACCCGGTTAGCCAAGATCTATCGAGAAATTACCATCCTCCGGGACATATCACACCCTAATATTGTTCGGTTGCATGAGATGGTGGAAACAGAAAAGCAAATCGGTATCATTCTCGAATACGCTTCAGGCGGCGAGCTTTTCGATTATATCCTAAATCATCGCTACCTCAAAGACAATGCCGCTCGAAGATTGTTTGCTCAGTTGGTGTCCGGAGTTGGGTACCTACATAAAAAGGGAATTGTTCACAGAGACCTGAAACTTGAAAATCTGCTCCTCGATCGGAACCGCAACATAATCATTACGGATTTTGGCTTCGCAAATACTTTCAGCCCTGACGATGAGCTTGGTGACGAGATCGAATATAACCTATCGAGTCGGGAATACGTCAAGCGAATGGAACTTGATAAAATCCTACCAAATGGTACCAGGAGAGGAGATCTAATGCAAACTAGCTGCGGAAGTCCTTGTTATGCAGCACCGGAACTGGTTGTTAGTGACTCGCTGTACACTGGTCGTAAAGTTGATGTTTGGAGTTGTGGTGTTATTTTAGTGAGTTTATCTTAAATTGACTCACGACTCGACTAACCTTGATAGTACGCAATGCTCGCGGGCTATTTACCTTTCGACGATGATCCAGCAAATCCAGAAGGAGACAACATCAACCTGCTTTACAAATATATTGTTTCGACGCCACTTACCTTCCCGGAATATGTAACACCACACGCTCGAGACCTTCTTCGTCGAATCCTCGTACCTGATCCTAGGAAGCGTGCTGATCTTTTCGAGGTTGCACGACACAGCTGGTTAAGCGAATATTCCCATGTGGTTGGATTCATTACGAGCAGCACTTCAACTACGGCAGACATTGCTACCACCACTATTGGCTCGATTGAACAAGAAGCGCCTCCGTTGGCGAGAAGCTCCTCTGTTAGAGAGCCATCGAAGCCGAGCAAACCAGCCACTCCAGCAGTGGGAGAGTTGGGCCGTAAGCATGGCGGGGTGGACCCAGAAACTGTTGACTCGCATCAGAAATCGAACAAGGATAATAAACGAAGGACAGTCCAGGTCGAGTATGTTGCTCCTCGATCTCAAACACAGCGTGGCGAGCCGGCGGCGGCAGCGGGAGCCTCTTCGGGATCTTCAAGGTCTCGTGCTCGTGCTGGAAGTACAGGTCCTGTCGAGGTTCCAGCTTCAAAGCCTCCCCAGACTAGAAGACAGGTCTCTACCGAGAAGCCGTTACCGCGAGATCCACCAGTTTCTTCCGATCCACAATATGCAAACCAAAGCCAGGGGAGACGTCCATCGAGTTCGACACGCCAACAAGGTATGCTTCCTCCACCTCGCCAAGGACGTGACTCTTCCAGAGCTGCATCGGATACTCATGCTGCAGGCGCTGGACCCCCTGTCTCAATTGCTCGACCAAATACTGGAGGATCCATGACATCCACTGCTAGCCGACAAGGAATGCCATTGACCAATAGAGGTTCTTATAGTCAGCCGGCAGCACCAACTGTGGCTGGTACAAATGCCCATGGTCGAATGACACAGCCAAAGGGAGCTAAGCAATATAACATTTCCAAACCAATGTTACAGGATGACGGTGAGTATGACCGACCGGCTTCACAGCAAATTCCTGCGAGGTTCGCCCAAGTTGCTGGATTTGACGATGAACAACAACAACAAACCACCGCGCCACTAGAGAAAGGACACAAGCGGTCAAACACCATTGGCGGATTCTTCAGCAGAAGCAACTCGGTATTTGGAGGCAAGAGCGGGAAAAAGGAACCTCAAGCCGACCGACAAGCAGCACCGGAGAAGCAGAAGAAGTATCCACCTGTCAGCATGTCGGGCGCCAATATGCCTGGACAAGTAACCCCAAGACAATCGATGGATTCTCGCCGATCGATATCTTTCGGTTTTGGCAAAAAACGTAGTGGCAGCATGACTGGATCTCAGAGCACTCTTCAGGAAAAGCCCAGGAGGTTTTCTCTCCTCCCGGCTTCGTTTTCGCTTAAATCCATCGGCATTGGCAAAGATTCCGGTGCGCCATCTTCTGATTACGAACCCCGTCCAGACAGCCGCGGAAACAACCTTGGTAGTACTGGCCCACCAACTGCTCACAGCAATACTGCACGTAGCGTAGGGCCCGTGACTGGAGGATATCCCTCTACCGCTGACGGGTCCTATGAACGTCAACGGGACAGCCCAAGCCAAGATCGTCATGGAACATCGACTGGAAGCCCAAGTCAGCAGAGATACCCATCTCAAGGATACACTTCAGACCCCCGCTCAGGTGTTCCTCCACAGTTTCTCCCTCCTATGAACTTCAGGCAGGGGGACTCCGCGCTAACCACCGAGTCCGAGTCATCTCTTAACGAGTTTCAAAACCGACGAGCGCAACCTCAACCAAACTATCCAGCTCAAGGGTACGCGAATGACTACGAGAGTGACCGCCGACCCGCGACCAACTCGACTCTTAACAATCGAGGAAATGGGCGTGGGGTGTTGCAAAAGAACAATCGCAAATTTACCGACGCTTATGAGCAAGAAACTAATAACGGATATGGGCCCACCCACAACGATCATGCGGGAAGCAGTGGAGCAGCGAGGAAGGTGATGGACTTCTTCAGAAGAAGGGGAAGAGACCGAGCCAGCGAGAGATGATGATATATCATTTCAGATCATAAAGGCTGTTTGTTGGATTAAGTCGAAAATTTTATCGTCGCTAGCCGTCGCATATATTATAGTGACCATTCTATAACTTGTTTTGCCCCCTCGGCAAATGAGAAAAGAGGTCTTTTGCAATCCTAGCGCTCTATGTAATGGAGCTCGAGATTGGGTAAAAGGCCGGAGAAGCTCAGCAACTCCCATGCTTTTCGCGAATTCTTTTGGTGTTGGAGTTTAGAGAGTGGGTGCAGCAAATTGGCTGGAACGGGAGTCGATTGTGTTTTTCTAAATGTTTGGTTGAATGAAGCCCCGTGTCTGTATCTTATTGTACTTGTGGAGGGAACCCAGTAGACCCTTTGGTGTTTGCTCATCGTCGCTCGTTGATGTGAGCGACCATCGAACGAAGGGGGTGGCAGCAAATTGTGGAAATATTGGGCGGCCCATCGTATTACCAAACTTATTTATACTTTTACTTCTCTTGTACCAAGTTTTCATTGCTTGTCGTTCTTGCTATGCTGTTCTCGCTTGGGAGAAGCTTGTTGGTAGTCATCACCAGGAGATACGAGAGGACGCAAGTATGGAAGCGTCGTAATTAATACTTTGGAATACTTCACTAATATACCCGAGTGATTGTAGACTTTGAAGTTGTTGTGTGTTTTAAATCTATCTGTATATTGTGAGACCAGTAGTTCGAAGTGATCTACCTATAGTTCTCGTCGCTAAGAAATGGGATGTAAGCGTGGACGGAACAAGTAGCAGAACTTCTCAACTATCTTCTCAACTCACATGGTATATAATGATGATTTCGAGCGGGTACCTCAACCTGTCTTCTAAGATGAACGAAATATCCGATAATTTATCAACATACAGTATTCGAATCAATGTCGGGTTTGCAATTGATGCTATTTTGGCTTCCTTTGTTGTACCATAAGCGCCAAGCGCGACTTGTCGGTCACGAGCCGAGCCGTGAATGTCAACGTCAGAGATGTTGTGGCGACCAATAACATACACTAGCGGCAAGTATATGGTCTGGACTCTGGATACCTTTTAAGTTCTATACACAATCCACAAAAACTCTACCATGACGGACTCAAAATCTTTCTCCTTCAAGCTCCCCCTAAAATCTATGCGCCGTGAGACCACCGAGTTCAAGAGCGATGAAGCTGCTTGCGAAGAACAATTACAAGCCTCTCTTCTCGAGTCTATCACGTCCGCCTTGGAGACTAAACATCCGATACTAACTCACCTAAATGCCGATACCACCTGGTTACTCTCCTTACCTTATCCCAATACGAAAGGTAATGGGGGACGAACGTATTTTCACATCCTCATCGACCCATGGCTGAAAGGGGGACAATCCGATGTTGCAGGGTGGTTTTCCCAGCAGTGGCACGTAGAGAAAAGCTACGTTGAGGACTACACGGAACTTACAAGTCTGGTCGCTGAGCTCGAGATGGCCGCTCAATCCGGTCGAGCTGGGGAGACGACGAAACGAGGAGTCGATTTGGTGGTTGTAAGTCACGAGTTTACAGACCACATGCATAAAGACACATTGTTAGATATTGACCCCAAGGTGCCTGTGATGGCGACGTCCAAAGCAGCAGGCATCATACGAGGATGGAAGCACTTCGCCAACGTCGTTGATATCGACAGGTTTGACGGCGATTGGCGTTCAAACAGTCTCGCAAAACTCAGTATCGGCGATCAACAAGACTGGTTAGGCGTAAGCCGCGTCGCCTACGCCGGTTCAGATTTGCTTTACTATCACTCCGCAGTCATGATCACCTTCTCCCCATCCCCCACCGCTTCAGCCCAGGGAATCATATACACCCCCCACGGCATATCCCCCGAGAACCTCTCCCCCGTAGCCTCAGCGGACCCGAAAATCGAAACCCTGGCGCTGCTCCACGGCCTGCAAGATATTGCGCTCCCGATGGGCGCGCAGCTGAATCGCGGCGCGCATAATGGGCTCAAGGTCCAGCGCATGTTGGGGAGCAAGTACTGGGTCGGCACGCATGATGAGGTGAAGCGCGGGGGTGGGGTCGTGAGTTGGTTTTTGAGGAGGAAGAGGATTACGTTGAGGGAGGCGATGGAACGGGAGGTTAGGGGGGAGGATGGGGAGGGGAGTGTTGGGAAGGAGCTTGGGGAGGTGAGGTTTGTGGATTTGCGAGTGGGGGAGAGCTTGGTTCTTGAGTGAGAGGGGATGTTGTGAGATCAGATGGGAGGAGAGGAGAGGAAGTGGAGGACTTGGGATTGGATGAGTAGTCCCAGAGGGAGAGAGCTGGATATACTGGTTAGTCGCTATTATATCCTATATCGCCGGTGCCGAAAAGTCATTTTGCCTCACGCTGGCCGGACATGGTATTGGACCGTGGGTGCTACTTCCTAGCAGGCGCTTCGTGGAGGACGCAAAGGTCACAGTCGCAGATGCACAGGACGTTGGAGATATCACCAGGGAGTTTTCATTTTATCCTTCGGTAACACCCATATTATATAACATTACCTGTACAGTACCCTACATAATCTTTAGCACAGAATCACTTATATCATAATGAATACCATTACAACCTCATATCAAGACGTATTTAGTCACCGGCTAGCGACCTGTGAGTGGAAGGGTAATCGAATCGTATGTGTGAATATCACGAATCAATAAAATCGAGCCGACGTGTGTATTTAATTGAATAGCTAGCAACTAGTATTTGTCTGTATGACGCTACAGGTCTACGGAGTGGCGTATATCAACACCTATAGGCAAATGAAAACTTAGAAAAGCCTCCTGAACTGTAGCGCACAGGAGAAAAAGACAAGGCATGGGGTATCCTCCGAGGCAAAACAAGAGCATTCAGTAACCCGTTCTGTCACTAACAAGGCTTCTATTTGAGGATTCTGAATTCATATACCAGAATCTATCTTCTAGCTATCAAGACCTTGCCACTCGTCCTCCTTTGTTTCATCAACATCCTCTCTACTCTCAGCCTGGGCTCTCCTCCTACTACCTTCGATAGCACCTCTCCGATTATGTTCCATTTTCCGCTCATATCCACTCTTCGTACTAATCTGCATTTTTGCATTGCTCGTCCCTGACTTCCCAACGACATTGTCTTTCCATTGGCCGCCCTGTCTAGCTTTAACACCATGCAGCTTCAACGACTTCTTCTCATTCTTCGTAGGATTGGGCAGGGCGTCTAAGAACCACTTCTGCATGCTCACTTCACTGGGTGGAACACCGGCTTGCTTCTCGCTTGCGGCGATGATGTTGGCGATGTTCTTTACGTACGGAACGTCTTCTTTGGTGTAGAAGGTGATGGCTACACCTCCGCTACGACCTGCTCGCCCGGTTCGTCCTACACGATGGATGTAGGCTGCGCCGGAGTTGGGCACGTCGTAATTAACCACACCATTAATGCCTCTGAAATCGACGCCACGACTGAGGATGTCGGTAGTGATGAGAATCCAGATTTCACCTTTGCGAAATCTAGTCATAACATTGTCTCGCGCCGAGTCGGATAGGTCGGAGTGTAAAACTGCAATCCGAGAAGAACCACCGGCTTCCGCGGGGATATCATAGAATAGCTCTGAGTGTAGAGCAATAGCTCTGGGAATAGTTTGAGTGAAGATGAGGAATGGGGGACGAAGAGAGTGTTCTCCGTCGCTTGATTTGGCAGTTGGATGAACCAACTGACGGAGTGCAAGAAGCTTCCCAGGCTCTGTGGCGGCATATGTGAGCGTATGCTTTATGTTTGGTATTGCTGAATCTTTGAGCCCTACGACGAGCCGGATGGTAGGAACATCGTCATCGAGCTCAAGCTTTTCTCGTCTGGATTGAATAGTCGTAGAGGCTAAGCTCTCGATATTTGATCCCATGGTGGCTGACCACAATGTTACACGGAGTTCCGGGTTGATACAAGCATTCCATATACCAAGCACTTGGTCTTGAAATAATGGATCCAGAAGGACGTCAGCTTCATCAAGTACCAATGTCCGTACAGTAGGTAGTGAGCTGGACTCGCCAGTCTTGCTGGAAATAGCAGAAGCTAAAAGCCCAGGAGTGGCGACTAGAATATCTGCTTTGGCTACTGGCTGTGATAGGGGTATATCTGATCCTTTGACCTCTTCATCACTTTCGTCGTCATCTCCACTCGAGCTCTGATCTGCCGGAGGTTGGCTTCCTACAACATTCAAGCCCTTCCTCATACCTACAATCTTGACTCCAGTCCCAAGGCTGAGTTTCTTGGCCTCATTGACGATTTGATTTGCTAGCTCCTTTGTAGGGGCTACCACCACTGCATCTAAATAGTGATTTCCTTTCTCGTGTGATCTTCTCCTCTCAATGACTCGGTTGATGATTGGAATCAAAAAAGCCAGTGTCTTTCCACTCCCTGTCGGCGCTACAGATAATAAGTTAATGGCGGTGGTGGTATTGGGAATACCAAGTTCCTTTGAGTCTTCTCCCAGTGCTACATCTGGTTGCAGGAGTAAGGGCAGGCTTCCCATTTGCACCTCAGTTGGTATGACATATCCGTTATTGACCAAGTTCTCTGCCATGCGCCCTGATAATCCATATCTCTTTCTGAGGTCCCCGAATGCCGCCAGTGGTTGTGGATAAAGTTGTTTGAACTGAGGTTTTGTTTTTACTTTTTTCTTGGATACTTTACCGTCTTTCGTACGCTTCGCTCGGGGTCCAGAGTTTGACTGTGGCAGAAGAGTTACTTTTAATCGATGCGATCGCAATATTTGCCGACATTCTCCTTCCTCGAGCACTTTGACAGGCGCAGAGTCGCGAGGATCTTTTGTAGGTGGGTTTGTTTGATCCGCATTGGTCGCGGGAGTCTCGACACTTTTTATTCCCACGCTCGAAGCTTTTGCTGCGAAGAAATTAGGTGTTTCTTCATTTCCATCCCCCTGGTCTTGACCGCTTGTCTCAACCTTTCCTAAACCCCGCTTCCTCTTCTTCCCTCTCAATTCTGGGACGACATCGTGAAATAGCTGAGGGTTGGTAGAGGTGCCTGCAGATGGAAGATTCGGCTCACTGATGCGACTTGAATGATTGTTGCCTTTTTGTTTTGTCGACCGCGAAAGAAGTTTTAGGATATCCATGTCGCTCAATGCTCGAAGCGGCTGGAAATTGCCAGTTCTTGGTGTTCAAAAAATAATTGCTTCGAGGGATTATTCTGCCTTGATACACCGCTATTTCGTCAGCTTCACAGGGACTAGCCTTTCTAGCAGACTCGGCTGTCAAGGTTCTCCTCGTTCCACCCAAAGATCCTCCAGCATCAACCAGTCTCTGCCCGCAGCCGTACTTGCTGCATCGACAAAGCCGTCCAGCTCTGGCAACCGCAGCGACCAAAGTGACCGTTCAGTATCCAGGGAATACCTACGCAAGATTAAGTGAGCTTGGCCATCAGCAATCAGCAAAGATGGTTTACGATTGGAGTGAAGAGAAAGAGCAGATATGCTACCGAATGTATATTGAAGAAAAGAAATCGTTGGAGGAGATTATGGATTATATGAAGGAAGAACACAAGTTTGCACCAAGGTGTGTACCCATCCTCGCCCGTATATCCCACCGTACGGAGACCTACTACTGTACGGCAACTTCTGCACAAGCTTTGCTTTCTTGCATCTCGAGGTACTGCTACGGTCGCGAATAGATGATGAGAGTCTGCGCTCGTCATTTACCGGCGTCCATATCACCGTTTCCAAAGTGGCACGCCTTGCACCACCTGCAAGCTGATAGCGATGCTTTTTCTGCCTCGAGTGCGGGCGATGTCACGATAGACTCGTGTTTAGAGCCCAGGCTATTCTTTTTGTTAACATCTTTCCATTGCTAATGTTGGTAGTAAACGCGCCTTCCAAACCCAGTTCAAGCGATGGGACTTCCCCTCGAAGCAGAATCCAGCACATAAAAATGCCGCGTTAGTTCAACGGGTCAAGGAGCTATGGGATTGCAATACTTCACAGAGAGAAATGCTGCGGCTTCTCAATGAGGAAGGCTTTGATATCAAGGAGCGAGAACTCATGCGTGTACGCGCTAAGAATCGATGGCTATTACGAGTTCCAAATGGGATGAAAGCGAAGAAACGCGATTCAGACCAGGACGTTATCAGTCAATTGAAGCAAGCGTTGTATCCAGAAGGACAGATGGATGACGCAGAGGGAGAGGATGAGCCAGTCGAGGCCGAAGATGTGCCCATGGAGGAAGCCAGTTCGTCTTCAAAACCTCGAGGCCGCGCAGGATCCCCTCCATTAAGCCCCGAAGTCCTTAAAAAGCGAGAAGAACGATTGCAAAAATTGCAAGCCGAATCTGCTGAGCGATGGGCCACCAGAAAACGCCGCCGCCGAACTCGTGGCTGGGCTGGACTACCTGCTGATCCACCTGGACCTCCACGATTCCCTTCGGAAACTACAATTGATGAGAGCAAAGCTTTCTTGAGCCTAGATAATCGTCTCTACCGTGACATTCGATCCCGTTTTCAACGAATATGCGAAGAAATGGAGATCATCAAAAAGACTATCGCTGGCCCCGAACGGTGGGAAGCTGCAAAGGACAGACTGGTTCAAGAAAGTCCACATCTTCAGGGCGTCTTTTGGGGCAACGAGGATAACGAAGGAGCAAAAAAGCTGGCACTCGATGTGGTCTGTAGTGACGTTACGAAGCGTATGAGGACGCTTGAGAGGCGCATGACCATTGCTGAAGCTAAAAATGCGCTGGGCATCAACCCCGAGGAATCTCGCCAACTGCGAAATGCATTCTACCAGGTACTTAAATCAGACCATTTCACTAGCAAATTGGAGGCCGGAGAGGAACACTGGAAAGAGCTCAAGGCACAGTGGATTGGTAGTTCACAATTATTACAAAATATCCTTGCACCGGGGGATGCCGATCCGCAGCACAGAGAAAAGGTCAAGGCAATGGAAGTATTATGTCGCGATGTCATGAAGCGTCTTCGAGATGATCAGACCAAGAGAGATCCTACGAGAAAGAAAAAGTTCGACTCCAACTTCCAAGCAACACCGCCTGTCCCTGGGCCTGGTCCTGTTAATGGCGATCTTGACAGCTCCCATGTTGCCCTTATGCGAGCAGCGTCTCAAGCACAAGCAACTCCTATCCCACCACCCGTGCCTCGCAACTCACGTAACCTTACCGGCCTGCAACGCGCCCAAATACAAACCCAGACCGCACAAGCTCAACCTCAGCATGCTAGTATGTCAGATCACACGAGCATGCAGATTGACCCATCGTTACTGCTGGCGGCTGCAGATCCATCACTGATGGAAAATCGAGGGTTCGAGCAGTACGGCAATCAGTCATATGTTCCTTCACAAGTGTTCCCCCAAAGTAATCCAATTCCCTTCTTCTTCCGGCTACATCCTTCCTCGGACGTTCAGACGCAGAACAGGATGTGGCTCAGTGCTCTACAGTCTGTGTCCGTTGAGGAATTGCGCCAGTTGGCGACCATTAAGTACCCTGGTACGATTGCGCTTCGTCTCGAAGGTATTATTAAACAACCAAATGGAAGTGAAATGCCAATTGGTATTGACGCTGACGACGAGCTTAATGCTTACCTTGCTGAGATCCAGGGTATCAAGCCGACCTTTTCTGTGCAGCTAGTACACGCGTGGAAGACCGATTAGACCGTCACCTATTGGATCAGCTGTTGAGTGATGATGACGGCGCATTTACAGGGTCACGATGGAGGTTCATAGAGGGTGCGGTGGATTGACTTTGCTGCTTTATAGGTTCTGCCAGTGATTTTCTTGTTTATACCCCATAGCTACTCAATCTATTCAATTCTTTTTCCTCCAATGATCGTTTTCATGAAGGCGTAAGCCAGACATGCCGCAAGAGATACAAAGTAGGTACTACACTGCATCCATACAACTCATGGACCTACAACGCGCCATGGTTTGAATCATAGCTCAAGCATTGAATGTTTAAATAAACGACCTGGCTTAGTGAGATCTAGATGGAGTTCGTATTCTACATACATCTGTAATGTGCTTAAAAACCATGAGTTATCAAACCGTTGTCGGCCCAATATCGTCAATCTTCTGCTGGATGGCGTGCCATGTAGAATGGGGGGCTCGAGGGGAAAGGGTTCATATAATCCCTGCGAATACGGGCCACCTGCGAACGCGGACCCTTCCGCCCTGGGCTAACCTAGGTTGACTGTCAAAAAACAGTAACCACCTGTTATGGGCAGATACTTGTACCAATACAACCACGACCTATTTCCTTATCTCACCTCTCTTATCTTAATGCCTTCACATCAATTCTAGTCCCTCATTCAACGGCCCAAATTCTCTATACGTCGCTGCACAGCACTGATGCTATGTCGTTGTCGAAAAGGGTACCCTCGAAAGCTCTACTGTCCTCCTTCCACAAGACATCATATGCTCCATGTCGCTGGGCAGTAGCAGGCCAACAGATCCGATGGGAGTCGACGCAGAATGAAAAGCCGCAGGGTCATGGCAAATCTTTCAGTGGACAGTTGTATTCCAGTACTGCGCTTAGGTTGCAGAGGGAAAGGGCCGATCGCGAACGGTTTTCCAAAGCGAGAAATGAGGAGAGCGGTGGTAGGAGTTTGGCTTTGACATTTGGTAAGACAATTCAACGGAGAGCGGATTAGGGCTGATGGTGGAAACAGTTGTTCTTGCAGTTGCTGTTGGAGGTTACTACGCCGGCACACTCTCAGCTCCAAAGCTTTCAACAACTTCGACCCTCCCTCTCAACAATACAATACCACCAAAACACAATGTTTCAGGTTCAAATATGGAGGCCGCGTGGTCTGATTTCGTGTCAATTGTCGGGAAAGAGCATGTTTCAACTTTAGAAAGCGATCGGGTCAACCACGCAGGTAGTGAATGGAGTTCACATATCCGCAATGAGTCCGAAGTACCCTTTATGATCGTCTATCCTTCAAGTACAGAAGAAGTTAGCAAGATCATGAAGGTTTGTCATAAGCGTAAAATTCCAGTCACGGGCTATAGCGGAGGAACGAGTCTCGAAGGTCATTTCGCGCCAACGAGGGGAGGGATATGTATTGATTTCGGGCGTATGGGGAAGATTCTGAAGTTGCACAAGGAAGACATGGACGTCGTCGTCCAACCAGCTGTTGGGTGGGAGTTACTGAATGAGGAGTTGGCCAAGGACAATCTTTTCTTTCCTCCGGATCCAGGACCAGGTGCTATGATTGGGGGTATGGTGGGTACTGGATGCAGCGGGACCAATGCGTATAGATACGGCACCATGAGAGAATGGGTTCTGAGCTTGACAGTTGTATTGGCCGACGGGACGGTCATCAAAACGCGACAGCGCCCAAGGAAGAGCAGTGCTGGGTATGACTTAACTAAGATGTTTATCGGAAGCGAAGGCACCCTTGGTCTCGTCACGGAAGCGACTTTGAAGCTCACCACTAAGCCCAACACTACCAGTGTGGCAGTCTGCACATTCGGTTCTATAAGGCAAGCGGCGGATTGCGTAGGCAGAGTTGTTAGCGAAGGTGTTCCAATCGCCGCCATTGAGATTCTGGATGACAACCAGATGAAAAGTATCAACGCCGCTGGCATGACCGAAAAATCCTGGAAAGAAGAGCCAACGCTATTTTTCAAATTTGCTGGCACGAAGCTTGGAGTGAAAGAGCATATCTCAATTGTTCAAAGACTTGCAAAGGCTAGTGGGAGTAAATCATTCGAGTTCGCTAGGAATGCAGAGGAGCAGGCCGATTTATGGAGCGCTAGAAAAGAAGCACTGTGGTCAGTAATGGCCATGCGCCAAAATGATACCGATCATGTCTGGACTGGTGACGTGGCGGTTCCTATTTCAAGGCTGCCAGACATCATTGAAGAGACAAAAGAGGACGTTGCGCGCTCTGGAATGTTCACTGCCATCGTCGGCCACGTTGGAGATGGAAATTTCCACAGTATGTTTTCATGCAACCAAGCTGTGTGCTTCACTAATGCGTCTAGCCATCATATTGTATAATGATAAACAAAGAAAACAAGCCGAAGAAGTCGTCCATCGAATGGTCAAGCGAGCTGTGGAAATGGAGGGTACAGTTACTGGGGAGCATGGTGTTGGTTTGGTCAAGCGCGATTACCTGAATCATGAGCTGGGCGAGACTACTGTAGATGCTATGAGAAAGGTAAGTTCCTATGAAATGCTAGTTTCCATGATTACTAACGGATTAATTGTAGTTGAAACTAGCTTTCGATCCATTGTGTCTGCTAAATTGCGACAAGGTTGTGAGAGTGGAGAAGCCAAAAGTAGGAGAGGTCGCTCCATGGTAAAAGCCGCCTTGTGAACAATTCGACTGGGTTTAAAAATGGCTGGAAGTCATTTCCATGGTAGAGGAAAACGAAGATCTAGTCTCGAGATAGGCTAAAGGCTTCAAGTATATCACATGAGATTACTGCAGATATCTGTATCTTAATATAGGGCTGCTTTTATAGGATTGTACAGGCTTTTCCAATAATTCCTCGGTAGTGGGAGCATTTCCTTCAATTTAATACAGTGCTTTGTCCACTATCAAATCCTGTACAAACATGAGACTATGAGGTGTATGCGGATGGTTTGTGGTTGACTTCTAAATTTCATACATGTCTTCCTATGGACGGCCTCATACCAATATACAGAGCCAATCGTGTCTCATCGAAGCTTTTCACTTTCTAGAGGGTCTGCCTCTCATCCTCTGTATATTGTCTGATATAAGCCGATGTATGGGTGATATGATATATGTTATGATATAGTCCATATATAGTATCTCAGAAAATACCTAGGCCGTCGCAATTCGTACCTTAAGAAGAAAATTGGTGTACATGCTAACGGGTGCTATTACACCTAAGGACGATACATCCATTCAGTCGGAGCGAAGATCAGCTTATACTCCACTTGATCAAACGTCCCAATAACAGCGTAAAGATCATTCAACCCTTCCAAGCCCACAACCGGTAAATCCTCTTCAGCATCTCCTTCTTCATGTAAATTCCAACCACCTGATCTCTGTCCCTCCCGCGTTAAAAATATTTCGACATCCAAGGGCCTCTGGTCGTTGGTCCTTGGACCGTCATATCCAGGCGGAGCATTGGTATCTCTTGCCGTGAAAGTCATACCAAGTCCAATCGTCTCACCAGGCTTGAACGGCTGTGTGAAATCCTTACCTCCCCAGCGGTCGTTGATATATTTACTCCCATCATCCCCGTGGACTGCCAGACAGCCTCTATGCCATCCCGGGAGTCGAAACGTTGGGTACGGAGGAGCGGCATATCCCAACGCTAGGCTCACCTCTGATCTATTCCTTTTCGATATCCTAACTTCATAGTAAATCGTTCTTGGCCGACCCGTATTAAGCGGAGAGTGAGCGTAAACCGAATACACGGGATTCGCAGACGAGATCGAGGTATCGGGACTAGTACTCTTGGTGTTCCCGGCCCAGACGCCTTGTCGAGTGCGCGTCAGATCTCCGCGATACCCGCGAGGCTTGATGACCCCGACGTCCCCTCTGTCAAGCGCCATTAGCAGTTCATGCGGAACCGTCATGGGAGGTGTGAAAGGGTGTTGGAGACACCATGCTTCTCCCTGCTCTGCTTCTTGCTCTGTCGCATTGTTTGTTGCGCTCCGTTGGTTGCCCATGGAGGGTGGAGGGGGGAGCAGAGAGGTGTCTGGGACGGCGGTTTCCCAGTCGTGATAGGGCTGGTCTTTTGGGGGAGGGCCGGGTGGTGGTTTGACGTAGGAGTAATCATATTCGTAGGGTTGGGATGGGGGTGCTTGGGGTGGTGGGTTGTATTGGTTTGGAGGTGGTGCGGATGAAGGGGCTGTTTGCGCCTGATCTGTTACGTCGTGATATGGTTGCTGAACATGAGACGGCGGTGGACCTGGTGGAGGAGCATATTGGTCTGGCATCTTGCTTGAAGAGGGGAGACTTGTTTTCGCGTCAACCGGGCGAGAGTTGTAGTTGTCGTTTGTATTTGTGTTTGGTTGATCCTTCACAGCTTTGCTCCCGAAACACATCTCGTAGTCTTGAGTTTCTGTGAAAGGGTTCTTGGGTTAGTTGGTTACGAAGGCGGGATATTGGCTGATATATAAAGTCAGTTCAAGATACAAGCAGCGGGCTGTGCAATAACTGTGAGTAGAAGGACGTCACCAGCTCCTTGTAGGTGTTTTGCCGTTTACTCACATCCATGCATGTGTGAAAGCGACGTTCTGATTGTAGCGCATGGAAAGCGGTGAGCATACGGTGTGTGGAAATACCTTGAGAGTCTCCACACGACACTCCAACGACCATCTACCAGCTGCCATTCAGTCTGATTCAGAACATTGGGTGCTGCGCCTACTTAGTATTTATCATTACTGTTCAACCTTGAATGCTTGGCCTCTATGTAATCCTCGGTATTTGGCATGACCTCCATGGTCTGAGTGATACCCCAAGGCCCGGTCCGCCTCGAAGGTGTGTTCGATATCTAGGATCGCACGCCTTGGCTTCATGTCCTAGAGCGACAACATAGGGGCTCTTTGTACACTAGTTATGTTTCGATGAAGCCCTGCTCAAGGTTTGTTCACTCAGGACTTACAACTTCTCGTACTCTTTGTTTGCACATCCTCCTGAAAATATTACATATAAGAATGAATCACAAGAGGAGCGTATTGCTGTACGGAGTAAGATAAATGCACGAGACTCAAAACTAAATGTCAAGGTCATCAAACTGTTAGTATAAGGTAGGTAGGCCGAGCGATACTCTGTTTGGGAAGTAAAAACTACCGTTTTTCCACCATCGGTCTAGTCCTTTCAAGAAGACCACCTTCCTCTAGCATATTTCAAATACAACATAGGTAGACCCACTTGACCCAACAGTACCTAGGAAGCTTTTTTGGTTCTTTGCCATCGACATTGGTTGCAAAATCCCTGGATTGCCTCAGAATATCCGCTAAGTGACATTTTTAGGGGTATTCAAGCTCATCTGAGAGGTGGCTCGCGAATTTTCTTGGGGTTTATATTGTCGGATTAGATGTAAGCTTCACTCTTTCTGTATTTTCTGAAACCTCTGAGACTAACAAAAGTTGGGTAAGATAGAAAGTAATTACAGGCCTGAGCCCTGCTCCGACATTCTCCCACCCTCTGCCGGATAAGAACAAAGCTCACTTGGTCATGGAATATCGTTACACCTATCTCTTTGGTGGACATACTTATGACTGAGGGCCCGTCGCTGGGACGTTGCTCCTTCTTGTTTTGAGCAGCAACGAAGTTCCCAAGCCTCATTGGGCATTCTATATAATTGCCAGTGTACAACTTTTTCGCGCAGCCGCAGAAGCTTCAGCCATGTTATGACAAGACTAGACAGCTGGCTCGCGGGCTCTGCGCGAGAGTCTGGGCAATCTCAAAAGCATTTAGGAACGGGAAACGAAACCATACATACGTTGATGTATTTGGCAGCTGGAACAGAGCTTCCCCTTGTGAAGCGAAGTACCTATGAGATTGTGGACACACAGCGTCGAACTGTTTCCTTGACTGGTTTGCGATTGGTGAAGCATGGTTGTCAATCAAGCTCAGAATACTGTCAAATTCAAAGTACGTCTCGACAACCTCCACGCCCAATCAATGTTCGGGCGCGAACTGAATATTGACTAAGTTGGAATGGTACGAAGACCGCTTTATGGAACTACCGAGGTAGCTTGACTCCCTTGATAAGCCAAGCGATCTAAGAAGACTTTCTGGCATCCGAGTACTGCCTAAGGGTGCACGCCCAGGTGCGCTGGTAAAGGTGAGGTGACTGTCGGGGCGAGGCAGGAGCGACTCGCTTAGCCGATGTCTCCTCGTCTTTTCTTCCTATTGTGTTTTCAACTTGGAATGCGTCTGCGTCTCGTTCGAGACTCCACCTTTCCATCCGCGACAACACAAAACCAATATCCCAACGGTCCTTCTACCGACAAGGTTCGCCATGTCTCATTATCACTCACTAGGAGAGTTGATTTGGGCGAAGATCGCTCTCACCCAGAAGTCTCAACCCACCAGCGTAAACACAGATCGCAAGACTTTCGATGGTTTCCTGGCTGCACATCGCGTCGAAGCAACTCACATTCTAGGTGCCGCTCCAGATCTAGCTGACGAAATCCTTTGGCTCACGGAGAAGTTGACCTGGAAAACATACTGTGAGTGGGTTTCCTTCAGATCTTCCGACTTGTTCCCATGTTGGATGCCACACGATCGTTCCTTTCAGTCGCATCCTGCTGCTCATATACTAACTTCAACTGTGGCAGTCGGAATTCTAAAACATTTTCCTGGTGTCAGCCCTCGCGAATCTGCGGTTGGGGTCTACTACTCACTTGCAGACCTGTTGTGGGCCAAGGTTGAATTGGAGTCTCGGGGTAATGCTGCAGAACTTAAGCAAAATTACAGTGTCTTTCAAATGCTCCGCCAAGCTAATTTTGCGACTGTCAAAAAAAACTCCTCTTCGGATCGAAGCCTTAGTTGGCAGTTGTACCAATCTGAGGTTGATCTGTGGGCTGGCTTTGGTAAGTGAAAAGATCCTCACGAATCGAACAATACATCTATTAACCCACGGTGATAGGCAACAGCGGCGTATTTCCTGGAGTTGAGCCATGTCAATCGGCGCATCAAGACGAACACCACACATCCTGCGACAAATTTACAATGGTCGGTAACTCCCTCCTTGGTGTGTCCCAATTGCCCCTTAGCCCTGTTACTTGGCCTCAAGCTTCGGAAACTGGTAAAAGCAACCGTGAAAGTTCCATCCCCACAAAGGCTATTTCGACGAAACCAAACTCACCTGAAAATCGCAATGGGTTCCAGGAGAAGTCTCCAGATATCGCAGCTCTCCCCCCGCTTGCGCCAACCCAGTGGGCACCAAGCCAACGCGAAAATACGAAACCGAGCCCAGTTCTGACAACAGCAGATAATAGAGACAAGGTCGATCAAGAAAAAACACCATCACAGTTGACAACATTCAAGCAACTTGGTATCACAACTAACGGTCCAATTCCTGCGTCGGCGTCGGGCAGTTCGTCACCTCGACCTGTCCGGTTCACTGTATCAGAAAACAAAGCGTTCACACCCTTCAAGCTTACGGCAAAGAAAGGTAATGAATTTGTTCCAACAAACGAAGAGATCTTTTCTGCCGATTCCGTTACTCAGGCACATATGGCGAAGACTCTTGGCGGATTAGGTAGATCGAAATGGGCATAATTGCGGCATGACTGACTGTAGTCTATAGAGATCTTGGTTTGTTGAGAAAAAGTAGAAAGAGACGGCTACTCTACTTATCGCTGGAGCCTTCACATATCAAAAACTCATGTCTCTTTAGCTAAACATCGTACGCATACTGTTCCTACCTTAGTTTTTCTGGCTAATCGAGGAAATTCTGTATCGCATAGAGAGGTCATTTGGACAATGAAAGCGAACAGTCTTACATGAATTCTTATTTCCCACACTTTGCTCACGGCTTACTTCGAAATAGGCTCAGATCACTATATACTCCCTCATGTAGCGGCGAACAAAATAGGTGCAAGTGAGTCTCTGATGGCTAACATTAACCGAGCCATATTAGAAGTAAAGAACACTTGTCTCGAAAGCACCCAATTCCGGCTATGAAAGGCATAAAATTTCATGATAACTAACAAGATTTGGAGAAGTGCTTCCACCAGTTCACGTAATTGGTTCAAAGTGCTAATTTTCTTGTTCATCTAGAAGGTCTATATACAAAACAGGCACTACGGATATTTTCTGTTCCAAGGGTGTCTATGTTCTGTCGCTCATGTCGCTCAGATCTCAATGGTGAGACTACATGGCGCCGGGAAGCTCAGTGAGCCCTGTGAAGAAGTTAAGTTAGATAAGCAAAACTTGGTTATTCGGGCAAATAGCTGGGGGTGACTCACATCCTTCAGTATCCTCTTGCACTTGCTGTTCCTTCATACACAGATTCGCAGCCTCTGCACTCTGGGTTGCAAGCACTTTGCATGTATCACCCGTACATCTTGCATCCAAGGCCTTTTGCAACAAGTCGTCCTTCCAACCAAAAAGGTAATCGCCGTGCCAGCCATAGCCAGTCCTATTTGACTCATTTAGAATATGAGTGGTTCGGCTTAGGGGTCACCCTTAACTTACGTATCGCCCATACTATACACAAATGGATTTGATCCATCAACTGGCCACAGTTCCTTGTCATTGAATTCCCGTGTGTCCCACATGATTTCGTACATTACTTGCGGTAATCTGATGGGAAATGCTGCGGGACATGGGCCAGTAGACTCAAAAGAACCACTGCTCGGATAAGATATATGGGACCGGTGGTCTGGACTGTCAAGATTCTTCCCATCCCAACATCTACAAGAATGTTAGTCACCAACAGGAAATAATCAGGAGGAGGACTAACGTTGGGAAGGTAATGGTTGCTCGAATTCCGCCACCACACATCTGCGTTGGAAGAGAAGCTGTATCATTGCCAGTACAGGGAGCTCCGCCAAATGGATCCTGTTCGATATTGCTATAGCATCTATGGCAAAGCTGCTTTTGCTGTCCTTTGGAAGACCGAAGCATAGGATCTCCAACCACCATGCGGAAACCCTAGATACGTTCAGACGAATCATTGCGATATACTTAGGACACCAACCGGTTTAAAAGCAGTAACTTTCGTCTTTCCATCATACGGAGGAATATAATAGACAGTCAAGCCCCCATTCTTCCCTCTCAAGCCCAAATTCGTCATTTGAGGAACTCGCTTATATGTTCCATTGCGCGCCTTGAAATACAAACTCGCCGTCCAGTAATTCGAAAAATCCCTGAGCTTCAAGTCAGCACCAATAAAACCGAAGGACAATCAGACTATGAGTACTCTGAGAAAGTACAGCTCGTGCATGTCGAGGCCTTAGCTGGATCGAAAGTCACAGGTGTCATAGTCGCATCGAAAGAGTTTCCGCCAGCTATCTGGTGGACATGAGCAGACGGTGTGATTCCTGGCTGTACTAAAGGATCAATACGCTCGATGACAAGCTTTGAACATTCGAAGCGCATCATTGCGGCTTGTGCGAACTGGCGCTTTGCCATCTGATCGGCGTCAGATGGCATCGCCAACGTTTCTACCGAAGCCAGAACGGCCGCGACGATGATGGTTTTGAGATGCATTTTGATGGTGGAGTCGTTAATCTTTGAATTTTGGTGTTTTTTGGGTTGTTATATAAAGGGTTGGGATTAGATTAGAGTTATTTGGGTATTGCTGCATGGCGGGTGAAGGAAGGATCCGACTTACCGACACTTTTATCCATATTACGATACTTGATTTGGTTTATCTTCATTTGTCTTTTATTGTAGAGTGGCAAAGTACTGATAACATTTCGGCAGTTGATGGCCCATTTTCTTTGCGATATATACGCTGTGAAAGGATCTGGGGGACGGATATCGGAAGAGCGGGATAGTCGCTTGGGTACATTAGCCATCGCTTGTCATATCTTCGATATATCTGAAACATGCGATCGCACTTCCCTCGACCTTCACAGTTTGATATGTTGATATCTTTCACAGAATATCGCTCCGGAGTGGAGAAGTCCCCGAAGAAGGGTAAGTTACAGACCATGGGATTTGGTTACACAAGCAGAAACCGAAGAGAAATACTTTAGGTTGTCTTGTTGTTAGATAAAAAAATCACACGTGGTGTCTTTTTACAGTGTTAATAAGGACCGTCAGTCGTTATTCTCTTCTTGTTTGCGTCGAGGTCCTCCTTAACTCGATACCGCTAGCAGATAGACAAAGGTACGGGATGAACCGCCAGATACGTTGACCATTTCACATCTAACAGCGAGGGAGTTAACTAGCGACATGTAGAGCTACTTATCAGCAGTCGGAGAACCAATTAAAGACATGAACATTTCTTAGCTGCTATAGTAGTATTGGATTAGTTACATTGTTAGCAAGTAAATCTTGTTGGTCTAGTGCTGTAAAGATGATGTTAGTAAGTTTGGACTTCCGAGTATGATAGTTAAAGCTGGCTGCTGGAAAACACAGTTTATGCATTGGTGGAATCGAAGGAAATATATGGGGCTGGATATCGTGAGATGGAGGCGTTTGGAGAAGTTCTTCGGGCACATCGTTAAAGTGACGTTGACTCTACTTGTAGAATGACCAAGAATCGACGGGTTTTGACTTGGCTCAACGTAAAAACGTCTTCAGGTCTTCAAATTTTTGGGTCTTCATCATCTTCGCTCGGTAATGTGCGTCAGAGAGCTGCTCAAATTTGTTTATGTTGATTTTGAGATCGCTCTGTGTTTTTGTTTATTGTTTTTGACAGAATCGAAAAAAATACATCAATTCTGCTTTGAAATAGAAAACATGTGGTCAAGAGGATGACCGTACTGAGAATGTATTTCGCTCGCCTAGGTTGAGTCCGACTTGACGACGCTATTTAACAACCCGTTGTTGATGTTTTTAGGCGATAAGTTAGCATAGTTCTTTAGTTAAGTTACTCATGGCGTGTCTCATAGTTTAAGATATATTCCCGATTTGCGATAAAAGCTACTTTTACATAAGTAGGTGATCTTCCCGCATCATTTGACATTTCGCACTTCTGTCAGCAGAAGACTGTAAGCGAGGGCTCACTAAAATTTTATATAAAAATCCAGGGGCCTGGAACCAATCACGGAAACAGAGGTCCATCTGACACTTGATAGGATACAACGATCCACTATTCAAAAGTTAGTTCAGTTGGAAGTAAGCATGCACCTTCTCAGTGCCCCTCGCTAACAGTTATTTTCATATCATAACCTTCTCTGCACTTTTAAGGTTCAGCATGAAGGTATGGAAGAGTTGCTCTTTTCCCAGCCGGGCAGTTAGAGGGTTCATAAAACCGAGTCTGTTCTCTTCTCTCACTACCCAGTCTCGAGCCAACAATTCCTGGCCCCATCTTACAGGTTACCGTAAGCCCAGCACGGCATCATACTTCTCGACATCCACGAGCCAACTTATACAGTCAAACCGTACAATTACGAGTTCAAACATATCTACAGAGTACTCAATTCCTCGCCCCCACGTGTTTCTTACAGATGTTTACTGATCATTGGGCCACAGGTATACGGCGTCTGACGCTTTCTTTGAGGCACTCGGGGAGGTAAGAACAAATTGGTCCTCCATTAATGTTTAGTTCTAAAACTCATGTAGTCGGGTGTGCAAGCCTGCTTCGTGAACATTGGTTCAGACCATCCGAGTTTACTGGAGGCCATAATAAGAGGGCAGCAATCGAAAAACAATGATTTCCCTAAGATATATACTTGCCCGAACGAGGTGAGTAATCCACCTGCTCTTGACCATGTTAACCTTACGGCTGACGACATATAATTTGGAAGATGGTCGCAGTGTCCATGGCCGATGGCTGGGCTCGCGCAACAGGGAATCCCCAATGTGTCATCGTCCACGTCGACGTCGGTACTCAAGCCATCGGACAAGCCATGCACAATGCCAACACAGGAAGAGTCCCTGTGTTGATATTTGCCGGATTATGTCCTTACACCGAAGAAGGTTTCGTCGGATCTCGAACAGAATACCAGCACTGGCTCCAGGATGCCCCTGACCAGAAGGCCATTGTTGGTGGGTACTGTCGATTTACTGGAGATTTTCGGACCGCCCGTACTGTGAAGCAAACTGTCTTTCGCGCACTGCAGATCGCGTCTAGTGATCCCAAAGGTCCGGCGTATATCACCGGCGCGAGAGAGGTTCTTGCTGAGAAAATCGAGCAACCGTTTACAGTTCAGAAGAAAAGGCATAGTGCAATTGGACCAGCAGCCTTGCCACAAGATGCGGTTGAGAATATTGTTGAAGCATTAGTTCACGCGAATAACCCTCTCATCATTACTGGATATTCTGGAAGAAATCATGCTTGTCCAGAACAGCTTGTTAAGCTTGCGGAAGCCATCCCAGGTCTTTGTGTCTTGGATACTGGTAAGTGATAGGGACACTGTTTATACTTCTCTTTCCCTGACCCTTCCATATTTACTCTGATTCGTGCGTTAAATCTATCATTCATACTCGTATTTCGAGACATCATCAAGATTGAATGCTGACTTTTCCGTCCATTAGGAGGTTGTGTAAGTCAACAGAGACACTTTCCTTTTGATCACCCACTCCATTTGCCCTAGAACAACATGCTGAGTGTTCCCTAAATCGCTTCTGAACAGTACCAAAAGTCATGCGCCATACTCTTTTTCATTGATAGGCAATTACTTACTTGGATATCACCTAGGACATGTGTTTCCCAGCCGACCATCCAAGCTATGTGGGCTTTCGTTTGAGCTTTCACGATATTACTACTAATGCAGATGTTATTCTCGTAGTAAGTTAATAACGATTGTATTAACATCTATTCTGCCTCAAAAATACGTTGTGTCAGGGTGCTCGGTGCTGTACCCCCTAGACTTCTCACAATAATACTAACTCTTTCATCACCCAGCTAGACTGCGATGTCCCGTGGATTCCGTCTCGAAATCCTCCCCGGGAGGATGCAAAGATTTACTACGTCGATGTTGATCCTTTGAACTCCTCGATTGGATTCTCGTTTTTTACAGCCGACGGAAGATGGAAAGCAGATAGCTACACAGCGCTCACTCAGCTAACAAACTATCTCTCTTTAACTCCGAGATTGCAGGAAATATTATCTACGGAAACATATAAACGTAGGTGGGAATACTTACAGAAAGCCTATTCCGCGAAGAAAGACGCTCTAGCTAGACTTGCCACCCCTCCATCGGATGGAGCTCTGGATATCCACCATGTCGGCTCAGCCATAAAAACCGCAGTACCCGAGGAAACAGTTTTCGTCGTTGAAGCAGCGACCTGTGCGATGGATCTCTCCGACCAGCTTCAGGTAACAATGCCAGGAAGTTGGATCAACTCTGGGGGTGCTGGACTTGGATGGAGCGGAGAAGCAGCCCTTGGAGTTAAGTTAGCTCACGACGCTGCAGGTCATAACCCACCAAGCTTCATCTGTCAAGTCGTTGGCGATGGTTGCTTCCTCTTCAGTGTTCCAAGTAGTGTGTATTGGATTGCTTCACGATATGGCATTCCCATTTTGACAGTGGTGCTTAATAACCGAGGTAAAGAATGATTCTAGACCATTGCAATTATGAGTGGAAGCATGTACTAATGTGCTTTTCCTTCTAGGCTGGAACGCGCCACGTCGCTCGCATGAGCTTGTGCATCCAAATAGCTTGGGTGCCGCAGCTACAAACAGAGATATGCATATCTCACTGTAAGTTAGCACTGACGTTGCTTCTCTCCCAGTTCGGTCACTCGATACACCTATCCACATTTTCTTCTAAATCATCATCAATCCCAGCACTGAGTATTTCCATGATGCCCAATTACTGACGCTTCTACTCCCAGTGATCCAGCGCCAGATTACGGTGGAATTGCCAAAGCTGTAGCGGGAAGTTCATTTGGGAAGACTGGAGAGGAGCTTTTTGTAGGACGAGCGAGAAAGGCGGATGAACTGAAGAGCTTATTGGAGCAAGCTGTCAAGGCAGTGAAAAGTGGAAGAGGTGCTCTCGTCGAAGTCGTACTGAATGTCGATGAAAAAGGTAACAGCATGATACAGAAGTGATTTAGTTCGACTTGGGAGTTTTCTGCATGAACTAAAAATCTCGAACCCAGTATTGTAATGCTTTCTTCCAGTGTTTTCCAATTTCAAGATTTAAGCAATAAAGATCGTTGTTCTTGAGCTGGATTTACCAACTCATGTCAACATGCATCTGATAATAGTGAATATCATGGGTTACTTGACCATGAACACCCAAGTGGCTGAGGACAATGGTATCAACTGCTCATGCGGTAGGTGGCCATCCTTCGGCTCCCTGAACGGCGAAGATTAGAAACTCATCCACTCTTGATAATTTGCGCTGCTATTTTTTTAGTAGACCACAATTGCTCTACTATAGAAGCCTCGTCGCTGGGTCAATAGTTGGACCAGCAGGTAAATGTACTGGGAAGCCCCAAATCTGCGTGTTACCCTGTTTCGAATTCCGAGGTTACTCAGTCTATCGTGTGCCCACAAGGGCGGCTGGAGATCAGCATCATGGATCGGAAACACTATCCATATTCCGGAAACTCGCAGGAAACCCATCATTTGAGTGCCGATCTCACTGCCTCTACCGATTCCGAACCCTTCTAATTAGCCTATCTTTTGACGTTTTGCCTTTTTCCTTGAGGATCAAAAGCCACAGAAGTGAAGTTGGCCATATAACAGCAGCTATACTCTTACCATGAGAATTACAGCACCGCGAAAAGACAGCCGTCTTGTGGTGGTCGTACAGATGTGCTGTCGTACATAGATTAGCGTGATGTTTTGTCTTTGATTTCAGCGTGAATCATGGCCAACAACCTCCGTCCTAAGATCGACACAACAACATCATCTAGTGAATATCACCAGATATTCTTTCCACCATAATTGATCAACTGCGCTTAGAACTGACCGTTCAATCTCAAGCCCAACTCATCTAGAATGACTGACACTTACAAAAAGATAGCAGCCGCGAAGCAGGCAGATGCACTGTCAAAGATACCACAAGAATGGCGTCTACCAGCGGACATACTCCAAAAAGTTTCAGTAACATCGGACATCAGCGTCATGGATGTCCCGAGCACTTGTGGGATCCTCGACTCGACTGAAATCGAGATTACGGAAAATTACACTGCAACGGTCTTAGCAAATAAGATAGCCACGGGGGTATTCAGCTCTCTACAAGTTGCCCAGGTTTTCTGCAAACGTGCTGCAATAGCCCAACAACTCGTAAGTCAAACCCACAGAGATACCTCCCCTGGTTGACACTAGATAGACAAACTGCCTCACAGAAACCATGTTTCCCGAAGCCATTGAGCGCGCCAAGTTCCTTGACAAATACCTCATAGATAATGGAAAACCGCTGGGGCCTTTACATGGGCTACCTATCAGCGTCAAGGTATATCTACATACCGCAGTATTAGAAGCTGCTAACATTCGGGTAGGATGGCTTCAACATCAAGGGAGTGCCATCGACTCTTGGCTACATTCTATTCCAGAGTTATCCGGTACCAGAGGAGAACTCCCCAGTCATTGACATTCTACTATCACTTGGAGCCATTATCCATGTGAAAACGAATGTTCCGCAAACCATGATGGTACGTGGATGCCAAAATGTACTCCTTACTAGCTAACTCAATCTCCAGGCTGCAGAAACCCACAATAACCTGTTTGGTCGCACTTTGAATCCCCGAAGACTATCACATACCGCAGGAGGAAGCAGTGGTGGAGAAGGCGTTTGCGTGGCGATGAGGGGATCAATCATTGGGCTCGGGACAGACATCGCAGGGTCCATCAGAATCCCAAGCCTTTGCAATGGAACTTATGGCTTCAAACCTTCCGCAAATAGGATACCCTATGGTGGACAGTCTTCGTCAGGAAGAAAGGGCGGACCCGGGGTGAAGGCATCCGCAGGACCACTGGCAAATAGCGCTGAAGACTTGCACTTGCTGTTCAAGTCGATCATATGTGCAGATCCATGGCAACACGACTCTGCGGCTATCGCAATGCCATACAAGAATATTGCCAGAAAGACGAGCCTACGACTAGGCTTCATCGCAGAAGATCCGGCTCACCCAGTTGCGCCACCAATCGCCCGAGCTCTCGAAACAGCATTCCAGAGGCTCGCCGCCGCTGGGCATGAGGTTGTGAAGATGAGCGAGTTCCCTTCACCCGCCGAGGCGGCGAATCTATGTTGGAGCTTTTATTTAACGGATCCGCAAAATACTACTTCCAAAATCATTGAACAAGGCGGAGAGCCCAAAGTTCCAGCAATCTCTTTGACATGGGAGAATCCGAAACTCCCAAATGTTGACATGGATGAGTACTACAACATCAACACAAAACGGCGAGAATTGAAGGCGGAGTGGCACAAGATGTTCGTTGAGCAAAAGTTCGACGCTGTCATGCTTCCTGCGTATATGGACACGGCACCCGCACACGACAAGTATGGGACTGTCTGCTACACGGCATTCGCAAATCTGCTCGATGTAAGTATACAATCTCCACGTCACAGACAAATTGCTAACCACACTACAAGTATCCGGCAGCGGTGATTCCGTTCGAAGTCGCGAATCAAGAAAAGGACCTACCAAACCCTACTGTTCCGAACTGTAAGACTTCTTGTTCGGTTGCTTGTGCTGCATGCTGACCATAATCGAGACAACCCCAAATCATCGCATGGCCTGCCTTGTGCAGTTCAGCTAATCGCTAGAAGTCATTTTGACGAGGAGCTGTTGATGGCAACTCAGGTGGTGGCAGAGGTTTTGCGGAACTGACGCGCAGTTCCTGGAAACGTCCGCCTTTGCAGTACAGGCTCCGACACAACGAAGAATGGGTAGGAGTACGAACAAAGGGGGTATGTCAGATGATGCCGTGCATGACTATCGTGCTTATATCCTTTAAAAGCAAGGCTCTGTTCTACTTACTTCGAACTTTGATGTTGTAGAATCGAACCAAAACATTGAAGCCCCACAATGCCTCGAACACTTTGTTAGAGGTGGAGTACAATCACGTGACAGTATACATTAGCAACCAGGGAAATTTTCTCCCGGAATCATCTACGACTCATCAGAACAGAACAGCAATTTCCGTACACAATCTGGTCAACCAAATCTCTCGTCATGGCGAATACGGACTTTACTTTGACAATCTCCTGTCCCGATCGTCCTGGAATTGTACATGCCGTTACTGGATGGGTTTCGGAGCGCAACCTCAACATTGTGGACTCGCAGCAATATGGTGATCCAACCTCGAACCGCTTTTTCATGCGAGTGCATTTTGCTCATGTCGAATCCGTCTCACAAGATCTCTCGGGTCTAGTTGAGTCGTTTGGTGAAATCGCAAAGCCAATGTCTATGGATTTCGAGCTTACTTCGAATTCCCACAAGCCGCGGGTCCTCATTATGGTTTCCAAAATTGGACACTGTCTCAATGACTTGCTTTTCCGTCATTCTACCAACCAATTACGGATCGAGATTCCCTTGATTGTCTCCAATCACCCTGATTTTCAGAGTTTGGCAGACACGTACAAAATTCCTTTTCTCCACTTGCCAGTCACTGCGGCCACCAAAGCCGATCAGGAGGCTAAGATTTTAGAACTTGTCAAGGAGTATAAGATTGAGCTGATTGTTCTTGCCCGTTATATGCAGGTACTGTCACCAGTGCTCTGCACGGCCATGTCTGGGAAGATCATCAACATCCACCACAGCTTCTTGCCCTCATTCAAGGGTGCCAAACCCTACCATCAGGCATATGACCGTGGCGTTAAGATTATTGGAGCCACCGCACATTTTGTCACTAGCGACCTGGACGAGGGCCCAATCATTGAGCAGAACGTCGTTCGCGTTGGCCACTCTCTGAGCCCGAAGGAGTTGACGATCGAGGGAAGCAATGTCGAGAGCAACGTGCTCGCGACGGCTGTGAAGTGGGCAACCGAGAGGAGGATTTTACTGAACGGCGCAAAGACTGTCGTTTTCAACTAGCGTGGGTTAAATGTTACATCAGTCTGAAGGCCTATAGACTACGAGGTCGTGACTGTAACCTGTATGTATACGAAACTTGAATGTGGTAGCTTCATTGACGACAATCAATCCTTGTGAGTCAAGTCAACTATCTACTTAAACTGCGAAGACTGCCAGCTTACGACTGCACACTCCTTCTGTCCTCGAAGTAGGAAATTATCTTGAGGCTTTTGATCTCATGGCTTGCTTTGTTAGTGGCGAGGGTTAAGCGAATTGTTTTGGTAGACCGGGACATATAGGTACTACGTACCAACCTTTACAAGACGGCTCAATGAGCGCAAACGGGTGTGAACATGGAACTCGTATCGGCACGTGGCTCTTCTTATCCTTCCGGCAAATTTGTTGTTTCGTAGTAACGTCAAGTCCACATCCGCTACGATCAATTTTCCATGCTTGTCCACACCTAACATTACCCGATTAGCCTCTCTGCAATAGCCTGCAACGCAACATCATGACATCGAATTCTCTGCATCATGTGTCGTTTGTCTTCGATTTGTCGCGATACCTGTTGTCTTGTCGTCCTTCATACTTGTTAGCAATCAGACTCTGGAGATACATTCGAATGAGTTATCCAAACACCGCCGCAACGAGTTCAAACAACTTGTCGGTGGTAAAGAGATGATGTTTTCAAGTCATCATAGTTATCGATCGCTTGTAATCGCTGGCATTTTGATTGCACTTTCTCTTCTCTTCCTCACTTCGAGATTAGAGCTCAACTTGAAAACACCTGCGGCAGTCAACCGATTGTACAACAAGGACCCCAAAATCTCGAGCGCTATTTCCAATGCCACCCTTGGGGTGTGTAAACCATATTTGAGAGGAATAGAAATCTTGGCTAACCGGTCGTAGTTTCAAAAGTTGCTTGTTATAAATCTACCCTCTCGAACTGATCGACGGGATGCGACAAGCCTCGCGGCAGCAATCAGTGATCTTAGCATTGAGTTCGTCAATGGCGTCGATGGCAGTAGTGTACCAGAAGCTGCTCTGCCACCGTCCGGGTCTGATAAAAGCGTCAAGCTCTCCAAAGGCATCAGAGGAAGCTGGCGCTCTCATATGAATGCTCTTCAACTGTGAGTCGCCAACCCCGCCTCTTGCTCCACTCTAATATTCGTAGTGTGGTGTCTCAAAATCTCTCAACGGCCGTGATATTTGAAGACGATGTGGATTGGGACATACGCTTACGCGACCAACTTGAGCACTTCGCGAAAGCTTCTCGAATCTTGACCGCAGGCGCTCAAGATTTTTCAACTTTTCCGGTTGTCTCAAGTGACAATCCTGAGGATGCAGAGAGTATACACAGCGAAGTCTCGGATAATGAAATCGCCAAAATCCTATTTTCGCTGCCCTTATCATATGTTCCCTCCCCAACGAAAGTCGCACCATATGGCGACCCCTCAAATTGGGATGTGCTGTGGCTTGGTCACTGCGGTGCAGGATTTCCAAGACCATCTGGCTATCCCGACGTGTACGACGAGAACAACCTTCTCCTCACGCTTCCTGACGACGATACAGTGCCACAACCGCAATATCTCCGCGCTCACCCGTTTGGTCCCCTAGATGCTCTAGCCGAGTCACACCCTCCTCATACACGAGTCTATCATCGAGCAAGCGGCGGGGCACTTTGCACGGTCGCATATGCCGTAAGCCAACGTGGAGCACGGAGACTTCTTCAAGAGTACAGCGTTACAAAGTGGAGCAAGATATGGGATGCAGAACTTGGAGAATGGTGCGCAGGAACTGATTCGTTCTGGAAAAAGTTGGGAGAGAGGAAATGTATCACAAGCCAGCCGCCAATATTTGCCCATCATCATCCGCCTGGAGGAAGAAGCAACATTGGAGGCCTGGGCGGCGGGTATGCAACAAATGTAGAGTCTAAATATCTAAGGCTCAGTGTAAGAATGAATCTTCAAGCCCTTGTAAGGGGTGAGGGAATTGATGGGATGGAAGACCAGTGGCCCGATACGGAGTAGACCTAGACCGTAACTACTTACCTTGAATAGTAGTTTGCCCAAATTACAATTCCTAACCAGCTGAAGCGGCTGCTGACTTTTTCTTCATTTTTTGACTACTCTTTTACCAGTAAATTTCAAAACTCATAGTAAACCTAGCCGAAATTTCTTAATTCTCCTTGTATAGTTAGTTTAGTAGTCCATATAACACTTATTTAGGCCACTGAGCTGACTTATCGTTCAGCCAGTGATGCTGCGCAGTCTACGGCCCGGTTCTGAGACCGACAACCTCCTACTTCGGATCCGACATCGGGTAAAATCCAAAGCCCCGAAGCTAACCTAGAGCCGACCGGGAAATTTGACAAAGTGGCTGAGATCTCGCATGCCACGACATGCCTTCTCGCTCTATCCATCAACACAACACAGACATCTTTGACGGAACTCAATACTTCTTCTCTGGCATCTCGACCAAGCCTTTCCACAACGTATCAACATTCTCTCATTCCTTTCTTGTCCTTCAGAGAGACAAGATCATGGTGCATAGTTTCTTTCTTGGATGTCCTGGTTCGCTTCATCGTCGAAGTCAAAGAGCAGAATATCACACAAGGAGAGCTTCAAGTAACGACATGCTGTAGTGTTACCTTTTCTTGTGTCGAGGTTGTACCGTTTGATTACCTTGTCGGTTTATTTTCTTGCCATTCGTGCTTTCGTTCATGCTTACCCAGGTATGTCAAGCAACGTTTGCCTTCCTCGCTTCCTGTTCGTCCACGCCAAGTGCCGAGTAGTTGCCAAGAGGACTCGATCTCTAAATTGTCTTGCGTCCTTCCCTTTTTGCTTCCGTTGAGTCAATCGCAGTCTTTACAATTGGTACCGAAGCATGCAATACGTACGAAAAGACGAAGATTGCCCTCTAGGCATGCAGAGTAGACGCTGTACCCCTCTCGAGCTACGAGGCCTCTACGGTCTTTGAACGCATCTTGCAGAAGGCAAAGTAAGTGGCAGACTCTCGTCAATGTTCCATCAACTTAATGATGAAGAGTAGTCAAGGAAATTGAGGTGTTATTTGTTTTGGGATGAAGGTTTCGAAACTTTAATTTCTTGAGAATAATTGACGAAATACACGATGTTTCGTCAACTTAGTCAAGCAAAATATCATGTCTCGACTCCCACTTGTTGTCCACCTAGACACACCAAGCTTTGCCAATACCTCAGGCTATAGCCGCCAGCGCTCTCTCGGTATTTTCATCTTCTTACCTTCCACCTTTGGGATAGATATTCCAGCATCTTTTGAGTGATTAAAATCCAAGATCGGCCATCAAGGTGCTCAGATAAGATGGAATATCATCTCTGGGTAGTAACGGGTAGTAACGCCTTGTAAGCAAACCACCATCCTTGCGGCTACAGCTTCGCTCGTCTTAAGTCTCTTGCTTCCTGCCTGTTTTGTTAACTGTCAAGGCGTCAAGGCACTTAGATCACATGTATGATAGCTTCTCCCAATCGGATTTGCAGTATTGCATGTTGCTTCTTGAGGGGCATGAGATGGTTCGGGCAAGTGGGATGCTACGCGAGATAGATCTAGATATATATACTACTGAGCTCCGCACAACCTTCTCAAACCACCTCACTTGTCAAGACTTTTGAGTCAATTTACATCCTGACATATCTCGGCGGTTTTTTGTTGCTTGTCATGTTGTACCTGTCCACCCTTGCACTACTGTGCTCTGCAGCATGGGCTAAGGAAATGGCTGTCAATGAGGTCGCGGCTAAGGAGCTGTATGACAGCGGAATTGTCCACGACGGCATTATGGCCGCAAAGATGGTACTGCTCTTTGCCTAGTTCAGATGTGCCGCAACTAACGTTTGATGCAGGAAACCTGGGCCAAGGCTGAGGAGGCTGGTCTTATGGCCTCTGCCCAATATCCTACTCTCGGATACACAAAATGCATCAATGGCGTAGCAGCAGCCATTCCTGGCGATGCTAACAACACTTTCAAGTGTAGCAACGTAAGACCTTTGGATATATATCATCACGTGTCGTCGCTAAGTTTCATGAAAGATTGACCTGTATTCCTTTGCAAGCCATGCGGATCTTCGAAGTACTGGACAAGGTTCTTCTTCTTGGGGATGGACATCAGCAAGTGGTCGGGAATTTGTCGCAATTGGACAGCAAGATGGAGCTGCGTTTGTTGAGATCACCAAGGAGGGTCAAATGGTCTACCTTGGCCGTCTTCCACAATACTCTGTTCCTTCAATCTGGCGTGAGATTCGAAGCTACAAGAATTATATGGTTATTGGCAGTGAAGCTGTCGGTCATGGAGTTCAATTCTTTGACATGAATAGAGTAAGTCTTCTTGATCTCGCTTACGCATTCCAACCCGGCTAACATCTCAGCTTCTTACCATTGACCCTGCATCTCCTGTCACATTCAACGGACAGACTGATCTCGCTGGACACTTCAATGACTTGCCTATCGGAAGAACTCATAACGTGGTAGTGAACGAAGAGGTTGGATACGCGTAAGAAAAATCCTGATTCTTCACGACTAAATTTTATGGAAAACTGACTTTTGGACTAGTGTTGCGGTTGGTGCTCAACCACGTAACTCCACCTGTCTTTCCGGCCTGATCTTCATTGATCTTACAGACATTACTAAACCAGTCAAGTCGGGATGCTCTGATATCGACGGATACGTCCATGACGCCCAGTGTATTGTCTACCGCGGACCAGACAAGAAATACAACGGTAAAGACATCTGTTACGGATACAACGAGGATACTCTTACCATTTACGATGTGTCGAACAAGAAAAACGCCACCATCATCTCTCGAACCTCCTACCAGGGAGCTTCTTACACCCATCAAGGTTGGGTGTTGGATCCTATGAACCAGGAGTATCTCCTTTTGGATGACGAGCTTGATGAATCCCGCGGCAACCAACCAGCTGCTGATGGTTTCCCCGTGACTTACATTTGGGACATTAAATCGCTTGAGGCTCCTAAGCAGACCGGTATCTACAAGTCAGGCGTAAAATCTATTGATCATAACCAGTACATCATAAACGGTCTTTCTTATCAATCCAACTACGGTGCCGGTCTCCGCGTTCTCGATGTCTCCTCCATCCCATCCGACCCAACCGGAGGCGGAATCTGCGAAGCCGCCTACTTCGACATCTACCCAGAAGACGACACTGCTCCAGGTGGTGGAATCGTCAAGTACTCCGGTACCTGGTCCAACTACGCCTACTTCAAATCCGGATACATTTTCATCAACACCATCGAGCGTGGCGCCTTTGTCGTCAAGATGACTAGCAAGAGCTGTCCAAAAGCAACATGCAACGCAGACAACTGTCTCCGAGCTTTCCGTGCTACTTCTACCCCAGGTAGACTCGCTGAGAGCCAGGCTTTCTGCTCAAACTTTACCAAGACTGTCATTACTAACGTCAATGCTATCCCGGCTTGGGCTCCAAGTGCCTGCGGTGGGGATGTCGCCAGCCGGGCGAGTAGCGCTTGTGCTTGCTTGCCAACTGCGTAAGCGAGAAAAGGATGATGTGATGATTGACGAATGAAGCAGTGGTGTATATAAAAAAGTAATTGAGTTGTACATACGTGCCATGTTTATCATTTGAACCCCGCTCTCGTCGACAATGTTTGATAATAAAAAAATCTAAGATTACATTCTAACCCTTGTAGTGATTTAATCGACAATCGAAACTCGACATTTATTCAATGAAGTTGAGGAAATTATTGTAGTTGTCTATAATCATCAGTGAGTTTGACTTTTGTATTCTAATTCAGACTTTTTGGCTATGAGTAAACACAGCACTAAATTGGAATTTATGTTTACAGAGTAGGCAGGGGCTTATTACATATATCGTCTACCCCCCCTCATTCGATTGAATGGTTTAATGTTTTTGTAGTGATTATACAACAGCTCGTAATTTTGACGAAATTTCAAATCAGCATTCCCATTTAAAAACTCAAGGTCTACATACAAAACAATAGCTTCTCTCAGTAGCCGATGTTGAATACATAAGGGAAATTTTAGGTTAAGGCTAGTATCTTGTTTCCAGATCCATCACGAAACAGACTTCGACGTCGATGTTCTTTCTCGGTTTGTCGTCTAACATTTATAGACACCAGAGTTTCAGTACATATGAATAGTTGCAAATGACTGTCCGAACTCTTTGTGCTCGAATGGGTTGCGAGGGATATCTTGAAGTTAAAAAAAGGCATTTCGGCGACAGATACGAAATCGGTGACGAAAAGTCAATTCACTGCTTTCACTCAAAATTTTCGGTGGGAATAACTAAGAGTGCTCAGGAAATTCAAATTCGATCAGACTAGTGTGAAGACGATATCTCAATAACCTTCCACACTTTTGGATAAAGAGACACACGAGCGAAGTGTCACTGGCCAGGTCCAAGGATGTATCACGTCCTTTCTGATGTTCATTTTTTCATATTTGTGCACACATGTTGATCAATTCTAAGACATCTAATTAAGGACAGCTCGAATTTACCTCTTTCTAGAGGTTTTTGAGAGTTTATTTCTGTGTCTCAAAAGTCAATCATGTACGACTACGAGCAGTTTGTTACACTTACTAGAAGTCTCAGACTGAACGTTGCCCCAATAAGCTTCATCTCGTCGCACAACTTTGCCCAGAAGATATTTTGAGGAAGAGTGAGAGCTAACATTTATGTCACGCCAGCTACTTGCGGACTGTTTCCTCCCCACAAACAAAAATTCCAAGCTAGAAACCCGCGCATCGTATTTCTCGTCTAGAATCAATATCTACTCCATCATTTCCAATAACTCCACACCAAAGTAGACTTAAAACTGTGAAAATCTACATTCTTATTTCTCATCCCTCTCACCCTTGAATCATTATCAGTCACAAAAAAACGACCAAAAGAACACCTGCGAGCAGACATCCTCTGCTTAAGGCGCCATCAAAGTTTATACCAGAGAGTCCACAAACACTTTATTAATAACTTAGCAATATATCGGAAAGCCTCGTAACTTCTCAAATCCCTCGCATTATCAAATTCGCCCAAAAATCTATCCCACAACACACCCTATCCAATTCCGCATAGGCCACTCACTGCTTTCCAACCAAATCACCACGCAACTCTCACAACCCTCCAACACACATCCATTACAAACAAAACACCCCTCACAAACCCCAGACCAAAGAATCAGCACGCATAGCCACCCCTCCCATATTTCACCAACTTCAAAATCAAACCATCTGACATCTCCTTGAACTCTCAAATACTGACCTCAAACCACCCACCCCACCTCCGCAGAAACAACTTCTCACATCTCGCATCTCACTCTCACCTGATTCCCCCCTTCTAGAAGAGAACATCACATGATAGGATATCAACCCGACTCTCTAGGTGTTAAGCATGGAACTCCAATATCTTGTGAAAATCACGGCGTTGATTTCGGAATATCTCGGGCCTTGGTAACAAGGTTGAAATCCCACCACCACCAATCGCAATACCTATACGTGGGTAAAATCTTAGAGAATCGACTAAAAAGACAGGCCAGGAATGCGACATGCGTCACTGGACCAGCAACGATCCTGAGATAAACAGCAGCCTCTCCGTTCCCATAGGCGACACAAGCACGGAGTCAAAATTGCAATCAATCATGCACCATGAAAATTTAAGGGAAGGAATTTCAACATTGAGTGTATTAAAAGGAGTAACTTCAATTTTAAATCTATCCTATCTACACAAAGACAACAATAGATCTTCACTCAAAAGTCCACTCCTTCAAGCTAGCTAATCAACCGCGGAAGCGAGATCCACTAACGAGAAATAGACTAGAGATCAATCCAATTGACGCCTTCAACCAAGGTATGAAATCCAGCCCATTCCACCATTATGCAACTCCATCCAGTTGTGAAATCCAGACTGTAAAGACAACCCAAACTCGAGTTATATTTCCCATGTCCAACGATCCCTTGAAATTGATCTCACGCTATGGTACGGCAAAACAAATAACAAGATTTTTACAAACGGGATCCGTGAATGACCTTCATGTCAACGGCAAGCTCGCTACCGTGATCACTCAAGACCAAGACACGAACGGAACCGCGACCAGAGTCAAAGGCATCCTTTAGGCGGGACCAGAGGCTGGATTGATCAATGACAGGAATGGCTTGCTTAACATCACCAGTCTCGGTCATAGCGACGACTTAAGAATATTAGCTAATGTTCTTGTAGTATGAGGAACATGACTTACCAGTGCCCTCTTGGAGATCGAGAACTCTGTATTGCTTGAAGACTGGGCCGAGCATGGTCTGGACAATGACACTTGGGCTTGGGTTGGAGATGAAAGAAGACTCTTCATGCAATTGCTTGGTGAAGAGATCAACACCCAAGTAGCGGTGTTGACCAGTGGCAGACGAGGTGGTGATGCGGATAACTTGGCATGGGCGACCTTGAAGGATCAAGAGATCACCAACTCGGATGTGGTGGCAGGGAATGGTGACAGTGTTTGGGGAGTAAGCTGGCTCTGGGGCAGAGGCACGAGCTGGAGCTGGTTCACGTCCTACTGTTAGCTCAACCTTCTCCTCACGACGTTCAAATGATGGTTGGGAATGGTGGGAATGTTGGGAGTGTGAAGATTGGGGACGGTGGACATGATGACCATGGTGGTGGTGGTGGTGTCGTCCCAAGACACGGTCGGCAGCGCGGTGTAGACCGTGTCTGAAGGAGTGGTAGTGTCCTGGATAGTCGTTTAGGACTTTTGGGGCGGTGTGATAGATTCAAGAGATGTAACTTACCATCTTCATCGTAGTAACCCATCTTGCTTGATGTATAACGAGGAACTTCGACGGTTTCTTCTGTGATATGAACCTTTTCGTGACGGGGAGCTGAGAAGCGAGGTGCGTCAACAGTGTACTCGTCGACACGAGTTTGTTGTTGATAGGCGGGTTTGAAGCTTGGACCGTCAACAGTGGTTCCACCGACGTAGGATTGAGCTTGGTGTTCCGATTGGAAGCGTGGAGGGTCGACAGTGGTACCGGCGACACGAGAGCCTTCGCGGTAGGTGGCTTGGAAGCGAGGAGCTGGGTCTACAGTGGTCTCGTTGATACGGACCTCTTCACGGTAGCCTGGCTGGAACTTGGATCGATATTGACGTTCGGAAAAGTCAATCTCGGTCTCGTGTTGGTGACGGCGGTGGTGTGGGAGCTCGACAGTGATATCAGTGTCGTAGCGGCGGCGTTGGTAAAGTTCTGCAGGCTCGTGGTGGTGGTGACGGCGATGGGGAAGCTCGATGTCAACGTGGGTGGTGGTGTGCTTGTGGTCTACCGGTCTGTTGATAGGAGAAGCAAAGGTCAGCAACGAGAAGAAAACAAGTCGGTCAAGGTTACTGTGTCAACACAAGGAAGGAAATATTCAAAGGTCCAGTTAGCGAGCACGGATATCCGCCCATGGCTCGAGCTCCAAAACAGACTGCAATTTCCAATGCCCGTGTGAAACATTGCATTTGAGCGGAGTGATACCCGCAGTCTGGAGAGGAGCAGAGACTGGTGCTAGAAAGTGCAGATAGATTCAAAACAAAACAAATGCATACAATCGCTATGATCGCTCGGCAGGGGATTTCGAGTTGAACTCACCGGCGTTCCTCACGGATGTACACTTCTTCTCTGCGGGATGGGCGAGCGGTCTGGTATCGGTCTTCTTCGCGAGTGATGTGTACCTCTTCCTTGCGGAATTCTTCGCTGGCGCGTGGAGGGAGGTTGGCGGAGAGGGAAGACTGTTGATATTGTCCTTCCCGTCCGACGCGCTGCTCTTTGTGTGGGAGGTTGATCTCACCCTCGATGTGAGTCGATTCGGTGGTTTGCTCGACGGCGTCGTTCCGGTACGACGACGGGAAGATGCTGAAGGGGATCGGGACGCGGGCGTCAAAGTCCAGGTTGACGACCTTGAGGTGCTAGAGAACGTCTTCTCGAATGCCTTTCGACTGACCGAAAGGAAGACAAGAAGGGGTCTCTTGCTTCTTGGGTGAAAGAAGGTGAGGAAGAGAGCGCGTTTGACGACGCTTCTTGACTCGTCTTTCAATTGAGGGGATGAGGTTGCGTTTGGGTTGAGGCTTTTGATAACACAAGGCTGATTGGAATGTGGTGATAGAAGAGAAGGAGAGCGGGACTGCGAGGAATGGAAGAAGTTGATGGAGGGAGGGTGAGCACAAGCAGGAGCCGGGGTGCTTAAATTCGCTTGTGCGTGTTTTGGTTTGTTTACGCGGCTGGGGCTGGACTGGCGCTAGACTAGATTGGGTAGATATTTAGATGGCTGGGCGACCATTGCGAGGTTGGTGCACACCAAATTGAGCGGGGAAGTAAGAGATCGTTAAAGTCAGAAACAGTGCGCTAGAAATAATGTTTGGGTTTGCAATTAATCTTGCTGTGTTACATGTATCTATGCTATGTTTTGTTTGCTACAGACTACCCCTTTTCTGCGTTCTTAGCTTCATCGATGACCGTAATTGCAGGGCTCAGAGCTCCCGCAAGCTTGTACGGCCACGCAGAAAGGCCAAGTTCGTATTGCTTCAAATCTTACCTTTGTTCTCACCTCTATCCTCACAAATCTTCAAACTCTTGCAGCAGAAATCCTGTTTTCTCAATCACACCTGTTCATACGAGTAAGGCAGATGCTGCAACTTCTTCTAGTTCTCCCCCCACGCAATGCGACAACCGATCTCCATGAAGCCGTAGACAGCTTCCAACTTCATGCATCAAAACGCAGCCACCTCGACCGCTCCATCCACCGCTTCGAACTCTAACAGCCTTGATCATGCAGTGTGGAGAGCTACATGAATCCTGCATATCAGTGTGCTGATATACTTTCGTTCCTCGAATTGAATTGGATCAATGTGCTGTCGGGCATCGATTTCCAGCTGGAGTGGTCAGCGCAAACTGGATGTTCCATGCAGAGTCTTGTCGTGGAACGTTGTGAGTGGACAATTTGACATCAGATTCTTCACATGCTATCCGTATCCAGCTTGTCAGGCAGCCATTGATGACCTGTTGAGAGACTGAGGCTGGCCAGTATCGTGTAACTGCCGATTACAACTTCAAAAGCACAAATTGACCTTTCAATCGTTCTTTGTCACTACTATCGTTGGAACTCTACGTCTCCATCTACATGTACGGAGGTACGTTCTACATGCCGAGGTCTGGTATCTCGAAAAGGGGGAATTATCAGCTTAACATGGTATCCATGGCAACCTTCGTGCGCTAGCAGCCGGAGCGATCGAGCGGAAGAAGTCCCGAGCGACTAGCTTAGTGTCTATACCACGTGATGCGTGACTTTCTGGATCACGAGTTTTCTCGGTCCAGACTCTTTTAAATTTCTATAGCCGTAGATTTCGCAACAACATGGCAAACACGATTGTTAGAGCTGTACAGCATTCGAATAGTCTCTTAATAACTTTTGTACTATCCATCTGAAAGTTCACTCATCCTACAACAACATTTCTTGCCTTGTCCTTTGAGAACTAGCTTGTCACAACCACGGGCTTGTATCCAGAGTAATAAAATGGACAAGATGAGGCACTTTCAAGGTGTGAGATATTTGTAGCTCATCGGCTTCCCTCTGATTTTCAATCAGCAAGCGAGCTAACAAGGTAGGTTTATACTTTTCCACTTATGATGATTTGCGAACCTACCGATTGTAGTAGTACGAGATTCCGAAGACAAACATCAATAGAGGTTTCGGAAGTCGATCGTAGGGCCGCAGAGAAAGAAGTCATCAACTATCTACAGATACGTAGTGTGCCTGCGCTCGTTTACATGAAACGTTCCTTGAATACTTTGTCAAATTGCGAAATATACTTTCCGTGTTGTTTCGGGTTTCACGCTCTTTCAGAAGTTTGATGCATTTTATGATGCAATTGCATAACGACCAAGTACATCAGGAAGTTCGGATCAAATTTCTTAATTATAGAGTTGTCCTTCACTATGACAAGTGGTAAGTGTGGTCATCAAAGCATTCATCGGCATGGCCATATTACCACTTCACCACTTGCGATATCGACATCATAAGTCTATGGCCAAGCTCGCTGAAGACAAGATAATCGTAAGCCACCTACCCATTAATCTCGAGACCAAATGAGTTGACTCAGAATAAAGGTTAGGTATTATGTACTTGAAATGATCGACGCAGTATATTATATTGGTCGAAGTTAATCTACTAAATATACACCATTTCGTTAGCTTAACTGAAGAAACATCGGTTTCGACTACCACTTATATTTCCATCGCGAGCCAAGGCAATAATCCTGTGGAAAGACAAAAAAACCTACGGAACAACTTCTCCCCGGAATCTCCCATGCTTTCGGTGAGATTTGGTCTTCTTGAGCTGTCTCATGGAATCGCTATTAACGACTGCGTTCCTCGAGGCTTGTACTCGTTGATATTCGACCTCAAACGTTTGGGATATGGCTACGGAGCGTTTCGTTCTAATTGTTTGTCCCTTCAATACTCGTTCTTCTTATGATCTTCGCCTTGATCTCAGCACTTGTTTTTTGCTTGCATTTGCACTACAGTCCGTCGTACAGCTCCCGATTTACAAGCAAAACTTTCTCATGAAGACAACTTGGTGAGTTTCAATGGTCCGCACTCAGTCTATAACATGTCAAGGTATGATATCAGTTATAGACTGGGTGACGACGCCACCTTTAAATTCCGGAATATACTGACGAAGATTGGGTCCACCCAGCTGTCAAAAGAGTATCAGCCTCGATGAGAGGTTCCATCTGCTTAAAGCAGAGGATACTACCAAACTGCCCGGTATCAAGATCTGCTTGCTAGACATGATGTTGTGTTCAAAGAACCTGTTCTGTTTCTTACGATGTTCAGCAAATTCTTTTCCGCCCAGCTTGCATTCTCCTGAAAATAACTTGCGATGATGTTCTAAGTTTAGGCGTATCTACCACCATTACCATTCCATTATCGATTTATCCCACTGCCAACTGCACCCAAGAGGAGTGTTACTAGCTTCCTTGATTTAAAGCCTATCGATAGCTTAGTTTGTCTTGATTACTTGTGCGTCAACGGGGTTTAGAGGGCCTCTGAGCTTGGAAGGCCAGCCAAGCTGCACTGCCACGACCATGTATGTTCGGTACAAATCTCAAGCTCGAGTGAAAGACCCCGCCTCTCCGCATTGTATTTCAGTATACATCATGATTTCAACCCCACCCCTGCGAGATGTGCAGAATTCACGTTTAGTAGCTTCCATAATGTGTCGAATTCACCACTTGTATTCATTCGTTCGGAAGCCCTATCAATATCACCTGTTCATACATCTCAAAAAGGTAAGCTTCCTCGCAATATCCCAGCTTAGTGCTAAGATCAGATACCCCAAGAACCAACGAGCAATCCCCATTTCGTACCCCGCCAAGCAGCCAAGATACGCATCTGTCAGCCGAGCCTTGGATCTGCTTCTGTCAACTTTCCTGCACCTTACATAAGACTTTGCACCAATTATTACGACTATTCACCGCAGCATTCACTCGGCGCCGTAGGATAGCATCTTGGGTAATGCATGGCGAAGCGGGGGGTGACGCGCCACTCCACGAAAGATCACTGGACATCTTTTGAACGGAAGATACAAAGACCGCACCTTGCACATTGATTCGTGAAACCTCACAAATTTGCCTGACGGGTCTTTAAGTTTCTCAACTTCCGCCCCCTCGAATCCAGCTTGACCCTTTCCATAACGAATGGTTATTATCCCGACTACTTCAACTGATGGCCACTCACAGCCTGTTGCCATCACAGGTCAAGAAGGGCAGGACCCTGATGAACCCCCTATACCGCGGCCCTCTTCTTCCATTGAAGAAGTAAAGCAACTGAAGACAACGCCGGTCACAGAGCTGAGTACTGTAGGAACCGCTAGTAATAGCGTCACTGCAGTAAACAGTCGAGATGGCTGGGGTATATTCACTGGAGATGCAGACAATGCACATGTCTGCGACCATCATGATGTGGCCAAATTCTTAGAAGTTGAACCAGTGTATGTCAATTGTAGACTTCCCGTGACATTATCTAACTTGCAAACACAGTTCTGGTCTCTCAACTTTTGATGCAGAAAAGCGTCTTCAAACCCATGGTCCTAACAAGATCGATGGCTCGGGGCAAGTCTCCCTATGGGAGGTGTTGCTTCGGCAAGTGTCCAACAGTTTAACAATTGTAAGTGTTTCCCTCCCTTGACTCCATTCAACTGTAAGATCTTCAAATTACCGATGAATATTGCTGTGACTTCTACCTTAAGCTCATCATGATATTCGTAATGTGGCAATTGTCAACGGCGTAGTTTCATGGCAATGAAAATCACCATAGTCGCTGTCAAGACAAGTGGCTCTTGCAAAGGACGAGCTAACTCTCGCTCAGGTTCTGGTCATCGCTATGGCACTGTCGTATGGAACTCTCGATTTCATCGAAGGAGCCGTCATTACAGCCGTCATTCTTCTCAATATCGTTCTTGGGTAAGTTCCTTACTCCTTCGCCATGTCAACTGTTAACCGATGTCAGATTCGTCCAAGACTACCGAGCTGAAAAGACTATGCAATCGCTACTGAGTCTTGCAGCTCCATCATCCCAGGTCGTTCGTAATGGCAAGATCGAAATCATCAAATCTGAAACACTCGTCGTCGGTGACATTGTCAAATTGTCTACCGGTGTCGTCGTGCCCGCTGATTTACGCCTTGTTGAAAGCACCAATCTCGAGGTCGACGAAGCTCTTCTTACTGGAGAATCTCTTCCTTCCTCTAAAAATGCTGATATTACCCTTGCTAGTGCCGATGTTCCTCTCGGCGATAGGGTCAACATGGTCTATTCGGCAACCACCGTTACACGAGGACGTGCAACCGGTATCGTCGTAGCCAGTGGTATGAAGACTCAAGTCGGCAGCGTTGCCCAACTTCTGCGAGGCGGAGACAATTCCCCAGAGAGCACCAACGTCTTCAAAAGATGGTTCAAGAAAGTGGGTGGCGGCTTCAAAAGTATTCTCGGACTCGTCGGTACTCCTATGCAAATCAAATTGTCAAAATTTGCAATCCTTCTATTCGGTTTAGCTGTTTTGCTAGCCATTATAGTCTTCTCTGCGAATAAATGGCAACTCCACAATGAAGTTGTCTTATACGGTATATGTGTTGCCGTCGCCGTTATCCCGGAATCTCTCATCGCCGTCATGACCATCACCATTGCCGTTGGCGTCAAAGCCATGGCTGCAGGAAACGTCGTCATCCGAAAAATGTCTGCACTTGAAGCCATTGGCGGAGTGACGAATATCTGTTCAGACAAGACGGGTACATTGACTCAAGGCAAAATGGTTGCACACAAAGTCTGGATCCCTGGTTTCGGAATGCTGAGTGTAGAAAACGCAACCAATATTCTAGATCCAGAGGACGCAAAGTTGTCAATCGATAACGAACCTTTAGATCTATCAGATCTTGCTTCTCAACCTAAAATTGAGAGGCTTGTACCTGTTTTAGACGCCGTTGCTTTGTGTAACTTCGCCTCGGTATTCAGAACAGAATCTAGCAATGATGGAACCGAGAAAGTTCCATCTCTCGGTAACTGGAAATCAGTCGGTGATCCAACTGAAGTCGCCTTACAAGTTCTAGCGATGAGGTTTGGTCACGGAAAAGATGCTCTCTTAAGTTCTGGCGAATTGTCTGCTGTCATGGAGCATCAATTCGATTCAAGCTTAAAGAGAATGTCAATGGCTTACAAGAACTCAAACACCAATGAGGTGGAGGTGTTTGCTAAAGGTGCAAGCGAATCTATCCTTCCAATTGTTGACTTACCCGACAAAGACCGAGACGTAATCCTTCAGATGCTAGAAAGTCTAGCTAGTGAAGGTCTTCGCGTTCTATGTATCGCTACAAAGACCGTCTCCGACGATGAGGAAGCACAACTATCTGACCGCCAGTTCATGGAATCTAAACTTAAGCTTCAAGGACTAGTTGGACTCTACGATCCCCCGCGTCTGGAGACTTTCGCTGCTGTAAAGAAATGCCACGGTGCTGGTATCAAAGTTCACATGCTTACCGGTGACCATCTCTCCACAGCCACGGCCATCGCTCAACTTGTCGGTATCCTCGATCCTTCTACCCAGACCATTGACTCCGTTATGCGAGCCCAAGACTTCGATAAACTCAGCGACGCTGAAATTGACGGATTGGTAAATCTACCAGTCGTCTTAGCGAGATGTAGCCCGCAAACCAAAGTCCGCATGGTCGAGGCTCTCGCTCGTCGAAAAGCATTCTCGGTAATGACTGGCGATGGTGTCAACGATGCTCCAGCCTTGAAACACGCAGATGTCGGAATCGCGATGGGAATCAATGGTACCGACGTCGCCAAAGACGCAGCAGACATGGTTCTAACAGACGATAATTTCGCATCTATCGTCAAAGCCGTAGAAGAAGGCCGTCGTCTATTCGACAATATTCAGAAGGTATACCCTCCTCATTTCTAACATCATCTATAATCTAACCGAGTCTCAGTTCCTAATGCACCTCCTCATCTCCAACATCGCCCAAGTAATCCTCCTTCTCATCGCTCTCGCCTTCAAAGACAGCCGCGGAAACTCCGTTTTCCCACTCTCTCCCCTTGAAATCTTGTGGGTAAATATGATCACTTCCTCCTTCCTGGCCCTCGGTCTGGGCATGGAAGAAGCGCAAGCCGACATCATGGTTCGTCCACCACGGGACCTCCGCGTCGGTGTCTTCACCTGGGAGCTTATCTGCGATAAAATGCTCTACGGCACCTGGGCCGGGATCCTCTGTCTCATCTCTTTCATCATCGTCATTTTCGGCCCGGGAAACGGAAATCTTGGAGTGGATTGCAACGAAGAATTTAACGAGACTTGCACGACCGTGTTCCGTGGCCGTGCTACCGTTTTCGCAGTTCTCTCGTTCTTACTCCTCGTCACGGCCTGGGAAGTCAAGCATTTCTCGCGCTCGCTGTTTAATCTCGACCCCGCACGTTTCCCTGGGCGCTTCTCCATTTTCAAAGCACTTGCATACAATCGCTTTTTACTTTGGGCTGTGGTTGCGGGCTTCGTGATCACCTTCCCGGTTATCTATATCCCGACGGTCAATACGATTGTGTTTAAACACAAGGGGATTACCTGGGAGTGGGGAATCGTCTTCGGTGCGCTCATTGCGTATATCGCTTTCGTGGAAGCATGGAAAGCAATTAAACGACGGTTTGGGATTTGGTCCGGGAAGGGCCAGCGACAGACTTTGGCTCTTGACCAAGTCTAATTATGTGTTGTAGAGTTTGTGCGAAGGTGAGTTCGCCAACTCTAGATATCTCGTAGATGGGAGGCGAGAGAGTTAAATTGACATCTGGAAGGGCGAAGGAGATAATTGCTTTGGATTGGTGACGGTCTGCGTGACCCTGCTCGCGTACACGCTTGCATATTCTACTTCTTACACTCTTTGATACTTTGAAATTTCAGCAGTCGCATGGGCGCAGCGTTATTTGAATGCTTAGGTCCTCGGCAATTTGGAATTAGCAATATAAACACGCTCGTTTAAGTCCTAACTCATGCCGATTTCTCATCTATCTCGCGATGTGAAAGTGGTAAGATGATTTGAGATACCATCCTAGAACGCAAAAGACAAATACTTGCATCCATAACTACATTCTCTCAGACGTCGCAAATCCCGCAAACATAAGCAAGATCAGACTCCGAGGCATCTCCACCATTGAATCCTCTTACGCACATAATCATCAACTGTTACACCCGAGATTTGTCTTGCCCTCCTCATGTTATGTTGTGTACCTCAATCGTCCCCTAGCGTACCTACCCCACATCCCTCCGACGGTAGTTTTCACTAGCACAACATAGTGTATTTTAAGGGGATGGTGATTACTGAACAACATACATACGCAATAATTGTCTACCGGAAATGACGCCGCTGAGAGAGAGTCATGGACAGTAATTACAGAGTCAAATTCTGAGGTTAGTTCATGTAGTGCGACTTAGTAGTAAGATTTTACATTGATCAGTAAACAATGATTTCCCAAGTACTTATAGACCAACATAGAAAATAAAACAAACCGACCCATCACTACATCCCTCGAGTTTCTCCTTAATTTACCGCACTCCTCAAATTGCGTCCTCACCTCACTTACCACCTACCCCTCAAAATGCCCCTCCTAAAATTCTACACCGTGACAAACCAACTCACCCCCGAGGAAAAAGCAGACTTGGCACAAGTTCTCACAGCTCGATATGCACAGATCATGCCTGATTTCTTTGTGAACATTATGTTCCACGAAGTTCGTCTTTCCACCATTCCTCTACCTCCCACCCTCCGATTTAAGCCCCGAGACTGATAATAAGCCCAGTTACCCGCCCACGATTTCTACATCTCGGAGCGTCCCAACCCCGGAAACTTCATCCGGCTGACGCTCGAACATATCGCTGTGAACTGGGACGAGAAAAACACGCAGGAATTGGAGAGGGCGAATAAGTTCTTGGATTTTGTGGGGGAGGTTTTGGGGGACAGGTTTGAGGGGCGGGGATGGATGTGAGTTTGCGATGAATGAATGCCGTGAAAATGAAATCGACAGTCCAGAATTAGGCTTTGGTGGGGAGAAAAGTGCTAACGAGATGGTGTAGGTATGAATATTCTATTTTGCAGACGTCGAGGGAATTGTGGAGGGTGCAGGGACTTACACCGCCGGCGATAGGGAGTGAGGATATGAAGGTTTGGGAGAAAGCGGGGAGGGGAGTGAAGTTGTAGGCCCAGGGATGAGACGTAGTTTATGTTTTTTTACATATATTGTCTTGGTAATTTGACGGCAGGTCATAGGGAAGGCAAATTCTGGAAATTTAAAATAAGCACACAGAGAGGCAAACTCTCTGGGTTAGTTCGATTTGAAATGGTTTGGTGACGAATGACTATCATAATTTGTAAAATAAAATCCGACCGCGTGTACTGTTAAGATCTAGAATGTCGTCTCACAGAAACAGAGGTATTTGAAAACCAGTACACTTAATCGGATATCGCTTACGGCTCTGCCTGTTGTTCATCAAGAAGATATTTTACAACCCTACGTACCTAAGTCAATACTTCCACTACCTTAGAGGAGAAGTATTGCAAGACAAGAACCTATGAACAAACGATCGAAGTGTGGAGGTAAGACAATGAGCACAACTCCATCTAGAATACGCGATTGCCTATGCGAGGTTTGTCGTATTTGTATCTTAAATTGTTAGGAGGAAGGGGGCAAGAGATCAGACTAGAGCTTGTGGTGGAATGTGCGTAGTGTGAGCTGGTGAGAAGAATGGATGTTTATGAGGGAGATAATATTGGAAAGGAAGGAAAAGAACAACAATGCGTCATATCTCTGAGGGGACACTTCCTTGCGGCAAGATGACGGTACCCTGCTCAAAATGCCATAATCACTCTATTTGTGTAACTAAATATATTGTATTTCGTCCCTTGAAAAGGATCAACGTACCTATTGATAGCAAAGTGTTGAGAGGCATTGTCTAGACATTATTATGCTGGGTGGGTGTCTCGTCGGTCTTGCAATGGACTGGTGGATAGAGGACTGTATTCAAAAAAAAATGCGAAGCGCCAGAAAGAAAAGAATGAGTCCATGAGTTGATATCCCATATTTCAAACCTCCGTTGCGATGACACAAACTCTTGTTGCTTCTACAATTTCTACCCAAGCTAGTTTTTAATATCAACACAAGAGTAGCGTTAAAGAAAGACGTGGAATTTCAGCTCGCTTATTAACCCCTGATACCACTATACTTTTCCCAAGATGAATTAGTGTACAATGTACACGAAGCAAGCACCCCACGTTCTTATACACTCCTATACTATCTTGTCCCTGCAGAAACTTTATTTCCCTCCGATGCGAGCCTTTTCCGCAAGGAGGAAGTGTCTCCAACCCGTAGTCTCCCATGGACCCCTTTTCGGCTCATTTAAGACCGACACCTTAACTTTATATACTTTACAAGTGTCTTTCCCCTCAGATAAGTTGGTAGAAGCGTGGCTTCAGTGTGGAAGTTACCGGTTCTCGGTCTCGGATGTTTCGGCAGGTACAGTATCGGTTCGAGGCTTTCCATGGAGGTGCTTGTGCTGGTGATGCACGATTATATGGAACGGTTACTGCCATCACCAGAAGGGAAGGGACCGCAAGTATAGCAGAGGTCTATTTCTGTCATTTGCTTAGCTGAGAGCAGAATTGCACGCGCGTGCTCAGTGGTTCAGCAATGGAACTATTTGTTTTAAGCAAATGTGAAGCTTCCCGTTCGCTAGGACAGACACTTTCTAAGATGTGGTCCTGATCTCGGCTGAGGGATATGAGAAGATCTTTCAGATAGATTGAGTTAGCATGCAAATTCGTGTCTTTGCGTCTGAAAGGTCCAGAACATCAACAAGGATCGGACAGCTATTCCAAGCAACAAGCGCACTGCAGCTGAAAATATATGCTGCAGAACAACACGCGCAGAAAGTATATCCTCCCTTTCTGCGGACGGTGAGGTAGCCTGGATCAGAGTTCCGAAGTATAATGTACTCCGTAAGCCGAAAACGCAAAAATGCCAACTGCTTACTGAAAGTAATTACTCACAGCGACGGACATAACCCACCTCGATTAAACTCCAGAAGCGCAGACGCTCGGAGATTTGAACACTATTTAGAGGCTTAAGCGACCGGTATTTGTATCACCGGAAGTGATTTCGGATGTACTTGCCAGCCTGGGACTGGTAGCACAAGCGCTGGGCTCAACGGCTTTTTAGGCTGCAGGTCTGTTTAGAATATTATGCTGTGAATGTATGAGCCCCAGGCAGGCTTAGAAGTATAAATACCTTGGCGAAATTAATGGCTTAGACGGAGTTAGAATTAATGTCAAGACCAAACGCGGACAGAAATTCATAGTCTTAGACCCTCACGTTCTGGTGGCCCAAAGCCACAGTGACATCCCCAAGAAAACACTACGGCCTCTCGGCAGCGCTAAGCCGCCTTATTACCATATACTTTGTACTTCGCTCAGTGACATTTAATAGAGCCGTACTATAATGTCAAAGCAAAATCCCTAAGCGGGAATGACGTTCCAAAAGCAATTGTCGTGCTATTTTAGGTTCACAACGCTCTTTCTCAACGGAGAGCGGTCCTTGACCAATTATACCAGACGCCAAAGCTGTAGACGCTAGGATCTCAATTGTCTCAGAACACGCGTGGCTTTATTGATACGATTTTGAGATCTACAGGTCGCCGGCTTGTAAATATTGGATGGTAGTGCTGTTAGTGCAAGACCGCTCGTGGTTAGCTGTCGGCAAGGCACGAAAAACCACAGATCAGAAATTGATCCAAGCGTCAAGGGGTCGACTTGCGCGAAGGCTATTTCAATGCCAAGCAGGGGTAGTTTTCTGTCATGTATTTCTCATCCGCATACAGACAAATGAGAATTGTACGAAGTAGCTGCCAGTTTGTTTGCTGAAACTCGGTGGGGACTCTATACTTCATGACACTTACTCGTTATTTCTGATGGATTCGAAATCCTCGTAAGTCTAGATTTGGCAAATATTCTTGTCAAGTGGGGTTTGTCTCGAAGATCTCTCGAAGAGGTCAACTAGTCCTCGAGACAAGTAATTTAGTCCAGGAACCCCTTCTTGCATGAATTAAAGGTAATTCTCTACAGCTTTGACAGGCGAAATGTCTAATCCACTATTAGTTGCGCGGATATGAAATACGAACGAGCATTTATGATAAGCCTACCGGTTAGTGAATCGAAAAAACCGTCCGATCAAGTTGCCCTCTTGGTCAGACCATGTTTTCTCAAACACGTGACCGACGGACCGATGAAGATTGCAACACTACTAGCGGTATGTAGAATTTCCCCAAACTATAACTCATTCACATATTCCTTACAAAAGGTCTACGCGCACTGCACGAGCAACCATGAGATCTCCTTCTCCTCAGATCCTAAGCGCCTTGCTCGCCTGGCGCATGGTATGTCTGATATGTCCTACGCAAAGCATACCGGCAGATATGATAAGAAGTTAAGAACCAGGTTATCCCCGTGCCCCGCGCGTAGGGCACCCCCATGTACCCAAATGCGTATTCGAACCTCGTGAGGTCTTTTGAGGAATAGTTTGGCTTTGATCGTGAAGACAAAGTCGTCGTATAAAGGTTTCATGATGGATGAAAGAAGGCTAGGTGTGAGGTGGATACCGTGTTGGGGTTGGGAAATGCAAGAGTTTAGCAGGGACGGCAATTGTGATGCCTGGGCTTGGTAATGGTAGAGTAAGTGTTTGTTAACGGGTGTCGTGCAGATCAAGCACCGAGAGTAGTATTCTGCAGGGAAAGATCAGCTAATCTTGGAACAAACTTTTCATGTTCACGATAATAGTATTTTCGTAGCCAGAAAATATGAGGTAGACAGACGTTTAGGAAAGCGGTAATCATGCAGGAATACAGCATCTCATCATAGAAGCAATAATAAGGTTTTGCAGAGTGACGAGCTATGGTACGAAGCGCGAGACGATCCATCTGCGAATGATGTTTGATGCACGATCGGTCTGCTGCAGCGGAAGGCTTACGAGGTTAGCGCCCAAGCATGCATTTGGTCGTTTGCTTTGACCCTCCCTCGGGCTCCCCAATTGTCTCGCTGTAGCCTTTTCGAGGAGAAAGTCTCCTCCGGCTGAGGACCAGTCAAAATTTATAGTTCTCAAGGCAGTCTAAAAACTCTCATAGTATATGCAGCTGCAAGAGAATGCGATACGATGCTAGCAAACTTTGTTGTTGAGACTCAGTGCTGAAGAAACGGAATGTGAGGCTTTTATTGATGTTGATATGGGTTTCATCCTATAGCTTAGAGCCTTATCACCCCACTATCTTACCATCCAAAAGCCTCTCAGCTTATGATGCCCCGCAGCTGACGACGGCATTCTACAAACAGCATCGTTTATTATTCCTCCGCCCGTGTCAAGCGAGAACCAGACAACAAGCAAAACTGGTTTACTGCTTAAGGACCGTCTGATATACCTGATGCGAGAGCGCATGATCATTCGGTGTATAAAAGGGTTTGTTTTGCCGAAGCCGGCTGATAGTGGCATGGGAAATGACTGGTTCTTGGGGGTATATGTTGGTTTTGATATTGAAGATGATGATGTGCATTGAAATCATCAGGTTCGGGGAGAAGAGCGCGCCCACCACGCAACACAGAATGGGTGAGCAAAACGCAAATACCACGAACAATGATTGGATACAAGTTGCGCCTAGTAGACAGAAAAGTAAACCCTAGCATTGTGAAATCGATGTTCCAAAGTTTCCTATAACTTTTCCCTGTTCATGCGTCAAGTGATTACGCCACCCTTAAGTGCTCCTATAATTTCCCAGCCGTATTGCCCTATCCATTCGGAGATCCAGCTCTGTCAAAACACGCCATGATGGCGAGAAGAAATGTACAATGAAGAAATGTCCCAAATATATTCCTATCCATAACGCCCCGCTGAAGTGCCCTTGATTGAAGAAATGTGTGGTTCCCGGCGAGAATCGCTTATGCCATGGTAACCGAAGAATAATTGTAGTGACTGTTGAAAAGGTGGAAAGGTGATTGTAATCTGGTGATGGAGAAGAAGTGAATCGTCTGGCGAGTGAGAGATCGGAATGATGTATTGAGGATGAGATTACCCGCTACAGAGAGGACAACATCCTGGGACGACGATATAACGCTCATGTGGGCCGCGAGCACATCGATGTTCTCTCTTGCCGTCGACAGAGGTGCCAAAGAAATGGGCCCCTGGATCTTGACACGATGTGTAGATGTAGTAGTTCTTGGTGTATTCGCACATGATAGCGGGTTGGTGGAGTTCGTCTAAGTCTACTTGGTGTTAGTGAGAGCAACTGAACCCTTTGATATCTGTGGAACATACGATTGTTTGAGTTGAGTATCAAAGTCTTGTACAAGAAGAGTAGATGAAGCAGAATGTGGAGTGAAGCTCGAAGTTGAGATGAAGAGTTGGGGTGCTTGTAGTCGAACAGGCTGAGTTATATGTTTCTGAGGAGGGAGAAGAGAAAGTGATCGAGCTGATTCTGGTGAACCCCTTCCATAGAAAGTATAATATAAGAAAAGCAAATTGCTCTGGAGCGTACGGAACCAGCCTCAACGCACATTCTTGGAAAAGCTAGATTACTTATGTGGAAAAGCACGAGCAGCTTTTTGAGCTATGGGCGCCAAGGTCCCTGTAACAGAAGGGGGTCGACTGCCAAAGCTGCATGTGTGAACGTTTGGATGCCCACCAGGAGCGGAGTGACGATGGAGGTGCCCTGTGTGGTGCACGGAGCGCTCTGCAAGGAAGATCCACCATCGAGGTGCTCGGAATGTGAGTGATTCGGATTTCCTTCAGAGGCCAGTGAGACCAGCCCTGAGCCGTCGTCTGTCGTCGAGCCCTTGGAGTCTTGGGCCTTGGGCGAGGGCCAGGGAGCCTGCTGCACTGCGTAGGGCAAGGTTGGCAGAGGCCTCCCGCTTGGGCGCCCTACCAAAAGTGCCATAATCCACTCTCGACGCTGCCGACAGACGCAGACTTACAGAGACCGATGATCGACGCCTGTACCTTTGTACCTTCCGTACAGTACACTTTACTATCCCTGGGTACGCGAGTGTGAATGTTTATTACCCTCTTAGGCGGCTTAGGCTGGCGTGGGAGGTGCGTGAAGGCAGAAACCTACGAAGACTAGGGGGGCAAAGCGGTCGAGCGGTCAATTTCTCAAGTCGGGGCGTGTGTGTGCAGATGACAGAGAGCTCCGGGCAGCTTCATGGTGGGAATCTGGCCGTGACGGACAGACAGTGTATTGAGATGTGAGTATTGAGAGGTCATTGCCGTGGCGAGGAGCCGTAGGGTTACGGGATGTGCCAATAATGCACCATCACTGTCTGGAACTCTTTTCGCCTCAAAGCAAAAGGACTTCTGCTCAATTATTCGTGCTTTGAGCTGTTGACTCCACCGCCGAATTGCTATTTCGCCCACTGACGGCTCTGGCCCGGATCCCGACTGGTGCCCTCCGCCAAAACGGCCGAATAATCCATCCCCAAACTTTGAACTTTCGAGTGCTTTACCTCTGTACCGGTACGGTTATGGTTGAGGGTGGAGGTCAAAGCGAGTGACTGGGCAGAGGAATCATAGCCACAGGACCAATCAGCTATTGCAAAAGCACTTTGTTTGCTAGGTCGGACCTGGCCTCATTCCCTACGCTCGGTTCCTCAAGGACACATGGAGGTTTTTTTGACAACTCCATGTCGAAATAAGAATAACAATCCAGGCTCACCCGTAATGTCCTGGGGCAAGAAGCTGCGGCAATAAGAGTGACACTTTAGAAAACGTGAGAAGCATGCTATTAGCGGTCGCGTTCCCGCTAGATGATTGTGGCAACGAATCTATTCGTGGTCATCCTTGATATACAAGCTGGATTGCAAACCGGCCCTCGTATCATGCTTTCTTTTTGCTTTTGGGAAAGACGCTACGTTCCGTCTCCAGCTTCAATGTTGCTGTAAGTAAGTTTTGGTCACCGAACGCTCCGGTTCTAAATATCCTCAGGAACCTTAATATCTACAATTGCATCATTTGACCACCAACTAGATGCTCATGCTATTACTCCAATGATGGCTGATTCTCAAGCTCGGATGCAGAGGCCCCTCGTGCCTAGAACAGTCCATCGTTTGTGAAATTAACTTCACATTTCCTAAAATCGTTTCGAATTCCACGCCAACGCTCACACAAATTCGAGACTATTTGGAAACATTGCACATTTTTATCATTTCAATCCACCAAGTCAATAAACATTTCCTTTTGAAGATGGCATCACTTAGTACGGAGTATCACTCTCTTCCTCTCACCCGGTGGCGACAATCTCGAAAAACCAAATACACAACAGTCCGTGCGGATTTTACCTTTACCAGCTGTGAACCGATTGTGACAGGCGTTTTGTGACGCGCTTCCCAGGTTGCACGCAACACATGCCACCACTTTTGTCTTCAAGCCGAAATATTGAGACGGTGTCTCTTCAAGACGAATTATCCCCGAGATGGTGGTGTGAGAGTCCAAAACCGGACCACAAAGACCACAATAATGCAACGTGAGTCCTGTTGATGAGACGCCATGAAAGAGATCTATCTCATCAGCTCACTTTCCACGAATTTTGTTGGCTTTGATACTGCTCCCTGCTTTGCTTTGCTATCATTCGGACACCTAAAGCTGTTGATACAAGCACGTACTGGGCTCGAAATAGGTACCCCGCGAGGAACGTCATAGCGACCCCAATCACAACGGAAATAAACAGTTTCTGATGCTCATGCAGGAAGGGCCGTGCTTGTTGACAGGCGGCTCTGAGATCGTTGAAGTTTTGGAGATCGCTTGTGTTGCGTTTGGCGCTCTCCTTGTGATCTTCCCTGCCATCTTGCAATTGCCAATTTGGACTGTCTAGGTTTACTCTTCTTTGAAGTTTGAACTTAATATCCTCAACATGCCCAGTTCTCGCACAATAGTAAAGTCCGTCCGATACTCGAAACAGGCGTGATTTTGAGGTTCGAACTACGGAGCTCTCTCCGATTTTTAAATTTGCTGATCTGTCGCCGACAACCTGGAATGTTGGGTATGGAAAACCTGTTATGGGTTAGAATAACCGTTGCGGCTCTCAATGCCGGCGAGCTGGCGGAGGCAAGTGGATGTTCTCGTTGTCGACCATGTCCTTGATCATTACTTAAAAGGATATCGGTACCCTGGCTTGAGGAGAATAGTGACTTTGATTAGTTCATAAATAAGTAATTAGATGCTCACTAGACCATAGACGACCGAACATTAGCTACGTTTATGTCGGGCTCAATTAGGCGTGTGTATGCTACTCCAGGTTGTCATAGATCCCTAATAGTATGCTTGCTTTACTGAAGAACTAGATCTCTTCCCATCACTAGACTTTCCTAGCGGACATTTAGATAATCAGAACAAGCATATCACCGACGCAATTGTACAGATTCGGTATATCTTACGAACTGAAGTGTATTGCAATCTCTGCTCTGCACCTGGAAATGAGGCTCTCGAGTCTCGACCTCGCTTCACCTTCCTGTGAGCATGAACAGCTGAATATCAGTGCGCAAGGAAATTATTCGCCAAACATTGCTGTCTCAAAATCGCAGAGCGATCCCCGTTGTCCACCCCACCAGGAATCCGCCAAAAGTTGTATCTTTGTAAACAAAAGTACGAACTTCCGACCTTTTTGCATGGTCTCGTCGGTAGAGATGACGAGTCGGGATACACTCCGTGTGGAAGTGAGGGCAAACCAACAGGTCGGTTCCTCATGTCAATAGTCGAAGCGTACCGCAATTACCTAGGTATCTTTACCACTCCCTCTGCTTTCTCCGGTGTCAACTTTTGCTTCTTCAGCAACACACAAACGCCGCGTGTCTATGATCCATCATATGCGCCAAATCGTCGCCGACGCATACTGCTCGGTCGGGCTCCAGTCGTTGCAATCAGCGTTAGCAGCATCACGATGTTGTAGGCCAAAGCGGGCATGTTTCAGTCATTGCGGGAGCAAGCGTCGTTGGGTCAAAGCTGGTCGTCTGATGTGGCTCCAGCAGTGACCAGCGCTCCAAAACCTTTGAGTCGTTAGGGCCTGAAGTGGTGGAGTGTGGTGGACCAAAAGGCGTTACGAATGGGTGTTTTGTGTTTGCCCGTACGAGGACGTACCCATCAAGGTCTTTCCGCTGTGGTGTTTTGTGCGTGAGCCACAAATTACACGCGTCCAGATGTTTTCTTTTTTGTTTTTGAAAATTGGATACAGGCCCGACCTGTCATCCGATGTAGGGTTCAACGGCTGGGTCCAGTGCGGACTGCCTACCGCCTTCATAAGATCACAGCAGGGCCTGCTTCAGGAGTACGAGAAGTACGAAAGCATTCGATTCATTCGTATTCTTGAAAACCTGATCGAACTCTGACCAGAACACCCAGGTATACGAAACATTTCGGTAATTGGCACGAATTATTGCACGACCTTCCGGATCAGAGGTATGAGCTGTAGCAAATCATAGTGCTTCAAAGTATATATTGATCAGCCACTGGGTCGGGTGCCTACTGATATCGCCCTCACAGTCTCGGATAGTAACTTCTTCTGTATCAAACATGTAGAATTGACTTCACGTTGGACTACGACGGACTTTCATTCGTCGTACAAGACGGGAAATATTGTTTGGTTGTTGCACAACGCCAGATCAGTGCGACGTCAAATATTCCACTATCATTCCTCAAATATGACGAACAAAAGGCAAACCCCCCTTCCTGAGCCTTCCGACGCAAAACAAACTTCCGGGAATATTACACCTCAATCCATTACATCCGACCAACCCATCCTTACAACAGCGCAACACCTGCCGCCAATCCTCCGAGTATACCAGCTCCAACCCCGACTACTCTTTGTGCCCCCGATGTTCCTGTTGCCGAAGCTGCCGAATTCGTGGCCGATGACACGCGAGAGCTGACCGATGAGACTGCTGACGATAGAGCGTTTGTACCATTGCCTGAAGCCGCAGTAGGCGCGGAAGTTCCTGAGGACCCAGCAGCGGACGTGGAGCTGGCACTAGCACCAGTCGAGCATGTTACTGCCGTAGGTAGGTTTGTGACTCCAGCGATGCCACAGAAGTTTCGTGCGAAATCGGTTGCAGTCTTCTGATCAGCGGCACTGCAAACATCTGACAGACAACACGCAATGGTACTGAGGAAGGAGGGATTGGAGCAGATGCAAGTGATGTCGAGACTTGGGCATCCGCCGATGTTCGAGCCGCTGGTTTGAGCAGTAACACAGGGTCTCTGTGAGGGGAGGTTAGTTCCAAAGTCAACGAGCGTCAATATTGAAGAGAACATACAGCGCAAGCAGGGATGCCATCCAGCTGGGCACTAGCCAGGTTGGCCAGAGCGAGGAGTGTCGCAACGAAAGTGACCTTCATATTGTCGATTTGGGCTTGAAACTGATGATTTCTGGTCTTTAAGGGAAAGAACGTTGCCGGTATGGTCAGAAGTGTCAGAAGTGGTTGTTTGTAAGAAATAACTTTGAAGTCGCGACGAGCCGCGAGATTAATTGGGAGCTCCCAGCGGACCCAGCGGCGTTCGGATAAAGCCGATCACTCTTCTCGAAATGGAAATTGGCCATTTAGAGGCACGGACAAGACCACTGGCTGAACTATGGGTGATACACAACCATTCAGAACCGCAGAAGAAAGAGAACCCCTGAATGTTTGTTCAATTTGTTTCCAACCATAGCCTTGTGGAGAGCTGAAAGCACATGGAAAGTTACTTAGACAACGTTCTAGGCGCATCCGCATGCTCGATCGGATTGCATTACTAGTAGAGCGCACCAAGCAGATACAAGTATGGTTTCCTTTGCATCGCCTACCTAGCCAGCTAACGGAATCCAAGGCAATTATTTTGTTTTGATACTTTGAATACCGCTATTGTCCAACTTCTTGTTCGCAATAAAAAATGCTATCGGACCTACATTTGCAGCTCTTCCAAAGCTTAGGCCTCAAATGGGATCTCACATATCTCACTGAGGCAGAGCCATCTTCTTCGGATCCTTCAAGCAGACGTGTTTGGTAGATGTCCGTTAATCGCTACCCGCTTACGCTATCCAAGGAGCCATGGCTGCACTACCTGGACTACCTACCTACCTAGGTGAATTGTTCAAAAGAGACGGATCTTGCCACTATCAACTGCCACAGAGGGCGGACGAGGTCGATCAAAGAACGCGATGTTGCTCTAACTATCTAGCTTGTTTAACAGAATCCCGGATCGACGAGGGAATTTGGCTTTGCGGATACACAAAGTCGTAAGAGACGAGCTCGAGGTATGGCAATGACATAAATTGCTAAACACCATGATTCGAGGTCCGTTTAAAAGTCCTCTGGTTGAGTCAACCTGGTCGACGATGATAGGATTTGCTACAAGGAATTCTACGATCAGATCTTACCAGACCAGATGGGCCCTAGGGGGAAGGTGCTGTAAGTCTTACATGATCAAACAACAGTACAGCGACCGGGAGAGATTCCTTCTCATTTCGAATTTTCACAGGCACAAGATGACCGAAGTACTGAAGAATTTAGATGATAGTATTCGTGTTGCCAAAACTTACATCTAAGTTTTTTCATACAACTGCTCGTGGTTGACCTTCGTCTAAGTTTCCCCCGCGTCCCCTGGGCTGCCCTTTAGAGTTCAAGCACAAGCCACCTAGGAAACCTCACATGCCTTCCCTGCAGTGTCTCGCAGCAATCCAACCAACCAACAAAGCACTGTGCCTCCTTGCGATTTATTTCCTCACCCCTCTGATCTAATTTCCTTAGGCTTAACAGCCGGTCGTTTCAGTATCTTCGTTCTCATCGCGACTCACGATCCGACCTCATCGTCGCCCAGCCGTGTCTCCTCTTCTTTGTTTCGATCTGCCTCTTTTTGCACCCCAATTTTTGGCATAAGCGGGTCTTCCCGCTGCCATATTGCAAGATGGGGTTAGGGATCTTGGAACCACGATCTGCGGAGAGTGTACCAGGTACGTACGACGGAAAGAATATATTGTAGAAATCCGGGATGCTTCACATGGAGGCAATTTTAAAAAGCATCTTCTTTATCTAACATAAGTCCAGGAACTACCCGCTACTTTGAAGACCCCGAAACATCACCAGCGACAGCGACCGCGACCGCGCCCGTTTCCTCGAATCTGAAATACGATACCTCCGGGCCCGTTCCCATTGTTCTCATCCCTCAACCCTCCGACGACCCAAACGATCCTCTCAACTGGCCATTATGGAAGCGCGATCTCATAGTCACCATCCTCTCCATCACCTCCATCTTCGCGACCTGTCTAGGCCCTATTCTCGCGGCGAACACGCTCACCCTCTCCCTATACTTCCGTCTAAAATTTACCAAAATCGCGGTGCTTACAGGATGGTATCTCTTAGGCGTGGCTATAGCAGCGATATTCTTTGTACCGTCTGCGCGGATTTGGGGGAAGAGACATTTGTTCTTAATTGGAACGGTTACGCTGATTATTTCGAGTGTTTGGGGGGGTGCTGTCAAACATAATTATGATAGTCTGGCTGCGGCTCGGTTCTTTCAGGGTGTAGGAACTGCGCCATTTGAGACGCTAGTTAATGCTGCCGTGGGAGATCTATACTTTGTTCATGTAAGTTGGTAATTTTCATGTTCTTCGTTCCCCGGAAACTGGGTCAGATTTACGGCTTGGACGGCTGGAAGACATGATGAATACGTTGGGGACAAAGCTATGTTTACGGGATTTTTTGCGCAAATATTTACCGGGAATCACTCGTCTTCCAGCTCAAACCGATTTCAAGGAAAGAAGAGGAAGTTAGGTATCCTGGCCAATGGCACCTGGATCTGTGGACATAGGACTACGTGTAAATCATTGTTTCGGTGACTACGTTAGAAGACATTCCAGGACTCTGTTATACTGCTTAACAGTAATTGGTCATATCGGAGATTGCGATTTTTCATATATTGATACATTGATTCGGGACTAACTGACTCGATAGGAACGTGGCAAGCGTATGGCTTTGACCAATCTGGCAGTCTTTGGGGGGGCCTTCTTCACTCCAATTCTGGTCGGCCGTATCACACACGTAAAGACTCTAGGATGGCCGTGGACTTTTTACTTTGTGGCTATATTCACAGCCGTTTGCCTGCCTCTGGTCTACTTCTTCGTCCCGGAAACAGCATTTGTTCGTCCAGACCATCTCAACACCGATATTGCGATTGTCAAGCACGAAGAATACCAGAAACATCCAGATCATCAAACAGCATATGAGCTCAATCCAGGAAGACCCACGTCGGCAGAACGAGCTTCTGAGGGACAGGATCATGAGTCTCATCGATCAGCTACCGGCATATTTGCTGGGGCCGGAACGCCGAGGAAAAGCAGGTCGGAAAATCTACGTATCTTCAACGGTCGAGTTTCTCAAGAAAGTTTCTGGAAATTAGCGTTACGGCCATTCCCCCTATTTGCGCACCCGGCAGTATTATGGGCATCGCTGATTCAAGGCGCTATGATTGGTTGGACTGTTTTCATGGGAATTATCCTCGCGGCAATCTTTCTTGGTCCTCCTCTTTACTGGAATGAGGAGCAAACAGGCTACGCCTATGCTGGAGCTTTCGTCGGTGCAGTCGTTGGGTTTTTGATGGCCGGCGCACTCGCGGATTGGAGTGCGAAATACATGACGCGAAGGAACAATGGTGTATACGAACCGGAATTCAGAATCATTCTTGTAATTCCACAACTCATATTTGGTTGTGCTGGATTGTACCTATTTGGTATCACGGCTGCCGCACTGGTGGATTATCCTCACGTTCTTCCTATTGTGGGCTTTGGACTTCAAGTCGGTGGGATGGTTATTGGAGCCGTTGCTGTAAGTTTATGTACGAATATTACGGCAAATGAGCTAATTATCATAGGCATCTCTTTACATCGTCGACGCTCATCGTGATATCGCCATTGAAGCGTTCACAACAACCATTATTTTCAAGGTATGTCGATTATTCTCCCTCTTTCAGCAAGGCTAATATTTTCCAGAATCTATTCTCCTTTGGCCTAACTTTCAGTGCATACGACTGGCTCGTCAGTGCCGGAACATACAAGACTTTTATGTGGATATCAAGTATTCAGATCATTATTTGTCTTACTAGTATTCCTATGTGTAAGTCACCACGTCACCTTCTCTCTTGCTAAAAGTCTAACGTGCTACACGTAGATATCTTCGGTAAACGCAACCGAGATTTCTTTCACCGTCATAATATTTTGAAGATTTGTGGATTAGCGGGCTAGTGGTGCTTAAAAGCCGTTTGTTAGGATGTTTTAATTAGATGAGATAGTGTTTACACACATGTGCGGTAATTCATAGATCGCTTGTTGCTCTGGATTTCAACGATGGCTATAAGCGGAAGGTTTAAAATATAGCTAAAAAGAAAAATAATGAACTTTGGAAGTGAAATTTCGTCTTGCATAGTTGGTGCGGGTGGCGGATGGAAAGACAAGTGTATCTGGATTCATATGGGCAAGGCATTTACTGTTAATATAATATCCAGGATATTCGTAATCCGCTTCGCATACTTTTTGCGTTAGTTAATGGTTTGGTTTCACGTGTTACTGTATTACAGCCCGCTATTATTCTTCAGACTCGAAAAATCCCATGCAAAATCGCGGAATGAAGACCTTATGGAGGAGAGGGCGATCAACCGATGGATTTCTTCCTATTTACTATTATGCTTTCTTTTAGGGATGATCGTTTCGTTGATCTATAGAGCCATATCTTCTGGCATTAGGGTTCAGGATCACGCACAGTGAGAATGTGTAGTCGTTGATGTTAAGAAGGTTGACTGGGTGATGATTCTGGCACTTGATAAGATGTACGAAGTAGATATCTTGCGAGGGGATTTTCAGTCATGCTGGAGTGATGAAAGTTTTATTCCCAGTGTCTGGGACAGCAGACACCACATATGTACAAGACCATTGTCATAGAATTTTGGTATATTTTGTTCACCTACAGCCTCAACTCACATATAAACACCAAAGCATCACAGAGTGGCGTAATCCCATCCCATCCATAACTTCATCAAACTGGCACACATTCATTCCCTCTATACCACCCTTCTCTTTCCCATTCTCCCATTCCCCTAAACCTCAACATAAACAACCCGATTAACCCCATCCCCCCAAATCCCCACCACACTAACCGCAAACCCCACCGCCGAAATAGCAGTCCGGAGCACCTGACTCTTCATGAACCCCGTAATCCTCTCCCGGACCTCCTCGCCGTTCACCTCCTCCACCTCCTCCACCTCCTCCTCACTCTGATCACTAGCGCCTAAAACCTCATAACTCGAATCCATCTGCCGCTTCGCCTTCGCCTTGCCCTTCCCCTTCACGTTTCTCGCGGCAGTATATTTCGTAGGCGCGAGAAGCAGTTCGCTGACGGATGAAGAGGCGACGAGTAATGATGTCCAGAGCAGATACGGATGTTTTGCGTTGCGGGGCGAGAGCAGGTAGGAGAGGAGGAAGGAGGAGAGCGATATGCCTGCGAGGGACCGCAGATGGAGGAGCGAGGTGTGCGTTAGGAGGGCTGTTGCGCGGGAGGCGCTGGTTGCGGAGGGGAGGGTGAGGAGCGTTGGGAGGGTTAGGGCGCTGAGGGTGTAGGAGAGGCCCTGATGTATGTTAGCAGTTGTGTTGGGCGCGTGGAATTGAGGGGGCGTACTGTGTATAGGCCTAGAGAGGTTACACCTATGAATTTGAATGTGCTGTTCATGTTTGCGGATGTGTTTGGGGTTGCTGGCAGAGAACTGCGGGTTTGAGTGTCGGAGACGACTGACGTCGTGGAGCTGTTGAGCTTGAACCTTGATGCAGAAGATGGTGGAGGTGAGATGGCGGCGATTGGGTGTTGATTCGCAGCCAAGCTTGGACTGCGATACAAATTCCGCTCCGCCCCGCTGGTGAAGCCTCCGCGTGCCTCGGTATATGATTACAATCCAGAACACGACGGCCCGAAGCTATCACAGGTTCCCCGGATTTCGTAGACATTGGTTTTAGATGTTTGCAAGACAGCGACATATATACACCAAAAGGCAAACTAGCAGGGCAGAGATACTCAAAAACACCACAATATAACCTTCAATCCAATAAACATTCTCCTATCTTTGATACAAATCCCCCCTCCGCTAACATCCATAACCAACATCCCCAATCCCCGATGGCTCTCCCCAGATCAGAATACCTCTCCTCCACCTGGCGCGATGGAATCTTCGGTAAGACCCTCACCTCCTCCTGTTATATAAACCTAACTCTTCTATCAGACAATAAAGTCGTATTCTGCACCGGCGGCGGCGGAACCATATGTTCAGCGCAAGTCCGGGCACTCGTGCATCTCGGCGCAAACGCCTGCATCTTAGGACGTAATGTCGAGAAGACAGAGAAAATGGCACAGAGCATTGCTACTGCGCGGAAAGGGGCGAAGGTGATTGGGATTGGTGGGGCGGATGTGAGGAGTATTGAGAGTCTGGAAAAGGCTGTGGAGAGGTGTGTGAGGGAGCTGGGTGGCATTGATTATGTGATGTATGTCTCTCTCTGCCGATACAAAGATACAATACTGATGGACTATGAAGTGCTGGGGCAGCAGGCAATTTCTTGTCTCCCATCGCCGGACTGTCGGCGAATGCGTTTAAAACAGTCATGGACATCGATACACTCGGTTCGTACAACACGCTGAAAGCTACGATCCCCTACCTCATCGAGTCCGTAAAGAAAAATCCGAATACCGGGACGAATACATCAACAGGCGGCAGAATCCTGTTCATATCAGCGGCGTTCCACTATACGGGGATGCCGTTACAGACACATGCTGCGGCTGCGAAGGCGGGGGTCGATGCTATCATGGCGGGGACTGCGTTGGAGTATGGTCCGTATGGGATTACTAGTAATGTTATCACACCTGGACCTAGTAAGTTGACCTCTTCCCCTGATTTTATACTTCCAATATATCTAACACCCTATCCAGTCGCCGGCACAGAAGGCATGGCCCGTCTCGGCGACCCGAAATCCGAAGCCACCGGCGCAGCACAGCGGAAAAATCCATTAGGTCGCTACGGAACAGTCAAGGAGATCGCAGATGGAACGGTGTATCTGTTTGCGGACACGGGGAGCTATGTTAATGGCGAGGTGCTGGTTATTGATGGTGGTGGATGGAGGTCTACGGGTGCTTTTGATGGAGAGAAGACTTATCCAGATTATTTGCTTGATGGGACTTTTACGAAGAAGGCGAAATTGTGAGGGGGATAGAGCGGGCGTTTTGGTTGGGATGGCTGATATGAAAATTGTAAAGATTTAGGGGTGGATGATTTGAGAAACTTGAAATGCTTTGTGGCTTTTCGGGTCGGTTCCAGTTGAAACTCAGGAGTCTACTAAATGATATAAGCTCAAATTATATCATCAAAGAAAGCGTGTAGGCGTTCTATCTCCCAAAACCCCCTTCGTGTCCCTGCGGGATGGTTTGCTATCACCCAGTGGTATTCTAAACACATACCAACGATTTTAACAATATAAGCTATATTTCATCTATAAGCCTCTCACAAGCCGAAATTTTCTCAATCCCTTGGTGCAAAATAAGCACCGAACTTATGCTTAATCATAGGTCAGGCTGACACCTAACCTGTCTTTCACGAAACGACTTTCGTGGAGGAGCTGGCTTTTGAGGAATCTTGAAGTGGTAGGAGAGCTGGAAGACGAGGGTACACCAGTCTTTGTCGACGTTTCGTTTTCTCAAGAGTAGAGCTGATGTCGAAGTGATGGGAGAGCGTACTCTAGAAAAGAGACCTGTTGTAGCGTTATTGAACCACACAAACTGGGCTCTCACTATCAATACACCCAAAATCAACAACATACTTATCAGTTAATCCCTAAGTTCAGTGCCGTTGATATACTAACATCCCACATCCACCTCCATAACTAAATCTAATTTCTCTTTGATCTCGCTTAATACAAAGACCTACGACAAGGCGCTGGAGTGCCGATTTGTCAAGATCAAGGCCGGTTAAAGTGAGCAGGGAAATTGATGGGAAACTAGAGCAGGTGAATATACCGTGAGGGATGCCGTTAAAGCAAGGTAGTATTGATGCTACAAGACTCGATATAAACAATCCAAGAAAATAAAACTACAACAGAAACAACGCCTAAAACCACACACACCTCTCCAAAATCCAATCCAACCTCCCTGAAACACCATTTCCTTCACCAAACCCCAAAGAACCGCTACATTCTAGCCCAGAACAAGACCCCCCAAAAGCAGTCCTACAAAATGAGAACAGATGAACTTCTAACCGAAACCAGCATGCCCACACACCCTATTTTCGATTTTACGTGATCTTGAGTTGTTTGAAATCACACGGCGAATGAGGAAGTTAATAGGTAAGTCTTGGTGTAGTGCTTCTCGCACAGCAAAACAGATGACATTTACTTTGCTTGGATGGATGTGGTGCTGGAGAGTTCAATGGTCTTCGGATTCTCTCAGGCGAGGGTGAGCTGAACCAGTATGTCCTAAATAGGGTTACGTGTTCGAGAAGAAGATGCTACAAGGTTTATGTACAATATCTGAGATAAATATAACGTAGATTTTTCTTTTGCTGCGTAAATTCCAACAACGCCAAATTATATTACACTCCGGTCCCAATGCAATCTACTCCCCCAAATATCATATCTTCCCCATCCGTATCTCTCAAACCCCATTTCCATTTCACCAAGTCACCTTCTCATCTCATCCCACCTCAACCCCACACCAATCTCCCAAATAGTTTTACAAACACATCTTACTGCTTTTTTGTTTCACTCCTCATCCTCAATCTCCTCCCTAACTTGTCTCTCTACAAAAGTACATTAGCCCATCTCTCCACCATCACAAAATGAAGAAAGGAAGACCCACCCCAGATCCTCCCCGCGGACTTCAAAATAATCTCCACCTTCGCCTTCAACTTGCGGATATACTTCTCTTCACTCTCGGCATCCAGACGTGGTTTTTTCGGTTGTGCCTAACATATTCTCCCAGTCAGTACGCCGTCATTCACTAGACAACCAGCCGCCATCCAGAAGACATGAATAAACGAATGATACCTTGAGAGGAATGAAACGTACCATGATCAAAACCGGCAACAAATCCTTAACATCCGCCGCCGCAACCGCAGCGACTGTTTTAAACCCATTTTCCCAAAATATTCTCGCAGTACGACTTTTCACATACGTGATCTCCGCGAGGGCGAGAAGATCGGATTTCGCACCTATACTTCATCAGCACAATGCCCCTTCCATAGCCAACCCCTCATCCCTATTCCCACCCCAAGACACCAAAAGACAAAAGACAAAAGCACTTACCAGCCTTCAGCCTCTCCTCATAATGCCCCAAGACCGCCGCAAGCGCCCCCCACCCCATCGTCCCACAAAACCTGACCATGCCCGCCGCAAATCCATGACACGTCTGCGCCAGGTTCTGGATGATGCCGCGGGGGAGATCGTATTTGCGGGCGACCTGGGAGATGGGCATTTCGTTGCTGAGGTCGCGGAGTTGGAGGGCCGTGTAGAAGCGTTTGTAGATGCGCGCGAGGTTTATTTCGGCGAGGGTAGTTTCTTTTAGGGTTGCGCCGTTGGCCCTGTGGCTGTTAGAGGGAGGGAAATGGGGAAGGGGGCGATGAGAGATACATTTTGTTTATGGTGAGAGGGTTGAGGCCGAGGAAGGTAAGGACGCGGAGGTTGCTTTCTGATAGGTGGTCGATTTCTTTGAGGAAAATTTTCCACTGGGTGGTGTTAGTAGCGGGTCGTGGAACACCGCAATACCAAAGCTGGAGTAGGACAAGTTGAGAGGAAGAAAAAGGATGGACATACGTTTACTTTCGAAGTTGTCACCTGCACCGGCGTAAACGTATAAAAAGCATGCATATCGCCGTCCAACACGAAAGCTTCGAGCGCTCGTTTCAACTCTTTATGTACGAAAAGCCCATCTTCTGGGGCTAATAATGATGCAACAACAGCCTGACCAATAAGTGTAGCTTCATAAACTCCATCCATGGGACTGCTGACCAAATCTGTTTCTATGAGATCATCTAGGGTGCTTCTAATTGTAGCAGAAAGCTCATTTCGATCAGACGTCTGATATAACAGGGTTTTTTTGATGTAATTGTCAATTGACTCGTCACTGGTTGCCAGTTGTGTTACAATAACTTCCAGTAAGGCTCTGTTGCATCATTAGTACAATCAAAAGTCCGGCTGGTACATTTGCGACAATCACCTTTTGATGCCGCGCTTCCCTGGAACTAGACAACTTTCAACACTAGGAATGTCGGCCTCCATAAGCTCAGCTACTGCTTCTAAATCAGACTTCTGACAGCATAAGTATGTTTCACCAATCTCGTCCTTCCCTTTTCGACCAGCTCTGCCCCTCATCTGACGTCTAAGGAATTAGCATAATGACTTTGGCTAATGAGAAGTTACTAACAGCATTGAAGGTCCAACGAGATCCGCTCCCATCCGTGCTCCATGTAATATGACTCTTCTAGCTGGAAGGTTGATACCAGCCGCCAGACTACAGGTTGCAACGATGACTTTAAGAACACCCTCATCGTATGCTGCCGCGACCAGATCTCGCTCTTCAGTGGTCAGACCAGCATCTAAGAATGAGTCAGTATGTATCAGAACCTCTCAGCTAGTAAAAGACTCACGGTGAAACGCGACGCCCACCGGTATAGTCTTTTCGAGTACTGAGTCTAAGCCAATGGTCAAACTCCGCAAGTCACTAAGTAACTCTTCTCGCTTATCAACGATATCAATATTTAGTTCCTCTGGGCGAGGCATCACCCTGCTAATCAATTGAGCGTCTGTTTCGCAACCCACACGGCTGCTACAGAAAACAAGAGCGCCATAACCCGCACTGGCAGTCTCATATGCAAGAGAAACAACGGCATTTACCAAAGAGCTACCAAACTCTGGGTGCTCTGAGGGTACGATTACCCTAGTAGCTTCCGGTCTCATTTGAGAAGAAACCTGGGTCCGCTGGCTTTGTAAATTGAGTTGAGTAGCTGTCTTATAAAAACTGCTTGATGATGAAGCGTTATAAACATTATTATCAAAAACAAGGTACTCTTCAACAGGCACGGGTCGGTATCTGGATATATAGAACCTAGCATTATCAAGCCATTTTGCTAACAGTTCAGCATTCTATAGCGGAATAGTCAGAAAAGCAAGATACATTTGGTCCGATTATGACCTACATTTAAGGTAGCGCTCATGCCTATTATCTGATCTGTACGTCAGTATCCATACACTGTACGCATTCCAAGTGGAAGGATGTAAATCATTTCATATGTGTTTAACAACGACTTCAGACTCACTTGTACACTTTGGTCCAGACATAAAAGTTTCGTGGCCATCAATTCCAGTATGTAACCCCTGCCCTCATCATCAAGCATATGTAATTCGTCCATCACGACAACGGCCAGATTTCCAACCGACCAGTCACCAATTGCTGCATTAATCAATAAGTTTGCCTGTCAAAAGTTGGCGGTGATCCCCGAAAGCGTATGTCAGCCTACCCTTTCAATCGTGCAAACCGCAATGTCGAGGTCGGCCCATGCCAGATTTGACTTGCTACCACCAAAAAACCCAACGACTCTGACAGATTCTTCGTCTCCACGCTTGCTCCACATTGGGTTCTGTTTTTCAGGGTATGGTTTCTCGGCCACCTTTTTGGTGATGCCGGAAACCACTTGTCGCAACCATCGCAATTTCTCTTGAACGAGAGCAACATACGGTAAAACCAAAATTGCCTTTTTGCCTGGGTTTTCGACTATCTTCTTGATCATCAGGACATCTGCGACCAAAGATTTGCCGCCACCGGTTGGAGCAGTATAGACGAGATTTTGCTCTCCGTCTAGCGCGCCGCTCTTCAACAGGCAGTCTGACTGCCATGGATAGATAGACCTGACACCTAAGCTAGCCAGGTTATCTACCAATTGTTTGGGAAGCCCGTAAGCTCGGTGCGATAAACTCAGGTATGGGTTTGAGGTCGGAGCAGGCGTTAGAGCCAGATGCCGACGCTGAGAATACTCGGTTGGTCCATGAGTTTGAAGTCGGGTGTGTATCACACTCGCTTTCAGAGGGTCAAGACACCTATGCAAAGTTGGACGGCGAAATTCCGATTTCTTTGCAACATCTCCTACAGCAGATTGCGCAGATGCTTCTGACTTTTCATGGTATTCGTCAAAGGTTCTTTTTTGGCCGACATGGCTGATTGTTGTCTGAGCCGTTTTGGTTGCATCAACACTTGTCTTGTGGAAAATTCCAGATATTCTTGCGGCGGTTCTGGCATCCATTGCGGCTTTCCATGCGTCACCCGTCACCGGATATGGTTGAGACGGTGTACCTTGGGTACAAGCGCGAGCAACAGGATAATTATGTCAGGATACAGCATTGCAGAGCCTTGGTGTAGCGATGAGGTGCAAAGTGCGAAGCAATTGGAATGCCCATATACTAGGAGCAGTTAGATTCTCTAGATTCTCTAGCATGCCCTGTTGTGTTGTCGAAGTGGAATTGACGCGATCAAACACGACCTCACGGATCGCGGTGTGACTTTTCGAGGTCCGAATTGCAGGGGAACAGCAACCGAGGATCTGGTCTGGCCAGAGTTCCGGCCTACTTTCCTGAACCAGACGAGCTAGAAGTGTGACACGTTGCAAGGCGAAATAATGGTTGAGATGTTGGCAATATGACGATGGAAGGATTGCTGCGAAACGAGGTTATTCGAGGTTATTCATCACCATCACCATCACCTGCGGCGGATTCTCCCATGTGTGGTGCTCCTGTCAAGGCACAAGGAGGAGGAGGGAGGACAGGGGACGACCAGGGACCAGAGGCGACGGACCAGATGTTCGTCGTTCTCCACAGGGGCAGCCCGTTTTGGCATGTGGCCAATCACACGTGCAGCTGGGCTAGCAAATCTTCGCAGCTCCAAAAGCGCCGCCCGCATTGCAGCCCCGGCAAACTCTACGACATCCTTATTCACCCCACCAAAATCGAGACAAAGCCGGTCGCCCACTTGACGCTTCTCTGCAGTCGGTCAATATCATTCTCAGATTTCCAGCTTCTCAGGATGAAGGAGTGGTATTTTGAATATTCTATGTTGACCAAATCCTCTATCTCGATCTCTATCTCCTTTGGCATATGCCACCGTTTCGCTTACGTCGCCTTTCTTCATCGTCACATCATGAAACGGAACAGAGTCAGCCAGCAGTGGATGAGCACAGCCTCGAAGAATATTTCGAATAACCTCAAATTTCCTGGCCTTTATGTTCATGGTGATGCCTGGGGCTTCTGGGAAAGCGACGTCGGCTTAGGATGTTGGTGAGGTTACCTGTGATCCTCAACTCGATATCGGGGGGAAGTCGACTGATCCGACGAACCTTAAACTGGAGCATTGAATATTTCGGAGGCATTTTCTAAGACTTTGGAGCCCAAACTCTATCATTCCTCCGCCCACGGTTGACCAATATGACCATCTTTTCATTTCTACGAGGCTCTTTGGTAGGGCAGAGTATAGACAAATGTCGGGGATGACCGAGGGTTCCGTTCAGTCATTTCTTCAAACACGTTGCAAAGGTACCTCGACAAGTCTTATCAAAGCAGACTACGGCTACAAAAAACTTCACATACAGCGAATTAGTGTGGATATCCTTTGCGTGATGGTAGCCTTTGCGTGTTCTGTCACTGATGAAATGTGACTACCTAAATGGCAAAGACCGGTTTCGTCAGCCACCGCTCTAACTACAAGCTAACCTTGGGAACTTTCAACTAAACGTCCCTCTCGCGAACAAAGATGCCCCTCAGCCATACTGGGTTTACGGACAGCATCAACATGTTGAATCTCGGCGAGTCAATAGACCATAGAGGTATTTAGCCAGAAGAAGTGACACAACCCAAAGTGATTAAAACGACCAAAAGCACTCAACTAGATGGATTTTGATGTAAGAGTAAGAAATTGCTGCCTAGCTACTTCCGCCGCCCTCACTCTCCCCAGCTTCTGAGCCTTCTGCCATCACCGTCGGCGCTATCGACTCAGCCGATACTTGTGCTTCCTTCTCTAACAAGGATGTTACTGGCTCTACATACGTGTTTGCTGCTTCTTGACCAATTCTAGATAAGATAAGGATCCAAGCAGTTTAGAGTACGCCTCGCTACACCTCTTACCGTCGCAGTCTTCAGCTTCAACAACAACAGTCACTCCTAGCTCGGCTCCTACAAAGATCCCGATCTGTGTTGAAAAACTGCAATTAGAATATTTGTCTTCTTTATCAACCTCAATAAAGCTTTCGACATAAGGTTCACGGTAAGATTATACGATACTACCTATAAAGTCCAAACATCATAAGAAAGTAGCTAATATACATTCGAATAGTTATGGAGCCCACAACTGTTTCAGGCTCATACATCGAGCGCTTTCCCATCGAGATAAGGCATCGAATCTATGACTTTATACTCGCACTTAACAACAAAAGTGAGGTTAAGGAAATGATGGATGAATTTATGGCCGCCAAAAACAATGAGGACGCGCTCATGGAATATGAGGACGATCAGATGGAAAATGAGGACGATCAGATGGATAGTGAGGACGATCAGATGGACAATGATGATAGTAGCGCGAAATCATCAGAAGAAGATGAGAGTGATGGGGAATCGGCCACAGAGGCCGAGATTGAGGAAGCCATCAACATTTGGCGCATTCGCACACAACGGAAGAAGCCCGGTGTGTTCAGATTTACGCTGAAGAACAGCAGAGGAGACCTCATGGACGGCGTCCATTTGACATATGAAAGGGTCGCTATCTCATCCGAAACAAATTTCTTCTCTCAACCTATCATGCTAGTGAGCAAGAAGATATCAATAGAAATTCTCACTTTAGTCGCACCGACTAGAATGTTCTACGCGGTAGATCCACGGGAGCTCGACCTTTTTGCTCAAAAGCTAAACGATTACTACAATGTCTTGGGCCCAACAGCACTCCAACTACAAACGCCGTTTCTTCCGCTAAGCTTTGAAGTAAACATGGACCCAGGGCACAGATTATTAGACAACGAGTGGTCTACATGTGTAGGGGCACACGGATATGGTCTATTGTGGCACTTTGAACAGTGGTTCGTCGCCTTAGAGAAGTTGCGGTTGAATGAACGGATTCTGTTAACGTTCACCAAGATATGGAGGGACTTTCGTACATTGCGGAGATTATCAATCAAATATGAGCTATCGACAAACAAGGCAGTCCTGTGTAGATTTGACCCTCAAGATACCCCATATGCCGATTGGGAATTCTGCTGTCGTCAAACGGAGGCCGCTGTTGCAAACACTACGCATCCTAGCTCATTCAATCTATCTCAAAAAGAAGTGTCGAGGCTGGAAGAACACGGCTGTCGCGGGTTCTTTAGGAGGCTAGGAAAACCATATCATTGGGAGTTGTACGATCGTTACGATCACATTACTTCCGAGACTTCATACGACGACGGGTATGACTCGGAGAGGGACCTCTGGAGCGGGTGGGAGTGGTACTGATAGGATCTCTGAGCTAGGCATTAGAAATATTTGGACGCCGTCTATATCGGAGCTATTTTGCTACAAAGCAAGATTTATCCTCTGGAGACGTGGTGGAGCGCAGCACTAATAAGAATATTGAGCATAGGAGTCGATTTGAAATTTTCACATGTCAGGAAGCCAGCCATGCGAGGATCGAGGGGCTGGCGTTTCGGGCCAACTTGAACATCACAGTATCAAAAGCAATATAATACCACTTGAATTACAGTAATGAATCTTTGATCGTAGGCGTGAGGGTATTTCTGGTATTTTGGGCAGAAGGGACAGTAGTCACAATACCATTCTTTTGTCTCTCCACCCCTTGAAATTATCGCTTACCTATGTAACATCCTATTCGCGAGCCCTGGCTAATATCCCAACTTTAACGAACAATGAAATAGATCAACCCTGTATAATGGGAACACATACAAGGCATCATTCATGCATAGTATTGACAACAGAATGTCAAGTCTTTAATTGCTTCTCGGATTGTGATGCTAGACTTGAGTACTAAACTAAAAGGTATTGCTACCGATGTAATATGAAAACTATGAAGGACAATTCTTGAATGCTTTCAATATGCGAAGAGATGATACCTAGTCATCCATGATCCAACTCATCAAAATCCACTAAGACCATCGAAGGTTTTGGGCACCTCGCCGTCTTTTCTCTCAATCTGCGCAACAATCCGTGAGTTGTGGTCGTGCTTTTCGTCTCTAGCGTTCATCTTGTGGCGGTCGAGCCAAGAGAGAATTAAGGATGCAGATAGCGGGCCAGAAGAGTGGTCTGAAGAAGAAGGTGGGCTGTCTGAAGGGCACGAGGATGACGAGGAGGGTTCTGTCAAAGCCGCGGGAGAGAAAGGGAATAGCGTGAGCGATAAGGAGGGTGATGTGAATAATGGGGACGTAGGAGAGGATGAAGCAGAGGATGAGATGGATGACAGCTCGGTCCTTGCCGCGCCCGTCGACAAAGGCCACGGAGCTCGAAGCAGCCCAGAGACTTTTCTTTGAGAGATGGTACGAGGGCGAAAAGGACGCCGTCAATTCTGTCACTAGGATAGCCCATGTCAGGGACGGAGACGCACGAACAAGATCGTAGCTGGGGGTGGAAATCTATAGCAACACGGGAATAAAATAAACATGCGTTGTTCTTCGACTCAGCTCATATACTCATGCTATTGATGAATCTAGAGCAAGCCAGCCATCGAGCCTTAAAACCCATATAGTTCCTAGCCATCTGAGATGTGTGGCAACGTGACTGCGACCTGTCATGCAAGATATACATTATCATTAACGACGCCATTCTTGCGTATTCATGTATGCTTGCCTACACCCTTGTACGGGACCTTGACATCTGCCCAGGTGTACCGCAAGGCTCGGGAAGTGTCTACTTTGCTGTGACGTTTGGACGACGTCCTTTCTCGGGGTGAAATGAGACGTGGGAGACGCGCGAGCAATGTCTCGTTACCTTTTTGGGAGGAGAGCATTAGATATTTATCATGGCTGTTCGTTTTGTATTGAGCTACAACGGTGCTAATGATACGTATCTACATCTCCATGAAATTTGCTTTGACAGCAAGAAACGGCTAGAACTACCAGATCCCCAAAAATGATAAACGCGATACATGTCTACGTCTCCATGACATTTGCCTCGACAGCAAGAAACAGCAAAGATATCATTTGATCCTCAAGAAGAACATAAATATGCCACATACACGCCACAAGAGCACCAGCACTACAGTATCCCGTATTAGTTTCATCATGTACGCGGACGAAAGGTTATGTCCTTACCTTTTTGGTTTTTGTTTCATTCTGACCTCATACCATGGTTTGTTCCGCGTCTTCTTCAACGAATAGGGACGCATCGCCGGATTCTTGTCCTGGTTCTATACCTCGTGCTACCTTTCTTGCCTCTTCCATACTAAGGCCATGTCCATTGGGGGCTCTCAGGTGTCTTAACAGATGCGACAGCCCATTAAACAATATGCTGTGGCAAGATGACAGGCCAATACCAATGGGACATGCCTGCGGCTGAAAAGGACGAACCCGCTTGAATTCCTCTAGCATGTAGCGCTCCCGGTCCTTTACAGACGCCAAACCATGTATGCTCTTGAGATGACGAGTATAAGAAGTCCACTGTCCGAATAGAGTTTCCGACTTGCATCCCTCAAAGGTGCACCGCATAGGTGGCGTGATAGGTCGATGGTTGTTCATCTCGTGAGCTTCAAGAGCCTGTGCAGTCAGGAAGATTCGATCGCTGGTGCAATCTGGCGCCGTACACTTCCTCGGTTCAAAAGATTTATTGTGATACTTTAATATATGCGATTGTAAAGACTTTTGACTCGACACTTTTGTATCGCAACCCTTGTAGTGGCAGCTGATCGTCCGCTCTTTTTTCGTCATCGGCTTCTCCAAAGTACAGGCCACTTGATGTTGTCTGAGTCCATCCTCAACTATGCTGCTGTAATTCTTGCAAAAGCCACAGTGAAAAACATGCGGGGTAGGGGCGTCTCTTGAGTTTCCGGTGGGACATAGGACCGACAAGAGTTGATGGTCGGTCGCAGCAGACCGCCCCTCGATATTGCTGTTTCGAAAAATGTTGATTTTAGACAATGCCTCCACGAACGCTCGGCCATCGAGCTCCAGCAAGGATTTCTGGGCAGAGCTGTCGCTCCGCGCTGCACATTCAAGAAGGATATCCATCCCCAAGATCTCCTCATCCTCCCCTATGGCTTCATCGTCACCGTACACCAAGGCAGAGAGTGTTGACACGGCGGCATCAGTTTCCACATCCACGTCAACGCCGTCTTGATTTCCATAAGACGTGAGACGGGGGTCAATGAGAGACTCCAACGTATTGCCGACAGATGACGAAGGACTTTCGGAGGTTGGCTTTGGAGCTGAAGCCGTAGGGGTAGGCAGCATTAGTAGACGTGGAGAGGACATGGTGTGAGATTTGGACGGCGTCTTGTCGGCATTTCTCTCCGACTCGATGAATGCGGCAGCTCTCGATGACTTGAGCCGTCTGCCTGCCTTAACCCTCTCTGATCCCTTGGTGGCGTCGAGGTTGTTTTCCAGGCAGTAATCGTCAATCTCGTGGCCCTGGACTCGTTTCCTTTTGTATGCCTTCCCAACTATCGCCGTCTTCCTACTGACGGGTAGCTGCTCAGCTCGAGACGAATAAGACTCGTGCTCCACCCCACCCACATAGGCATCCGTAACGCCGCTTTGCAAGCTTTTTATAGAGTGCCCGCCGATAACAGCAACTTCTGTACTGGCGACACCTAGTGGGGGGGCGTCGGGGGCCCGCTTGATAGTCGCAAGGTCGCGAAATGCCCCGCGGCGAATATCATGAGACCTGATATCCGCCAGAATGCCGGCATTGAGCCCTAGCTCCTTGGTTGTTTGGTTCAATGAATTAGTGCCGTTCGAGGAGTCCCACAAGATAAAGCCAGATGAGATGTGGAGGCTGGGAATGACCGGACGATTCGGGAAAATCCATTGAACAGTGTTATCCACTCGCCGAGATGCTTGGTCAAAAGCATGATCAAGCGACAATATGTTCCCTGACCGGAGAGCTTGGATCAAGAGCAGCTTCACCGCGCAGATGATATTTAGCTCGGGGGCTCTCAAGACGGTGAGAGGTACCTCTCGATAGGTGTTTTTCTCTCGTCTGCGGACACTTGCATCAGCTTTGTGGAGAGTGAGTGGGTATTCAGATGCGCCTTACTTTTGATTCTTCTCGTACCTCAACAAGCATGAGACTTGGACGTCGTCTATCGTCGTCCAACCAGGTGGAAGTGTCATGACGATATCGCTCCATTGCATATACTCCGTCTCGTATCCCTTGGACCTACAGATTTCTCCTGCACGACAAGCGAGGGCCGACTGAAGGACGACAGACAGGGCTTTGTGAACGACAATGTCCCACGACCGATATCCGTTGTCGATCGCGTTTTGAAACCACGCTCTCACCATCTTCTCGACCAGGTATGTTCCCACCCAATGAAGCTCCTTTCGAGCCCTGCCTCGAACAAGTTTGCCTTCATCCGCGAGGGTATCAAAGACGGCGTCCAGCCTCGCCCTCTCATTCCTGGTCAAGGCGAATTTTGGGTAGTCAAACGTCAATGATGATATCAAAACGCGGATCCCAGCCTTCAAGGTCCTTTGGAGAGGAGCTGGCGAGTCAATCTCGCGACCCGATATGTGGTTGACGATGATATCAGTGAAGCGGGCAAGGTTGACGCCATCTGGCCCGTTTGTAGGATCAATCCTGGAATTCCATTGCTGTTAACACAAAAGTACATCCCCCCGATAACGACAGACGGGAGGTGCGGTGCCATATGAATTAGTGAGAGAGTGTCGATTGTGGGTGGGTGGGCTGGGCAATCGGAACGAACACCTCATCTGCAAGCAGCAAGACGACTGGCGGGGGAGTTCTCACTTACGATAAGCCGTGCACTGCAACATAGTTCGCGAAACGGTTACGCCAGATATGGCGTTTGTATTGACTTGAGGGTGCTCCTCTGACGTCTTCCAGTTTGGCAAGACGTTTCTTCGAGGAGACTCTGTCGTCAAAGCAGCTGTCTTTCATCGACGCCAGTGACTTCTTAGCGAGATGTGCATATCTGTTGCGGACCGGCGATATTTCTATATCGGATGAATTGAAGTCGTCCATATCCTATGCCCATGGAGGAGAACTTGTGGATGTAAAAGATGGTCGATCCTGTCCTGTCGATGTAAGTGTGGGGTGAGATGGGTCAGAGGCCAAGATGCAGAGGAGAGCCTCCTCTTTTATTGCAGCTTCTGGGTACCCTAGGTACTCGTTGTGTGCGCACTGTTGTGCAAGGAAGGAGCGAGCCTTTGAAGAGGACCCAACCGACGGCGATGATGCCACCTCGCTGTCAACCAGCGTTGAGAGCACTGCCTATGTAACATGTGGTTCGAGTCGCGGTTCCTAAGGTGTAGGTCATTTCTACCTCTATATGACCATGTACACTAGGTGCGCGAGTAGGGAACTTCCATAATCTTACGTGCTCATTTCGAGGGTGTAGCAAGGTTCATCTGGCGGCTTCCCAGTGTCGAAGCTTTACTTTGGACGCCGTCCTTCCCTTTACTTGGTGGGATGGTGGTCTCTTGTCTCAAGACCGTGGTAGCTTTCTTGTTGGTCGACAAGGTGAAAATCCGCGGAATCCATTCAACAAGTCAAGCATAACATTATCTACGAATGGGTTCCCGCGATGTTACATGTATCATGCCGCTCTCTCCAAGCCTTCTCCTCAAGCAAAGGAAATCGGTTTGCTCCACGTCGAGGGAATAAAGACGACTCAATGTGAACAGCCCCTTGCGACAACACCAAGCAACACGGTCGCCATCATGCTACGCCTGTTGATGTGTTTGGGTTCTTTCTGCGGATGGGAACCCTCTACATCCGTGGCTTTCCAGCCTCTCTACCTCCGTCCTGGACAAGTCGTAGTCTCTCAGATCTACGCGGTTGCGCAACGCAAGCTCCATTTGTCGTTGGCAAAAGTCGTAATCTGGGTATGGATTCCTCGGCCTCGGAAAATAACAAATGAAATGCCTGCTGGGAAGGCCATGTCGAATTGCCAGCTCCCTCAACCGCTGAAAATCTCTCCAGATCTTGGAGAATCTCAAGATGACGAGAGTTTTTGGAGGAAGCAGTTGCAAGGCACGCATCCACTCTTCAAACACCTCGAGGACGAATCCATCTGCACCATGAGCGCCCTCACAAGTCTTCCAGTGGTTGTCGATTCCCGCGTGAGTTCCCATCTCTACCTCTACATTCCAGGTTGGCGATTTTCCTGCCCGCATTATGCCAATCTGGATGGTCATCCGTCGACCGAGACGCTCGAGTTCCATCGGCGTCCAAGCCTTGAACAAGGTAAGTGGGAGTAGCCAGGAAAGGACTTCGGTTGTCGTGGCCCTGTTGATATGGAGGAGCTCCGAGTTGAGGATACGTGAACCACCATTGCAATCGATCCACTCCAATTGAAGTCGTAGAGATTCTCCCTTCTCCTTGTGTCGGTCGGCAGAGGTGAATTCGCGTATGATTTCCTCTGTGTTTAATGGGTCATCCCAGACGACGGATCCCTCCTTGTCACTACCTTGGTCCTCATCACTGCCGTTTTCTTCGTGACTAGGCGCTACTCCGTCAGTGTTTCTATTCCCTTGGATGCGTAGAGCTTCTTCCATGGGTTTGGTTGCCTTTAAAACTTCCTTGAATATGATTGCTCTAACCTCTGGCGGGCAACGATCGAGTGGGACTGGTCGGTACCCAGGCGGTACCATGAGTGAAGCCATACTGGAAGTGCCCAAGCAGTTGTGTCAGGCTCTTCCTCGTATCAGGTGTCTTCAGATGAGGCAGCTTCGCGCTTGAAGTGGATTGGACGACGTCTAATCGACGGTCGGCGAGGATGCGTTCTAGGAACGCTGTGCGCATACAAGTCTTTTGCTGGTGTGGAGGGTTGGTTGAAGGAGATGGTCTAGACCCAAGTGTAGGGAAGCTCGAGGCAGTGAGGGGGGTTGCAACAACGGAAAAGTGCACCGTGCACAAGCTCCTCACAACCGTAGCCTCCTCGCCGGCACGTAGGATCACATGCTTGTGAGAATGGCCAAAGGTGAACACATAGAGGCACATCAAAGGAGGAAAACGACGCTCATCTTCCACGCCCGTTCTCACCCTTAAATTCGCGACACCAACGAGGTGGTGCCGACAACCAATCTTCAATCCACATAAGCAATCCCCGAAATTCGTCCACTCAAAGAACACCCATCAAGATGGAGGGAGTAGAGGCAACTGGCAAGATGGACGGCGTCGTGGTGTGTATACTGATGCCAGATCCCGAACATGACTAACGCATCACCTCAGGAGAAAGGTACACGTCAGTCGGAAGGTACCCACGTAATTTTTGAAAATGAGCCCAGCCGAGATGTTTTCCGATACCGCAAACTCCCAGCGGAATTGAGGACGATGATTCTCGATGTCCGGTCTTTCGACGAGGCTACACAGAGCCGCGACATCCAGTTCCTGAGGCCTGATGGGTCCATCGAGTACGAGACCACAGTGAGGATTGAGGTTGACATGGGCCTAGGAAGGGTTCCCAGATTGCTCTGCGATGAGTTTCTCGCGCTCGACAAGATTACCTGCCGAGAATTGCTAGAGAGAGCAGCAGAGAAAGTCACCTTTAAGCCGGTCTCGCCACTGGGGCTAAAACAATGGTCCAGCAAGATGGCCTCTATGTCTGTCATCTGTGGTCTACCGCTGGGAACCCGGTACAATGTCGCCGTCGACTTCACCGTCGACATGGGGATCGCGCATCAGAGGGCTCTTAAAAGATTCCAACGGACGGATCGTTCGCACGGATTCGAGCAGAAGACGCATGACCATATCCGGAGATGGCTAACTGCGATGGAGTCCACCACTGAAAACACCGCCTTCGTCCTGGTCTTCCCAGCGATGTGGCGAGACTTTCGAGGCCTGCGTGGGCTGTTTCGAAAATCAGGCCTGACCTCCCGCACTCTACGCTTTCACTTTTTGACGCCGTCTATCCCACGCAAGGAAACCCGATATTTGCAACTGCAAACCATGGCGGCCGCCCAGGACATCCAAGTGACAGGCGATGGGACGTTGGGAGAAGAATGGCGGGCTCGTCTGGTTGATGAAGGATGCCGGGGTTTCGGTGACTTTGGTTCGGAAACCATTGTGGCTCTGGATGCATGATGCCATCTTGAACAGGTGGCTTGTGGATGGATATGGTTCGGTGTTGCCAGAGATGTCAGACGGTGGGATCGTGTTTAATGCTGGCGCAGCAGGATTTGCAGGACTGTACATAATAAAGATCCTCTCTCTTCGTGAGAAGCGGTCCGAAGGTGTGGCTCTGGGCCCACGGCAGAAGAAAATCGAGATCAGTTGAGCACCAATTTAATACCGCTGGACATCATTATCAAACTGCTAATCATAAAGCGCCCGTCCACTAACCGTTAAATATTCCCCCCTACCCCTCGTTTATATAACTTTTCGTATATATAATATATCAAACTTCGTAGAAAACCCTGGCACTCTTCCACCGCGCCTGAGATAAAAAAAAATGATAAAAATAGCAAAGACTCAAGCCAACGATGCCTCTTTCAATATAGCAGCCAACTTCCTAAGCTGGGCTTGCCCGTTGTCATTGCGGGTGACCAACTGCTCAGCTGCCAGGGCAAAGATGTGTCCCTGGAGCACTTGCATAGACGTCGCATCGCCACATTCGCCAATCTTCCTCATCAACTCCTTCAACGACATGTGCTGAGTGACCCCTCCATACTGCTCGCGCAGACTCTGATTCTCCCGATCGAAGTACGCCACAATCTCCATAAGCGAAAAGGAGATGCTCTCCAACAGCTGCCGGACCACGCCGTCTTCGGTGGTGCGGTTGGACGCCGTCCAACTCACGGATTCCACCTCGTAGGCGATTTCGACAATTCTAAGGATGTCTCGGACGACCGCGTCGACCACTTCCTGCCCCATGTCTGCCGTCAGGCGTTCATGCCCAAAGCGTAGAAAGGGGATGAGCCGCCTGAATGGCAGCGTCGCTCCCAGAGAGGTGCGCTTCAATGCGCGATGCAAGGTCATCACGACGACCGGTTCAAACTCTGGCAACCCCGGAAATGCGGCCTGTAATGTCACGTTAGGGCACTTCCTCTAGTGAGAGAATCACAGAGACTGACCTTGCTGGCAAAGACGACTCGTTTCGCATCCTCCGCAGTCAGGTCCTCTGTAAAATCATAGAAGGCCAGCAATCCCTCATCGTCAGGCCTGTTTCGGAGGTCGGGCAAGCGACTTTCCAAGGTCTTTTGAAGCGAGACCACGGCGGTCATGCTCTTGGTCATTTTGAAAACGGAATACTATAAGGATCATGTTCGCAAAGTGCTCCTGTGGGGTTACGGATAACGTATTCGTCCCAGGCTCGCTGGACGCCGTCTTTTTCGGGACGATAGGCACCATGGGCCTCTCGGCTGGACGCTTGTCCTCTGCCGCATGATACAAACAAACCTCCCCAAGCCATACCCTTCGTTTCTTGACGTCCATCTTGGCCACATCCATCTTCTTCCCTGGTATGCCATCCCACATCTCCTAGAAGAAGAAGATAGTGTCCACCACGGTGGTTTTCATCTGGGAGAATCCGGTAGGCTGGCGGGGCAGAGCGACATAATACTTGGGTGTCCTCTCGCAGGTCGGGGTGACCGCGACCAGGACTCGCAACACGTTAGCCTCCTTGGGGAGGACCCCCCGCTGCTTTCGGGCTTCCTCTCGCTTTTTGCTTCGTGATGTCTCCCCCTTCTTGGGCGTGTACTTTAGTGGGTCCGTGGCCAGCATGATGCCCACCACGAGGTAGGGTTACGTCTGTGACCGACCTTCGATCTCGGCCTGGGTGGGGATCATCGATTCGGGAGCCTCGTCGCTGGGCGCATCTTTGGTGTGGTCGTAACCGATGGTCGTCCTCGGCCCTGTAAAGATGATTTGCATTGGACGCCGTCCAACAACGCCTACCTCGATCATGTCGTTGGCAGCCGTCTTTGCTATATCCGCCGAACCATCCGTGATTATTTGCGCGTGGGGATCCGACTCGTCGGCCCTGCGGCTAGGCGTGGAAGATTCACCTTCCATTGCGCGAGGCGGTGGTGGGAACGGCAAGTGAGCTTGCAAGACTGCTGGATCAAGCGATAGCGATAATGTGTACGTGAAGGGAGAGCGGGCGGGATTGAAGATGCTGAACAAGAGGATTGTAGGTTGTGTCGTGAAGAATGATATCGAGCGCGCGAGAATCCGAGAAGGAGACCCCACAGGTCCGTCTCTCAAAGGTGAGGATCAGGCCAGTGCCTGGGTAGGAATCTTTCTTTCTCGACCGCTTCCAGGCAACGCTCCAAAACATCTAATAAACGCACCAGATCACCACCACCCCAGCCAGATTGGACCCCGTCCAAGCGACCGACAGCATGGACGACAATAGAATCAGAGATTCCACGATCCTCGACCTCGCCACCCACCTGACGGCCCTAGCCCAAGTTCAAGCGCTGCCTGCGAAGCGGGGGGTGAATAACTAAAAGGGGGAGAAGGAAGCCGCCCTGGGCAAGGCAGTTTTGGCGGTGGTCGACAGCCCATTGCACTAACGTGAACCGGTATAGATGCCCGCGTTGTCTGCGGAAGCAATCCAAGCGGTGCGTAATCTCTACGCGATCACGCTGGAGGGCGCTTCCCTCGACGAGGATGCGCTCGAGGACGCGGTCGAGACGGCCATGAAAGCGCTTAATCCAAGCTTTATCACAGGAACCAAACGAATCGGGGCCGGATCGGACGGTGAAGAGGACGAGGATGAAGAGTTGGACGGCTCCCAACTGTCTGGTACGGCACGAGCCGGCTTTTGAGGACGCTTGCTAACTACCTTCGTATGTGACAGGGGACGTTCGCAAGAGCAAGAGAATTAGAAAGCTGGCACCCGTGAGCTACCGCGAGGTGGAGGATGATGAAGCGGGTGGTTATGAGGGGGACAACGAGCTGTTTGTCACCGACGACGATAAAAGTGCAGAGAGCCAGAGCGAGATGGGGGATGGCATGGAGGATGTTATAATGGAGGGAGGAGAAGGAGTCGCACGAGAAACCTCTGCCGTCGCAGCCGGGGAACCGGAAAAGGCGGACGAAGCCATGGCCGAGCCCGATCAGGAGACCATCACACTAGAGAGGATATCTGGCCAGGCGGCAACTTTTGAGGCAAGGGGTGGAGTATAAGTGGGGCAATATTAGGGCGTAGCATGACTACCTGGGATGGAGCGACATCTATGTATCTAACAATCGTGGCAGCATTATTCTAGTGGTCGTTGACCGGGATTTTCACGTGGGCGTGGTTCCCATAATGTTAGGTACCTTAGTCACAAAATACTTCGTACATGGGGCATTAAATGTAGATTTATCGTCAATGCGCACTAAATGCTTGGGAATGCCGCTTTATTTATTAACCTAGTATTTTGTATGGCCACCATCTGCCAAAATCACTTCTATACATCGATCACCCATAGACCTAATTAACTCCTTAATCGTGGCTTCCGTGATTGATTCCCAGGCTTCTTGAACCACCGTTCGTAATCTAGGATAAGAAGAGTGAACTTCTGGGTAGTTCTTTTGGATATAATCCTTAATTAGATCCCAAAGAGTCTCGATTGGGTTTAAATCTGGCGAATTAGCTGGCCAAAAGATAGGCTTTATCCCAATAGCCTCAAAAACCTCTTTTGTAAAGGCAGCAGAGTGGCCTTTCGCATTATCTTGTTAGAAAGAGAGATCTGGATATCGGGAGAGTATCTCTTGAACTACCGGTATAATAATACCGCTGTAAGAGCCGGCATTTATTGTCTCCCAATCCTTCTCCCAAAAGAGCCCTCGATGCCTTCCATATTTGCCAGATATAGAACCCCAAAACATCCACCCAATCTTCCTTTGGTATCGCTTTTCGAGGAAATCGTCATGAAACAACTCTTCCTCTCCTATCCGCCTTGTAACCCAAGCTTTCTTGTGCTTCCCCGGGTTAACCCAAGTCTCATCTGTCCATAATACTAGATCCCACTGCTCGTCGGTCCAAAAAAGGTGTTCCCAGGCCCAGGCAAGCCTATCTCTCTTATGCTCGGCCGTAAGAGGTGGTTTTCTTCGAGCTATTCGTCGTACAAAACCTTCTCTTTTAAAGGCTGTTCGAATAGCCCATTCGCCGCAATTCCACCCAAGAATATCTAGAATATCGGTCCACCGAGTTCTCCTATTGCCTTCGGATGCGCAAACCCACTCGATAAGTCGTTTTCGTTGAGGTGTATTTAAAAGAACCTTTCTACCGCATTTTTGTTTTTGAGGAGTAAGGCGATAGGAGAGTGTGTACCCAACTTGCCTAGGGCTAATATTAAGCTGTAGGGCAATTTGAGCTTGTGTAAAATTAGCATCAAAGTATAAGGTCTCTATTCGAAGGCGGTCGTCGCGAGAGAGCTGTTTTCGTGGTGTTTTTGGGGTAGGCACAGAGTATTGAGAATCCATTATGCGAAAGGTGGTCAAAATAGGTGTAAAAGCGGCGGTTTGAGCATAAATAACCTATTGGCTGAAATGTAGAACCTTCTAGAGTGTGCACTGACAGCAGAATCTACACTTAATGCCCCATGTACGAAGTATAACAACGTGCCCATCAAGACGCCGTCCAACGTGCTAGGAAATGAGCCAGCAATTGGGAGACACCCTGGGAGCGAGTCCGCGTTTGACTAAATCCGAGTTGACCCATAATAGTGTATTCTGCCTTACGTCCTTGTCAATCGGGTTACCGTCTCGTTTGGCGGCCCGGAAAAGACTAATTGCGAGGGATTCAAGTGAACGTACGGAAGGGATGTTCCGTATCAGGCCAATTATTGTTTGTGCATAAACCCCGAAGAAGGCTTTCAGCATCCGAACAGTAAATTTGGGTCCTCCGGGGGTGAAGAATGCTTGGGCTTTTTCCAACGACTTAAAGATCTTGACATCTAGAATAGTGGTGGTCTGTAGAAACTGTTGCTTGGATTGGGTGTGCCGATTTCTTGTGAAGAGACCAAGCTTTCTCTATACCTCATCATCCCACTCACGATTCACGAATCGATCCTTGGGTTCTTTTGCTGCCTCAATCGCTGCAAGCTTGCGAGCGCGTTTCGCTGCGTTATATTCCGCCGACGGCATCGCACATGCGGATGGGCGGCGTCCTATTTGAATTCAACTGTAAAGAGAAGACACAGGCCGGGATGTGTAGGAAGAGAAGAAGATGTACTATCCTCTAGCAGAAAGAAGGAGGTGGTGGAGGAGAGGCGTGTTGATTATGAGGAGAGAACCCTAAACTGGCACGTCGTCACATGATACACCCAATTTAGAAAGAACCTCGCAGGTACTATTCCATTTCAATTGACTATTAATGAAGAGAGTAGTTATTGCCTATAATTCTTAGTATCAGAATCATGTTCCTCGCCTTCACCAGTATTTTCCCATCTGAGATCATTTTGGCAACCCTCACGATCTCAGAACTGTCAATAGTGTCATATTTCTAAGAAGCTTTCTACCCTTGATATGCAGCCAGCAGCGGCATGCCCAAACCGTTCTAGACGCTTCTCAATCAATTTAAAATCCCACCTAGCGTAAACAACCCTCATGTACCAACGACTTATCAATGGACGTTGCCCAAATTCGAAGTGGTCAATGCCCTCGGCGCTTTAGACGACTGTACGTGTATATGTCTGGTATCTCTCCATCAGCCATCGTTACTGCCTTTACCACTGCTTTGTTATGCTTATTTTTGTCGTCCCTCTTCTGTCTAATATGCTGCTCGAGGTCTCCATTCCAGGCGTAGAATCTGTATGCTGATACCGATTGGCTCTGACCCATACGGTATGCTCGTCCTATCGCCTGATCCTCCCACTCTTGCTTCCACCAGGCACCGCAAAGGAATATCGTGTTTGCTGTGGTAATGTTCAGTCCTACCCCCCCCGTAGCCCTCGTGATGAGGAGGACCTTTCCCCCCTTCTCAAATTCTTTCAAGATCGAGGATCGTCTGTCTGGAGCCTGACGCCCGTCATACCTGAGGGTGTTGACCGGATCGTACATGTGGTGGAATGCCGTTTCGATAATGTCGAGAAAGTGGACTTGTTCTGCCACAATCATCAAAGATATACTTGGGTCAAGATCCCTCAATTTATTAAACTTCGATATTATTGTATCAACTCTTGCCGATCTCCAACTTTCTTCTGCTTGAAGCCTCTCACGCCAAAGACTCCATTCCTTGATCTCTCCAGGTGAGAACAATGCTTCCGTCACCGTCTCCTTGAAGTCTCGTGACATGGTTTTTGTTACAATGTGCATTATCAGTGTGAGTTGGGAGTGATAGCTGTATTGCGTCGATTTGGCCAAATGACCCCAAGGAAGAGGGCCGTCTTTGCATAGGGCGCCGCCCTTCTTCTTGGCGTTCTTACGTGCCACTACCATGGCATTGAAGTACTTTTGAAAGTACATGTTGCTCATGCCGGCCTCATGAGAACTGAGCCTAAACTGGCAATCCTCTTGGTACAATCCTGGTAATTGAATCGTATCTTGCGGGCGGCGTACGATCCATGCTCGCAGAAACTGCACAAATCGCAGCATTTGGATTCCGTCAGGAGGACCAATTTTCCCCTTTCCCTTTTTCACCGCAAACACTAACTCCATGTCGTCCGTTGTTTTTATTGGGCAGCCCTCCAAGAACTGGCCTAGCCCAAACGCATCAGTCCATCTGTTGTCGATGGGACTACCGGTCAACATGAGGCATGTGTCTGCCATCATTCTCAGCGCTAGAGCTGCTTTATGAGTTGTTGACTCGGGATTTTTAACTGCAGTCGCCTCATCCAGTACGATGTATGGACACTTGATTTCAGGTGTCTGCTGAAACTCTTCAGAAAAGAGATTCAGCCACGGTCTTTTAGGAAGCGCTCCTCTGCCAGTCTTGTTGCACCTTGCCACTTGCTCTAAGTATCTGAGTTTCTTTCGATACTGCGTCATGAGAAACGGATACGACACTAAAATCACATCGTATCTTGAGAGCTCTGTCGCTGTTGTCTTTGGGTTTGACAATATCATAACCTTGACCGTTCCCTGTTCAACAATTATCAGAATACCTCTTCAGAGAGACACAAAGAGGTTGATCATACTGGAGTGAAGAATCTATTGAACTCTTCGTGCCATTGTTTCAAGACACTGGGAGGCACGACAACCACTGAAAATCTGGATGCACCGGACATTGCTGCCGATACGACTGCCATCATGGCGACCAATGTCTTTCCTAATCCCATCGGGTCCCCAATTAGAATTGTCTTTAGAACACTTTTGGCTGTGTAGAAAACTTTTGCCAAAGCTGCCTCTTGCCATGGCTTTGGCTTTATTACTAAAGGCAATTTGTCTACCTGAGGGACAGTTGCTGACACTCCGTGGAAGTTCTTCTGTATAACTGTTAGATTAATGTAAGAATGGACGACGTCCTACAAGAGCTAGATACTCACGATATGTGGCGCCAGGTCAGCGATCCACTCAGTGATTTCTTGCTCTACCCTTCTCTTCCTCGCCCGCTCGAGTGCTCTTTTGTGTGCCTTGTTCTGGCGATCATCATTGTCCTCACTGAATTTCTCGCTTTCTTCAGAATCCTCTTCGTCGGTATCCTCTTCTTGTTCCTCTTCTTGTTCCTCTTCTTGTTCCTCTTCATCGTCGCTTTCTTCAGAATCCTCTTCTTGTTCTTCTTCATCGTCGCTTTCTTCAGAATCCTCTTCGTCAGTATCCTCTTCCTCCTCCTCCTCATCGGTATCCTCTTCCTCTTCGTCTTCAATGTAATCCCCATCATTGCCAGTATCTTCATTCCCCTCCCCTTCATCATCGCCCTCCACACCCTCATGACTCACCAATCCGTCGCCAGATCTTCTTTCACCAAATAAACTTACATAGTGGTTATAGTTGAACGCCACGGAATCGGCAAGTTTCCCGTGGCTGCTTTCTGTCCCAAATTCCTCCATCATGTTACCTTCGGTTGGTATGTAGGCTTGGACGCCGTCCTTTCGTGAATCGACTGAGACGTCTTTAACTCACAAAAGTACGTGATCGTTCTAAATCGATATTTAAGCGAAGGCTTCCGTCGACGGTGCAGTGTGGATGAGAGACTATTGTGGTGAGTGTGAAGTTGAGCATGAAAATTAGATCGGTAGCAAACGAAAGTGCTTTGAAATATTTCACTCTTACCCACTACGACTTCACCTTCATTACTACCTCAGCTTCGCTAGGATGTTTCCTTCCTGATTTGTTTCTTTACCTAAGGAATACTCCCAGTACAACATCAATCATATCCTCAAGCTTTCAATCAGGGTTTCTACATCAACCTTTCTCAGCCTTGACAGACGTCGGTGATCTCAGGAACAACGACCTTCAGCATCTGCAATATCATCGTCGGAAGTATCAGTCGTCCAAAATGAAGCCAAACAAAAGACCTCTTCCGCGAACCGCAGAGGAATTCCGCGAACGAGCCCTAGAAATCGATTGGGCACGTGGGACAAACCCATATTACCGTGACCTTATCTCACGCCTAGAAGAAGAGGCTCAAGCGGAGCACATGGTGAGCTGAAATATTCATGAACGCCTCATGTGAAATGTCTCAACTGACTAAACAATGGTGAAAGGGGCGCCAACTGGCTGGAACTGAAGATGTGGCAAGCGATATTGAAACGGATGTGGAAGATGACGAGGACAATGAAGTGAATCGAGACAGTGGCGCTGAGGAGGACGACATGAAAATTGATGAAGCACACCCGGTCACGGAAAAGGACACGATTATTTCACTAGAAAATAACACAACTCTTGGTCAACAGCATCGCAACAGCATCAACGGCATGGTTTTTGAAGAGAGTGATGAAGAAGACGATCTCACGTTTACACTAGGGGAAGGGGATCTTGGAGACACGGGCAACAGTGGGAGAACAAGCTGGGAGTTGAGGAAATCCACAGACAAGGAGATGTTCACGGGAGATGAGGAGAAGATGTTGGCAAAAATGGATGAGGTAGATGAGGATGAAAGCTATGAGAGCTCGGCTGATGGAATGTCTTTCGATACACCTACTGAGGAATAGGAGCCATTTCCTTCAATCTGAGGGAAAAGGACGACGTCCAGGTTCGGAAGTTTGGGGACATCGAGAGGAACTTTATAGGTAGATACGCCAGGATTTAATAATTTGTGATGAGAGAAAATGCCTAGATAGCACTCAACTACGGTTACAAGGATTTGCAATTGATGATCATCTACTTCTCTAAATTTCTCAAGGCTCCTGAAAATGTAACAAATTGAAGTCCCTATTAAATTACAACGTGGTATTTGGACACCGTCCAAAACAATTCTTTTACGGTACATTCAAATCTTGTACACTTGTACCCGTTTATTAATCTTGGTAAGAAAATACTCCATGCACTTGTAAGCCCTTCCCTAAGAAATCGTGTACGTAATAGACACCCACTGATCTACAAACTTAGCCAGCTTGATGTTAGCTTTATTCTACTTTCTGTCTTTTAGTAGGTTTTTTCCATTTATTTTAACGTTTTCTCTTCTCACTCATCACATTCTCCGTTGAAGATACTTCACCACCTTACTCCTCCGGTATGGTATTCGAAAAAGTAACAAGACACGTGTAATTAATTACAAATCGCAAAGCGATCTGCTCCAAAGTAATTTGGTAGAAGACAGCAGCTGGCCCTTTCTTCTCAACTAGATACTGTACTGTCTAGTTACGACAAGGGGAATTTGTTAACAGGGTTTTGTGGATATTTTTCATTCTTTCTATAGTTTGGGGGAATGTTGGACGCCGTCCAAGTCGTTGTTTTATCTTCGACTTGTTTATTAACTTAAAGTACTCTTCGACCTCCTGTATTCTTGAAAACATAGGTTGGATAATTTATTTTCATTCCCGTAACGGCTATTGAACTGCTAGCTGACAGCTCTTCGCCAGATGTATCTAATTATAATAAGAACTGGGATTTGAGAAATCAACAAAAACACTTGTGTTGATCTTTAACGACTGGGCTCCTTGTAAAATTCAGTGCAGAATCTGTTCCAAGTACTTGCTTCATCGCCTTCGAACTTATAGATGCAACTGAAGTCATAACGCAGTTTTTGCCATTTTTTATAGACATCTGCGAACATCTCCATAGAAGCTTCGTTGACTGACAAGGCCTTTAGAGGGTGTAGTGCAGCCTGGAATTCAGAGTAAACCTCCGACACATGTGCTAGGTAGGAACTATGCGACGAATCACTGTCCTCTGCAGATTCATTGTCGTGTGGAAAACCTTTAGAACAGTCAATCTAAGAAAAGACCGAAGAGGGGGCGAGCTGCCTACCTGGTAACGTTTGCGATTTTTCAGGAACGACATCATCTTTTCCGTCAACCTGCTTTTTTTGACTCTCAATGCCTTCCTCTATCAAATTCATTGAATAGTGGTCGTCATTAATAAATAGTTCGGCCTCCAACTCATCCTCTTCCACATCACTCTCCTCTCCTCCCTGTCGATGGTCAATGTCCATTTCGTCGTCTGCATCTGATCGCCCCATCTGTCCTGGTGATCTAGCCTCATCCGTTGATCCACCCAGACTACGAGCCTCATCGAAGCTCCTGCTCATACTGTCGTCTACCGATGTAGCCTCTAGCTCAGCGTCGTCCGTGACATACTCCTTCTGTCCATCGTCTTGTATGGCTTCACTCTCTGACTCGTATGAATGTTCCTCTTCTATTTCGAAGTCTGCAGACGATTGTCGAGGCAACCGCACGCTGGATCTTGGTCCTACTTGGATTGACAAATCAGTGAATTATCCAAGAATGCTAGGGTGCTTCTCGTGCATACCGCTATGAGTACTGGCCATTTGATCTGCTCCATCCGCTTCTTGTAGTGAATCAGTGTACGCAACTCCCTTGACGAATGCAGGATTGAGCGCATGAACTGCCGATTCCAGCTTCTCATTCAGAAAAGTTTCTGTGAAGTCCCCCTTTTCAATAGTGTTGTCGAGATCTCTGAGAGCGGTAATCGCAGCTGGTGATAGGTCTGCTACCCCTTGGGATACATGATATTGCGACAGAGGATTGGCCAGAATCGCATCCATATCCTCTTCTAGTTGCGATTCTCTGTATGTGCTGTGCACATGGCGATTCTTGCTTTTAACCTTCGTCTGCGCTTGCACAGCCGCATCTACTGTCATCTGATAATTGATATAGGTCGAATCCTGGACGTCGTCCATGGCGATCTGAGTCCCGAATAAAGAAAGCGATGTAAAATGGAATGAAGATCTGGGGCAGGGAGAAACTGGAAGGAGGTATGGGTTGCGAAGGGATTGCTGACACTCAAGTACTGTCTAAACACCATGTTCGACTGGGCTTCACCTTTAGATTCTGAAATGCAGCCTTGATTCCGTGCCTTCCTGATAGTTTTCGGTCGTGGTTGTACTTTCTCTATCTTTATCAAAGTCATTATTCACGGTCGAGATCTTCACACTTCACAGTTATTAGCTGCCCTCGATACCACTACCATATCGATAGTCATATTAACCATTTGGCATTCCCCTGGACCCATCACCAAAACCATTCCGCTCAATTGCTAATATTTACAAGTAAACCCCTCAAAATTCAGTTTCAGTTCACCTTCCTCCGACAGCATACTGGCAACGTGGCCAATTGATATTGCACCGTCAAAAGGGCGGCGTCCAACACAAATATCTATCATCACATACAAGAACGCCTACCATGGAGTACACGACGCAGTCATATGTGACGGATGGGGTAGACATCGCGAAGACCCACTTGGGAGAACAGATGTCAATAGACACGAAAGGAAGGGTTATGAACCAACGGATATACGCAAAGACCTCTACGGGCAAGGGCTACGACGCGAAAACCGAGGCACCAGATGACGAGCATCCCATCTCGCTTTTGGCGACACAAGCGGAGATAGACAGCAGAAAGGACACTGTCCAATACCTAGTAGTGGGTATCATCATAGCAAAGGAACCCGGGAGGTATGCCACCTCGGGTCAAGGCCCGTCCCGCAACAAAGGCAGAGACGCCGAACGAAAATCGAGAGGAGTCCTACCCAGGGAGCCAAACGTCCTACGCGCGTTGGTTCCTGTCACAGCGCATTTAGACCCTACAAGCACACCTTTATATCGCATTGCCTATGGGCAAGAAAACGGGATATGCAAGGTGAAGCCAATGGTCTTCGAGAACATATTTTTTTTCCCGGAAATTTGGGAACGGGTAAGTGCAAAAAATGCAAAAGAGAAGAAGACGGAGATTGGTCAGATATGTAAGAGCCTGGCAGCGGACTCCCAGAATCCACCGGAGAGAAATGTTATATCTATAAAAAAGCGAAGATCAAACACAAATCAGCCCGAAAGGGAGTTCACTGTCAGCGCTCAAGTGAATTCCGCGAACAGACTAAAATTGCAGCATGATGTTTTCATGATCTCCAAGTCCGCCGTTGCTTTGCAAGCCTTACAAGAAACGATCAGAAGCATTTTACCGGACCTGAGGTGCAAACCCAATAACGCTGCCATTCTGGAATTCTTGCAGTATGAAAAGGCCCTGGATGCAGAAGAAACAGAATCTTTGATATCAGCAATCCAAGTAAGTTTTCATGAGCTGACTTTCGTATCATGGCCTCTAATCAACATCGCAGAAGACATATCCTGAACTGCCCTTGATGAAAAAGGAAGTAGTGAATAGCCTACACCAATCACTGTGTAGGACTGGTCTTGGACCAAAACTGCCGTACAAGTTTCTCATCCAGTTCCTTCGATTTGGACACGAACGTGTAGAGACAAGAGACATGAACGATAATTCAGTAGACCAGGTCGTTGAATCAACCCTAAAGGACATCTCGATATGGGCTGAAATGGAGACGCTACAAAGGACGCCGGCCAAATGTGTGGACCAACGACGAAGTCTCGAATTCTTGGGCGGAATATGTAACGAATTGAAAGATGTCGTTGCGTTTTTGGAGCGGCAAGCGCAAGCGCTCCGGGAGCAGCATGGTGGGCTGACCATGCACAAGTCAGTAGAGGAACTGTCTGCCAAGATAGGCCAATGTGCGGGTGCAGCAGCACTACAACTGCTAGAGGAACAATGGTTTGCGCTTCATGCCGATCAAATGGCAATGAGTAACCAAGGAGGCACCAACAGGATCAGGGAGCTAATAACTATTATCGAGCGATACATTACTGGTTGTGAACATTTATGATTTGTCATTAGGAGTTTTTGCGGCAAGGTTTGGAGGATATTGGGAGGAATGATATTTTAAGCGGTATACACATTACATCCGGGAGAGCATGGCGGCTTTCATTAATAACCCACACCGAGATGGTACAGGGCACGTTTGACATTCTACTCTTTTTATAGCAAGTGAAAGCAGCAATCTTAAATCTTCGTTGAATATTTATGAGTAAATCTTTGCTCTACCCATAACTTTTAGACGTTGTGATCAAATTCGTCGCTTGGCTATTTTTACCGCAAGACAGTAACGCTAGCACCGATGTGAACGAACGCGAAATTTTGTATAACCCTCAACTCAGTCTGTCTCGCAAAAGGCTAAAGCGTGTTGTTTGAATGTTTTGCTTCATATCCTGCAGGTGTTCAATATACCATCACGCATTTGGGCGGCGTCCAAAGCCGTCGAAGCCTCTGCATCCGATAGCGACTAAGTGCTCCCTCTCTTCTTTGGTCAGTACGGTCTGCTTGGTGTCATGGAAGCCCTTGATTGCGGCCATGGTTTGGGCCCGGCAATAGTCGTACTCTGGATGCCTGCTGGATGGTGGTGGGAAACAGAATTTGACGGTCCTGTTTGAGAGGCCGTATCGAGCCGAAAGTCCACGGAGACTGCGAAAGTCCCTCCAAAAGAATGGAAAGGTCAGACAGATCTCAGTGTTATTGGGCAGAGTGCTAAGCTCCACCAGCCATTGTTTGATGTGGTCGTGGGTGCTGACTTTGAGTCGGGTCAATGTTCCCTGGCGGTCGCGGCCGTGGTGGTACGTCTCTTCTTCTTCGAAATCATTGCCGTGCTCATCTTCTATCTCGTTCCAATTGTCGAGATGTGACCGGTGCGAAGTAGTCATGTTAGACGTGAGGTCGATTGCAATCTGGTGACTTTTGTCTGTTTTTAGTCCAGACAATTCAATGTAGGTACGCAGCGATTCTGAAAATTGTTTCAGCGCCTCTGGTGTCCGAATATCAAAGACGACCTGCTGTATCGTGCGCGCAAGTATCTCGCTTGCCATTGTCTTACTGGCGCGGATGGGGTCAAATATTTGATGTTGCGTCCCGGCCACAACATTCTTATATACGTAACGCTCAGTGGCTGTTGTGATATTCCCCTTCTGGTCCAAATAATAGAATTCTTTTTCTTGTTTTTCGTCGCTGGCATAATATTCGTCGTAGACTTTGTTCCGCAGTTCCGCGGGCAGCTTTTCGAACAGGAAGTGTGCTGGGCGCGGGCACGTCACGTTTGACCCGAGGGAATTCGTCTGCTGTTTCTAATTTCAGAATTACTGGTTAGCTATCGTAAACCTTGAAATTGGCGATGAAATTACGTACTTGGACGGCGTCCATCTTGAATTTTAGGAATCGTCGTATTGAAGTCAGTGGGCTTGCGTTATGTGTCTTTGTTGTGTGGTCGAGGAAGTAGAAGGTGAGATGCTGTTGAGAATGGATTGTGACTGGGTTATAGGAGATAGATGCGCTCTACCTTGGACCTAAAGGGGGATTATCTACCTAGGTACGTAGGTCAAATTCTTGAGAAGGAAAGTGAGGACCTGTTCAAAATGACTCATAGATCGACTCGAAGGTGTCACTTAGAACAGACAGAAGAGCACAGTTTATGGAAAAGTACGTATAGCTGAAGAGGGGTTTGGAGTACGCCCTATGTTGATCAAAGGCAGACGAATACAGAACAACGTAACGTTACAAGCCTTTAGTAGACCTGGTTACGAGATGGATGACGGCCTATTCGGCATTGCTGCTGAGAATGTGATAAAATGAGGTTGATGCAACTACAGAAAAGAACCGTGGAAGATGTTTCCAAGACTTGATATAAGAAGTCTTGAATAGATTGAGCTACATTTCACAATATAATGGGCTTGTCATCTCGTATCCTATATAAAATAATCCTGGTCGGTTCAATAACGCCAATTCACAGAAGAACAATTCCCAGGCTCTTTACTAGGGGAGTAATGTTCTTTCCAGAGTTTTGGCTGGGCTGCCGCGATGTAGTTGGGTACCCCCGGGGAACCAGGGTTCGCAAGCTCACGCCGCTCCACCTCGCTAACGCTCGCCCGGAAGGACCCCATTGCTAATGTGTTTAGGCAGATGTATGTATATAAAATAATCCTGGTCGGTTCAATCACATTGAACTGTAGAGAGCGAAGTCGAAAATAAACGTTTCGAAAAAAAACTCAATTACCCGGGACCTCCCTATTTGACCTAGTACATCCATAAATGACGGTGTAAATGTGCTTCAACTTTGCAAACGATATAATTAAATGGTGTACGAAAATTATATAAAAGAGCAAGAATATATTACTAGAAACTATCTGCAGATAAACTTTGCTGAAATTCCTCTATATTGATGTAAACCGTAGTAAGGAGAGAAACCAACGAAATCTAACGTGCTATTTAGGAAAAGATATTAATGAGTTTATCCGACGATTAAAGTAGAATTAAATAGATAGCGTCCATTCTACCTTAAGCGTACTTGATTTATAAAACCTGAAAGAAACAACCGCATGTCTAGTTCCCACCCACTTTTACCTGTGAAGATATGTAGAAGACGCCCTATCATCGCAAAGAGACCACGGAAATTTCATTTCCGCCCTAAAGAGCCTGCGAGAGACGTGGTATCAGCAGTGTACAAACTCTTTCTGACAAATTCAGCGCTTACAAATACCCCTGGCCAACCCGGCAACATATGTGAAGAAGAAATAGCTATGATCAAAGTCAGCGTATTCAAAAAAGAGGTGTGACTGATTATTGTCACCCTTGATACTTACCGGAGTGTGGTTGCAATACCGGTAACCATGATACTGATTGCTTATTCAGGCATGACCATCTGGAAATGGACGGCGTCTTAATCACTATGGGTAACGTAGTTTCTCTTGAGACCAGTCGCTCCAAAAATCTCTTTCTGAGTTGTAGCCATCATCATGACAGTCCTCCGACGTGATATGATCGCAAGGGTCCCCCTCGTCCCACATGGAGGATTTCCCAGACTTCCTAGAAAAACCACGACATCCGTGATATTCCAGCCGCTCTACCTCTGGTTTGGGGATGTTGAATTGGGAAGCGTGGGTGGTGTTTGAAATGGCGAGTTCGGTTTGGTGGCAGCAAAAGTTCCAATCCGTACATGGGGATTCTCGAGGGAAACATCGGCATATGACTGCTCTGTTTGTTGATAGTCCATGCTCAATATAGAGTCTTCTAAAGGAGCGAAAGTCGCGCCATAGTCTCGTCCATGTAAGAATTGATTGCATGTTTGCAGCCAGCTCTTGAAAGGCCTCGAACCACATTTGGAAATCTTCGGTCAGCCAGGACCCATGTGCCTCATTTCAACACCGCGACCATTGATTCTCCAAGTATAGCTTTTGTTCTATACCGATCTCGAATCGTAGTGGCGATGGGCGAAAACACCTTCGCTACTATAGTATTGTTTGGCCCATAACTTCAAGGTAGTTATTTATTTTATGGCCAAAACGGCGGAGCTCCTATGAAAATTCGGCGTAAAAGATAAGGCGGGATAAGTTGTGTCGAAAGGATTCTAGAGAAGTACTTTTACTCACTAGAAGAAATAGGTGTACCAATAAGGTACTGTCTCCCTTTATCCTAATCTTCTCGTCCTATAATCGGACGCCGTCCAAGACTTCTCCTCTACGATTCTTTAGCGGGAAACGCTAGGCCGTGTACTGCTCTCGTTCCTCGGCCAATAGATCCTTTCGCTCATACTTCCGAGGGGGTAGCGTTTCGTCGTGTTACGATAAATATTCTAATCCCTTATCCTCCACATCTTCGAGCTCCTCGACTTTATTACCGCAATTAACGTCCAACATAAACCAATAAATCCTTATTCGTACATCTAGGGGAAAGTACTCTAAATAGGGAAGGGTCTTGTCATATTTTCTCGTAGTCATGTCTACGTCTTTGGATGACAACTAGGCATGTCAGCTACTTTCTTCTTTGGTGTAGAGTGTATCGGTCATGTTGTTAGAGACTTTACCTACCAACTTTTAATGTTCATCTTACTAGCAAAGTAGAATGTTCGATTTGGATCCTGAAACCTGGATCGAAATAGTACCCTTGGTCAAAATCGTGTTTGGAGGGCGTCCAATACAAGGTAGCGCTCGGTCTTGTTTATGGGCTAGAGACTCCTCGCGTAGAAGTCGGTTATCCTATTCGAAAAGTTAGTGTGTTAGTGGAAGGGAGAATGGGTGTCGCGAGTTGGAAGCTAGGGCCATAAAGTCGTCTCCCGCGAGGTCAACCCTTCCTATCCACTGTTCCCCTTTGTAACAATTTACAGATTGCCTACCTGGTACGTATCCCAATTCGTATTTATCACTATTATACTTCTATAACGACGGAAACTTATTCGAACCGAAAGGTTCGCTAAATTGAATACTCTTGAACGATTTACTATCATCTTCTTCTCGCGATCATACCCTTTCCAGGTCTAGGTAGGCATTTCATAGATCTCTAATGACGGATGATGACCTCCACGGCCGGAACGCTTCGCTGGGTGAATCTTCGGGCCGGGCCGGGATCATAGGGGAAGGTGTAGGATGGCCGGATGGTCCGTCCCCGTAGACCCTACGTACTAGGGACCTAGAACAAGACACCGATATAACAGGTCGGAGTTTTAATGTCCTCTGATGATCGGTGGTGTGTGCTGTTCTGGTTCCCAGTCCGTCTTAGCGCAGCCCAGGGATTTGGTATCCCTCTCTCACTTCTCGTTACTCTCAACTTCCTATCACTCATACAAACCCGCGCCACTGGACGATTTTCCACAACTTTCGCATTGTCGTTCTCGGCCCTCCTTTAAGTGCACATATACCCCTTACGAATCTTGATTGGAATTAAATTTCACACTTCGACCGTGCTCGGTGCTCTTGCCGGGATACATACAGAAATTCGCAGCCTCGTCTGCACTCAATCGGATCAATTTATACCTAGCATAAAGCCAACACCATATTGCAACACCCCAAACTCCTGCAACATAAAATATTAGCGCCCCGGATAGAGAATAATCATCAATTCACTATCTGATGGGCCGCCAGTCACTCTCCACCGTTTCGTAGTCTCTTATATACCAAGCGCTTCTCGCATCTCAATCCTGCGGGAAGCGCTTCTTCTCCTTTCGTCGCGGACTGGAGGCGGCAGTGAACTTCTGGACACGAAGACATGACGAAAGCCTCTTCGCGCCGTTCGAGCGCGACAGCGTCACCGGCCGGATCAAATATCGCAGAGGATGGGCAACATGGTGACGCCTCAAAGGTTGCATCGGCGGACAGCAAGCAAGCAGACAACCCCCCGTCGACGGCGCTTTCGAACGGAACAGACTCTATTGCGACAACAGTATCGGCCAAAGACCTGGATGCGAGCATCGCAGAATCACAACCAGCAGGGTCGGAGCCCATGACAGCGTCGAACTCGAATACCTCGATGCGAAACCCCAAAAACTCCGGGGGAGCGGCCACAAGTGCTGGGGCAGCGACATACGGTACGCGGTCAACGCGCACAAGAACTGGCACCTCACGACCAAATTACGCAGAAGATAGTGCATTGGACGCAGAATTCGAAATCGCGCCAAATCCCAAAGAAAAGACGGGTCGGAAAGCAGCCCATGCCGCTGAGCCCCCTTCTTCCAGTGCATCAGACACCGGTAAATCAGGAGCGAACAGTCCAAAGGTACGCGGTTTAGATTTAGAACAGAACAATGCAGCGCAAGTTGCCGCCAATCTTTCTATCCCGGGCACTTCGACCTTCTCCTCGGCTCCAACGGCGAATGTTCCACCATCGAAGAAAAGAAAAGCGAACAATCAGAACAATGGGACAAATCAGAACGGGTCTGGTCAAATTCCCAATGGCAATCGCAAGTCCGGTGCAGGCTTTCAAATCGCAGCGGGCTTTCGAGAAACGAACATGTTGACTTTTGACAACTCTGGGGGTTTTGTAAAGGGCGGGAAGCTGGTGGCAGACGATGGGACTGTCCTTGCTCTTAATGGTATTGCAATCATGACGTTTTAGAAAGCGGAGCAAGCGTTACTAACAGTCATCTAGATCATGTATACACAATATGTGAGCCTCCTGGAGAGCCATATTATATTGGTCGCATCATGGCGTGGATTCATGTGAACAATGACCCCACACAACCACTAGAAGCTCTGCGACTCAATTGGTACTATAGACCAAAAGATATCGGTCGTAAAGTCAATGATACTCGTCAGGTCTTCGCCTCGATGCATACCGACGTAAATCCATTAACAGCAATCCGAGGGAAATGTGAGATCAAGCATAAGAGTCAAATCGAGAACATGGACGCTTTTCGAGCATCCAAAGACAGCTTTTACTTCGAAAAGCTATATGATCGCTACATTCATCGATACTACGAAGTTGTTCCTACAAAGGCAGTCATCAACCTTCCTGAAAATGTGAAAAAGGTGCTCAACGAGCGTTGGGTTTACATTTTGGCCGAAACAAATCGCGCCAAGGAGTACACGACAGCCTCAAAATCTTGTAAGCGCTGTAAGAGATATTGTGCGAGGTAAGTGAAATCCAAAACCTGAGAAAAACTATTCTAAACTTTCCTAGCAACGAGGGTGTGGATTGCGCGATTTGTCGGAATACTTACCATATGAGTTGTGTGAGTCCGCCGCTGCTGAAGAAACCCACTCGCGGCTTCGCTTGGGCCTGTGGTCCTTGCAGTAAAGCGCAAGCCAAGAAGTTAGAAGCACGAAACACCCCGACAACATCAAGTCAGATAGCCGATGGCGAGGACGAAGAAATGAATGATGAGGATGAAGATTCACCTGCTGCAACCGAGGAGCCCAATGAAACTGGCCAAACTACCCCTACCGCGGCCAATGGCTCGAATACGCCTATCGATATAGGGAAAACGGGACTCACTTCAGAAAATCGTGGCTTTCTATGGAGATATTTGGGAATTCATTGCAATGTTGAAGATGCTCTTGATGCAGACGACCGCATTCACCCTAGGGCCAGCTCTCGTCTCGGCCCACGCCATCAAGCCAATGTGATTGAATGGCCCGGACAGCCCATGCAATACGTCAAACCACCAGAAGTCAAGCGAAAATACACGAAAGGTGGTGCGCAGAAAAAGGAAACCAAGATTTCGAAGGAAGCGATCGCTGCACAAGAAGCTGAAAAGCTTGCTCGTGAACAACGACCAAAGTATATCACAGAAGAGCCACCTGGGTTTGTACATCGTGGAGAGGATTTGCCAAATGACGATCCTAATTGTACAGCGAAGCTCTTGTACAGGCTTCCTCGCCCGGATGAGTTAAAGGATCCTGAAGTCACGGCCAATAACGTGGACTTGGTTGATGAAGATACTCGTATACGGGTTGTTCATGAGTATGTGATTAAAGTAATCCAGCAAGTGTCCCCCCTCTATCATCTCCCGCACATGTCGACGAATCTCTTGGATATTGCGGTCGAGGTCTTACGATCAAATATGTATGATACTGAAAAGGCACTGGAAGCTATGAAGCATGTGGATAAAAAAGTATTCAAGGAGCCAAGTCCCTCTGCGGCCGAGTTGAAGAAATTTGAAGACGGAGTATCGAAATTCGGATCTGAATGGCATAGCATCAAAAAGCATGTCAAGTCTATGAAACCAGCAGACATAGTCCGCTTCTACTACACCTGGAAGAAGAGCGAGCGGGGGAAACATGTGTGGGGAAATTTTTCTGGCAGGAAAGGAAAGAAAGAAGCTAAACGAGCCGAAGCAACAAAGGTCGCAGTCAAGTTACAGGATGATGTCGCGGACGAGTACGATGATTCTGCATTCGACAATGACAAAGCATACCAAAGGAAGCGGGGTTTCCAGTGTAAATTCTGCGACACCAGAAGCTCACGCCAATGGCGAAGGGCTCCGAACACAGCGACAGGCACTACGGTATATGAAAATCCGGGCAAGGGCACGGCAAAAGAAAAGGGAGCTCAATTAATGGTGGCCTTGTGTCGAAGGTGTGCAGAGCTTTGGCGCCGTTACGCAATCCAGTGGGAAGATGTGGATGAGCTTTCCAAAAAGGCTGTCTTGAACGGCACCAAGCCTTTCAAGCGGAAGATTGACGAAGAAACCATCAAGGAGATTCTGGCAGCGAACGAGGTGTCAAATGAGTCGACTAATCAGAGTGTGATTAGGCCGCCTCTCTCTACTAGCAGCACTCCTGCCCCAACCGCACCTTTGGCGACAGGCCCTGAGCCGCCGCGCAAGAAAGTCAAGACTGCTGTTGAGCCAGAAGTGGCCGAACCTGCGGTACAGCCGGCACCAGTCACAGCGCCCCCTCCCCCAAAGAAAAAGGTGGTTCCAGAAAAGATAGCTGCACCACCCCCTCCACCACCCGCACCAGAACCGCCGAAAGCGAAGACACTGGCATGCGCCATATGTGATCTCGTCGAACCAAAAGATCAACATTTGACATGTAAGGAGTGTCGATTGGCTGTGCACCGGAGCTGCTATGGCGTCGTTGGTGACCGTAGCCATGCCAAGTGGTCATGTGATATGTGTTCGAACGACAAAAATCCCCAAGTATCAATTGTAAGTAACCTTGGTTATTTGCAAGGTGTGATCCATCTAACTTCTTTAGCAATACAAATGCATGCTGTGTCCAATCGAGCATACCGAGTACGATTTCGTCGAGCCTATCAAAGCTTCCCACAAGAAGAAAACGGAGAAGGAGCGTGAAAAAGAGCGAGTTGAGAGAGAAAAGGCCCAGAAGGATGCCGACTTCTTTCACAAGAAGCAATTGGAGCTCAATAAACCGGTCAATCCCAGAGAGCCACTCAAGAGAACCGCTAACAATAACTGGGTTCACGTGACTTGTGCGGTATTCACCCCTGAAGTCAAGTTCGGAAATGCTAAAGCGCTTGAGCCATCCGAGGGTATTCCGTCTATTCCTTCTTCTCGGTATGAAGATGTGTGCAAGGTATGCAAACAAAAGGCCGGGGCTTGCGTAGCCTGTCACTCTTGTAAAGCATCAAGTAAGTCCTTTCAAGCAATCACACTCACTGAAGATAATCTGACGCGTTGTAGTGCACGTGGAATGTGCTCGTCAAGCTGGATACCAACTTGGATTCGATATAACGCCAGTGAAAGGTTCTCGGCGTGATCAAGTTCCTATCGTAAACATCAAGGGAGATGTCGGCACTATGGTCGCGGCGCTCTGGTGCAAAGAACACTTTCCGCAGAAAACAGTGGTACACCAAATCCAGGATATCGCGGACGACGAAACGGGGCAGACGGCTCTGCAACTCTACGTACAAAAGTTCAAGCAGGCTGATCTGACCTTGACTGGCACGGTACGTAAAGCCACGTTGATAAATCAATCAACCAAGGCTGTTCAACCCGCGCCTGTCGCTGCCTATCCAAACCGCCGGACGTCTACGACAAATACGAACGGCAATTCACATGTGGGTCGCAATTCATTGTCCCATGCAAAGATTGAGGAGATCCCTGTTGCAAAGGTAGAACCAGAGATCAAACGGATCTGCGCCACCTGTGATGTCGACGTCAGCCCAAAGTGGTGGAGTTTTCCACCTTCTGAGCCTACCCCTGAACCTGCGGCGAACCAGGTCAATGGTACAGGACATACTCACGTCGATTCCGAAGTTCCTTCAGAGCGCCTTGGAGAAGATAGCGGAGGTCATGCCGCATTAGCCGCAGCAGCTTTGCACCAAGATACCAAGCCTATCTCACAAGAGCCTACTGAATTTCAGTGCCACAAATGTCACTTCAGGAAAGTGAAACGAGAGCCGACACCTCCGCCAGAGATACCAGCACCACCACCGCCTCCTCCGGCTCCAGTCGCTTCAAGGGAAGAAATACGACTGCATAATCATATTCCTCCACCTATTGGCATTCCTCCGCCAGACGTCGAAATGATTCAGGCACCACCACCTCAACACGCTTGGTCTCAGCCACCATCATATCCGGGGAATGGAGCGTACAACAGTTGGCCTAGACATTCACCGGTCACTGGGGTTTCTCATATGAACTACATGAACGGCAGTGCCCCTCCTCGATTACCTTCCGTCGTGCACTCTCCCAATGGACATCGCCGGCCAAGTATCCCACCTGTGCCTCATTCACCTCATCAGAATGGATATGTCCCACACATGGCAAACGGGTATCCACCACCAAGATCGCCGCATATGAACTCGGGGATGCATATGTCTAATGGGAGTTATCCAGCATACACTTCTCCTCGTCCAGGTTCTCATCATCTCGCAAATGGTGGCCCTCCTCCACGAGCAAACGAACCTCCATATAACCATAACAGTCCGCACAGCCACATGCATCACAGGCCATCATATTTACCAGCGCAAAGTCCCCCAATACTCAATAACCACCTCCAGTCCCGCGAAAACGGCAATTCCCACCAAACATCGAACGGGCATCAAGAAAATGGTCGCGTTAACGGTGGTGCCAGCGCGAGTCCTTCGCTGGCTAATCTACTCTCATGAAACGGAACAACAGTTTTGTAACAACTTTTTTCTCATCGTCGATGTCTTGATGGTAATACAAGATACATACATTTCAGGAGTTGACGGGCTGGGCTAGGCAACATATGTTCTTTTTTCTATTTCATTTTTTTTATAACCCTTTTGCACGCAGAAGTTCACTGTCGGTTCGGGGTTGAAGGCTTTTATTTTATTTTATCTATGGAGCGTGGCGTTTAGAGGGATGGGCTCATGAACAAATTCTCCTTAGAACCTGGATTGGGTGGCTGGGTGTATGGGAATTGAAAAAATTCGGTACAACTGTTGTTGGTTGTTTATTGTAAAGTATAATCAATTGGAAGAGGTTGGCTTGGTTTGGACTTGGGTTGCATTGGAGATTACCTTTTGTTTGGGAGGAGGAGGTTATGATCGTGATGGATGTTTTCGAGGGGGAGAGACATAGGATTCAAGTGGGTGTGGTGTGGTTTGTTATAGTATGGGACTGGGGTTATACCATAGAAATGAATGCGAGATTATGAGATTTATTTTGTGGCTTGCTTGTGAAGTTGTTGATGTTGTACAATAGTATAGTTACACTCGTAGTGTTGTAAACACTTCATTCTCACCAATGTGTTGCAAGTCTGACGGGTCACATACCTACAATATAGTTACGACAAATATTCCATAAAAACCTCTATTTGCTTCATTCTTTTGAGTAAATGCTATATTGTCTCTTTGACTAAGATTAGATATGTTTATTAAAGGAGGAGCTTTGCAATGTCAGGTTCTGATTATTATTGTACTTGGATGATTAGGAGGGCATCTCATCAGCTGGTGGCTACTGGGTCTTGGAAATTCTTCTACACCCGGTTGTATACAGGTTTCTATTGTTATACATATAGTACTAGACGTTCGCTAACATAGATGATAGAACACGCTAAGAATCGCAAGACATTGACAGGAACATTAGATCTCAGTAAAAAGACTTCACAGCACAAAAGCAGCCACTCCCATCCCATTAGTCCTTACTCCTGGGTCGAAACAGCAAATCCCTCCATAACCTCCAAGTCCGCTCATTCAACCCATAAATAATCGCGTCCGCTAATCCCTGCACCACAATACAAGCCTATCTCAGTTAGCAATCTACAACTCCCTTTCCGAGATGGAATCACGCACCTTATCAATAGTGCCAACCACGAACGGCGCGCTCCTCCCCGACGTCGCCTGGTATATCCGCACTGTCGTCGGCATCGTCCAGATGAGCATGTACACCAACGGATACACCATCATCTGTAGACTAATCCGCCGCAACGCCTTCGTATCGCGGGACACCTGGAAGGTGCTCGGCGGGGGAGCCGCGGCTTCGCAATCGGGCTCGGTGCCCTCGGAGATGTGCAGGGAGAGATGCGGGTTGGAGGTGCTGGCGACGATGTCCGAGTCGAAGGTTTCGAAACGCGTGTGTGCGGCGTGGATTATGTAGTAGAGACGGATGTAGAGGAAGAGGATGGTGAAGATTATGAGCCACTGCTTTTGATCAGTATTGGCAATGAAATGGAAGGGGTGACTTTACCCTAGGGATGAAGTTTACGAGGAGACGGACGCGGTCGCTTGTGAACCAGCACCCTGGAGGGGGTCAATATCAGTGATGGTGAGGAGGGGAATGACTTACAAGCTCCGATATCACCATATCCCCAAACTCCAAGACCGATAGATGCCCAGAGTATCGATGAAGCCCAAGGTAACGCCCATATTACGAGTTTGTGGCTTTGTATCCAATTTGAGAAGTGTTTGTGGTTTGCGAGGATTGAATATGTGCACAACGCGATTGTGAGAACCCAGTAATCAGCTAGGACTGAGTTAGTCTGTCTTTGGTATTTGGAATGGGAGAGGTTACTTTGAACTACGAAGGTCTGTATCATAAATCCGTTGAAAGTGCAGAATCCTTTCATAGACGCATCGCCAATGCTCGTTCCGTGGACATTAATCGACGCGGAGGTCAAAAAATTCAGGGCCATCCATAGATCACTCAATGCCAGACCCCTATTCGGATCCGTTAGGATGGCGCTTCCAAAATAGTGTCATTCTTCCAATCAAAGTAGGGTTATTCAACCCGGTCCAGCCATAACGACACTCAAACTTACAGAATGAGCTGATGTCTAAACGTCCTCTGTCCTTCAAACAGCTATATCCATCAGTCCAAGATCTTAAATCCACGCACGAAGTCTACTTACAAGAAAGCTCAGAATAATCCATCCAGCACCCACAGCCGACAAGACCGAAACAACAGCAATAACCACGCTCAAAGCGTACGTCTCGTGAACACCAGTGGGCGCCGAGAGTGCCATAATGTATACATGTAGGAATTAAGTAAATGGTAACACAGATGACGAGAAAGACACACAAATGAGAGGCTACCACGCGATAGTTAACATGAAGCCAGAAACGTTAAATCTATAATATCAGCACATCCTTATCTTGAACCGGTTCCGAAGGCAAAGCAAAGCAAAGGGCATATACCAATGTGCTTATCTGCTGAAAAGAAAATATATACCAGTTGAAGCATTTTGAATAAGGGTTGTCGTTTGTGTGTATGCAAAAGGAATTATAGTACGCAGCGGATGAATGCTTATCGAGGCTGCATGTGGTTTGCTTATTGGGTGGACCCCCACGGAGAACAGTTTCACTTTCATAGGGATGTTGATGTGATGGCTGTGTGCGACAGTCGGTTGAGGAGATATTTCCGTGGCATAATTTTCCTGGAGGCGTCCGGAGATGCTTGGATCTCTGGCGATAGATATAGATGTTGGAGTTGATGAGTTGCTTCATTTCGGATGTGTGAGTTTGACGGATGAAATGTTCCAGATGTTGATTTCGGTATGATAGGAATGGAAATAAATTGTATAATGTGCTAAAAATAACAGCTTATTCATGATTCTCAATCGAAAGAAATGCTTGGAGATAGAGTGGAGTTCTTTGGCAAGTTGAGCGTCGCACTCGTCGAGTAGTAGCAATATACCCCACTTTTTGTAACTTCCCGAATATCACCAAGTCATTCTAATCATCTCATGCCCATCGCTCTTGACCGGTCACTTAGACTTGGAGTTTCGAGAATGTCTAGCATTGTACCTTTGCTAGTCCACCTTTCTCTAGATGTCTGCGAAAAGCTCTAGACACTAATTGTATCAAACGTCAACTAGAATCGCTCCAACCATGTGTAAAACTACGTTGATCAGATTTGAAGTGACTTGAATGCCAGAGGAATTTAGGAAATTAATGAAAGGGGTAGATCATTAATCCATATGATGAGCCAGCAATCCATTATGGTGCACTTCTTCCCGTCGAGGAAATATGATAGTAAAGGGCTGAAAGCCACCGAGAGCGTGAGTTGACTGCGAGATTGGCAATTGTCTTCAACTTTGAGACATCGATATCAAAGTCATTCTTGTTACCACTCACAGTCCGTGTGGCAAACGGGTGATACACTTGCATTGCTTGTAAATTCGACCGGGAATAATATTATCAACTGGGAGCGGAAATGTCCAACCGGAATCAGTACACCTCGAACTTCCCAATTGAACGCAATACAGTGATTGTGAATTTTCGATACTGTTATCAAATATTGTTGATTGAGTCCTAATCCAGGAGCAATTTTTTTCGGACTGATACTTCTGAGTTCATCTCTGATAAGCCTGACTTTCTGAATTATGCGATGGGAGGCGGTTAGAATGGAGTCAAGTAAGACATCTACAGTACACTTGGGGCGCCATTTCTCCACTATCCGCCTCCCTGCATACTGCCAGTTTGTAGCTTCGACAAGAAGGCTGCACAACATCATAGCATGGGTGAAGTATCCGCGTACCAGTTATAAGCGAGGTCTGAAAGAGGACAAAAGGAACCACAACAAGTAACTTCAAACCTGAACTGAAGGTGGTTCTCCATAGATAATACCGTTTTGACTTGCAGCCCGTTTCCGCGCCACCTCATTGATTCTTTTCCACATCGCAATCCGCTTCAGATGGGCGTTATCAAAATCCTCACGCCACTTCTTCTCGAACTTTGGTAGAGCTCTACCTTTCCCATCAACGGGGTCACCAGCTAGTTGCCTCACCTCCTCAAAGTACTCTTCAAATTTTGGATAAAGAGCTGTAAAAGGTACACCATCTCCCTTCTCCGCGATTCGGTCTTCTTCCCATTTAATCTGTTCACTGACAGGTGGTAGCTCCACGCGACCTGCTAAGTATCTTGCAGCAAGAACAGCTTGCCATTCAAAGACTTTGAATGTGAAACCTGCTGCTATAGCGCCGACGAAGCAGAGGGTTGGCTCATCTCTTAAGAATATGTGCTGATACAAGTTTGGCAAGCGATTATTACGAATCGTCTTGGCAACGTCTGGTAGAAACGGAAGCGTCCAACTATAGCCAGTTGCAAAAATAATGTAGTCAAAGTCTTCAACGGTTGTACCATCCTCGAAATGAACCGCCCGAGTGCCCTCCTCTCGGTTAGAAGTAATGTGTGAGATTGCAGCGTGCCTCTGAATATTTGGATGCTGAAATGCATAATCGAAGAAATAGGGATGGTATCTTCCACGGACAACAGAATGCACTGGTGTTTCGGCAAAATCAGCTAAAGTGAATGATATATCTGGCCCAGAGATGCTCGCCCCGACGATAACAACTCTTTTATTTCGGTAAGTTTCAGGTTTACGATAGGCTTTGCTATGTTGCAGTATTCCAGGAAAATTGACTGCAAGTTCCTGAAGCCCAGGCGTGTAAGGAATGAAGGGTACAGTGTAGTGGCCATTAGCAACTATCAAGCTGTCGAAGGATTCTTGCCACCAATAGTCTTCATGGCCATCATTGACTGGCTTTCTTAGAGTCAAAATCCATTTATTGCTTGCTGGATTCTTGGATGCAAGTTCCACTGTTGTATTGTAACTGACTAATTTCTCATACCCTCGTCTATTCACGAGATCTTGTATATAGCGTTCGACAACCTTCCAGTGTCGGAACGGAGAATCTTCACCATGTTTCTCTATATTTGCAGACGTTCGCGTTTGAGGGAATGGTTCCTGGGAAAATGCCATAGCCTCAGCATCAATGTTAGTTTCGAGGGTTGGATATACAGTCGTGTCGGAGAAGCGGTATTGTGTATTGTGAGGAAGAGTAGCCGGAATATGCGCCGGTATTGGAAGAGTCTCATCGGGCGATCTCTCCGCAATCTTCTTGAGATCCGGTAACTGTTGAATATTGTCTTCGGGGTCTTCGATCCTGTTCGTAGAAGTATATCAGCGAGTAAACTATGCCGCGGTAAGATCAATCGAACGTACCAACAGCCTCCTGCTCTATCTCTCCTCTCGAAGGCGCGAATAGTATCGAAGGCCTTTTCCTGAGCTAGAGCATCAAGTGAAATGGCTCCTGCTGGACCAAGTCCAATGACGGCGACGGATTTGATTGAAGACATATCGGGCGCTTGCACTCGTGATTTTGTAGTAATTTCGCAGGCAAGTTCAAAAAGAAGTGAAGAACAATATTAAAGCATTGCTATCCCCCGAGGAAGGTTGATGATCCGTCTCAGATGGTGGACTGGAATTACTACATCGCTCAGTATTAGAACCTCGAAACTACCTAGGTACATGGTGGCTTGTCGTAGTAAATAACGTGGAGAGGCTTGCTTTTTAGATGGCGCATGGCGCAATATGCAAGTGGAGTCTCCTCATTGCCCCGCTCGTAAACCCGATCGTTTGGCACAAAGGATGCTCCAAAAGTTTAGGTGGGGGTACCATATAAGACAAGACCGGACAAGTAAACTATTTCGCAGAATAAAAACGATAATCGATGAAAAACTTAGGTCCAGGGCGTCATCACGACTCTTCAGGATTAGCAGCCTGATCTCACATAAATGTCTGCAGTTTCAGTCCTACTGCAACCTCGCTACATGAATTTCGACCTTAATGAGCATCGTTTTAGACATGAACGAGGCAGCGCGCCACGAGGAAATAATCGCGAATCTTCAGCCGGATATTACGATCTTGTTCACTTGACAATGGTAACACGGGAAGTTGAAAGCTAGACCCTCAAATATGGAAAATGTGCCTCTCAGTCGAAATAAGAGATGAAATTCGGGACACACTTTATCATGTAGATCAACCCATCGAGATGGGTGTCAGAGTGCTTTTATATTTTCTCGGATCTGTTATTGTAGTTCATAACAGTTTCCAATTCCAATTCTATGCGTTCCAGATAACAATTCTACCATCAACACCGCTTGCTATTATGCCATTAGAGCAGATCATAAAATCTTAGGTGTAGAATTACTTACTACTGAATTTGCGTACGGAATCATTGGAACCTTCGTACACACGAATTGTGCTAATGGTATTTTGATGCACAGTCTTCAACTGCGTATCATCCTTGGTCTTTCCCTTGAGATCCATTTGCTTGAACATGTTGAATGCAGACTCTTCGTGAGCTGCACCACCACCCGCCGCACCTTTTGATTCTAAAGAGCCAGTGAGTTGCCAGCCGCTCTCATCACCCTTGAAGCGATATGCTTCACAATCATACCCAGCTGCAATAATTTCAGCCTCGCCGTTCCAGATGAGACTCATGAAAGGCAATAGCTGAGTGCTAACACTAATGACAGATTTGGGTGGTTGATCTGCACCGTTGGGATATACTACCGTTATGCTACTATCATGAGCAGCGAAAGCAAGAGCATCGCCGCTTGGAGAGAAGGAAACAGCATGAACCCATCCGGCGGAGTTGTTCAAATACTCTCCACATACGGTATTGAATGGGAGACGTTCTCCCCAAACACCGGGGTCTGGCCTCGAGTCAACACCCTTGATAAAACTCGAGAAAACTCTAGCATGGGCATCCGTAGATCCAGCAGCCAAGAGGACGGAATTGGGATGCCATGCCACAGTTGTGATCGTGCTTCGAATTGGCTTCTTGATATGCTTCGACACCCACCAATCGTTTTCCTCCTCGAAGTAACATATCGCGATCACTCTCGCTCCAGATCCTACGGCAAACTTGCTTTCTGAGGGTGACCAGCGGACGAAAGTTGCCGCACGGTTGATTCTGAGAAGAACAAGAGTTGGCTTATATCCGGTTGGGGATGGTTCCCAGACGAGAGCATTACGATCTGCCCAAACAATTAGTGTCTATCCTACTATGGCATGTACACCTGCTAACCTTGAGAGCAAGTCACAATTCTACCACTTTCCAAGGCAATATCGACACTAGTAACTGTTTTGTCGTGGCCCTTGAGTTCGTCTTTCAACTTGAACCCATTACCGCTTCTGCCATAAAGCTCGACGCTCGTGTCTCTCGCAACTGCCAACGTTTGTTTGTCCGCCGAGAAAGAGTGGTCTGCGATAGGGTGGTGGAATAAGTGGTGGACTTCAGGAGGTGCCATTTTGATTGCGATTGATAGGAGGAGCTCTCTACTATCAAGTGGTTGAGAAAAGGTGTTGATGTGGTTTGGGAGTGTTGCATTGGAGTCGCAAGCTCCGACATGACAAGGTGGGTCGGTTTGGCGGGGTCCTTTGTCGCCTGAGGATTCAAGCGAGGATTCAAGCGGTACAAACGCCGACAAGCACCCTTCTTTCGAACTACACACTTACGATACGTAGCATTGAATATCAAGATGTCGGGAAAAAAGGTGCCAACTTACGCGCCCAATCAATCGTATGTATAAATCTTATTCTGTGTTACTTGAAAGAGAGAATGTCTGTTAATCCTGCCTAGGCTATATATCACAAATATCCCAGGGAACAAGATCCAGAAACAGGACATACGCAGATCCTTATACACCCTGTTCTCGACATATGGCCCCGTACTAGATGTGGTAGCTCTTCGGACAGTAAAGATGAGAGGTCAAGCTCATGTAGTGTATCGCGATGTTCAAACTGCCACACAGGCAATGCGCGCGTTGCAAGGATTTGAGTTCTTTGGTTTAGAGATGGTAAGCTTGACACGGAGTTTTGCAAGTTAAGGCTGACCTCGATTCCCTACAGCAAATACAGTACGCCAAATCTAAGTCCCATACTATTGCGAAGCTAGACGGTACTTTCCAAATGCCTGCTGCCGAGGTTGGCGCCGTTACGTCTACAGAGTTACAACGGAGCATCTTCAATGCACCCCCATCAGCTTCCACAACCGCAAATACTACCTCTACAGCTCCAGGCTTACTCAAGCCGCCTTCAGGAGCCGATCACCCAATGGATGATGCTAAAAGTCCCACAACAAGTGTGGCAGGCCAAAAGCGAAGACGCGACGAGGAGGAGGAAGACGATAGTGAGGAAGATGTTGCTATGGAAGAAGACAGCGACGACGATTAGGCGATACCAAAAAACGGCGTTACCAAAAACCGGCGTTGGGAGTTCTACTGAAGGGAGGTGGATTTGCTATATTTCAAGCTGAGCTATGATGCCAGCGAATTTCAGAATGAAAAAACAAGTATTTTGATGGACAGCATACGCTTCGAGGCGTCTTCTGCCTCATATATCTATTGAATTTCCCACCATTCGCTTGATTAAATAAGGGCTGACTGAAGAAGTTCCCCGCAGTTACAACTGTTCCTCAGCCATCTCCGGAGGAACCCACAATCCTACGCAGCCCCCCACTAAACCTAGCCAAACCATGAGATATTCATGCGTTGGGCAATCAAAGTTTTCCATGGCTTCTTTAGTCTGGCAGGGATGGATGAAAAAAGCAGGTAGGTCGGTGACAGGATGTGGCTAACCTTTATCAGACATGTGCATTCACTTGATAAATTGTACCGTATGGTATTGAAAACTACTTACTGCTGCTGAGATACCGCCTGTTATACCAGCTTCCCTAAGTCTTGACTTCTGCTCTTCCGGTACAAGATAACGAAACACTGACTCTAAATCAAATGTTGGGTCTCCCATAGGTAGGTCATGTAAGGTGAACCATAAAGTTGGCATTCTGTAAGTTGGATGGAGATGTATCTCATATGTGACATAAGGTTGATGGGAATAAAGACTATATTTTGGTGGTGTGCTATCTGGTTTCTGCCACAGCTGTGGTCGCAATACCTCCTAAATCGATTAGTGGTGTGATTCGTGAACTTGTTATCAAGCATAGACAAAACTGAAATACCGCATACTTGATCATGGTCATCATTAGCCATATCTACGTCCATTCCCTCATCTTTCGCAGAGCTCCCAAAGCCACTCAAGCTCTCCAACGCAAGAGCAAGATCATCGTCATCCTTCGGTGGCTGCAACAAGCGAAGGATTTCAATGTAGGCGCCTCCTGTAGTAGCTGTTCGTCGACTTATAATCTTGAGAATTTTTCTTGTAGGTCCCAATTTCGCTTTGATATACCGTTGGTCGAAAAATGCACAAGCAAGTGTGAATTCTTCTTCTGTCAAGAAAGGCCAGTGTCGGTACTCATCTCGGTAGGTCATGTTCGTGTAGATTTGCTTAAAGGTATGGATTCAAAGCAATCGCGATGCGGTAGCCAGCCTATGGATTTGTCGCGCCTAGACCAGTAAAGCGACCAGTAGAGCGAAATTCAAGAATAGTTGCCTTGATGGCTAGACAACCCTCCTCTCAAGATTTAGGAGATCCTAGTACTGAAGGTAGTAAAACAAGGGATCGGCTTGCTAAAATAGCTTAAGAAAATTCTTGAATGGTTTTAGGAAATACTGCACTAATAGAGAGAAGTGAATGTCGGTGATGAGGTTGGGTTTTGGTTACAATTTCCATCTGAAGCCCCTGTCGCCGATTGGGTCGTCAGACGCGAGCGGCTCTATGGAATAGCATACGACGCAGGAGGGCCAAAACCCACTTTTCATAAATCAGCAGGTTAACATATTATAGTATAGGGGTTACTATAGTAATTCAATGTTGGCGACTGCAACTAGGTAATACTGCCGGCAATACTTGTCTACACCTACTAACCGGTCGCACTAACCGACCGGCCAACCGACCAGGGTAAACTTCGGACTCGGTCGGCTTCGGGTAATGTGGCCGGTAGGGCAGTACGACCGGTTAGTAGGTGTAGACAAGTACCTTTACTATAGGCTACATATAAGATTATTAAGTTATTAGTATATACTAGTTATATACTAATATTCTATAGTGTTAATAACTTTAAATTCCTTAATATTACTATATACTATTATATAGAGGTAATTTTTACGCTAAGATTTCTAGTATTTTCTATTATAAGTACTTTCTTAGCTAATAGAATTTATAGAATATAAGATAGAGCTAATAGAATATAAATATTATAGTCTCCGTAAAAGTATCTTAGCGTAGTTATTACGCCGGCGACAAAGTATTACTTCTAGTTTAATATTATTATTTAAATACTATATTTAGCGACTCTAGGTTATATTACTAACTACCTATTATCTTAATCTAATTTATCGTGTCAAGTCTTATTAGTCAGAATTCTCGCTTAACTTATTTATCTACTAGCGCGAAAGTATTTCGGTTTACTCCGGAGTTTACCCGGCTAGCCCCGCCGCCTATTCTTCTATTTCTACCTATATTTCTAGCCTCTAGACGGTTAAGAAATACGAAATTCTTACTTCTATAACCTCTAAACAAACTATAGTAGGGCAAAATAACGCCAAAATATATAAAAGTATCGCTTTAAGTAGAAATACGAAAAATCATTAATTTTATAGTATAATTCTAGTACTTTGTAGGGCCGCCTTCTACTAAAATCACCTTAATATATCGATCTCTTATTCCTCGAATTAGAGCCTAAATTGTGTCTTTTAAGATAGATTTCTAGGCTTTCTAGACTATTGTAATAATTCGAATATTCTATATACTATAGATAGAGGTTTTGTCGGGTTAGTATATAAGTAAGTATATATAAGATTATCGAGTTATATACTCGGAGGTATATTTGTTATAATAAGAGTAAGTTAAATAGATAATATACTATTACTATAGTAAGTTAAGTATAAAGCTTCTATCTAAAGAAATTATAATTATTATATAGAACTTCTTTCTCTTAAGTTTAATAAGTTTACTAGTCGAACTTATTAAACTTCTACCTAGTTTAAAAGGTTTATCTAGCGAACCTATCGAACTTTTATTATTACGTAATAGTACTCTAAACCGGGGCCTATCCGCTAATCTAAATATAGCTAATATTAACTAAATTAAACTACTAGATAGTAGTTCTAGAAACTACTTAATTCCCGTAACCTCGTCTAATTCTAGAACTCTTAGTCCTAGAAGTATTACGGCGCCGAGGACGACGCTACTTATAATAACTATCTCTCGAAGTCTCTTATAAGACCTATATGTAACGATTCGTGTTCTACTCGAGGTAGACGGGGTCGTAAGGTTAGTATGCGGTAAGTAGGCGTATTATTACTAGGTATAGACTCGGAGGTCTATTCGTTATAATAAAAGTAAGATAAACTAATAAGATACTATTACTATAGTAAGTTAAGTACGAAGCTCCTATCTAAGGAAATTATAATTATTATATAGAACCTTTGTTCCCTAGATCTCTAGATCCCTTTAGCTATAAGGACCCGTCGGGCCCGCTAGACCTAGAGGAGCCCGGGGAAGGCCTAAGGGCTCTATTACGTACTCTTTAGTTCTCTACGTAATATTTTCCCGGAGGCTCTTAGCTCCCGCTATAGAATCCCCTTAGAGATAGTGCCTTAGTTATAATACTAGCCCCTATTCGGACTAGTAAGTCCTTATACTTAAGTACGACTAAATAAAATTCTTTAGTTACTAACAACTAAGTTTTCTTATTAATATAACTAATAGTATTTAACGAAAATTAAAAGAACGTCTTAACCTTACTCGCGATATTAAAACGAACGGTTTTAAGATAACTCCCTACTCCTTATATACGAAGGAAGGGCGGAGGTATATAATAGATATAAACCGGTCGTCGCGGTATTTAGAATATATCCGCCGTAAATATACCTATAATAGCTTATCTAATTCCTAGGAAAAGAACGTTCCTAGCGAGGAGGCTCGGGCGGCTATAGACCGTTAGATTAAGAAACTAGAGGAGTAGGAGGACGAGGCGATAGCTAAGGTCCTACGCCTATAGAAATAGTAGTAGCTTCTTTGTAAGAAGAAGTTCGAAATATCTAAGAAGGGTCTTTAGTTTCTTAACGAGCTAGACGCCTAGGAGGAGAGATAAAGGCTCGAAAACGAGGCCCGGGCGATTAAAAAATCGCCGCCTCTATTTAGTGACGCCGTAAATCTCGACAAGATCCTAGGTCTTTCCGACCCTAACCCGGCTTTCTAGTCGTCTTTAGAGTTTAGTAGTAAAACTTCTTAAGCTACTTCGGGTAGTTAAGGTTTTTCGCTAGTTTCTATATATTTTCTAATTATAGGTAATCCTTCTACTTAATTAGGTACTTCGGTTTCCCTCTAACGTGTTTATAGTCTAAGATTCTCTCGACTTTATACTCGGCGTTAGGGTTTACCGGTTATATTTCTATTATTAGAGCTAGCGGGGCTCCCGGCGGCGCTAGTTCGAGGAGAGATATATAGAATACTAGAAAGATATTTATACTTTTTAGTAAAGCTAGTTTATAATTTAAAGGTCCTTTATACGCTTTAATTTTAAATAGTCCTAGTTTCTTATTATCTAGTTTATTACTTAGTTATTTCGTTTAGATATTTTATCTAACTAAATAAACTCTATTCCCCTCTCTTAGCGTAGGCTCCTAACTACGTTTCTTGTTATAGTAGGACGCGTTTCTTTCTAAGATAAACTTAAGTTCTTCGACGAGTTATTTATAAAGGGAGGAAAGGTTATTAATAAGAATCCTTTCTACCTAATTATCGATAGATACGTTATAGGGTTCTTAGAACGCTATTTTCTTATAACTAAAGTTAGCTTTAAATAGCGATACTTATATTATCTCTATTACTATACTATTATATAAGAACTAGGCTATTAGTAATAAGGCGACTTAATTGTCTTATTTATAGTTTATATAATACCTTAAGTATACTTTAACTACTTAGTTTATTCTCTTATTACCTCTATTTGTTTATAGATAGAATAATATTAATAGCTTTCGCTTTACTCCTATATAGGCGGCTACGGCCGTCTAGAATTTAGACGTAAATAGCTTATCTCGGTCTAAGACTATTTCTTCTAGAGTACTATAGTCTGTAACTATATACTAAATAAAAGCGTATACTAGTTTCTTAGTAGTACTTAACTCCTTATATAGTATAAGGATTATATACTTAGTAAGTCTTTCTATTATTACTAGGATTACGTCGTACTTAACTCCTATTATTAGATCTCTTAATAGTAGAAGTTTAACGATAAAGTCTTATAATATTATTTTCTATAGTCTCTTTAGAATAGGTATTTGTCCTATAAGTCTATAAGGTATATAGTATATAGATTTATTTCGAATATAGGTATTATATTTAGTTACTACCTTCTTAACTAAAGCTCGTAGCTTGTCAATATAGAATTACTATTAGATTCTCTAGAAGATTCTTCTAATTTCTTAATAACTATATTCTAGGGCTTTATAGAATTTCTAGATAAACTCTAAGGCGTATAAGTCTAGTACTTTAAGTTTTCTATCTTTATATAGTAAATTTTCTTTAGAAACTATTAGTCTCTTACTCTAAGCGGTTATAATATTATTATACTATAGACCTCGGATTTTAGTAAGGGCGGCAATTACTTTAGAGTTAGAGATAAGATTTCTATCTTTATTCTCCTTAAGAATAGCTTATTTCTTGTAGATCTTATCTCCTTTATATCCTAGTTAACGGCTTAAAGTGTTAGCTCGAGGATTATCTATTTCTTTTACGTATTTAATTATAATATCGAAATAGGCGAGTTCTTCGGCCTATCGCGCTATTCGTCGGTTATTTAATTTCTTTATTATTAAGAACGTTTATAGGTTCTTATAATCTATAAGAATAATAACTAGAAACTTAGCTCCTTAAAGATAAATCTTCTAATATCTTAGTACCTTAACTATAGCTATAAGTTTCTTCTTATAAATATTATAGTTCTATTTAGCCGGCGAGTATTTCTCGAAATAATATACTATAGAGTATATTTTTTCTTTCTCGTCTAGTTATAGGTAAATAGCGTCTATAGTAGTATCTAAGGTATTAGTCTCGACTATACTTAGTTTATTAATACTAAAACTCCTAATAACTAGTTTCTTAGTAAACCGATCCTTAAGTTCTTATATAGCCGCTCTCTCTTCTTCTCCTATAAGGAAGAGTACGTCCTTCCGGGTAAGATTAGTAAGCGGTCCTATAATCTTTAAATATCCTTCTATAAATTATTAGTAAAAGTTTCTAAAGCCGAGAAACGACTAGACGTCTTTAATATTTTCTAATTCTAGCTAGTCTCTTATCTATTAGATCTTCTCTAGGTCGATATTTATTTTTCCTAGTTCGATAATAAACCCTAGAAACTTAG